TATTTTATTTTTTTATCTATTTTTTTTTTGTGGCCCTTCCTGTTGGTTTTTTTTTTTTTTTTTTTAAATAAAATTAATTTTTTTTTTTTTTTTTTTTTTTTTTTTTTTTCCCCCCCCCCCCCCCCCCCCCCCAAAGAAGGTACCGGTAATGCACAGAAATGCTGGAACTATAATACGAAAATTCCTAAAGCCGATAGACGGCTGATAACCAGATAACATCGCGCAAATCACTATGGAACTTCCCGAGATGTCATTAATGTGACCTAGCAGCCTAGAGTCACTTTACAATCTGCAGGATCTAAAGTCAGCACCTTCGTCATACCATTCGCCAGAAAGCCAGGATGCAGGATTATGAGGAACGAGAGATCTCGCCTTGAGAGGGATAACGGTGAAAACAAGCAAGTGAAAATGTGCATTCAACTCACCTATAACTGCACCCTGTCCACCTTCGACGGCCTCGATGGCTTTCTTCAGCGTCTCTTCTAACTGGTCAGCCTTCTCAACTTTTGCAGTGAAGAGGTCTCCTCCAGCCGCCGCCTTTGCGATACCCGAGTAATCGGGCACAGGGCTGAATGATATATTGATCTCTTCGTTCGTCGCCTTTGAGCCCATACCCGTAGGATGGACAAGCTCCATGGATTTCCGCGGTGCATTCCAGCCTGAGCCAGTAAGTTAGCCCGGTACACAATAACTGATATTGGTCCTGAAGAATTACCCTTGTTGTTGAGTACGATGGTCAGTACCGGGATTTGGTACCGTCTGGAGATCCAGTACACGCTGCCAGGCACTGAAAATAGATATGTACCATCTCCCACAATCTGCACTACAAACTTGCCTTTGCCACCATGCTCGGCGACAGAGGCTAACTTAATGCCCAAGGCACCACCACCAGACCATCCGAGACCACCACCGCCGCAGTTGATCCACGAACCAGGGAGCTCTGGTTGCAGGTTATCGTGCACGAAAAAAGTATTTGTGACAGCCTCGACTGCGAATATGGTGTCTTTGGGGCAAAGTGCTCGCAGTTTTGAGCATAGGTGGCCGGTCCCAAACGAGCCATCTGCGGCTGGGACAGCCTTGTCTGCGATAGTTATTAAGCGTTGTTTGTACGATGCCTGTAGTGCGTCCCATTTCCGATTAGTGGTCTCGACGTCAACTTTATTAGTGAGTTCTTTAGCAGCCTCTGTAATCTGCTCAATAGATGCAAGCGCATCGGCACGGTATCGACGCTGGGCAGCTACGTAGGCAACCGGCATCATGTTCTTGAGCGGGTCGACATCGATATGGAAGATTTTGATACCTTCCTTTGGCTTGCATTGGGTGGGAATCCAAGGAACATCGCAGTCCACGATGAGGATGGCATCGGCCTCCCTTATCGAATCATCATTGCCGAATCGCAGTCCGACCCATCCAGGGTGAGAGGCAGGGAAACACATATCGCTTCCACCTGTGTCAAGTACGCGTAATCCTTTGATAGTATTTGCCAACTCAACAAGAGCCGCGGGGGCCTTGTGGTTTCGGCCAGTGTAACCTGTCACCAGTAACGGCTTTTCAGCAGCTAGAAGGGATTCTGCAATGCTCCTTGCTGCCTTTGGAGGCAATCCACCCAGCTCAACCCGTTCCCAAAGACTTTGGTCCATCTTGTATGGCGTGATATCTTCCTCCATGACTTCTCTCGCCCCAACTAGGTATACTGGACCTTGAGGGTCGCTTGTGGCGAACTGCAGTGCGCGGTTGACCATCTGCTTGACATTTTTACCGGTCTTGATTTCTGCTGTATAACGGCAGTATTGGCTCACGATCTGCTTTTGGTCGGGGACGTCCTGGATCCAGTGGATATATTCCGTTCGCGACCCGCGCATTTCTCCCTCAATAGTGAAAGGGCTCAAACCGGCAAAGATGAGAATAGGTGCGCGACCACTGCTGGCATTGTGCACTGCTGCACCAAGACCCTGGGTTCCGACGTCGACGTGAATAATGACACACTGCGGCTTGCCACTCAGTCGCGCGTAGCCGTCTGCCATGGACATGGCGACCATCTAGTGCATTTTAGTCGGGACCAAGACTATACGTCATCTCACGATTGACGCAGCTTACATACCTCATTCGGACATGTGATGATACGGGGGAAGTTGCCCTTGTTTTCGCTCTGACCTTTGACCATTGCTTCAATAATGCTGGGGTGGTCGGAACCCAGATTGACGAAGCAATGTGTGACGCCCGCATCCCATAACGCCTCGAAAAATGCGAACGACGCTGTATACATTATGTCTGTCGTTGATTTAAAAGAAAATGCTCGCCTATCAATGTCCAAAAGAAGAAGAAAAGAAATAAGAAACCCTATGCTTCCTTCTATTGCAAAAACGTATGTAAGACTGTATCTATGGTTTGAATAGAACCCTGCTGGGTTATGGCTAATGGTTATATGATTATAATCCCTTCCTGAGAAGTGAGGTAAGACGGGAGGAGAAGCAGGGGAAATACGATAACCATGATGATAGACCCTACTCTACATCCGATCCGATCCGATTACCGAACCCCGACTTCTTCAAGTTTAATGGAGATTACTAGATATCTACGTAGAGCTTTCTAACAAGCACGCAGAGTTACATATGCGTTACCTTACCTTATCTGCCTACCGATCAAGTGGTGCAATCTCCAGCGGCAGCAAATAGATGCCGCGAGCCCCTCCCGTATTCGGAGATTGGGGGCCCCCAGTCCAACCCTCGGTACAGAATGGAGATCGAAGTTTCGGGGTACAGGGGAAAAGTAGCCTGTTTGGGACGCGGGGTTCGACCATGTTCGCGCCCGACCGTTTTATTGGAGATGCGATTTGCGGGGTAAGGTAAGACGGCTCGGCTTGTGAGCAGGGTACTTGCAGTACTGTAGGTACACACTACTATGCCTGTAGACCCTGGCACTGGCCTGATAATTGGTGTTCTTAACACGAATGCTGGGTAATGATAGGTAAATATGTTGTGATGGTCGCTTGAACTGCGAGATTGGCTTTGAAGAGATAGATAGATAGGTAGTTCTCACCTAGATGCGGAGAGGTTACCTATCACTATGCTCTTGCTCAATAACCCGGGGGTTTCAACATATAGACTTTGCAATTGGAAAGAAATTCAATTTTTAGCGAGAGGTATGTGAGCTAAACGGTCTAGTTATCGAATTTGACACTTTGGTCAAGACTGGGATTGGAAGTGCTTAGAGAACACTGTTTTGTCTTAACATAATTCTTATGAGGAGGTTAAGGAGGCCGGGGACATTTGGATTGGGATGGAAGATCTATGTAGGCAGCGGAATACTTCGGTAGCTATGGGGCTCAATGAGAGTTGTATCTCTTTGACACTTAGAGCAATGTCAGTGCTGCTGTTTGTTCCGCCATATTGAGGCTGTATATGTGCATTAAAGAAGAGTATTTTGAGGTAGTGGTTCTTCTTTGCCTAAGCCATAGCACACTATCAGGTGGAAGATAGTTAGTTGCCAGGACCGGATATTTCCCGGCCGAGATCTGTGAGCAAGTTTTGCACTTACAATCTAGTCATCATCTTTCACGAACAGAGATTGGACAAATGAGCACCAGATCTTGCCGGCTCTGGTGCTGTAAATCTCATGGCCCTTTCTCATGGCTGGTGGTCAACAAGTCTTGAGAAAGCATCCGTCTCAGTATTGGTCAAAAATAGTTGTATCTACTGAGCTTTATCATCGTTTTGAGAGCAGGCATATGACCCGGAAGCCTGGCATGACACCAATCGACATTGGCGAGTGGGAGGCCGTTTTCAGCTGGTCGGAGGTAGAGGAGAGGTTACACTAGATTGGCTCACCAAGGCTATTTTAGAAAACACCATACGAGGTCATGCACCATTCAGCACAGATAAAAGATGGTCCTAACGATTCGTTGTTCAATGTGCCAAAGCATCACGGAGGTCGCGCGTTCAAGTCATATGATACATACATGGTATCTTGAACCGTATTAGCCAGCCGAGCAGCTTACACGAGCAAGCCGCCGAGAATGGAAGGGTCGCACAGGACATGTTGAGGCTTCAAAAAAGATGCTGTGTTGAAGCATGCGACGTGATACGAAACCACCGGCTAGGCGATCGGTGAACTGCATTGGGAACGTCATGAGTGGTTTACACAGAACATGGAGGGGATCTGATGAGTCTTCTGATTGGATCTGCCGCCGAACCATGCAACACCCCGGATCGAAACCTGCATTAGTGGTTTTGATGGCAAGTTCCGTCGTTGTACATCACAACATAGGCATTTGATGCAATTACCAGGAATATATATCAATAGCGCCACCGGTTATGAACGTCCTCTCACTAACTACCACCTGGGTAGCCAGGAGACAGAAGCGATCTGGCTCAAGACATGGGAATAGTATGTACAATTATTGTCGAATGATCTTCCACCAAGTCTCAGAATGTACAAGCGCATTGAGAAACGTTGAGCAATCTAGGCCAAACAAATGGATGTTTGGTGATGGCAGCATGGATCTAGCATCGAGGCCTGTTACACGACTCGCCGCCTAACCAGCAAATGCCCGACTGACCTGACGTCAACACCACTCTCGCCACTATCCGCAAACATTGCCTGAGCCAGGGAGCATAAGGACCAGCGTTTGGCTGTGGACCATACAGTAGGGCGAGGTAACCGGCCGGGGGTCCAAGCGTTGCAGTCGCGAATACAACCACGTTGTCCACGAGCGTCTATTGGACAGGTGACTTGTGGATATCGACAGGACGGGATAATGAGATGAATGAATCACACCCCATCCTTGAAGATACAATCAATTATACAATCACTTCAGGGGCGTCTTGGAGATGGCTGTGTATGCGCGCCCCCTTCACGTGTATTTATCTGGGTAGGCGCACTCATATCGGCCCAGACTACGGTATGGCACCGTGCCTCCATAGTTTTGGTTCTCTCGTATGACTGATCTTGTGGCGTGGGAGAACAACATCACCTGCACGGTGCCTACCAATGATACCGACACTTGCCTGGTAACTTGAGCACCCACCTTCATCAAAGAGCCAGAGGGCTAATTACCTGTTTCACGGGAATGCGCATCGTCCTTCCTCCATATAAGAAACTGACGTACGCATCTCCCGCGCCTCCCTGCATACCTAATTAACTTTTATTCCTCCAGCGTACCAACTGGCATTTTAATCGCGTGTAACTCAAGCTGAATCTCGTCACCGTTTTTCCCTGATATCAAGGAATCAGATCCTAAAGATAGCCACGATCAAACTCCCATATCATACGTCATCAAAGTATCTATCAGCATGGGGCAATCCACAAGCAGCCCCTTAGCAACCTGCCTCAACGCCGTGTGCAACGGCCGCAACGACTGCGTTGCCTACCCCAGCGACCCGTTGTACCAAATTTCCTGGGTCAACCGATATAACCTCGATATCGAAGTCACGCCGATAGCGGTAACTCGCCCGGAGACAGCTCAAGATGTATCCGGGTTTGTCAAGTGTGCTGCGGCCAACAATGTCAAAGTTCAGCCCAAATCCGGAGGTCATTCTTACGCGTGAGAAACGCCCACTGACTGCCTCGCCGTTACACTTATCCATGCTAACATGAATTAGGAACTATGGTATGATATTGATATCCTTCATAGTGTTGTTACTAGGAAACTTAACACGAGAGTATAGGCCTAGGTGGTGATGACGGTGCTCTGGTAATCGACTTGATGAAGCTGCAAGACTTCTCCGTCGATAAACAGACATGGAAAGCAACGATAGGAGGCGGTACCAAGCTCGCCGACGTCACAAAGAAGCTTCACAAGAACGGAAAGCGAGCCATCTCTCATGGTACTTGCCCAGGCGTTGGGATTGGTGGCCATGCCACAATTGTGAGCATGTTCTAAAGATGTTTGACCGAGACCGATGCTAATCAGAGCTGGGACAGGGAGGGCTAGGTCCTTCGTCGCGCATGTGGGGTTCCTGCCTGGATCACGTTTTAGAAGTTGAGGTTGTCACCGCAGACGGGACTATCAAACGAGCCAGCGAGCGTGAGAATAGTGATCTTTTCTTCGTAAGTTTAGACAGGATATGCCGGAATAGGATATAGGCTTACCAAGGTTGACATCTCTTAGGCGCTAAAAGGAGCCGGTGCAGGATTTGGCATTATCACCAAGTTTATCGTCAAGACGCATCCGGAACCTGGCAACGTAGTTCAATATTCGTTTTCTCTATCATTTGGAAAGCACGCCGACATGGTCCCCGTCTTCAAGCAATGGCAAGATCTCATCTCAGACCCAAATCTCGACAGAAGATTTGGCACGGAATTTGTCGCTCACGAGCTCGGAGCTGTCATTACTGCCACTTTCTACGGAACGGAGGCCGAGTGGAATGCCTCTGGGATCCCGAAAAGAATTCCTAAGGGGAAAGTATCCGTCGTTATTGACGATTGGCTTGCTGTCATTACTCAGCAGGCTGAAGATGCCGCGCTGTACCTATCGGAAATTCGCACTGCTTTCACAGTACGCAGTCTCGCATTTACCGCAGAAGAGGCGCTCTCTGAGAGTACGATCACCAAGATGATGAATTACCTCGACAAAACGCCTCATGGAACTCTCTTGTGGTTCCTTATTTTCGATGCTACAGGAGGTGCCATCAGCGACGTGCCCATGAATGCCACGGCCTATTCACACCGAGACAAAATCATGTTTTGCCAGGGATACGGCATTGGTATTCCAAATCTCAGCCAAGCTACAAAAGATTTTCTGAACGGTCTTGTCAATACCATTCAGAGCTCGACACCGCAGCGCCTAACAACTTACCCCGGGTATGTCGACCCATCACTGGTGAACCCTCAACAGTCATACTGGGGACCGAATCTAGGAACTCTAGAGTCCATCAAGACCAAATACGATCCTAAGGATTTGTTTCATAATCCACAGAGCGTGAGAACCAAGAAATAAGAAAGAACAGGACGAAGAATAACCTTGATACCCCTAATATAGCCTTTCACTATTGAATACGAGTTTGCATTTGAGAGTTACACCGGCTAGTCCAACGTCGCTTTAAGATTTTGAGGCCTTGCTTCATCTCCAAAGTGAAATTTCACCACTATATCGTATGCCCTCATTTCATAGTATATATGCCCACAGTCTAGCTTTTCGTTCGGGAAATACCCCGGTTTCACACATTTGGCTACCCCGCAAGCGAGCCGCTTGCATATATCGGTAGACCCTTCGCTCGGTATAGACATTTATATTTCCATCGTATTCTTCCTCCAATCACGGAATGTTGCAAACTTCCCTAGGCTATGCTGTTTGCGTTTTTATCATGATTTTGATAGCATTCATTAAGGATGTAACCTCGGTTGAATGAACCTTTCGCGCAATGCAAGGAAAACAGCAATCATCTTCGAGGGCCCCCTTCAACTTGGCACAATGAAGATCCCTCTCTTGCCTGCTGCAACAGCGGCGGTTGTTCTATCAAACCTTGCCGTTGTATCATCTCTTGACCTGAAAGATTCACAGGCTCCAAGAGTAAAAACAATAAACGGGACATATGAGGGACTATACCTTCCTGACTGGAAACAAGATGCTTTCCTGGGCATGCCATATGCCCAACCGCCCGTAGGCCCGCTCAGGTATCGATGGCCAGTATCCGTGAACGAATCTTTCGACGGAGTCAGGAACGCAACACGCTACGGACATAGCTGCATGCAATACGGGCAGACCTTCGAGCTGTCGGAGGATTGTCTGACTATTAACGTAGTCCGACCCTCTGAGAGGTTCACTAGGCCTCTGCCCGTTCTCGTCTGGGTCTATGGCGGCGGTTTGTACGCAGGCAGCACGGCTGATCCCCAGTATAACCTCTCGGGTATCGTGCGTGTGAGCCAGGAGATAGGACAGCCCGTCATGGCTGTTAGCATGAACTACCGCCTGGGTCAATGGGGATTCCTGCAGACAGCCCAAGTATTCGCGGAGGGCTCGAGCAATGCGGGACTCCTCGACCAGCGCCTTGCGTTCCACTGGATCCACGAGAACATTGCCGCGTTTGGCGGCGATCCTGATAAAGTGGTTCTCTGGGGGGAGAGCGCCGGCGCCCAGAGTATCGCGTACCATTTATTCGCGTATGGCGGTCGCGACGACAAGCTCTTCCGCGGTGCGATCCTCGAGAGCGGCGGTCCAACGGGTGCGCAGGTTGAGTCGCTATCGTGGTACAACTCCGCCGTGAAAAATTTAACGCGGTCCGTAGGTTGTTGGGGGACGAGTGATCAGCTGGCCTGTCTCCGCGAAGTCGACCAAGAGACGCTGTTCGCGGCGCACCCGAGCGTAGTATGGAATCCGCTTTTAGACGGCGATTTCCTAACGGGGTATCCCAGCCAGCTGATGCAGGAGGGGAAATACGTTAAAGTGCCGATTCTCCTAGGCGCCAACACGGACGAAGGATTCGCCATATCCGGGACCCTGAACACCGAGGAGGATATCTTCCATTCGATCTTCACATGGCGGAGCTACGCGTTCACCCCACCAACCGTGCGCAAGCTCCTAGAACTGTACCCTGACGATCCGTGTCACGAGCCTCCCTTCGCCATCACGAATTGCACACGGCACCCGACGCGGGGGCTGATGTGGAGGCGGGCGGCGGCAATCGGCGCAGATCTGGTCATGATTTCGGGGCGCCGACGGATGGCAGAATTATACACAGAAGCGGGCATGCCCGTGTATAGCTACCGCTTTGATCAGCGGCCCTGGAACGGCAACGAATGGGACGGCGTCAAACACTTTGTCAACGTGGCTTACAGCTTCCAGAATGTCTCGGGACTCCTGGGGCCCAGCCCGCAGTATGACAGCCACGCTAGGCTGGCGAGGGCTATTGGGCAGGCCTACGTGGCCTTCGTGAACCATCTAGATCCGAACAAAGTTGGGTTGGCGAAGAATACCACAGAGGTAGAGGCGCTACCGCGTTGGCCAAGGTATAATCTGCGTAGACCGATGAATATGGTGCTCAATGCCACGGTGAACTGGGTCGAGGCGGACACGTGGAGGAAAGAGGGGATCGAGTTCATGATGACGCCTAAGGTCGCGAAGGAGCTGCTTTCTTGAATCTTGTCAAATACCGCATCTGCCGTACATAAAATCCCATATCTGTATTGATAGATCACGGTGATTATCGCCCAAGGTGATAATACAAAATCCTACTCTTGGTGGTGTTGTCTCCAATCTTGTCCAATGATCCAACAGGCGAAAGGGAAGAATACTGAATAGAAATACTGTGTGATAAGCATGAATCTTGGCGACATATATGAAAGTTCATGATTATCATCATTAAACCCCAGAAGGGGAGGGGGTTTGCGCAGGCGAGAAGAAGGCTACCTAGGCACGAAGCTGGGGCGGATGCAGATCAGCGCGCCTTTCACGACGGCTCATGCCCCCTCATCTTGCGCCCTTTGAATGTCTAAATAACCTGGGGATATATGAAAGGTAGTAAATAGCCTAGCCGCAATGAATGACGAAAAAGCTCCAATCTCAACCTCAAAGTCCAGATTCCAGGGCTTCCGCTCGCGAAGATACATTCTGATCTCGTCACTCTACTAAGCGTCCTCTATTACCATGGGCTCCACTACACAGCTCTTCAAGTCCTACATCCATTGCCTCAACGAAGGGCGATGGTACGATCTGCCCAACTTCGTCTCCTTCCCATACAAGATAAACGATGCAACCATAGACTCCCCGGAGATCTTCGCAGAATACGCCATTCTGGGACGTGTCCAGCTCGACGTTGATGCCATCACAGCGGACGAGCAGACACAGCGCTTAGGCGCCTCACTAATCTCCAATCTGTACCCCCACGACAAAACAAAGTCGAAGCCGACTGAGTTCAAACAGACTTTCATCTGGGCTGCTGACGGGAAGATATACCAAGTCGCGACCTTGAAAGACAAGGAGGACCTACGAAGGCAGCGTGACGAGCCAGGTTACGTCCGCACGCCGGACCTCATAGCTACTTACACGCCTCAGACAAGTGGGGGTAGAAAGCTCTTGAGGACAGAGCTGGAGGATACGTACCGCGCGTATATCGGGTGCATCAACGCGCAGACGATGGCGACGGAGCTCCCGCGCTTCTGCCACGCGCATGTCGTGCACAACGCGCGACGGCTGTCGCTCGAGGAGTACAGAGGGCTCATGGAGGAGGCGTTCACGGCGGTCCCGGATATCATATTCGGAATCGATACCGTGGTGCCTGATGAGAGTGCCCAGCGCGTCGCTGTGCGGCTTGAGTTTACCGGGACGCCGACTGGGGCGATGAAGGGTGCGGAGCCTACAGGGAAGAGCGGTGAGTTGCTTGAACTCTCGCGTTCTTTCTGCTGTCTTGGGATTGCGTGGGTCTGTTTGCTGATCGTGTTCGACCTAGTGCGTTTCTATGAATATGTGACGTATGCCTTCCAGGACGGCAAGATTGATCGAGTATGGAGGTATGTGAGCTCTGTAGACATCTTGATCTTTATTTATGTATTGGTGTTATACTGCAGTTGTCTGCGTGCCAAGTCGGGCCCGTTGTGCTAACTGTCTGTTAACTAGTATCGTGGACTGGGAGTCGTATCGCCAGCAATTAAGACAGGAGTGAGAGACACGGGAACGTCAAGGTCTCGGGGAATTTCTCATTGCACCAATAGGATGCGAGGACGCCGTAGCAGAAAGTCTGAAAGAATGTATTGCTGTTGAGTAAATCTCAAGGCTGGCATAGGTAGTCCAAAGCGTAGGGTTTTACATAGGTTTCCTTTCTCGTCCTGTGTGCCCAGTCTTATATATCAGCCTATATGTGACATGTCCCCTCCTTCTTGCCTGAATATCTATATCTTGGGGATCGACGTTACAGTGCTAAATAGGTATGTATGCAGTCTCCACGCGGGTAATTCCACCCATTGAACACACATGGCGTCCCACCAGACGCTGAGCAAGGGATTGCCTGATGGAAGTTTCTCGCAGATCATCGCGAATGCTATCCACTACGCATAGTAGGGGAGGTAATTATAGAGTATTACGTAGAACCGAACGTCGGTTTCTCTCGTACGATGTAATTCGCACCAATATGGGTGCGTGCGTATAAGTTGTTGTTTATGTTACCCTGTGAGTACGGAGTATTGCATTCGGAGACCGTATCGCGGCAAACCACCGAAGTCGGGGGAGCACAGAGTAAGCTTGCAAGGGGACATTGCTATTCTTCGTGACAGCATTAACATTGTCATCTAAGCATGTCTGGAACACATTGATGGTCACTCCTGTTATCTTGTGTTACTGGTTGCCGAGCATTCACTGCGGCAAACCGTATACTAGACATCATCATTCAATTAGGAGGCGGCAACGCCTACCGATCTGTCGCCCACTTCACCGAGGCGTCGAAATGCTACTTTCCAGTATACTCAGGTGCGCTCGCGAGCTCAAGCAAGTCAGTCATCTCATAGCCAGCTAGGGTGCGGAGAGAGATGCCCGTCTGGGCATGCCAAGAGCACTTTTGGAGGTCTGGAAGCGTGAAGGTCCGCAGATAGGTAGGTAATGTATCTGTTTAGAAATATCTCACTGGCATCGTACAGACCGAGCGTTTACCGTTCCTTTCCCCAAGCAGACTGAAGGCCTCTTTCATGTTGCGACCCGATAGCTGATTGGATGACAGCCGACAAGCGCAATATAAATTCAAAAAAGTTAGGCTGTCAAGCGGGCGAAAAAATCGAGGTGGCCAATATGCCTAGCGCCTAGCATCTTTTCCGCAATAGGGAGGTCTTTCGGACAGGCCAGCTGCTTATCGTACCTTGCCTCATCCCGGGTATGATACTATGCTACATGATATTTAGTATGTTGACTATGATGAGATGTGGTGGACCTTCATGAAGCTCAAAACTGCTCTCAAGATAAACGCTCAATTCATTAATTGCACTACCTATCTCATGTATGTCATGATCATCCAAGTGGTCTAAGCATCATCAATTCAGTACCTATCACCCTTCCGTATTTGATATTCGGTCGGATGCTGCCGAGGGCCCGTGCCGGGTGGACCTGGAATTTGATAGCGTCTGTGGCAGTCAGAGGAGCTAAACTTGTGCTAAACGCAAGTTTCCCATGCGTGCCATATCTTCTTACATGTGGTAGCCCCTTCAGCTGAAGGCCAGATTCATGGTCTCATGCTAGGCGGTAACTAGGATGTCGAAGCGGCACGTATATACTAACCTACGTTAGGAATGTGAATAATGTAGGACTGGGAAGACTTCCAGCAAAGTGGTGCAGTACCATTACCAACTTTTACCAAGACTACCTATTGATACTACCGCGTGCTGCAGAAGCAAGCAAATAACCAATCGAAGCAGTATGCGGCGCAAGAAAAGGAGGGTTGCGACATGAACCCGGGTTGCATTGTAGCATAGGTAATTGGTAATAATCTCGAATCGAAGACGCCATGTCTCGGGGTACACATAAAACCAGATCTTCGCCTTCATAAACTATGTAGGGCCCTCAGCCTAGCGAGCGCCTTATCATAAACCGAGCACGAGGTCTCACCTCCGCCACCCACCTCAAGCGTGAACTAAGTACCTAGATTAGAGCAGCACAAGGACGATGGAACCATGTAACTCGCCGTTGGTATGGCCGTGATATCCATCCTCCACATAGTAGTTCGCAGCCACAGAAAACGGCAGTGATTTCCCCTGCCAAGCTAGCATCGTGGGGTTTCTTGGCGATCCCACCCGAACCCTGGCTCATCGGCGGGCCTAATACTACAATGGAAGCTGTGTCTCTGGGTGGTTATCATCATTGCATGCATGGGGCACGCGAAGGGCCCAGCCCAACCCTGGCAAAATACGCGTGATTCCGAGCTTCAGTTGCGTCGTTGCTTTCCGTGGTTCCCCTGTCTCTGGTCGTACTGTAGACGGACGGGGTCCTCTGCCAGCCGGGTACAAGATGATCATGGCTGTCCCGCCCATCTAATGAAAATCATAAAAGGAGTCGTGGTTCCTCCTCTCCACGAGACCTCTGTTTCCCTCACCTTCTCGTTCAGGCCATCTTTGGTGTGTTCAGTTTCGTTGAGCGGGCCGCCTGGTAGTCATCATCATGGTTCGCAGTAGTTTTGTGCTGTCCCTGCTCGCCAGCGCGGGAGGTCTTCTCTCGGCTGAGGCTAAGAAACACCCAAAGGCGAAGCATCTCACCGGTAGCTACGTGGTTGAGTTTGTGGATTCTCAGGTATGTATTCATCCTCGGGTCAGCTTTTGGAAGTGCTATTCTAATTGTGTATAACTTGTATAGGATGCATCCGAGTTCTACTCACGCGTGAGCCCAAAGGCCGAGATGCGCAGTAAGTAACACAAGCTCCTTTTCCTAGTCCAGCTTTTTGGAGCTGCAATGGAACCGCGGTCCACCTTTGCTTAGGCTCTTGCGGGAGAAAAGATACCTGAACTTGTCGTTGGCTTACAATTGTGCAGAGACCTTCGACTCTTCTATTTTCAAGGGCGCATCAATTCAGTTCCACGATACCGAAACCGCCGAAGATGAGGCTGCAGCCCTCGAAGGTCTAGCTAGTGTCAAGCGTGTATGGCCCAATCGACTATACGATCTCCCCAAGGACGACGTTATATGGACGGGTAAGAACAAGGATGCGAGCATTGCTCACAGCGCTGTCAAGAGACAAACGGCCAATGACGCTTTCTCTCCTCATATAATGACCCAGGTGGACAAGCTGCGAGCCAAGGGCATTATTGGCAAAGGTATCAAGATCGGCGTCATTGATACTGGAATTGACTATCAGCACCCGGCTCTTGGAGGATGCTTCGGACCGGGCTGCTTGGTCTCTTATGGCTACGACCTTGTTGGTGACGACTACACTGGCTCCAACACCCCTGTTCCCGATAACGAGTAGGTTGACTGAAATTCGCGATCGCGTACAAAGCTAATAATGTTCACGTAGTCCCTGGGATGGTTGCGCCGGTCACGGTAGCCATGTCAGTGGCATCATTGCCGCGCAGGCCAATGAATACGGTTTCACTGGCGCTGCTCCTGGTGTCACCCTTGGCGCTTATCGCGTCTTTGGCTGCACGGGAAGCGCTGCCAATGATGTCCTGATTGAAGCTTACCTGAGAGCTTTCGAAGACGGCTCCAACATCATCACGGCCTCTATCGGTGGTCCTTCCGGCTGGAGCGAGGACCCCTGGGCTGTTGTTGTCTCGCGAATCGTTGAGGCTGGTGTCCCTTGCACTGTGTCTGCCGGAAATGATGGCCAGTACGGTCTGTTCTACGCCAGCACGGCGTCGAACGGCAAGCGGGTCACCTCTGTTGCTTCTGTTGACAACGTGGTCACACCCATCCTACTGATCGATTCGTCTTTCAAAGTTGACAGTGGCGAGGCGGAGACGTTCGGTTACGTTGTGGGTGATCCATTTGCCTGGGCAAATGTCAGCCTCCCTCTCTGGGCTCCAAGCTTGGATATCACCGACCCAGCTACTGGTTGTAACGCATACCCTGCCGATACTCCAGACCTCTCTGATAAAATTGTCCTTATCCGTCGCGGTACTTGCACCTTCGTTCAGAAAGCCCAGAACGCCGCCGCGCATGGTGCTAAGTACATAATGTTTTACAACAATGTTGGCGGCGCCACTGGTCCTTCCGTAACGGATGTCTCACAGATTCTTGCTGTCGGCATGGTAAGCTGAGCCCTCTGGCAGCTTACATCAGAATGCTAATTGAAATCATAGACTACTCGGGCCACAGGTGAAGCATGGGTAGCGAGCCTAGCTGCCGGCTCCAAAGTCGTTCTCACCATGACGGATCCAGAAACCGCCCCCGTCTCGTAAGAAACCCCTTCGATGCCTATAACCCGTTGCTAATATGACCCAGCCTAATTACTTCCGACAATACTGTTACCGGAGGTGCTGCCAGCTCTTTCACTACATGGAACCCGACCTACGAGATGGACGTCAAGCCCCAAGTGGCGTCGCCCGGCGGTAACATTCTGTCGACTTGGCCGCAGCCCCTTGGTTCTTACGCTGTCATCTCAGGTACCTCTATGGCTTGCCCCCTCGTTGCCGGTATCTACGCCCTTATTGCCGATGTTCGCGGCACATTTGATCCTGCTACCCTAGAGGCACTAGTCGCTTCAACGGCGAACCCCAGGTTTTATAACGCGGGTACCGGAAATGCCAACGTCTTCGCTCCCGTGGCACAAGTCGGAGCTGGTTTGGTTCAGGCCTATGACGCTGCCTACGCCACAACATTGCTCAGCAAGTCATACCTTGCGTTCAATGACACCGAAAACCTCGATAGGAAACTGTCATTCACTATCAAGAACTTGGGCAAGAAGACCGTGACTTATAAGCTAGGCTCCGTCGGCGCGGCTACGGCATACACCTTCTCTGACTCCATCTACCCCGATCTTTTCCCTGGGCTCGAAGTTACGGACGAGTTCGCCGAGATTAAGCTACCATCCTCGGTGACGGTGCGTCCCCAGGGCAGCGCCGTTGTTACCGTGCAAGTGAAGCCCCCGAAGCTAGACGGCGACCGCCTCCCCGTGTACTCGGGTTACATTACCATAAACGGCACCAACGGCGAGAACCTCTCGCTGCCGTACAACGGTGCCGTTGGCAGTCTGAAGAGCACGCAAGTCCTGGACACCGGATACCTGTCTACCTCAGCAGATCCTGATCTAAATCCCCTAACCGGCAACGCGACCTTTGTCCTCTCCAAGAAAGCAAATGCCAGCTTCGATGTGCCTGTCGCTGTTGCGCTCATGGCGTTCGGATCGCCCCAAATCAGTGTCAAGCTGCTCCAGGTTAATAAGAGAGGCACCAAGAACTTGGGCGACATCTTGGACTCGCCCTACGCCTATGCCTCCCGTGATCCATACCCGATAGGCTTCGATGGCCGCCTCGCGGATGGTTCATACGTGCCAGCAGGCGAATACATGTTCTCGATTGAGGCGCTGCATATCTTCGGCAAGGCCAAGAAGAAGAAGGACTGGGATGTCGTTGTTTCTGCTCCCTTTACTATTAGTTATGTATAGACACAACTTGGATGGATTGGATTCCCCCGAGAGGTGGTTGATATCACAGTATATTCAGTTAATATGTATCTAATAGTATAAATATATAAGACTTGTTAAATTACCATCAGCTGTGCCGATGATTCCACCCCGCGATATGTCTTTGCACATATGGTGGATGTGCCATGCAGCATCTAATCTTCAATGACGTCATCTATAAGCGCCCGATGAGAGAACTGGGTTATGTGCCGCTTGAAGTTGGTTTGCATGAAAGGCGTCCCTATGCGTATAGTGTTCTCTTTCAAGAATCGACTTGATTTGGTCGAGTCTCAGGTCCCTGCTCTCTGTTTATATCTGTTTATAGATGATTAAGCAAAAAAGTCCCGATAGAGGGACAGGCCCCGTTAAACGATAGTTGGTGATCTCGCTTAATCCGCTAGTTGCTTAATGTGTATGAATGCATTTATTGAGAGTGGTGACAATCTACCGACCTAGGTGACTTTCTGAGCTTGCATCCAGATTGAAGAATGAGCCAGATAGAGCTTCAGATGTCAATGACGTTCGGTGATCCTTCCAATCTTTCAACCTAGGGGTGGCAGGAAGACCGGAACTCAGTTTAGCTCCAGAACAGAGAATCATAGTTCAGTTGGCTAAGCTAACTGCCTCGACAACATGGCCTCTCGACGCTGTGGCACCGCCGCACTTTGGTGCGCATCAAGAGTGGCTCTCCGCAGCCCTACGACCAGATTACCGTTGCACGTACAAGCAAGAGACCTCCTTTCAAGACAGCCTGCCCGAGCAGTCAAATACCCGAGCGCACTGCGATACTCGACAGCGTCAAGCACATCCACAGAAGCTACAAACCAGCCCAATACCACCCTCCCAGAGAAACCCGATTACCTCAATGATGCAGAGTCAGCTATTTGGGACAAGCTAGCAGCGAAATTCTCGCCCACCGAGCTGATGGTTCAAGATATCTCAGGCGGTTGTGGCTCTATGTACGGAATCGAAATCACGTCAGAGAAGTTCCGCGGGGTAAACATGCTAAAACAACAACGCATGGTCAACGCAGTGCTGGGCGATGAAATGAAGAGCTGGCATGGCGTCCAGCTACGCACAAAGGCTCCATGAAAGCTATATTGTGTATAAAAGAAGTCAAGATGGCTCCGTTCATGTCTAGTAGTCCGAGAGGCCATTTGTGCAAAAGAGACTACTTGTATTCACCACTCCACCACAATTTATCTTGTACATCACATGCAGCACAGCTTGCCTTCAACAAAGCCCCTCTGAGACATATGCTTAAGACAACAATACGAAAGGGGAGCAAGATGGGAATGAAGATGGGAATAAAAGGATTGCGTCTCAAGGTCCCGGGATGTTACCCTTGCAATCTGTACATCATCACAGGCAGCTGCAGCTCCTATTGTACAACAATGTATACAAGACCAGAATGATGAGCTCGGGCTTAGGGCTCCAAAACATTAGAGGGGCGTCTCAGGGCTTCACTGAGCTTCAGTATTGATCTCAGATCATTGCCAAAGGCAGAGAACCATGCTAGAGTCACCGCTCACATGAGCCGTGTTAGTCTAGGCCGGTATCAAATGTGCCGAAGCCCGCAGTCACCCGGGCTTTGTATGGAATTGGTTCTGCGAAGAAACGCTTCTCAGCTAGTGTAGTAACAAATAACAATCTACATGTCCCATGCGAGTGTCCAATTCCTTGTAACGTATCATACCAGAAGCAGATATATTTCAATACTCGTGTCGCCAAAAGCGCCTAGGAACTAAAATAGGGATTCAAGCATTCGTGGATAAATGCAAATACTGCATCAACATTGAGTGGCGTGTAGCAATGCCGCGAGCTAGAGATTGCGTACTAATGCTTGGTGAATGGCATTTAGGAGTCGGCGTCCTGCAGATAGACATTTGGAGCCTACTTGGGCCCCCGTTCTGCCCATTCCGGGTCCATGGTGCTCAAAAAAAAAAGTCTTAGTGATTCATGTGGTGTCACTAAAGCCATGCCTGTCAATAAGATATACATTTGAGAGTTACGGTACGTTCAATTATACAAGTTGAACCTAATGTAGATTTATCACTTTGTTGGTAGAGCCATTTTAGTACCTCCTTAACTAGATATTACATTTAGGTTACCAAACGTCTCAGGTTACCGTTGATAGGCTAGGCACGTCGGATGAAAGGAAAATAAGAAGTTCACGAGTCATGGTCTGAGCCTCAAAGGAACAACTAAGGCCCGATCAGTTGCATTGGGAATAGGAGCGGCGTAGTGATTGAGATAGATAGAGGGCCGACTGCCGCAGGTATTTGACGGGCGACCTTTTTTTTAGTGTTCAAAGGGCATTGATTGTGAGAGAGGCTGTCACGTCAACGGTGGTGCTCAAAAAAGACTTATGGTATCCTCACAACTGGCGCTTCTCAAGCCGTGATATCCACATAGAAGGCCATAGATAGGTAGGTACTTTTAGAGCAGTTTCCGGTCTCCACAACAGGCCCCCAATCAAATAAGAATTACATTTCCTGGAGCTCACCGCGGCTAGCTTGCATGTCATCAACGCCACGATTATGTTGGCCAAGAGCTGGCTAAGTCTTCTGTGTGCTATTAAGCTTGCTTCTGAGATGATACCCAAGGCTATAAACTACGAAAACAAGAGGAACAGCCTCGACGCCGCGAGAAAATTAGACCATTCCTCCGAACTGAATGGGCCGTGCTGGTAGCATCCCCCGAATATCTAACAGGCGATGGTGAAACGAACCGGGTATTCGGCTCGCTCAGACCTTCTTCGCGGTCATGATATCAAGCCACTAAATGTCCTCTTCCAGGATCTGGCATACAGTACGATGGCGGATTGGATACGAGTGAAAACAACTTACACACGGACGTGGTAGTGATAGCCAAGTACAAAGTTTCTTGCTATACTGTTGCCTTGAAGACAAGGATAGTACGCTGTATAGCATCACCCTGTAAGATAGTTGACCAGGGCTCCTTGAACAACAACGTGAGTCCTTAAATCCCATATCTAGGATCGTGACATTTCATGGGAGTTGTTCCTGGAGCAGAGACTGCGAACATAACAGTTAGTATTGAGAAGGTGACTCTTCTTCTTAAGCTATTAATTGACGAGACTAGTCCACTAGTTATGTCTAGTAGTTGTGGAATAGCTTTTATTTCAGTCTTCGATTGGCTGTTGGCTTGTTCTTTCCTTTAGACTTCGCCGTGCCTTTTTTTGTTCTTAATATCGGCACGTTCCGTTAGCCAAAGTTTTCACCAAAGAACCATAGATGTACGAACATACGATTCAGGAAAGAAGCGAGCATCTACCATGAGTCGTCCAGTAACAGCTAGAGACTGTATTGGTGTTGAGTCATTCAATGTGAGTACTGGGGTGTTCGGCGCCTCTGTGCTGCTCACAAGACACCGGGTTTTCTTTCCTGTTATCCTATCGCTTCGGTTTTTCACATGTTGTTTCAGTTATTGTAACACGGACGAAGAGCAATGCAGAGTATCTACTACCTTAAACCTTGCTCAAATTCAACTCTTGGTTCATATCCTATTTTCTTCTTCTCTTTTTATTGGTTCCGAAATGACGTAACAGTGAAATAGATATTGGTTATATGGCCCAACTATGCGCGTACAAGCAAATTGAGGCTCATACGCACATAAGCAGACGATAGAATTGGGAAGTTCTATGTTTTGTACAACCCCTGTCAACGATGCACGCATCAGCTCCACGAACCCGACTATCTGGCGCAAGCAGCGCACAGCATGGTCGAATGGGTCCCGTACCAATGATCTACAGTGTCTCGCAGGGAAATTAAATGTCAAATGATGCCGGCGCCTTTTTCCCCAGATCATTTTGTAAGTTTTCCCGACAAGTTAAGCGAAAGCTGCCCATCAAAAAGCGTGGAAATGTTGTGCAGCTAAGCAGCATCAGCCTAGCATTGTTGCACGGAGTGTCTTAGAATCGGTCCCCTGCATAGGTATGCTCTCAACACGATTACTCAACACGCTTTACACCTATCATTTTCGGCCAAAAGATGTATTAAACTAGCCCGCTGATGTCATCTGCATCTTAAGTATATTTTGGTTTTTGAAGTGCTCTTGATATAGATCTATTGCAGATCTTGAATCGATAGATGGTTGACAGATTCACAACAGAACATACCTAGCGCGAGACTCCGAATATAGTAGGAGCAGGCGATACTTGCCGTTACAAAGACCTGAATTGTGGCTGAGGCCCCATGGTTTGGGACCTAACCATAGATAGACAACAGCTATCTATACACAGAGCGAGAATGGGCTGCCGCACACAGAAATAACCCTAGTGGCGTTCGGGACTAATCCGATCTTGCAGGCGAAGGGTATTTTCTGACGCCATGGCTGAGGGTATGGTACGGAACAGCCTCACCACTCGTGTGGAACTGGGGATGGTAGCCTTGTGGAAGAGCAAAAAGAGCTGGGGACATTGTTGACGTTTCTCTGAAACCCCATGACCCAGCAGAGAGGACTCCGGGAAAAAAGAAAAGAAAGCACACTGCCCCTGTGCTCGCGCACAGAAAACTGTCAGAGGCATGACAACGCTAGGATGCTGTTAGAGTTGGCGTCACCATACCTTCTTCATGTTCTGCGAACAAAGCTTCACTCGCCGGCCCTAGCCATCGGCATTCCTCCTGCTGGGTTTGCTCCTCGAGGCACGCACCTGCTGGGTTTGTTCCTTGGGGCACGCACCTACTATGTTTGTTCCTAGACGCACGCTGAGATGTGTTTCTAGACACGCCTCCTCCTCCTCCTTGTGGTCATGGAGGTCGCTCCAAGGTACAAACTTCGTTTCTCCACCGACATCCTTCAGCGTGATTTGACGGTACTCATCCTCGTCGGTCTTGGTTTTATTTCTAGCCAAAGATTTGTGTTTGCTCGAGTTACCATCCTTCTCCCTGGCTACTAGAGATATTTGGGGTCACTTATGGCGTTGTCACCACGGCATATGGTCTCGCCTATAAAGCGAGCCGGTGCCTCGACCATGAATTTGCTTTCGAAGCCGTTCAGACTGCATATACAGACAATAGAACACACTCGCTCTCCAGATCCCAGCAGCAAGGCATCAGATATTACAGTCAACATGGTTTCTATCTCGGTCGAACCACCTAGCCAAGTCCAGCGAGGGACGGTTCTCTACCCTCCCTTGGTCGTTAGCTGTCCAAACGGGCAGTACGCCTTCTTCCAAGTCGTGCTCATTGATTCTCACGGACGCATTGCAGACCAGCAATATATCCAGGGCACGCTTTCAATGTCCCCACAGGCCTTAGAGTCAAGTTCGCACGGCAGCCGAGGTCCCAAGGATTATGCTGTCTTCCCCGACCTGATAATCGGTAGATCGGGAACATTCACGCTTCACGTCAATGCCTATCAGATGGACTACCAGTCCATGCCCCCTTCCATGTATCATGCGTCTACGGCTGCTACGCGGGAGATCCGCGTCCGTTCTGGTGAGGTCTCTGATGGACGTCCGTGTAAGTTGTACCGGCAGCTTCCGATATCCATATGACATTATCACACAGCTACTAATCATGGCTCAACTTTAGCGGGCTCGGAAGCTCGACTGCTGGACAGACTTGCCCAAGCCGGGTTTACTATCCCGTAGGTGCTACGATAAAAGGGTGACAGAACAGAAGAGAGACATCATGAGCAGTTTTACAGTTACAGTCATACATAGCTTCACACTAGAAAGAGGGGAAATCGGGCCGGTGTTTCTTGACGGGTCAAGTCAGTGGTTTGGGTGCGCAATGGGGAGGGTCATCATTTGTTAGAATTGTGGGTTGAGGTCACTATGTTTGTTATATCGTTCGTTATCTTATGTCATTTCATTCTTTTTGGGGCAAGTTCATCAACCGGATCAGACGTGACGATATCTATAATGCGAGATCAGGTGCCACGATATCTTTTGACACTGTAAATTATATGGGGGGCTACACCGGGCCAAGTGCCTACATACCTACATACCTTGGTCAGATCTGATGGTCAGTCAGGTAAGATCGTGGAGCCAAGGGTTACAGGAACAGTCAATTCTCCGAATAACACGCGATCTGCTGCAACGAAGTCTCAAGGTGATCGTCCTTCATGTGTATGTAGGTGGGTTCCACCAATATTAGAATGGTACTATACATACATGTACTTGGGTAGCCATCCCGTCAGAAACGTTGACACACTATCCTTGGCTTGCTGGTGGTGCGCATACACAAATACCTTTGTTTTCGCACTGAGGTTCACTGACATAGATACATATAGATGCTATCTACTGAAAAGGACAAGCGCGTTTAACGTGCAACAGTCTAGAACTGATCGACATTTTGACAGCTCTCGCTGGTATAGTGCGATTTCCCATGCAGGCTATGTGGTTGCGCTCTCTCGAGCCGCTCGAGGCTACACTAGATGACGCCCAAGGTCACACCAACTGCTTAAGCAAGCCGTGTACGAAAACAGCCAAGTATTATTAGATCATGTCTACTAAATAGGCTTGCGGATCGCCGAATGTGCATAGAACTTTTCGAACATCTGAAACGGACAAGCCAAGCGAGTGTGCGCTTGTATCAATAAATCGGGCAGAAGCTGTAATTATGGATAAAGCTGGGCCTGGGAAGGGAAGGAAGCGTGACAGAGACAACCGGTAGCAACCACACCTTGTGATCCGAGTTGCCGATCTCGATGGCCGCCTGTATGTTGTACAGATCGTGCAGATATGCCCAGATATCTGTACATGTAGATGCAGAACGGGTTCATTCTGCGTTTCTTCCGGAAACCGAATCAAGGCCTCCCGCTCCTACGGGCGAAGTCTTTCCTCTGAGCCACAGGGCTGATTACAAAAAGAAAACGGGTTGTCTGCCCCAGCATTGAAGAGTGGCGTACACTAACTGTTTCTAGACTGAGTGAGACATCTGTCACCATAGTGACTTTGTGGTTATTCTCAAGACAGGAGATTTACATGGGAAAGTTTGTTCTGTATGCGGAAATAATTTCCCTTTTGTATCCTCTGCTGCTATTACCATGGTTTAGTCAAGAACCGCCATCGAAAACTGATTCACGGGTTCTTGAACCTTACCATGTATATAATTTCCATTGTTGATTTAGTGATCTGCAGGACATTTGCTGTCTGGGTCAGGCGCCACGCTAGGAACTCCCATGTTATGCTCCCCTGAGCGGAACCCTGAGCCCGAGAATCTCGTGTGGCGTTCGAACCAGTCTACAGGGGACGACGCACCTTGTAACGCGCGTCCTACTCAGTACCGACAAACACGCTGACCTACACGTGTTGCGGGTGACTATAGAACTATACATGCGCAGCACTCATGAGGGAGGGCCGCCACATCCTTAATAGTCTACCGCTATTACCTCCATGTTTTCTAGCGGGGGTAATACATAGCTGAGTAGACGAAACGCTGGGCTCCAATCGAGCTCACATGGGAAGGGCTTGCCATTACCCTGGATTGTTAGTGGCCCGCGGAAATGCACTGCCTTACTTGGTGGACCTAACCCACGGATCCAGCGTGTTGGGTCTGCTAGCAAATCTCTCACAACCGGGGCATACCGGGGCCTGAAGAGGAGAAGGGGAGGCAGTCTGCCCTTCTAGGGTACGTAGCAACAGACGGTTTATGGCGCACCCTTCAAGTCTACCCGGTCCAAGTCTTATGGTCGTTATAGTTGGCTGCAGCTTCTTACACTACAACATCCATGGGGTGACTAGTAATTAGATGTGGATTGGGAAATACCTAGACAGGGTCTTGTGTGCTATATTCGATGAGCACGGATTAGAAGCGTTACGATGATCGACCATTTCACCCCAGCCAATGGTCATGATTACAAGCTGGATAACTTTCATAATGTAGTCCTCTAACCGAGATACCCTTCTATGTAGCGGTAAACATACGATTTTGTCAGATGTATTTTGCCCACCGCGGGCACGGGTTGCAGTGCAGATGAAAATTCTGCATGGGGCAACAACATCGGCGAGATCTCTCAGCTTATCTAGGTGTATCGATGCATTGCAGGTATGGAGTGCATATAACATTGCCTCGAAGCTTTCCCAATACAGATCCGACAAGCGGTCAAGAAGCGAGTTTACGCCTCAAATGATAGATTAGTCTCACGTGGCAAACGATCTATCACCACTAAGCGAGATGTTGGGGCAAGAGAAGTAAGGGACGATCTGGAAGATTTTGTTCGGTTGGGATTCCGCGCAGGCCTATTTTTCTTCTTATGCACGTGGTCGTCGTCTATGATATGATTATAGAAACTAAGGATTTTAGGGAAATATTACCCGAGAGCGGAAATGAGGATGAAGTATATACAAGTAGCGAAGCTTTTGTTGTATTTAACATAGTTGCTTGTCATTAGTCTCGTAACAACTTTAACAAATTAACAAATTAACAAATAGATTGCCTAGAAGAAGTCTTTTAGTGGAATTGAGAACCAGCGGTAATACAGTTACCATCTGAACTGAACACCTTGTGCTTTAGCTCTGTAGCAATGTAGAAGCATGGTTCCCAAAGTATCTTGAAAGATTATTTTGTTTAGGCTCTCGTGGTACAAATTGCATATTCATATTCATTTTCAGGTTCTTAAATCATATTTCCACGTTCATAATATATAGAATAAGTATCATAATAAAAGTGGATTTAGGGGGATTCATCAAGTTAAATTATCGCTTCTATCTTACTGTCAGGGATCTCAGGGCGGAGGAACAGAGAGATGCATTGTATATAGTCAGAGAAATCTGAATGTCTTCTGATTTCCGACCTTTTAGACCTTGTGCCACAATGAGAGTCTTACTGTATACCTTATACAGCCATTCTGACACTTACAAGAAGCACTACATTGGACATTAAAATTTTTTCATATGGAACTAAAGACATGCCAATATAAAGAGCCTATTTCAAATGTCAGATCAAGATATTCCAAGTATCTACATGCAATGGTACTGTTATAGTGTATGCAGGCTATTAGGCTCCCGACCTGGTAACGGTATCCCGTTTAGTAGTGAGTGTTATCGTAAAGTGCTGTAAACTGCCGGTAAACTGCACCAACCCAAGCACAGGTTACTTTCACAGTACGCTGATGGTATCCATAGACAGGGGAAAAGCTCACCAGCGAAACGCCCCATGTTGAGTGGTAACGTGACATAGTACTATTATAGATTTATTCATTGAAAGCTTCTGTTAATACCTCGGCATTTTACCATGGAGAGAAAATAGAATAGAGGTAACTGAAGGTCGATTGGGCTCGTACTCGCTACCGCCGCTACATCGACATGCTATCTAGGTCATTGGCCAATCTCAAAGTAACTAGTATCAAAGAAATATACCAGGGAGTTTATCATGGTGCCTATGGGCATGGGAACGGCCAGAAAATACTAGTATTTGACAAAGCTAAGAGATCTATGCGAGAGTCTATATCGTAATTATACATGTTTACTCTTCTTGATTTTTTGGGCAGTTTTTAAAGAGGTGCTTTCCTATCCTCCGGAAATTCGCCTTTTTTTGAAGAGTCGAAGTACCTTCTATATTCTTCTACTGGCTATATTTAGGGTCCTTGTTACGATACCCGTTTACCGAACCTGAAAATGAGTGGAAAAGTCACAACCGTTGTAGCTGGACCCACCTCCAGGCCTGGTTTCCATTGTTGTATAAGCGAGAAATTGGTTCCCTTCCGACATAAGGGGGATAACAGAATCGTGTCACAGGTAACAGTTCTAACAACACGACACTACCTTAGACTCGTTTGGTACGTCTGCATGTCAATATGGAGGTTTTGAACCTTTCAAATATTTCATACTGCGCCGAGATTGTTGACCAGCAATGATTTCATGAGTTGCTAACAAACTCCAGTCTTTTTATTTTATTGCACACAATAGACCATCGAAATGCTGTGCGATGGTAGATTTATCTGTTGATATATCATGGCAGTAGCAAACGGGTCACGGCATTTAATTGGCCATCGTGTTATATCTAGGACAATAAAACAACTATGCCACCCGGATAGTCCGGCAGAGTCCTCATTGTCAATATATTCTGGCTCCTATGCTGGTCATTCTCCATCCTCCAAGGTCTAGTATTTATGTGTAGTCATTCATGGCCAATATAGATAGGATTTAATTGTCACAAGAGATCAGTTAGCTTCATATCCAAAAGGGTCTAGACCGTCACAGTCTAAATGGTCAAATACCCAAGTGCGCGATGGTTTACACGAGACTTCGAAGGACCGAGACAGACAGTCAATGCAAAAGGGGCTAGTTATTTGCTTCCTAAGGTAGTGTACCAAATCTTTTCGCTTTGGTCTGGATTGGCGTGTGCGGAAATGTGTTGAGCCCCCCTCTGATCCACAAACCGACGTTACCTAATGTCTCGGTAATACCGCCGTCGCAATAGCTGGGTCGTGATTCGGTAATGGATGCCGTATGGCCGGATGAGACATGGCACTGACTAGAAATTAATAAACGCATATGACGACACCCCGGAAGGAGAAAAGAAAAACTGAGTGGAGGGAGACATATCCGACAGAAGATCATTATATCTCCGCTGGTGGACAAGCGAACAGGTGTGATGCAAATCATTATAGGTGCAGATACAAAAGCTAACCCACCGACAGGCACCAAGTACCGAAGATGAATATCGTGTCGGCAGCTGGACATCTTCTCCTCAGCTTTATAAGAAGTTAAACCTCCTCTAATTTACTACTCTGCCATATCTGCCTGTGGCTCCGGGAAATGGCACGATGTTGTTCATTGGCATATACTCAATATCAAACAACTCACATCATACACGCTCCCGTAGTTCTCTCAATCCTTCTTATTGGAATAGGGGTGAGCCACATCAAGTAATTCACTAACTAGGGCTGATCTCCATGCTCAACATATCAAAGCGACCATTAGTAATCGAATATAACCAGACCTTGCCCCTGGCGTCTATTTCCAACCAAGGCTACTTGCAGGGACATGTTAGTTTCAGCTGATACGGGGCCAAGGAGCCGGTTCAAGTGGGACCAGATGCGGCTATAGGAAGATTTAACTGTTCTCCCTGTGCCCTAATGACATCCATCACGAAAAGGTGGTGGGCTGACTGCTAACAGCTGTATCCACTCAAGACCAAGAAAACACTTCAGCGGCTCATTCAGGATGTAGACCGCTGAGATGCCTATACATCTGAAGCCAAGATCTTTACGGTATAATAGTATCAAGAAACGGGGAGAAGATTCGCGGTTCCTGTGATACAGTACTTCGGGTGACTGGCAATTTGCTTGTAGCATGGAATATCGCCCCTAATCAACATGGAATTATCTTTCGATCCGCACTGTCTCACTCCCCGCAAGACCACTTACCTTATTAATCAAGTCTATCCATTGCGAAGAGTGGGTTCGACAATCTTCAGAGCTACAACTTTTGGTTTCCAAGTGCACAATTCCCTGTAATAATGTACCCAACCCATGATAATGCAAAGCATATGTATGAAATATGATAGATTCAACGGTTTTACCAAGCTTTCTTTACCGCCGATTCGACCTACTTAGGCTTTATATACGGAGACTCTTTATCCAAAACCGCGGAAAACGGAGACCAGATAGACCGCGCACTTGGCTAGCTGTGATTGAAATCTATCATTATCTGATATGGAGACACATATTCTGTGGCACCGCCGGCGTCTTCGCTTTCCGCTCATGGTCAAAAGTCGTATTGCAAGAGGTCTTATTGTAATGACATCTAGAAGAATGTCCTCATTCCTAGTACAACGTATCGAACGGAGTTTTTACCTTTTCACCAGCGCCTAAACAGGCAAAAACTTCCGCTCGACCGTGCACAATGCTGCTTTAGATAGTAACTATACCCGCTCTCCGTCTTCACCCTTATTCTGATTTATGTACCCAAGCTTTCCAAAGTCGCGGCGGAGATTTGGATATATTGCATTGATTAATAAACCGAAAGGAACCTAGCAGCAACAACAATACTGCCCGTTCGGAGAATTCCAGATAAGCGCGTTAACTGTGACCAAGACATTAACACTGTCAAAAAACTACCAAATCTACTGTTAGACCAAAAATTCATGCTTTCTCTCTTGATAAATACTTGTCTTTCTCTCAAGGACCGCTAGCAATCAAGACATATTATTTGACGCTATGCAGAAACGCACATAAACAAGCTCACGTTTGCAAAGTACCGAAGTTGGATAAGACACAGAATGGTTTAAAACTAGACATCTACCTTGAGTCTTGAGCGGACTACCTGGTCATGTCGGTCTGTCTTCCTCCATAAACCGACCCGGTGATCGAATCATCATAATTATCAACCGTCTACCTAGTTGAAAGAACGAAGCGTGGCACTATTTGCAATTCTGAGGAGAACTGGTCGTTATCAAATCAAGAACCTCCCCATCTTCACTATTGATGGTACTATGGTGCTCACGGCGCGGCGTGCTCTCGGTGCATTTGCATCCTCAACAACACAACAGAAGCCAGCAAAATCCTCTTACTTATCCTCGCAATCGTAACTCATGTCTTACCGCCGCCGCTGCACGTCGAGAACGTTCATTTATTTAGGGGCAGCAGGGCCTAAGCGTTTGAGCAATACCAAAAAGAGCGTAGCGACAAACGTCTGAGCTGCTCGCCGGTCGACTTGGAGCTTTTGCACTTTGCTTGACAGAAGGAAACAGAATATACCCAACTGGATTAATTGACGACTCATTACGTCTGTTGCCTAGGTTTGCGTTTCATAATCTTGTGCCACGGCGACTACGTCACTTCGATCAATACCCTAAGCTGGCTTTTGGAACCTTGAACTCAAAGTATTGGTCTTTTAGTCCCTTCCGCGTGGGTTACCAAGGAGCGGAATAGACATAATTGATCGAGACAGCTACGAGAGTCTCCCCTAACAATCATACATATGACGACATAAGCAGAGCTTGTCCTTCAATCGCAGGACTTCACAGAACCTTGTTGGTTCAATTGAACGCGTTGTTATCAATTGTACCTGAGCTCAGCCAGTGTCAGCAGCTCGCAATCTTAGCTATTTCTAGTACAAGACTGAGCATCCCCCGTGTCCATGCGAGCATTTTCACCGGCTTCTCCATCACAGAGGATTCGAAACAGTGACATGGGACAATGCAACACTAAGCGGGTTAACATTAGCAATGAGCTAGGAGTATACTCTGTACCATATTTCCTCATACATGGAGCGAAGAAATGATGCTGTAGCAGTGTCATAGAAACTTGGATCGAGCTTCGTTGATGTATCAACCTAATTTTAACCACGACTACGTTGGGTGATTGAGCAGAGTTCTGCGCTTAGCCATAATACTACCGAATGTAGATGGCTGTCAAGTTCTTGACTTGGCTACCTGTTGCTCCTACATTTATTTCGCCTCCACTTCTTGACTTACTACGACGGAGGATGCTAAGAAAGCAGTGCAGCTGCAAGCTTCGGGCACCGCGCAAGACTAGCTCATTGGATAAGAGACAAGGCAGGGTCTGTGTTGGGTCACATAAAAACCTTAACGGTACTGCGATATCTATTTCTTGAGAATAAGATACGGTTGCCTGCTGTATTAGGTATCACGTAGGTCTTAGATCTAATGCGGCCATCTCATCTCTTGTTGTGCGTTACGGTATACGGTGTGTTACCTAGTCACGTCGAATCGGGGTAAATAGGAACTCCACCCCGGTGTTATAGCTGAATCATCATAAGTTTTCTATGTAAGTGTAAAGTGGAAAGGATAGTGGCTATTGGGTGTAGTAAGGACACGGTGGGAGCGGCTAGAAGAATACCTTGAAGCATCTGTGTTGGTTGAGATAAACCTATGAGAGGCATACATCCACTCTAGGGTTAACACGTCAGCGGCTGGAAATTCCTAGTGAAGTAATATTCTGGATTTATGATGTGTTATATGACCAGGTGATGATTCTTCATCCGGACTTAAAGAGGTTGCATATGAGGATGCGTGCAGTTTGGACAAACACGGCAGATCATCCCGGGGGAGGGTGACGTAAACTAGGATCATGTCTTTAACCTCGTCCATTAAGAATTAAGAGGCATTTTATGTAGTTGCCTACTTACTGCTAGTATATAGTATATAGGAGCTAGTATATGATAGGTATGTGAAGGATCAGAGGGGCCCTCTTTCTCCCGAGAATATTTATGGAAACAGATGAAACAGGTCAGAGAGGGCGGCCCACAATCTGGCTAATTGACTTGGTTTCAATGTCTGCCGGCGCATTCATGCTGTGAATATCTACATACAGTACCTATGTATACAGGTATAATGTGACTTGAAAGTGGCGGAACTGGACTGTGGTGATGGCGTTGTTGTTGGGCACGAATCCGTGAGTCAGTCAGTAACTAGATATAAGTACATAGTGACCGCAGTACACTTGTTACCATGGGGATGGATTGACTTGAAATAAAGGAGAGCGGGCAGCGGTGAAGACTTGGTGAAGACTGCCTGCCAAGAGGAACGAACGTACTACTACCTATAGTAGTATCATCATTCTCCCAAGTACAGTCAGTACCTATTGTACATAACATACTACCTACATAGTAATCGAATAACGACTCATTATCGAGGCAACTAAGTTCTACTAACATCTGACTTCTTATCATGGGTTTGCATGGCGGATATGCAAACCCTTGGATGTCTGTCTGTCTGTCTATCTGCTGCAGTTCGCCCTGGCCGTGATCTGTCCCTGGCCCTTAGTGGCCATTCATGCTGGGTCCCGCCTGTACAGCAACTGTATATCACCTGAGTGGCGAGATGTGATTGGCTCATGGGCTCCGTGGTCGAATGGTCGGGTTGTCATGGTAGCGCAGCACATGCCCAGACAAGCAACGCTAGTCCCGTAACGGCTTGGTCAAAAGAGGGTCTTAGCGGAGACAGCGCATGAATGGGGCATGGTTGGGGCCTGATTGGGGGGGTTGTTGACACACCCGAGACAACAAAAGCAGGAGGCTGCTGTCTCCAGAGAGGGTCGGCGTTGTGTGTGTGGTCTTGTCTTCTCCATCAACATCATCACCACCTCCGTCTAACCGCCGCGACAACTAACCCAGACAGCCAGCAGCAGCAACAACAACAACAGCGACAGACTGCGATCCAGGTAAGTCAAGGCTTCGAAGCCACCGACGACGACAATAACAACGACATTAACGACCTCGACAACCCCGACAACTACCACCGCGCGCAACAATCCCCGGAACCCCCTACCATCTCAACAAAGCATTTGTCTATCAGCCTCTTGTCAGCCAATTTCTTTGCGACAAACAAGCCCATTTGCATTCACATCCCATAACAATACAAGTAAAATCCTCGGTCGGGAGCTCAAGCCACTCTGGGAGAGGCTAAGAGAGGCCAGAGCAGACCAAGAGGAATCTTTCAAGTCATTATATACTCTCCCAGATATAGACAATGTCCGCCCACATTTACTTGTAGGCGCCGACAGCATATTTTTCGTCTTCCACGTTCTCTCCTTCAACACCGACTCTATTCAATACCATTCTCTTCCTCCAAATTCCATTTGTCAGCCTATATTGTATTGTTCTGTTCTTAGCGGGCCTTCCTAACCCGCAACCCCTCCCTGCTCCATCGCCAATCAATGCGACACATCCACGGCTTGAAGAGGAATCGCCTAATCGCGTCCGCATACAAATTATCAACAAATAAAACGCCGTAAACAGTCATGGCCGAACCACCATCCTCGCCACCGAGCGAGCATGCCACCGCCGAGGAATCCCTCTCCTGGTACAAGAGGCAATATGAACAACTATGCGACGAGCTCTCCGAGTTTCGGCAGTCTAGCCATGAGCTGGAAGCCGAGCTTGAGAAGGATCTAGATGCTGCAGATAAGAGACAGAGCGAGTTGGAGCAGAAGGTGGAAACTTTACAGTTTGCGACGGATGAGTGGAAGGTATGATTTCGTATATGCCTACCTCACGACTTTTGCCGTGTACTGACAGACTACGCAGGAGAAATGCAAGAAAGCGAAGGCCGAGGCGAATGCCGCTCAGAATACATTGGAGAAGGAGATTACGACCCTCCGAGATGCTAACCGGAGCTTACAGCTGACGCTGCGAGACATTGAAGTCGCAAACGATGATTTCGAGCGCCAGGCCAGAAACACAACCTCATCTCTCGAAGACATGGAATCTAAGTACAATGTCGCTATTGAAAGGACTGTCATGATGGAAGAAGAGATCAAGATAGGGGAGCAAGAACGAGAAGCTTTGCGCATCGAAGCCCAAAGACTGCGAGAGGAGCTTTCAGACCTCAAGATCGAAGCCGAAATCATGCAAGACAAGATCAAAAAGGCCGAAAATCGCCATCTCTCTGCCATCTCTACTGATATCTCCATTCCTTACTCGGATGCATACGAGGACTCGCCACGGTCCACGGCAAGCTCGCCTATGATCAGCACGCCTCCCGATGAGCTGTCTCTCCCGCCTGTCGGCAAACTCCCGCAAGTCTTGAATGAGCCACCTTCACCTCCCATGTCTGACGCCTCCGCGCATCTACCCAGACCATCTTCAAAGCTCAAGACGCCAGCGCCCATGCAGAAGAGGTCTCGTATCCCCTCCGCAGATCGCAGTACTACCCCGAAGCCCAGGAGCCTCACAGCCGGGAGCGTGCGTCCACCTGGTGCGCGCTCTGTTACTACCACACGCACGCCTGCGCCGACTCGCACTACTACCAACCGCGCTGCTTCTCACAAGTTGCCGCCCTCTACATCTCTCACTCATATCCGCTCCCTCACGGCTCAGATGCAACGTCTCGAGGCCCGCGTCCAATCAGCAAGATCCAAACTACCAGCCCCTGTCTATACACCACCACGTGCTTCACCCAGATCCTCTGTTCAAGGAGTTCCACAAATACCTTCAACAGTCACTATGCGATCACGTAAGCGCACTGTCGGCTCTGTTGCATCGTCTATGACGGAGGAGACCCCGACGCAATCCACGAATACTGCCGGGATGGGCAAGCACACTGGTCGACTTAGTACGTCGGGCGTGTCGCGGCTATCCTTCGGCCCTTTACCTAATAGATCGAATAACTACGACCCTGATAGTTCGGTTATGGGTATTTCGCGTCCAAGCAGTCGGGCTAGTGTCTCGGGTTATGCTAGACCTGAGAGACCCCCGAGTCGAACTGATATTCCACGCCCTCTGTCCCGTACTAGTATGTCGGGCGCGAGGACACCGATGGGTTTACGCCCAAGAAGTTCTATGAGCGGTAGTCTTCATGGACACTCTCAAAGCATAAGCCATATCGAATTCGATGAGATGGACGAGCGCACACCCAGCCGCAGTGGCATTCCGGCACCCAGTGGCATTCCCTTATCGCGACGGCAAAGTGGCGGGCTTAACTCATCCATCCGGAGAGTCAGCGGCGGCGGGGCCAATGATGGTACCCGGTCCAGACGGCTGAGCGATCTGGGGGAGACATATTAATCTCCTCGCCCTCCCTTTGGTTAATGACTCTCTTCTCCATCTCCATATTATAGGTCTCATCATCTACCCCGGTCTCCCGTTCACGTAAGGCGTTCTTGCTTGCATCTGAGAATGGCGTCCGGCTAGATTGGTGAGGCGCTGACGGCGTTATGAGGTTACGAAACGGCTAGCATATATCCCTCAGGCTTTGCGTACTATTCCCCGTGTTCCTTGTCGCGAACACATTGGACTTACATGGTGTTGCGGCGGATTCATATTTCCTGGGATTAAAAACGGAGTTTACCCTCTCCATCTCTTCTTTCTTGTCACGAGACATAATATTCCATTTGGCTTTGCTTTGCCATACCCTTTTTTCAAAGCAAGCAAAGACCATTATTCACAGGTACTGTCAGCAGGGAGGACTATTTTTGGTCCATGCTGGTTGACAAATTTTGTAGATTGACTTGGTGCCGTGGATTGTACATAATGGCTTCCATTGTCATATTGTGGGGGGGTTGGGGGTGTGAGGGAATGAGGCGAGAAGAAAGAATCTTGATGAGGCTGTCGTTGGTTGAAGACGGACGGACAGAGGCGCCCTCACACCCGGTAATAACGGCCGAAACGGCGCATATATTTTCTTTTGTACAGGCGAGCAAAAATCCGATACCAATGTCTTCGCCCGTTTATTTATCCAGGTCTTGTGCTCTTGGGAAACTGTGATCGTGTGACTTTCGTAACTTATTGTTTATTGATTTTGAGGAACGATGATCTTAGTAGACTATGTGCTCGGAGAAGTAGCAAAGGAGTAATATCTTTGGCGTTGCTGCAATAGGGGCTGGATACTGTGGCTGAGTTGGAGACGAAATTGGTTTTTTTTTGTTGTCGATGAGGATGTCTATCTCTAGATATATTTTGATGGGGAGTGCGGATCAAGTCTTGAATTAATTGCGTATATTACGAGGGTGAGTGGTTGGACGACGTTAAGCCTGGTGCCTCAAGGAGCGCTGCGATGATGTATTGTCGAATGGTTCTTGTCTAGCTAGAATGACCGGGGCTGTGGATGTGTGATCTGAGTATGAGTTAAGGTTGAATCCTCTGTCTGATCACCACACTCAGTTAGCTCATCCTGTATTACCTGTGTTCGCATACATAGCGGTACTACTAGGTAGGTAGTTGAGTACCTGGTGCACCAGTTTTTACTCACAGCCTGTAAGTAAATAGCTGTTAATCAAGGTAATAGTGTGTCGTATGACTAGTATAGGAAGGGCACCCATGGTCTTCGAATTTCTTGTATGGCAATAGAAGTCTCGAAAATCCTAATAGCTTCGGTCCCTGACAGTGTATGTATGTAGCATTTTTAACGATATTATGAAAACAGCCCGATTAGTATACAAATACATATATGTACCTGTTGTAGGTAATTGCTTTCTCGTCCTTCCTTTTCACAAAGGTTTAATTGTTTCTGCCTAGTAGTAGAAGTATTGTACTAGATAGAGGCCTTGTGGGCATGGCTCCCGACGAGATTGGAGATATATATTTTGATCGTGGGTGCGAACGTACAGTAAACGCTACGTGCTGAGATGATTGGCGGGAGGACGGCGTTACTTGAGGGCACTTTGAAAGAAATACAGAAATACAGATAAATACTTAGTTACTTCAACAAGTACCTAGCAGATTTAACAATCAGAATAGGTATGCCGGTGGCATTTTAAGGTACGGAATGCCTCCCTTCGTTGCGGTAGGATTGGTTTAGTCCCAGGCGTTTGGTAAATCCGGGGCAAAATCGTACGATGCCAAGGGTTGGTGCTTGTCTCCCGCGGCAGCAGCCGTACAAGAGAACCACTCGGATCTGTAGCTTGTGCACATGCCTACGCACTATATATATCCTGTCTAGCAGCCTCCAAAGATCTTGCCTATCTGATGGTTATTTTCTCTTGTTCTTCAGATCTGTTTCTTCCCATAACTTTGTTGGTTCCTCTGCATTACGTGTAACAAATACACCCCCACTCCGAGTTTGACAAAACCTTCCAAGGCCGATGAGTTGCTTACTGACAAGAACAAACACCAATCGGGCCTCGGGCTCGGAGTCCGAGCGCCAATCCAAAAGAGAAGCCGCCCTAATCATCTAAACATATCCAAGGCTACGGGTTCGTACCCCCGTGATTTGGGTAATGTTGCGGCCGGCCAAGGTAGGGCTTTGTTCGGACGAAAATGCACGAAGCCCGAAGGATGCGTCCAGCTAAGGAAAGAAGGGCAGGGACTTGCTTAGCATTTCTGAACACCTCCGTCCTTTCACGGCGATACAGTACCTCCGGGCTGTGCATCGCGTCATTTGCCTATTTTTGTAGCTACCCTACGCGCATAGGTTGCCTACATGCCGAAGTGCTGTAGATAGACCCGATGATGACAGTGCTTAGGTTATTCCTACAGGATGGGCAGCTGAGACATGCCTTGACCAAGGAAACCCTCCACTTAACTTACGGGTTTCGTGTAGCACGGGGTCTTCAGCTGGTCAACTGCTTACCTACTTGAGCTGACTTGGATGATGCGCCGATTTATCCTACCTACCAGTAGCTGGACGCCAAGCGATACGGATGGTCACCGCATCAAGTATTTTTTTTCGCAACCACCATGCCCTGCCTACCTATTACCTACCTCGCGGATAATACCTAGGTATGACTCGGGGCCGGTCGGACATGCGGTTGGGGGACGTGCGCACCATAGGCTTCGGACAATCTCGCACCGGCATAACGAACGAGATGGAATGATGCAGAACAGCTAGGTTTAGCCAAGCACGGGATGGGGAAACATCCAGATCGGGATCTTTTTACGCCATTCTTTTGATTGTTTTGGCTGCCTGCAACAGTTGCTAACACTAGAACCCCAGCTTCAAGTTTGTTAAAGAAAAAAAAGGACAAGAGATAGGTACTGTGTACCCCTATGAGTGGGCTATTTGGTGAGCACAAGATCCGACTGGTAGGTTGATTGCAGCGAGTGTTTTGGCTCGAATTGCAATCAAGTTGGAAAAAATGAGAGACCTGCCCCCCAACAATTGAGTTCATCCGTTCACCCTGCCTACACTAAAAAGTTTCAATATCCCACATGGTTGTCCGCGGGGCCCGGCACAGACGCCCTGCAGTGCGCTGGGGAGCTTGCTATAGGTTCCCTGTCAAGATTCCAAGATTGCGCTTATCAAATCTGGGCTGTCTGGATAGGTACCCCATTTTCCCGCCCACTTCGACAAGTACCTTTAGCCAGCCGCGAAATTAAATACGTTGTATCTAACAAGTGCACATCATAGCCATCTACAGCCTAGATACGACAGAGAGCAAAATTAGCGCCGAGAGAGAAAGACCAGAGAGGGAAGCAAAGTAATAAATGATGATGGAATAATGATGATAAAGTCGCCGGCACCCGACTAGCATCATTGGGCCTATTCACAGTAAGCAATGCGCCGAAGAAAAACGATACAATCCGATTTCCCAGGGGCATATTGAATGAGTAGTACCTACCACCTACGATCTACATGTACTACTAAGTAGGTATGTATGGAGTAGGCCGACAGACAGCATCTCTTAGCCCGAAATCTATTTACACGCGTAACTTGGTACTATCTGCCTAGTGGAATATCTCGGCCGGCCCCTACGACCTTTCCACTTTGGGCATTGGCCTTACATTGAAGCTAAATAACTTAGCATGGACCTGATCATTGCAGAGCTTATGGCGATGGGTTTGTTACGCTACTTTGTAGATTAGGTGTACGGTTTACAACACTGGGACTACATGTAAGCAGGCAGGTATGGAAAATCTTACAAGTACGGCGGGCTTCGGGGGAAAAGTATAACTGTCTATCCTATCACCCAGTGATTAAATCGCCGAAAATATCATCGGGCCGCCTCCCTTGTACAAAGAAGAGCATCCGTACCGAGGACGGGGGGCTAATGATCTATAACGAGGGTTGTTTAAGGATTGTCCATGGTAACCGGCATTGCTTTCGCGAATCTGTAGAACAAATATCGTGTTCAGTGTTCACTATCTGCCTACTGTACGTCTACGTATAGAAACATTGTACATGTAGTGGTATCCCAACGAGGCGGGCTAGAGGCTACTAGTAGCTGTGTAATTGATGAGAGGATTCGAGTCGGGATAAACAGGACGTGCAGCTGGATGTCCTAGGTAGTGTAGCAAGTACTAGTAACATAGGTAGTAGTCCCTTGAATCTTTCCTTTGATCTTCTCTTGATCTGGTTGGGGTTGCTAGATTTCCTTCTAGTGGACTTCGGGGCCCCTCCAGAGTTCCCTCTTATTGCCCGGATGGGTAAGAGATGAGAGATTCGCCCCGCGCCATAGAATTGCACAGCACCTTGTCGAGACGCCAAGTCCGTTGTCCCCAGGGCATGTATCGGTGAGGTAGAGTTTATCCTAAAGACAGGTACTTACCTACCTGCCACTAAGCTCATGGCGAGAGCCTCTAAACCCGATAGACAAAACCGTGGTTTGGCTCTCTATCACGGTGGACGATGGACCGTTATTGGACACATGGCATGTAGTACCCTTCCCGCCTGTCTCTTATACTCGCGATGAGAGACAAAGACATAAACAGGAACCCTTCTCGATCTCCTAGCCACGTGAGAGTTGTTGTGTTACGTCGACAAAGATCTGCTGCTGCTGTTTGCTGAGGAGGAGACGGGCAGATTGCCTGGTCCCCAACACCTCGGGATGTAGCCTCAATGGTACCTGTCCCCCCTGTAAGTAGGTACCTGCGCTAGGTACCTCCACGGCGACAGATTGGAACAGGGGACTTGTATTCAAATTGGGCTCTATCTACCTACTGTAACCTCCTGTAAGTTACCTGAGGATGGGATGGTGCTACCACACTGGAGAGATTGGCCAGGGTGGAATGTACCCAGGAGATACCCAGGCCCGGGTAAGGTAGGTGCACTCACATAGTACCTACATAGTACACTAACCTAGCTCATGTAGGTACCTATGTAGGTACTTACCTACTTACTCTGGCCCAGCAGGTCCCGTCCCCACCCATCTTTCACAGGTACCACAACGCTGCGCAACAACGAGGGTTCACCGTGGCCCGACGTGCTTGCTAGTGTCTCGTTGGCCATTTAATTATTATTCTTCCTCGAGCCCGCCCTTTGTCTTGCCTGCGACTCCTTTCCTTCTCGAACACCTCTCCATTTCACTTTCACCATCGTATACTCGCCACGGCCCTTGCCTGTGCTTCTTCGTTTTAGGAAACCAATTGTAATTCCCTTTTCCATTCTCGCACAGCTCGGGTGTGCTCTGCAGCCGGCCCTTCACCTTGCCTAGCGAAGACGATACACATCAAAACTAGATACCCGGAAAGATAGATCTGACTGGTGCTTGTGTAAGTGGCTGTCGTGTCCTTGCTGCTCCCGCGAGCAGGTGTGCAGGTGTGCAGGTGGGAAGACAGACTCTGCTGCAACACAGCTGCTTCAAACCCTATTATTGCCAGCTGAGGCTAACATCCTCTGACCCTCCGGGTATTGCAGACATTTGCGCTTTGATTCTGCTTGTACTTGTTTCCATTGCTCTATTTTCCACTCGGTTCCTCGGATAGACTACTGAGTGGTCCAGCTGCAACCCCCCTCATCATCGTATACAGCCGAGAATCCTTGCACGAAGCAACCGACGACCCAGTCAGCAACAACTGGGTCTAACTGGCGATATCTTCTGAATAGTCGGGGAATTCATTCAGACGCTATTGCTCATCCTCTCGGCCTCGTAAGAGCTCGTGTCGGGCTTCCACCATTCTTTCATGATCCCCTAACCATCATTTCGGTATAATTGACTCGAAAATATCTTCTCCTCTTACGCTCGACCAATCGCACTCATTAGCTCCTCTACCGAAACAATGTCTCCTCAAACAAACGGGCAGGGTTCTGTCAACGGCAGCCGAACAGTTCCTATCTCTAACGGCAAGGCTAGCTGGGCCGAGAAACACAAAGTCGCGGACCACTTCATTGGCGGTAACCGACTTGAAAACGCAGCTCCATCAAAAGTTAAGGACTTCGTGGCCGCTCACGATGGACATACTGTTATCACAAATGTAAGGGATTGCTGGATTGAGTACTAAACCCTACTTTGAGAGCGTACTAATATCTAGTGTAGGTGCTCATTGCCAATAACGGTATTGCTGCCGTCAAAGAAATTCGCTCGGTCAGGAAATGGGCCTATGAAACGTTCGGCGACGAAAGAGCTATCCAGTTCACCGTCATGGCTACTCCTGAAGATTTGGCGGCTAACGCCGATTATATAAGAATGGCCGACCACTATGTTGAAGTCCCTGGTGGCACAAATAACCACAACTACGCCAACGTTGAGCTGATTGTCGATGTTGCCGAGCGCATGAATGTACACGCCGTATGGGCAGGATGGTAAGCCTCCGGTTTCCAGAGAATAGAACATGGATTACGATTGGCTGACTTGTGATCTAGGGGACACGCTTCAGAAAACCCAAAGTTGCCCGAGTCGTTAGCCGCGTCTCCCAAGAAAATTGTCTTCATTGGCCCCCCAGGATCCGCCATGCGCTCCCTCGGTGACAAGATTTCTTCTACTATCGTCGCACAGCATGCCAAGGTACCATGCATCCCATGGTCAGGAACAGGTGTAGATCAGGTCGAGGTGGATTCCAAGGGACTGGTCACCGTTGCCGACGATATCTATATGAAAGGTTGTGTCAACTCATGGGAAGAGGGTCTTGAGAAGGCTCAGGAGATTGGCTTCCCCGTCATGATCAAGGCTTCCGAAGGTGGTGGTGGTAAGGGTATTCGTAAAGCCATGTCGGAGGAAGGGTTTGAGCAGTTATACAATGCTGCAGCGAACGAGATCCCTGGATCACCTATCTTCATTATGAAGCTAGCTGGAAACGCCCGACATTTAGAGGTGCAGCTGTTGGCTGATCAGTACGGAAACAACATCTCTCTTTTTGGCAGAGATTGTTCCGTTCAAAGGCGGCATCAGAAAATTATCGAAGAGGCCCCCGTAACCATCGCCAAACCGCCAACATTCAAAGGGATGGAAGAAGCCGCAGTACGACTGGGTCGCCTTGTGGGTTACGTCTCTGCTGGTACGGTTGAATATCTATACTCGCATGAAGACGACCAGTTCTACTTCTTGGAGCTGAACCCACGTCTTCAGGTCGAGCATCCCACAACTGAAATGGTTAGCGGCGTTAATCTGCCTGTGGCTCAACTTCAGGTTGCTATGGGTATCCCTCTTCACCGAATAAGCGACATTCGACTGCTCTACGGTGTTGACCCCAAGACTAGCACTGAGATTGATTTCGAATTCAAGGACTCTCAGAGCGAGAAGACACAGCGTCGGCCACAGCCTCGTGGACACTGCACAGCGTGCCGTATCACTTCCGAAGACCCCGGCGAGGGCTTCAAACCTTCCAATGGTGTCATGCACGACCTCAACTTCAGGAGTAGTGCTAATGTGTGGGGTTACTTCTCTGTCAGTACATCATCCAGTATTCACAGTTTCTCTGACAGTCAATTTGGTCACATCTTCGCATATGGTGAGAGCCGAGCAACCTCGCGGAAGAACATGGTTGTCGCACTGAAAGAGCTCAGCATTCGTGGTGACTTCAGGACAACCGTTGAGTATCTTATCAAGCTGCTTGAGACAGAGGCCTTTGAGGAAAACACGATTACCACAGGCTGGCTAGATGAGCTGATTTCCAAGCGATTGACGGCTGAGCGACCTGACCCCATCCTGGCGGTCGTTTGTGGTGCTACGACAAAAGCTCACATCGCCTGTGAAGCAACCATTAGCGAGTACCGCGCTGGCCTAGAAAGAGGCCAGGTGCCCTCCAAGGATATACTCAAGACGGTTTTCCCAATTGATTACATTTATGAAGGCCATCGTTACAAATTCACGGCTACCCGTGCGGCTGTTGACAGCTATCATCTATTCATCAATGGATCAAAATGCCAAGTCGGTCTTCGACCCTTGAGTGATGGCGGTCTCCTAATTTTGATCAACGGCCGAAGCCACAGCGTTTACTGGAAGGAGGAAGTTGGTGCCACACGTATCTCTGTGGACGGCAAGACTTGCCTCCTTGAGCAAGAGAACGATCCCACTCAGTTGCGTACTCCTAGCCCGGGTAAGCTAGTGAAGTACACCGTTGAGAACGGTGAGCACGTTAAAGCTGGTCAAACCTTCGCCGAAGTTGAGGTCATGAAGATGTTCATGCCCCTGATTGCCCAAGAGGACGGTATTGTCCAACAGCTCAAGCAGCCAGGAGTCACCATTGAAGCTGGTGATATTTTGGCTGTCCTTGCTCTGGATGATCCCTCGCGCGTCAAACAGGCTCAACCTTTCCTTGGCCAGCTGCCGGACCTTGGTCAACCGCAAGTGGGTGGTAACAAGCCCGCTCAGAGATTCAACCGGCTCTACGCTATTCTGCAAAACATCCTCATGGGCTTTGACAACTCGGTCATCATGCAACAAACCTTGAAGGAAATGGTTGAGGTGCTCAGGGATCCTGAGCTTCCGTACAGCGAGTGGGCCGCACATCATTCTGCTCTTCATTCAAGAATGCCGCAGAAGCTTGACGCTACGTTTACCCAAGTTATTGAGCGATCTAAGGCTAGAGGAACAGAATTCCCTGCGAAGGCTCTGGCTAAGACATTTGCCAAGTTTGTCAGTGACAACCTATCCCCAGCCGATGCTGATACTTTACGGGTCACCCTTGAGCCATTGTTGAATGTCCTTATCAACTATGCCGAAGGACAGAAGGTCAGAGAACTCAACGCCATCTCCTCACTCCTCTCCCTCTATGCCGACGTCGAGTCACTTTTCGCCCACCGTCGTACACAGGATGAAGACGTCATCCTCAAACTCCGTGAGGAGCACAAGGAGGACCCTTCAAAGGTCATTCAGATCGTCCTCTCTCACAGCCGCGTCGGTTCCAAGAACCACCTAGTGTTGGCTCTATTGGATGAGTATCGCCCAAATAAGCCAAATGTCGGCAATGTCGCCAAGCACTTCAAGCCTGTCCTGCGAAAGATGGCTGAACTTGACTCCCGAATGACTGCAAAGGTATCTCTCAAGGCGAGAGAAATTCTGATTCAGTGTGCTCTGCCGTCGCTAGAGGAACGGACAGCCCAAATGGAGCACATCCTGCGTTCTGCAGTGGTTGAGAATAAATATGGTGAGACTGGCTGGGAACACCGACAGCCAAATCTCGAGGTTATTCAGGAAGTAGTCGACTCCAAGTACACTATCTTCGACGTATTGTCATCATTCTTCGCTCACGACGACCCATGGGTTTCGACCGCTGCACTGGAGGTCTACGTTCGTCGGGCCTACCGTGCATACAATGTTACCAAGGTTGAGTATCATGCTGATGAGACTGACACAAATCCTGCTTACATTTCCTGGGATTTCTCATTCCGCAAGTCTGGAAAGAACGAGTTTGATTTCACCGCTCAGTCAACAAATCCTTCTGTGCCTGGTACTCCTCACCCCCAAGAATTCGGGTTCAATCGCATTAGCTCTGTTAGTGACATGAGCTACCTTGACCATATTACCGAACCTGAGGCTGTGCGGAAGGGTGTGATCGTTCCATGCAGATACCTGGATGATGTCGAAGAATGTCTACTCAAGGCATTAGAAACACTTCCCTCTCGAAAGGCCCGCACTCCCAGTGCCGTTCCCGATCTTGCTGGCAGGCGTAGAGTCCAAAATGACGAACTCTCCAATGTTATCAATATTGCCGTTCGGGACTCTGAAAATGCCGATGACCAGGAAATAACTACAAGGATTCGAGCTCTTGTAGAAGGATTACGGCCAGAGTTGTACTCACGCCGCCTTCGCCGCTTCACCCTGGTGTGTGGTCGAAACGATGGTTCATACCCCCGTTATTACACATTCCGTGGTCCGGAGTACCTGGAAGATAACAGCATTCGTCACGTCGAGCCTTCTCTAGCTTTCCAGCTTGAGCTCCAGCGTCTCTCCAAATTCAAGATCACTCCCGTTTTCACAGAAAACAAGAACATCCACGTTTACGAGGCTGTTGGAAAGGGAGTTGAAACTGACAAGCGTTACTTCACTCGTGCTGTCATTCGACCTGGGCGCCTACGGGATGACATTCCTACCGCTGAATACCTTGTTTCCGAGACAGACCGAGTCATTAATGATATCTTCGACGCACTGGAGATCATTGGCAACAACAACTCGGATCTTAACCACATGTTCTTGAACTTCTCTCCAGTTTTCCAATTGAAGCCCGAAGAAGTCCAACACTCCCTGCAAGGCTTCCTGGATCGATTTGGACCTCGTGCCTGGCGTCTGCGTGTGTCTCATGTTGAGATTCGCATCATCTGCACTGATGCCGAAACAGGCATGCCGGTCCCTCTGCGTGTCTTGATCAGCAACACATCTGGATATGTAATCCAGGTTGAGATCTACGCTGAGCGGAAGTCCGAGAAGGGTGAAATGATCTTCCACTCAATTGGCGGCAGCAACAAGATCGGCTCCATGCATCTAATGCCCGTTACCACTCCCTACCCAACCAAGAACTGGCTTCAGCCTAAGCGATACAAGGCACACCTTATGGGCACTCAGTATGTGTACGATTTCCCAGAGCTCTTCAGACAAGCTGTCGAGAATAGCTGGATACGAATCGTCAAGGAGCAACCCAGCCTTGCGGACAAGAAACCTCAGCACGGTGAATGCATTGACTTCAGCGAGTTGGTTCTTGATGACCATGACAAACTTGCTGAAGTCTCTCGCGAGCCCGGCACCAACACATGTGGCATGGTCGGTTGGGTCATCAATGCCCGCACCCCAGAGTATCCCAAGGGCCGTAAGTTCATTGTAGTAGCCAACGATATCACCTATAAGATCGGTTCCTTCGGACCTAAAGAGGACCACTTCTTCAACAAGTGTACCGAGCTAGCTCGTAGCATGGGAATTCCCCGCATCTACCTTTCTGCCAACTCAGGTGCTCGGCTTGGCTTAGCTGAGGAGTTAATCCCGCACTTCAAGGTTGCTTGGAATGATCCTAACAAACAGGAATCTGGCTTCAAATACTTATACCTTGATGAAGCCACGAAGCAGCGGTTTGAGGACGGCGCGGCCCGTGATGTTATTACGGAACCAGTTAGCGAAGACGGCGAGAAGAGACATAAGATTGTGGCTATTGTCGGTGGCGTAGATGGTCTTGGTGTTGAATGCTTGAGAGGCTCGGGTCTAATTGCTGGCGCAACAAGCCGAGCCTACAATGACATCTTCACAATTACACTTATCACCTGCCGATCTATTGGTAAGTTACCATTATTTCTCTCATTTGAAGCAGATGACTAACGACAATAGGTATTGGTGCTTACCTTGTTCGTCTCGGCCAACGTGCCATCCAGATTGAGGGCCAGCCCATTATTCTTACTGGTGCTGGTGCTTTGAACAACCTGCTGGGACGCGAAGTATATACTTCTAACCTACAGCTTGGTGGCACCCAGATCATGTACCGCAACGGTGTTTCTCACATGACTGCCAATGACGACTTCGCTGGTGTTTCAAGGATTGTAGAGTGGCTGTCGTTCATTCCTGCCCAGCGCAACCTTCCAGTTCCTATCACCCCTAGCATCGATACTTGGGATCGCGATATTGTGTACACACCACCTAACAAGCAGCCTTATGACGTCAGATGGCTCATTGGCGGTAAGCAGGATGAGGATGGCTTCCAGCCCGGTCTATTTGACAGGAATTCATTCGTTGAGACCCTTGGTGGCTGGGCCCGTACTGTTGTCGTTGGCCGTGCTCGTCTCGGTGGTATTCCGATGGGTGTCATCGCCGTCGAGACCCGAACTGTGGAGAACATCACTCCTGCAGACCCAGCTAACCCCGACTCGGTGGAGCAGGTTACTAATGAAGCCGGCGGCGTCTGGTACCCCAACTCGGCCTTTAAGACAGCTCAAGCCATTAATGACTTCAACCACGGTGAGCAGTTGCCACTGATGATCCTCGCCAACTGGAGAGGTTTCTCTGGTGGTCAGCGTGATATGTACAACGAGGTCTTGAAGTACGGATCATACATTGTCGATGCATTAGTCAAGTATGAACAGCCCATCTTTGTATACATTCCGCCCTTTGGTGAGCTCCGTGGTGGTTCTTGGGTCGTTGTCGACCCTACAATCAACCCCATCGCCATGGAGATGTATGCTGATGTCGAGTCCCGTGCTGGTGTTCTCGAACCCGAGGGTATCATCGGCATCAAGTACAAGAAAGAGAAGCAGCTCGAAACTATGGCACGTCTTGACCCGACATATGCCGCGCTCAAGAAGCAGGCTGCGGAGAAGGACTTGACCAAGGATGAGCTTGAGCATATCAAGGCTCAGATGACGGTCCGAGAGAAGCAACTGTTACCCATCTACGCCCAGATCAGTATCCAATTTGCCGATCTACACGATCGTGCCGGGCGCATGAAGGCCAAAGGTACGATTCGCGAGGCTATTGAGTGGAAGAACGCCCGTCGGTTCTTCTACTGGCGTGCCCGTAGACGACTCAATGAGGATTACGTTCTCAAGCGCATGGCTACTGCCACTGGATCTAAGACGACAGATTCTAGCAGCACCGGGGCCATCGAGACACGACAGAAACATCTACGCCTGCTTGAGGCCTGGTCAGGTATCACCAACTTCTCTAACGAAGACAGAGAGGTGGTTACATGGTACGAGGAGAATGCCAAGACGATATCCAACAAGATGGAGCAGATGAAGGCTGAGACTGTGTCTCGAAACATGGCGGAATTGATGAGTGGCGACAAGGTTGCGGCTCTTAAGGGTCTCAAGGACTTGCTGCACACGATACCCGTTGACGAGAGGGAAGAGATCATGAGGTACTTGAAGTAAAAGAAAAAGTCCTATGTGTAATAATGAGGTGGCATGTATGAATTAGTTCAACCCGGACAAGGGCGGGAAAGGGGTAACGGAGTGAGTTTTTCTTGAATTTTTTGTCTTTTGCACGGGCTAGGATCTATATCAATTAGCATATACGGGGCCGCCGAGTTTGGTGTATTAGAATAAGGGGAAACGAAGATTTGCTTAAAGTTATGTTATATCTATAAGATGAATGTCTTTCAACAAGAGGCTTATATTAACTCACTGTGTTTCTTTGATGACTTGTGTTCTCGCTGCCTCGAGTGTCTATAAAATTACCGCCGGTTAGTACAGTGCGTCGCGTTACAGGAGGTTTGTAGGTGAAGAGATGGGGCTTCAGGGGTTGGGGTTTATCTATTTATTCATCCATTTATTCATCTATTTACATATCTACTACCTAATGAGGTTGACTTGATATGTATTGGTGATAAGTATTAAAAAGACTGTTACGTTGTTCATGGACAAATGGGATCTACCTACGGACCCTATCGAGTAAGTAAGGTAAGTGATACCTGCTGCTGTACGATGTTAGCACTGCCATCATCGGGTTCAATTCCTACTTTATGCTGGCTGGCTGGCTTTGGGAGGCGTTTACAATATCGCCCATCGGTAAGAGGAAAGAAAAAGGTACTGGAGATAAACTGGCGGCTGTGGAATTGCGTAGCTGAGGCTTAGATAGACAGGTAGGTAGGTAGGGAGGGAAGGTGGATATATAAGATATGGTGTTATAATTCAATCCTTTGTATGAATACCTAGGTACTTATAAATGAAGCAGGCGCCAGGGTCTATCTATACCTAGTATGTAAATGTAGTGCAAGTTTGGGACTATGGATGAGGTCGGTGATTAGAATGGGGGCTACGTACGATAGTTAGAATATAATCGAGATATTGCTATGCTCTTTATCCTTAGGTGCTTACTTGCTTCAAATTCAGAACGCTAACTGCTATGGAATGTTCTCTATTTAAGTAGAACATACATGCATGTATACAAATAAGAAAAGATAAAAAATGGTCACCGGTAATGCTCAACGACGTTTCTTATTTTTTCCGTAGCGTCTTTATTTATTTCCCCTAACGGGAGACCGACTAATCAAGTACAAGTGTGATATGCCCTTGCAGACTTCGATGTTATGCGTGAAAGAATACAGTACAGTACATTGGTGTGGGTAGGTAGGATATGTAGACTCATCAACGGGCTCATGAATGCTCATGTTCTTCCGATACTTTTTGAACGAAAGAACAGTACAGGGGGTGAAGGAGGGAGCTTAAGTACAGTATAAAATTATGTCTAAAGTTATGGATTATGGACAATCGGGATTGGGGGGTATCATCGTAATTCATCATAGAGCTCGAGCGATTTGTGAAATTAAATCGCCAATGGAAAGCGAGTAAAGGAAGGGAAAAGTAGAGAAAGGAAGAAGAAAAGGCGTCAATTGCATTGTTATGCTGCGGTTGAAGCCACAGCATCGGGCGGAGGCGGACCAGACCTAGACCCAGGCTCGCTCGTTGATATAGAAACCTCTGGATTGGGGATCTGGAAATCGAGCTGTATATACATCTGCGTTAGCCTAACACCCTAGCACATTGGGAGTGAAATGGAGGTTGTCTTACGCTCATATAACCTGATCGTCTCAACGAGATAATCTTGGGAGCCACAACGCCTTCTTCGGAGCCTATTGTTTTCTCCATTTCGGCATTCCACTTGTCGATCCACCCTTCTAGCTCGTTTAACTTCGTCTTGGCATTTGTAAAACCGAGATCTTCCCATAACCAAGCAGTTAGCACTCCAAGAACGCCATCGAGCATATTCCTCCAACTATACGGATTGAAGATAGGAATTAGCGAGCCGTTCAGCTTCTCGATAACGCGTCGAAATTCTCGTTCTGGTATTCCGGCTGGATCTAATATTTCTGGGTACATGTTAGAGAATGCGGGCCCCAAATCACCCGCTATCAACCAGTCGCGGCGAATGCGAATGATACGCGTTGTATTGTACTCATTTGAATTGATGGGTACGTATGGGTTCAGGTGTGGGAAGCAAGGATGCTGAGGACCCCATTCATCACCTAGGCCCGGCTGATCGGGATCCCCAATAATAGACGAGTTACTAGATATTGCGGACCCAATCCCTCCCGGTATTGATAGATTTGATGATCTCCTATTTTGCTGGCTAAGTCGAGCGGGACCTCGCTCTAGGTCGATAGAGAGACCCTTTGCAGCGTTATCATCGTTCGTTGACGACATAACCGCCTTGCCCTTTCCTTTGTCGATCTTGCGAAAAGGTTGATCTACCTCTTGCGTATATATCAGGTCTTGACTCGCGGCCGAAGTCTGGTATATTTCTGTCACGCCGTGGCCTACTTTCCCAAGACCTCCCACAGTTGAGAGGCCTTCCTTGTTGAGTTCTGACAGTTCAAACCCCTGATCCTCTTTTAATGCTGCGACTGGTGTTCTCCCAAAATTGAAAGAATAACGAACTGAGTTAGGAAGACTGATCCTTTTTCCTTCGCTCCGCCGTTCTTCAATTTGGAAACTCGAGCGAGTAGGTGTGGGATGACGGCTCTGTCTCTGTTCCGGAAGTGTCAAAAGAGGACAATCGCCAGCGCCAGTTGTTCCTTGATCATCGAGGACGCGGGTCTCGTCAAGAACGGAATGATTGAATGGAACAGCCGGGGGCGGAGGTGTCGAAGGACGCCGCTTCCGGGCTGTTCGAGAGGGTCGGGTGTAGACAGCCGGAGGAGTCCTCGGCGTAGAATTAGTAGGATTCCAAAGGCGCCCGGGGTTTCCTATATTTCGAGGAAAGAGATTTACAGATTCAGAGCGAGTGGCGCGGTTACGAAGTGGAGGAGGTAGAAAACGGTTTGAATGGGCTAATTTCGTTCTTTCAACATTTGAATGAATGTGGTGGTGGTGAGGGTGACGTGGATGTGAGCGTGTCGGGTCGAGTGTGCTCTCCAAAACAGGATTCTCTAGCTCCTGCGATGAGATGATGACACCTTTGTAGGTGGCTTTGCCTACTTTGTCTGCTACGGCGGTCGATGCGAGTTTATCGGATCGGATTGTGGCGTGGGAAGCCGTTGGGAAGCCGGGAAACTAACGAAAGCCGCCGCGACGGCTAGGCTTGTAATGTCTTTCCGGAGCAAGAGTTGCTGACTGATTGGTAGAAGATGTCGAGTTCTAGAGTTGGGTTGGCGTCGCAGTCGCGTTGTGCGGCCGTCGTGATGCGCCGGGCCGTTTCGTGATGACAGAGGGAATCGATGGTCGCCCTTGGTGATCGCGCTCAGGGGAGATGATAGAAAGAGATTGGCCGAGTTCATGCACGCCGGGAGTGGAGCCTCTAGCACCGGCATTGCCGCCGGCCTATTGGTCAAGGCGGCCAGATGGTCAGCGGTTGCCAGCAGCTGGTGGGTGTCCGCCCATCTACTACCAATCGCTACCTAAGGTACACTGTAGGTGGGTAGGTAGGTATTAGATAGATACCTACTATGGCATGTTTTTGCAACTTTTCAAACAGCAATGTGCCCGTTGCGCCCTTTTTCTTGATAAACCGCAACGTCGCGGGGAGTAATGAAAATGAATAATAAAGGGATCCCAAGGCTGTGGTTGTTTGGCGGGATTCTCGTGCCTCTTGTACAAGTTGTGCAGGTCGGACTCGCCGGACGTTAAGACTTTTCCTTGGTCCTGAAATGAGGGCCCTAGTATTTAGTATTTTCCTGGCAGTGACGTGGTGATGTTCTGCGCGAGTAAAGGCCGTAAGAAAAAGGGGCACATATACCTACATATAGGTAAGTATGGGATTCCTAGTAGCTATGTAATCTGCAATTAAACTAACAGTTGGTAGCTAGTACCTAGAAGAATGGACATGAGCCCATTAGACGTCTTCGCATTCCAGAAGGGAGGGATGAAAGAAAGAAAGAAAGCGAGTGTGTATGCGAATATACAGAACGAGTAAGGGTTGATGCTCATTTATGGGTGCCACATGCAGGTATGTAGGGAGAGTGAGGGCCGATACAGAAAGGACAAAAAAAAAGAGATTGAAAAAGGACCCCAGCCTCAGCTCACGAGGTTACGGCGAGGAAGATGGTGTTAGTGTACGAATATCGTACATTCAAGACAGGACAAGACAACCTCAAACTCCTATGATTAGTATATATAGAATATGTGTGTGTGTGTGACTGTGAGCTGTAAAGAATCCATCCAATCTTTCGTCATCGTGCCTGGGGGCACATTACATGTAGCACTGGATGGATGCATGATGACACAGGTGTGTCTTAGGTACAATCCACTAACGCTGGTCTGAACACCAGAGCAGACCAGAGCAATAGAACGGCTTTAAATTGGATGATTTACTATTAGTAGTAGCATGATTTTTTATCCCTCGACGCACAGTCGAGCCGGAGAGCCAGACACAATTCCGGACAGAACCCCAGAAGTGACGCTATACTGGATCCAGGGATCGTCTCTGCCAGGTTCTGCTAGGTTCTGCTAGGTTCTGCCAGGTACCCGGCACAGACCCGACAAGTCATAGGCGCAACGCTAAGTCTCGATAGAGTCTGAACCGAGTCGGAAGTCTGGCGAGTACTAATCGCAGGCCTTTCCCTGGGTCTGCCTGGGTCTGCCTGGGGCGTCAACATATTTGGACCTGCATAAGTACGCTCACCCGCGAACCAAGCTGATGGGCCACCGTAGCCATGCCACTGCTCGGCACGGAACCAATCGCCGTTTTGCGCCGCCTATTCTCGCCCCCAATAGGCCTCATCTTGCCATCTTGCCCCCTCCTGCTAGGCGTTCTGTTGAACCGTCCGTTACCAAAATGGAATTCTAAGACCACTCTGACCACCTAATGATATTTGTACCATAAGTAAAACACATTTACTTACTTAGGTACCGTAGTGTTGCCTGTGGCAGTGTCACGAGGCATCAGCTCGCGAATCCTGTGAAACTGCAATTCTTACCTAGCTAGTGTATTCTGTCTCGTCCTTCACGTGCGTATTGCTGTCCTTTACTGTACATGACGCATGATGCGGCGGTGCTGGCACAATATCGCTACTTACTTACGCACAGTTGATAATCCATTTGATAAGGGTTCTAGGTATTCGTAGCAGATAGTGGCCAGGGTCTCCCATGATCGAGTACATGTACAGAGATGCCGAATGCAGCGGGCAGGCTGGGTGAGATGATTCTTTGGCGTCTAAGCTGACATGCGCCATGTAAGGATCGGTTGCCCAATAAGGATGCAGCTATGCATTATACATTCCAGTGCGCTTCATCCTTTTCCCTCTCTCCATTGCTACATACCTAGTATCTAGTCCACTACCTACATGTAGGTCGCATACCAGTACTTGTAAAGCGTTGCCCAGTCCTTGACACTTGCCTCCTGAAAGCAACAATAGGTTACAAGTGCCATCTACTCAGCGCCCATATAGTCAAGTCAATACGCCTCACGATCATCCGACGGATCGAAGCCAAGAATAAAGGGGTTTCGTGGCACTGCGGAACTATACGTTGATAGTTTGCCCCGTCCAAAGTCGTGAGCTGAGGTCGTCATGTCTCCGACGAGACGAGAAAGATTTCGTGAGACTTGACATACTCTAGGTAGGCATACTTTGGATACCCTTCAAAAGAAGAAGAGCGATTCCAGACTTGGCCATCTCGTCTGAGTTGGCGCATTGATTATATAATCGTTTACAAGTACATAGAAGGATGAAGAGACAAAGAGAGAGAAAAGGGGCCTACATAGATATGTATATAGTAGATCACACTGCCTAATTTAGCGCCTACCTGCCTATCGGTTATCATACCTACCCAGTACATTACAAAGTGCGTAGAGGCTACTACTACTCTATAAGGTCATGACGTAGTGCTCATGTCACAGCTGAGGTTGCTTTGGCACCGCGAGGCCTGCCATTGGAATTTGACGATCATGACTACATCTACCTACGGTACTGGTGTAGGTTCCAGCTTACCTGATCCTGATCACTAAGTAGCCCTAGCCACAGGTTACAGTCCCAGGTACTGTACTCAGGTATGTAGGCAGTGTGAGTTCCTCGCCCAGCTAGTAGCTGTTGTAATGTTGTTGTAGCCGCAATGTACCTACCGCACTGCTCACTGTGCTTCCATATTGCCGTCATCCTTGCCCATGCCACAATACCTATCTCCCCTCCAACCCAATTCTCATCTCGAGACACGGCACAACAACACGCCCATCCAAGCATCTACCTAGCATCCTCCCCCCCTTGCAGCTAGCTTTCCCTACGTTCGTATGTAGAGCTGCGCAAGCACCTGGTGCTTTTGATGCGCCTACACATCTCTCAGAGACTGCATTAGGCGCCAATATCCGACTGGCCCTTCGTCTTCCGACCATATTAGCGAAGAGTTGGTTGATGGAAGACGATTGACCTCATGCGGTCCGTCTCCGCCCTAGGCATCAGCCATGATCGACGAAAACTATGCTTCGGCCTCGACGACAACCGTCAATGCTACCGGACTGACCAGTCCCGCACCTGATGAACCCCTCTCCACGAGCAATGAGCCGCCCCCGGCTTTTGCCTTCCGACGCGCAGCTACCCTTGGCCCGCCCTCACAGCTGCGTCGGCGCTTGAACGGTATTCACCCACCGTCCTCCGCCGATAATCAGAATGCCTTTACCGGCCTTCGCAGACGCAGCTCAACCTACTCCGATTACCTCGAGTCGAGTGCAGACGATTTATTGAACCCCAGCAAATCGAACACCGAGGAACAACCCAAATCGCTTTTCGTCTATATACCGCTTACGCTTGCCTTATTGCCTGCTATAGCTGGCCTATTTTTTGAAAACGGCTCTGCCTTTTTCACAGACTTGATCCTTCTTACCTTGGCCGCTGTCTTTCTGCACTGGTCGGTGACACAGCCATGGGACTGGTACCACTCGGCCCAGCAGATCCGCATTATACAGGATGAGGCCTTGTCCGAGGAAGTCTTCGAATCTGACAGTGATTTCGAGTCGGCCCCTACCTCGGCCTCTGTTGTACTTGAGGACGTCCCTGAGGAGAAGGGGAAAGGGAAGGATGAGGAGGAGCCCGAATTGAAGATCAAGAATCTCCCCACTGGTAAACATCCCAGTTGGGATGCGCGGCAAAGAGCTGCCGTCAAGGAGCTTTACATCCATGAAATAATTGCTCTAGCGTGGTGTTTTATATTCCCGATGCTGAGTGCCTATCTACTGCATATGATTAGAGGTCAATTGTCACGGCCATCCGAAGGTTTGGTGTCTGATTACAATCTCACCATTTTCATCATGGCCGCCGAGGTGCGCCCTGTATCTCACTTGATCCGAATGTTGCAAATGCGCACGTTACATGTACAGGCCATCGTCGCGCAAAACCCACACATCCAGAAAACTATCACCAGTGAGGAAATACAGGCCTTGTCTAGCCGACTGGATGAGCTTGAGGCACGCAGCGCTTCTAAAGAAAGCGCTACAAGTAATGGTCTTCAGCCTGAAGCATCCCAGAAGCTTGTTGAATCTACAGTAGGACGAGAATTCCGTAAAAGTGTGCAACCAGAGCTCGAGGCACTGAACCGAGCCATGCGCCGATACGAAAAGAAGCTCACTGTCTTAGCTAATCAAACCGACAACAAGATTGAGTACGTCGAGTATCGACTCAACGATGCCCTGGCACTCGCTGCGGTTGCTGCAAAGAATAGTAATTCGCGACGTACGCTAGTAGGCTGGTTCTTAGGAAGGATAACGGTCCTAATTTTGCTCCCGTTACAAGCTATGGCTGCTGTTATATTATTCCCGTTTCGAACAGTGTCGACTCTAGTTCGCCGGAATGGCCAACATGTGCCCGAAAGGGCACACCGCCCTCTGCGAAATGGCAAGAATCCTGCCCAAGGCAGGTCCGGTCCAGATCGCGTGTCCGTGAGAGTATCACGCAAATGAGAATACTATTGCGTGTATCATGTCTATCATAAGACCTAGAAATGGCTTAGGTGGACAAGAGATACCCTGATTTACTTCTGGCTCTATGGTTCTCGTTTTCGTTTACTCTTTCTTTCTTTCTTTTTATTTGGCGATAATACGGTCAGTTTCGCGGCGCGTGCATGTATGAATATGGATATGGTATGGTTATGGCGGCGCCGTCGGGGTTGGTGACGACGACCTATGGAGAGCGGCACTCTCCAGCTTGAAACAGGGCCTAAAAGTGGACGGCGAATCGGCCATGTCCTGTTATATCACCATCATTATCATTATGCCAATCACGATTCACGAGCAAACTCATCACTTCAACCTCAATTCAGTCGGACTCCGACGTGATGGAAGAAGAAGAAGAAGAAGAAGAAGAGAAAGGAGAATAAGGATGAGGAGCGCCCAGATGTACTCTATCATCATCCACGTCCGGAATAAGATGTTCAAGCCCTCGTGTTCGGCCTTGAAAATAGTGCTCACACTAGACTCGTCACGCCGGACTTGGCTTCAGCTCCCACCGCTTTGACCATGTTATTGCAACTCCTATTGCAGCGTTTCGCATTTATGGCTGATGGCGATTGCGATCTGGACATACACCTTACCGGTGAAGGCATCGATTATGGATACTATGCTAGTGAGGGCATAAAGTTATATATGTGGCGTCGGTACTACAATATAAATCTGGGCGCAAGCTAGAACGCCCGCCGTTACAGGTTCCATGAATGGATATAGTACCTACCCCAGGCCTTCGACTTTATTTTCCCCCACGTAACGAAACGTAGCTCAACATCCAGGTGCCGGGTTTTAAGTAATCTTGGTTCTGTGTTCACAGGGCGTAGTTTCTCGCCTGATAATGATGTACTGTATTTTCCACGAACGAACGCCACCAACGCCGCGCATATTTACCCGAGTCTGTCGGTGAAGAGGACAGAGTGAAGGGCGCGCTGTGTGTAAGTGACACGTGGTGGGGTGCTACCTAAGTATGTAGAATGTGGAGCGGAAGAGGGGCTTTGAGAATCTTCTTTACAAATATGTACTTCATAGTAGGTAGCTACAACGAGATACACAACTATTCCCTTCTTAAAACAGATAACGCAGCACGATTTTCATTTGTACAGCACGTTACGCATTGCATCACATTAGGGCTTGCTGTATGTGTTATGTAAGTAGGGAGTATAGAGGTACAGTAGTGTGGTTTGTGACGAGACTTTGAGACTGGGGTAAAGGAAATGATATCCGGGTAACAGGTATCAGCAGTCCATTAAAAAAAATTACATGACGGACTGCCACTGCAACTGCAAGCAAGTACAAAAACGCGGCCGTGCAGCGTGGCACGGCAGGATGCATGATTTCTGTTTTCGTAATCCGTTGATACGAATTCAATGGGGCGGGCCGGCCTCCCCCTTCATTCAGAGAAGGGGCCCTGGGTATACAGGTAGGTAGGTAAATATGGGAGAGTGAGAGAAGCATGTCGGCGTTCGCGAGGGTTTCTGTTTAAACCCGGAGTTACACCGCTTACGAGTGTATGTATACAGAACGTAATTTGATCGATCTTTGTTCCCTTTTCTGTGCTATGGTGATCGAATGCGCAACATCGAAGGGATAAGACGGCATGGGGAGAGCCATTGGCGCAATGTACGCGTAGACATCGGTTGTTCACGGCTCTAGGAATGGAAAGGGTATGAGATAGAAGGCAAAGCAAGCATTTATCCAGCCCGGTGACGATACTCAGGCTTAAGTATGGTGTTGCGTGCGTTGTGTGCTAGGTAGCTAGCCCACGCTTACTCATTATATACGCTTCTTTACGCGGCGAGAAGCGGCTCATCTACACCCATGAAGCAAGCTACTGACAGGTGATGTGCCGCGACGGCGAGGATGAGACAATGCGCTGTAAGGGTGGAGCGGGAACGGCAACGCGGAGTGTGGGAACTAGCGCGCCGAGAAGTGGGATGGATGGATGGCTAGCAGCCCTCGCAGCCCAGCCGTACGAAGTTCAAGTAGCAGAGCCTTATCTGGCCTTAGGACTGGGGCCTTGCTGAAATTCTTACAGACACGATGGATGGTGGTGGTGGGGGATCCGTCCCGGCTGATCGCATGGGCAATTAATTAAACTATTCTCTAGGTAGCGCCAGCTAGTGCTCGTTCAGTCGGTGCTATCACGATTCACGTTGTGACTAGGACGATTAGCTCCGGAATTGGAGTCTTTCGCGACACCGTTTTCTGGGTCTTGCGAATATGCGCAATCAAGAATTCCATCTCACACTAGCCTGCATCTAATCAACTAAGATATCCTTATTGTGGAGGTATGCCGTCACCATCAACAATTGAAGCTCAGGAAACGCCAGAGACAGGAGAGAGCTAAAGAGAGGGAAATGAACTGACTCGCACTGCTTGCGTTGAAACAGGATTGTCTACGGAATGTGCGCTTATGTAGACGTAATCCGGCACGAACGATATCTGCAAAAAGCAATAAAGGATTACCCCGAGATGTGCTGCGTTGTTGCACACACAAGAGGCAGAAAATTGGTAGCAGCCATGACAGGCGACAGGTAACGAACAAGTACAGCACCTGTCGAAGTGAGCTTCCCCCAACACCCCCCTTGCACTCACTGCACGAGACGAGGGTGTAGATCGAACCACGTATATCCAGAGAACGACCGACAGTCGGCCTACGCGGCCAGGAAAACTTCGCGGGCTAGCGTCGCGTGGTCACCGCGTCTTGTGTGTCCCACTCGTATTATTCTTCAGATCAGTGTCACTACTCTAGGTTAAGTCTGTCTGTACTGTATAGACCGTACTTAGATATGTAGGTAGGTAGGTAGTGTACGGAATACACCAAACTCGGTAAGTGAGTACTATCAATGCAAGTATACTTACGCACACTACAGACCTTGGATCAATAGTGAATGCAAGATGATGGGATCGTGAATGCGACAAAGCAGATCGCCGAAGCAAGAACTGACGGGAAACTGACGCGGGATGATATGAGGACTGACGCAGAGCGGATTGCGACATGTCTCGACGACCCTTGACAAGCCGTTTGCGACTTCACACCGACCGCGATACGATACGACTATAGCGTACATACTTACCTACCTACTTACTTAACCTACCACCGGCACCCAGAACACGATTGTGGCTTTTTCGATATACATGCCCACATGTGATATACTTGATCGGCCTCTGCGACTCGTGTTAGAATCTTGGTTCTGTGAATGCTGTGAATACACGTGTAGAAAAAATACAGCGGTTGTTGAAGCGAGATGGTCAGACCCCTCCATCTCCATCTCCAAACCTCCAATCTCCCCTAAACCCCCCCCCTTCTGTCATCGTGTCCTGAGACAAGACAACGCAAGACAAAGACCGGCCCAGGTCTCGGGCCACCGTGATGATATCGGAGAAAAAAAAAAGAGGTCACAATAAAAATGAAATGAACTACCTAGAGTTAGACGAACAGCGCGGCCGTGACAGGCGCATTATACTTACCCGCATGATATGCTAATCTACAGGACACAGCTACCGTAAACGGCGTGGATAGAGGTTGATTAAGTACATTTAAGTACCTACCTCGCCTACCTTAGCAGTCGACCAGCCAGGAGATGACCTCTGACCTGGGTAGATCTATCCACGGCTCTATTCTCTCGCGCCATCTAAGACAGTTTAGCTGGACAGGGGCCCGACAGGGGCTGTAATGATGATGAGGGAGGAACGACCCAATGGCATCACGCACGGGCGGTGAGATTGCCCAATCCGGCAGTGGGACGCTCTTGGTGGGGTGACATGGGGGGAGATCGGGAATCCGGCGCACCACCCTTGCCAGTTGCACTAAGTAAGTAAGTAAGTACGGTAAGTTGCTACTGGTAATGATGTACTTTTCTCTTCTCTGAGATGCCAGCTGGAAATGTAAGTAAGATCATACCTACCTGCCCATCTATCTGTAAAATGTGGGAGTGGGTGAATGGCTGGGCAGGTCTTGGATCACATCTACCCCTGGCTTGGCTATGCAGCCTTTCGCTCGAGTACCATTGAATATAATTTGGTATACTTACTTACTTAATGACTGCTACACTTCTCTAGTACTACTTATCCTAGTTTAGTCGATCCCTAGCCGTTTGCATTGTTCGTCCCCTCGACGAGGACAAAGACGGGAATGAGAGACATACTTACGAGTAGAGTAGTGTTGTAGAACCCGCCTTGCAAAGCCAGTCACCAGCCAGTCACTAGCCAGCCAACCCTCCATTGGAATCACGAGAATCATGAGGGACATTGAAACCAGCCTGTTCTTTTCGAAACAGATACCTATACACAGATACAGACACACAGACAAGAACAGCTACCCATCCCACCAAGCAAGTGCTCAAGCAAGTAGGTACCGTTTGGGGACTGCCCGGCCTGCATCAAAAGCTACCTATCCAGCGTAGCCAGCCTTGCTGTCCAATAGCACCAAAGCCAACGTCACTGCTAATCTCCCACGACCCAACCACGATGCAGCTATCGCATTCGTGCGAGCGCCTAACCACTAGGTTGGCCGTAGGTTGCGCCGTCATCAGTCGCTCATCCTGATACATGATACATCCCGCTACGACAGTACATTACATGCCTCTACAGTACTTGCATGTATGCCCAGGTGTTCTTGACGCGTGGGACGGGCGAATGCGGAAAGAAAAGACGAGACGTGGGACGCCTGCGCCAAGCCATTGAGACAAAGAACTACCAAGTAAGTGTGAGCTAGCTGTCAACCTTGACCCGCTGGGCAAGGTATAAGGTATGGTACATTTCTATACCTTCAGCTCTGAGGACCCTCCATCGAGGAAAAGAAAAGCTCGAGCGCACTCAGCTAAGGGAAATGCGTTGATTCGCCTAGGTGCTATCGTAGTAGTGTAAGTAGGTAGTTCACTTCGTTTGGTTCGGTTCCTATATACCGGTAGTGTACATCGAGATCGAGGGGAGAGCTTACTTTTTTTTACTTGCTCACATACCACATTGTTCTCTTTCTCTTCTAAAAACAGCAGCAGCAGCTTGCCAGCTTCAACTCTGCTGGCTTCCTCTCTCGGCTCTGGGACCCATCGTGTTACTGTTTCATGCCGGCCTCCTTTCGCATGGACCCTTATATTGTCCACAGGTCCTCGGGTTAATATAGCTTTCCCCGTGTCGGTCCAGAAGACTTGGGTGCCTTGGTATTACGTTTGATCTTCTTCAACTCCCGCTGGCACGTTTCGATACCATACCAGTTCGGTCACACTGCAGGGTCAATTCACACAAGTCCTGACTGCCGGATACCTTACTTGGTATGCCCAGCTGTCGTTCTTTTCAGACCGCCAATTCGTTACCACCGTCCCTCGTTTAAATTCCCTTTTTTGCTATCGACTTCTGCCTGTAGCCGTTCCCGATTGTTACCTTCCCCCGGGTAGCCTCAGGACTAATATCCCGCCTCCTTGCCAGGCCCGGCTCGACAGCAGCAGTTCGTTCGTGGGAACAGAGCCTCCCTCTCCCTAATCTGGACATTTGTCGTTGTCCTACTGCCAACTCGACGAATTCGTAAAGATCCATGGCTGGAATTCGTGGTCGTTGAGCAAAACTCTTCAAGGATGCTTTGTTACGAGCATTGAAGCTATAGATATTAGAGCTCCGTTCCGTCAAGCACCTAGGGTCTTCCACATATATCCTGGGCTTCTAATTCATTTATAGGCGGGGCGTTTAACGATCATATCCACCGCCGTCATGACTACACGATGGAGCTATGTTTGGGCTCTGCTCTTATTACTCCTTCATCTTCACGGTGTAATAGCAGGTCCTCTTCAACTACTGCGCCGCGAGGATGCTACAGCCACAGCCACGATATCGCCGGCTACGACAGCGACCGAAATCAAGGCGCAAGATGACGAGACTTCCACTCAGAGTGCAGTCGAAACAAAGACAACGCATAGGTCTACTACGGACGAGAGTTCAACCACGTTCATGGTCACGTCGACTACTGCATTTCCTTCGGCTATTAATGGGAACAGTCCTGACCATACTAATAGCTCTCTTGCAACTCCCAGTCAGTTACTCATGTGTTCTGTTGGTACGAATAAAATAAAGAATGCTGACCTTGGCTCGAATTCTCCCAGGTCCTATTCCGAATGGTCAGCTACCCCTAGCTCCCCGACTTACACCAGGATGGGGGGTCGCCGGTGCCCTTCTCTTGATAAGTGGCGCTGCGTACACACTAATTGGGATCAAGAATGGTTGGTTCTACACCTTCTTCTCGGCGGCGTTCCTCACGGCCCTGAGTGTCACAGTTCTCATCATATATGTTATGGTTCCACCTGTACCAGCTGCGATTGAGGGAGCCTATGTTGTAGCAGCTGTTGTCTCTGGACTCATTATTGGTGGAGCATCCATCGTGTTTCGAGAGATCACTGAAGGCTTGGGATGCCTCCTAGGAGGATTTTGTGTGTCCATGTGGCTATTAACACTTAAAGCTGGTGGGCTGCTCCCTTCATCCACACCAAAGATAATATTTATCATCGCCTTCACGGTTGGCAGTTATGCGTTCTACTTCAGTCGCTATACGCGGCCATACGCCCAGATTGGTCTCATGTCGTTTGCAGGTGCGACTGTAACAGTCTTAGGTATTGATTGTTTCAGCCGGGCCGGATTGAAAGAATTCTGGGCTTACATCTGGAACTTGAACAAGGGGCTCTTCCCCTACGCCACGCACACTTATCCTATGACCAAGGGCATTCGCGTTGAGATTGCGGTCACTGTTGTTTTTACGATTATAGGTATCATCTCTCAAATGAAGCTCTGGCGAGTTATTCAAGCGCGCCGGGCAAGGAAGGCCGAGGAGCAAGCCGAAGAGCAACGAAAACGTGACGAAGAAGAGACAAGTCTGGGGCTACGGATTGAGGCGCAAAACGCGAGGGAACGTCGACAATGGGAAACGGTATACGGTGATCAGCCTCCACAAAGCTTGGCCGAGTCTGAGGACTCAGGGGTTGAAGACGTGGGTGATGAGAAGATGAAGAAACATCGCATTAGTCAAAAGGTTGTTCGGCAGGCATCCTCGAGCGAGGATCAAATTGAGCTGGCTGAGCTCCCAAGTCCAGAGCTCACGAATTCACCTGATCCTCTAAAGTCGACTAATGGGTTAATGATGACGAACCAGAAAGACGACAGCAGAGTGACGATTAGGGTTGCCAGGGATGACGATGAACCGACAGAACGCAATGACGTAATCATATCTGAACCAAATGATAAGAATGTTGGGACACCCAACGGCTATGCTAAAGCGCGGCCAAGCTCGATAACATTTCCCGAAACTTCTCAAATGTCACCAACGGAGCCGGGGCCGGAGGTTACTCCTCTTCCATTCAAGATCCCGAGCAGTGTGGATGGAAATGACAGGGATGAGAACCGTTCATCGATTGCAGCCTATGCCGATGAGGACGATGGGGAGTTTATGCTCAGCGACAAACCTTCGAGATTGTCATCGGCTCACCGACTCTCAGCAAGTTCTGGCAAACTTCTAAAAAGTATCTCTCTACGGTCAAATTCCGCCCGGACGTCCAAACGAAAGACAGGCGAGTTTGAAGCACATTTGTCGCCGGCAGGGGAGGAGAGCACCGAAAATCTCATTGTTGAAAACCCGAAACGTTATAGCGACATGTTATCGATTATTGCTACTATTGATGGGCTGAGTCAAGATGGTGATGACTACGATCGTCTTACGGATGACAACACTGAACGGAACTATTTACCAGAGGTTACTGTCGAGTTTGGTGACGGCACAGAGCCCAAGGGAGTGGGTAAAGGTAGTGAAGGTGAAGAAGGCGATATGCAATCGAAGTTGAAACCTCCCGGTTCCGAGCAGCGTCGTAGTGCTCGACCTATCTCATCTACTGAGACAGTTGCCACTGATATTCTTGATCCTTTCACTACCATCTCGTCATCGGGCGACCTGTCGAAGAGAAGCAGTATGGATCCAAGCACGAAAAAGACGGACAGCACCAACGAAAACAGTAATCCAACCGATCTGTCCACTGTTGAAGAGACCCCAGAAAGTTCGGTACACCAGAAATCCCCGGCTCCCTCGACTACTTCAAATAGTAAAAGCAGTATAAGTCTCACCAAAGATCGGCTCCCACCAGCCTTGACCCGCGTGGCTTTATCGTACAGAACCAACGAATGGGCGAAGCATCTAAGCACAGCGGAGGTCCCTGATATAGAAGAATTGCAGCTGGAAAGCCCTGCTGACCGTCAGAATGTCGAGAAGCAAGTTATCGAAGCGCCTGTGCCGGTTGATGTTGAGGAACTCCAGCAAACGACTACTTCTGCGGCTTTCATGAGACGATCTTCTAGTGCGCCGAATGTTCCACAGCCTCTCTCACCAGCAGATCATTCCACGTCTCGGATAAGCTCATATTCTTCTGCGCCAAAGGCGCACATACCAGCCACTCTCGCTATCCTCACGAGCGTCGGCTCGGAGGCCGGAGTTGAGGGAGTGTCAGGAAGCTCTTCGGTACCAAATCTCCCCCAGGCAGGGCATGGTTACAGGAACAGCAGGCAGCGGAACTCCAGTGAAGTATACAACCAGCCAATCCAAGAGGAAGATGGCACCGAGCCACTTCCTGTGGCGGGCCAGACGGGTTCGTCCGACGAGGCCAATTCTACGCCAGGCTCGGTTCCTCCTTCACCAGGAGGACATGCGCCCATACCAGGGCTGGTCTCGTACTCCAGCCCGCAGACCCTCCTAGGAAAGCGCGAGATGTTCTTGCGCAACAGATCCACATCGCAGCTCCTTACGACGCCAATCCAAGAAAGCCCTGAATATATGATGCGGTCAGCGAGTCAGATGACCTTGCCGTACAATCAGGCCACGCCGCCGCCGCCGAACGATATGGACGATATCCCTCTGAGTCAAAGGAAAGAACTCATTCGGCAGAGCAGCAGGCTCTCCGTTAACTCGGGTGTTTCGAACATGATAGGCCGTCCCAGACGCATCAGTTCCGGGAGCGCGGTACAACTCCCCTCCAGCAACACATTTGCTACTAACACGCCTCCTGCGCCTTACGTCCCCACCATAACCGCCGAGTCCACAAACTTCGACTCGCATCAGCCCCAGCGACACTCGAACCTACCATCACAAGCAGCCCGCGACGCCCGCCTCTCGCAATTCCGGCAGTCGGTAGCAGCAGAACTGCGCACACCCACGGGCGCAATGCCGCGCGCAGGAAAAGAAACTGCATTACGCACATCGAGTTCGATGCCGAGTGCAACGGCGATGAATCATGCCGAAGTGAGCAGGGTGATCGAGCATCAGCGCAGCATGCTGCTATCGCAGCGCGAGATGGAGGCCCAGAGGAAGGCGGGGGAGCGCTGGGAGAAGGAGAGGACGGAACGAGTCTTTGAGGAGATGATGAGACGTGGGGATTTGGTGGACGTGCATCGGGAGGCACTTAGGAAGATGCAGGGGGGTGTTAAGCATTGAGTGAGCCTGTCCCTGTCTGCCGCCTGCCTTAGATTTCGACCGCTCTTTTGATTTAGGAAGGGGTTATCGCGTCGTACAAGACGCGAAGGTTCCCTGCTGGGTAGCTAGCCGTAAGGCTAGAAAAATACAGAGGTGGGAAAAAGGTATGGCTAGCTACCTGGGACGTGATTTGGATCTTCACGCTGTCATGTCATCATGTCATGGTCATTGGGGTATGAGTCCTCTTCGTCACCATTTTCTTTTCCTCTTTTCTTCATCTCTCATCAGGGCACGGATAGAGGGGTATTGATTTTCATTTGATATCTTCCTTTCTTGAGTGCTGAGTTCTTGATACCCTGCATCACCTCTCCTTTCAACACCTAGGCCTCATCATATATATATGTCTAGGCTGCTTGCATTCTTACATTCATTCCTTTTATGCGGATACCTATCGATGCGGGGGTTCTTCCACTTCATTCCAAGATACTCGCGTCGAGTCTTGGATATTTACCATTCTGTTCTTCTATTGTTTAATATATAATTCCTATTGCTTTCTCTTCTATCATGGTCTAGGTAGGTAGGTAGCACACTAGATAGGACGCAAGAAGCAAGGCGGGAAGGCAAAAGGAAAGGAAAAGTGTCGGCACTGGGCAGGTTGATCTGGGACGGGCTTGGTTTGGCTGGAAGTAAATGGAATCAGGAAGTAGACGATAGGAATCTACGGTGCAACCGATCATCATTTACCATACCTACGCTTTCCGTGTATTTGACGCTAGTAACACCATCTGGGTTTCATGTTCTTGCCGTGTGTTACGCGATGCCTTGATCGATTGATTGATGCTTTCGCAGTTCTCCCTGTCCCTTCTTATAGGGATGGATCGCCCTGTTGACGGGCAAACAACATTCGAGGGATCACATCCTGGCCCATGGTAAGGTAGAAAAGACTGAGCAAATAGATCAATATGGCGGAAACAGAACTTGTCCTTTGGACATACCTACCTGTGAGTAAAAACCGATGCACCGGGTACTCAAATACCTAGTAGTACTGCTATATATTATATATGCCAACACTACCTATAGAAGATACCGTGGCCTACTCGAGTAGTGATAGGCTTATAGCTATCAAATATGTGTTACTAGGTGAATGTATGTTCCCGAGTACGCTAGTAATCTATTTTTGGTAGATATATCCAGGATACCGGTACAGGGAGATTATACCGTATCATGCCTCATATACCTACCAACTTAGAGTCTAACAGATTAGGAAGATGGATTGATTTTCAGTCAAGGAACTAGGTATGGATGGGAATTTGTGACTGTAGTCACAGTGAGGATGTATTGGGTTATTTGCATCAGACGTGTAGCAGTGAGGTCACATTGAGCCATTCATTCATCTTGAGGTTTGAGTCGAATAAATTCCCCATTGTACACACCATTGAACGAGTTGGTATCTTCATTGAGAGTCTACATTGATGATATATCTGCCCGGGCACCAATTATAACGCAGAGAGGTTTGTTGCAACGAATGGATTTACCCCATTCAACATTCATGCCCCTGTGACTCCTTGCGAAACTTCAGCACGTACAAGTGAGATCTACCTAGTAACCTACATAGTTCTGTAAGGAGGGGAGTATTTATTTATATACATATAATAGCCCGGTTCTGAACATCTCTTCTCATACCTTTGGCTGCGAATCCTCAGCTACACCCTCCAGCCGCATCGCCATTACTACTGCCTGGCTCCCTAGAGCGATTGTTCAACCCTCACGCACAAATCTGGTCAGGTAAGTTACACTGCACTCTCAGCTTGCCTCAAAGTACTGCAGCAATTGGTTCTTGTGCGTTGATTCAGCACCCTCCCTATTGCAAATCCCCCAACCCAATGACGGCATACCTACTGTTGGACTACCTAAGTTGGTATCTACACTACCAACGAGGTGAGACCCCCGTTGGCTTTCAGGGCTGTTGGTTCTACCTGACAAGTAGCCTCGCTAGGTAGTGTATCCGAGTCCCGATCCTTCCCTTGCCTAATTCAAGTGTCTAAGCCAAGTACTCCTCCGTACCCGATACCCATTCAATCGCTATGCCGCTCCCTTTTTGCCTCGTACTCTGTACCTGCCCTCCCCACCATACTATAAGGTGCCCTACAGTAGGTGCCTAGCTAGCTGTCTAGCAGCAAACTGTTGGGTTTTCGGCCTATCATCATCATTTCTCTGACCGGCTATTTCAGCCTTTTCCAAGTGCTGCTTCTTTGCTTGGCTTGGCTTGGCTTGGCCTGACCTGGCTCACCTCATCTTGCCAGAAGATCCCATCACTCCCATCACCTCCTTGCATCATCCACCCATCTTATCAAGTGTGTTTGTTGCCTGACATCTGGAACCTTTGGCATCAGTCTAGGTAGCAACTTCCACTTCACGCTCGCCAATACGTAGGTACCTACCCATGTTCTAAACACCTCCAGGCATTGTCCCGCCCCCGCCTTCCGCTTGCCAGTCCGTCTGCCTGCACCACCCGCCCCACCTTCTCTTAAGGTATAAATCATCCTCGCCTGCCCACTGTGATCACCGCCTTGATACCTAGGTACCGTCACATCTACATTCATATCTATCTACCTACATCTAGTTTCTTCAGCTACTCGACCGCCGCATGTCTTGCCAGCAGTCTACGCTCAACGCTCTCGAGTAACTCCGTACTTCAGCTTCTTACTCACACATCTCTAGTCTTTATCACCGTAGGTACCCAACTCGACTCTAGCCCGCATCTTCTCGGCAACCCGAACTACTGCCACCATGGCCACCGACAATGGTCCCCAAATGGTTCAGCTGCAGAGCAATGACAACCACATTATAGCTGTTGGTAAGCTTGCGACATCTTGTCCACTCCATTTCGTCTACGTCCTAGACCTGCCGCTGCTACTACCACCACCACCATCACCACCGCGGCCGTATTGCCAGTCTTATTTGCTAACTATCCTTCTAGAAAGAGCTGTTGCAGAGCGGTCGCTCCTGATCAAGAACCTGATAGATGATCTTGGGGAGACTGCACTTAAGGAGATTGTACCCATTCCTAATGTAAGTTGAAACACGACTGTTCAATCCGACGTTGACCATTCTTCTAACCCTCTGCCCAAGGTCACCGAACCCGTCCTCCGTAAGGTCATAGAATGGTGCGACCACCACCGCAACGACCCCCCCTCAACCAACGAGGACGAGTCCGACAACCGCAAGAAGACTACCGACATTGATGAGTGGGATCAGAAGTTCATGCAAGTGGATCAAGAGATGCTCTTTGAAATTATCCTGGTTCGTTCAACGCCGTCCCAAGCTCCCAAGCTCATCTGAACTAACTCCCTGTTCTCAGGCATCCAACTATCTGGATATCAAACCCCTGCTTGACGTTGGCTGCAAGACTGTCGCCAATATGATCAAGGGAAAATCGCCCGAGGAAATCCGAAAGACGTTCAATATTACTAATGATTTCACGCCGGAGGAGGAGGAGCAGATTCGACGTGAGAACGAGTGGGCCGAAGATCGTTAGGAACCGCCCCAAGCAGAATAAGATGAAGTCCACTCGGGCTCGTTAGAAACCAAGGCTTGTCTAGCCGCCTTCTGCGAAGTTACCACAATCGTCCCAATGAGGACCCTTTCAGTATCGTCATGGTCATTAGAAGGTGAATATGACAGCTTTACCCATTATTACACCGGACGATGGCCTTGTTCAGGCTTATGAGTTTCGGGGTTATTAGGATGGATCCTCAGTATCAATTTTCAGATGCACTGGATTTATAGTGCTGCTTATACCATCTCGGGATGGGGATGGTAGTATAGTTTTTATAGAAAGACATTACAATACCGCGTACGACCGCAGCCGTTAGTAGCAATCGAAGGTTATCAGTTTGATCAAGAGAATTGCGCACTCCTTCTTTCTTATCTCGGGCCCTTGGGATTATACGTGACGTTTACCGTGTGTATTAAACGAGACTTCAACGTGTCAGATGTTCACAGCGCATATGAAACCAAGACGATAATCATCTGAGCCCAACACGGACATATACATTCGATGCAAATATGGAAAACCCATGTAGCTAATCCCATCTGGATATCTACTCGAACTAGATGCTTGGTTCCCTGGTTCATTTGATTTAGATACGTAAGTAGGTAACTTACTTATATAGATTCGAGTACCTACCTAACTACCTACCTACCTGCCTACTAGTTATTTTCTTCTTCTCTTGATGGGAGATTATGGGGTGGTAGAATAAATGTCTATTATTTAACTTCTGTGTAAGTTTGTTGTTCTTGTTGTTGTTTTGTATAATGTTGTGTGTTGGTTTATTAGGTACCTACCTATGTAAAGGAAATGCGGCGCGATAAAGCAACTTTTGGGTTTAATTGTTGCGTGGGAAACGTACTGTTAGCTGCGTTGGCGTTGCTGGCGTTGCTGATGGTGTAGTATGCCTTGGGATAGAGCTGCGAGTTTTGTTATCTTGGCTCGAGCCTGGGGAGAGAACTGCGGTGAGTAAGTGATTAGGAAGACTCCCTTGGTAGTTGAAGCAGCGGTATTGGTGAATCGTCTCGTACTATTTCCACTACGGCAAAATGCGAAGTACGCGGCCCCTATTAGATGGTGGTGCTAATATATGATTGACTGTCTGTCGTTGTCTGTTGGAGATATCATATTCTTGGTCAGTCATTGTAAGTAGCGTAGGCCGTGGTGCAGGTCGAAAGAAGCCAATTCTACTGTTGCCAGCAAAGGCTAAGTAACTCTCATGCTCCAGAGTACAGTAAAATACGCAAATAACACAATATCTCGAATCTCGGCTTTTTGCAACTTGTTTTTCATTTCCCATGTGACCGGTACCATGCAGATTTTAAATGACAGAAAAGTTCCTGAAGAAACCCGAATTCGCCAACCACGCAAGATCCTCGTTTATTTCCTCCCATCAACCATCAAAGTGTTTTCCATTTGATTTCGTCATTGTCCTGTCTGTCTGCTAGCCGAGGGAGAAGGAAAAATATATATGTCGCCATTGTTGCAGACGGATGTCTGCTTCTCCACTATGCCTCCCATTCCATCTTCGTTGATTTCGTCACGCGTAAAGCTCGAGTTGGACAGTTTGGGGAATCGTTGGACCCTTTCGCAAGGGTACACGGCAGGCAGCGTCTGTGCGGTCGATGTAGGTAAGACAAGAATGCGGGCATTTAGATTCCGAGACGGGTCTTGCGCCAGTGACGTCTCTTAGCATTGTACCTGGGACATGTTAGCTATACTGGATATTGTCGCCTAGGATGAGGTAGGTTGGTTGTCTGGCGGATGTCCGAGACAGAATGATATGGGGGATATGAAATCCGAGAAATTCTGGTCGTACCTAATGGTGTTTCCAGTACGGAGACGAATCCATTGAGGAATAGGGCGGTTCTGCTTCTGCGCCTTGGCAAGCTTCTGCTTTGTCCGGAAAGACTTGTGGCTCTATAGTTGGACACATCATCGTCAGCTCTCGTGTCCCAATCTCAAAATCGTATGAAGAAATGGTAGTGTGACGACTGAACCAACGCGCGAGGAGGGTATCGCGAGTGTGGACAATGGCGAGGGAATCGTCATCCCGAAGGGTATTGTGGTAGAGTGTCTCGGAAGGCCACATACCGGCATTTTGACTGCTTGTTGCTAATCTAAATGTCGAGAAGTGTTTGGTGATGTCTTCGTGGGAGAGTAAGAGAAGGAGATGGGGGGTGGAGTAGCCGGTCAAATCAGTCACTACAGCAGTATAGCGGGCCAGGAATTTTTGGCTGCGAGAGGGTTTTGCAGCCCCGATTGGAAACTGTGGGCAAATCTTCGGCTGCTTGTGGCTTGTGGGGACCTGCTCGCCTGGCTTGTGGTTATAAGCCACATGACATGAGGCTGACCAAGATAAGATAACAAATTCACCTGTACCTATGTAGGTAGGTACCTACTGTATCATTATTCAGACAATTACATAATCAAATATGTCAACCCCAAAAGGGCAAGCCCAGCGATGAATGGTTAATGCAGGCAGCGGTAAACAGATACCAGCGGCCCGCCAAGGCGTCGGCGCATCAAGGCTCCTTGTCACCAGTGCCGGGTCACTAATCTTGCATCCCTGACTCTGCCCTGGAGCTGGCGGCCTCTTGAACTTTGGATCTCAGAAGTATCGAGTGAAACTGTCGCTCCACGAGAAAGTATAATCATCCCCAGCGCATTCTGACACGCAACACTCGAAGCACGGTTCTTACCACCTCGCCATCAACCGCCACATATATACACAGCACCCCGTTCGACAATAAGCAGGCTGCAGCCCAATAGTTCTGCCCGTCATTGGGGGCGCGATCTAGACCAACCCGTAGCCCCTTTCTATCGACACCCTAGATACTCCCGCTTAAGAGCCGTCACCGATCTGAGTCCCGCCGCCTCCGGATTGGCGCCGCTCTATACTGTGTATCTCTCTCCTCCATCTTCTCTAGCTACCACTATCGCTTAAGTCGCCATACCGCATACGCCATGGGTCAGAGTGTGTCGTGGCTGTCAGGCCTGATTTGGACCAAGAAGGAGATCAGAATTCTGATTCTGGGTCTGGTACGCTTCGACGTCTTGGGCAGCCCCCTCACTATCGCCCATGATCATCCATGCTAACCGACGGGTCGAAATCGTGTAGGACAACGCCGGAAAGACAACATTACTCTACAGGCTCAAGGTCAGTACTTCCATGCATGGCGCATCAACTATCTGTCTGCTTCTGGAGGTGCCGCAAATACCTTGTAGAAGAAAGATGTTTAACCCTGCTCTTAGATCGGTGAGGTTGTCACAACCATCCCCACGATAGGCTTCAACGTCGAGTCGGTATCCTACAAGAACCTCAACTTTGATGTATGGGACTTGGGCGGGCAGACATCCATCCGGCCTTACTGGCGGTGCTACTACGCCAATACCGCTGCCGTAATCTTCGTCGTCGACAGTACCGATATCGAGCGTCTACAAACGGCGGCGGATGAGTTGGCCGCTATGCTCAACGAGGAGGAGCTGAAGGATGCCGCTCTGCTTGTCTTTGCCAACAAGCAAGATCAACCCGGCGCTAAGGGCGCCGGTGAAATATCTGAGGCTCTGAGACTGGGCGAGCTACGGGATCGGAACTGGAGTATTGTAGCCTGTTCTGCTGTTGACGGCAGTGGTGTTAATGAGGGAATGGATTGGCTAGTAGTAAGTCGTTCCCTCCTTGGTCCAATTTTCCGCCCCAGATCTAATGTTTGTGTAGCAAACGGTCAACCAGGAGTAAGGGACAAACACGTCTACCCATTCTTTCGAAACACCTAGTCTCATTCTTGTACAACATTGACGGCATCCCATAATGCCCGTCCACAACAGTCATACGAATTGCCATTTTCGATTTTCCCATCACGATGCACGTATGCTTTGGGTAGACCTTGGCCTCTTATACATCATCTAGGGGTCACCTGGGGACGGCATGGGGAGGAGTAAGGCGCACGCTATCATCACCAGATGTAGAGGGCACGGTCGTTTTTTTTCAAGAGACAAAATATTTCTTTAGAATTACTGAATCGGCGTGAAGGGACGTTTGTCGCATTGGGTGAAAATGAAGGGTGGTATTTTTGATGTTCATGAACGAAACAACCACGGATGCCCACTTACTGCTACACTACTGCATTTTCGATGATGAGATATGGTACAAGACCTGCGATTCTTCACGCACACCCACACCCACACTCACATATATAAACATCAGGCTACGAAGCCATTAATAGTGTGCCATCTTAATACGACGCTAATTTTATGCTACATAATGTAATCTACTTAATATCACAATGCACGTGGACAGCAGCTAGGGCTCTGAATTCCTGACGTGGTTGCACTGCAACTAGTTCGTTCCACCCCAGTCAAAGACTCACATTTTAGCTTCCCATTTCTTTGTGAGTATCGATGTGGTTTCAAGTAAACAACTTTCCATGGCTTCCCGGTTTGTGCCGTTTCGTTCCTCGAGTTTAGGTGTATTGGAATATATGGATTAGGTTAGCTAGCTGCTGGAAAGCCTTGGCTGTCCATGGCATACTTACACACGGATATGTAATAGGCATCGTGAATTAGTTTCTTCTTCCTAGGCCTGCACTATACTAAAAATCATCCCCTTTTAACACACGTTAGTTCTATATTCATATGCTAATTTGTTTCGAGAATCCCGGGCTTCAGTCAGATATATCCTCAGCGCGAACCCGTTTTCTCTCGTGCGTGGCTGCGCCATCCTCTAATTCTCGTTTTCTCCCTCCGCCAACTGACGGGGCTCCGCACATTAATTCAGAGTAATGATCGGGAAAGTAAGTCGCAACGAGCTTCCCATCAAGCTTATATCCCGTAGAAGCAATTGCCTTAACTATACTGAGAACTCTCTTGTCTCTAGTAACAACAGGATCTTGAGTAGCCAGCCACGTTAAGTAATTACTGAAAGCGTACTTAAACACGGCCTTGCTTGAAAGCCCCCGCGCCTCAACACATGAAATAAACAAGCGGGTGCTTTCTGAGTTTTTGGCGCCACTCAAGCATCGAGACATGACCCCGTCCAAGCCTTCCTCCTCCAACAATGGAGTTATAAACTTGATAATATATGGTTGGCCGAGCCATATGGCATGTAAAATGAGCTTGAAATTGACTTCGCATCGCCTAGGTGGAAGCACAGCGTCACACAGGTCTAATGTAATGTTGTTTATCGCATGGCAGTCAATGCCATCCTTCTCACCCTTCCCAGAGAAGTAAACCAGGATCTTAGTCAGAGTAGACACCGCAGCGTTTCCCATCGATGAAAATCGTCTATAGCAGTGAATGATGGTATAGCGGAACTGAAGCCATATCCGTCGACGCTCGTTGTTCGGTGATTTTAGCGTAAAAGCAACTTCATCTGAAAGGACAAAGTCTTGGACAGTGCGATGAAGAAAATTCACTTGCGGACTTATGGGATCAGCGAGATATGACCCCAAGAGAGGTTCATCAACCTCAAGTAAGCCCTTACACCAAGCATCAAGCCTTCGATGCATTTTCTCCCAGCGCTCTTTGAATTCAGTTGACCCCATCGGGCGGTAGACCCTTTCGGTGATTAGGTGGGGGTTGTCGTTGAAATCTTCTAGGAAACTGTAAAGTATCATGGGAAGGGGAAAATCGTATAACGCCGACACTTGAAATATCTTTGCTGTTTGCGGTCTGTAGATTTCGGGGATAGAATCGAGCATGTGTTGGAAGAACTTCTCGAGAGTGCCTGGGAAGCTATCCACGCGCTGTTGCATGGTTTTGAGTGAATCGTGATAAGTGAGTCCATCTAAGAGCTCCCGGACGACGAGAAAAACCCACAGGAAGACACCTTGAGACTTTCCGACAACGTCGTCCACTAAGGAGGAGTAGCTGGGATCTATCTGCATGAGCTTGGTGTACTGATTGTGCGCCTTGAACTTGTCTTTGATGTAGGCCCTTATATCATCTCTTGTCAGGTCTTCTAATTTGAGGCAACGGTCAATACCTCGATCGAATGCGTCCATGAAGACTGTCCATGGCCTGCTTGACACACATAATTTAACATTAGGAGAAGCCGCTAATTTATGTAGGGCATCTATCAAGTCCTGGTGATCCAGAGTATACTGGGCTTTATATTCGTCCAGCCCATCAATGCTGAAAAAGAACCTTTTCGCTCTATCGTGATTCAAGATTCCACTCAGAATGTCGGCCAGCTCTCCAAGTTTCCAGTCTGCTCTGTTTCCAAGCTGTGTGCTCAAGTGGGAGGTGCTGCACTGCTCGTTCATGAATAGCTTCTTGGCGTGAATGGACAGTTCAGGGCACTGTTGTAATGTTTCGAATATGAGAGAACGAAAAAGCCCTTCTTGCGACTTTTGAAGATCCGTACCAGGATTCCAGAAGTAGAATCTTCCCATAACCAATTGATGTGACCCGGACCATTGTCGTAAGGCATGTAACGTGGTTGGGTGATGGCTGATAAGCTTCATCAGCGTAGATTTCCCTGATCCCGCTTTGCCGCGGACCCAAAAAATCCCATTCCCATCCCTTAACCACTTTGAGAAACCAATCTTTGTCTTTCCATCAGAGAGTACATCGCTGAATACCCATTCGAAAGTATTCGCATGGGCCTTGGCGATCTTCTCTTCTCGAGCGCTGAGTTTATCGAAATAGAATGCTTTCATAACTTCTTGGTGGTCTGCAACCGCATCTACGCTTTCGGATAGGGTTGAGATCTTATTTGCGTAGTTAGGTAGCGTTCGTGATAATGTATGAACATTCCCGAGAGACAAGCGTTCGAGATCCAAGACGAGAGATTTCTCAGCCTGATTCATACATGTGGTATTTACAGCATTGAAAGCACCGAGAAGATCGGCCCGTAGCTTTTCAAGTTCTTTAGCATTGCTGAGTTGGAGATGATGGCTAGTATTTTCTAAGTCTTGAATATGCTGAGAGATGGAGGCCATGTCTTCCCTAGAATAATTATAAAGAGCTACTGTTAGTAAATAATCATTGATAAAACTAATAAATAAAAACGCACTTGATTTGAAACTGAAGATGTAGAGTCATTTGCAATTGTAGTCTCGTAACACTGCTGGTGATTGATGTGACAGTTTCTTTGTTGCGAACTTCCTTCATGGCAAGCAGGAAGCTCTTCCATTTCGTCTTTTGTCCCTTAGTCTGCATACAATCTAGTATAGCGAGGAGATCCTTCGCAACCTCCTTCGTACTCTGAGCAAGCTGCTTGAGGCCCTCACCTCCCGGACTGTTAGATGCCACAACAACACTGCTAAGTCGGATTAGGTCATTAGCGACATCTTGGAGAACTAGATTGCCAGCGCTGGCCTGGTTCGCCGACTTGTATATGGCAACAGCATTCGAGACGAGTTTGCTAATAAAGTCGACGAGTTGAACAATGTTGGTCGCCAGACCTAAAGCCTCGGAGGCCACCATTCTGCGAAGCGCCTAGTGGCCCAAGTTTGACTTTGTTGACAATGATGAGAGGTGTTTCTACGCATTCAAAATTTGGAGAAATTCGAGGAGGTGGCGTTCGCCGACCCGAATGTCGTATTATACTGCCTGACGTCCACAATAGATCTATCTGCCTGGGAGTTTGCCTGATGCACAGTCATCGCTGCACGCACACACAAGTTGCCCGAGTAGCATTCATTGGAAGCACTGACCGAACCCCTGCATTTACCTATGGCACAGCCCAGCCTTGTGGCATCCGAAGATTTGGTCATGTCAGTCTTTCATCGCGAACTGCACTAGAGTGTGTGAGTTACAGATCGAGCCGTGGGGCAGCATTCTCTTAGGGGTTGTCACTAGGCGCTGCCTATAAAGTGCACTTTGCGCATCATTTGGGCCTCCGAGAGCATTGAGCCACACGATGGATGGGAGCATCGCCATAGGGATCATAGGGGTAAGGACCATCTATTTCCTTCAATTGAAGTGAATTCCATTCGTCGAGGAGTGTCATGGTCTGGGTAGGCCAGAGAGAGGGAGGTAGCCCAGAGTGTCGTACAGCTGACGGCCATCCCTATCAAGATGTTACCTCCTGAACCCCATCGCCACTGTGAGAGGGATTCCTGGAAACTATTGTTTGCCTTCTTGTTCTCCTGCTCTATAGTAGCACAAGACGCTACAACACCTACCAAGTTTTGAGTGGGTGTAGTTACCTGCTTTCAACGTCATTAGACAGGGGCCACAATGAAATAAGGTATGGAATACCTTCAGCTCAAGCAAGGACCATCTCTGAGCACCCAACCGACTGCCCAGGTAGGTTAGAGAATCGTGCTCGGCACATGGGCCAAAGCCATGCTTTTACCTACAGCAGTGGGCATATTTAAGAAAAGCCGACGAGCCACACACGTCTACCCCTGGCAGGCATCCTTCAGGTGGCCAATCAACCAGCTCACGATACCCACGGGTAGCACGGACACTGCCATGGGACTGCCGCTCACTTTACTACGCGAGCTGTAGCTGCTGCTATTGTACGGTAGTATGCCGAATAGGGAAGCTGGGTTGCAGCCACCGGCATATCAGACCGACTATTTTGTGGTAAACAGCTGTGACGTCGCGGAATTGCTTCCTCGCTCGCAGAACCTCTACGCATAGGCCTTACCCGCACGTGCAAAAATGAGCCTCGTCCCTGACAATGAGCTATAAGTACGGCATTCGCCGTTGCCGTCTGAAGTCTGCAGTGATGCAAGCTGGACAGTTTTAGAGCTTGGCATTGAGAGGGCCGGGGACCAGCCTAGCTCTTCATTCTTCAACCTCAAGTGTTTGGTTATGTTCAAGAACATTTACACATCATGAAGTCTACTACTGTATCTTTAGGATGCCTGTCGGCACTGGTTGCTGGTACTATGGCCGGGGCCAGCTATCCAGCAATCCCATCTGACAGGACAACGCCTACACAGCTGCGCATATCCATTAAAGACTCTAACTGTGAGTGAGAGTGACCAGACAGCACCACCATAGTTCAGGAGTGCTGATATGGATATTCTGAAGCTGTTGCCATCGGTTGGAACACATACCAGCGATTGAGCAACCCATGCGTACAATACGGGACATCGAGCAACAATCTCGGGCTCTTGGCGTGCTCTGACATCTCCATCACGTATCCCACCTCGCGGACGTGGGGCAACACGGTGACACTAACCAACTTGACGCCCGGCACAACATACTATTACAAGATCACGTCGACGAATTCCACCGTCGAGCACTTTCTCAGCCCCCGGTCGGCGGGCGATACGGGTGCCTTCTCCTTCAACGCCGTTATCGACCTCGGCGTGTACGGTGCCGACGGCTACACCATCAAGCAGAATAAGGCCAAGCGGGACACGATCCCCCAAATTGACCCCTCGCTCAACCACACGACAATTGGGCGATTGGCAAATACCATCAATGATTACGAATTTGTCGTGCACCCGGGCGACTTAGCGTATGCCGATGACTGGCTTCTGAAGCCCAAGAATCTCTTCGACGGCACGGATGCCTACGCTGCTATCCTGGAGCAATTCTATGGGCAGCTCGCTCCCATCTCGAGCCGCAAGCCATACAGTACGTATCCCCGAGCATCACATTCACGGCCTAGTCGTTATTCTAATCCCCCCGCGTGTATAGTGGTCGGGCCTGGTAATCATGAAGCAAACTGCCAGGAAATCCCGTAGTAAGTAAAGCATTTCACCATCTTCAACCTTTCTCCCCATCCTATCTATGGAGAAGTCTTTGCCAACCCCGGAACCTTAGTGGCCAAATTCTCTGCGAAGTCGGCCAGAAAAACTTCACAGACTATATGAACCGCTTCGCGGATCTAATGCCAACGGCATTCGCCTCGCGCTCGACAGACGACACGGCGCGCGCGAACGCCAACAAGGCGCAGATGCTCGCGAACCCGCCCTTCTGGTACTCCTTCGAGTACGGCATGCTGCACTACGTGATGCTCAACACAGAGACGGACTTCGCGCAAGCGCCCGACGGAAAGGGCGGTTCAGCGGGGTTGAACAGCGGGCCCTTTGGCGGGATGAACCAGCAGCTCGCGTTCCTAGAAGCAGATCTTGCCTCCGTGGACCGCACCGTGACGCCTTGGGTCGTAGTCGGCGGACATCGTCCATGGTATACCACCGGTAACACCGTCTGCGGGCCGTGCCAGGCCGCCTTCGAGCCCTTGTTGTACAAGTACGGCGTCGACCTCGCTATCTTCGGCCACGTGCACAACTCGCAGCGCTTTCAGCCCGTGTACAACGGCACGCCCGACGCCGCGGGACTGCAGGATCCAAACGCCCCCATGTACATCGTCGCCGGTGGTGCAGGAAATATTGAAGGCATGGTCGATATAGGCAAGCGACAATCTTACAACGAATTCGCATACGACGATGACTTCAGCTATGCCCGTATTTCCCTGCTTGATAAAAATCGGCTGCGTGTGCAGTTTATTCGGTCTGCGACGGGGCAGATCCTGGATGAGTCTGTGTTGTACAAGTCGCATTCGACGCAGTTCGTCGTGCAATAAATAAATGTGTCATGGGAAAATATTATTAGTCTCCTGCTGTCCTGGGATCGGGTTGGTCGGGATTGAGTGGCCGTTCACCAGCGAGGTTAGAGACTGAGTGTGGCTACCTCGTATATAATAAAATACACCCCTTAATGCGAGAAACGAACGGGAGGGCATAGGACCAAATTGTCATCGTCAACATGAGACAGCCTTGAAAACTGATGATAATCTAGGTATCTTAAAGCTGAAACTGCCTATGCAGTCTCTTATACGGCGTTGAGTTCTCTAGATATTCTAGTATCTGTAGTTGCTTACCATTGCCTTACACCATGTTGATTAACCCGAAGCACACTTATACTGCCTCACTTATTGAGCGAATTAATTGTATTGTCCTCTGCCAAAAAAAGAGTGATATCAGCGTGATATAACAATAGCACTGCTTTTGTAATCGATCTCTGCGATTTTTATCCTCATCTTCATTGTCATCGAGTTTATAATACCAACCAATATTTAACTGGTTGCGTGATATCTTCTCTTTCCCGTTGAAACTAGGAAACGCTGGACATACAGAAATGGATATTCGCGAAGTAGCCAAACAACTCAAGCGGTATCGTCACCTGACCCAAGCATAGTAATCATCAATACAAGAAACCTAAAGACACGGCTGGATAATGTAATGTGCCAATATTCCCATCAATTCTTGCGGTTTTTGTTTGCAGCACAGAAAAGCTAACCTTGACTAGCCAGATTCATATGCATGATTGCGTCCCGTTGCCAATCTTCATCCTCGAGTGATGCCTGCTCCTGTTGTCCATCAACAGCGGGAAGTCGAATCTGAGGGGGGCCTTGCTGTAGATTGGGTTGTTGATATTCATCGCTAAAGCGGCCAAATTGAGAGGGGTAGCTAATGGGGTGCTCGGCAGATGCGGTATCATTTCGACTGCTGCTGGTTGACGATTCGACTTGTCGTGGAAGAGCTGACATCTTCTCCATATGTTGATCAAGCTCCTCTTGCTCTAGAATTTGTGGCGCATGTTCCATGTTCCTTAAAGAGCTTGCGCCCGCACCTGGTGCATTGTTACTTCGTATACTACCGACACTAGCACGATTGTTGTCGGCAGCGCCGTCAGTGGCTTCTAGAGTATTTGTGTCTGCATCGCGAATGGCAAATTGTGCAACTGTGCGCATCTTACGTGTGACCCAGCCGGCTAAGATCTTTCCCCGTTGTTTCTCTCCCAGCCGGCTGCGCGGGAAATCACCCTTGTTCACGAACGCAACAATATCAGCTACGATCTGATGTTCGCCTAAGATTGCGTTTACGATAACGGGGACAATCGACGCGAGGTATGGTTTGCGTGAGACTTCAACCAGAACAACTACAAGACCGCCAGCTTGGAAGACAGCACTTGACGAATGTTAGCTCAAGACATTCCTGTTACACATGTGAGACCACTTACCAGCCACCAGGTACAATGTTTCGATGACACCTCTCTACAGAGGCCTCGATGTCCATAGGGAAATGATTAAGGCCATTGATTTCGAAAGTTTCCCCAATGTTTCCGAGCACAAAGAGTACCTGCATCTCCACCTGTGTTCCGCCTGGCCCAATAGGCCGACTAATGGTATGTAAGAAGCCAAGGTCGCCAGTTCTGACATAGCGAATATTTGGATCGCCATCGACTGTGCGTCCGTCGAAACGTTCGGCATCAAAAGGATCCTTGGACCCATAAAAACTTTTGACGCATGCCTCCGAATCGACCCAAATCTCGCCGAATTCGCCGTCACTACAGAGCATACGGCTTTCTGGGTTGACGATGGCAATCTGCGTGGAAACCGGCACCATCCCTGAGTCCTGAACGAGGAGAGGTTTTGGTTCGGAGTCAGGGTCAACGGGGATGACCAAGCCCCTTCTTAGGCCACGTGGGTCAAGCCAAAGCTCGGTGGGTTCGATGCACATGTATGACCGCGAGGCGATCATTGGATTCAGCACATGGGAATACACCGTATTGATTGCCGTCCTGTCTAAGCCGGTGGCGGCAAAGTGGAGCCTGACTTTTTGGAAAACGTCAACTCGGGGTCTACTTTCTGCTGTAATCATCATGTTTTTGAGCTCGTGCATGGTAAATCCTTTCCCAGGCATAGTGTTCATTGCGTGGTCAAGCATTTGGGGCGTTGCGTAGGTGTCTTTGATCTTGTATCTACTAAGGGTCAAGAATAATGAGATGGGGTTCTGCGCGAACTCGACGGGTGACATGAGGTATGTTGGCGTGCCGATGTATATACCCATGAGGCATGAATGTATAAAACCGAGACCTGTCGTACTTCTGACGCAACCTAGGACTGGCCTTGAGCTCGTCATCTGGCAAGTTTCTTTCTGCACTTTGCACATGCCAAGAATAGTGTTGTGGCTAAGCTGCACTGATATCCTCCGCTGATCTGGTGTCCAGTATGCCCAGATGATGACAGGATAACCCGGTTGAACCCACGAGGGGTCAATCGTGATACCTAGGTCTCGAAGTCCACTATTTTGTTTTGGGGGCTTCGACGTATTGAATACGCCAGGTACATTGATTTTGAGAACTTGTGCCGTTTGCTTAACATGTTGTGCGACTGTCTTCAACTTGAGTAGATGATCAACCTCATTGTTCACTAGGACAGCCTTAATGCCGTAGTCGTTGATGAGGTGGAGGAAGGCTGGCACATCTTCGTATAGGCGTCGCTCATCCATTGGTGCTGTGGGGATGACCACGGCGCCAAGATTGATACAGGCATGGACAGCAAAGATAAAGTCCTCGGAATGAGTGTACATAAGCATGACATGATCGCGTGGTCGTATCTTGGCCTTGTTGCGAAGATATAGTGCGACGGCAGCGACCTTCGTGTCAAACTTCTTCCACGTTATTCCCTTTCCTTCTTTGCCCTTTCCGTCAATGCTACAGAGAGCTAATTCTTCGGGCTGACGTGCTACGCGCCATTGTATGAGGTCTGAAATGCTAGAGAAGTTATTTAACGGTGTAGACGTCCGATCATCAATGACCACCTCTCGTCTATCTATACCAGAGTATTGTTTATCGACAGGTCCAAGGATTTCGTCTCTGGAGCCCGAGGCAATCTGTGACCATATACCACCTAGTGGATCCACGCCAATAGGTAGATTGAGCACAGCGTGTTCAACGCCAAATTTGACGTGAACACAGGGTAAGTTTCCGAGATCAAATTCGCGTCTGCAGAGCATATTGCCAATCTCTCGCCGGCCATTCTTGGTAACACGTGGCAGCGAATTCGGGGCAGTAATCATCACGCAGTATACACGCAGGTGGTGTTCTTGAAGCAGAAGGTCCATACATTTCTCCGAAAGCGAATCCAACAACGCGGTGTCAAGCTGCCTAGGCGGGGCACCTGAGGTTGCCGGAGCCGTAGATGCTGCTGATGATTCAAGCACAACAATCGGTAAATGTTCGTCATTGACAAACACATCAAATGCTGAGCAGTCAAACACCTGTTTGCTCAAGTTCCGCAGGATACTGACTACTATATGTTGCACAAAGAAGTAGCGATGCTCAGCAATTTCGTGCCCATGTTCAACCCATTCTACTTTCTGCCGGATACGATCTTCATATAAGCCAAGGACAAATATTTTGCCTTCAATGACTGTCCCGAGAAGGCCAGTCCTGAGGAATTCAGGCTCTACTGGTGTAGGAGTCGGTTCGCCAGGCTCAAACTTATAGGGTCTTGCGTGGAAAATCTGCTCGGTGTGCTTAGGCAGCGCCCAGAAACCTCCTGATAAAGATGGCGAATCAACCCATATTTCTCCTATGGTCTGCGGAGATGCCAATAAACCCGTTTCGGGATCCACGATAGCCAACGTAGCATCGGGTATAGGATAGCCAAATGCACCCACTCGTACCGTCCCAAGTTCAGTTGTTGCCCTTTTACTGGCCTCTTCACCAATGGCGACAACAAGCACGTCGTTTGTTTTCAGCGCTTCTCGGTCTAATAATACTTCGCCGATAGTATTACTAGCATCAGATTCTTTGGCACTTGTTGTCCCACCCCCTAACAAACTGCCAAAACCGTTGGATGGTGTCGACTTGTCTTTATCCTTTTCTTCGTCCTTCTCATCCTTCTCGTCGTCCGGTTCAGTCTCCGCACCAAGCTGCAGCTTCAATGGACATCCCATGCGTTCTTCACCGCCTAGCCAATCACGGATACTGATCACCATACCACCGTGTTCAGGCAGACAGAGCATCGGGGCCACGACCTCTCTGGCGTGAGGGTTTCGTAACGGCCGCAGCCATCGATCAGCCAAAACCTCATGAAACTCGCTGTCGACTGTCAATGTATCAATCAAGCACAGCTTGACATGTTGGAAATTTGGTTCCATGCCCTTTTTGAAATTTCGAGTCGTCATCGGATCTTGTTGGTAATTAAATGCAGCGGTCTTCAGACCTGGATAATCTGCAACCATCAACGTTGCTTTATATTTTGTGATAAGGTGAGCATAGAGACCAGGAGAATTGACAGCTCGATTCTCAACCCAAACTGTTGTGTGTCCGCTATAGATATTGAGGAGCACACCAATAATCATGCCTATACCCTGCCTCGGGTCAAGATAGGATAGAAGAATCTCGCTACTTGCGCTACCGCCGATGAGTCGACCATTCTTGTCTCGAAGAGCCCGATTGAAAGTGTCTCCTGGGCCATGATTAGGCACTGCTGATACAATCGCGCTAAGACACGCCATTTGATGCATGATGGTGCGGTGGCTTAGGACGACACCACGTAAATCGCCAGTAGGCGCCCTGGAAAACTCTATATAAGCCAGATCTGGGACCGTTAAGGGTGGGATGTCGTCCTTTTTCTTAGGATGATAGCTCCCGAACTCGTTGGTCTTCCACCACTCAACACCCTTTGGCCAGTTCAGCTTTTGAGTTGTTATGTCTCGTTGAAAAGCTTTTAGGTTGTTGTCGGTGGTAAGTGCCAGATGTGCTTGCGTAGAGGTCAATATCAAATTAAGTTTTGCGTAGTCTTGTAGGTCATTGATAGGCACTGCAACAACTCCAGCGATGAAACAGCCGAGGAGAGCAATTGCAAAATCAATGATCTCTGAGTCGCGGAATACAAGAGCCACGCGGTCGCCGCGATATAAAGAACTCTTATCTCGTATGACCTGAGCAACTTTTTCCGCCCGTGACGCTAGCTTGTCCCAGGTAATTGACGCGATCTCCTTGCCTTTACTATCAAGAACCCAGTATGCAGGCAACTTCGCCGTGGTTCGTCCCCTATGTCGGAGAACAGCAGCAATGTTATCAAAAGAAGACATGGCCGTATGCTCATCATGTGGATCGGTTATGGCAAACGGCACCTCGCGCGGCTCTAAGGGCGCAAGATGCTGAAGCTCAGCGGGAGGAAGATCGTTCGCGGTGAGCATGGGCGGCGCCATAGCAGCCGTCGGGGAAAATGCATCGCCTACGGAATACCTGTGCACACCACCGCCGTACTCGGCTGATGGTTGCTCATACGACTGCTGTCCAGCGAAGTCTTGAAAATACGCCTGCGAATCCATCATGGTCCCAGTGCGGCTGTCGAAAGGGTGAACGGGCGGTTGAGCGTAGCCCCCCTGGTATTCGGGCTTAAATGCGTAGTCACCGGAGACCATAGTGCCTGATCGTGTGGGAGGATCAGACACCATGGTCTGTGAGTAGTTTGGAGTCGGGTTAAGAAATATGGAATCACGCTGCTCTATCGTAGGACGGTATTCGGCAGCTAGAGGACCACCCGGCCGCAGTAGACTAGCGGGAGTATCGGCACCAGCACCGTGTGGTGAATGTACTGGGGCGGACGGTCTGGACGGCAAGGGATGCCAATCAACAGGAGATGTTATGGTACTGGGAGACCAAGAAGCGTCATGATCGGGGCTTGAGGCATTCAGGGCAGCCAAAGCAGCGCCTCGATGATCACCGCCTGCGGGATGGGTATCGTCGTCGGGGTTGTGGAGTTTCAGGCCCCCGAAGCTGTTCGGGAGACCATATTGGGAAAGAAGCTGAGTCCTTCTTTTTTGGAACCTAAGATCAGGTGTTTAGTTAGCCAAAACATTCAACGGTTCAGCTGATTAGCAGGGCAGAGAAACCAAAGACTGAGCAGAAGTCTTGAAGTATAGTGACGAATAGAGCATACCCTTTCTCGGTGATGTCGCCCTCCTAAAGCCACATGACAGGTTAGCGGTTATTTGACGTAGAGCTATCCACGGATATCTAGGTCTGCGGGCCTTTTTTTTTTTTTTTTTGGAACCAAACAAGTGCATCGCGAGCTGGCGGTGAGGTTTATAGGCACATGGGCGTGTAGACATCGGAAGGGGACAGGCATACTTCTAACTCCTTCTCTAGCTCGTTGAGCTGCGCTTGCAGATCTTGGCTTAGATGCGCCATTGTCACGGCGCAATGGACCAAGGATTACCAAGAAAACGTGAGAACGACGATATGTATCGATGAAGGCAGCAATGGGACCGGCGGAACGGGACCGGCGAGCGAATCGCAATGTCACGAAGAGGGGGGTGGCATGGCTTTCGCAAAAGCACTGATGGGATTGAGGCACAACCAAGAGCAAACAAGCCAATGCTGGCAACAAAAGAAAACGGGCGAGGTCGACTGGATGGGCGGCGAGACGGTGAGGGCAGCGAAGCAATGGCTCGGCAGCGAAGTTTGTTGATAGGTAATCTTGGTCTTTGCTGGCAGATGGGAACGTGGGTAGGTACCGCTGTGTCTCGTGTCTCGTGGTGGTGTGCAAAGTACGGGACGGGAGCATGGGAGCATGGGAGCATGGAAGCATGGAGTTTGCTTTGCCTGTAGGCAACGGATCTCGTGGAGTGGAAGAGGCGCCTTACCCAAGTAGGTATGATTTCTTTCAGCGGGCATGAGCCGTTGCAACTCGCCCCGAGGCACTGATTCGCCAGCCGCAGGGGAAAAACGGGGGCCGGTTGGGGGTTGGGACAATACGAAGCGCCGCTTCTCGTTTAACGGGAAAAGAGGTCGACGATCGGGCCCAGGACCCTCCAATCTTCCTGCCCGCGCGAGGAGAGAGTAGGTAGGACTCCCGCCTGTCCCGCCTTGTCTAAGGGGACCTTACTTAAGTAAGTACGTGACGTACCAGGCATACTCCGTACTTACATAGTAGGTACATACATACACATACATGCTAATGCCTAGGTGACACCTATTTCACTGCTGTCTAAGAGGAGAAACAACTACTTCGCAGGTGCTTCTTGCCTATTGACTTTCCGCCTACATGTGTACGGGTGCTCAAGTGCCAATATGCGTTATACCTATACTTAATTGCACCAACATGCTTGGTGGAACTGCAGCCTTGGTATACCTGGCTCGTACCTAGGTTTAGTTCTGTGCTCTGCAAGGAATCTGGTCCCTATCTACCTACCTAAGGTATCTACCACGATGGACCAATATCAGGTACCGTATCTGGTGTGAGGTGGTTAAGTGTAACCCGCTGGCTGTACTACTGGACCAAGGCTGGACCAATGCTGGAGGCAGACTGGAGGTAACGGACGACGAGGTACTACGTAATCGATCACCACTGCTTCTACCACAAACAGGATACAGCGCAGCTATCTGCCGAAAATATGCTACGTCTCGGCAAAATTGGACAGGCGGAAAACCTACCTGAGCTCGCTGAGGTACCTCATATAACTGCAACTGCGCGCTTGAAAGACACCTGCAAGGATTCCCCTGAACCTTCGACCACCTCCTCTATCGATAAGCCTGCCGCTCAGCTAAGATCTGGAAGAGCTTCAATTTATATTATACCTAGATTCACTTTTATCATCTCCATCAACTTCTGCCACTAGCTAACAATAGCAATCCTTGACTGGATTATCCCCTGAGAGCTTTCCGACGCCGAATTTTTATCATTTGCCTCTATGTAGGAATATCGCGCGGAGCTTAAACCTGACAATTTCAGTATACATTTTCATTTGCCATCAGATTTGAGTCAGTATTGACATCTTAGTAGGCTTCAAGGTATGGTATGCCTCTTCCTCCGCACATCAACCTGCCCTCTCCTGCTTCGGTGTCTTTATGATGAAAATCAACGCATTCACAGACCTGTTCTGAACAAACATGTGGAAGAAAATGCATTGAGCTCTACTGAATTTCGCTCGAAGCTGCATTGAATGATTGAATCTATAGTCTATCTTGGCTAACTCGACCCTAGGTATCCTTCGTCGCCTCTATATTGATTATAAAACTATGAATAGGCCTCCATCTCCAATAGTATTAGTATTCCATGTAGCTGCTACAGAAAGCGAACACGGGTATTGTTTCCTCACAACGGTGTTATTGTCATGATACATTCAAAGAACCGCCTTGTTGTTAATAGTAGAGCTTTGTTGTGATCATCGGGTCTTCCTATTTTTGGAGAAAGAACAATGTGTCTCTCATCAAAGAGCACCAGCTCATTAACGATGATCTTGTACAAGAACAATACTATTCATCAAGAAACATAGATAAAGCCATTCCCTCGGAGTATATATGGTCTCGTCCAGATCGGCTACCTCGTCACAAAGATATTGCTTAGTAGCTCAAGTCTAGAGCTATATCTCGCACTACATTGCACGACCAGGGTAGCGGAGCAGGCATCACTACCAGTCCGACATTCACAAGGCCATATCAACTAGAAGTACAGAGCTCCAGCGAAAATGTCACACGAATCCCCAAATTATGATTTCTTGGAATCCATGGATGATGGTATGTGGGATGATATTCTGGCTGATATCAACTTTAGCACGAATGAGGGCCCTAACATTGAGCAAAAGTTGGCTGATGACTTTCCGGGCAAGGAAGTCCAGCAGACTCCAACTCCAGAGGTTCCAAGCGATCTGCAACTGGAAGCAACAATATCGACCGCTACCTTTGCCCACAACAATGAGATGAACTCACAGTCACAATATATCAACCCTCAAGATCTCAATTCCGCCACTGCGCCTCCACAGATCGCTGCGAATTTCGCTAATGCTAACGGCATCGCTAGGGACTTGATCTGTAATGAACCATCGTATCCAAATTATGCTTGTCCAACATTCACTAATTACGCTCAGAATTTTCCCATGGGCCCTCTATATGATGCTAATGGCCAACTTGTATATTGTCCGCCTGGTCAAATCCTTTATCCCACAATGCATCCCCCTGTGGGTTACAGGCTACCTTACATGAATGCGCCGACCCATCAACCCAACCCTCAACAACAGTTTACAAGCCCTCAAATGAGCCACCAACGCAGCCCCCGACAACCCATAAGCTCAGCAAATCGAGTTTTGTGGAAGTCTCAGCTTTCACCAGTTCTTGAGAAACGTGCTCCAAAGCCAGGTCGCCAGTCACTCACCCGAAAACCCCCTAAACATACTCCTGAAAGGCGGAGTGGAGCAGCCGATAGCAGCAACCCTTCAAGCCTGCCTCTAAAAGTCAACTCACGCCACAGCAAGCAACCCCCTTCGGCCGATACACTGACAACGCGGCCACCATTAAAACGACCAGCGAAGGACCACAATGGTGTGTTTCTTCTAAATGGCAAGATCCCACGCAAGACGCATGGCAAGAGGAAAAGCTGTGAGCCTGTGCCGGAGCCGGAGCGCTATTACGGGCCCTCTCCTCCAAAACCTCACGCCTGGGGTCCGCGCGACAGCAAGGGGCGTCATCTCTTCACATACACGGCAAAAGGCGAGCTTTCACCGGGGCTCTTCTTATCAATCCGCGAAATGCGATCGTACTTATTGGGACCTAACCCTCGTGAAGACTTTGATCCCCCAGCCCGTTTACCGGGTGTAAAGCTCGCGAGAAGGAAAATTCGTCAAGGCCTAACGCTTTGGATCGGCTGGCCGACGCCTATGTCGAATTTTAGATATCCGCGCGGGGGGGAGAGCACTAAGTGCCGCTTTGAATCATGCCGATTTAATCACACTATTGCTCTAGGAGAACCTTGGGTGATTTTCGACGAGAGGCAAAATGTAGACGGCGAGATGATCAATCCGTTTCACAATGCTGGCTACGTACACCTATTCTGCCTTGAATATCACTTTGATATCATTGATCTATGGCACCTGGTTGACATCCGCCCCGATTACCGATCGTTCAAGCGCGAGTGTCACCCATATTTTTCTCTTGAGCACAAGTTGTCGGGTATTGACTTTGAGCTCAAAACTTGGTGGATTGCGACATACGAACAGTGGTGGCAACTTAAGTGTGACGGAAAGAAACGCGTACGCGACCACCCGACGTCATTGACAAACTGCCTCATTAACTTTAAGCTTGATCGCGAGCCTACATCACTCATGAGAAACCGTGAGAAGCGAGTCGGTATCGATATGGCGAAGCATCGCGGTGACCCAGAGCTCAAGAGAAAATACCGTCTCTATAAACAGTACGGGTTACTTGACGAGATGGGGTTCCCGACGGCTGATGCAGCCGCTCAACTTCAACTGATCGAGAGTCAACAGCGAGCAACGAAAATGGGCCCACCTATGCCCTCACAACCAATTCCCACATGGGATAATGGCCAGCAGTCAGGGCCAACATTCAGCACAGGGGGGGGACATGCGAATCTCGTACATCTCAACCAACCACTTCCAGCGGATCACCCATATGCCCCTAAAGCCCTTAATATTCCATTAGAGGGGGCGACAGGGCAGAAGCGATCCCACGAAGACATCACAGATGGCACCACCAAGACACCTTCGCCTAAGCGTCAGCGACTTCACGCATCTACTGTGCCGCAAACGTTGCCCAGCTCTAGCATAAAAGTAGACCCCATCGGCAGCCCCGGGGTAATTGACATGTACGGTAAGCTACAAGCAGAACCACAAGCGGAGTTGTTAACCGAAGCCAATACCGCAATGGACATTTCTCATGAAGTCGGAGAGATCAAGGCTGAACCTCAAAAGGAGGACCTCAGCCCATCTACATCCCTGCAATCATTGCCCAATTTCTCGGGTACAGCCGACTTGAGCTTGGATGATATTGATGAATTGTTCCATGCGCCTGAAGAAATTGGAGAACCGGAAACGCCGCCAGATGTACCAAAAGGTAGTTCCCCCTTCCCCCAAACCTAAGGTCTACAGGTCTTCTGGAGAAATGACTAAACGACAGAAATCTGCAATCCCCCCTCCCCCCGGGGGAAAAAAAAACTTAAAAAAAAGCTCGAAAACTTAAGAGGTGAGTCAACGATTAAGGAATTCACAGAGGGAATTACTTATGTGTCCGTGTTCCAAATGACAAGCCAAACAACCAAATAAGAAAGGAAAAAACAAAAAACAAAAAAAACACTGTTTCAGTTCTAGTTTATGGTTTACCTGCCTTGCGAGTACCATGTCACGACGCGTCAGGCAGAGCAGTGTATATAACTACCTAGTACCTACATATATAGTCAATGTTTACAAGCAAATTTCAGCAGAGAACTCTGTTTATCCAGCCAAGTAGGAGCGTAGGAATGAGCCAACTTGAACGATTATGCCGTGACGTAGGATGTATACACGATAACGTAGAGTACCTAGAGAAAGCACTAGAACTACCGTAGGTCTGGGAGGGAAGTGCCTGCCTACTCTCTGCTCTCTCTTTCCATCGCAGAAACCGAAGAAGGGGAGAGAGAAAGGGGGAAAGAGTGGGAGAAATAAAGCCCAAAGGGCCGTGGCGTAACTTCTTCACTTTTGACATTGCTGTGGGCGAAGTACCAAGTAGCATGCATGTATCGATTTGGGATCAATAACATTGCACCCTAGAAGGAAGGCATAGGCCTAGACCAATATGGCCCGAGTCAAGTAGTCAACCGCTGACGAACAGGAAGGCGAGTATGTGAGGCATGGGGAAGCACGGCATATAACACAATCGTAGAGGATCGGAGGTACTGTAAGATGGATGTACATAAGCAGGCAGGCAAACATGATGAGAACGTGCCTGCTCCCATCCCAGAAGAACTGCTTCACAGCAGACAGTTTGTAGCACTTACCGTGGCACCTACCTCCCCGGTCAGGTTTCGTGTGAATGCGTGTTTCGGACTGATACGGTGTGGCAAGTACGAGAATGGCGTCTGTGTTGTTACGTAGGTTCCTGTCACACGATGCTTGTGATGCTTGTGGCCAGAGTTAGGTAGGTGAGGCAGGAGGTGGGTGAACTTGAAAGACCAGAAAAATAGATAGTAGTTGCCACAAGGCAGCCCATCGCGCGCCCATGTCATCACCATGTCGTAGTGCAGACATTGTACCTGCAGTGGCCGGCCGCGCCGTGTCGCTTGGGAACGCCATTCTCCACTAAGATGTTGCAGGATGCCGCAGGCGGGGGGCGCGGCACAGCGGGCTCTCCGAGAGAGCACCTGGGCAGGTATCTAATGGATGGATTTCCCCGACAAGGCCGACAGCTAGAGATAGGCCCCTCCCAGACCCCTCCCTAACCTAGGTAGCGATTCACTAGGTAGGTTAAGTACATAGTATGTAGGCAGGTATGTAGTGCTACGTAATACCAGCATTTTCAGGTGTCCGGCAGGGAGTAGTAGCACTTGAAGGGCATATGACTGAGTCCAGGGGGCGAAGATGGTTCCTCACAAGTATGGGTAACTTCTATTAAAATCAATATGCCGTAGTACATACATGTAGGAAAATATTACCGTGAGAGTGAGTGAAACAAACGACTTGCCCAGGGAGTACCAACACCAGCAACCTTCTCACAGACAGTCCCCAAATATAGTACTACTGGCTGTGGGCCGACAAGACCCCACGCGGGGGCCATAGCGTGTAGGTAGTGCAGTACATACCTACGCAGTACCTGTAGGCTGGTGCGTCGCATCTTGCATGCCTGAGGTCCTTAAGTACATGCAGTATGTACGGTAGGTGGTTGGGAAGCTGATTGGAGCTCCCTACACCCCCATAAGCTCCCTGATCTGTAAAAGAGTGGTAATCCCATGGTCCATGCTCTGTAGGTACGCTTACGGGCTGTACAGCGTTGCGATGAATCTAGCCTTAAAATGTGATCTTCCCCAGGTTGCCAGATCGTCATGTTGGAGCTACTGAGATGTGCATCTACCCACGCATTGTGTCACCACCCGGGCAGTGGTATTGGACTGCCGAGCGTAGGGCCAGTTCTTGAGAACGAGCATTGTGTTAGATATTTCCCGAGCTCTCACCACCTAGCTGGCGTGAGCATGCCCCTTTCCCGTGCTCCTTCATCTTTTGTTCCTCTGCCCCCTGTCCTCCGTCCCTGCCACGAGAACGTAGGAGATTGATGAGCAGATTCCGAAGTAAAAGGAAAGAACATATGGGGGGATGAGACAGGCAAACGGGCGGAGAGCGTGCTAGGCTGCACTAGGTACTTAGTAGATAGGTAGACGGTGCTGGCATCGCTGTACTGGTATGTACCGGGCACCCCTAGCGTACGCTATTCGGTACCTATCTATACGCAACAGAGGGAGAAGAAGGGCTCGCATCTAGGAACCATCACGTGGCCATCCCAGGGGCTGTGTCTCTCGACTCTTTCCTCTTGGTCAAGATAGAGCAGGCAGGCAGGCAGTTCGAGTCCAGGCACTTTCCTCGAGGTATTCCAGACTCAAGTCGAGAGAGAGAGTATTGTCCGTCTGGGGGGATGTGGGAACAAACCATCCCATACCCTCTCTCCTCAATCTCTCTTGGCAGACATCCATTCTCTCTACTCCATCCAACATTTCCATTCTTCTTCAATCCGATCGACTCCAGCCAGTTCCAGCCACTGGCCTTAACTCATACCTTGTAGACAATTCTTCAAATTTGATACCACAGGACATCATTCGTGCGGCCGGACAGATGAGAGGCCTGTCTGGATTGTCCGATTCCCCTTTGCTAAAACATCTTGCTCATATCTTTTGTCTTCGTCGAGGTGTATTTAATTCCGGAGGGGCAAAAGCAGGCCCAGGAGCACCGTACACACTTGATCCTGCTGCCAATACACCCTCTGATTTCAAAATGGCCGGGACAGATGAACCCCCAGGACAAGCTGAGCAATCCCAACCTGCAATGCAGGTCATCGTTCTTGTAAGTTGGATTTCTCTTGTCTTTAGCAACCAGTTCATAAGCACCCATCCATGAGCCCCCCGGCTAGGTCATGTTCACAATCTCTTTGTTCATACGTCGTGATGGTTGTGTGTCATTGAGATGCACCCCCATCCTGGGCGCTGCGGGCAACACTGCAGCACACGGCAGCACACCGAGGATCAGTTGAACCAATTGGCCCGCTTGCCCCCTGCACTAGCACACCAAGATGCCAACCACTTGGTGTCTTACATGGTCAGATCTCCAATAAGTCTAGGGGCGGTTTAGGCCACCTGGATAAATCTTGTCCCTTATCGTCATCATCTTTGCATTGTCCTTTTCACTGCCCGTGTCATATACTGGGATCATCTTGTCTTTGGCATTGAAGACGAATTCGAATGTCATCCCACTGTGGGCTAGCTTGGTCTTTCGCCTGCAATTGGATATACGCTTCTTCATGTCTCCTCCGTATGTCGATCCTATAAGGAGAGGCCGGCAGGACGATCCAATCAGTAATGCCATACGAAGGGACGTGCTTGTGCAGCTCCCGGGCGCCAAATGCCGATAGGGCTCAACCAGAGTACATCCTGATCACCAAAGATGATGTGTCAGTTGCGTTCAACAAAGCTTGCTACTAAGATCCTCTTGATGTGGCTCTTACCAGAGGCTTGAGTTGCTGCGCCATTTGCATCACAAGATTGCCATAGCTTGGTATGCTGGTCGGAGCAGAGCTGGGTGTTGATAAAAACAATACAACAAAGAAATACTTAGGTACGGATTGGTACCAGCGCCATTGGCACCAGCACCTAGATCCAGGTTGCCCAGGATGAAGAGAAGGGGCTCAAGAAGATGAAGAGAATGGGACAAAGAGAACGTTGGACATCTCACGTGGTCCCTTCGTTTATTACGTTTTCACCGCCTTTAGCGTCCCTCACTTGCCTGAATGTTTGCTGTCCACAGGTGACTTCCTCTATAGGGGCTGCTATACGTACCTAATCGGACTTATGCAGCAGGCAGGAGTTGGGTTTCTTCCGGGAGGCACCTGGCACTGAATTCTCATGCATCTTGCGCCAACAAGAGCACGTGTTTATTGCAAACTCGAGGCTCATGCCTACATCCGACTTTTGGGCATTTCTCGAAGTCTTTCCTAGCGCCCAGAACATATTTACTTCACCCATCAGTGCACAACTCAACAGATAATGATGTTTGCTTTGCTCAAGTGCTAACAACAGTCTCATTTATAGGGTTCCGGAGGAGGCCCCCAAGAGAACAATGTCACAGCATTGCTTGTACGCTCTTTGGAGTCAAATTGGTCAAAAGGATCACTGATGGCAGTGGATGGAGGTGTTCATCTATCAGCCATAACCAAGATCCTAGAAGCAGACCAGCCCAAAGGCCTAGGTACCAAAGTCCCTTTGCCACATGTTCTTGAGAAAGGCCCTTTTGCTGGCTTCACAATCCACTCTTCATCAGCAACAGTCAACGCCGGTGATGTTATAAGAAACCAAATCGACACTGTTCTGTTCACCCATTCGCACCTTGACCATATTAGTGCTGTGGTCATCAACACAGCTGGGCTGCCAGGATCTCGACCCAAACGACTAGTCGGCCAGGAATGTACCATTGAAGCACTCAAGACACACATATTCAACAACGTCATTTGGCCAAATCTGTCTGATGAGAATAACGGTGCGGGATTGGTGACTTACTTGCGCCTTGCTGAGGGCGGCAATCCGGCAATTGGTGATGGTGCTGGTAAAGGCTATTTAGAACTAGCGGATGGCCTCGGCGTCAAACTTTTCAGTGTCAGTCATGGACACTGTATTGAGAGAAAACCAACCCGAGGCTCCTCTACCTTCCGGTATGGAAGTTTCGATACTTCATCAACCACGGCATCGCCAAGAGGTGCGCCGGGCAGCACAGCGGCGTCTGGACCGCCTTCCTTGTTTAGGGGATCTGGTGGCGGCCCCGAAAAAGACACAATCTCGGTTTATGACTCCAGTGCGTACTTCATACGTGACTATACCACTGGTCGGGAGATTCTTGTATTCGGCGACGTCGAACCAGATTCCATGTCGCTGTCTCCTCGAAATTTAAATATCTGGAAGGAATCAGCACCGCGAATCGCAAATGGCAACTTAGTTGCAATTTTCATTGAATGCTCGTATGACAATAGTCAGAGTGATGACCGTCTGTTTGGCCATCTAACACCTCGTTACATCATTCAAGAGTTGCAAGCTCTTGCCGCCACTGTTGAGATGGCAGCACAAGCTCCGCTGAAATTCGATTCGACTAAGAAACGCAAGAGAGAGGCTGAGCAGGGCACCAACAAGACCAACAACGCTACTGTAGCGGATGATGATGATCGCGCAATCTCGCCAAAGTCCACGAGACCGGCGAAGAAGGGATCGAGTGCTACCACGACCGGTCCAGACCACAGTGGAATGGATACGCCGCATATTGCGACACCAACAGCGGAGATGTCTCTCACAGAACTTGAGGCTGATGCATCTGACGCCAATCACGTGCCGCTCACTCCTCAGTCAGCCAATGTCCTCCGGGGTCTAAAGGTTATTATCATTCACGTCAAGGGGAAACTCGTGGACGGAGATCCACCAGGTGATACCATACTATCCCAACTGCAGAAAGCAGAGAGTGAAGCCCGATTGGGTTGTGAATTCATTATCTCGAGCACAGGACAGAGCTTCCTATTCTAGTTTGGAAGCCTGTACACACCTCTTGGCCGCTCTTTTGCTACTCGGAATTCTGACAGGCACCAATTATTTAGAAGTTAATACGCTGAACGGATATGTCTTCAATAAGGCTCACTATACACCGTTCAGTAAATGAGCATGCGATAATAAAAAACCGAAACGACAAAAAAATACCCCATACACGATCGAATATGAATCCGACGGCCCTTCTTTCTCAGCATCAAGTTGTGTCACCAACACTTAGTTTGTCTTCATACAGTGTTATATGTATTGGGCTCCAAGAACGCTCCATGTACTTACTTATAGCTTGCTCCGACTTTGTGCTTCGCGGCGTTTTGGAGTTGCTTGATACCATAGAGCTATAACTTTTGGAACCGAGGAAGGACGAAGAATGGTTGATGGACAAGGGTCCACTTAATGAGACACTAGGTAATCACGTAGCATGAATATCAAGACTAATTAGTTCTACATCCAGTGAAGGGAGTGAATGGGATTATGTGCTATCTGACTAAAGACCCGATGTGTAGAGAGAACGACCTCTCGGTGCATCTTTTGACAGCTTGGGGCAATGCATCGACCCAGATTATGGCACACGTCCCCTGAATTGAGCGAGTATCCCAAAGATTGACATTATCCTTCTCTCTACGTTTCTTCAATCTACCTGAACACCCATTTCAAGCCTAGGTGTAACTTAGTCATTAGGGTCATAATCTCTTAAAGAAAAGAAAGAGCGGAAAAAAGAAGACTGCTTGAACGAAGTCTGATTTAGTACGTTAGGTAGGTACATGAATACGAAGATCTCACGATAGTCTCATGCAACAGCGAATGTCTTCGAAAACTCTCACCCCAGCACTCCTGTCTGGCTGACAAGCAGTTTCGCCGCCACGCCCTGCGCAGCACCAACTCGCGCGGACTCGTGAGGGAGCGTGCGCGTCATTGTGTTCTTGCAAGGTAAGTGCGCACCAATTTTGATGAGCGAGTAGTTTTCAAAGTAGATGGGCAGGTGCGTGTATCAGATTTGAAGAGATGGTGGTGTGGGAAGGCATGAGCAATGGCTTGCGAGTAAATTGGGGGTGCGCACCTGCTTAGTGAGTTAGGGGAGTGAGCTTCTAAGTAGTCGGGCAGGCGCGTGTATCAGATTCGCGCATGTGCCTTGGTAGGTACCTCTGGGGACGTGTGTTGTATCCTGCGTCTTGATACATGCTATTAAGTCTCTTGTTACTAGGTGAACACAGAAGACTAAAGTGAGGGAGGGCATTTAAACTCATTTTTAGCTACCTCCTATATTCCCCTTGTTTCTTGTTCATATGGGGAATCTCTGGCAGTTGCCCTACCTAGATACGTAGTATCGGGTGCAGGTATCTTCAATCTCGGTTTGGACGTGACGTCACTGCGAATTTTGGTTTCTGTGAAGTCTCCTACCGCAGAGTGTGATGGTGAAGGGTGAGCGGCATGATGTGTCTGTCTACCTGGGTTCGTAACTACATAGGTACATGGGCACTTCAACTCATTTGGCCGCGTCGTGAGAGTCCTTGGTATTGGTAGGTTAGGTCATATATAGGTATACCTTATTGATATGATGCCAGATCCTCCGTTGTGGAAAGTAGAGGGGTCAGACTAATAACCTACTGCCTACATATGTATGTACCTACCTCGCTGCTCTCTTCTACATACTGTCTTGTCTGTACACTGGACGATATGAAGCCCAGAAATTGAGCATGAACATGCTAAGTACTTTACACCTGCCAACTGGCCGTAGTATTGGTGTATGAGGGTCCGACAGTTCCAAGTTCCAAGCCAGGCCCAATGCTGGCACGTCCAGTGTCGAAAAAAAAATAGAATTAAAAATCTCTGTCCCCGGGATCGTGACTTGTGTATCTGATCTTGGGCTACTTGAACTATAGATATACCATACTAAAATAACATGAGTGCGTGAAAACATCTCGTCCTTTCAGATGCCAAGCACTCTAAATCAGACTGTAGATTGAGACACTAAAACCCCAACTCCGCCTTAAGTGTTTTAAAAAGATCTCCATGATCCCCAGGTAATCTATTTTAACCGCATAAAAAGGTGTGACCAAAGAACGGTAGCCGACATGCTCAGTAAGTGTCCTTTATTGTGCCTCTGTGCGGCTCCTAAGACCAGCTAAAAGCTGCCGAGGATTGACTATGATGTCACTTGGCAAAGGCGAACTATCAGCTTGGTACCCGGTGTCCCAGGCGCTTCTGAAATGCTACTGAAAGGTTAAAATCGAAATATTCGACATGTCAGATAATTGATTGGCTAATATCACGCACTTAGGTTACATATCCACGACATAATAAAGTGAGCAAACACGGGCGGCATGCAGTCAATAAGAGCTGCTAGCAGAGTGCCCGTCATCGTGAGTACCCCGCCCAGTCGTGGAGCAGCCGGAATCTTCGGCTACAACCGGCGTTCATTCGCCGTCACAATAAGGTCGTCTCCTCATTGTCGTTCCTTGAATGCTATAACGGCTGGCTGCGCTGCTGTCTTAGTCTCTGCCGAGGTGTTCTCATCTCATCATCGCACTATTGCTACCACAGCAGTCAGTATGTCTCGGCATCCAGATTTCAAGACAGTGGAGGCGTCCCGTCCCGACTGGAACACCTCCTCCAGCCTCCGATACACCAAAACTGCCGACCCCGACTGGACGCACGGGTCAGGCGCCAACAACCTTGACGCCGGAGCCGCCTCAAAGAAGCATGTCTCCATCGACCCGTATGAGCCGGGTCGACCGGCCAACTTCAACTATAAGCTTCTCATCTCGGGTATCACACCACGGCCTATCGGCTTCGTATCAACGCGCTCGGGGTCGAAGGATGGGTCGGCTGCTGCGGCGGAAGAAACATTCAACCTGGCGCCTTTCTCGTACTTCAATGTCGTGTGCACGGATCCCCCCATCTTCGCACTGGGCGTGTCGGGGGCGCTCGCCAACCCCAAAGACACGCTGCGTCATCTCGTCGCCAATGGCGAGTGCACAGTAAACATCATCAGCGAGCATTTTATCGAGGCGGCGAACGCAACGAGCGTCGATGCGCCTACGGGGTGTTCCGAGTGGACTATCAGTGGATTGACGCCGTTGCATGATTGCGAGACAGTCCGCGCGCCGCGCGTTGGCGAGGCCGTCTTCTCCGTGGAGTGCAAGGTTGAGAGCATCCGCGAGTTCGAGAGCCGCGGGACGCCCGGCAAAATAGGCGGGTGTGTAGTTCTGCTAGAAGGCCAGCGCTTTTGGGTTCGCGAAGACGCTGTTAATGACGAGCGCAACCTCATTGACCCTGCGGTATTGCGCCCCATGAGCCGCTTTGGGGGTATCACGTATGGGCGCACTATTGAGGTGATCGAGCTGCCGCGTCCTGTTTTCGAGAGAGACGTTGGTATGGAGGAGTATGAGAGGCTGAAGAAGAAGGCGGCGGATAAAGCTGCGCAGTGAGAAGTTGAGGGCGGGCAGGCATGATTAGGCATTGCAAGACATAGACATTAGAGAAGAGGGTAGGGCTAAAGGGTACGAATAATGACTGCTAGAACATCTACTCTAGGATCGCGTACCATTACGTGTTTTCAGCTTCTATAGCTTGTGACAATCAAGGACGGATTTTATCGCCTGTCGTACTGAATCCAACGGAAGGTGTCCCGCAGAATGTTTGTCCATGCCATTCGTAGCTTTGCACTACATTCTGTTCACTGCAGGGAGGCTTGCCGAGGATCCAAGGATTCCCTCGACTGGAGATACGGCAGTGGTTTGGCTTCCATCTTTAAGTACCCCTTGGAATGATCTTTGGTCAACGATGTTATCACGTGTACAAACATCCCAGATCCACTGAAATACACAGCTTGACCAACGCTAGCATTTCCCCAGATAGTGGCTACAAACATTCTCACCCATGCTACACACGATGAATAAATACACTCCAAAGATTCTATCGTAAAGTGTCACTCCCGTAATGAGCTTCTTCAACGGATGAACCCAGATGCTCCTCGTAGCTTCGGGACTTGGCCCCCAATTTCGACGAGACGTGCATAACCCAGGAAGTCTCGTGCCTATATAACCGAGTTCAACGTTCCTTGAATGGTTGCAACTTGTGGTATTTCGTAGGCAGATCTTCAGACCCAAGAACATGGCAAGGATGCACAAAGGAACCACTTCGAGTAGGTATATGCTATGTAAGCTATGCCGGCCCGCGCCGCATGCGGGCAAACCGGGTAGGGATATTCCACTGAAGATAGAACGGGAGATGGCTTGGCTGTATGCACATGTGCCTGCTGCAAGTCAGACAACGACCCAGTAACTCGGAACGTAGTCTACAGACCTATGTACGGTAAAGCTAATTAGCCATTCATGCCTGATTCTCCAGAAGTGAATCTTGCGAGTGCGCCGAAGCATGTGATTATTATCTACGAACCTACGAGTATGTAAGAGCATAGTTCATTTTGTTAGTACTACGTACTTAGAGGTGCAGAGAAGAACATGTAGCTCAAGCATCAATCATGCTTTATTAATTCACTTATTCTATTGCGTCTTGGCAACAATTCCAGAGTTCAGCGCTTCTGGAACTTATCTCTTCGACAAATCAAAAATTCAAGAACTCCAGGGGTCCAAAATACCAAAGTTTTTAGAAGTCAACGCTTCCAGGCATTAATGTTTCCAACAACCAATGTTCCCGGAAATCATAGTCGTTCCATGGCTGTGCTTATGCAAGATGGACTCCAGGATAAGGAGGGACTATTTGGAAAACAATGCGCGTGCAACCATTTCCCGTCTCCCTCACCAATTCCCAGAATCAGGCTCAAATGATCTTTTTATATAGGAGTAGGTCTCTGGCGGCAGTGTTCCCGATGAAACGTGAACCATACTCGAGATAAAGCAAAGGTTTGTCGGCTTCTGAGGATGCTTGATCCCAATCTATCGTGGACAGGAGTTGGTGCCACGGTCCAATAAGCCGCCAGAACTCATCCTTATTCATTGTGGAAAGGTCAAGGTGCCACACGTAAATTGGTCCGTCTTGTAGAGTCTCATTTGGCGTCCGTGCTATTAGAGTATGTTAGTGATTGGTACTCTCTAATTTGTGGATGCCTAGCTTTTCCTTATCTTACTTACCAATAGTACCATAGAGATCTGACTGGAAGATTAAAGTAAAGTCAGTGATGGTAGTCGAAGAAGAAGATTCGGCGGGCTCGGAGTTCGACATAATGTACTCCAATCACAACACGGAAAGGATATGGCCTAATTTTACTAGTGTTCACTTCGGATTCTGTAGTCGAAACTCAAGCCGTTATCGACGAAAAGATGTTTAAGAGATGGTGATGAGATACTGAAGCCTTTGAATTTTGACAGATCAGAAAGGAGTATTCTTTTATACTTGGACGGCTGCCCAACACAATACATTCTTCCATCTCCAATCAACACTCGGTGTTTGCTCTTCGTTGCTTTTGAAGCACATGCCAAGGGAAGAGGAAACATGCATGAGAGATGCTCGACAGCTCTGGTTCTTCCGATGTAAGATGCTAATGTTGTATTACGTCTACTTCTTCTAAAGCCGGTCAAATCGGATACGCGGCAAACACGATTGTCTAAGTTGGAATTTAAGTGTACGGCGGCCGTTGATACAAGGGATGCAATCAACGCATGTTTTGCGGGTGTATTTGGCATACCTCGGGGTAGACAGGAATGTTTGAAGGTGTGGAAGATACGAGAGTTCGGATGTGGCTGATGAAAGGTGACCTACAGATGGAAATTGGGTCAGGAAAGGGGTGAGCAACCGTTTATCCATGTTACCTCCCCGCGATGAACGATGACACCTAGCTCTTGTCTCGCCTACCTCCTCGTTCCATCAGCAATCACTAACTTGTTTGCAGGTCACTGTTCAGTTCGCCCACTTCCACGAACCGAACAAGTATCGACAGCAATGGTGGCTACCCAGAGACCATACGCACTGGGATTCAGCGTTTGCGAACGATTCGCTGCAGGACTTTTCCCCCTTCAGTCAGGGGCCGAGATCTTGCATCGGCATGACGCTGGCTTGGCGCGTAACGAAGCTATTCATAGCCAAGGTCCTCTGGTCCTTTGATGTAGAAGCTATTCCCGGCGAGAGCATGGTTTTTTTGACGGGGATTTCAAGATCTACGGAATGTGGGAAAAGCCGTCGTTCAGGGCTAGATTCGTACCTATTATTCGGGACAAGTAGTTCTTGGCGTTTACTATTAACTAGCTGTATTATATCTACTTGGGATAGACCGTAACACGTATGCACATTTCACAGGGTTAGTCACATAGATTAAAGGCGAGAGGTAAAGTCTGACTTGTTATGACTGTATCATTCCGTGGACTGCGCGGACAGCTGCAGCCCCCCCAATTTATGTTTTCAGGATGAAGACCACCCTAGATGTCGGTGAGAATGCGTTTCATGTCTTGCGGACATTTAAATCAAGGCATCTCGGACGTTGGGTGGGCCTTACGGCCCCTGTAGTGCGCACGAGGGAGCAATTTAAGGTAGTATTGAGTGCTCTAGCTAGCTAGGTTCTATCTCATAAGCGATTGAGTGGTGAGATGATATATATGCGATCTTCGGACCCTAGTTTACCCACTCCTCGACTTCACCTACTATCTACTACATGGCGAAGCACATGACTGCTATTTCCCAATGCTTGAATAGATGTAAAAATAGCCTGTCAACGTCATTGGGATTGGACATAGTATGACCAAAAAGATGATAGTGTGTCTTGTGTCGGTAAAGAGCTTGACGAATGCGTAATTCTTCTCTTCCGCTCAATTCATTGATATAGCGGTCTTGAACTACTCGGTGACATCGAGTCTGAACCCACGGTATAAAATAACCCTGCGGTACAATATGATCCTCATGGTCTTCACGATCACATCCATCCCATATCCAAATATATTCCAGAAAATCTCTACGATCACATGCCTCCCACTGGCGGATTAGGGGCCGCACAACGGATACGTGGAAGCCCGCAATCCATCTCACCTGGTCTGGAGAGAGTTCTTTGACGCGTACACAGGATTCTGGGGCTGCTAGCCAACACTTGTATGTATTAAGGAAATCTTTGATCCACCCTTTCGTCCTGGGCGACCCCATTCCTATCGGACGAGACATGAGAGTGGCATATGCGTCGACAACAAAGCCATCTAACTCACGATCCAAGCAATCAGAAAGGATCCTGTGACTGTCGTATTTGTATTGAGCATACATCGTTGGAGAGGCTTGGATTATGGTGCGGAGTGTTTCCAGATCCGGGATGTTGCGCAGTATTTTGGCTCTCAATTCCGCGGGAAGATTCTCGAGTATCGACTGCGAACCTCCTGCTTTCTCTGAATCCTCACTATCCGCGGACGAATGGTGCTTGTCGATTGTACCAGGCATGGCATCAGATGGGGTAGATTGATAGAAAGTCTTCGTAGATATATCGCTCACAAAATTGTTATCTCTGACATAGACGTGATCGTTATCGTGTCTTCCAGCTCTTTCCTCACCTTCAAAGGGTGATTTCCAAGCAACTGTTGTCCCAAGTATGGTCTTTTGATCGTTGTCTTCATGTCCGCTATTCGAAGATACCAGTAGGGCTTCGCTGTTACTTCCTTGGGCTGTCAATGGCTGGTAGTCGTGTTCTGTGAGGTAGCCATCTCGGCGAGTACGAATGCGGGGACCTTTCTCGGTCTTTTTGATGACTCGAGAGTTGCTTATGATGTCTCTATATTGTTGCTGATAAGAAATTATCACAGGCAAAATTCGGTGGCGGGGTGATTTAAATAAGCAAACAAACTGCCCTATTCTGGTTGTGAGACAAGGCAAGGGATGGAATGGGGCTGCGTAAGATTGGTGCATGTGGTGAGCAACAAACACCCGCTCGTATAATGGGAGGACCTTGAGCGAAGAACAGGACGCAGTGAAAGAGAACGGAACGTTATTAGTGAGACTGGCCAGAGTTCACACGAGTTACATGGATTCGCTAAGTGCCTTCTTGCCGCAATAGTTTTACGAACCCCGATATGAAGACATACATGATACTGTTACAGTACTGCCCTGCTGTGGTTGAAAGTAAATATTTTGTTATTGCACAAGGAGGGAAACTCTAATTTTCGCCCCTTAATCCTTTATTTAGCTTTCATATACAGTATTCCCTGGTCCGTGCTATATATCGGAAACTAGGCTTCACAAACATTAGTTCCGTGAGGATGCTAGTCTCTGATTCCTAAACCTTTTACCTTTTAAGACGGGGTAACACCCTTATGACTATAAAGCTTAGTCTAATATATCTACTCCTAATGTAGGTTATGATTTTGTACTTTGATGGGTATGAACAGAGAAAAGCCAGGAGAAGTAAAATGAAGCAAGGGTAAGCTCCGTGGAGGTTCACGAGGGCAGAAAGATATATGGAGATTGGAAGGAAAGAAAAGCACGATTCTACAATGTATAGTCATATCCCTAAGTCATATTCTTACTGGCTACATGCTTCAGGCCTCTGATTGTTTCGGGTATTTCCTCACAAAGTACAGCGTGATATGAGCCTGCGTGAGTTAGAAACACAAAGGGTTCGTTTATTATGGAGTGTCTCTGGTATCCGGGAGAGTTCTTAGGCTTTTGTAAGCTAACATAATGAGGTAAAAAAACTCTTACTATCGCGTAACAAGACAAGCAAGTTAGCAATAACTTCTTATGTTTAAAAAATTCGCTGCATTCCCCTAGGGAGCTAAGGGTTTTGAAATGAACAAAAGATTCATCCCATGACCCGGTCGAATCCTAAATCTAGGTGAAAGCCGCCAATATGTATGTCATAACCGGATATGAGAATGAGTTAGCTGTCTATTGAAGCCCAAAACTGACTATTCCTTTCGCGTAAATCTTCCGTCGCATATACCGCGTAGGCTTACTGTTTTACGGTCACCGTGTCGCAGGTGCTTTTGTGGAAATCCAGATAACGTAATCATGTTGGTAGAACGTTCTAAGGTACACATTATTTTAGGCACTCATGGATCTTGCTCCCATGGTACGCAAATGATGACATAACCGTTCAACTAACTCGTAACCTGACTGCTCAGATGTCGGTAGTGTACTTGAAAGTGCCTGTTGCAGAAAACGGCAGTTGTCTGATGCGGTAACTAAGATTGCTTGAAAGAGTTATAGCCAGGCGACCTTCATCACCAAATATTGAGAAGTGCCTATAAGTGTTTTCACAACTGGTCACATAACATAGCCTACCAAGTCTTAGAGAAGGGATGCCTCCTATCCCACTTCACTCTGTGTTATATGCTTCTGCCTCAATCATATAGGGCCACACTCTATCGCAATGATGATGCTATCATCGCTGTGCCCTTGTATTGCCGTGCATCTTTCTTCTATTTCTAGGTACTCATATCCGTACACATATATTAGATGTATATATTTACGACATTGCTTACTCTACTTGGCGGTTATTGCACCGTAAAGCGGAGAAGATACAATGCAGGATAGAATACGAGCTCAACGGATTCAATGTTTCAGTGAAGCTTGAATTTTTACTGCATCATCTTGCGCGGGTGTAGGGAAGTGGTAGCCTTCCAGCTGATGTAGTGCGGCGATGAAGCGGAGTGTGATTACTATGAATGCCATGACTGGTGATCCACCACGTGACAGGGGTTATGTCCGCTGACAACAAGGAGCTTCGCTCTGTCAGAGGCACTAGAAACCCGGCAGGCAATTCAGTGTGTCCGTGCAGCTCGATCACATATCGGGCCTTTTGGTATACACTAATTTTGGTATCCAGATTCACCACATCGGCATCGTCGGACAGAGGTTGTATCCAGATGGAATCCCTCGAGTGTTACTGGTGGGAGCGACCCCCCGGGGTATTAGAGGTCTGACAGCACTCGGGATCTGAGGACGATTACACTAAATGCTCCTACGTCCTTGAGACAACTCCTCTGACCGCCATGGCGTCGTCTTTCACGAACCGCTCCGAGGGTGGATAGCATTCGCACAACGGACCGCTGCAGCCATTCAGGTTCGAGATACTAGCACATGTCCGTAAGTAAAGACATCTTGATCTAATGAACACTACTACATATACACTATCAGTATGTAGGTACCTATGTCCCTAGAGTACTCACATTTGATTCCGTGTTGGTTTCGGCATTGCTCAGATATTGCTGAATCAGCATACCTGGTATGGATTAGCGTCTTACACGTTTTAGCTTGGAGGCTAAAACGGCGTTGCAGCACAGAGTAAGCTTAAATGATGAAGCGCATACTAAGTACAGTACCTATGCATGTAGGACAGGCCAGGCAAGGCTTCGGACGCCTTGGCACTTGAGTCGACATGGAGACTAGGTAGTAGTAGCACTAGTAGCGGCAAATGTGATTGCCATTCTACTTACATAGTACTGTAAGCTGTAACGTAAGGAAGGCCGTTGTGAAACTGGCATGACCGTGACATCGTGGACGAGGATATAGGTAGGTAATATTGAGAAGACAGCACTTGGGGCTTTGGCCGAGGTGTGACTGTAGCTCTCGCCGGGGCTGTCAAGTCGACTTACTTAATCTGTTCGTTAGTTTTGTTTGCGCCAGGCCGAGGTTGAGAGCTATATATATCTTGTCATCATGGGTGTTTGGGATGCTAATACGAGTTTAGCATCCAAAGGGGCGTGATTGCCCCTACAGTATTCAGTGAGGGAATAGTTCAGATCGGTAGACTAGGTATATAATACTGTACTTGCAGGCAACACTAGCTGTCTGAAGCGTGGCTGACTGAACGTCTTGGATTTAGCCCAGCCGGCATTGTTTTTACTACACAGATCTGAGCTTATGTGTACCTATATAACTCTACTGATTAACGGCAGAGTGAGAATAAGAGATAAAACAATGGAAAGGATCTATCATTCAAGGCAGATCTCCCGCTTTAGGTGATATTACCCTTGGTTGCAGATCATAAATATAGACATAGGTAGGTAGTACGTGTATGATGAAAGCTGATGCGAAAAGACGCAAATGAGCATGGCTCATGCAACAAAGCAATGCACATCATTCTCGTCGCACGGGACGGCCCGGGTTACTCACACCTCGGTAAGGTCTGCTTCATATCTTGGACTATCTATATCTCGTTGCGACAGGGTAGCAATGACCCTGGAGTTGTAGCACCAGCTCGAGACTTTCAGAGCATACCTTGCTTGCCTCACCCTAATCTGACCCTAAGCTTGGGCTCTCAGATTCACCTACTCCTTCCCGTAATTGGCGGCTTAACGACTCAGACATCCACCTCCCACGCGCGCATCCAATGTGAGAACCTTGCGATAACTGCACTTATTTACATGAAGAAATGGATCAAGCTACCGCAGCTTGGGGCCAATCACAACTAAATCTACCAAGCATCTCCACCGACGAGCGGGGACACTATCAGGAATAGCCTGGGGACGGCGTCCTGCTGCGTGTGAGGGCTAAGTGGTACGATCGTGGAGTACAGACATCCTTCTCCCACGAACATACTTGTAGCAAGTCTAAAACCCGCAGCTCAATTGGCGCCTTTTGCAAATGCCATGTTGCCATGTCCATGTCTTTTCTATTGCCGTACAGAACTGGTTTGCTCTATCGCTACGATTTGTAATAGCTCCCCACGCGGCCAGACTGTCTTAGTGTTCAGGAAGAAATAGCCAACTTGAATATAACGTTCGTCGTTCTCCTCACGGATGAACATGGCGCAAACTGTCCATTGAGCAGGTCTCCCTGGGCTGTGTTGACCTAAATAGGGTCACCTATGTTACATTGGACGTCTGATTAAGGCTTCGTCTCAGCACATGGGGGGCCGTGGTAGCCGATGCTGTTATCGGTATTGTTACCCGGATGACCCTTTGGGATCTCGAGGGTCTGTAACCAGTAGGAAGGTAGCTTCGCTACAGCAACTCCTGCTTTTATGTCAGAGACCTGTGCAGTGTCTATACCATGTACTAATAAACGCCTGTTCCCAATGAAGCATTAGAGTATGCCAGTGCAGTCAGCTTATCGCGTCTGTCACAGCTGGGTATGCTAGGCTCTTGGCACGGATATGATGTGACCTTGCAGCCCAAGTCGGTTCTAGTGAACCAGTCACCAGTCCTACTCTGCGCTGTGTGGTGGACAATTTCTTATTTAAAGTTTATTTTAACCAGGGACCCCGTTGTCCGTTTAGTGTTGAAACTAACGTTAAGACCGCTTCACTTCAGCCATATACCTACTCTGACCTGCTGTTCTGGTTGACTGCCGAGAACTGCCTCACAACTGAACATGACTTACCCAACGGTTTGACTACGCCAAAACGGGACAGACACAATAACGGTGGCGCTATGAGCCTCGTGGGAATGGGCTGAATAAACTAGACGAAGGTGGGCCAAATACGTGGATCTTACTCATGGCTTGTCTGCCATGTAGTAAACCATGAAAGTCCCAACGTATCTACGCCTAATCCTCAGCTTAAAAAAGGTGTTTGAATATTTATGGCAGGTCTATCCTTGAACAAGTAATATGGAGCGATGGAGCTCGACTGCTAACGCAGGTATCTGCTTCGTTCCCATACCCCTTGACCTAAAATGAGACTGCAGGGAGTATGAGAGCAGGCTTTTGCCCTCCCCGTCTTCGACTTGGCCTGGGCTACCGATTACGTATCCGATCGGATCATACTCTATTACTACAGTGTCGTTTCCAGCACTTATCTCCATTTTCTTACCAAGTAAGAAGGTAAGACGCAAATGTGCTCAAAGGGTGCAAGCAGGGGTTGCCTCTTTTGCTCCTCTGCTTCCCGCTACCTACTAAGTACACCATAGAGAAGCAGGACAATCTTCCCCCCACACCCAACACTATTCACTCCCTGGCTATGCATTTCGACCCCATTTACGTAGGTCAAAGGGATCAGCTGGTGGATTCTGTCTCTGGTCATCGAGCTGTAATAAGTAAGCTCAATAGCTTAATTGGTCTCTAGGGCATTAGATAAGTCCCCAAACACAGAGCTTGGCGGAGACACTATTTTATACACTCAGCTGGATATCAACCTACACTTACATCACTTGTTGTAAAAGTAAACTTACGATTTTACCACTGCCTGCCAAACCTTAATCGTGTGGAGCGACCTTGAAAGCTACAGAGACGTTAATCGACCATAGATAGGACTGACGTGGGAGTTCGACTCGCTAGTGTGAACCGGCCAGGTCGTCGGTCACACTCTCTTATCACCCATTTCACACGCTCCTCCCATCCAATCATTATGAACACCCTTTCGCGCCACATAGCCTGCAAACTATGTCGCGACAGAAAAGTAAGGTGTGATGGCGGCCAGCCCTCATGCGAGAAATGTCGGCGGTCTGGCGAGACATGTATTTACGTGCCGACTCACAAACCTACAAAAGCCGATTTAGCCCAAACTATTGAGAGTTTACAGGAGCGATTAGGTACTAGTGTCCCTGCTGCTCAGGGGAGCTGTGTTCAGAGAAGATGACATCTCGGGAGGCTGACGTGCGTGGAATGCAGATAAAGCGGAAGCGTATATATTGACACACAGTAACACGAGTAAGGCTCCCGCACCAAATGAGCCAATACCGCTGCCAACACCTCACTCAGCGATGGGAGTCGAGTATCCGGACTGTTCGGGGTTCAATCTGCCAATACAGACGGCGGTGCCAGCACCAGATCCCTTCATGGCCGCGGGGATCCACGGCATACCGCCGACCCCTTTTTCGCATCAATCACTGCCCATGTCACCGGAAAACATGGACAACGAGTTCATGAGCTACATACCCAGCCCGCACATGAACATACCCAACGACGCTTCCCACTTCCAAATGGACGACATGAGGCGGATAGACGAGATGTCCGGACCTGGCACCACCTCATCCTCGTATCGGCGTGAGAGTGTCTATTCGCACAGGCAGATGCCTAGCCTCCGAGAAGTCAGGATAGTAAACGGGTCATCGACATCGACGACGTCGCCGCCGCCGTCGCCCAGCGGGAGGGGTCATAGAGCGGACGACGCCAATCACATCCTGGCAGAGCTCACGGCCTTCGGAATGGCCGTGTTCAACACGCAGGCCGAGATTGCGGGAATCTCCTCCGTCGTGGCCGAGTACTTGGAATGGATGCGCAAGGCGCCCCCGACGAACAACCAGGGGTCACCGAAGGCGAATCCCGCGGTTCTAGAGACGCTGGAGACCCGTGTGCGCGAACTCAACGCGCTGGCGGGCACAAAACACGCAGAGGCGTGGAGGCAGTCCGTCAACAGGCTCGAGAGGATACCAGGGGTCGGCGCCATGCTCAACCTATTCGACAACGAGATGCATCGGCGGAGCGGCGAGACGGCCGAGTTCTTCCATACCAACTACGACATATGCGCGCCGCTCGCGGACCAGCAGATGCGGAAAGAGTAGCGTGCGTGTCCTTTGCTCGCTTGCTACGACGATTTACGATTACGAGAGTTATCATAACTGGACTGTATATATAACTCCTATATATACCCCTTATATATATATCGTCCTCGAGTTGCACAGTTGCATCTTGTATTGTACATATTTCCCGGCCACGGGTCCTCTAGCGTGCGTCCTTCATAATTATCATGACAATGGAGTTGGGGCCTATCTTTTGGCTAGCTAGCTGTCTGGCTGGCTGGGTTCTTCATGTAGACCGATATTAGAGATTCGCTTTAGACCATACGATAATCTGCTTATCTACAGACATACCTATCCTACCTACTTACCCAAACCCCTCCAAAAATGCCTTCTTCTCGTGTGTCTTCACCCCACGAAGGTCGGTTATGAGTTTAGAATAGGCGGTCACGAGCACTAGGTTATGTGCCATGCACATGTGACACACTCAGTATGTCTGTTCACGCCTTAGCGCGGCGTGGTCGATTTTAACCAGGGAAGAAGCCCCTTTCTTCCAGCTGCTTGGAAAGGATGGTGACGTTGGCGGTGAAGGGCTTGGAAGTCGTGCCAACTAGCTCAGCACTTATGCTGTGCCACCCCTCCGTTTCTCAATATCTAAGACCCAGTTCAAACTCGTTCGTTCTTTGCGTGGGGGGAGGTGAGGGGGAAATTAGGTCCTTGGGCTTGCGTTGCCAGCCGAAATGCGCAAGGACGCCGTTGTATTTTACCTTGGAGTTGCTTACATGCTTGCTTGCTTGCCTTAGCCCCTTACCAGGATCCAATCGCAGCCAGCTTGCAATGGACTGCCGAGCCTTGGTCGAATCATCAGTCTGGAGTACTGATATCCCCATACCTTCATTGTCACGTGCAGAGCGGAGCGCTCCGATACTGAGCAGTGATTATCACGAAATGGATCTCGTCCGACCCCATACACATGACGCGTAACAGTTTGGACTGAGAAACTCGTGGGTTAATACTTCGTAGTCCCGAGGCGAAATTCGGCAATGCAGCCCTGCTGCCGACGGAGATTGTAGGTTAGAAATTGCCGAGAACCGCAGCTCATGTCATAAGAGCCCAAGTTTAGAAAGCCGCCTTGCATATTGTCCATACTTATCGAGACACATGTAAAGCGGTGAGGCTTAACGCCGCAGTCTGCGTGACCTTAGCTGTCAGCATTGTCGTCCACTGCAGGCACAGCCAAGATCCGTTTGGCTACCGTAATGCAGGCCTGACAATGGCGGAGAGACCATACAGGAATCATGACCGCCTTATTAGGAGAATATTTATCGTGGCTGTTTCCTTCGCAGATTACAGAAAGCCTGTGAGTTCCAGCAGACTACTTACTGATTTCACCTAGGCCCAATGCCTGGCGGGCTATGTAGATTGGTAATCATCTACGCAGCATGTCTGAATGTGGTCCACTTACATGATGATATAGATTTTCTTCTTCTTACGGCCTTAGTTGATGTTCATTGGCCCAATGGCCCAACGGCCCTGGCGATGTTGTGCTTTCGCCGCGGGTAAGGATGACGGACATGATAACTCCGGTACCTTCTCGGGACTGGTTGGCTCGCGGACATAGTCGCCTAGAATATTAATATGACGAATAAGATGTGGATCCCACAAATGCACTCGTCCAGTCCGGCCTAGGATAATGATGCGAAATCCCACGCTGCATATGTCGGGTACACTTGGCCGTCTGGGGTCCCCTTCCTACTATCTATCCATCCGGTAGGCCGTTCGGTGAGAGCAGTTTCCGAGATGCTCCGTCACGGCACATGCGGCGCCTGAAATACTGATATGCGATTCTGTTGAAGATCTTTCTGGCTTTAGACCAATATAAAGACAGCCTCAACTCTCCACCAAAGCCGGCACCTGCTCCGGCTGGCGGCTCTTCGTTTCCCTCGTATCATATGTGGAACAGCATCCTTCCATGCGGCGTCGGGATTAGCGCTTATTCCGCTGCAGGTGTCCGGCTTGGTTGTTACAATCGCATGTCTAATGTAGATGGAGAAACATCGGCGGTAAGCAGATAAGAAATTAGTTGGCATCGCATGATACGAATTCGGAGACGCGTCAACGTGGCGCAGAGAATATTTTAGTCGGTATGCAGAGTAGAGTATGCAGAGTAGAAGGACCTGCGTTGTCTTCGGTGGTCGTCAACGGTAGATAAGACAAAATAGGATGTTAGGTGGAAGAATTCGTCTTGCTTGCATCGTCGAAGGGGTTAAAGCTGCCCGGATAGGACGGGTCTTGTCCTAGACCCAGCTCATGTCAACAGGCACTTCGACTCCGAAGCGGAGCGAGTTATCTTTCGGTTCGGTAAGTAAATTGTCTGTGCTGATATTCCTCACCATGCGGCGGCCGATTCCGAGGTGATGTGGTCTAGACGACGTCGGAACTAGAAGACCAGGATTCCGTCTCGGCAACCGTTTTAACACCACTATCCCCTCCTTCCCGTTCCCCGCCCATACGGATTCTTGTTGAAAGCATGCGGGAATGTGTAGTCGAAATTTCGAGGAAGTTGATGCGTCCGGTTGAAAGAACCATAAGAATATGTTCGGCTGGGAGTTGTGGATTTATTAAGAAGTGGGCGTCGTTTCGCAGTCGCACAAGATCTTGGGCCTCGGGCCGTGACAGGGGCACTCATCGGCGCAATTCACCGGGCTGAGTTATGCCACCCGGGTGAAGCAATCCCGACAACTACCTACCTATGTCTACTATAGAAATGTGAAACTCCTCTTCTTTATGTCTCGGATTCCAGACCTATAGGCTTCCGGTGTAATCGAGTGCATCTTGATCATTTGTCCGCGAGCGCAGGTTGCACTGAACTTGATCTCATCCCTGTACCTATGTCCCGCTTGACAGTCGGATAACTATCGTAATATCGGCAGGATGGTGATGCCACTTGTAAGGAAACTGATCTCTTCCTCTGCTGCTAATACGGCTCGTTCAAGAAGAAATGGCATGCCCGGTCCGAGCCTACCGAGAATTCAGCCATCCATCAGCCAGTCTACGGACACTTTGGGTGCCATAGCAAGAATATTCATCCTCCTAATGTCGAACCAAGCTAATGTCAAGTTAGTTCAGAGATTGGAAACGGTCCATCTATCAGATCGCCGGGTGGTGTGGTCGCCTCGGGCCGAGTCTCACACACATCGAGGCTGTGCCCAATTAGTTGCGACTTTGTCATCCGGCCTGAAACTTCGAAGTTGTTTGGTGTTGTTTCCTGTCCTGTGGATAAAAGTTCAAATATCTGTTCAAGAGATATCAAGCTATCGTGTTCACAGATCACTACTTTACTCGAATGTGTCAATTATGATCTCTGGTGAAAGAAACCTTGCAAGTATGTGTTCAGCTATACCCTAGGTATGATCGGAAACGAGGCGAGGCCGCTACTCAAAACTTCAAGACGGTCAGCAACTTGATTTATGTTCCTGTCAAGAGGTGGTGCCTCTGTGAGTTCTGTAATAACAAAGCATTTTGTCAACTTTGATACTAGCTTGAAGTTCCAAACGAGCAAGTTCGCAGGGAGATAATATTTGGTCCGGGTTGAACCCCGGATATCTAAGTTAGGCAATTGCCTATACAAGTTAGTTCAATTCTGGCTCTATCAGTGGGTCTAGCTGTATCGGACTCTACTTGGTATGTAACTGCGATAAGATAAGACTTTCGCATATCCCCAAAAAAAATCCTAGGCAGTGTCGTCGCATCGCATCACATCGCCAGGATAGAACAACGCGAAAAGTAATAACGACAAGTCTTCGGGATTTCTGTTACTCAGGAAGCTCGACGAAGGGGAGATGAAACATGAGGTGGTCAAGAAAATAATTGTGCCTTCTTCGCAAAACTCTTGGAAGCCTGTGGGCCGATCAAGGTTGCCTTCAATACACCCTCTGATACCTCGGGGCCATTCCCAAAAGCCAAAACCGCCGGCGAGAGCAAAACGATTTGACGAAAAGCCTGCTACCACCTTGGTTCGAAGGACACCAAGCGCTGATCGGAAGCGAAACACCGCTTTTACTCCCCTCCATCCCCCCCAGTCCAAGTGTCGTCTGGCGCGACCCGCCCCCTTTCCTCTGTCAATTGGCACTCACGGGAACTTAACATCTGCTTTCTCCCTCAGGATGTTGAACTACGTCCAGGTTGTGACGACGCCTACTGCCGATACCCCTGGCACCACCTTACTGCTTCATTTCGATAATCAACGTTATCTCTTTGGCCACGCCGCCGAGGGCACCCAGCGCGCCTTCGTCCAACGTAAAGTCTCCCTCATGAAGCTTGATAACATCTTCCTGTCCGGTCCAGTCAAATGGCATAGTGCTGGTGGACTGCTGGGTCTGATTCTCACTATTGCCGATGTTGTCGCCGCGTCTAAGGAGCAGGCCGAGCTCAACAATGCCACAAAGCAGAAAAAGATGCCTCCCCCCCCCGCTATTCCGCCACGCTTGAAGATCCATGCTGGCGAGAATCTCTCGCATCTTCTCGCTACGTCACGCCGCTTCGTCTTCCGCAGGGGGCTTCCCCTAGAACCCCACGAAATCCGCTCTGATCCTCGCCGCATCCAAGAAGCCGCAACCTCTTCTGAGCCGGACTGGAAAGACGGAAATATCAATGTTTGGTATATGCCTATCGAGTCAGATAAGAAAGGCTCGCCCATATCTAGCCCACGTAAACGAAGCCATGACGAATTCAACGAGCGTGATACAACGGCGGCTTCTACACTGCGAAATGGTAGCGACAATAAGGTCGCTAGAGCGATAGTTGAGCAGATGTTCAATTCAAATTGGACACCTGACGCACTTACTGAGACGACATTGCACCAGGCTATACTACCAGCCAAGCTCTTTGTGCGTAACGAAAGAGGACATCTGCAGGCCTATACGGGCCCCCTGCCTGACAGCGGTGTAGACGTCCCTGATATACCCGTTCTGGTCCGCCAGCCATGGCCCGGTGCCACTGTCTCAGGGTTACCTCGGACAGAACCCTCCAGCCAGTCCATGTGCTATATTGTAAAAGGGCATGATAGGCGAGGCAAGTTCAAACCTGAAGAAGCGGAACGATTAGGTGTTGACAAAAGGGACTACCGGCGCCTCACAAACCGAGAGAGCGTTAAGGGGAAGGATGGAAATCTGGTGACTCCTGAAATGGTGCTTGGCGATACCGTTACTGGCAGTGGCTTTGCTGTTGTCGATATACCAGATATCTCTTATATTGATGCTCTGGTTGACCGCCCAGAATGGACCGATAACCAAATAATGAAAGGCATATGCGTCATCTTCTGGATTCTAGGACGTGATGTTGTTGGTGACACACGGTTGCAGGCTTTCATGGAGAAAATGTCCTCAATCAGGCACATAGTGACCTCTGCTGATACATGCCCCAACATGATCGCCCTGGAATCTGCTGCTACCCAAGCATACAAGTTGCGTTGTGTCGATTCTGACCGTTTTCCCTTGCCCTCTCACAACAACGAGTTGTCGCTGGCGGGGACCGTTCCCACCCATACATTATCTAACGAAACTGGCCGTGTTGGCAAAACTATACAGTTCGCCCCACACTATGAACACCAAGATGATAAGGTATTGCCATTCCCGGATATTGATAAGCTCGCTCGACCGTCTTTAGACGAGGATGTCTTGAAGATGGCTGCTCAAGCCAAGAGCAAGATATCTAACGCGGAATTTATAACGAAAGTTGAGAAGGCGGAATCAGACATTCCCAATAGAGATGCCGAAATCATCTCACTTGGTACTGGCTCTGCGCTGCCTTCGAAATATCGCAACGTGTCTGCTACGTTAGTCCGTGTGCCGGGTTACGGCAACTACCTTTTCGACGCGGGCGAGAATACCCTGGGGCAACTAGGTCGTGTCTTTGGCGATGAACTACCCTCTGTGCTTAGAGAGCTCAAAGTCATATGGATCAGCCATCTCCACGCGGATCATCATTTGGGTACTACTTCTGTCATCAAAGCTTGGCATGAAGAAACATTAAAGTCCGATCCATCCAAAAAGCTTGCAGTCGCCTCTCACTTCCACATGATAGATTGGCTACGTGAGTACGCCGACGTTGAAAATTTCGGGTTTGACCGCCTAGTTAATATTGGATTCATGCGCACCATCTCTGGTTCGCGTATCCCCGAACCACATGTGTTCGGTAACGAGGAAGTGGAGCAATTCGGCCTGGAGAAGATCCAGTCTTGCTTGGTCTCCCATTGTTATGGGGCACTCGCAACAGCTTTTACCTTTCCTTCGGGGTTGAAAATTGCATACTCAGGCGACTGCAGGCCAAGCGATGCCTTTGTACAGATTGGCAAAGGGGCAACGCTCCTGATACACGAGAGCACGTTTGATGACGAATTAAAAGGCGACGCAATCGCCAAGAAGCACTCAACCATGTCAGAAGCCATCGGCGTCGGTCGGAAAATGGGCGCTAGGAGGATCCTCCTGACGCACTTCTCTCAGAGATATCAAAAAATCCCCATCATGGAAGAGGATTTTGAAATACGCCCTGATAGTAAAGCAGATGAGGTAATCCTTCTCGGGTTTGACTACATGCGCGTCAAGCTCGGGGAGTTTAGGATGGCACAAGCATTCCTGCCTGCGATTCAGAAGTTGTTCGAAGACTCTACTGAATAGATATCAGTAACATTTTTATGACGATCGCGAATGAATAGATCGATACCCTCGCCTCTCGCCTCCTATACAAGAATTACAGCTGTTGGGTTTCGTTGGATAACGTTTCCCGACCTGGCTGATCCATCGAATGCATCATGTATATAAGCCACAGGCGAATTTGTTAATTATGAACGCTATAAATGTAGATATCTAATACTGGACATCCTAGATACGATGTACCATAGAGAGGCAAACTAGAGGGCATTATAGCTTCAAGCGGCTATGTAGCTGCTAAGGTCTCGTCATTCAAACAAAGTAGAAGAAGATACATTGTATAACAAGAACAATTGCATCAGTCCTAGTCTTCTCAGACATTTCAATCACGCTTCACGCGAATGTGTCCAAGTATAAATGACAATCACTTGTGATAGATATGTCAACGCATCATTTTAAACAGTGAAAATATCTAATATAGTCTGACTTTAGTAAATAAAATATATGATATGTAAAACAGAGAATCTATCTAAATGCGCCTTTGAACACCTCACCATTTTTTATTTTATTTTATTTTTGTTTAAAAAAATGCACTTCCTATTCCCTCCAACCATATAACGCCATCAAATTAATGCACAACTTCTACTTCTCTCATGTCATGACTCGCTTCCTATTCTCTCAATCAACGACGACACCTTCTGATCCTGGGTCTCGGTGAGTGCTCCAACGGCGTCGCATAGCGCAGCGAGTAGCGCCTTGGCCGCGGCGGCGGGGATGATATGGCTGTTTGCAACGATCTGGATGCGAACTCCGCCTCTCGCCGGGTACGACATGACGACCATGCGCGGCGGGACCTGGTTCGGGTTATCTAGCCAGCTCATCTTCAGCGTCTCGCCATCTAGTTTGAACTCAGCGCTCTCGTCAGAGGTGTTCTGGTGCTGCACGGTGGTGTCGAAGTCCGAGTTTACGGGCCAATCGACACTGTGCTTGATGATCTCGTCGAGGCCGAGGGAGTGGGACTGCGCGGCGAGGTTCTGCTCTTGGATGGAGCGGAGGAGAGAGAAGCTGGTTTGGTGGGATGAAAGCTGGGCTCTGACCGGGACAATATCAAGACAAGGTCCTACGACGTTTTCAATGCCTGGCATTGACACGTCGCGGCCAGACACAAGGCTACCGTAGATGATGTCTCGGGTTCCTGTAAGACGTGCTAGAATGATTGCCCAGGCGGCGCTAACGACGGAGGCCAATGTGATGCCTGCTGGGAGCTGTGGAACGAGGACGCTGTCCTCTACGATGATTTTCTCGCGGGGCCTGGCCTCGACGCCGGCGCGTCGGTCCTCGGGGATGAGAATCTCCGAGATGTTGGTGAGTGATGAACCCTGCAGGAGTCGTCTCCAGTAGGTTAATGAGGCAGCTAGCCGGTCACGCTTATGTCCTAAGAATTCCGAGAACTGTGTCACTGGAGGCGGGGCAACGCCCCGGTAGATGTTTAGAACGGCTGTGATAAGAGTGGGCAGACAGAAGCCGTCGTACTGAAGGTGGGATAGCCGGAGGACGAGTCTGTGGCCTTGAGACTTGCTCCGGACGAGCATGAATGCGGTGGGAGAACGTCCGAGTCGGAAGCCTGATTCCGCGTCTTGGAGGCACAACTTCTCAGAAACGGAAGTAATGTCCTCGGTGGTTTCAAGCACGGGAATCTGCAGTGGTAGTTGCGCGAGAGAAGCCTGGAAATATGTCCCTTTGAATTCGATGAAAGCGGAACGCAGTAGAGAATAGCGCTCAACTACGCTGTGGCAACTGGATTTGAGTCTATCGACATCCAAGTTCGCGCTAAAGTCGATAAAAATGTAGTTCAGGCTTTCTTGGGGCCGTTGCAGACTCATCTTTATGACATCTCGCTGGAATCCGGTCAAAGGATAAATGTCGTCGATCTCCCGATTCTTGAGCAGTTGGCTGGACCACTGAATGATACCACTTCTCTGAGCAGGGTCCAGCAGGGAGAAAGGCTCAACGGAAAGACGCGGTTGAGTTTCGCCAGTCTTCTTGTCTTGGTATGCGGCCAGGGTCTCAAGTGACCCATGTTTCAAGATATCCATGACAGTAAGGGCGATACCAGCCTTGCGAGCGGACACGACAAGTCTCATAGCTGTGATAGAGTCACCACCGATACCAAGGAAGCTATCGTCAACGCCGATAGTCTCCCCGCTAATATCTAATATTTGAGCCCACAGACGCTGTAGTGTCTCTTCCGTCTGTGTGCGCGGCGCCCGCTTGCCACCCTTTGCGAGCGACTTCAGTTCTGCCACTTTCTGTGGTGAAAGAGAGGACACAATTTCGCGTAGCTTTCGTCTGTCTACTTTTCCAGAAATATTGAGTGGCAGTTTCTTGAGCAGAAAATACAATGTCGGTACCATGTACGGGGGTAATCGTTGCGAGATAGCAGCCTCGGTTTCCGGATGTAACCACACCAACGAAACGTTCTCTGTTATGCTTGTGACAGCGCGGAATGGGCTGGAAATAAATCCATCGGGTCCATTGTCATCTTTCTCGGTACGAAGGAAAACTGAGAGTATTGGCCTGTTGCTTTCTCCCGCCAATTCTGTCACTTCTGCGACGGCCTGAGCGGCGTCAGGGACGCTCTCGCGGACTTGGAAATCGACTTCGTTCAGCTCAATACGCAGACCTCGCATCTTCGCTTGGTTATCCTTTCGGCCGACAAAGTCCAGAGTGCCGTCTTCATTATACTTGACCAAGTCTCCGGACCTGTATAGTAATGATTTCCGGCCCGGCCGGCCCTGGGTACCGCGGAGCAACCACTCTGGGCTGTCGATGAAAGCAGCCGCAGTCTCCTGGGGCCGGTTGAGGTAGCCTTGTCCGACAATGTGTCCCTCAATCGCAAGCTCACCTACTGCCCCGATAGGCATAAGTCGGTTGGGGTCATCGGGCGACACGACCCACAAGCAAGCGCCGGTGGCATGTCCTAGCCACGAACCTCCTCTGGAACCCGTACTTGTATTGCCAACATTAGAGACAACAGCAGTCTCTGTAGGTCCATACACATTGAAAACTGTGGCATACGTCAGTAACTTCTTTAATACTATAGGTGCAATGATACTTAATTGACACGGAAGAGTTTTCGAATACTTACATGTACATGTTGGGCTTCTCCATCGGTTGATGTCATCATCAGTGATCTTCTCACCTCCCAAGAGCATCTTCGTCACAGAAGGGACTTGGCTCGGTCGAATCAAGCGAGACACAGTCGGCGTCAAGAAGCACAGGTTGACGTTCATGCGGTTGATGCTAGCTTCGATAGCCGTTAATCTTTCATCATCAGATGGCACGCAGACACATCCCCCAAACAACAGCGTCGTGAAAATTTCGGTAAAACCAATATCGAAGGTATATGCTGCAAATTGCAACGTTCGCGTACTTGCGCTGAAGCCGAATGCACGCCCGTGGTGGAAGCAGCTGGTGCTTGCTGCAAGATGGCTGATTCGGACACCTTTAGGCTGTCCAGTGCTACCAGAAGTGAACATGAGATAAGCGGTCGAATCTATGGTCGCGCCTGATCTGGAGCCGCCTCCATTGCTGGACGCAAGTTTTCTGGTGGGGTTGGTAGTAGTTGATAGCGCGCGAGGACCGACTGGTACAATGGCATACTTGGAATCGCCCAAGATATCGGCATGTTCAATAGAGGTTAGTACGACTTTGGCGTTGATGTTGTTGAGGATTCGCTCTCTTCGATCAGTTGCTTGCGAGGTGTCCATGCCTACGAAAGCACCGCCCGCCTTAAGGATAGCCAACATAGCTACGACTCCCCATATTGATTTTTCGAAGAACAGGGGAACTATGATTCCATCCCCGACACCCAACGCGATTAAATGCTCCGCCACGCGCCCAGCAAGAGCATCCAGTTCCTGGTAACTCAGCTTTCCATCCCAAGAGTCCACTGCAGGCGTGTCTGGGTGAATTTTCGCTTGCTTGCTGATACTCTCATGTAGCAAGCGTTCAATGGCCACTGGCACAGTCTTGTTCCAGTTCCATAGAGTGATTTCATTCTCCAACGTCAAGGATCCTACTTCTTCCACAAGTTGGCCCGGCTTAGCGGCTGCGAGTTCCTTGATGATAAATCCGAGCTGCTGAGTGAAGTTCTCCATTTGCCATTTACTGATGACCCTAGTATCGAAGCTTGCCCTGACTCTTACTTCGTCGGCTCCGAGGAGGCATTCGAGGAGGAGGGCGTACGTTGCACCCAATGTTTTCGATGCACTTGACGTTTTCCAAGATCCGAGACCATGATCTTCGGATAGCCCTTCATCTTCTGGCTGTATGGCGAGTAATGTCTGAAAGCCACAGCCGCGACGACCATTCTCGCCCATGCTCGAAATCCGCTGCAAACCTGTCTGTTGGTATACAGCAGCCTCGGTATTCTGCTTCTGGATTGTCTGGAGATACTCGCGGACAGTGTGACCTTTATGTGGCCGAATTCTCGTAGGGACTGTCGCGATTGTCGGGCCCATGATATCTTCGATACCTGCGAGTGGCACATCTCGGCCGGATAGAACTGTACCAAAGATAACATCCGTAACATTCGTGTATTGAGAAATGAGGATACCAAGTGCTGCGTTGATCATAGTTGACATGGTAAACTCCGACTTGACTCTTGGCGCAAGTCCAGTCTCAAGCACAGCATCTGCGACTGGCTCATAGAATGGCAACGCTGGCGGTGTGGGGAAAGGAACGAACTCAGCATCCGCTAAGTACGATTGCCAGTATGCTTCAGCATCGCTACTTCGGGCATCAAGAAGATGCTTGACGAATACGTTGAATCCCGGCTGTTCAGTCAAAGCAGTGTTACCATTATATGTGTCATGTACCAAACTCATAACGCGCGAAAGCATCCACCCGTCGTATAAGGCGTGGTGTATCGTCCACACTAGACAGCGAGATTGGCTAACGTCATGTTCAGTTACAATCGCAAAGCGCGACAAACGCTTGCCGATGCCCATGAGGTCCGTGGCATCCTTTCGAAGGTATTCTTCAAGTTCGTCGCCTTCGCTCCAAGCGATGCCTTCTTTTGTCACAACTTGGATCACGCCCAGCTGTTCATGCTCGACAATCCTGGTGCGTAGGATGCGGGTAGAAGCTACGACGTATTCCCATGCCGATTTGAAGCGTACAATGTCAACATCGGGGGAGATCTGGAAGATGGCTTGCATAACATAGTCGCCTGGTCGTTTAGCTGTAAGCGACAACAAGCCTTCCTGCAGGGATGTACAAGGATACGCGTCTTCAACGGTCGAAGAATCTGTGTCGCAAAGAACAGCCACCTCTTTGCGAATATCTTGACTGTCTGCGAAGAGTGCAAATGGCCGCACACTCTCTACGTGTCCATTTGTCGCTGTCTTGCGGGATTCAACCAATGCTTCAAGTGTGGGATGCCTGAAGATATCCGCAACAGAAAGTTCAATGCCGATATCACGAGCTAGTGGCACCGCCTTCATCGCCACTATCGAGTCACCTCCGAGCTGGAAAAAGTTATCCTCGATGCCAATAGTCGACGTGTCGACGTATAGGACCTGAGCCCATATCCCTTGCAGCTGCTTTCCAATCAACGAGGTTGGCTGTTGCTTCGTTCCTCGCGGGATCACGACCTTAGAGGCTGTCTGGACCAGTGCCCGACGATCGACCTTTCCATTCTCGGTAACTGGCATCTTGTCTAACACAGTGATTGACTGAGGCATCATGTAGGAAGGTAACGTATCCCGGACCAGCTCGTGGAGCTGACCGCGCACCTTCTCTGTTAGCTGTCGTCGTAAAGGTCGGCTGGTCAGCACGCGGGAAGCATCCTTGGCGTGGTCGGTTGGGAAATTGAACAGAACCCTGCTGCCGGCCACGGGTGGCTGATGATGATGAAATACTGCATCAAGACCACCACGTAGGGAGTGTTGTCGAGCCCAGCTAATCTCCACTCGACAACCTATCGATTGGGCGAGTTCTTGCAGGTCAAGTGCAGAGAGCGAATGGCACTTCTCGGCTTCCCGAATAATAGATGGAAGCCAGTCTCGGTCATTTGCTGATTGAACTGAATCCTTCACTAGCGAATTGACTACATGTCGCTCAAGGATACTTTTGCTATTTGGGATATTGCTGACTGCTACAGTTGATCCAGCTGAACAGCCCTGTCGAAGTAGTTGTAGAAGTGATTGCTGATCAAGTCCTTCCTCCATGAAGTCGATCCAGTCACTATCGCCAATCTTGTGCACCTGGACGGGGTTACTGTCATCTGTCAGGTGTAAGATGGCACTGTAACGGTAGCTGCTTAGTTCGTTGGTCGCCTTCATTCTCTTTGGAATGATTTCAACATGCTCAACGAGATTCGGGAAGGAATCCTTCAGAGAGGTGAAAAATGCGGGATCAACGAGTAACTCTGTCTCGACACGATCCGACTCAGCCATGTGACGCTCGACTTCGTCCCTAAGTGCGGTCTTGCCGAAAAGATGCAATGCCTTCGAGACTTTGAATTCGTCAAATAGAGCAAAGGATCGCATATCACCGAAGAAGACTCTCTTCATGCTCTTGATTTGAATAAGATCCTTTGCCACCTTGAAAAGATAGGCTTGCGTGGGGAAGTACTGTGCAACAGAGTTAATCACGGCGAGTTCTGGAGAGTTGTCCTTCCCCAGAAGGCAGATATCTGATCCAGTGCCCTTTTGCATGTAAATCTTCTCCTGTAGACCAGGGATCGATCTGGCTGTCTTGGCGACGAATTCGATAGCCGTTGAGGTCGGCTCTAGACCGACATAGCTTCGCAAGCCATCGATGATATTAAACAAAATCATACCGGTGCCTGTTCCCACTTCAAGGACATTACCAGGCTCCCCGCCATTGCGTATGGAGCGAATAGTATCGTCAAGCCACTCGTTCATCTCATCCTTTGCGATGAGCTCCCCACTGTACATCGATGTCCAAGCCGTGAAATCTCTGCCTATAGACTCGGGGCGAACGTCTTCAACAGTGGTGTACTTGTCAGAGTCGAAGAGTGTTTCCCATAGCTTGACGTGCTGTTCCGCCTCATCATCATCTACGTCTGCATTACCGCCTTCGTTCTCGTCTTCTTCGGCAATGGTTACGAAACCTGCAAGCTGTGTCGCTTGCTCATTTCGATGCTCTGCAACGACAACGGCGTCTCTCACGAAAGCGTGGCGCTTTAGAGCACTTTCGATCTCTCCAAGCTCTATACGATGGCCGCGAACCTTGACTTGCAGATCAATTCGCCCGAAGAATTCCATGTGGCCGTCGAGAGGCCTATAGCGGACATAATCGCCAGTCCTGTAAGCTCTGAGTTGCTGTCCGCCGATATTCAAGGTAATAAATCGGTTTGCATTTTGTTCGGGGTTCATGTAGCCTCTAGCAAGACCATCACCAGTAACAACGAGCTCGCCTATAACTCCAATTGGCACAAGACGCAAGTCTGTGTCCACGACGTATGCACCTGAATTGCCAATAGCGCGGCCGATGGGAACTCCATTGGTAAATTCCTCGCCAGTAGGGACGTCGTAGAATGTGCTAATGACTGTATTCTCTGTTGGACCATAGGCATTGATAATTCTACCATTCATAATAGCCCCTGCTGCCGCCAGGTCTTGCCCGTCTACCTTATCGCCACCAACTAGCAGTAACTCCAGCTGAGAAAAGACGGAAGGCGCTTGAACGAGGAACTGCTTGAAGAAAGCCGGTGTAAGAATGGTAGTCTGAACCTTTTCGCTCTTGAAAATTTGAATTAAGGCGTCGTTGTCCAAAACCGTAGTACTGTCGACACAGATCAGTGTGCCACCATTCAAGATGGTCGGGTAGATTTCCCAGGTCGTGATGTCGAAGGCGATGTTACCCATATGAACCATGGTGCAACCAGCCGAGAGGGTCTTCACGATATCGTTTTGTCTTGCAAGTCGGAGGATACCACGATGCTCAATCAACACACCCTTTGGTTTGCCTGTAGAGCCGGAAGTGTACATGACATACGCAAGGCTCGCACTGGAGGGAGTGCAAGAAGCGAGGGCGTCATGACCGTTAGTGCCATTTTGAGCATGTTCGAGAATGTCATCAATACCGACAAAATCGAGATGTTCTAGATCCAGGCTTGGTGGTTGGGCATGGCGTCCGAGCAAGACGAGCCTACGGCCTTCAACGGAAGACAGAATGCTCTCGACACGGCTCGCTGGGCTTCTAACATCGAGCGGAACGTAGGCCAAGCCGGCTTTCAGAATACCTAAGTATGCAATGATGGTCTGGCAGGATCGTTCCGAGTATACACCAACCAGTTTTTCTTTGACGAATGACTGCTTGGTCAACCACCGAGCTAGCTCGTCAGATTTGATGTCTAGTTGAGAATATGTCAGCTTCGCATGGCTATCTTTCACTGCGATTCTGTTGGGATAGGCAGTAACTTGTTGGCGGAAGATGCTGACAACGCTAGATTCTGGCGCGTGGGTAGGTTGATGATGGGGCTGGATTAAACCAGTCTCTTGGAGCGTCGCATAAGCATCTTCCGTCATTAGTGGTAGCGATCCTATTTCTATCTGAGGTTCCCTAAGACCGTGCTCGAGAGTTGTCCGGAAAAGTGAAAGCATATTGTCAATCGTCTTAGGCTCGAACAGATCTGTCGAGAATGCGACCTCGCCTCTCAGGCCAACATCTTCTTTGGTGAAGTGGAATTCAAGATCAAATCTCGATGTTGATGCCATATTCAATGAATCAATCTCGACACCCTCCAGGTTAAATTGCCCCAGGTCCGTTTGAGAGTGAAGCGTGAAAACCACCTGCACCAATGGCTGACGCGCCAGATCTCTAGTATTCTTCAGTTTGGAGACAATCTTCTCGAATGGAACATCCTGATTCTCCAGTGATGCTTTCTTCGCCGCCTGCACTTTCTGAACTAACTGTTCAAAAGATTCATCATCAAGCTTAAGTCGCAGGCACTGCATGTTGACGAAGAATCCAATCAAGTCGGCAACCTGCGCTTGGTCTCGATTGGCATTCGCTGTGCCAATGGTTGCATCCTTTGATCCTGTCATGCGGTAATGCGTCGCCCTGAACGCAGCGAGAAGCACAACGAACGGCGTCACCTCGTGTCGCTTACAGAATTGCATCAGCTCATTATACAGCGGCCCTTCAACCATGATCTCCTTAACCTCTGCTTTTCCAGACAATGTATCCGGCCTAGGTTTATCGCACAAGAACTCGGCTGGCTGGCTGTTATCCAACTCGGCAACCCAATAGTCAAGTTGCTTCTGGTGTGTGTCCACCTGATCCTGCATCTTTTGCCACAAAGCATAATCCCGGTATTGAATTGGTAGCGGGCTTACGGATGACAGAGGATCCAGGCCATGAATGCAGGCAGTGTAGAACGTTGTCAACTCGCGTTGGAGTACGCCCACGGACCAACCGTCGGAGATAATGTGGTGCATAACGATTGACAAAACATGGTCTTCTTCGCTCAGTCGGTAAAGGGTTATCCTCCATCCAGCGTCGCTCTCTAGATTGAAAGGCGTGTTCTGCTCTTGTCGCAAAGTGTGCAACAGGTTGCCTTCAGCGATCTCGACAATCTTCAATTCGCTAGGCTTGAATGGATGCACAACTTGCAGGTCAACGCCGTCCTCAGCGGTGAAAGTGGTTCTGAGGGTTTCATGGCGACTCTCTATTGCGAGAAGTGCTGCATGAAGTGCACCGAGATGTAATTTGCCCCTCACTCGCATCGCTAGTGGCATAAGATACATTGTAGAGTCTGGATACAGCTGGTCTAAAAACCAGAGTCTTCCTTGAGCGTACGATTGTTCGACAGGACCTTTGTAAGGAGTTTGAGGGATGACCTTATTAGCATTGTCTGATGATAGTCGCGCTTTCTGGGCAAGATGATGCAGGCCATTTGGATGAAGAACGTCTGCTACTCCTAGTTCAAACCCGAGATTACGAGACTCTCCCACAATGACCATGGCAGATATAGAATCACCGCCAAGTCTAATGAGGCTGTCGTCAATACCGATGTTGTTAGCTTCAAGGTTAAGAACCTGTGCCCATATTTTACGAAGCACACGCTCTTCTTCAGTTGTTGGCTGTCGTTTTTCTTGTCCGCCAGTTGCCCGAATCTCAGCAACGTCCTTCGCTGATATAAATTCCCCAATCTTCCGCAATCGTTTTCGATCTACTTTGCCCGATGCTGACAGAGGAAGAATTGCGACTCGGATGTATAGGGAAGGTATCATGTACTGTGGTAACCTCTGAGCCAAGGCCACTTCCAATGCACTGGAGGCTCGTGCCAGCTCGACACCGTCGGAAATTTGGACTGTATGGTAGAACGAGTCCTGGCTATTGGCATCTTCATCCAGATCGCCAGCCACGAAAAGTGATAGAATTGCCTTCTGGTTATCACCATTGAGTCGGACCATTTCTGCTACAACTTGAGCATGCGGCCCGAGGCATGCTTGAGCCTGATGCTCAACTTCGCCTAGTTCCAAACGTTGGCCTCGAATCTTAATTTGCATATCCTTGCGCCCAAGGTATGTTAGACCACCGCTCTCGGTGTATCGAACCAAGTCACCTGTCTTGTAAAGGCGGGCTTGTCGACCCGGGTGGTCCTTGGTGCCTCGGCATAACCAGGCCGGCGCTTCGATAAAAGATGCTGCCGTACCGACAGGGCTACCAACGTACCCTCTAGCCACAATCGGGCCCTCAACAATAAGCTCACCGATTGCTCCAACAGGTACCAGACGATCATGGTCTTCGGGGTGGACAATCCATGATACTGAACCGACGGCTTTTCCAACGTAGGCGCTCGCTTGGCTGTAATCAATTTGTCCGAATGCACAACCAACTGTGCATTCAGCCGGACCGTATCCATTGAAAAGCTCTGGCACTGTAACAAGTCGTTGCAGGTCTTCATCCATTGGTGTCTCGCCGCACAGAACAACGGTACGCAAAGTCAGAACAGTCGCTGGCTTGAGTAAGCGGACAACGCAAGGAGTCAAAATGATGGTGTTAACCCGCCCGTCTGTGATGGTCTTGTCTATATCCGCTAGTCGATTCTCGCTAGATGGCATGCAGACACATCCGCCATAAACAAGCGTCGTTAGGATTTCCATGATGTATGCGTCAAACGAGTAAGACGAAAACTGTAGAGTGCGGGTTTTCTTATCGAAGTTCACTGATCGCCCTCCATAGACAGTACTAGAAGCCAGAGCACAATGTTCAATTAAAATGCCCTTCGGTTGGCCAGTGCTTCCAGATGTGTAGACCATGTAAGCTGCTGAGCCTGGCTGGACTTTGGGGTGAGTTGTGCGATTAGCGCTTGGCAGAGACGACAGAGTATCTGCATCAACAGGTACGATATTGTAGTCTAAATTGGTTAGTATATTTGCGTTTCGCTTGGATGTTAGTATGATTTTGGCGCTGATCTCCGCCAGCATCAGATCCCTTCGGCCTGCCGCCTGGTCTGGGTCAATAAGCAGGAATGCAGCACCGGCTTTGAGAACGGCTAGCATTGACACCACCACCCATTTTGACTTTTCGAAAATCAGTGGAACAATATTCTCGGCACCCGGTTCTCGAGAACCAATACCAAGGCTCGTTATGTACTTTGCCAGTCGGGAAGACAGCTCGCCTAGCTCTTTATAACTGATCTCACCGTCCCAAGCAGATACTGCCGGTGAGTCTGGCTGTTGTTGTTCTTGGCGGCTGATAATATGATGGACAGGGAATTCAATAGTCTCGGGGACAGTCTGGTTCCAGTTCCAGATTGTTGCCTCGTCTTTAGCAGTTAATAAGTTGATCTCTCCGAGACGTCGGTCTGGTGGCGAGTCTGCTAGTTGAATAACAATGCTACTTAACTGGAAGATCATATGCTCCAGTTGCAACCTGCTAACAACGGCACTGTCGAAGCAGGCCTTCAAGGCTATCTCGTTAGGCCTCAGGTTACACTCTAGGGCAAGTGCATATGTCACGAAATCTTCCTGGTTGTCTGATATTTGCCATTGGCCTAGAGCATCACTCGGTAGCTTTTCTTCCGGCTGCACTACAAGTAACGTATTGAATGCGGATGCATGGCGGCAGTCTTCGCCCATTCTAGCAATTCGATGAAGGCCAGTCTGCTCGTATGCTATCATTTCAGTCGCTTGCTGCTGTATCTTTTCTAGCAAATCTGGCACTGTGTAGTCTTCCCGAAGCTGGACTCGCACTGGGACCGTTGCAATAGTTGGTCCAATAATCTCTTCGATTCCAGCGACGGCGGCATTACGGCCAGACACAGTGGCGCCAAAGACGACGTCCGCTGAGCCAGTGTATTGACTTATCATCAATGCCGTTGCCGCCCGAAGAAGTGTCGAGACAGTCGCCTCTGTCGTCTTTATATTCAATGGAAGGGTGTATTCGAAGGAGTCGTCGGCTTTTGGCTCTTTGGATAGAACAGGCAAAGTAGGGAAAGGGACATGCTCTCCATTGGCTAGGTAAGACTGCCAGTATGCCGCAGCATCATCGGTGACATGTTCCTGCACCGTTGACTTGACGAACGCATTGAACTCAGTCCTCTGGAGAATCGGATCGCCTCTGTATGCTTTGCCCACCATGTCCAGGACAAGTGGGATAGTGAAGCCATCGTATAATGCGTGATGGAGGGTCCATACCATGAACTTGGGTTTCTTTCCATCCCCGTCGACAAAAGCGAGACGGGATAAGCGGTCACCCAGCCCCATAGGGACAGTTTTGTCCCTTCTAACATAATCGTCCACATTTGTGGCACGTTCCCAGTTAACACCCTCATTGCAGACAACCTGCACGAGCGCTCCAAGTTGACGAGAATAGACGATTTTGGTGCGAAGGATAGGAGTCAGAGACACCACTTTCTCCCATGCTGTCTGAAGACCCTCTGGCTCCACATTGTCAGATAGCTCCAGCACGGCCTGCATTGTGTAGTCCCCTGTTCGTTTTGTACTGAGAGATAGAAGCCCTTCTTGAAGTGCAGTACACGGGTAAGCATCGTCAATGAACGATGCTTCCAGGCCACAAAGACCGCCAAATTCATTTCGGAGGTCAATTGACGTGTGGCTATGATTGAGCAGAGCAAATGGCGCAATCGGCTCCTTATCTATCTCCTGAACTGAATTGGCTTCCACATGAGCTTGAGCAGAGAGGACAGGGTTGCGGAAGATATCGGCAACTGCCAACGAGATACCGACTCCACGAGCTGCCCCGACAAGTTTCATCGCAGCAATCGAGTCACCACCTAGTCGGAAGAAGCTATCATCTACACCAATAGAATCAGCCTCTATCCCGAGTGTCTGTGACCATAAAGCTCGAAGTTGGTATTCCGCCTTCGTTCGTGGAAGTCTCTTTGCCCCACGGGTCGCGGTCCTCAACTCTTCAAGGTTCTGAGGAGAAAGGGCTGCGCCCATTTGACGGAGACGTCTTCTATCAGTCTTTCCGGAGACTGTCAGGGGCAGTTTCCAGATGGGGACGAAGACTGAGGGAACCATCCAGTGAGGCAAAACAGTCTCCAGACGGGCCTGGGTGCGTCGGATTGTCGTTCTCGTTAGTTCGTTGAGAGATGTATTCATTATATATTCATCCCCAGGCTTTTGTAGGTCTGCCATTTCCCCGTCTGTGTCTATCACGAGGAACCCCACTAACTCAGGCCCTCTCGACTGGCTATCTTGGATCTTGACTAGCTCTACAACTGCATCTTTCACGGCCGGCGAGGAGAGTCTAGCGTGATACTCAACTTCTCCAGTCTCAATACGTTGGCCGCGCAGTTTGACTTGGGTATCCTTCCTTCCGAGTAGCTCGATGGAGCCATCTTGGTTATATGTTGCAAGGTCACCGGTCTTGTAGAATCTAGAGGCAGCTAGAGGCGAGCCAAACGAGTTCCTCCATGCCGGTGGGGAGATGAAAGCCTTGGCTGACCTTTCGGTGTCACCAATATAATGACGTCCTATTGTAGGCCCTTCGATGATAACCTCTCCAGGGGCCCCTATAGGTACAAGATCGTCATGATCGTCGGGGTGCACGATCCAGTATCGGCCAGTTGTCGCAGTCCCAACGTCTCCCGTACCGGAAGATACGCTCAGCGCAGCTGAGGAAACCACCGCAGCGGTTTCAGCACTTCCATATGTCTGGCGGAGGTTGCGGTTCGCGTGTGATGCCCATTGCTTGATTTGAGAAGACCGAATAGGCTCACCGCCAATGTTGATTGTTTTGAGAGAGGGAACCTCCTCGGGGTTCATTTTAGCCAAGACGGTTGAGGTCAGGAAAGCCCAATTAGCGTCCAGTTCTCTGATGGTTTGCACCAGTTGAGTGCCTCGTTGCTCCTCAGACGGGATGCAAATACATCCACCATAGATCATCGTCATGAGCATTTCCATGATAGCACCAGCGAAGTTATAAGAGCCGAATTGCAAGGCGCGTGTGTTTGCACTCATATTCATGTGACGCCCGTGGCCGATCGCGGCGGAACAATAAGATCTATGCTCGATTATCACACCTTTAGGTTCGCCTGTACTGCCAGAAGTAAAGATGATATACGCTGCGTTGTTCGGTTTCGATCTCGGCTGCGCTGGACGCATATCTGGTAGTGATCGAAGCAATTCCCAGTCCACCATAACGGTGTTCTTCGTATACTTAGACAGCCTCGTCTTACAGGAGACTGATGCCATGGAAATTGTCGCTTTTGTCTGGCGGCAGAGTGTCTCCAATCTAGTATCAGGCAGCCCAGAGTCAAGAAGAACAAAAGCACCACCGGCCTTCAGCGTGCCCAAAATAGCGACGACTGTCCACATAGATTTCTCAAAGCAGAGCGGTACTATGACCTCTGGCCCAACACCGAGATTCATAGCTAGGTGATATGCCAGCTTGTCGGAGAGATGCTCGAGTTCGACATAGCTCAGGCTCCCATCCCAAGCCTTGACTGCCGGACGATCTGGTTGCTGCCGGGCATGCTTGGCAATTAGGTCGTGGACACACGAATCAGCCACATCTATTCCGGCCATATTATTCCAGGATGATATAGTTGCCACATCTACCTCTGTTAGTGAGCAGACATCCCTTACTGAACGTCCTGCGTCCGCTTCCGATAACTTGTCAACAAGGAAACTGAGTTGCCGCAGAAGTGATTCCATTCTCCAAGTGCTAATGATCCTAGAATCAAAACTTGCCTTAACCTTCACTGTATTGGCCCCGAGATAGCACTCAAGCGTTACAGCGTACGTAGTAAAGCCTTGGTTGTTGGTTGACGATGTGTGCCATGTACCGAGGGTATCATTTGGTGCGATGTCCTCACCCTCTTGCGGATGCACCACGAGTAAGGTCTGAAACTTGCAAGCTTCTTGGCCGTTCGTATCAATCTTTGCGATACGTTGAAGACCCGTCTGTTCGTAGGGAATCATTTCTGTTGAGTCTCGTTGCACTATGTCGAGATACTCTGCGACAAGCTGCTCTCTGTCTACTTGTATCCGGATAGGAACTGTTGCAATGGTGGGACCAGCAATTTGATCGATACCTGCTACCGGAGCGCTCCGGCCGGAGACGGTTGCTCCCAACAGTACATCTGAGGAGCCAGTGTACTGATGTATCAGAATAGCTAGAGCACCACGAAGCAACATGGAACTCGTCGCCGTCTCTGCTTTCAAGGCCAAAGGTGGTAGCTCCAGCTTGATGGTTGCATCTGCCATCGGTTCTGACACGGATGGTGGCAAGGGAGGAAATGGTGCGAAGTCGCCATCAGCCAAGTATAATTGCCAGTACTTGCTCGCCTCGGTATCGGGGAAAGAACGCAGATATTTGACAAAGGAATTGAAAGGGGCAGGCTTCACACTTTGGACCCTGGCGTACTCGTTATACACAAAGTTTAGAATCAAGCCAAGTGACCAGCCGTCGAACAGTGCATGGTGGATAGTCCAAACAAACTGTCGAGGCTTTCCATCATCGACTATGGTATAGCGCGATAATGAATGGCCAAGACCCATAGCATTGGCTTTATCCTGCTCCAAATAAGTCTCAAGATCGGACGCTTGGTTCCACGAGATCTCTTGGTCGCAGACAACTTGCAAAAGCTCAAGTTGATGATGGTGTACTATTCGAGTGCGTAAGATGGCTATTGTCTGCACGGCCGCATCCCAGGCTGCTTTGAAGGTATCAATTTGTATGCCTTCTGGTAGATCTAGTACAGCCTGCATGATGTATTCACCATCTCGCTTGGCCGTGAGCGACAACAGGCCTGTCTGTAGAGGGGTGCAAGGATATGCATCTGTGATAACTGAGTCTTCAACGTCGCATAGAGCCGCGAGCTCTTTCCGAAGCCCGGAAACTGCTTGGTCTTTCACGACAAGAGCGAAAGGGCGGACGCATTCATCGGCATCGGGCGCTGTGCTTGTGAGGACCTGGGCTTGGGCAGCGAATGTGGGATTCCGGAAAATGTTGGCAACTGGCAGAGAAATTCCCATCTTGCGGGCTATTCCGGTAAGTTTCATAGCGGCCATAGAGTCTCCCCCTAATTGGAAGAAGCTGTTTTCAATGCTAATACTGTCAGCATCAATGTCTAACGCTTCTGCCCACAGGCCAAGTAGGCGTCGCTCGGCGACTGTACGAGGCTTTCTCTTCTCTCTGGCCGCGGCCAGCTTACGAAGCTCCTGAAGCTTAAGATCAGCGGAGAGTTCCGGTCCCATCTCTCGGAGACGCTTGCGATCCGTCTTTTTGGACGCTGTGAGCGGGAGTTCTGATATGGGCACAAGGAGTGACGGAACCATGTAGTAGGGTAGAACGCTCTCCAATCTGGCTTGGACTTGTTGAAGAATTTTGACGATGGCCTTTTTTTGCTCGTGTTCTTCCATACTTGACTGCTCTTGGCTCTTACGCAGGACGAGGAATGCTACAAGCTCTGGACCTCGCGTGCTCTCGGCAGTGGTAGTAAGTTCTACAACAACCTCCTGTACATCCGGAGTTGCTAACCTTGCTTGCTGTTCAACTTCACCAACCTCAATACGTTGTCCGCGCAACTTCACTTGAGTATCTTTTCTGCCTAGCAGCTGGACTGTCCCGTCATTCTTATACACTGCCAAGTCACCAGTTCTATAGAATCGCGACGTGCAGGGGCCGAATGACTCCCTCCAGGCAGGTGTACGGATGAAAGCTTCTGCTGTCTTCTGCGGCTGTCCGATGTACTCACGGCCAACTACTTGGCCTTCAAAAATGATCTCACCCGTTACTCCGAGCGGAGCGAGTCGGTCGAAATTGTTTGGATCCACGAGCCAGATTCTGCCGCTCAAAGCCCGACCGACGTCGGTAGGCGTTGATGAGTCGCTTAGTCTAGCAGATCCTACGACCCCGGAGAGTTCTGATGATCCATATGTTTGGCGCAGTTCAAGCTTGGAGGCCCACGTTTGAATCTGGACGCTTCTGATGGGTTCACCACCAATACACATCGTCTTCAGACACGGCACATCTTCTGGAGCGAGCTTAGCGAGTACTGTAGAGGTCAAAAATGCCCAATTGGCATTGAGCCGCCTAATGGCGGGTGCTAATTCAGCACCGCGCTCCTCGTCCGAGAGAATACAGACACAGCCTCCATGTATAAGTGGCATCAGAATTTCAAGAATGGCGCCAGCGAAGTTGTAAGATCCAAACTGCAAAGAGCGCGTGTTGCTGTTTACGTTCAAAGCGTGATGACTAATGATAGCAGAGCAGTAGGAGCGATGTTCTATTATAACACCCTTGGGCACGCCTGTACTTCCTGAAGTGAAGATGATATAGGCGGCATTTCTTGGATCAGACAATTGATGGCTGTGTGACGGTACAGATGGTACGGGTGTCTTGAAGAACTCCCAATCCAAGACTAAACCTTTCGGGACAAAGTCAGATAGCCTAGACCGGTAAGTCGGGGAGGTGACAGCAACGCTCGCACCGACTTGACTGCATAGTTGCCTCATTCTCTGGTCTGGGACACCGGGATCAAGGAGCATAAAAGCCCCGTCTGCCTTCAGCACACCAAGCATCGCAACCAAGGCGAACATCGATTTCTCGAAGCACAAAGGCACAAAGACATCCGGGCCAACACCCAAGGCACGAAGATGATACGATAACTGAGTGGCAAGGTCATCCAGCTCTTTATGCGTTAGTTTACCGTCCCAAGCGTCTATAGCTGGGGCATCTGGTCGAGTCTGCGCATTGGCGGCAATACGTTTATGCACACAATCGTTCACCACGTTGATGTCGTGATTGTTCCAACCGCTGATAACAGATTTATCCTTCGTAGTCAATAGTTCAATCTCGCCAATTGTGCGATCTGCTGGGGCCGCAGCCAGCTGATCGAGCACAGTGCCAAGCTGCCGTAGGATTTGGCCCATCCTCCACTCGTCCACAACTCTAGTGTCAAAGCTCGCTCGAGCCTGTACCTCGCCGTCCATAATAAAGCATTCTAACGTAATGGCATAGGTGGAGAACCGTTGCTGGGTTGAAGACGTTTGCCATTCTCCAAATACGTTATCGGACTCTATCTCATCCTTTTGTGGCTGGACAACAAGTAAAGTTTGAAAGCGACACGCATCTCGGCCTTCTTTGCTAAGCTTCGCGAGACGCTGCAATCCAATTTGTTCATGTGGAATCATCTCTGTCATGTCTCGTTGCACGCTGTTGACATATTCTGATACTGTCTGGGTATTGGGTGATTGCACACGGACGGGCACCGTGGCTATTGTCGGCCCTAGAATATCCTCGATACCAGCAACAGGGGCGGTACGCCCTGATACAATTGAACCAAAAATGACATCTGTAGTCCCTGTATGGTGGCTCATGACAAGGCCCAACGCCGCACGTAACATGGTAGATAGCGTCACACCGGTGCGTGTCCTTGATGGAAGGCTGAATTCGAGAGTGGCATTAGCCACCGGCTCCCTAACCGCCATTGGCAACGCAGGAAATGTAGCGGATTCGCTATTCGCGAAGTACGACTCCCAATATGCCTCCATATTCATCCTTTCAACGCCATCTTTGAGAATGTGGGACACAAAGCTATTGAAATTGGGTCGCTGGGCGATTGCATCTCTATTTGCATTTCCCAGGAAGACCTGTTTGGCGAGGTTTGTGACTTGTTGCAGTGACCACCCGTCGTACAAAACATGGTGTACAGTCCAGACAAACCAGCGTGGCTTGGCCACATCGCCAACTAAGGCGAACCGTGAGAGTGCATCGCCTAGTCCCATAGGTTTCAAGCTATCCTCTGCAAGATAACTGTCCAAGTCGTTGGCTTGCAACCATTGAACATCCTGTTTGCAGATAACTTGTAACAACCCCAACTTTGCTTGCTCTACAATTCTTGTTCGAAGTACGGTCGTCTGCTGGAGTATCTCTTCCCATGATGCCTTGAACCGATCAATTTGGCAATTGTCATGTATTTCAAGTACGGCCTGAAGCACGTAGTCGCCATCCCGCTTGGTGCCAAGGGAGAAGATACCTGCCTGCAAGGGGGTACATGGGTAGGCGTCTTCAACCATAGATGAGTCTGCTAAGTTGCAGAGTTCAGCTAGGGTCCGGCGTATATGTGGTGATTCGTCTTTGCTTTCGAGAAGAGCGAATGGCGGTATGGGTTCCGAGTTATGTGTCACAGCATCAGTAAGCAGTCGAGCTTGTGACCCAAGGCTCGGATTTCCAAATATAGCTGCAACAGTGAGACCGTAGCCGACCTTTCCAATCGCACCAACTAGTCTAATGGCAGCAAGCGAGTCGCCTCCGAGTCGGAAGAAATCGTCGTCTAGTCCGATAGCAGTTGCATCGATATCGAGCACATTTGCCCAAAGGCCCCGCAGAAGAAACTCATTGTCTGTTCGCGGCTCTGCCCCTTGCCTAGCTAATACACGAAGCTCAGCAAGGCGCTGCGGGGAAATTGTTGCCCCCATTGCCCGAAGACGACGTCGGTCTGCTTTCCCTGTGCTGGCCAAGGGGATTGCGGGAATTCGGAGGTATAACGTAGGAACCATGTATGATGGTAGAGCCCGTTTCAGTGCTGCCTCGACGTCTTCATGCGGATGTACTAGTTCTAATCCCTCGACAATGAGTTTCGAATCGGACCATCCTTGTTGCCCTGTCAGGAACGCTGTTAACATGGGTCGACTTTTCTCGCCTCCGAGCTCGATAACATCTACAATGAATTTGTCGTCTGCCGACATGCATCGTCGTAAGTGGTGTTCCACTTCGCCAGGTTCAAGTCTCTGACCATGGAGTTTGACTTGCGCATCTTTACGGCCGACGAAATGTAAATTCCCATCGGTGTCAAATGAAACAAGGTCTCCAGTCTTATATAAGCGACCATGACGACCCGGCCAGCTTCTAGCACCTCTGAGCAGCCAAGGAGGGTCGTTTATGAATGCAGCTTCCGTCTTTTCAGGCTCCTTCATGTATTCGCGTGCTAGTATTGGTCCCTCAAGTAGAAGTTCTCCGGTTGTGCCCCGGGGTACAAGCTTGGTATGATCATTTGGATTTACGACCCAAGTCAGGGCTCCTATTGCCTTTCCAATGTTGATGGAAGTTCCTGATGTGATTGCGTGGGAGTTCAGAGTGCTCATTGGCGTACACTCTGCAGGACCATATGCATTGAGAACGCGGAAGCTGCCACGCCTTAACCTTTCTAGATCGCCATGGCTCACAGCTTCACCAGATAATATTAGCGTCTGCAAGTTCGGCAAGCTCTCCGGCTCCAAGAGCCTAGAAGCTGAAGGAGTTAGAGCCGCCATGGTCACGGCCATGGATCGTAATGTTTGGTTTAGTTTCCCTATTCGCTGCTCCTCAGACGGGATGCAGAGGCAAGCGCCGATTGACAATGTCATCATGGCATTGTAGACGGCCACATCAAAACTGTAGGATGCGAAGTCAAAGACCCTTGCCCCCGGATGAAAGCAGAAAGCATCTGCCTGATAGTGGCGAGCACTGCTAAAGGCAGAATGCGTGATGACAATCCCCTTGGGTTTCCCTGTACTGCCTGAAGTGAAGCAGACATACATAGGCCAAGATGGGTTAGGTTCAAGTGGTACAGCGGCCTCGTTCTCAGATTTTTCACGCCACCACTCTGGGCCCACGATGTGTGCCACTGCCTGTATGCGCGAACAGAGCTCTCGTCTGCGCTCAGAGGCGCAAACGACCCTAGCCTCGCATTGTTCGACGACCTGGCGTAGCCTATCCTCGGGCTGGTTCACATCCAGGGGCACGAAGGCACCGCCGGCCTTGAGCACACCAAGCATGGCCACTGGTGTCCATATCGACTTCTCAAATAAGAGTGGCACGACAACCTCGGGACCAACACCAGAGCGGGAAAGATCGCATGCCAGCCGCGCTGACTGTTGTTCCAACTCACCATAAGTCAGGCGGCCGTCCCATGCGTCTACCGCTGGCGCGTCCGGGTTTTCCGCCGCTCGAGCTTCAAATAAAGTATGTATGCACTCCTGAATGGAGGCCGGTACTGGGCCGTTCATGTTCCATATCGTTGTGGCTTCTTCCTCGCCTATTAGGGAAGCCTCATGTGTGATGGTATCGCTCATATCGTTCATGTTTATTTTATGAAATCTTCAACTCCTCAAAGTGAAGATGGTTTCTGTAGAATGGTACAGTCTAGGAGTCAACTTGTAGTAGATAAACGATAGTACACTAGAATGATAGGTTGATTTGTTACATAACATATGAGGGTCTGAGAGAATTGAAATCACGACTTCTATGAAAGATACAGACATAGCCCAACTTACATAAGATCAATATAAGAAGCCCATGACCCTGCATCGTCCCTGTATTCTCCTCCGAGCACACCGAACCGTTCGACTCGGCATGAGGTGAGGCTAGCGGTATCCACCCCGATCGACGGCACCATATGCCTCGAAGGATGCCGACTCCACCGCCATTTCGGTGGTCCCTTACATAAAGGTGGTTCGGACTCGGCGTCAACTTATAAATTACTGTATGTAGGGTCTGTGCAGTCCTCGTGGCATGCTCTATAATTATGTTGTTAAGTTGAAAATGCGCCTATTAGTCCCAATAGCACTTAGGGCGATGCGGCTAGTAAGTTCCTGATATGTAGTAGTAGATTTCTAGAAGAATGATCTCCATCGCGAAAGACGTACCTCTGTTTGCTTGTTTCCATTTCCACCTACTATAGAGTCATCAGCTATGAAGGCTACAATTTCTCAGTTCGCCACCGTGCCTGATGCGCTTCGGCGCTCAGTATCGCTTTCGAGAGCATGCTACCGAAGGCTGGGGAATAGCGGTCTCAGAGTATCAAATCCCATTCTTGGTGGCGCACATCTCGGCAGCTCCCGTTGGCTTCCGTGGGCTTTAGAAGAGGAACAGGTAGGTCTAACATATTAACGACATCTCATGAATGGGCTAGCAACAGGAAATGCTGACTCGGTTTTGGCTAGGCCTTGAAGGTGTTGAAAGCCGCCTATGATCGAGGCATAAATACGGTAGGTGCTTCATAACCCTCTTCTACCCATAATGGTTCTGACAGAGTCGCTAGTGGGACACCGCCAATGCTTATTCGAATGGTGAATCAGAGCGTATCATGGGCAAAGCCCTCAAGAAGTACAACATCCCTCGGTCGAAGGTTGTCTTAATGACGAAATGTTTCCGCGTTGTTTGCGACCCTGAGCAATACGATCCCGGTTCTTCGGTTTATATGCACCACGACATTGCTGATACTAGCAAAGACTACGTCAATCAATGGGGTAGGTCGTGTCCTCAGTGCTAGTCATTGTTTCCATCAAGGGGTTCCCTCTATAACGCGGATATAGGTCTATCCCGGACGGGCATCTTCAACGCCGTGGAAGCATCTCTCGAGCGCCTTGACACAACATATATCGACCTATTACATATCCATAGATTCGATCCGACAGTGCCCCCAGAAGAAACCATGTGCGCGCTGCACGATCTGGTCAAGGAGAACAAGGTCCGATACATAGGCGCTAGTTCTATGTGGGCACACCAATTCGCGATATTGCAGCATACGGCTGAGAAGCACGGATGGACGAAGTTCATCTCGATGCAAAATCACTATAACCTCCTCTATCGCGAAGAAGAAAGGGAGATGAACCCATACTGTAAGCTGACAGGTGTCGGCACCCTTGCTGTAGGTCAAGCTCTTTCTGTCTCCGCATTTACCTTGAAGGACTCTCGGATTCCCAGTACTGATCGATGGCATCGTTTAGTGGGCTCCATTAGCTGGCGGGCGGCTAGCACGACCACAGACACAAGCCCCAACGTCGATCCGGACGGTGCACACCAAAAATGGCGGCTTCTACGAACAAGGCGACGACATGAGCTCAGCCAATATCATCTCTCGGGCAGCCGAAATCGCCGAAAAACGCGGGTGGCCGCTCTCACACGTCGGCTTGGCGTGGCTCAACCGCAGAACGGTGGCTCCCGTCATCGGGTTCAGCAGCCCGGAGAGGATGGATGAAGCACTCGACGCGCTTGGAAAGGAGCTAACAGCCGAGGAAGAGGAGAGCTTAGAGGCATTGTACCAGCCTAGGAAGGTTCAAGGTCACTCTTAGACAGCGTTCTCCCTCTACGAGTGGCACCCAGGCTACGCAGTATGTTTCTCTTCGTACTTGGTGAGACAAGTCGGTGCTCGGCGATGCAGAGCCAAGCAGCACGTTCGGAGAGGTTTTCGGGCTTGCCATCGGCATCTGGGGAGAGACAGCCTTGACCAGGCGGTCAGTTCGGGGCGGCTAAGACATTGCAGGCTGCCATACCAGGTTCAGGCCGGGTCCGGACCGCGAGAGTCATGATTCAAATGACCTACGAGTATGACACGCGTCAGTGATCATCACGCAAGTACCAATGAGTCCCTACCAGTCCCTAGTAGGGCTTATAGGTAGAAGATCGAGGGCTGTTCAGGGGTTTGCACTTCAGACTTGAAGATGAGGTATAAGATTCTTCAGGATTGGCATGCAGGACATGGAAAAGTTAGTCTGCTTTTGGGAACTCGGATGGAAAGAAACCTGCTGAAAAGTGAAGCATGCGGGACCGTCAGCAGTCAGCAGGAGGCTTAAGGCTTAGCTCTTCCTATATAGGGTTAGCCTCTAAGGCGAGCCACGCTCAAAGTACTTATTCGTTCCTATTATAGTTTAGTTTATATTTAGCTGCATGTAATCGCTAGGTACAATGTAGACTAGTGCTGTACATATTCGCCCTACGAAGTAGATATTCGGTGAAAGAGAAGCTTGTTTCCTTTTGCTTCAAGAACCTGCATCCAGATATCGTAACCTCAATTGATGCAGTATGGAATGGCATATCTTGAGACAATAGCGACATGTCCCGTTCATTCTCTACCTACCGTAAGGATGGATGGATACCTCATAAGTAAGTCGCTAATCTGATACCGCTGGCCATGGTTTTCTCCCACAATCCCCTACCGCCGATCCCAGAACCGTCGATCTTCGTTGCTGCGAGACCAATGGCGGAACGTTACCGAACCCATGTTTCTTTACTATGTCCTCATTGATTACTACTGAAATAGGTACCAAGCCATCGGGTGGAAGTTGGGGTTGGCCAGTCTTACGCAACAACAGATTGGCATTACCAAAACGAGGAAATGAAGAAGAAGCAAGGATGAAGAAAAGTATTAAAGTATATACCAGTGTATCAATTAAGACAGGGAAGTCCTTGCAAACACCAGATTAATACGTTCCAACTCTGCCTTACCCGAAAGACTGTCAGTTGAGTACCTAGAGCTGGGGTAAATCAAATTAACCATCGTAGTACTACGTACACTAGGTATCTCGTCAACAAGATGTGCGTATTCATGCCAGTCCCATAAGAGTCAGTATTCATGGCTATCCTCTTGTTTCAGAAGGGCTGATATTTGACTACGCAACTGGAACCGAAGAAATCCAACGGTGTGCTTCCAAGAAGCTATGGAGTAGAAACTGGTCCCTGCCTACAGACACACACGCCCTTCCAACCTCAAGTGGCTAGGTCCTCAACTCTTCTCCACTTCGAGCCATCTACATACATCATAAGTATGCAGGGTACATTGGCAGGCACTTTCAGACCCTTCACCTTACTGAAGATTCATGCTTATATATACTAGATCTTCTTAAAGCTAAAGCCCCGGGGACAGCCCTCTGCTCCAGGAGACCAAGGCGCTTCTTACTGTACCGAAGTGATTCGCGGAGCCGAATGCGCTAACTATCCTAAATCGAGGTATCGGTTACATAAGCTACCAGCCACAAGCTTGGAGAGAAAGCGTCTTGTTCCTGGGTTATGTTACTGACTCGGCGTATCATATTACACACAACAGTGCAAGACCTGGCCATTTGTCGACATGCGGCATACTCAACAGCTCTTTCTTCACTATCTCAGAGACGCCGGCAGTTCAGTGGCTCCGATGTTCATAGCCGGCTCAGTATACCGCGGATTGGAAGGATCTGTAGCTAATCGCATCTTCGGCAGTCTTTGAAACATTCTGGTGAATAGATTTTCCAGCTGAGTACGAGAGAAGGCCTCCGCTTGGCAGCCGTGGGGTTCGTAGCCGAACCTCAGAGAGTCGGCGTTTTTCATCTCGTGATGGTTATCAAACTCTTCTGGGTTCTTGAATATATCCTCGTCCCGATTCGCAGACTGAACGGAGCAGATGCCTCCAACGCCTTTCTGCAGTGGCTATCCCCCAATCTCTATGTCCTCCTTTGCCGCTCAACGGCTGTTCAGCGCTGAAGCAGTGTGATAGCCAGTTATCTCGTTTATCACTTTCACTGCTAAGCGCTCTGGATCCTTTCTGAAATCGGAGAGCTGTTTCGGATGTTGAAGGAGTGTCATAGTACCAAGGCCGATGCTATTGATCAGCGCAGCGTTGCCTGCCGTCAGCACCAAGAAATCTGGGGTAGTAACATTGTCCTCGGAGATATTCCTGGGCTTTAGTTGTTCCTCGACTGAGCGGCTGATGATATCACCTCCGGATGTTGCGTCTTGTTATTGACTAAGCGCTTCATGTAGTCTTGTAGGGTTTCATTTGAGATTTCGGCTACGTTACGACTTGTGCTGTTGCGAACTTCTATTGGCTGCTCTTTCTTGCCCTGTCTGACAAAATTATCGAGCACTGCGTCAATGACATGCTCACGGGCCAATGGAAATGAAGAGCGTTCTGTTCTTGCTCAAATTGGTCAGCCTATGTGGTGACGACTTGAAGGTAGCTTAAATAAACCTTTGTATACTATTGTGTATTGACTTAGATGTAATACGAGTTGTCAGGGCGAGCTTTTATTTCGAAATCGAACGAATACTTAGAACAGCTGGTAAGACTCCGTTTGACCGGAGTACATCGTGGTATGCTCTATTGTTCGTATCTTTGTTGGTGACGATGTGATACGACGAGGTCTAATAATGTGCTCGAGCGGACGAGGTTTGCTATATGTAATTCACGTATGTATGGAATCGGGCTGTATTCCTTTGCGATGAGACCCCTGATAAGATATTTTGTTAGTGTTGAAAAGTGAAGCCGCTCAGCCCTCGCTCGTATGAGACATATTGACGGATCTCTGAGGCTAAGAAGGCTAGTCCAGTTGCATTTAAAATCAGCGTCAATCGCCAAGGCCAGGAAAGGATCCGAATGGAGCATGTTAAAATTGACAGTTATAGTATTCTATGAATGGGCTCAGTATCAACTATATGGAAACATGAACGAGTGAGTGATTCTGAAGCACAGGTATTATTTTGTACTATTGTAGGTATATTAAAATCCAACTACATGCATCTTTTGCTGTGACGCTATGCCTTGCGTCCATCTGGACCACTAACATTCTCCATGGGTTCTTCATACCGTTTGCCACTGAAAGCTCACTGAGTATGTCTTGGGAGATGTATACACAGTAGCTTGAGTCGAGCCTGTTGGCACTGCACTGGTGTAAAACGTAGACGCCCCGTTATAGCCAAGTTTTCCGGACACAGCCTGAGATTGTACAAATTAGTAAGGAGTAATTATACATACAATTGAATGGCAACAAGAGATATAGAGTACTCACGTTGAATACCGTCGCGCTGACTCCTGAACCGCAGGTGAATGCGCCGCTAACGATGCCACAGTTACCCTTGGAAGATGCAAGCGTGAAACCCGAACCTAGGGATGAATATGTTAGTCATCTGAAGAAGCACATGTATAAAAGGTAATGTCAAATGCCTACCGGAAGCAGTTGCGGTGTAAGTTGCGCATGATCCGGTAGCGTACCACGTGCCTGCAGAAATGAGGCAACCGTTTTTATTTCCGTTGTAGTACGCATTGAGGTAACTGTGCAGAGTTAGCATGAATCCGGGGCCGAGACAAGTCAAACACCTGAATATAGACATACCCTTTTCCTGAAAATGTGCCCGTTGCCGTGCTTGTAGGCGAAGTGGTCTGTGAAGGAATGCGTTAGTCCCTGATGTCCTTCACCATATTACGCCTGCCTAGACGTATCTAGCAGGCATTTCGCTGAACCGGGGAAACGGATCACGTAACAACTTACTATGATATGTCAGTTCAAAGCAACCTAAGCTGTGGAAAAGGAGCACTATATTTATTACATACCAGTCTTAGTAATAGTCTTCGTGGTACTGGTCGGCGTTGTGCCGGAACCATTCTTGGGTAGATACTTGATGCCGCTGCTTGGACAGTTCGAACTCTGACCAACTAAGAGTCCATAATGTTAGCAAACTATAGCGAATATATTAGACATATAAGCCCAAGAGACTGGAAATAGTCGACATAAGACTTGGACTCTCATTTTCTGTCTCGACTTACCGATCGTCGATGGAACGAAATCCGCGCCCGCTAGCGGCCCATTCACGAAGAACCCATAGTAAACCTGGTATAGTTCACTGTTGCTACAGGATATGACCGCGGCTTTTCCTGTGACTTTCAGGAGAGCGGCTTTTATTTGCGAGGATGTATATGTTTTCGAACTCGAAGGCGTGATACCAGCATCATTCAAGGCGCTGTAGGTATCGAGCGTTTTAAACAGGTCGACTGCCACCTGGAAGTAGTCCGCAACTTCCTGTCCTTCCTTGTAGCTTGAATAACAGTCCGGGTCAAGTGTGCTGACACAAGTTCCGTGGGTTGACCACTCGTGTTCCCAGAACTTCTCGGGGCTCTCGCTGTTGCTTTGCCAATAGTCTTGCATGTAAGACACGAGCGATGATTTACCATTGTTCTGGAGAATAGTTGTTATATCATCATATTCGCGGGAAGAATCACAGTTCTCGTCGAATGTCCCATCGCAGTTATCCGGCCACAGCCCGTGGATAGTCCAAGAATCATTTGGTCCGGTGACCGGGTCCGTATCCCAGAACTGCGTCTGAAGGAACTGGCCACCAGGCTTGTTCACGCAGCATGAGCTGACAGACGAGGAGTCGGCACCTGAGGAGCAACTCTCAACATTGGTTGAGCACGTGGCACGTGTGGTAAGTGAGAGTGCATTGGCAACTGGCACGACCGCAAGGGCTACTGAGACAAATCCAAAAGCCATGATCACTATGACGTTCCCTAGGTCACGGGTTACAGAGAGATATGCAGAAAGGGGATCGGTGCCAAGCCAGAAGAAGAGACACAAAAGATCTTGGCCGACAATGCTCTACTTATACAATCCATGATGTACGAGACACAGTGACACCCGAATCCTTTTATCGCGCACCATGAATCCAGACACGGACACGATGTCGTTCTACCTGCCAAACCAAGGCCAAGCCTACGCGTCCAGGGAGCACTAGTATTCCCGCGCATGATGCGACGCTATAGAACTTCCGGATTCGGAAGGCTACAATACCAACACCGGTATATATCCAGGGCCTGGAGATTCAGCCCGTTACGTCTCCATAACGATCGACGAATTAACTGCAATTTTCGAGGCCTTCCCCCCACGTACCATAGCCCCTTCGTTTTACCTGCTATCTCCCTCGACGACAGATATATAGAGCATAACAGCCTGTCATTTCAACCCGGGCCAATCAGATTCTCTAGCTCCAACTTGTTTCCTCATCTTAAAACATGGAGCTCTTCAACTCGTTGCGTGCATTTCAGCAACAAGCGAACAGCAAACTAAATGCCATGTATCCAGCACTCTGTCAAATGCCTGTACGCTTTCTAGCTTCAAATCATGCTGGCGGAGGTGCTTTCTGATAAGCCCGTACTCTTTCTTTAGCAGAGACTTTCTGCTATAGCGCGACAAGGAGACTCTTCCTTGCGGAGGTGTGGAGAGATATATGGGAGCGAGCTAGCGCCACCTTTCACTAGCAATCAATTAGAGTCGATCTCGATAGTTTGAAGCCTGATCTAATGTTTAAGTATACCCTTTAAGCTTTAAGATCTATACTTGTGTGAGGTTTCCAGGGTAAGATTTCACCACTAGTGTCCAGAGAGCTGTGCGATCAAATTGTTCGGAAGCCTTTGCGCAACAACGAGTGTGTACGTCCACATCCAAAAGGTCAATGTAGGCCGGCGCCGCGTCTCAAACCTCACATTTCCCCTTATGAATTACTTCTTCTCTTCGACATTCTCACTCCACCCCGCACAGTACTTGCACTTTCTCATCAAACCTTTCTTCCAAGCCACAAGAATGTATTACACGATCGGGCAGAAAAGACATTCTCAGCGGAGAGTCTAAAGCTTATAACCGTAGTGTCAAGTCTATGATGTCGAGGGGTATCAAGCCTCGAAGCTATCCATCGCTGTTAGGGGACTGGAGATGGGGGAATAAAGAGATAGCATGTATAGTCAGAAGGAGTCTGAATGCCTTCAAAATTCTGGACCCTTTAGACTTTGTGCCACAATGAAAGCCTTGCGATTATAGATGCCGATTACTAGGTTTACGTACAGGCAAGTCCTATTGTGAAACTAAAACATATTTAACTAGAAGAAATTTAACAAAGTGAAATGGGGTAAGAGGATAACAAGTATAAAAGGTGCAGGATTTTTAAACGCGACACTGTTTAACGTAGACCATCTCTTTCTTTATTACAGTCCTAGGGCTACATATGAAGGGACTTATTGTATATGTAGACAGGCTAGCTTAAAGGCTCAGCTTAGTTAGCTATAAAGGCCTTATTTAAAACTACAGTATAATTAAATAATAATTATTATAAGGCACTTACTTACCCCTATACTACTATTCTTACCATCTACCTCCTTAATACTTTTGAAATTCGCATCCCTTGCCTTAAAAATATAAGCTGCGGGGGAAAAAAAAAATTGAGTTCCTAAGAGTCAATGAAGCTAGATAACAAAAGAGTTACTCTACACGTGATGGACCTGCGGGGAATTGAACCCCGGACCCTTCGCAGATACATATCAGAGGCGCTTTCGAGCCATATCTATGCAAAGCGAATATCATACCACTAGACCACGGGCCCAGACGTTTGCGAGAAGCACGCTCTGTGTTGATGCTCGGCGCTGTTGAAATCTAGAATTACATCGGCTACAACACGGAAGCTATTATAGATGAACAAGCAGATATACATCTTCGCTCTTTGATTTATACGACGGCTGGAGTGCTTGGTCCTTATTTCACATAGGTAGCTAGAGAAAACGTGAATTTCAGTTCTCTCCCATTGTCATCCTTTGTTTCCACCGTTGTTCGTGTCATCTAAATACGAATGCTATCATTGGCTTTGAAGGGTCTATACGGAATTCGACTTCACATTTTCACCACACAATATTTCTCTTAGACCAGAACTGGAGAGAGTAATACAAACCATAGATGAATCTTCGCAGCATTTACTAAGCCGTTCCGCGTTCTATACGCTTGACACCAACATTGATACAGCCTAGTAGTTTCTACCCAGATATTACACTTGCGCTCAGATACTTACTTACCTTTTAACTCACCTTAACACTGGAAACGTAGTAGATACTGATAAAGGTTAACTTACATTGATTATCCTATTAACAAATCCAAAACAAAACAAAACAAAAAACAATATGACACTAAAACATACATACAAGACATCTAATACATACAATGCATATTGTACATATCATGACATACTTACGCTCAGCATACATTTAACATATACTAAATGTACACTCAACATATGCTCAACTGGCAACTTAACTTACGTCAAATCGTAGCATTACATCTTCCCCCGAAAGTTGCCCAACTCCGTGACGGCAGACGGGGGCGGCGGATATCTTGGCCCAGGAGTTTTATTACTTCGCGGAGCATCACCTCCGACATCATTTCGCTGGGCTTGCGCAGTCGCGGCAGACCGTGAAGTAACCGCAGATCCATCTCTCACCGTCCCCTTTTCAGACCCAGCGAAGCCAGAAATAGAAGATCTGCTATACACTGAACTAGAGGCGCGCTGCATACCCGGCGGTCGCTCTGGTGATTTTGTTGCGGTCGAAGCTCGAGGATCAGAGTGGTTCGTGCTCGTCGAATTTCGTTCTTGCAGGGGCTCCTCTTTGGGCCGGAAGCGGTCCATGAGAAAAGCGTGTCGTTGCTCCGACATCGCGGAGCCGACGTCAGATTGAGGCAGGAACGGCCCCTGCCGACGCGGACTATCGGGCGGATGTCCGTGTGGGGGAGCAGGCCAATTAGGGGCTGGGTTTTCCCTCTCATTTTTTCTCTTCCCTTTCGTCGACGATGATGACGAGGAGACGGACTCGGCCCGAGTTATGAACGGATCCTTGTACCGAGGGAAACTCGTCGTCGACGTTTGCCTGCTGTAGCCTGAGCTTGGTCTCGGCACTCTAGGCGAACTACCTTGGCCGGCGCTATCAAGGGAGCGTTTATCAGTCCTGTATTCCGAAGGGATCCGTGGCACTGGGGGTATGCTGGAGTTATTGGCTTCATCTTGCGTGTACGTCGTACAGTCTGTCCATACGCTACTCGCTGCCTTATATCCTCCAATTTGGGGGGACGATGGTTCACATTTTTTCCTGACGTCAAGCGGTGAGGGCAAGGCAGATGCAGCGATGTGACTAGCATTAGGGCGAAAGGCAGGGTGTACCATGGACAGTATGGATTGCGTATCGTCCTGGCTCAGGTTCAATTCAGGGTGGGAAAATTGGCTGGAAAACCATTCTTGTACTCTAGCTCGGCTTTTCTCAGCGTAATCATTGTCGTCTAGCTCGTTGTCTTCTTCTAGGTTCTCATCGGCTTGGAAATCATCGCCAATGGGGATTTCCTGTTCAAACCGGTGGAGAAAGGATCCTGTTGGTGAAGCGTCGCTGGGGCCACTCATTCGAGCCGGTTCAGGGGCAGGAGGTCGAGTGTTAGCACTGGTATTGCGCTCACGAGCAGATTTCTCTCGCCTGTGCACATCCGAATCCCCAGAAAGACTATCGGGACGATATATGCTCTCCCTTCTGTTCGAGGCCTTGGCAGCCCTTCGCTGGTCTTCGGCTCCCTTGATATCGACTAAAGCTACTGGAATTCCGTTTCTTGTTCGTCTCTTGCCGCCAGCAGAGGGGGGTAGGGGAGCGATCTCAGCGCCTGTGCTAGTTCTTCTCAATTCACTATACACAGGACGTTTCGCATCTTCTAACTTGGCGCGACGCCGCTTTTGCTTGGCTCGCCAAGATTTGATTTGGGGTCTCGCCATCCTCAAGTCGACAAGTAGAGCTTCACTCCAAGCCCTGCACTGTTCTACTCGGTCTGCATCGTCACAGCGCTTGCGAAGCTGGTCAATCCAAGCTTCTACGATACGGTATAGGCGAGGCACCTTACCTGAACCTTTTCTGGAACCCCTTTCCTGACACTCTTCCATGCGATTAACAAGGGTCGCCCGGAGGTCTGCCAGAGCTCGTCCGCTAGCACCAATAGCCGCGAGACTGCAGGCTTCACATCCAGACTGAACAAAGACGTGGTAACCGTCAAAAGGGGCGAGCCCGTAAATTTCGTGGAAAAGCTCGGGCGCAGTCCATAATGCCACTATCGAGTCGAGCCGCCCAACAAGAGCAGAAAGCTCTGGATCTAGGGTTTTCGCGCTCCATAAACGCAGGGAGTCTGTGTGGACTGTAACCTCATACGCGAGGGCAATGAAAAGTCTTCGAATCAAGAAAGGGTTGAGAGCCGAGTGTGTTTTGCAGAGCACCGCCTGCGGGTCCACGATATTGGGGTCGATGTGATCGACAATCTTGATTGCGAGTCTCTTTAAGCCTGATGGACGTTGCAGCTCTTTCGGAAGATCTTTTATCTTTTCTTCTTGCCTTTGGAGCCATCTTCGGGAAGGGATACCGATGCCGTATTCAGGACGCCGTGCAAGGACACTAGTCATGCGGACGACGAGCTCGTCCGACAAGTCTTGAATTCCAATACTCATGAAGAAACACAGGCAGAGGCAACAGAAATCGTGCTAAAAGTCAGTCTGCAAGGGAATTAATATGAGCTGATAAATCAATTTGGTAGGTAGGTTGCTTTGGAAAATAGGTAAAGGAGAATGTCGGGCGAGAACAGCCTGCAACTGGCAGTTGGGCGTCATATTATAACTTTCTTAGTGCCTTACTTCTGATTAGCTGGACAATGGGTGTTGTTTCAAAGACATCGAGGGCTTTGTAGTCTTGTATCGATAATTCTCGACATTGTACACAAGTACTTGCTTTGTTTCGAATCCACTCGACTTGTCTGCCCAGCATGTGCGTTGTTCTTCAACACTCTGGTTTAAATCGGGCCATGAAAGACCAGCCAGAGGGCGATATAGAGCGTGGCACGGGTTTGCCGCAATATGCTCTATGAACAAGTGTTAGCATAGTTCAGGGACGCACATACTAGCAGAAACTGGATAGATCATGTTGAATACCTTTCCATAGCCGAAAGATTGGTTAACTGTCCATTGAAATCCTGGTCATCAGACAATGAAGCACCAAACATCTATCTGTTATATGCGGTGAAATTATGCTGGCAACAATAAAATTGCTCGATGCAGAATATATATTTGAGACGTATGACGTCCACGCCCTTTCATCATAAATGCCCTTAAGACATATGTTCTATGTAAAGTGCCGTCATTAACCTTTGGATACACCGCCGATGCTGTTCAAAACGCCGCTTGGATACTATCCTTCATGCACGCTGATAGAGAATGCCAACGTATGTATCATAAAATTGGGGTCCTGGTGAAATGTACATTTTCCCTTCCATCACCACATTGTCGGTGAAAGGAAATTTAAGACCCTTATGCTGCTACTGGCACTCGAGACGTATGGTACTCGCTATCCCTCGCACGCTCCAGTCGAATCTTTAAAGCCTCCGTTCCGTCGTCGGGGATGGCAGCCTCTCGAAACCAAGGGTGGGCCAATGCTTGACGAGCAGTGATCCGCTTCGCGGGGTCATATACAAATATCTTATGTAAAAGGTCCAGAAAGAGCCGAAGAAAAGGGCTGGTTGCCGGGATAATATCCTGATATTATGTTAAATAGGATTCTACACGATTACTTGTTAAACTTACGCTCAGTCGTTTCATGTTCCGGACAAATCGTCTGGACGCCCTTGTGGTATCGGCGGTAGGGTAGTCTAGTTTTAAACGTTTGAAGTACCTGGTTTGTATTAGAAGGCCGACTCCATGTCCACGGGTGATTGGAAAACGTACTTAGCAGGGGAACCGCTGCTGTTGCGTGACGCTGATTTGTTGACCATCTGGACGAGATGTGGGTCAATTCGACTATCACACACATTCTCCATCATTGCCAGATGTTCGAGATTATCGTGAGTTTGAAATAGGGCATCTCCGGTAAAAAACTCGACCAAAATGCAACCGATACTCCAAATATCGCATGGAAAAGACCATCCTAAGCCCAATATGATCTCTGGAGCGCGGTAATGCCTCGTTGAAACGACGGAGGAGTGGTACTCGTCATCGAAGGTTGCGGATCCAAAATCTATTAAGCGAATTTCAGTGTCAAGGAGAACTTTCCGCTGCGTAGCTTGTCGGGTCGCCCCGTTAGTTGATGATGGTATTCGCCTGTTGTAAGTGAAGGTCTGATAAGCGCTGTCACATAGGAGAATATTCTCGGGTTTGAGATCAGTATGGATAAGATTAAGATCATGAAGAACTAGATTATATGCGTTAGCATGTAAGACCTATTAAATTGATCAAGAAATACTCACAAGCGACGCTAGTCAATAGTTGACGAGCAAAGCTCTGTATTTGACTGTTCGGGAAAGGAACGAAATTATTGCCCTTCAGGAAGTCGAAGACGCTTGAACCTAAAAGATCCATTACGATGCAGATGTGGCCACGAAAATCGAAGCAGTCCCGGAGGTGAATACACCGATTGCGATTTTCTGGGTCGTTGGCCTTAAGCGTCTGTAGCACTCGTAATTCGATTCTCGAAGCATCTCGATACTTCTGTACTGCGCGAATGATCTTGATTGCAACGAGCTTAGATCTTTTACGGTCTCGAGCCTCAACGACCTTGCCGAAGGTGCCTTGTCCAAGAAGTTTCCTTATTTGATCTACACAGTCATTAACATCCGTTGCAGCGTTATTACATCTCAGAGCAAATGAACTGACATTGTGCTGTGAGATCAGCGTCGGGTACCACTATATAGTGGCCGTCATCATCGTCAATCTTGACACCAGTTTGATGTGTTCGCTGGAGACATCAAGTCAGTATTTAGCCTCTCATAGTACAAAGGGAATTGTCACCCACATCGTTGACAGGGCGAACAGAAACTTCTCCGCATTTCTTTATCGGTTTCTGGGGAGGCTGGTACTCGTGATAACCATCACCAAGAACTTCAACCTCTCTTCGCTTTGCGTCCTGAGCAATTTGTTGCCTAGTGCGTTTTCGCTTCTGGCCAGTCTGCGGAGCTTCATAATCATATTGCCCATTTGAAGAAAGAGATGTTGGGGCCGTGGTATTATACGCTGACGTCGTCCGATCTGTCGAAGCGGAGCCACCGTTGGACGATTGAACATATGAGCCATTTAACCTAGCATCGTACAGATTTTCAGGGTGAAATTCGTCTTCCTTCTTTCGCTTCTTAGCAACGTGGCGAGGACCCGGCTTATTCGCTGCGCTATTTGCAGTGTCGTTGGTGTATGTCCTAGAAGTAGCAGATTCCGACATTTTCGACTCGGGCTCAGGAGTGTCATCTATAATGATTATTTCCTTGGGCAACCCATTCTTGTAAAACTGTTTCCAATCGGGTTCCTTCGACCTCCTCCGTTTCCTCGGCTGGGTTTCTGTGTACGCCATGTTGCTATGATGTGCTTCGGAATGAGGCGTGGAATGTGTTCTCGTCGAGAGGTGTCGGGCAGGTGCTACTGAAGCCGTGACTGCATTTGAAGATGCCTCGTTCCCGGAATATGGTGGATTGACCGAATACGAAGCAGCTGTGATGCTGGGCGTGGTACCGTTATGATGGTAATGTTGTGGTTGTTGCTGCTGCTGCTGCTGCTGCGGCTGTTGTTGTGAATGCCTATTTGAAATGGGTGCTGTCGAAGCCGTCGAGGAAGGCGTGGGAAGGAGGTTGTTTACAGGGCCGGAAGCCACAGAACGATAGCCGTTGTTTTGCACAGCTTGGTAGGGCGGGTAGTGATGGTGATGAGGAGGAGGGTGATGATGATGATGACGATAATGGGGAGGCAATGTGGCCGTGGCAGTCGTTGGTGTTGACATTATGGAGTTCTGTGTGAAAATGTCTGCCCATTAACGACGGCGTAGGAGCGTCGCGGTAGTGTGAGAGGCCAGCAGACAGATGGACCGACAATACCGAGACCGAAATGGCCAAAGTGCAGGAGAAGAGAGGGCGGTGATGGGAGAGAGAAGAATAGGCGAACAGAGAGGCGAATAGACGACGACCGACCAGACGGCCGCACACACGAGAGGATGTGACAGGGAGATGGGCCGGGTCGGGCGGGCAGCAGGATTTCCCCTAAGACTGATTGATGACCCTAGACTACACTACGGTACCATACAGCTAAACCGCCCAGGTTGAGCCAGCAGTTCGCAGCAAATCGGCAGATAAACAGCCAGACGTCTGTAGAGGCTAGTTGGAACTAATCGGAGCTGATGGCCTTCGAGTCTTGAATGTTTCGTGTTTTCGGATTTCTCGCGGTCGTTATATGGTAATCAACTGACTTACTTCAAGGTTGAACGAAGTGAACTGTCTGGTGCCTAGACACGCATACCGGCGCTTGGGTCAATCCATCAGGTTCGGGAAATGCTCTAGGTTGTGAGCAACAGGCGAGGTAAATAGGCGGCACAAGTCATTTGGTGCATTTGGTCCATTTAGACGAGTTAGTGCCAATTGAGTAGGTAGGCATTGAGGAGTTGTGCAAGTGGCTATCGAGATGGGCCCTAACCGCAGAAGGTTGTGAATCCGACAGCGACAGCGGCACGGTACCTACACTACCGTATCTTCATTCCCTACGTGTGTACCCTGCAGTCGTGATACTTACCTACATGCCTAACTTAGAGTGATATACCTAGGTATATGTAGGTATTTTCCGGCTGCTAGAGATAGTTAGTGTTTACTTGCATAGTGGTGAGTTAGTGAATGCCTACCTAGGTACCTAGATAGGTCGATAGGTAGTGGTATTAGCGGACTACCGTAGGTAGAGTTCAATAAGCCCCCTCTAAAATTAGAGGGCTACAGAGAAGACCTTCACTAAATGGGGTGCTCCATGTTGTTCTACATTGTCGCTGATGAACCAACCACCTTACTTGTTTATTACGTCGTGAGACTCGTCTGGTTTGAATACATCCTGACAACTATATGCCCGAATGCGCTACCTACAAATCAATATCTAGTTACAGTAGGTAGGGGGAACTGGACCATCATCCATCGTCGAGTTCCATTTGTGTGCACGTACTCTAGGGATTTCCAATAGTACTTTAGGATTACTAGTACAGTAGGTATGTACACAGCCTGGTCTGTTAGTGGGTGTAGATAGGGCTTAGATTACAGGGCACTGAGGGCTGAGACGCAGTTTGGGGTACTGCCTCACCAAGAGCTTCTTTTGGGCAAAATTGCGAGTTTTTTTGTACATAGTACTACCTAGGTAGAGTACAATTACGTGAGAAAAACTGGGCATGGAGAGGTTGTCATTCGTTCTCGAATATGTCTCACTGATTGTTTCCCTCTACAGGATGGTCATGTTACGTGTTGCGACGAGGTCATAAAGAGCAATCAGTGTTGCTCAAGAAATGGAGGTTAGGGAGCGCGTGCTAGAGCTTGCGCTACCTACCGGTCATTCACCAAATCGGAGTACCAATATGTACCCGATTACTCAGTAAGTGCCGAGGGGGGTTTGAGGCACGTACATAGTAAATGCTTTTAGCTAATCCCAGGCGCATTCTTCCTTCAAACAATAGCAGCAGGTTTGGCACTTTAAGATACCTATTTCGATATGCTCTCCCCCATAGACACTGTATTACATTGCGTATCTAAGTGTGTACAGTCGAGACAGTTTATATGGAGAGACGCCACTCTACTACTAGTGGTACTGTATACTTATTGTGTGGCAAAATCACAAAATCACACAGTTCAGCTCTCTCGCGAAGAAGGGCATGCTCCAATGGGTCTGTTCCACAGCGTGTCCGTACCTATAGGTGCCTACAACACCCACTAATTAGCCCTCTGCAGAGTGGCAGGGACCGCCAACCCAACATGTTGTAGGCCTGTACCTAAGCAAGCGTAGGTAGTATTTTTTATAGGTAGGCGATGAACAAGTACCTAAACATTCAATCTGCACCTGTGTTTCATTCAGCATCCTCTGTCCCAAGATTCACATCACAACCCACCTCATTCCAAGCCTCTTCCTTTCATTAGTGACGCTGCTATGGCCCTTGCCAACAATGACATTGTGCCAACATTGTGCCACAATGTCAGCGTACCCAGCCAGGACCCAGGCAGTACCCAGGTCGCTTAGCAGCCTGAGTTTTGGCCTAAACAGATCTGAGGTAGTGTAAACCTTGGCTTAGTCTACATCGGTACCTGGGGATTTCACGATGGCTATTGCGCATTTTTAATCCACCAGTCACTCCACCTCCCCCCATTGCATCCATCATCACATCACCCAGCTCGCTGTTCTAGGTATTTGACCTTGGTAACTTGTCTTAGAACCAAAGAGAGAGACATCGTCATACTTGTTTGCCTTTATCCATATATACTTCGAGTGCTACATGATATCGAGCATGGCCCTTCGAAGGGTGAGGCTTTTGCCTTGATCTGCTGCAGAAACGGCCTTTTCCAAAATACCTACACTTTTTTCTACACTTTAAAAAAAACAGTTCCAGCGAGATCCCTGTTCCCTTCTACACTACAGCCACGCTATGCATCTCGTGCAGCCGCTTGCCGGGTTTCGAAGAGTTGACCCCTCATCCGGTCATCGATAATCCGCGCCAACTTGTCAGGGACTTGGCCGTAAACACCCCCCTGGCAGACCCTGAATTCAATCTTTGCTACGTACGCCGGTAGGTGCACTTGAATGCCTTGTGGCTGCAATGGATTGTGTGCAGCTTTCGCCATCAACTTCCCATCAATAGAGAAAGCTAGGTATTCTCGTCTCCGCGATCGCCAGTATACTTACTTTATAGTAGATCCGTATGGTCCTCTTTCACCCCTCGCTTCCATCCTATTCGTCTTAGGTATTTGGTTAAATCTAATCAACTGGGAGAGTCGTACTGGCCCAACACAACTAATCCCGTGGCAGGATATCTAACTTTGATGATTCCCGACTATGGACAACAGCAACCGCTTCGCTATGGTGCTCACAATCGATCGAAACAGATAACCCACAGATATCTACTTACACTACCGGTACTTACACATGTCAAGACATGAATTGAATCACAGGTCCCAAACTCGGGATCCAAGCTGTTCCAGGCTTACTACTGCACTACACCACTGCCCTATTCATAGAGTGGATGCAAATGCGTACTATGAGTCTACCATGAGATGGTGCACCGCTATTCACCTGTTTTGCCTCGAAATACGTAATATGTTGGTGAATCCGCAAGATTTTAGCAACAGTGTCAGCTTTCATCTTCACAACGGTGTGACCGGCAGTGATGACAGCGATGGGCGTCGAGCGTACCGCAAGACGGTTCCAGCTCCAAGGTCGTCAATACTGTGCGCTAATACCTAGTGCCCATAGCATGTTGTGGCAACAAACTCCAATTCTCAGCGAGGCAGTTTTGGTGAAGCTAACTACAGTACATGTAGGTGGTGGTGCGTTGAAGCCGTAGTAATGGAGGGTAGTATTGGTTATCTTGCCTGCATTTGATGCAGTACCCCAATGCACAGTCTATTCGCTGGCGTCCCTCGGTTGGGGCATTCCTTGGCTCTTGGTCTTGTTGCCCTGTCCACTGTCCCGGCTGGGCCCTTGACACGGTGATGAAGTCACTGCTCCGCCATACTATCTACTATGAGATGACACCAGTTGATCCTAGAGTACCATTGTTTCTGTACAACCCACGCTGCCTACCAGATGAAGTACTGTAGGTAGTGTGTTGCTGCTGTGCCTCCTCACGATAACAGATTTACCATCCCACTTGGCTATGAGTATGCCCGTATCACAGAGTGAACGTGCAACGTCTCGTTCGGTTGGATAAATAAATCTAGATCGCGGCTTGGGTATTATATGGCATGTACACCCCCAAGGAAAGAAACGAACGAACAAGTACGAAATGCAGAAGCAGATCCAGAAACAAGAATCGCTGACAGAAAACACTGTTTACCGTATGTCTTTTCTTCTCTTCAACTCAGGCTGAGCTGAGCCAAGGAATAATGGCAAGCCACATGCCGAAACTGTTTATAAGACCATGACATACCCTACTTACTTAATACGTACACTAGGTACGTGGATACAAGCGAAAGCATGATTATCCAAACCCACCGTGAATCTCGGTTGCGCGGTCAGGATGCCGGTTCGTCTGAATATGGACCAGCCGAGACTGGGAACGACGACGCACAACAACACTGCAAAGGTACCTACAACACAACATGTTGAAGCAAGCAAGCAAGCATTTGTGAGAGCCCACGGTGAAGAACAACACTCAGTTATTATTTGCTTATCATCGTTAGCAAAAAGAATGGAAACCCCGTTGAATTTCCTCGTAGATACAGCAGATCAGATCAGAAAACAACAAGATGCAGGAAATGAGGGGACATCCGGGACCAGGGACAACGTAATATTTCAATGTACCCCGCGTCCACGGAATGGGATGGTGGTGTTGCGCAAGTTTGGAAGTGCGTGAGTATGTGGTGCGTGCACCAGACCACCTAAGCCAACAGTTGTAGGTAGGTGGTCTCGATGCTACCGTACACACACATATCATCAGTGTCATCATCGGCATCCTCAGCATCATCCACCATCGGGCCACCGCTTGCGCAGCTAGAGACTTAGGTAGATACCTACCTGGCTTGCCTAGTATTATCATGTGTGCGGTGTGATGGGCACTGCACCGCAGCAGTTCGTTTAGCGTTGCCCGTTGTCGCCCACCGCCTATCTAACCCAGTCCACAATCCCAACGCTACCCTACTCGGCTTGAATACCCCGTCGGCTTTCTACGACGGGAAACCCTTCATACCTAGTCTAGTAAGTAAGCACCTATCCTAGACATGATGATGTAGGTAGGTACATTGTCTATAACTGTCTGCATTGGATAGAAGGGTGCAGAGTTGTTTTCTACTGTGTGTATACTACGTATGTAGATAGGTAGGTAGGTAGTAAACTATCCTCGGCCCTATTATATGGCTGTCTTTGCGCCAACCACATATCATACGAAGTACCTATTACGTTACTCCAAGCCTCGGGAATAGTGATCCGCGCATACATACATACATAGGTATATACATACTCATACATAATATCCAAACTCTCTCGCATATCCGTCAACGGTGGGTTGATTAATTGCTCACTATTATTATACCCTGAAGGTAGCATATGCAGTTACGAACTCCGGCATACGCTATGATCTCGCAGACATCACCCCACCGCAATGATGCTAGGTACTCCAAGTATATCTATATCTTAAGCATGGATTGATGATATAAGTATGGGTGTACCAAACCATGCAGTCTTTCGGTTTGGTTGATCCTAAAACTAAAATTGTATTTTTTAAAAAGAAAACATGGGGAAATGGGACTGGTAAAGTTGGCTATAAATACTCCCCTGGGTAACTGCTCTTTGCAGTTATGGTTACGGCAATTTCGGGCGCATGGACTCGCACGCACTTTTCACGATGACTTCCTTCGAAACAAAGCCTCGGACAAATATCTCTCGTAGCTATTACACCAGAAACCCTACCGAAACGCTGGTACGAAGTTCATCATCCGTCTCAGAAAGCATCGTCATAAACTTGACATGGCAAGCATGGGTTCACTGTTATCTAACAAGACATTACATGGTATAAGGTGCATGGCCGAAGCAATGGATTCCGTGTCTAAAATCTATAGTTGAATAACTAGGAGTAGTCAACTCATAAAGGGGTAGGTAGGTAAATAGAATTCAAGTAGATATATAATGATCTTCTATTCATTGAAGTAACTTCTTCCTGATATCGAAAGGGTATCAATGCTTCCCATCAAAGGAGCCATAAGCCCCTTTTTGAGCGTCGAGCCTCTAAGCTAGATGGTCCATAACGCTGTGACCGAACAAAATAGAAAGCATCGCGACGTTTCCCATAGGCCCAGAACCGCGCGGTCAACCACTAGTCTCCTTGGAGATGCACAAAGACAGACCTGTAAACCAAACAGACGCTCATGTCTCTTTCCTCTATATCTAGTGTCTTTCTTTCCTTCTCCTTCTCTATAACATAAGGGTATCAGATTCCACGATTAAAAACGACCAGTCCGCCCTCTCCCCCACGGCCATGGAACTCTTCCTCGAGACTCTCGGCACTGATCTTCTGGCGCTGTGGAAACGCCGCAAGAGCGAGCGGTAGCGCAATGTAGCTCATACCAAGGATTAGCCCCAAGTTCACAGGGAGGGTCATCCGGGGGTTACTGCGCAGCCACTGCGTGCGCTGGAGCCGAACGAGGATGAGCGGCGGCACGACCATGATAGGGGTACTATTGAGCACACGGCTCAGGGCTGTCTCGCCCACAGCCACCGTTGCCGCGCGGCGGCTCTTACCGAGAGACGCCACGTCGCTCTCTGCCCTACCCTCTGCCGCTAGCTTCTCCTTGTCGGCGGCAGACAGCACCGGGTACACGTCAATGCCGACGCGCATCTCTTCGCCGCGCATGAGCAGCACATTGAGAAAACCTGCCGACGCAACGGCGGCGAACGGCACGAGACGGCTCAGGATGAGTTTTGTCGAGGGCGTCACGCGCTTGAGGCGCGGCACGAGAGAGTTCAGGCCTACGGCCACCGAACATGAGGCGCCAACAGCAAGAAAGTACGATTGCGCGATCTTGGAGTACGAAAGTGGCGTGGACTTGTTGGCGTTCGCGTTGTTTATGGCGACATTGAGTGACTGATTCGTGATTTGCCAGAGGATGGTGCCGGTGTTCTGCGCGGCGCAATAAGGTTAGCTCACAGTCACGCGACGCAGTTTTTGACCTGCGTGCGGCGCAGATTGAAAAGCATTTGCGATCATAAGGGGAGCACGTACTGATAGACCTGGTGTAAGCATTCCTGCTGTGACGACCAAGTTCGAGAGGGCGAAGCACGACATGCGAAAGGGGAGCAAGACGGGCTTGCCGGTATCTGATCGCATCACATCCAATTAGCCAAGCCCAGCGCCGCAAACAAAGTTGTAGAGGAAGAAACGCGGATTAGTGGCCGTACCCGGATGTATCGTCGAGTCGACGATCTTCTTCGCCTTCCATAGCTCGGGTGTCATCTCCTTAATCTCGCCCTGCTTGTATTTCATAACCAGCGTTTTCGCATCTTCGAGGCCTCTCTTCCCAGCCAGGAGGGTTCTGCACGAAGCAAAAACAGGTCAGCAACGCATCTCAGCAAGTGACTTGGGGCGAAGATATGAAGTCGGTCGCAACGTCAAACCATTCACTTTTATCCTGGGCTACATTGACAGGAGGAAACTCACCTCGGATCAGTGATGCTGGCAGTATGGCGCACGCGACCCCAATACGTGCTCAAGTCATATTGCGAGTCGGGCAGCTCCCGATTGCCAGGGAGGGAGGCGGACATGGTCGGTTTGCGTCGAACTGCCCTCGCCGAGCACTCCCGCTGCTACTACTCTATGAGAACGGCTGGTATATCTTCACAGAGGCGCAGTAGGCTGTAGCGACGAGGATTCAGGCAAGGCTACGTGCAACCACGCAGCCGACTTACAATGCGAGGCTCGTCATTGGCGGTGAAAGATGTTTGTTGCAAAGACCGAGATCGGGGCCCTACCCACCAAGCCCTCAAGCCTGGCCCCCACTAACCGCCGCTACCCGTCCACTTCCTTCACAAACCCCTCGATCCGTTCGTCCACGGTAATTTGTAGATTCCTCAGCATGAGGGTCAGTTGTGCTGTGCGTTATACTCATCCGGTAGAAACTTGGTTAAATGGGGTTATCAGCACCGTAGCTATTTAATAGGGTTGTGTAAATTAATTCCATACTGCCCTGCCCCTTGCTGTCGTAGGTGTTACCTAACCGTGATCATTAGATGACATAAGCAATTAAAATATCTTCAACCCTCAAATGCTAATAACGACCCAAAAATATAATGTGAACAAAAGATTAACTCGACCTCGGCCGGACTCGAACCGACAATCTCTAGAGAATGATATAGAAACCGAAATCTAGCGCCCTAGCCATTAGGCCACGAGGCCGGTTGTTAAGCAGATTAGTGATGAACCGATGCTTAAAACGGTTACAGCTTTGTCATATATAGCAAAAAACATCGCCTTCTATGGAGAACGATTAGCAGATATTGAAGTCCTATGAATTCCCGCGATGTTCTTTAGAATGAAATATAGCTAGCTAGAATAGACTATGCTTGTTCTCATTCAATCACTTCAATGAAATAAGAATTGACAAACTGACGATCTCTGCGAGATTGCTTGGTAATAATCACCAAGTTTAATGACCATAATGCCCAATCCTGTATTGTTCAGTATATCATGATCTAATGATATTTGCTAGTTCATTAACTGTCTTATCCATTCTTCCGAGGTCTTGGTGATGTGTCGAGCGAGTGTCACGTAAGAACGACTGTTCTTACTCCGATAAGTGCTCAAAGCAAAATTCATATCAACTCAGAAGCTGTAATGCCGAAGGTTATATCGTTAGTGGTCTAGAGACATTCGCCTTAAGGTTATCTTTTCGAGACCGGAACTTTGGCTCCCGATTGAGCTTGTTGTCTTCCATGGCTTTACTCAGTTCTATTGGCCCCCTACCTGGCTGCACAATGGCTGAGATGGGTGATCATACTGGAATCGGTTGACGTATACTCTCTTTTCAAATTCACGATAGGCTCCTTCTCCTTCTTTTAAATAGTAGAAGGATCATTTATAATTTGAAGCTAAAGCCATACCTCGCGTATTGGACCTGTGTTTGATTATAGCATGTTCGCTCCTAGTTATCCTTTTACTATGAAGTTTTCAAATACAGGGTTTATGGAACATAGATAAGCATCTATAGACGGGGCTTCTTTAAGTATACTTAATGACGATAGTAATGCCTCGAGAAATTTTATGACATCTCTACCGAGGTTTTTCTAGACTTGAGAAGGATAATCGTTCTGCCGCTCCTCTTTTATGCAGATGGCATATGCGCAGCGGGTAACGTTCTATTTTGTTTTTAGAATCACATTCATAGTTTCAAATTCCGGTGAGCCAAGCGGCTTTGCCCTGTGTTTTGGCATTGCCAGGAATATATTCTTACATTGTCCGAGAGTTTCTTCAGTTCCAGCTACAATCAGGCGCCCTAAAGGTTGGCCGAGATCGATATTACCGCCAAACCGTGACGATTGCGCTTAAACAATAACAACTACCCCTATTGGATCACAATAGAAGTTTAGCTCATAGGACGAAGTACGTAATTCTTGATTCATAACATATAGATGTATTCAACAAGATCATAGATTTACGAAGTTGGCGGACGAAGTATAGCCTCTTTACCTGCTCACCCGCATCATGCTATACGTAGTCAATGGTCCTTGATTTAGTTAATAGCTAGCATAACAACGTCGGTCATGTAAATGATACTTTGACTTATGTCTAGCGCTCTTTAAACAGCTTTAGACTGAAGATATAGATATGACATATAGATTCAATATTACCTCGCCCCTCCCTCTTCTCTGCTCTCCGAATTCATCTCGAAGCTAGATCGATTTGGAAGCATTGGTGCGACAAGTCAACTCTAAACAGTTTATGTGCTCAATTGTTACAAGCTGAACTGCGACTTGGACCATAGAGCTCCTTGGTGACAGAGGGGGGGGGGGGGGGGTGGAGTCAAAGCCTCCAGCATCGGTCTAGCCCTTGAGCCAAACTAGTTACACTGACAATGCTATTATCTTCATTCTACAAGTGGACAAGAATAAGGGAACAGCAATTTCATATCTGGTAAATGAATCATGTATAAGAGATATTGGATGTATGAGCCAATGACCTAAGGAGTCGGCAAGTGAGCGTAGCTATATCTAGCATCAGGCAGGGTTCACTTCTTTACAAGTATTACTCAATGAAAAAAAGCTAATTCAGACGTTGGGTGTCGGTTGATGTGTTTGAATGTCTAGTATTCAGAAGTGGATATCACATAACTATATACATAGAAAGTTGAAGAGTTTCGTGAGCTTCATAACCTAAGGGATGCGGCCAACCAAGTTGTCTCCGAAGGTCCAGCCCTTTGACCCGTCCCAGTTAATAGACCACGTCATCAAGCCCTTGAGCTGTCCGTTGTAGTGATCCCAGGCCTGTCCGACCAATTCAGGGGTCATGTAACCGCCACCCGCACCTTGTTGGGCAGGCAGACCGGGGACCTGCATGTCGTAAGGAATCTTGATCGTGGTGCCCTGAATGGTCAAGCCCGAGTTCAGGCAGTCTGTTTGGGCTACGAAGCCCTCGACGGAGCCGGCGGGGTAGGAGTCGCCCGAGCAGCCGTACATCTCGCCGTTGTAGTATTGCATGTTCAGCCACCACAAGCGACCGCTGTCGACGTACTTCTTGATGATAGGCAAGTAGGATCCCCAGATAGATCCGTATGTCACGCTGCCACCGGTAACGTATGCAGTTTCGGGTGCCATAGTTAACCCAAAGTTGTCTGGCATCTCTGCAAGAACACCATCGATGATGCGGATGAGGTTCTCCTGGGAGGTCGACAGAGAGTTGATGTCGCCGCTTCCGCTCAGACCGGACTCGATGTCAATGTCGATGCCGTCGAAGTTGTATTCCTTCAAGATCGGGACGATGGTCGAGATAAATTTATCGGCAACATTGCTTGACGACAGGTCGATGGCGGCCGTGGCACCTCCTATAGACAGTAGAATAGTGGCGCCGGCAGCCTTGGCTTCACACATCTCGGCCGGGCTGGCAACCTTGACTCCAGTGTCTATGCCGTCTGCCCATAGTGCAGTACCGTCTGGGAGGATGACGGGGAAGGCGGCTTGTATGACGTTGTATCCGTGCTCTGCAATATCAGGGTTTCCAATCGGCGTCCAGCCGAGTCCGGGGTGAACACCGTTGGCTGCTCCATCCCAGTTCTCCCAGTATCCTTGAAGAACCTTGCCTGCTGGCTTGCCCTTAGTCTCGCAAGTGTCCTGGGCCAGTGCCGGTACGGCGCCGAAGAGCGTAGATACCACGGCTGGCAGCATGACCAGACCTGCGTTGCGTAGGCGTGTCATTGTTAAAGGAGTGGCTAATGAGGCTTTTCAAATAGACTATTGATACTTAAGGAATGACGAAGGTGGTAGAGCGCCTTTGATGACTCCATGCCGAAGATGGACGCGAAGCACGTACTTATAGATTGTACAGGTCAAGTTACCTTGCCCAATGTCTCACCTTCCTGCCACACATGGAATTGGCAAGTTGTTAGGTGGTATGCACCTATTGGGCAGGTGAGGGCTCACATGGCGCTGCCATCAAATGTCTAAGTGTGGCCGACATGTCATATGTTGGCGGTACTCGATAGGGGTGCAACGTAGCATGATTTTTGATGTCTTTGCCAGGAATAGCCAAGCGGGAGCGTAATCCTCATGACTGGACGAGGTTGTATGAATCCATCGCGGTCTGAGAGTGAGGGCCCCGCGTAAGACATGTTTTACTTAAGCAGAGTTTCTGGAAATATGGCAGCAGTACTCAAGAATAGCAGTTGTCGCATGGACTACATCGCCTGGCAAGGCATGTGACATTGACACGAAACATCGCCATTGATTAGCTGGGATCTACTACCTACCTACTCCAGGTAGTTGACCCAATCCTGGTCAGCCCCCTGGCCAAAGTAGGCAGTTGACATCGGGTTAGCGGGTGCTAAACTGTGATCGCCAAGACCGATCTGCAAGACTGACAATGCTTTGTTTTGTCTTGGTCAGTACTTGAGTGAAAGTGTAATGTTTCAATAATTACAGCCTTTTCAACACGTGTGCTATGCTGCCTCTCCGTATATATTATTGTTAGACTGCGGAGAGTGGCCAAGGTACCAGTTTCAAACCGGATGAGATCTAAACTACGAAAGGAATCAGTCCTATCACTAAAATAGTTACGCTACTTAGCATATGATAGTCAGGGGCACCTTACTTAGTGCACTATCTACTAGATCTACTATTGTATGTATACCGATCTGGAGAAGCAAACACCCTGCCTCGCCTGCCAGAAGATGACTGCCGTACGGCGGCGGACCCCAACGCCTTACGCGCTTCGATCCCGGAGGGGTGGGACGGTAAGCGCTCTGAGTCGTCACCTACAGGGGTCTTATCAAGCGATTACAGAATAGCTCCGAATAGCCAGAGTGATATCAAAAGCAACACAAGGCCGCAACGTTCCCTGGACCCTACGCAACTACAAGAGCTGATATACTGAAAACGACCCTACGTCGTCCAACACTGGGTCAGTCTTATCTTTAGCTCTTGAAAAGGCTTAGAAGCTTAAGTCGTGACACCAAATACGCCTTTGTCATTAGACTTTCTCTTAATAGAAAGCCATTAGCATGGTCTTTCTGAAGTTTGCTATACTTGAGCTTGAATAGATAGAACCGTCCGTGGTGTGTGCTATTTGTTGAGATGACTTCCTCTGAAGACCAGAATACTTCTACTCGGGCTCATACCCGTTCAAAGTATACCGCGTAACCTAATAGCCGGCTTCTTGAAACTTAGAGAGTGTTAGTGTTCACGCATATAGTTCAGTGTTTGGGGAAAATAGAGTTGATAAGTAAGACCTCATGAAATGTAGTAGTATATAGTCGAAGCCGTGTCAACTGGGCCACTCAAAGTGCAGCGATGGGCTGCCGGGAATAAGCATGCTAAAGAATGTTTCAATTGAGTGAAGTGTAGCTGCTGGAATTGGGATAGTCGAAGGCCAAGTAAGTCGCATATGCGATTACATGGGACATCCTATCTAGATCATAACAGAAGAGGTCCTACTTAATAGCTAAAACATCAGGAACATGAGTGGGTTTTCTAGATCGGGGAATCCCGAGTCATGCACTATTTATTTAATAATCCTTAACTCAATACGCTCTGATGGAGGGAGGAGTCTGCTTGGGCATGTAAATGTGCTAGGGCGACTTGAAAAGTTGTTCCGTGCTGACGCGGGAAGAGCCGAGAGCCAGAAATATATACGATGAGCAGTTCCTTGGTCATCTAATCTTGGCCATAAACAGGCTGACCTGTTTTCCAAGGGTGCGAGTCAATCTCAATGCACATGGGCCGGGATACTGGTAGGGCTGACATACAGTCGGTAACTAGTATTGAGCGGAAGGAATGTGGCGCATGCGAAATTTAAGGAGGATGCACCACTTTGAGCAAGACAGGCGTTCAACGCCCACTACTCTAACAATGGCAAAGCCATAAATCAAACAAGCAGGTGCGGACTTCGCGATAATCCCATGAGGATTATGCTCAGTTTGATATCTGGATCTTTAGGACTAGATATTATGAAAATAGAACTAGGCAGGATCTCCTGTCTCGGTATTAACTCGAACGCATGTTCCACCTAGATAGGCTTCATATGTTAGATTCTTATTCTTTCCATATCGTGAAGTGACCTCAAGTTCAAGTTGTCCTTTAGCCACTTAGAAAAGAGGGATTAAATAATAGGAGTTTCCGGTTGCTTATTCGATGCCAGTGTTTAGAGTAGATCAAAAGATAAGTCATGGCGTGTCTGTCGCGTTAACTTTAAGTGTGTCCTCCGTATTCACTATGCTAATGTGAAACGAAGGACTATAAAGAAGGGACTGGAGAAAGGGGTGACTGCGCCACATTTTGTGATACCAGCCACCACACAAGTTTGGTGGAACGACTTCCTAGGAAGTCGCTTGACTCAACTGTGGTCACCTAAAATATGCTGAGTGAACATAAGTGCTCATACTTATGTGCATGTTCAGGGCCAGAACTACTTCGTACACATAATATGAAATAGGGATAGAACGGATGGGTATCAGGGAGCTCGCCTTAAGCGGCTGTGACTGATTGGTTGTAAGTGACAAACATGAAGAGTACAGCATGCATGCCTGAACAGTGAATTATAAAATAATGTAGTGTCAAAATACCATAAGGTGAGTGTAGATGCTCAGAGTCTTGACCTTATAACGTCTTTCTATCTTCTGGATAGCGTACCAGTTTAGTACTACACTCCTATTCTGTTCTGTGACACGTAGTGACCTAAGACTAGGTAATATTTGCTTCTAGAGCACTGACAGGATAGTGAAATCTTTAATAACAAGAAATTATATATCATCCATAAGTCTCATCCAGCTGTCAAATACCCGGCTTTATGATGCAGCTGATATACGCACAGCAGGATGACGAACGATGAGTACTTTCTCCTTAGAACGTTAATGTTGTATATTTCACGATACTGTGACTAATGGATGGAAGTCGGTGCTAAATCAACTCTTTCAAAAAATTCCAATATTCATTATCCTAGAGTTTAGTATCTCATATGTTATAGTGACATCGAGGCGGAACTCTATGATTGGATTAGCAAATTTAACGCGGATCTTCCTCGAGGACCTAGTGTTTTTACATCCATCGACCTCATGCCATCGACATTCATTACTCCCACAGGGCGCTTCTAGTAGTTTATATATATATAGCTGGATGTAGTTTGATACGGCAGAGGAGAACTGATACTGTTAGTTCTCATCAGGATCGACGGCATTTGGTATATCGCACTTGGGATATAAATCACGCCTAAGCGGCAGCCTGATTGGCTCAGCTTAACAGCAGCGGGAAGCTTGAGGCACTTAGCTTATTAATTGCTCCTTGATGAATAGAATTGCATTATATGCATGCCAATTATTGAACAGCAACTTCATTGGTTTTATGAAAGTTAATATTATAACCCTAGATAATATGAGTATAGCCTGAGGATGAGCCGTAAATTTAGCTGGCTTGTGAGTTAAAACAATCATATTTGTAGACTTGTAATCATTGATCTATGTATTTCTGCAGCACCGCTGATTAGTCATTCTTGGTCTTTATAGTTTTCATTATTCTGCAATACGTAAGCAGATCGCTCCGGAGGTCTACTAGGGGACGCCAACGCCATTGCAAGGAACTGAGCAAAAACAGCAGTTTGAGAAGATTTATATCATTTTCATTACATTATCTGAGGCTGCTAAAAGTGTTTCTTTTACACGTGGACCCCTCCATTTGGCTACAAGCGTGCCTAGTTTCTATACAAGTTCATACGATCTATAAGTCGTAATATTCCTCCCTCCATTACAACCCTCATCCAGTCTGCCAACGTTTTCGACTTTGCACTTTACGATGTGTAGCTGCAGCTATTGGCTCCCTCCTCGATCTTCACAGCGCGGGCTGAGAGACCCAAACAGTCGGAGTTGCCGCCGGGGTTAATGACACCAGCATCGACCCAGATGCTCCAGGCACCGTCAATGCTGTTGGGGCACGCAAGGAACCCAGCGCCGTTGAATGATAGGTCACCGTACTCATCAATGGAGAAGGTAGTGCGCTCGCTGTTGCGGGGGCCTGGTTGAGCACCAGTCGTGTAACCAAGCTTGCCCTGGCCCATGCCGGAGCGGTCAACGAAAAGCTGCTGGGGAGTAGCGCTCCTGGCAAAGAGGTAGAGACCACCGTCTTCTGAAAGAGTGAAAGTCGCGTAGTCTGGATCGGTATGCTTCTCGCCGTCGTCGCAGGTGGCGTTCTGAGAAGGCAAGTAGAGGAAGAGAGAGCTTAGAGCAGCCTGAAACTGGCCGAAGTGAATAGGGCTAGCGGAGCGCAGAGACATAAGGCCAAAGGGCTCATTGGGGCCGATCGTAGGCGAAGGGCTTGGCGTGTTGCTGGGTGTGGTGCTGTATTCAGGGTATGAAGAGGCTGTGGGCGAAGGCTTGCAGCGGGATGCCATGGCAGCACCGGCGAGGAACGCGAACGATAGAGCGTTTGAGAGCATTTTGGCGTTGATTGTGAGAATTTCTTCTGTTGTCTGAAGTTTGTTGGTATTGAGGCTAGATGCGAGTTGCTGTAAAGGCTGGAAGCTATAGTATGTAGCTGTTATAGATACAATGCGAGTAGAAAGCTGGACGAAATTTTCCACGGGAATTCCTCAAGTTAAATACACATAAGCTACTAGTCAATCAAAGTTGAGCCGCGAAAGGCTGGGTCTCAACGTGGAGAGCGGAGACCAGGTTGATTGACATCATACGTAGGTAGACACTAGCAAATACGAAGAGTGTGAAGCGCGTGTTGAGGGTCTGGAAGAGCGGCATCGGTAGTTGTGAGATGCATCGTGTATTGCCCAAAGTGGCAGTTATGTCCAGCTGAGCTATGGTATTCGGGTAAATGAAGACCTAACTACGGAGTAGTATCTGGCTAGTATTCCGTTGCGCCTCGTATTGTCCCCAGCTGAGCTAATTGCGCCCAGGCCGTGGCGGAATCTAAATGGTTCGCCACTATTCAAACAACTAGTTTTGGTGCGCTCTGTAGAACGATCTGGGCTTAAACTGACGACAGATATCTTTAGAGCGTCTCTACCTATGGGTAGGAGGCAGCCGAATCTTCATTGTCACATTATACCTACTTACAGATACTGTAAGTACAAGTCTTCCCGGTCACGCCGATCCAAGATGGTAAGCATCCGGCATCTGTCCGGCTTCATGAATTCCCAGCAAAACACGTGCAACGCTTTGCATCATGATAGTAGCACTAGTCTCAGCTGGGTTAGTGATGCCGGCTCGGCGGACTGAGGCTCAGGGGTGGCCGCCGATCCAAATCCTTCGATACGAACAACATGGGATGATCAATTATGTAAGAGTGCGGAACAGACCTCTTTTCCTGAACCCTGCGGCAGTGCTACGGCCAGGACATGCGGAAGGGTCAGATCAGGATACACTTGAGAAAGGTATTCATCATGGACTATCTCCCGATTTTTGAGCCACTACCTCCTCGTATTATGCGATCCGCTGCCTACTGAGTATATGGGGTTCTCTGTTACATAAGTAGTGCTTCAAGGATTACTATAAGTAGAGTCTGCACCCTGCTCTACTGAATACTCGGCTAATGTATGTAATAACAGGAATGGTGATATTTCTAGGTGGGCATGTTCAAGATCTCGAGATCAAAGCGTCACGCTACACAATGGCTTCCAGCGGCTGGCTGTAGTATGTCGGCATAGCCGGACAGACCCGAACCGAGGCCTAACGCGTGAGCACCGACAGATATCGTAAAATAGATTCGTGTCGACAGCTGAGGCAGAAACGCCATTGTGATGGAGGCCAGGCATGTTGCAGTACTCACTGCGACACAGGAGCTGCTGTCTACGTACTCTCTACTTCATTCAAAGTGTACTATCCTAGGCCCACCAGATGAATTGACCGAAGAAGCACAATTATGAGACGAAGATGGGCGCTGAATTGACGCAATAGACCTTTTACATGTTGCAGTGTGCACTACTATAGGATCAGAGTGTCATGGGGGGACGCTAAATAAGGCCGACAACACATCACATACATACTGTAGTATAGGAGGTATAGAACACATCACGAGGATTACCATGTAAATGGTATCAAGCAATTGTAACCGTGCTCCATATTCTCTACAAACTCAGACTACTCTTGAAGCGATCCGTGCCCTTCACGTATTCTCAGACCTACGGCCGACTGCGGATTCAATAAGCGCCACCCATCCAGCTCCAAGTACGTATGTTATTGTGCGCTGAAATGACCGAACTTTGGCACTTGGCATAACCCGCTATATTGATAGCGCCATGGACAGCTGAACTCACTGTATTTATAGCGTTTAGCCATTACAAGATACCTCAGAAAGCAGTATATTTATAGGGGGCTTAGTGGTTGTCTCCCCCCCAATAAACGCAGCGGCTTATGTCAAATGGCAAACAAGACCATGCATCTCATTAATGAGAATACCATCATGGCCATTTTGACGTTCTCTAGTTAACTCACAAACTAAGAGTCCGCCAACTATTCAGATGATATCCCAGGAGTGGGAAAACGCGATAAGCGACGGAGGTCTCCAAGTCATCAAACTGCTTCATAATTTCGTTCTGGAGCCTACCTACATAGGTGATGCTTGCCTTCTCTTTCTCTATATTCCTACCTAAGTATGTGGTAGGTAGTAACAACATTTTGGCAGTGAACAGTCCCGTTCAGATGAAAGTTCCGTCGGCAAGCAATTAAGTGACACCAGCAGGCCATGGAAGTGTTGCAGCAATCGAATTGGGACTCGTGGGTACGGCCATATTGCTAACAAAAGGGACTATCCCTCAATCAGATCGGCTTCTTTGGTGAAAGGTGACATAGAGAGGTGTAGTTACCGTTGCGCTTGAAGGAAGAAGAATCTATGAAGTAATCGCAGTGGTTACTCTGTGATAGAAATGATGAGCGGATATCTCTATGTTCACTTGCATATGACGGCTTATTGCGCTATGGATATTCGCAAGGCCAAAGGACTTAGGTCGCATTGAGGTGCTTTTATGTCCGCCTGGTCATTGAAATCATTTTGAATATGCGGTGTGTCTGTCTAATCTTACATTACCCCGTGTGCTGATGTACTTACATCGCTCATTTGAATGCATCCAACGGCACAGCTCTAGCGTATCACACGCCAGTTCCACCTTGTTGGAACGCCTGACTTGAGTCCTTAACAGTTTTCAGAATATAACGATCATCAACTACATGGCATATTACTTGTTTGATGCGTATTACTGACTGTGCCACCCTTCGATTTTCAATTCAAGACGCTCACCAGTAGATTACGATCGAAAGCAAACGATAATCCAGGGATATTCTACAGATCAATACTCTTTCCTCCTATCTGGCATTGAACCAACGAAGTAGAAATGAATAGTGACAATAACTGGCTGCGCAGTTGCCATCATGTCCATATTTCTGCTTAATCGCCTTTAGTTGTTGTCACTCTTCCAATCTTCCAGTATACAATATCTTGACATCATACAGCCGGGCTCAGCCTCTATCACCAGTCATTTGGTACGTGCCACCTTATAGAACCGTCTCCAGCTCATCCTTATCTAGAGGTCATATTAAAAAATGCTATAACCGTCTAGAAAAGATTCATGAGTACGAGCTGCTACTTTCTCGAGACCGGATTTTCTGCACACCTAACATCTTGCGTCTTTTGCATGCTGGATATTATGAGCCTTATACCGTTGATTTTGCCCTGTATATCAGATAATGTATGCTAGACTTGCTTCATTATAGGGGGTACCTCTTCCTGAAGGTGCTGGTTGAGCTCTTCCATAAGGTTCTGCTGGAACTTGATCTTCCCTTGCGTATCGGATAATATATGTTGGACTTTTCTCATTATAGCGGGTGCCTCTCGGCAATGGTGGCCGGGTACTTCCATGCCACGCTGCTGAAACTTGATCTTCCCTTGCGTATCGGATAATATATGTTGGACTCTTTTCATTATAGGGGATATCTCTCGGAGATAGTGGCCGGACTCTTCCATGCCACGCTGCTGCAACTCTTCGTTGCGTTGGATCTTGTCATAATCTGCCTAATTATGAGCATCTGAGATGTGGTCAGAACTGGAAACCCTTACATGGTGATGGCACAGCTTCACGCGGAAAAAGAATTTGGTACATCTTTTGCCATATTTCCTCGTCAGTGCCATCTGTTCCCTGTGATTTAAGGTCTCTATCCTGGGCCTGGTCGAATCCCTCGCGAACAGGAGCGGCCTTGGGTTGGCAGGGCTCAGCAGCATGTTTGTGAGACTGAAGTGTATCCATGTCCTCAAAATGCTCATGACACCTGTCACATTCGTACTTAGGTAGCGCATGCCAACGAAACAGGTGTTCCCTACATATTTCAATTAGTAAACTGTGATTTGAAACGGTACATAATTTGGAATATTATACTTCAAACGATGAACACTAATCCACCATCCAGAACACGGTAGTTCATTCTTCCATGTAGCTGGGCTATGTTTGTAGTACGGGCAGGCGAAGAACCGTGGAGAGCCATCATAGTCGCCATCAAGATTCCGAGCTTTCTTCGATCCTGTCACTCCATCATTTCCTTTCTTATTGTTCTTTGCATCAACGACTTCTCGCTGCCTTTTGAGTGTGGCTGTAGTATTCTTCCTATATCGCTCTCGTCTGACACATATATTCCTCACGCTTCCTTTCAAGTTACTGATTTCCATCATCAGTAATCTATCACTGTGAACCGTGAAGTATTCTCCTGATAGTGTTAGAGCTTCTACCTTCAGTGCAAGGCAATGCCCACCTCTCCCTTCCTCTGTACAGTTAAGGAGAGCAAACCAATTATTCCCGTCTGCTTGTACAACAGGGAGTGTCAGATGTATCCCTTTGTTGCTGATAGTAAGCGGGGTGTAGATGGTGTTCAGATAACTAAACTGGCTGAGCTGGATGACATTTCCAGAATCAGCGAAAGCAGCAGGTGATGGAGCTAGTAGTCTGCCCGAGTTTACACTTGGCTGATCTGGGTCGGAATGAGACCTCCAAGCAAAGAGGCTGTAATCATCAGATTGCTTCATGATTTCTTCCTGCAGCCTGATGAAGGCCTTTTCACCTTCCCCATATAGTAGCGGCATATTGACGTCGAACAATCCCATGAGACAGTAAGCAATATCCTCAATCCTTGTTGTATCCCTCATAGATGCCCATGACATTATTTGAGCTGTGCTAACAGTGTCAATGCTATCGCCTGATAGGATATGAATAGGGACTCCTGTAATACTAGAGATTTCCTGCTTCAGGCCAGCCTTGGTCCCTATGGGTTCCCATTTCGCATTATCAAATATGATGTGGGCAGGGGCGATCAGTTCTTGGAGGGTCCATCCTCTCTTGAACCAACTGCTCTCGCGCAAGTGAGATACTGTGACCGAAGCATCGCAGTCTACATCGACCAAGAAAGCAAAACATGCACCCGCACCTTCGTACCATCGGTACATTGAGTTGATAGCTTCGGACAGCTCGGCGCTGCTAGTTTTGTCAATACAGCAGGTGTCGAGCCACACATACTGAAACCCACGGGCTGCAGATACTGAGCATGCCATTTCGACTTTCCTGTAGCCTATCATCTTCTCCGCTACATCCAACTTCATGTCCTGAAAAGTGACCTCGTTCTCTTGCCATGTGTGTGACAGTATGGCATACCTTGGAATGGTTCTATCTGTGAACGTGTAGAGAGTACGTGTTGTTGTGTGAAGAAGGCGCATGGTGACGGAGGAATCTCAACAGGAATAGCTCGTTAGAAGGAGTTCTATCTGCCGTAGCTCATTCTTTTTCATAGAGTCATCTCCTAGGTTATCTGAGAGTAATTGAATCGACTATGCCGTGCTTAAGAAGCGCGGTCGCGCTCACCGTACCAGCGCCAAGATGTAGGCACCTACCGGTAGTGCGCGGGGCATTTTGGATTTGGAGTCGTACATCCCGACTCGGGAGAGTATGTACCTCAGTAATTACAATGGATGCCCTGCCTTGCATTTAAACGTTATCGAAGCTCGCCCATGGGATGAAAGCTTCGACTAAAGGTGTTCGATGGATTTCTTGCCATAATAGCCTCCCTTTCCCCCTCAACATCTAGTTTCACGTATCCCTCAAAGTTACAACAGCTTCGACTAGAGCACCAACCATTCTCTCCGTCGGTCTTGCAGCAATGAGTGATTGCTGGACTGTGAAGTTCTAAGGGTCGCATATAATGCAACGTGCCGTTGCAGATGATTGCCATATGTAGTGCTGTCTGCAACATAGTTCACCATTCAAATTTGGTTAGCTTTTTCTACCATCTTCCCCTAATTCTGCTCTTGGTCAGTTATATGTTAGTCGCATTCATGCGCCGCATAATACACCTGTAAACCTTTTCTTTACAACTCGGGCTACTGATATGTGATTATTACTATAACCGACCTATCGTGTTGTGACCAGATGCGGAGATGTCCTGTACACAGGCTTGCTAATCAATGCATAGAAAACCTGCCGCCTAAATATACATAGCTGAGTTGAGTGTACTCCATACTTAGAGAAGGCATCTTTACATGTCTGTCATGATAATCTGCGCTGCGTGCTCGGCTATGGCGTATATCACTCCCTGTGGGTTCGAGCGAGGCGCAATAGGCATAATACTCGCATCGCAAACTCGTAGGTTAGGGCAACCATATACACGCAATGAAGGCCCTACAACTCCACCCATCTCTCTCGGCATCATAGCACATGATCCAAGCCAATGGTGCGCTCCAACGGCCGTGCTAAGGAGGTAGTCTTTTGCCTTCTGGAGATCTAAGAACTCACCAAACTCCGGCATGCCTAGGCCTCGCTTGCCGTCAAGTTTTAGATGATCTGAGAGCGGCTTGGTCATGGCGATTCTCTCGGCAAGCTGAACATGTCGAGCTAAAACCTCAAGGTCAAGAGGGTGTCCGAAAAGATTTGGGTCAATGGAAACCCCCTTCGAAGACTTTGGTGGCAATGCAGAGGTGATGTGCACTGAGCCGCGGGACAGTGGATGTCCTAGATGTGCTGATATTGTGAAATACTTCTCAGATCCTGGGGGAGGTGGCAATACAGATTTGTCACCTCCAAAGCAGATATACCCGGGAGCCGTCATATAGCAGCCAGAAGCCTCGGATGGTGAGGTTAGATGGGATCTAATGAAAGACTCGTGAGCCATGGCCAGTGAATTCACAGTTCCGCCTGGCCGTGATGGGATGCAAGTATCTATGGCGTGTCTTAACTCGGCAGTATCCGGAATGGGAAGCTGGGCTAAAACATTAAGATTGCTTTGGGATGCTGGCCCTGCCTTTTCATTATCATAGGCTTTCTGAGCCTCGGCAATAGCAACGGGATCTCTTCGCAACAAGTCGTCGATCGTGTTGAATCCTTCTTGGTCTACAGCTTCGTACGTGACAGTGAACATAGGGTGGTTCTGAAGATTTTCACCAATGTGAGGGTTATCGACCATGACATCTATCCCGAGGCCGTTCAATAGCTTCTTGTTGCCAAAGCCTGATGCTTCAAGCAGTCTAGGCGTGTTGATTGCGCCGGCGCTGAGGATGACCTCTTTTCGGGCGTGGACAGTCCCCGTCACTCCAGTTTTAGCGTTGCTATACTGAACTCCGGTCGCAGTAACAGTCTCAGATATCTTCGTCAGGATCTTTTCAACAAATGTTCCAGTCCACACGGTGAGATTACTCCGAGAACGAGTACCATGGTCTAGATACGCGTTTGCTGCAAAGCTTCGTTTTTTATCAGATCCAATTGTCTCGGGGCCGATCACGCTACCTAATAGTTTTCCAGAAAAGGGGTCGCTGCACACTGGGAATCCAAGATTGGAGAGCGTCTCTCTCCAAACACGAGGCCATTGAGTTTCTTCTTTGGGGATGGTGATCTGGAGAGGGCTTTGGCCTTCTTCTTGAGTAGACTCAGACAGGTGAAATCGAGACATACTCTTCGAGAAACTTGCCCACTCCCATCCGGGATTTCCCAGCTCGGCCCAAGCATCTATACTGGCCTTGGAGTTGGGAAGAAAAGCAAATCCATTCACAGCACTCGAGCCACCAAGCAAACGACCAGCAGGGGCTATCATCTCCCGACCTCCAAGCTTCTCCTAGTTGGCACAGTCAGATCAGAAAACAGACACAGGATATATCAATGAAGAAACAAACCTGGGGAGTGGTTGTAAACCCCCAGTTGGCATCAGAGGTTAGCAGTCTCGGCCCCATCAATGGATGATTAGCTCTGGGATCATCCGTAAGATCATCTCCAGCTTCAATGACGAGAACCTGAAGCTCTTGTTTTTCCGAAAGACGGCTTGCAAGGACGCAGCCAGCAGTCCCGCCGCCGATAATGATGATATCATACACGTTTGAGGTCATTATTCAAAGCTTCTAGTAGAGCTTGAGCAACGTATTAGGGATGGAAGAAAGGAGTAGACAGAAAGTTTGGGATGTGCAACAATCCGAAATAAGCAGGAGAATTGAGGTGCGTTGCGCGGTACTCGTTCAAATAGGCAGCGATTTGTTGCTTTAAAAGTACGAATGTTGCTCCCAACAGAATTACGTGGTCGTACAGGCAGTGGCCAATCCTGACGACTCAGGTCGGTGTGCAAAACGCCCGACAGATTGCAGACGTTGATATTTAGGGTACTCTCATAATGACAAGTGTGGCTTTAGTAGTTATGCGTTTGCAAGAACCGCAGTCCAACAGTCGAACATCCCTGCTCCGGATGCCAACCCGCGGAGTCATTGTCTTGTTAGGATCGCCTGCATCGTACATCGCATCACCGGAAATTGTTTAACATACCACATCGAAACACGCGGTGAACGGCTTGACCAAGAATGCCGGTATGCCAATAAACTATCCTCCATCTATCTTCTCATATCTCTACTGTGTGAATAAGTCTTGATCAGATTCTTGCTGCTCTCAACGATAGGAAACATGACATGAGAGTGAATTGTATCTGTCCCAGATGGGTAGAGCAGAGAGAAATGAATGTTTTGACTTCTAGTCTAACAGACAAGATATCTTAGAACTCACGCATCTCGGAATCAGCCTCTGAAATGGACTCAATAAGCCCCCAATTCGTCGGCCTTGGTTCAATGTTGATCAGGTCAGTATTCTGCGATTGAGCCCCTAGAACCAGTCAATCGGTAGATGCCACGTTACGGGACTATCTCCAGCTCATCTTTCTCTTGTAATCATATTTGAGTATTCTATTGCCGATTAGAAAGAAACTCCTGGATACGAGGTGTCTCGAGAAAGAGACCGCATTGATATCATATGATATCGGCTTGACCAGTGTGCTATAGATATGATTACCCTGGAGATCAAGGGCTAGACCAGTGAAGCCTCATATTCAAGGGCGCTTAATCTTATTGCCGTAGACTTGTCCTCGCAGTCATGAGCATTTTCCACATAAAGCTTGACGAACTCACGAGCGCGGTGATTCCAGTGTATACAATCAATGTGCCATATCCACTGCCGTAACCAGCGCGCGCATGACCTTTCCAATCCATATCTGTGATAAGGGCTTCACTCAGAGGACCAGATACCAAGCTACCTATGCCTCGGCCCGCGCACAACCCGCTGAATACCAATGTGGGATCGATTCCAGTAATCTCCCCAGATTCACGCGTGTGTCCTAGAGCACGCATGATCCCAGGCCACGTCGCGGTGAATGAACCTGCGAACAGGCCATACATAATGCAAAAAACATATAACACCGCGAGAGAAGAAGACAAGCCCCATGCGAGGAAGACGCCTAAAGTTGCCCCAGCAGATGAGATAAGAATGCAGGTGGTAGCTGGGAGCCGGTCTGTTAACACACCCATGACAAGAGCGCCAATCGTCGTGGCTATGTTGACGAGGAGCACTGTCAGCGCAGCTAGAAAGCCCGAGGCCCCGAGTACTGTGCGCGCATACGTTGGAAGATAGATACTGGGTACTGCAGAAGTCAGATGTGAGCATAACCTGTACAACTGTCTTGCGACGCTAGTGTAAGAACTTACTGAAGTGACCAGTACCTTGCACAAGATTACCCAGTTGGTATGGTGCGAATATGCCCGAGAACAAGAGCTTCAGCTCCCAAGGTCGCGTAGCTACCGTATTGCTTGGTGGCAGACGAGGCTTGATGAAGAAAGATAGCGGAGCGCAAACTATGAAAATTGCGACGCCACTGGCACGCAATGTGGTTTGGTGACCATATTGAGTGAGAAGCCGTTGCAATATCAGAGGTATCACGGCGCTAGCCAGCCCCTCGCCAGACCAAACCATCCCGTAAGCCATTCCCTTCCGCGCGGCAAACCACTCCTCGATGAAGAGGATGGTTGGAGTGTAGGCTATAGTACCTCCAACGGCATAGAGGACTCCCTGGAGAGCAATAAGAGTAGTTGTGGAGGTTGCAAGGGAAGCCAGAGTGAGCGATAGCAACACAATGAGAAGCCCAAACGGCGTTGCATACCGTACGTAGCGTGGGAATAGACGGTATATACCTAATGCGATAGGCGACAATAGATACAGTAGACCTGCCGAGGTTGTTCCAATGACAGCAATTTTGCTAGATGAGGTGAACGGCTCGTGTTGACTGTAGTAGTCTTGGAACACACCAAAGGAGAAAGTAAAGCCTGCCCCATGTTAGTGGAATGTAGAAAGCTGCCTGGCTGTGGTTTTGAGGATTGCGCGGAGATATCAATGTAGTCGTTCCATACCCCAGATCAGAGCATCCACGACGAAACTCGCGGCGAGAAAAAGCCATGCTTCTTTCCCACCGTCCACGGGTGGTAGGGAAAATTCAGCATTGCCGTCCAAGTTATCGGTTGTCCCTTGCTCAGGTGACCCTACCTGAGAACGGATGAGTTCTAGTTCTACTGATGTTTGAGACATCCTAGCGGCCAACTTTATTTTTCGAAAACACTATACGAGTTCTGGTAGACCAGAAAAAAACTATGCCCTGGTTTTCCTTTTATACACCAGCCATATGGTCGCTATCTCTCAACTACCATCAGTATCGGCAAAAGGTTATTTACTACAAGAGAATACCTAGACTAGCCGCCTATCTAACCTTCTGGGGCTATTCGCCCCCTTGTTCGCTTAGTAGATTGCGGAAATCATCTTTAGAAAGCTCTCTCCAGCTATGTCAACAATGTTATCATATCGTTGATTGTTATTGTAAGATAAAATTACAGGCACTTGGTGTCTGGAATGTAAAGACAGGAGGCATCCCTTTGAGGAATAGGGAACCAATATAGGTTATACAAGGGGCTATTTTAGGTACGCCCTTCGACAAGATCCATTGTACCGATCCCGGAGCCATCGAAGACAAAGCTTCGGCCTTGCTCCTGATTTGTCATAGGAACAAAATATGCCCATAGGGTTTTACCATGCATAGGTAGTTGTGTCGGCTTCCGTCGGTTCGTAGGTTCTGGTAGGTATTGCTATGGCACCGAGTGGAATACACAGATTGAAATAATATCGATACCGCTCAAGCCCATGCCAAGAGATGTGAGTGAGTTCTCCTCAATTATCAGCGAACGCACTATGCTCATTTCGGTAGCTCCGCCATTGTAACCTCACACTCGCAACATCTCTTGGTACCATCACCACGTGAAAACTGCACATGTTACAGGAGTCTTGTGACGGTCTACCGTGACATATAAGCTGCCCAAAGGGGCTATGCCGCCTATTGAATTGTTTTACTGGTATCGTGGAAAAAGTATATTAGAAGCCCTCGTCTGTCGACAAGTTGAACCATAATCATCATCCGGGCTCTGTACTCAACCATTAACATTTCTCTTCTCCCGTTTATGCGAGACAACAGTTACACCTATCCTTTGAACATTCATCAACATGAGTAGCAATACCCCTTTCACACTTGAGGCCAACCCAGGTACAGATATATGGCGGAAACCCCCTACTACCAATGTTTGGAATGGTAAGTCTTTCATGTCCCTTGTGGCCCTTGTTCCTGAGCGATGGGCGCCTCTTTACCAGACATATGGCAGTAGCAAAAGTTAACAGAGAATAATAGCACCCATATCGCGCACCTCTACTGGTTTGCTGAAGAAGTTCCAGTCAGCACGTGTGACATTCTGGGCCTCCTGGACAGAACGTTACGATCAGGCGGGCTTACTTCTCGTGCCCAGGAGCGCCACCTCTACACCGCCAACCACAGAGGCACCGGAGAAATGGGTCAAGACGGGCATCGAGTTCTACGAAAACCAGCCGCAACTCAGCACCGTTGGGTGTGACCGCTGGGCTGACTGGAGCGTCAGCCCCCTTACTAGAGCTGTTGACCCCGAGCAGGGTGTGACGCTCGAGGCCAGGCGCGAGGGCGATGAGAACGGCCGTTCTGTCTGGGTCTACCAGCTAGTTCTTGACAAGTCGGGAGAAGTGGTTGAGCGGCTCCCACTGCGTGAGATCTGCTGGATTCTCGCAGACGAGGACGAGGAGCAAGTACTAGATGTTAGCCCTCTTGTTGCACGGCCGGAGCGTAACACGACGTCTCAGTTAAGCGTCGAGTTCAAGGAATTCAGTGTTGTGTGGGATTGAGAAGCTGTCGTGGGATTTAGTTGCATCCTCATTCAAGAGCCGATAACGGCTTCTCAGAGAAAGCTTGATTATTTACATCTTCATTGCAAATGAAACTTTGATTTAATGAGACTTTCGAATCAAAAAAGCGAAAAGGGTTTGCGATCCTACAAATGTAGACAATACATACTTATATGCCATAATAATGAGTTACGCGATACCGAGAACCTAGGAGAAACCAACGAAAATGTTGGCTGCGGGGCAAGGTTGTTCCGTACCAATCTGCACGACGATTGGCACATTTAGAATGCAATCCAGGACGGGTAAGCGAAAAATGGAAAAGAATAAAATACAACCACAAATATAAGCATCCAAACGATCTAGCAGCTCCATTTAATCTGGGAAGGTGAAAGTGGCCGGTTTTTCACGGTAAGGCGTCACAATACCTATAGTAGCTTATCATTTATTTCGTAGGTGGCTGATGTGACGTCGAAAGGGGGTCTGTACAGCACACCAATTCACAAAGCTTCCGCAGATCCGAAGACAGCATTTTCTGATCGGCCAATAATTCTTACAAAACTTTCAATTGATATTCGCACCCGAGCCGGCAACAGCCAATCAACTATTCGCGCCGTGGAGTAGACGACAAACAAGATGGCGCCTCGCAGAACGACTCTCCCACTCACGTACCGAGTCTTCTTCTTGATCGTCGAACCGATCGCAGCGCTCGTAGGCGCCTTCTACGCACATTTCCGGCAAGACGACTATCTGCGCATGACACATTCTAGCTCAGCGCCTTCGGCGATCCCGCTAGGGACATCCATCGTCATGTCACAGCTCGCGAATCTGTATCTCCTCTTCGCGTTGAACGAGGCCCTGGTGCTGCGATGTACGAGCGACACAACAGTCTGGAAGGTGGTACTCCTGGTGCTGCTTGTTGCTGACTTCGGCCACCTGCTCTCCGTCAGCGGCCACGGGTCGTGGGTGTACTGGGATTTCACGCGGTGGAATGCGATTGACTGGGGCAACGTCCCCTTTGTTTACTTGGGTGCTTCCATGCGAATTGCCTTTCTCTCTGGTGTTGGACTAAGTGGGGTGAAGGGAGGGACGAATCCCCGCATCAAGACTACGTAGCATGTTGGTCTGATGGGGGGAATTCACTAGGTTAGGACAGCTCTGAGCTATCAGAGCAATCATTTACCTAGATATGCTCATAGTGCCAATGGGAGTACGTCACCTGCCTGGTCGTGTGATGGCAACTTCGTTCTTATTTCACACTGAAAATTTCGAAACAGTTATTGATGACCATGCCAGCTTGCTACATGCCTTCTGATGAGTAGAATTTCACTTGTAGATGAAGCTGTCGACAATGTTCTGTGCCAAGAATTGTACTGCTCATTTAAGGATGCAGATCAAAAGGCCCAATCGTCATATACTACGAAGACCATGCATCTATTCGACTGTATCTTTTGGAGCCCAGCTTAGACCCAGGAGCAGTTGAGTCTGAGCATGCTATATCATTGGTGGACTAATTTGCAACGTCGTCGATGCTAGAAAATGACGGTCAAACTATCGCTACAGATGTGGATCACCACCTTATTACACTAGAGGGCAGACAGTCAGTTGAAACGTAAGTGATTTCTTCCCACTCCTGAGACGCTCGGGTAAACTTGGAGATGCCCCTCACTGCGGCTGGTCTCGCAAGGTGGGGGTACAGAAATATATAGAGTACCCCTCCATTGGCAGTCGCGGTAGGATGATTTAGAAACAGTATCGTATCCATTGTGTATAACCGCATCCCCCTAATCTTTGACTTCCGCCTGCTCTGAAAGGAAACCGTAAAATGTCCAAATACGACCAGTACACGGGCTTCCAAGTCCACTCGGCAGATACCTGGACTACGTTTCACAAGAACAAGTTCGACGTGCAGCCATTCGGCGAGCACGATGTCGAGATAAAGATCGAGTGTTGTGGTGTCTGTTCCAGCGATGTTCACACCATCAGCGGCGGCTGGGGTGAACAGAAGTTTCCTCTGGCAGTCGGTCACGAAATTGTTGGCAAGGCAATTCGCGTAGGCCCCAAGGTCACACTCATTAAGGAAGGCGAGCGCGTGGGGGTTGGTGCCCAGTCATGGTCTTGCGGAGAGTGTCGGCAATGTAAAAACGATAACGAAACATACTGCCCTAAGCAAATGGACACATTCGGCGCTGTCTGGCCGGATACTGGAATTGTTTCCCAGGGTGGTTACTCGTCACATGTACGGACACATGAGCATTGGTAAGTTCGCGCTCACAATGGATCAGTCATTGTTGCATGGACATTGGTTGATCGTAATAGGGTATTTCCAATCCCCGACGAGATACCGAGCCACCTAGCAGCGCCGATGATGTGTGCTGGTATTACCAGCTACAGCCCGTTGGTACGCAATGGAGCTGGTCCAGGGAAGAAAGTCGGCGTAGTTGGTCTCGGAGGGCTTGGGCACTTTGGTGTTTTATTTTCGAAAGCCTTGGGCGCTGAGACCTGGGTCATCTCTCGATCCCACAGCAAGGAAGCAGACGCAAAGGCCATGGGGGCCGACGGATTCCTAGCAACCCAAGACAAGGAATGGAATAAGGACCATCTGATGACGTTTGATCTGATCATCAGCACCGCCAACAACTTTGGCGAAGGTTTCGATCTGGCTGCATATCTCGCCCTTTTAGACGTTCATGGCAAATGGGTATCTGTCGGCCTGCCAGAGGATGCAGACCTTACAATCAAGCCCCAGAGTTTCATGTCTAATGGTTGTTTGATTGGCGCCTCGCATCTTGGTAGCCGAAAAGAAATGCTTGCTATGTTGAAGCTATCAGCTGAAAAGGGTATCAAGTCATGGGTTGAAACTGTTCCAATTAGCGCTGAAAACCTGTCGACCACTGTACAAAGACTCCACAAGAATGATGTCCGGTATAGATTCACGATGGTCGACTATGAGAAGGAATTCGGGGCCTAAAATCAAAACATAGATGCTTTACTTCATATTATACAGTATTCCAACTGGAGGATGTCTGGTCTCGCGAGCCGGGTGTTTCCAAAGGAGGCCCCTAGACGTAAAAATAAATCGGTGCATGTGATAATGTTTGATCATCTCACGGGATAATTAGATCATGTGATATTCTATACCATCAAGCAGATAGTTTCACTTTAGAGCCATGGGAATGAATAAATACATCGAGGAGTAAGGCAAGGAGACCAGTGGAAGTGGTGATTGCCCACAAGGGTACCCAATTGCGTGACCAGTTGTCAACGAAGAAAGGGACCGGCTGACAGCTGTCATAGAACCCACAAGTCTTTCGGCTATCTTTGAGGTCCGTGCGCTAAAGCCCACAATCACAATCGCGAAACTCTTTTGGGATTTCTCGATTGAACATTTGCGACCTCTGCTTTTTTCCTTCCTTTGACATCCCCCTCGACAAGACCGAAGACATCCGCAACCATGTCTATCAACAAGATCGCCGCCAACAGCCCTTCGCGCGCCAACCCATCCGAGTTGGAGACCAGCATTGCTGGTGCTCTCTACGACCTCGAGACCAACACTGCCGACCTGAAGGCTGCTCTCCGTCCCCTCCAGTTTGTCTCTGCCAGAGAGGTGAGATAGTGACCCTGAGTCCTTGCGATGGCTCCTAGGACCGCCCTCGATCTTATTCCACATATGCCTATATGTTGACTCGGCTCGCGCCTTGTCCGTCGATCTTCAATTATGTGAATCTGCTATGGCCCGTCTACGACCGAGCTCGAGACGGGCGCTGTGTGAGGGGCATAAAAAGATAAAACACTACAACAGTGGAATAGGGCGGGAAGCGGTCCAAGGAACACATCTTCTAGAGTGTCCTGGAGCTCGCCGGCTGACTTTTTGTCTTAATTAGATTGAAGTTGGCCACGGCAAGAAGGCAATTGTCATCTTTGTCCCCGTCCCATCCCTACAGGGCTTCCACCGTGTCCAGCAGCGGTATGTTAATCTTTTTTTTTCTTTTATCACAAAGGTAATTGCTAATAATTTGGCAGCTTGACCCGTGAGCTCGAGAAGAAGTTCTCCGACCGCCATGTCCTGATCCTTGCTTCGCGCCGCATTCTGCCCCGCCCCAAGCGATCAGCCCGCTCGCGCAACACCCTCAAGCAGAAGCGTCCTCGTTCGCGAACACTGACCGCTGTTCACGATGCCATCCTTACTGATCTCGTCTACCCCGTTGAGATTGTTGGTAAGCGCGTCCGTGTCAAGGAGGACAGCAGCAAGCTCCTCAAGGTCATCCTCGACGAGAAGGAGCGTGGTGGCGTTGACTACAGACTCGACACCTACTCCGAGGTCTACCGTCGCCTAACAGGCCGAACCGTTACCTTCGAGTTCCCTCAGTCCGGTTCCTCTGAGTACTAGGGTTAGTCAGAGGTAGGAGACGAACAGGGAAAGGATAGGGCAACGATTCACCATTTCACGTGGTGCAGGAATGTGCTACAATGATGAATGATATCATCTAGGGGTTCTCATGGGCATTAAAAAGGCACGGCGTTCTGACTGGTAGCTTGTGAATTCAATGGACAAGCTTCGTTTCTGAGCCCACATCTGTTCTTGATCTGTTCCGTGCTATCATTCTCTCGTAACTCTAGGGTATCGTAAATTTTGTCTATTCCTGACTGATGCGGCCAATTCCAATGGCACACCAATACGCCAGCTCCCTCTTTTCTCTCGTATCCTTGTCCCTACTCGTCCCTGTACCAACCTGGTCATGCGAGGCCTCACCTTCCCATTCCAACCGTACAAACATGGGGATCTCCAAGATGTCTTCATCCTCCCTCAGTGGGCTGAGATCCGGCTCCGGGTCGCCTTCTTTTCGCAATATTGCAGGAGGCGGCTCTATACGAAGGGATGCAGGTATCACTTCCACCACAATGCTAACCCAATTACGTCCTCGCTCCCAGACTTTTCCCGCTTCCGCCTGGTGTGAGCTTTCATCTGCCCTTTGTTGTTGACGCTCCTTTTCTCCATCTTTGAGGACGTCGTCTAGATACATGTCGTTATCTGGATTGGCATCAATACTGAATTCAGGACAGAGCACTGTGACCCTAGATGCGAAACGACCGGGTGTTGTAGCCGGCGTTGCAAGTGTGACTTTGACATCATCAAAGAGGGGGTTTTTGAACGTCAGGAGGAATTGCGCGGGTTGTAGGGGCTTGAGAAGACCGGAGCCCGGCGGTGGAGAAAGTGGCTTAATCGAGATGGACGGTATCGAGTTGTTGGCAACCAATTTGATCCGCCAGCGCGTGTTGCTCACCTTGGATTCAGGCTTGCTGATAATGTGACGACAGACGGGACAACGTTTTGATCGCTTTGTGCGTAGTAGATATGGGATGGGCCATAACTGGTCCGCAAATTGAGCACCTTCTTCTACCTGAGCCCTGACTTGGGCGCTGGTAGCTGTGCCGTCCCATCCATCCCGTCGTAGCTGCGATATTGCCGAATTTTCATCTAGATTGCTGAGCCTGAATCCCTCATTAGGCGAATCTGCTTCTCGTATTACTGTGGGTTTATTCTTTTGCTTTAGGCCATTCATATTATTCCCAGAGTAGATGCTCATAATACGGGACAAGGCGCCAGGCGAGCTAAGCCCATAGTCCCCAAGGCCGGAAAGGCCAGCGCTGGGATTAGCACTGACCGTCTGAGAGCCATAGAAAGACTTCAGCGCCGCGAATCTCGCTTTGTTCGTTTCTGGTATCGATTCGGTTTTGATCGGTGAAGTATCTCCGCTCACGATGTGTTTGGCCTGCTCTTCTCCGTAACGAATTTTCTGTAGCTGGCTAAAGATTCCCTGTGGCTTGTCGAACTTGACGCCTATCTCTGACGAGCTCCATTGACAGTACGAGCAAGTTAAAACCCACGAGCCGTGTGAGATGGGGGACGTTGGATTGTCAGACGAAGAAAGCGCGGGATCTGGAGCAGACTCAAGAGCCTGGACGGCTAAGGGGCCTATGCATATAGGACATTGGAAGCAACTGCGCGTACACCTATGATAGAAGTCTCGTTAGCTAAACTACATTTAACCTTATAAAGCAGGTTGGCGTGCAGCCCGCGCTGAGCTTGTAGTGAAGGATCGCAGTATAAGCGAATTTAAGAATTATGCCTAGGGCACAGCACATACCGGTTCCCTTCCGTCTTCACACTGCTACTTCCTACCTCAAACAGACAACTGGGGCAGTATATGGTCACGAGTTCCTCCGAGACACACCGCGGGCAGCGAATTTGGTGACAGACATCGCAGTAGAGGAGATATTCGAGAGGGTAAAGATTGAAATTAGAATGAGGGGCGCGCGGATCGAAGGCGTGGCCGTCGTCGTCGTCTTCTTCACTTAATTCATGCGAAGTCGCCGCGAGTGCATCGTCGGCATTTCGGCTTTGAGCCGTGGAATCATGGCAAGGACACTGTATGTACGTGTAGGGTATGAAAGATGCCATTTAGAACTGTTTTGCAGCTACTACATCGTAGCAGCTGTGATGGGGTCGACGCCTGGGCGTTGAATGAAGCTGGACCTAAGTAAGTTGGCGCCTTAGCTCTGGGTGCAGTAACTCTGAGGCGATTGTCGCAGAGCGGACCCTTGGTAATATTCACATGGCGGGTCTAGGCTAGCTCAGGTACCTGTAGGCCAATCTCTAGGCGGAGGGGCAGGGCGAAGGATTGTGGGGGGGCAACGATATCCCGAAAAGAACTGAACTAGTCATTTCTAAAAAGACAATCATCAGACACAGATACACATACCGATGCCCAAAATATAACTGGCAAGCTAGGTGATGTGTTGGAGATTCTAGCATGCTGTGCTAGGTATGTTTCCAACTGCCAAGGGCCAGTTGTTCTTCAGTGCAGATTGATGGTGACTGGCCTGCAAAGCATCGATTGCCTGCGCGTTTCGTCACAATATAGGATTTCATGCCCTTCATTTCAGTCATGATCCAGATCTCCCAAAGGACGAACACCACCCAGCTCTAGGTGTACCAGCATACGTGACATTCCTCGTGCTAGATCAGCCACTCAGAACTTCAACTCCAGGGTCAATGGCATATCTCTCTTTCAAGCTCTACATCGGACAACCTTTGCTAGCTGTTTCTGCAGGCCTTCTTAACCAGTCACGACAAATGCTCAGACTCTCCTGTTACCTCGTTAAAGCAAAAATAAAGACTTGGAACACAGCGTCCGAAATTCAAGTGAGCCCGATCGAATCGGGTACGACATGGTTCAAGCGATCTATGTGTAGACCTAGACCGAATTACAGATCGAGATGCATTATCCTCTGGAATGCATTTACTACTTGCGTCACAGAAAACCTCCTTTGTTGTCAGCAACATCGCTCAACTTGTCAACACCTTGAATGTGTGTTGAGAACATTCGGCCTAAGCCCTGGTAACTTACTAGGAACCGTCCAGAAGGCGATAAATACTCTGGTGTACATATATAACGGATTCTCGGGCCTCGGAACTTAGCAGATTCCGTCTATATATCTAAGTTTGAAGTAAAGGCTAGATTGTCAAGAGCTACCTAGCCGGGGGTATTATAAGGCCAGACGCCCGTTTCATTCTAAGTATTTTGTGTATGACACGACATCAGGCCCTTGACTACCTTGTTTAAGTTCCATTTTGTCCCATCTACTTACAACTTCGAGGCAGAGAGGATCGTGCTCTTTGAAAAGGAGCCTCAGAACTATCCAAGTGCGGTGTATCCTACTAAAACCCCAGCCAGATAATGTGAGATTTGGCAGACGCTTGCAGATGGTTTGGAGGCCAGCGATACGTTTGCACGAAATCGTTCTTACACAGATGGAAATAGGTATGGCAATGAGCATTGCGCCCTCAAGACAAATGTAAACAGGGCGGAGCATTTTGAAGGTGTGTTGTTTGGGTTACGGAACTGTGATGTGATGCGATCCGGTCCGATGCGGTCAAGCCACAAAGATATCCTAGCTGCAGACAAGACCGCAAAAGCAACTTACATGAGCCAGCCACTGCGGCTCAAAAGTAACGATACGGATGATTGATTGATTTATTCCCTATCTGCCCAGATAACCATCAACAAGCCCAAAACCACAGGCCGAGCTTGACTCTTGGCGTTTCGCCAATATCCAGGTATTGGAAACAAGGGCACATACTGTTTCTTACACGTTTCCGTAGAGCTTGACAAGAGCTTGACAAGACTATCCACTGGCAGTAGCTAGCATGAGGCTGAGCCGAGTACCGAGAGCTGCATGAAAGCACCATCCTCAAAACCAGACGATTAAGTGCTGCCTCCATCCGAAGGAGATGGATTTTCTCCATCGTGGGACAAGATATGGCGTTAGCCATGCGATTTCATATTCTCGGGGAATCTCGACTTGTCTCCAATTATAGTTCTACCGCTCTTTTTAGAATTCAAGCTTGCTCAACAGACGCTCTGCGGTACGTATCAGGATACGTGTGCTCACAAACCCTGTCAACAACGCCGTCCGTAGCATAATCCCCTGAGCCAGTGCCTGCAGCTTCTGGTATTAGCTCAAATGCAGTCGCTTCATGCCGTCCAGAAGTCATAGTTACGCATCAGACGCCGCCTTGGCGAGGATTTGTGGCATCTGCTTTCTTCTAGACTGATTGTCCGAGGCGAGATAGATGTCTTTTCACTTCTTCGCTCACCTACCTAGGTCGATCAGGTGTATTTTCCCTCTTATTTCATCCTAAGTTTAACTAAATCCAAACATCATTCCTAACGTGGCCTCGGGAGAAAGCGAGATAACTGTGCGTGTCCGGATTTACGCGATACACAACGCACTGCTAGCATCCGACTGTTCTTGAGCCTGGAGACTGTGACGAACTAGATTAAGTGGCTGGATTGGCTACCAGTATTGTACCACGCTCATCATTGCCTCATACAAGAGCTACGTCTTAGCTAAGCCTGTTGCAAATATCCTCGCTCCGACTCGTTCCAACCAGGCTGAATAATGGAGCGCCGAGTTTCTATATACAATGGAGTATCAAATAGACCACGTGGTTGGAAGACATGGAAGCCCCAGAGAGCGTCGCAATCCGAGTCGCCTCATCCAACTGTGATGAAATGGGATGGTGCCTCAAGGACTAGTGAGGTATGGGATAATCTAAGAAGAGTAAGTAATCCCATAATCACTGCTACTATTCCTTAAGCTAACTTAGCCATTTAGGACCCAGAGTTGTGGTTTCGAGAAGGCGACTGTAACGTATACCTTCACACAGAAGGGCAAAGTCGCCGAGGAGCTGCATTCAAGGTTCCATACTCCATGCTACTCGAATCACAATTTCAACCGCTGATTAAAACGTTTAAACCCCGAGCCCGTAACGACATTTCCATACATCCCGAGGACGCCGTGTTGGGTCCAATCGAGCTTTTCATTCCTGCGCCACTCCGGTCAGACAAACGTCAGTCTTATAGCTACCATATCGCGACCCGAAACCTCTTCGCCTTTATCTTCCAAAAACCCATAGTCGGAGAATGCCTCGGAGCTGCGCTCATTACCCTCATGGAAGGCCTAAATCAGCTTCGCGCCCCAGATGCTGACAATGTTCAAGACATAATAAATTACATGGACAAAGTAGGCTATTTGGACTTTAATAGTCAACCAACATATGCTTTGGCAATACTGCGACTGGCGGATGTCTTCGAGCTACGAGAATTATATATCAATGCATTTGCGCATTGCTGCGGCATAGGCGGTCAAATATTTCTCCATCCTGGCTACCAAGTCCGTGGGATCCGATCTGACGTTGATAGATGACTTGCTAAACAGGATAACAGCTTCTATCTCCCATGACCCGAGCACTGATTCGGCGTGTACGGCGCGAGATGAATTTCCGACTAGGAGAAGCTAGTATTAAGATGAAGACGTTTCTTGATGATCAACTGAAGGAACTCGACAATGACTTATATCCAAGGGCTGGGGAACATCTACAACTATTTCGAACTTTTTTAGAAAACTTTTATACGGGGTATTTTGGTCAATATCCTCCCCCATCAATAGACGCACAAGCCATGATCTTTGGAGTCGATACTTTTCGTACCTTCCGAAACGACTTCGAAGCCCTCTATGAGTTGTTAGCAGATAGAAGCTTCAAGGCTTATCAGAGTAGCGACTATTTGAGCGAAAGTCGTATGTGCATTTTGCGGAGTATTAGATCATTGGACTCAAGATGCAACTATGAGAATCTCTTGCACCCTCTTCCACTACTGCCAGATATCACACGAAAGAAACCAGCTTTGTGGAGAATGTCATGGCCGACCAGAACAAATTATGGACGGCTAACTACTGTTTTAGAGGATATGTCCAAGGCGACCAATTCGGTTTGTTCGGATGAGTCAGAGAACCATCTTGTTGTGGCGTATTTACGATTTGAAGAAGAGCAGATCGCCTTCCCCAGCAACGAAAACTTGGAAAACCAGGACCGTGTTGAGGGTCGCAAAGTTCGATGGATTCTGATTTATGCGATCTACCAGACGTTACTTCGAGCTACGAAAGTGCCGTTGGAAGTCAGAGATACTATTGGGGTCCCATATCATGTGTGCATCTCAACAGCTGATTTACCTCCCTGGAAAGACAATGGGACTAGGCATACCCAGTCAGATCGTGCCACTCCATCTCCTCTTCCTCCGTCACATATGCTAGAGACTATGTCGGACAATGGCAACTTTATACCTACAAACCATACGGCAAGCGATACAACTAAACGACCTAAAACTACCATGCTCGATGAATTCATTTTGAAAGACGACCTTGAAACCCTCACGTCTAGAGGTATTCAGGGTGTAGAACCCTCTCTATCTTGTCTTAACAGGCGGTCACGGTCTGTGAACCAGGAAAACATGTGTCGAGAAGATGTCGTTGATGAACACAGTAACAGATCGAGTCTCGCAGCCAAATATAGGAACGAAACAAGGGGGCAAGCAGCGGAGACATCGCGGATCAGCCCAGATACTCAGCCAAGCGAAATGCTTAGCAACTCGTCTACATCCATAGGTTCCGGCTCGTCATTGCGCTACAGCACTTCCGAAGCCAAAACATCATACACCTCCGACACATACGTGGCCAGCACCCAGACCCCATCGCCGCGCGAAAGCAAGCCCGGCGGCGCCATCTGTGGGCTTCGCGGCGCCAAGCCCGAGACAATTCCCAGCACGTCGAGATGGCCCAGGCCCCTGCGCGTCGAGGCCCTGAGAGAATACATGAAGAAGCAAACCGTCAGACACAGCGGTCGATTCTCGCCTACGCTTGCGATAAGAAGGCCGCTGAGTGCCCAGGAGCGTAGCCATCCCGCGGACGAACATCTAAATAGACCTACGGTGAAGGGGAAGTCAACTTCGGACCTGGTGACTAGTAGTCGGGTGTCCTGGCCCCTGGGCCGGCCAGCTTAGGAGTATAAACCGTACATGCAATGCAGCCTTGTTTCCAGATCGACACTCAAGTCAAGTCCAAGTCACTTACGTCTCACAGGAGGCGCGTGTTGGTAATCGTTTGCGCAGAGTGTCAATCACTATCGTTACGAGGGATGTTTTGCCCGCTTGAAATCGCCATACCAGTTTGTTTGGTGGGAATTTACACAAAGATGCGATATGATTGCCACATCAAGTTCCATGTTTAAACGGCGTCGGGAAAGGAAAAGTGCGACAACGAGTTTGTTATCAATGATTCATCATTTGATTTCACATCCATTATTCGTAGCCATTCACTCTTTAGGTATTCGCCCTTGGAATCAAAAAAAGAAAAAAATCCAAACAATCCTTTCCATTAGTTGTCTTATCCTTTGCATTAATTCGTATAATCCAGGCAAGCCCAGCGCGAACCTCGATCCCACGTCGAGGCTTTCGTTCCCAACTCTCATTTCATGTTCGTGAGGCAGGAGATGCAATATGTACAACATCGATATACAAAAAGGGGGGTGCATCGCTTAGACGCTTATGGGCTTCGCTCGCTTGGTTTTCGAATACATCGTCGATCAGTCCGTCTCGAAATATTGGCTTAGTCTCGTTTGGGGCCTGCTCCTGCGGCGAGGTGGTCTACTAATTCGCCGCCCAGCTCATAGATCATTACGGTTGGCGCGACGAGCCATGCTCCACTGTACAGAGAGGAATCAGCACCAATCGCTTATGTTACAACTACCAGACCAAGTCTCTCGCTTTTGGTGAAAGTTGAAGGGGAGGGTGGGGAGGAACTCACTTGGGGATAATCCATAGGAATACTAAGTCTTGCATGCTGTTGTGGCCAATATTGGCGTAGCCCGAGTAATATTCGCAAAGCCCTGTGGATTTTTCTCGTGATTAGCTTAGTTTACTTGCCTCTGCGCTGGCCGTGCGATATACTCCGTCGCATGACCTCCTTTCTAACGCCGATCGAAAGACGCCGGGGCAACCTACAGTATAGTACAGTCTTGCTAAGGGTCATGACAGCGGCGCTGAAGGCGACAAGAACAGCGATAGCAGCCTTGCGTCCCACGACCTTCTTCGTGCCGCCGATAGAGACGGCGTTCTGGTAGTATATGACCCAGTAGTACATGTACATGAGGGTCTCGATGACGTTCAGGAGGCCCTGGCCGGCGGTGAAGCCGTTTCCGGCGTGGACGGCCGGCCAGCCGTAGATGTAGTCGATCTCGCCGTATAGCTTGTAGGGGAGGTAGATGGGCCAGTGTAGATCGCCGCCCTCCATCGTCCGCGGGCGCATCAGCACGTATCCGCAGTCCCAGGCGACGAGCGGTAGCGATATGGCGAGCCATAACAGCGTGAAGGCGCTTGGGGCGTGTGCGTAGGCCCCTGAGGCGACTGCGGAGGAGACGCTCTTGTTGGCAGAGCGTGTTACGGCCATTGTTGTTTTAGGCGGTAGGCCACTGTTGACGGTGGGACGAGCGGACAATACCAATGGTGTTTTATTGTAGGGGTCACGACGGTTTCTAGATATCTATATTTGCGTGTGTTTTCTTCTTCTTCCTCTTCTCCTTCTTCTTCTTCGTGTACACTGGGAAAGGTATCTAGGTAACTGGGTCGGGTCTCAGGTAGTTCGGTCGCCAGGGGTTGATAGTCGTCGTATTCGCGACTTGCGATCCGGTAGGAGGATGTCACGGCAATAAGAATAAACGTGTATAGATGGCGTGTGGTGTAGAGATGGAAGGGCAAGATCTGGCTTTATATTTCTAAGGGCATCCTAACATGTGGAGAAACATCTCAAATCCAGGGGACCTAACCGTCCGCCACTACAATGTAAGTAGGGTATAGTATACAGTACCTACCTAGGTAGGGTTGGAAGGCATATTCAAGTTTGGTGTGGTGTTCATTCGACACCTTCTAGAAAGGTATTTCAGATACCGGCGGTAGTCTACTGTCCCGTCTCTGCCCCGTCTCTGCGCGTCTTTGAGCAATGACGATTGTGGGGTCTCGAGGCCCGCTGAAAGAAAGTTCCCAGGATCCAGTTGGAGTGACCCCCTTACTTGGAATTTGGAGGTACCGAACGGTTCGCCAGCGTATGAGAAAAGTACCGATGCAGTATCCTGTCGCTTACATTGACGAATTGGAACCGAGCCAGAGCTTCATACCAGGGCTCGTTGTGTAGCGAACTCAGCTGGAGAATTAAGAATTACTAGTGCACTTTACGCACCAATTCATTCCCCCTCTGTCTGTTCCTGCCTCTAGTAGGTACATAACTACTAGTATGTAGAGAAAGAAATCGCCTGTTACTTAGGTACATTTCAACATGTATCGAACCATGAAATAGGTAGACAAGAAACAGATCTCCGGTTATTCATCGTACTGTACTACGTACTTACTGTACAATTGCACAACAGTGGACTCGGTTGTGCGATCTTCCGACCATCGTGGCCAGCAAAAACCTGTCATGCCATTTGGAATTTCTCCCATGAACCGTTTTGGGTGGCTTAGTCTGCGCGCTGTTGATTGGCCCCTCTCCAGTAACAGCCATTTCACCATTCATAACTGCGTCGTATTCGTGTTCTCGTGAATCTGCTTGGGCGCTGCCTGTCCTACGCTACGCTACCTTCCCATCCTCGCCATCTTCTTTCAGTAGTGTATGTGTACACATGACAATGCATTAGATCAGCACGGAACTGCCAACTAAATGTCACCCATTTGAATTGTGCACGTCTCGCCTGTCATTGGGATGTTGACAATTGATTGAGGCAGTGATGAGAATCCATGGAGCTTTCGTATACACTGACAAGCGAGGCTAGCTAACTAGCTAACTAGCTAAGTATCGGTTTCTGATCATGAGATATTCCTGCAGTGACATAAGTCCGCCTAGTAGAACGTGATGATGTGAATGGCCATGCGGAACCCGATTACGATTCAAGATTCAAATTCTTCTTTCAGAGATTTAGGGAATTGGCCTTTGAAGAGACGGTGCTGGGTCTCATACTCAGGGTGTCGTTGGGTGGTTGTTGACTTGGAGGGGATTTCGCAGTAGCATATTCTATATCACCGAACTAGAGCCGCATTTAATGAAAAGCTACAACAACATTTGTGTCACCACATGCGTGGTCATTGATATATTGGAGCCTTGTCTATCGTGGTTTATTGATGTTGCTGCAGCTAGATGAGATCGTCACATTCAAGGCCGTTGCTGTAACTCCCTACAGGTGGGGATATGACTCAACTCCGGCTTTATGATGGGAATGAAGGAGACCAAACTTGTTCAAAATATGGTTGCGAGCCAATCCTGTACTTTATATACAGACGATGCCTTCGAGACACAGATAGATAGCTACGCTTCTTACTCTAAATTTCAAACAAGAAAAACAACCCATTGTTAAGAGCACCGATAGATGATACGACATTGCTTCGTATATCATGGTCTTTCTATCTTTGGCTCCGCGACACCGCACCTACGCTATCAGGCCCGGCATCATTCTTTGACATTCGCCATGGCGCTTTCCGACAACATCCGACAATACCATTCATGCAATTTCACGACCTTGGGCGGGAGTGAGTGAGCCGTGCTCTCCCCCTTGGGTGCCCCGCTGCTGAACAACGCCGACTTGAAATGAAAGATGGCAAGTTGCTGCTCCGGGTCGATCTTAGCACTGAGGAAGATGAGGCCATCCGACTTGCGCAAGCCCGACTCCATGGGAGAACCGCCGCAGCGAACCACGATCTCGCTGCCGGAGTTGTCAACGACCTCGAAATGATTCGAGAACCGCAAGCCTTTGTTGAACTTGGAGACCGCCAGCTCAGACGTGTGCCAGAGATTGTCGTCTGTTCCCGGCGGTCTATCGTAGCGCTGTTGGATTAAGCTGTGTATGTGAAATGCTATATATTGTCAGCTAATGGCTGAGCAAAGGCTGCGAATCGACTCCCCAAAGCACGCGTGCATGGCTGTAGCAAGAACAAACGCGGAGAATTGATGGCGATGATGAGAGCGGGTGAACATACCCCACCGGCTCCAGACGCCTCGGCAGAACTCGAGAGTGAGCGCTTTCTCATCGTTACGCAGCTCCGGCCGGAGCTTGCTGAGCGGGACGACCCTGATCACATCATCCTTGAGAGCCGGGTTGCTTCTCGGGTTAATTCGCGACCATGTTCTGGTCTTGAACGCCTGGTCGTCCTTGGTTAGAGGGACGACGGCCGTAACCCCCAAGAGATAAGCCATGCCTGCGCCGACGCCAGCAACACCGCCGCCGAGGCCCACGAGGCCGGTCAACGCTGCAGTGCGTAAGATACCCATGTCGAGCGGCCTGCAGGATCAGTTTCCTCTTTCACTTATAGATGACTAACGAGGGCGATCAAGAGCGATTGAGTGGTGTAGGTTCCGCGACGCTCTCTTGCGTTAGTCAGATAACTACTCGTTTAATAACCGGGGACAGCCGGTGTTCGGTATCCTGTAGATAAACATACGCTAATTTTCAGTCACAAATCTATCATTGCAGATTATCTACATTAGCGGCAAGGAACCCGCGATTTGAGAATACCTTGCTTGTGCTGCGTGATATTCATCATATTATGATACCAAAACTACGTAGCAGCACCCTTCAACAATGTTGGTGGCATTTCACCCAGCACCTCGAAAAAATGTTATCAACACTGGATGACCAAACTTCAGTGGCCTCAATATGCTTACATGCTTACATGCTAACCTGCTAATCCGCGAACCGCTTCGAAGTGAAAGCAGCAAACAGAATCGGTCACTTGGTCTGCACAGCACCCAGTTCAAGACCATCAGTAATCAATTAGTCCTGGATACAGCGTTGCCTATAAGAGTTTTCACATGTATGACTGCCACCGCCAACGTAAAATGTGCTCACAAACACAAGGTATTACAAAAATGAAAAAAAGTATTTTCAGGGCAGCAAATCACAGATTACTCTAGCACGCAAATATGACCGATAGTAAGTGGGCGAATCAAGATCGGTTGATTAATCGTGCACTGAAAAGTGTGAAGAAGAGAAGAGGAAAAAAAATTAGGAATGGCGACGCGACAAGTCTTGAAAGATATCTTGCTAGAGTGGGGTCACGTGATGCGGGACCCGTTCCAACCACCCTAAAGGAAAATTGCTGCAATTTTCCCCAATCGATTCCTTTTCCGTTCCCAACCTTTTTTCCCACACAACTCACCATCGTGTCTTCAACATCTCCGTAAGCCACGAGCTTCTATGGGCATTTGTGTCGCAGTATATCATGGATAGCCGTGCTACAGGTAAGGGACACGGGTGTTTTCTTTATTTTAGAATGCTGCATGCTATCCTCTCAAGCCACATTCTGGCTTGTCGACCTTTCTTTCTCTCAACTTGAACTCCATCCACAACATATCACCTTCCTGCGACTCTTCGGTGCGCAGGTAGTCGCTTCTTTTTTTATGATATCGTTCGTAGTGGAAGAATGAACAAGGGCCTAGACAGCCCGTCCGATCCACCCTGCTGCCGTAGATCTCAGTGCGACAGCGGGACTATTTGAGGACAGACATACTTGATACAATGATACACTTGAGGGTTTTCATAGCGCTGGAGGTGGCTCGTAAGATTTCATTCGTTACACGTAGATAGTAGGGTATCCAAGATCCAAGCGTTCGTCAGCCCATAAATATTCCATGAACGCTAAACCTAGGTCCCGGGTCCAACGCCTCCCTTTCCGACGGCTTTCCCTTCATTTTGTTACGTTTACGGATTTCCAGGCGAACCGTCATCGAGATTGATGTCAAATTCAGGAATAAACCCGCCACGAGCCTTGTCCAGGTTCCCTGCAAAGCTATCGTCCTTGAGCGCAAAGTTGGCAGAGCCAAAGTCGTAAGCCACTAACTTGTCCCTGAGCGACGTGCTCGGGAAGCCGTTCCAGGATACAAGGCTTCCGAAGAACCACGCGCCAGTGGCGTTCTCAATGTTGTCATCGTCCGTATTTCCGAAGCGGAAGTCATGCGTGCCGAGGCCATCCTTGTGATAGACCATCTTCGGGTGAGTTCCTTCCCAGCGCACTTGGCTCGCAGGTTTGACTTCGTAATCTCCGTGAGCCGACGCAGCCACGTACTTGGCTTCGCCATTCTGTGCCCAGACGACAATATCTATACAACCAGTGAGGTTAGCAGTGTTCGTTCTTCCTCCCCTGTAGGATCGGAGAGAGGGGTTGAACGTACGTTCCCAATCGTTCCTGTGGCCTGGGTCAAGAAAGAAATATGGTATTGCGACACTATTGGGGTCGAAGTCAGTGAGTGAGTTCTGGTGATATAGAAGGTGTCTTGACGCATACTCTTTCTCAAAATAGTAGTCGTAAACGTAGGCACACCATCCATTATTGCAACGAGCGCGAGAGTAAACGTTGTTGTTCTGCAGGTCCGACAGATCGTGACAGTCTGAAGAAAGGCCCGTGTTCCTATTGTCAAGACCAGGGTTTATAGTACCGTCGGGCCCGATCGCAGGAGTGTTATAGCAGCCGTCAGTATCGAAGTCCATTGCCGGTTGGAACCTGCAAGCACGTCAGCTGAAGCAATCGCTCGGTGAAACGGTTGTTTCGTTACTAACTTTAGGTCATTGGCGGTAGCTTTCGCCGGCAGAGCCTGAGGAGGAGCTCTCGCTGCGAGCTTGACAGGCAAGGCACCTACAGACGCAGCGGCCGTGAGAAGTGCCAGGCCAGTGGCCGCGAAGCTCTGGTAAGAAGGCATCCTTGCTGACAGAGACCTAGGACCGCGTTCTTGGAGAAACCTAACGATGCAAAACCTCCAACTAGCGGGAGGGTAGTCGGAAGGCGCGCCGCCTTATATAGCTTTGAAACGCCTTTAATCCATGCCATCTCTACGACGTTCACGATCCTTGAGCTTCCAAGCTTGGCAGTTCTAGGTCCCCACGTGTGCAGCACGTATGCAGTCCGGGGACGAGTTTAAGATGCGACGTGACGGTGACCAAACCCGCCTTCCTTCTTAGGCAACGCATGAATTCCCCAAGCCTGTTATAAGCAGTTGTCGCCATCTTGATGCCACCCATCAGCACATTCCACAAGCCGGCAGGATCAGCAGACCATACACGAAGTAGGTAAGAGGAAGTTCAGCCGAGTTACGAGTATCCTATCGTTGTTCAACGTGATCAGCCCTACAGAGGTTCATCCGCACCGGGATAGTTTGCTTCGGTCAAGAGAGTGTCTTGGGCGAGCGGTAGAGCTGTCGAGCTGCCCCATTCGCACTAGGTAGCGTAGTTGTTTGTTTCCGCCCCGGTTTCTTAGCCGGAACAATAGTACACATCATGCATGCAAGTATCCCGAGCATGTCCCCTGGTCCCGAAGCCGATTGATCAACACACATAACATCAGAGTCGGGGCCGGAACAAACGGCTTTCCCAGATTGCTCGGCGAGTTGATAGATAAACAGATGATTCCCTTCTCTAGACCTAACTAAAAGCTAAGGCTGATATGTTATTTCTGCTGCGTTACGTCTCCGCGAGCATAACGAAGCTGCGCAATGATGATACCCCGGCTTTGAAACACCCCTCCCGCGGAGTCTTTTCCAGATTGTAACCTAGCCAAGTCCACGATGGCACGCACCGAAGGTGGGTGGGTCTTTGACATGGCATTCTCAATTCATCAACACGATTGGACCCTTGACTTTCACGTGCTGGAACTAGATCTTAACCTACTTCCTTCGGTCAACTCAGCCTGCTTGGTAAACAATCTGCACATCACACAGTTGGTGAACAAAACAGTTCATTATCCCGTCTTATAATGATAAGGGCAAAGTAGTTTTCTGCTGTAGGCACCGCGATTCGCGAGGTTGGTATGTATTGACACTGCAAGATTGGCGCCGCACTTTGCCACGTTCTCCGCGCGGTTCACTAGTTTTAAACGTAGTAGATTGATGAACGCGGGCCAAGGGAGGTCACGCCGTCGTGGTGTGCGCTTAGAGTGTTTCCAAGTTGAGAGAGATTATATGAGCTGTCTAGGTATATGAAGTTACTGCAAAGGAAAGGCTTTAGAATATTCCGAACAATTAGTGGTCGTCAGGAATATGATATTTCAATGCTACTCTTATTGACTGTATTTCACCTTAATAGCTAGCGTGCATATGTCATCTGTGCTTGTCGAGGCACGCAAGGGTCGGTAGTCTTAGCATGACATTCTGAGCCCGTTGGACTGAAGTGATGAAAAGAAAGAGCGCAGAGATGAATTACATAGCTAGATCAGTATTCGTTAATAGTTAGAAGTTGATGTCAAGTGTTTGTGTGAATGTATTATATTTGGTATCATGCGATGGTCGGAGTTTTGAATAATGTAGGTGGTAATATCAAGATTGTAATATTTGGACAACTTGATAACTCGAATGATGTTAAATTTAGCTTTTGTAAGGGCTGAATGCATGTTAGCTTTCTTTTCTCTGATCTATACGATCATATAGTAGGTTAACTATCATTAAAGCATGCGTCTAAAAACAGTTACTAGGATTAATACATGACTATAGTTTAAACTATCAAGACTTGCGTGTGCCAAGCATAACAAGAGATCTGGAGAACTTATCCTCAATATTGGATCAGAGGTGTTAAAGTGCAATGACATCAATGCTCATTAATGCCGAGCTAAATACTACCTTGGGGATAAGTTCATTAGTCACGGCTATTTGAATCCGTAACGAACCAAATATTCTACCTCCTGGTTAAAGAAACAGTTATCAAATCACCGAACGCCAATAGGAAAGTACGCAGTGAATTTGATAGTAAGAGAAGAGCTATAAACGTAGCCGTGAGTACATTTAGAGGTAGATGAAACAAATTAGACTTCCACAAGTAATAGCTAACCAGTACAGTGAATGTCATTGGTCGTATTGCTCAGGCCGCCCATACTTCAAGAGAGAATTAGACAATCCCTGTATTTAATAGGAATTTAAGTAGCTTCAACACTGTAGACGAAGCTGTCATAAACTAAACGTACTGGATCTAATCCAAAAGGTGAAAAAAAGTTAACACATATTTGAACTTGGTACCTCCTGTGAGGTCATCACTATTAACCGACACTCATTGTACAGCATAATCCCAGAACCCCGATGTCAACGCTGACCAATTCTTCTTATTGTATCACTTCATTATAACTATACCATTCCTGGTGAAACTGATGATTCAGTACTAGAAGATTCTCGAATTGAATCGATCGAAAAGAGAGAAATATACAAGTTAATTATAGGCTCCATGCTGATCAATGAAGGCGTAATATAACGCTGAGCTGACTCAATAGATCTTGAGGCTGTCGTTACAATCATTGGGGCGGGAAATCTTGCAATGGTAGCCTCAAGTTCTATGGTCTGATCGTCTGTATTTCATGTTATTACGTATGTGTATCCCACCAATACCTCAAATGTCTCCTTTCTTTAGGATAACACTCACAAGGCGCATGCCAGAAAACACGGCCAATAGGTCTAAAGCCCAGATTCATTCCTTTCTTGATACCTCAATCCCACTCCACCTCTTTTGATTATTCGTCCTTTTTAGCACAGTAATTTCGTTGAGGAATAGAGGATTCGATTGCTGGAAAGGCATAATTTATGGTATCCCGCAACTATAATTCGAGGGATTTGGGGTAACACTATAGCAATATAAACTATGTGGGGCATTGAGGAGCTCTCATTCGATAATTGGGGGCAATCTTCATGAATTGCGTACTAAATAATTCTCCTAGAGGTCGCATATAAATCTGATCAAGGGGAAAACGAAAAAGTTTATGTCGATGTTGGAAGCGCTTCCACTGTTACATGTACAACCTCTGTGCCAGCTGAATATGCAGTTCGCCTTGCACTTCGGCCGTAAAAAGGACCATTGCAGGCTGTTCATGATCTTTCAAGACATGCAGGCAATATTGGAAAGTGAGGTTATACAGACTTCGCTTCTTGAAACAGACCCCAGAGACCTAGGCGGTCTGGGCTGGCAGACCAGTTGTAAATAGAGTCAAGTCAAGCCACCAACAGCCAAGAAGGAGTTGGTTGGTCAAGGACTTATGCAGCCCTAGTTGATCATTGTAATCTGAATTGCCTAGATTCCAAGCCCAGTATTACTGCCCTTGTTATAGGCTGATAGAGCTTGAATTAGGATCTAATGTCCCTAAATACTCTCGCTCTTTACCCGTATTTGATATGTATCGCAGCGTATGCTAGTACTTTGGGAAGAACGAAGAAACATGACAAAGGAATGTCATAAATAATGACTCGTACAGCAAATATCCACCCTCCAATTAGTCTTGTAAATTTGCTTTAAACGCTTTTATATAATATCACACGCCAGTTAATTTACATGTCGATGCTGATATACTTTCCTCGGTGACAAATGGTCGATCGTTAAGTCGCATTGAGCCCATTGAGACTACAAACTGCAACAAAGGAACCCCTATGAAGAGGCGCGCCCTAGACATTAAGGGCTTCGAGAGGTGCTATGTTATCCTACACATCTTTTCTCATAAACATGCAAGTCTCGGCCATTTTCCCTCTCTTAGTTGCAATTCAATTGCCTATAATTCAAGGAAGTGGAGGTAGTGCATTACATGCGCTCCATTCTAACCGCTTTGGTAGCCCCATACCACCACCAACAAAAGCAGGATATACAGGTCGTATCGAAGAGAACCTCCTCATGGGAACCCTACGAAACTACGTGATTATTGTCAGACACTAGGTTGCTAAACTGAAGAATTAGCAACGTAGGTTACATGCAGACTTCGCGTTGAGAAAACCCACACAAGCGTATTCATTTCTGCTTATGTAAAGTTAAAAAAAAAAAAAACTGAATGATGTCTTTGATAATCAATCTCGGAAACAGATGGACAATAGCAATCTTTTCTTGGGGATACAAGCCTGTATGGAATTGTCGAGTCTCATGTGGCAGCAATACCTGGAACACCTAACACCAGTCTTGGGGAGGAGGGGGTTAATTGAAAGTCAGAATCAACTAACTTCACATAATCATAATTACTAGTTCCCACGGCGTAACAATGTTCTTTTTAAGGTGAGTAAGTCCATTTCGATGCTTTTCACTAGAACTATAAATCTGTGCCATGCAGCTATAGAAACAATGTACCTCGCTATGCTCTCAAGGGTGTCCGGACTAGAAATGACCAACACATAACTCTATACCCAAACCATCAAGGAATCAAAAAGAGGAAGCGCAAAGAGAAGCGTCTTGTCAAATTACATCTTGCTAGTCTTCTCCGCTAGCGCCAGCGCTGCGGTTTGCTGGGCGACGCCGGTTTCTGAACAGGGCTCCCGTACCCACTCAAAGATGCGTCTCCAGACCATCTCTCCGTCATGTGGAGTATTTATCAACATCTCCAACTGCGCCCACGCCTTTTCATCGCTGAGGGCATCAAACCCGAACCAACGCATCGAGTCATGTAGCCTTAGTCGCGCCGTCTCGGCATCCTTTTCGGGATGGCCCTGAAAGGTGAGAATGGCATTTGACTCGCTCATGAAACACTGATTACTGTGTGCGAGAGGCACGAAACCAAGTGGCGCCGCGGCAACTTCGCGGCGGTGATGTTGCTGCAGCTTGAAGGACCCCAAAGACGAAGCCTCGTGGAAAAAAGCTCGTCCTTGTTCTGTCAATTCCACTGACGCCACGCCCATCTGTTATTTGCGTTAGCCTGCATTCATCTTTCACGCTTATTCGAAGACACATATTTTGGTTGTCTGAGACCTGCCAAGCCTTCGTGGCTCCACTTCGTCATGGCTCAAAAATAAGCATAATATACTAGGCCATGCTTCACCCACCTCAGGAACTGCCGCGTCCACCAGCTTCCCGCCAAACACATGGCTGATAGTCTGATGGCCCCAGCAAATGCCCACAAATTTCTTGTGTGGGTAATCGCGGACCATTCGGCGCACAAAAGCGTGGACTTCGAGAATCCAGGGGTGTCGCTTGCGCGGGTCGACGTTGCTGCCGCCGAGCACGATCAAGTCGAAGTAATCCGGATTTGGAAATTCCCCGGGGCGGTTGGCAGGCTCGTAGAATGCGAGCTGTGCGTTGGGTGCCACAGCGCGTATGGTGCGTTGGTACGAACTACGGATCGCTGGGAGCAAGCGCGAGCGATATGAGTTGAGTAGCACGGCTATGCGAGGTGGCGCCGTCGTTAGCGCGGGCTTCACATCATCAGTGGAAGCCGGGTCTCGGCAATGCGTAGACAGGTTCATGTTGCGTCCATCTTCGGGTTTTGGCGATGTCACCGACGGGTTGGGCAGAAGGTACGGAGGCCTGGTTTGTACACTCCCGGCTGTGGTAGAGAATCGGTAACGATGAGAGTCCATGACGCCATCAGCTCAGCATTAGGTCTAAGTCTTTCCAATAGGCAGGTCTGTTCCCTGATAGCTACTGGCACTGTCTGTTGAAGACAGTGCTAGGGGATGAGATGTGCTGTTGAAGGCCCTAAAAGATCACCTTTCTAACGCGTCTCCTTCGTTGGCTTGTCTCACAATGAAACAGAAAGAAGTTGGGAGCAATGAGCGGTGGTCGTACGAGATGGGGACGCGTTGGGTGCCAAGGGCAGTGACAGCTCAGCTGGAGGCACAGAGCAGCAGCTGGTAGTCTTGTGTCTGCTTGTGCTTCATCAGAAAGGCGTTGAGCTGACGGCGTTCGCCAAAATCCGCGGGTGCTACTACGTACGTAGTACCAGAGAATCGGCCAATTAGAAGCCAGCCCATAATTGCCTTGCCTACTTACCTCGCTTACTTACTAAGTAAAGTGCATGGATGTTATGCCAAGTTGCATCTCGGATGGGGGCGGCTAGGCTCTAGCGTCCGCTGCCCGTTTTGGATGAAGGCATCCGTATTAACAGTGGCAGACTGTGGACTACTAACTACAAGTCGTAGAATACTTGTAAAAGTCGAGTTATTCGTGGGGATAAATGTATAATGTACAAGCCCCGAGTTGGATAAAGAGGGTCTACTTACTTACTTCAACCCGAGGGACGGGGAGAGGGCGAGGGGGGAAAAGGCGAGTCCGCGGCCAGCGGAACCCGTTGCCGTTGGCGCTAGAGCGAATGGGCGGGTGAGCGAGAGTAACTTGACCGATATCAGTCCAACTGTTGACGTAAGAGTATCCAAACCTGCTGCTCTGCTTTGGCAAAGGCGCCTTCAAGGGGTTTCTGTGACACCGGCACCGACACGAGGTTGACGTGGAGGCTAGCTGAGGCTACCTAAGACATACATATACTGACAGTGGGGGTCTAAAGTCGTGCCATAACCATAAGAACAAGTACCTGAGTAAACAGGCGTTTCTGTCCGCCGCTTCTGCGAAACTGGGCTCCTGTTGCTCATTAAACCACTCCCGGTTTGTTAAGGCAAATGTAGGTGGCAAGTCGAGCCGTTTGTGTTCTTCATTGCAATGGCTAGACTCACAAAACATGAGGGCTAAGTTTCCGTTTTGCCGAACAGTGTTGATTGATGGTTACTTCGAGAAGCAGACAGTCCCCTCAGCCCGGCAGGGAAGAAATAAACCAATGATTTGTGAGACATGTCTGGCCAGAGCTGGCACTGAAGGCGGAGATACAGGAACACTACTAGAATAATTATACCTAACTACTCTCTTCGGGAGTCGCTGTTGCGGGATCGACATAGCCTTGAAAGACCGGTCCTACCACAGCTCTTTCTTTTGGTGTGCGTGTTTGCTCAGAATCGTTTCCCCTCTGCCTAAAGCCACATCAAGTGACCACCACCATCCTCTCCCTCCATCCGATTGAAACCCTCTGGCCACGGGAACAGAGGATCTCATCCGTCGAGTAGTGATTGAGGCATGCTGCATTGTTGAAAGATTTCGAGTTCGACCAACGACGATATTGCTGCAAGACAAAAAGAAAAATGATACAATCATTCTCCTTTTGTTTTTCTTTTATCTTGGAAGCAATCACACGTGTTTATCCATTGGTTACAGACGTCAATGATGCATCTTCAAAGTGGCAAGCGTAGGTGAAGGATGGGTTACATGCGCCACACGATATCCTGGTGGCTCATCCTGCTCCGATATCATCACAAACGAGTGATGATAATGGACGGGTTTGAGCGGAGGGCGGTTTGAAGAAAGACATAGTACCTCACTCTGTTGCCTATACGAATCCCGTTTCGCTTATATTCGATGGCTTTGGAGCATGTAGTTTGTGGTGTTATCAGTATGCACCTTGCATCATGTTAGATAATGGTGTCTTCCAGCGACTGAGCAGGTGACAGATGTCATATCCGTATCCATAATATGCATGTCAGAAACGTTGCATTGCGTGGTAACTCCAGACATCCCCGAACGCATACCACCAGCCTGGTTCGTGGGAGTGAGACGTGAGCCGGGCTGTCAAATTTGCGCGGCCTGCTATTAATCAGCAGCGCCAGAGCTTCCTGAGGTTTCACGGTATGACCTCAGCCGAGCGTTTACGTGACATATGTTTGAGAACGAAGGACAATCTCGGAAGAGTCCGAAGTATCTACAAACTAAGAAGAATTGGGAATATGTATCGCTCTTTGGGAAAGTCTGGCTGGAGGAGAATGTCTGCAATCAAATTGCAACAGGGGTTATGTCTCAAGGCGCCACCGATGTCTGGTTTTTTCTAGACAGCTGGTCCTCACCTATCATTAATTCCCCACACATACCTAGACATTTGCGGTACCTGCGAGCAATGTCAGTAGGCCTAGGTTTGTCTCCTCTTAGCCAAACATGAAATCTCATAGGTTCAGGTATATGTATGCAGTAATGTCTGTAAATGGAAATGCCAATCTTCAGGGGCCAAGTTCTGGGCGCCGAGTGTAAAACAAATGACCCATGATTGACTTGACATGTCGTCTATCACCTTGGACAGCTGCTGCCCTCGGATATGGATATCATATTCAGAAGCTAAAGACATAGAGATATCATGTATGTCCAACAATTCGAGGTCAACTCTAGGAGCTTTCTCATACTACGTTTTACCTGGGATTCAATATCGAAATTAATAACGTGCTCGTCGGAGGGGTGGGCATTAGCTTCATAAAGGTACCCCTTTACTGGGCCCATCGTACCACATATAGGAAGATCTGGAATACCACTCCGGTTATCTATCGAATCGTCTGGGCGACAGAGATCTTGACAGGGATTGGGGTATGTAGTTGGGCTATATTTCTCGATGGCAGGCCGTTGGGTTGCGGGGGTAGAGCATGAGGCTGGTATATGCGGACAGCCGTGGTCTCTTGCAGTAGTCATGTATGGCAGACGCCGTTAGCGTTGAAGATCGAACTTGGCTCGATATTGATTGCAAGATGGATATTAGTTTCTCAACAGTAGTGGTGGTAGAAGAATGAGTTCTGCTCTCATACTTGACTGGAGAAGTGTACGGCAATGCAAGCTCTCTCAACCAACGATTTGGTACGATAACGACGCACTCCCGGGCCATTGGCAATGAGAAAGTTCATCAGGCATTGCATAGTAGAAGCTATCCATGCCCGGTTAAAACTTCTCGTTCTTGAGTACTTTCTCTTTGCCGAATTGGACGCATGTAGAGTTTGCGCATGGGTGGAAAGTCTATAAGGGTCCTTCTGCAGAATGTGCGGGTGACACCAAAGGCGCGCCAAACTTGCATACAGGGGAAGTCCCCGTCGTTCTTCAACGACTCCTCGCTGCGCTGCTGGGCGTCATTCACTGAACCGGGAAGCACCCATCGGGGAAAAAGGCCTCGATGTGCTGGTGATTCTTTTCGGTCACTCAAGCGCGTTCCCGAAAACCTCCACTCGCACTCAGTGCGCTCCACACGATTCGACGTTGCCGATATGTCTGAAGCATGGTACCTAGTATGGTTTGATCTCGGCGAGGAAGATATGGAGAGAGTGATGAAGGCGAGCCAGGACGCCACTGGCAATATTAGTTATCGAGCTCTCCTCTCAACGTTCATTAGGATTTGCCTATGTAAATTTGTCCTCTTCCCTTTTATTCTAGTAATAATATTTGTCTCTTGGACCTTCGCCATTGTTCTTCCCGTACAGCCGAGCATAGGCCCTACATACTATCACCAATAGACTAAACTTGACTTTCAACTAATACTAGATGAAGTACTCTCTATAACGTTACCCCAAACGCAACAATTTCTACTTCTCGTCCACGGAATCAGGCGAAGTACTAGCCACTCGTGCTCGTCATAAGCATTGAGAATCCAATGAACCAGTTCTTGTGAGCTTGACAGGAGACAATCCCCGCTGCAGTTCCTGAGTCATCTACGGGAAGTCGCACGACACTGCACCAACAGGAACCCAGGTTTCTGACCGCTCAGACTTTTCTGCAAGCGTACCCAACACTTTTCAGAGCAAAGTACTGGAGCGGGGTTCTCGACGACATTCACTGGCCACAGACCTGCGAACAGGGCCGTAGAAGCAGCAGTGAAAATTGGGCACAACGGACGACATCTCAGGAGGATAAGACAGGCGTCAAAGATGCGGGATATGAGGCCAAAGCAACCCCCGCCTCACCAGTCCCTCTGGTATGTCTATCATGATCGTCTACCTGGAAAGTCTCACCTCCAAAGATACCGCGAAGGGGGCCCGTTTCCATTCTTCCAGAGCAGCTTGATAGACACGTCCGGATATTTCACTGTTGGTCAGAACCACCCGGAACTATTGTTTCACCACCCTCTACTACATATTATGGAAAACCAGAACTTGTATGAGCAAGATATTGACAGCAGCAACGAGTCTTGTTTGGTATGAATCCCTCTCTAGTCCACCAATATGTCCCATGTGTAGCAGTGGACACTTCCTGACAATCGTCCTGATAGTTCAACGATGATCTGGCTGTTGGTCCCCAGGCAGTCGGCATGGGCATGCAAGACGTTACAAGTCAAACGGCTGCCCAGTCTGTCTCACTTACAAATTGCGGGAGAGTTGGTCCGAGTCATCCCCAATACAGTAACAAAGCGGCTCTGGGAAATGAGCAGACGCTTTTCCTAGACCACCCCGCAGCAAACGCCTATACACACGACTCGACTGGGAGTCTCAATCAGCAGCAGATTCAGCTCTCTTATACCCCCAGTAACCCTTGTAACACCATCCTTGGAGTTGAGTTCCAGCATCGGCTGCCATACCCCGGCATGCCAGGATTTCCAGAGCCCTATGAATATACCCGTGCCAGTCCAACGACACTAACTAGCAGTTTTTCATCTTCTATTGATTCTTCGATAGAATCTGAGAGGATGGCGTCGATGAGTCTTAACTCTGCTAGCCTCCAAGGCGGCCTCTCCTCGATGGATTTCCAAAGCAATTATCATGTACCCTCCATGGAGACCCAGGGGGAAAACTGGATAACAAGTTGTCCTGCTACCATATCTCCCAAGATGTTGCGAATTAATCCTTCCCCGACGCCGACATCTTCCTCTGAATCAACCCACACAAGCATACCCACGACAAATGCTGGTTCAGATCTCAGGCCATCTGCATGGGACCAGGGCGAGGCTTCCAGTTCTCTTCCCACAAAGCATTCGAACCACAAGCATCGAAAGGAGCTGCCTACGAAGCCCACCAAGCCCCGACTCATGACGTCCTCGGTGCCTCGTCAATCAAGAACATCTAAGGGAAAGAACAAGGAACATATGCAACCGTCGTCGCCGGAGCGGTACATAGAAGCGGCTGTTCCAATAAAGGCTGAAAGCCATCGAGAAGTAGAAGCTGATAAGACAGTGGAGATGATGCACCCCATCTCCACTGATGCTGAACGCGATGCCAAAAACCGTTTCCTAGTGGACTCCAAGCTTGCGGGTATGACATATCGTGAGATTCGCGTTCAAGGTGGGTTCACTGAGGCCGAATCAACTCTACGCGGACGTTTTCGGACCTTGACCAAGAACAAGGAGCAACGCGTGAGAAAGCCAGAATGGCAGGACAAGGATGTAAGCGACCCCCAAATCCCTTCATACTTTGAGTAGTGGTTTCCATTGCTTTCACGGCACGTTGTCTGACTAATACCACTCTGACTTGACAGATTAAATTACTGAAGAGAGCTGTCCGGAAGCTTGCCAAAGGTGACAAGAGCTCGGCGAGAGTGCCGTGGAAGCAAGTCGCAGCATACATTTACGAACATGACGGCTCTTACCATTTCGGCAATGCGACATGTCGGAAGAAGTGGGATGAGCTTGTTGAGCAGGAGGCTGAAGGAATCTGATCAGCTAATGTCCTTTCCGCGTGTTTGATATACAAGAAACTAGCTCAGAAGATGACATGAGCTGCAAGTGTGTAAGATATAGGAGGATCATCTCGGGTAGGCCCGGGCGTGTAATAGGAATCTGGATCACGGGCAGTGTGTACTTACAAGGTAATTAAATATAGTGTATTGGTTTTGATTCGTTCGCATATAGACAGCAACCCATGACCCTTTATTGCTTGAGGGACTGTTACTGTCAAACCATTTTGGAGGGTATCCCAATGCCCTCCAACACCCCGTGCAACATATCGGTGTTCGTTCTTAGAGCATCCCATTCGGCTTGATTTTTTACAAGGGCGGTGCCCGCTAGCACTGTGCCGTTGAGACTTACGTCACCGATTTTATTTCCACTGCTGTCCTTCACAGCCGTTCCCTCTGCAGTCCGCGGGCAAAGAGCCATACATGTGTTTGTCATGGCAAAATTGTAACTTATCTGAGCCTCACCTTCGTCGACCGCCTCTACATTAGTCATGGCCGCATGAACTGCGCGCTTATATAGCGACAAGTAGGCAAGATGTCTATCCTCGGCACTCATTTCCGCACTGATGGGAGATGTGAAGACGGTAAATGGTAGAGCCTCCTGATTTCCATGTACTTTATCCGCAAGTATAGCCCATTCACTTCCATTCTCGGTGTTCTCCAAACCAAGCTTCATACAATCAACGGGCAGTAGTTGAAGGTGTCGATGCGGCTGGCTTGCACCTGAATGATCTCCAGAATTGAAGAAGACGAATAAATCCTGATCGGCACTACGGTAGGCTTGTACACAAGCATATGCTGCATCGATATCGCCTGGCTCTAGAAGATGTGTTTGGGGTTTGAAGTCTCTAGTAGCGAGTATGAAATGCTCTGGCACGATGGCAAACTTGTTCAGAATCAGCCTATGGGAGGGTGGCAGTTGCGCTACGAGCAAGGCGGGAGAGGGGTTCTCGAAGGGATTGAAAGGTCTTGCGTTTGGCTCTACGGGTTTGGGTGGCTTCGGTTTCTGAGCAAGAGCAGGCGAATAGCGGAGTTGAAACTAACGGATTATTAGACATCTATCCTGTGTGTTTCTGGTATCATCATGCGAGCAGGAGCTTACAGTGAGCGATCCAATAGTCACGATGGCAACCTGTGTTGGATAATAGATCAGGTCACCGCTACCTTGCGCTCTTATAAACGCGTCTCTGACCAAGGCCGGGAGGTTTGGAGGAGCCGTGAGCGGTGGCATTTCTACAGCTAGCCTTTGATTTCAAATGTAGGTAATTGGCGCGAGGGTTGTTTATACGTAGATTTCAAGCTCACGACTACATCTAAGCTTCAAGGTTGTCTCGGAGACGTGGGGTACTTCTTGGAAGGTACCTTGCATGACTTGGAATCAGACACAGCTGCTTGCCAGCTGCAAGTTACTTGTGCGAATCCAAGGGGCATACACCACATCGCTTCTTACACTACCTAGTTAATTTGTCTTCGTTTTTTTTCGACTGGGGAATAATAGTAAGGATCTCTCAAGTAATTTCGCATGATATACGTGCCTACTGTAAGGCTGGCATTTTGTCTCATCATCGATTGAGGCAGTGACAAAATAAGAGAACAGCCCGAAGTCGGACAACACCAACGCTGTAGCACGAAATGGGGTGACTTGCATCGTCATGCAGCCCGGAAGCATGTCCAGTATCACTCTATTTGGTCAGTCTCGTGCGATGAACGTGTTTCGTGATTCTGAGCTCTGCATAGGGTGTGTAGTGCAATGTCGCGAGAAACCCCCTTTCGCCGTCTGTATTAGGCCATTCTGGCGGAAGTAACGTAGCTTTCGCTGCGTAGTAAAGGTCACTGTATCACTACTCAATATATTGGAAATGAGATTACGAGCGTTAATGTTCCGTTGTGAGAAATTTGATGCTACCAGGTTGACGACAATGAGATTTAAGAAATTGCCTACCTCCTACACTACCTAGCTGATGGGCTCAATGTCTCCCTGCATAATGCACGGTTGTACATATGTAGCCGGGTGTATCCTATTTGCTTTCCCCCTCTCGGCCGTTGCGACTCGTGATATGTAGAGACGAAACAGTTTGCCTGCGTTTCTGGCAGACTAGGTGGATTGCTATTGATAGATAGGAAACGTATCTCAAATTGAAGGGGAGTTGAGACCAAGGCTCTAGTTGGGGGTGGGGTTGACTAGGTATTCGATCGGTTCTCTTGGTACTACCTCTCCACCTCGAGTTGAACAACAAGTGTCCTAGCCAACCAAATGGGATTCTACGCCCCCTCCTGAAACACATCTTAGCCGTTTCTTGGGCTGGCCTCTCGGGCTCTGATCAAGATAAGAATAGGTGTGTTCATTGAAGAATAGTCATAATCTAAGTACATTGTTGTTCTCTGTTCGTAGTATACCTATACATACCTAGTAAGTAGATGAGCTGAGCTGTCTAGTGATCGATCTACTGTAGCTTGCTTCAATGCCAAAAGAGGGACGGTGTTATCGGTTTGGGGGTTCCCACGTAATGCGTCATGGTATTATATGAGCACACAACACAGCATGCGCATTCTACGCAGGAACCAGACGACATGGTTACCTAGGAGCTGTTGTGATCGTCAGGAACAGCCGAGATGATCTTTGCATTGGAAACACGTGTTCCCGGCTACCTACGATGGCTTGAGCTTGGTTATGAATAGATGAGATGGTGTTGTATAACCTATGCAGTCAAGCGCGCACCAGAACCATCTTGAGGAAGCGAGAAAGAAAAGTTGGATTCCTAGGCCGGTCAAAGGATTGCGTTCGCGACATTGTGAGGTTGGATGAGATACCAATGGTTGTTGTGCGGCCTGAGCATTCCTCCATCTCGACTTGGCGACCGCATCCGATGGTATTTGTTGCCAATGGTATGGTTCGTCCATCCCGATCGGCGTGCAATCACATCCGCTTTTATTTGTACTTGAATGCAGAAACAAGTGAGCAGTCCTTGTCATCTATAATCCCTGGGGGGTAACGTGCAGGAGTATCCTGCCTTATATCAAGTGTACGTTTCTCAAGGGATGATGGCGTTCGTATGATTCTGACATGATGTGTTGGTTGGTTGGCTGGTGGTGGTGGTACCTGGGGGCAGCGTTATTTAGGCAGGGGAGGCAGTGGATGCTGCAGGATGGCTGCACTGGACAGGAGCCGCACTCGCGGTAAATCGACAGCCAATGGAATTCTACTTTGGGAAGCTTCCCAACACGTCATAGGCCGGCTCTTGGGCAATCCTATGGGTGGCGCAGGGGTGCTCTGGCGACGAGACCGGCGAGAGGGAGCGCTTAACAGACAGTTAAGGCACCGCTACTTACTTAGTAGGTACCTAGGTACCTACCTAGGTAGTTCCTGAACCCGGGGCTAGCGTGGTAGTGGCTGTTCAATACTCGCCATCGCCAGCCTTTGACTTTCGTGTAGAATAAATGAGTGGTGAACATCGCACAGGGAGGCAAATAGATCTTTGTGAGGCGCAAACATGGGCAATCAGAGGGAGCATCGGCCACGGTGATTGGCCGGGCTTATACCACTCTGCCGGATATCACAGGACACTCGCTACCTACCGTACCCAACTAGGAGGTACACAGTAGGTATTGCATTACCTGTGTCTGCCGTGACCTTTTCCTATGACCATATCTGCGTTACCACGCGAGGTAGGTAGGTAGGGGCTTTAAAGTGAGGTGGTAGGTAGCTTGTAATTCCACACGCATGTGTAGGTAGGGATATATATATATATATATATATATAGATCAGTCGAAAGCAATTGCACCACCATTCATTGTGATTTCCTCCTTCAGGTCGTGTTTCTGGTTGCGAAGTTGTCCATGACGACACATTCGATGCTGTTGACCTTGTCTTCGCGCAATCAACAACAACAACAGCAATACTACCAACATCTTTAATACAAACAACACTCCCTATTGTTTCTCCTTAGCCTGTTGACGAGACGGCACGGGTTTTCTTTTCCCTTCTTCCAGGCTCCCTCTTTTGGTCCCTCCATTTTGTCACCTACATTACGATCCGGACAGACCTTTACCTACATCCGTATCAACACTCCTTACTCTGTTCACCTGTTCGCGTCCTCCCTCGGAAGACAAGACCGAGCGCTGGCATTCCGTTCCCATATAGATCGACCCAGACAGAACAGCATCGTCTTTAATTTTAGTTGCCGCCGAGGGTACGCCTATCCTGTGGAACGTCCTACGTGTAAGTGCCACTTTATCCACTCCATGTCGTTTGCTTCGAGGGCGCTCTTCCGACGAATCGGTACCAGGCGCTTAAACCGACTGGTGATCCTTTGTTGTCGTTCTATTTGCCCCTACTCTTCTCTACTTGTACCGCCTTTCTAGGGGTTTCTTGCACAATTCTCATTGTTCTTTGACGAGCGAGAGATTTAACAACTATCCAAATCTATTCTTACTACAAAGGGGACACGACTTTGAAAAGGTCTCTATAAGACTCGCCTGCCTTGACTCCTTCGTACTTTTGTTTTGATTTAGAGCCCAAAATTTCCTGTTTCCCTTCACTTCGTACCTCATTCAACCTCCACTATAACCCTCCAGAAGGAACACAAGATTGTTGTTTATTTGATTCCTCTTACCTATTCTACACCACTAAACCTTGCGCTTACATGGCTCTGATCGGCAAGCAAGCATACTAATCACCACCATAGCTTTCACTTCATTACTACCTTCGTTTCCATATCAATTTCGTTAGCTGGTTCTAGCGTCGAGATGGGTCTATTCAAGATCCTCGCCATATCTGCGGCAGTGCTGCAGCTGGCTACCCAAGGAGCTGCCGCCATTCCGGGGACCGCCCTGGAGCAACGAGCAGACACCACTTCCCAATACTGGGTCTCAACAATAAAACGTCAAGGAGTCGCTGCATTTGCTAGCGATTCTAACTACAAGGTGTTCCGCAATGTCAAAGACTACGGCGCCAAAGGAGACGGTATAACCGACGACACGGATGCCATCAATAAGGCCGTCGCCGATGGTCCAGGCCGATGTATCGAAAAGTGCGACTCCCGCACGACTCACCCCGCTATTGTCTACTTCCCTCCCGGCACCTACTCTGTCAAGAAGCCCATCATCCAAACGTACTATACTCAATTCATAGGCGATGCGGTTGATGTCCCAACCATCAAGGGATCCGCCGATTTCGAAGGCATGGGTGTGATCGACGCGAACCCGTACGATTATAGCACAGGCTCAGACCCGCCCCCAAACTGGTACATCAACCAGAACAACTTCTTCCGCCAGATTCGCAACTTCATCATTGATATGACAGAGATGCCAACTGGTAATGGGAAAGCGAGCGCCGGTATTCATTGGCAGGTGGCTCAGGCCACCAGCTTGCAGAACATTATCTTCAACATGAACCCTGCTACCTCAGACAACTATCAGAAAGGTCTCTTCATTGAAAATGGATCTGGAGGCTTCATGGCAGACCTGACATTCAATGGTGGAGGCATTGGTGCTGATATCGGTAGCCAGCAGTACACCACTCGCAACCTAACCTTCAACAACTGCAATACCGCTATCCACATGATTTGGGACTGGCTCTGGTTGATGCAAGGAGTCACTATCAATGGTGGTCAGTTAGGTATCAACATGACTAGTGACACGTATGATTCTATTAAGGTTGGATCACTCCTCCTCCTCGACAGTAAGATCTCGAATGTCCCCGTCGGCATCAGTACCCTTTACAAGCCCAACAACGAATATACCAACAACACTCTCATCCTTAACAATGTGGACATGGCCGAAGGAGTGCCAGTTGCCGTCCAGTACGCAAAGGATGGAACATCTTTGCTGGAGGGTAACAAGCTGATCGAAGGTTGGGTTCAGGGTAGAGATTATAGCACCGGAAAGGGTGTGGCCGTTCAAACTACCCAAGACGCAATCAAGATGCCGGATGCTCTTCTTGCTGAGGGCGGAAAGGTATTTACGCGCACCAAGCCTCAATACGAGACTGTCGCGGCCAGTCGCTTCATGAGTGTCAAATCAGCTGGTGCTGCAGGTGATGGCAAAACAGACGATACTGCGGCGATCCAGAAAGTCTTTGACAGTGCCAAAGAGGGCGATGTTGTCTACTTCGATCACGGCGCATACCTTATCTCTGATACTGTTCATATCCCCAAGAACATCAAGATTACTGGAGAGATGTGGCCCCTCTTGATGGCCACGGGCAAGAAGTTCACAGATGCTAGTAAGCCCGTTGCTGTCTTCGAGGTTGGCAAGCCTGGTGATGTCGGCAACGTCGAGATGTCGGATCTGATTATCGAAACCAAGGGCGCTCTTCCTGGCGCCATTCTTATGCAGTGGAATCTAGCCGGATCGGAGAACGGCGCAGCCGGCATGTGGGATGTTCACTTCCGCATTGGTGGCACTGCTGGAACTGAACTCCAGTCTGATCATTGCAGCAAGAATCCCAATGCGACCACAGCGGTCGACGACAAATGTAAGGGCACCTTCCTCATGCTCCACCTTACCAATACCGCCTCAGCCTACATTGAGAATTGCTGGTTCTGGGTCGCAGACCACGAGCTCGATCGCGAAGACCATAATCAAATCAACATTTACAATGGTCGCGGCGTTTTGATCGAGTCCCAGAAACCTGTCTGGCTGTGGGGAACGGCATCCGAGCATAGTGTCCTATACAACTATCAGATTTCCAACGCTAAGAACACCTTTATCGGCCTTGCTCAGACCGAGACTGCTTATATGCAAGGTAACCCCGACGCCACACAAGGTGTAACTGTGCTCGAGGGGTATTTCGACCCAGAGTTCAAGAAGACCTGTGATGGTTCATCTGACAAGTGTGCTCGAACCTGGGGCATGCGTATCACCAACTCTTCAGACGTGTTCGTCCTGGGTGCCGGCATGTACAGCTTCTTTAACAACTATGCTCAAGAATGTGTGTCCGGTCAGAACTGCCAGGACAACATGATCAGCGTGGAGGACTCCAAGGTTAGCATGTACGGTATTAGCACCAAGGCCTCTGTGAACATGCTCACCGTCAACTCTAAATCGGTGGCACAAGACAAAGACAACCGCAACACGTTCTGCGCCGCTATTGCCAAGTACGAGAGTGACGGCTCCGGTTATGGATCTGGCTCTGGATCGGGCTCTGGATCGGGTTCTGGATCAAGCAGTTCCTTGCCAGCCCCTACCAGCTCGTCCCCAGCTTCAACACATTTGCCGGCATCCTCGAGCAGTAGTGCTGGGCACAACCCAACTCAGATATCCGCCACCCACAGTGCATCTCCTACAGGGGGCTACGGTCAACCTGGCGGAGATGCCACTGCTACGTCTTCGGGTTCGCCTTCATCGACTACAGCCGCCGTTGAATCCTCATCAGCTGATAGTTCGGACTGTGACGACTCAATGCCAGCCGAAAGCACTGCTAGTGACGTAGCTGCAACGCCATCACCAACTCCGAGCTCAGGCTCTGGAGGTTCTAGTGAGGGTGGAGACCACTCGCCAGTGACCGTCACCGTTACCGAGACAGTGACTGCTGCTGGTACATGCCAAACACCCTAGGAAGGGATCACCAGCACAGGTCATATAGGTACAAAGACGCGATCGTTGAACATCGTGACAGTGTACACTACTTTCACGCCCTGCATACACAAGACCACAGCAGCAGCCCTTACGGTATTCATCGAGGTCGCAACGCCTTTGACTGAGCCATGTGAGACAGCACCCGCGGTGGCACCTTGTTCCTAGTGCAGGGGCGTGATTTCTCTCTCACCTATACCCTCTGTTATATACCCTTAAGTTGAGCAGACGTAAGGATTATCTGGTCTCCTTTCGTACATTACATGGCTTCACTTCTTCTTCCAGTGACCCCGGAGGCATTGGCTATATTGAACTCCTTTTTTCGTTCGAGAATGGCATAGGGAACTCGGCGTGAAGGAGTTTGTCAGGATTAGATTTGTGCTTTGCATTTTCCCCCGGAATATCACGGGCTATACTAGTTTGCTCGCGAGAGTGGGCATTGAATCGATACGGTTCGCCTGTAGCGGCAATTCAGAAAGAATTCAATAGATGCGCTTTGTGTAGCTACAGACCCATTGCTTTCACTCTGCATGCATGTGATGACTCGACTTTTGGTGACTAGAGACAGTTTAGTGTAGGTAAATTGCTAAGCCACATCTAAGGTGGCGTTTAACTATGGTGCCTGGGCTTGGTGGCACGCAATTGGTTAGCAGGGAAGACGTACCCTAGCGAGCCTAGTACCTACAGTTTAGGCGGGAACAGTACGCTAGGCAGGCCTATTGAGTAAGTAAAGAGATACCTGAATCAACGTCATCGGTTTAGTAGGCCAGTTTTTGCAAGAGTCAATTCGAAGAGATCAGAATCGCGATGAACATTTTGGCCTCCTAACGAATTTCCATACACTACACTCCTTCCTAAATACCTAAGCAGCGTATTCAGCGTGATTTCTCCATACATTTGCATTCGATTCATCATTGTGTACTAGATTACCATCTTTGTACGTACGTAAAGTATTCCATGCTCTCACCACCTCTTCGGTGACGATGGCTGAAGACAACGTCCATTCCCTCAGATCGCGGGGTGTCCCGATGAACGGCAGCGATAGCATCAACGGTGCCACCTTCACAACGTCTCCAAAAATGACATCCGCCACAACCACGACGTCGCGCAGCTCGCCGTTCCTACCCACGCCCCTCGAGACCCTCCTCCTCGCCGTCTACCCCACCATCCTGATTTTCGGCACGCTTTTCTCAGCACTCTCTCCTGAAACGCGTGGGGCGCCCTATGATACCATCAGGCAGTCCCACGTGCAGGCGACCGCGCCGTCCTACTTTGCGCGCAAGGACAATCTGTTCAACGTCCTCTTCGTCAAGCGCGGGTGGCTGTGGATCACGGGTTCCTTCCTAGCCTTCGTTGCCACTCATCCAACCTTCCGAAACGGCAATGGCAGGCAGATAGCTAAGGCGGCGACACGATGGGCCATCGTCACGGGCTGGTGGATCCTCGTCACGCAATGGTGTTTCGGCCCGCCCATCATCGACCGCGGATTCAGGTTCACGGGGGGCCGGTGCGAGGTTGCGCAGGACGCTGTTTCTTCCGGCACGGCGGACCAGAAGGAGCTGTTCACGGCTGTGGCGTGCAGGACAGCGGGCGGGAACTGGAGCGGTGGACACGACATCTCGGGACATGTCTTCTTACTCGTCCTCGGAAGCTGCTTTCTTGCGCAAGAGGTGGTCTGGGTTGTCCTTCGAGCAGGCGCGAGGATCGCGGGCAGTGGGGATGACCGTGCTATCGTTATGGACGACGGCGCGCACAAGGGCGCTAGGGCCGAGGCTGAATACGCGGTGGAGGGGCACGAGAAACATCTAGGATTTGGTGGGAAGTTTGCGCTGGGTGTTGTAGGCTTGTCGCTCTGGATGTTATTGATGACCGCTACGTACTTCCACACCTGGTTTGAAAAGGTCAGTTCTACCCTCCCTCGACATATCATTTATCATTGCTAACGACTATTCGCAGCTCACTGGATTACTTGTCGCTTCTATGGCTGTGTACACCGTCTACATTCTCCCGAGATGGGCACCAGCCCTGAGAGCAATTGTAGGATTACCTGGCATATAGAACTTAGGCAGGAGGTGGTACTCTCCTATTTGAAGCGTTTGTATATCGATGCATGGCGCCCACGACGAAAAAGATTATATGATTACAACATGTTATAAACTAATATTTAAGATAATTTCTCATTGATTCCAGCTCTTTGCTTTGACTCTAATCTTGATCACGAGCTTGACGTGAAAGTCCCAATGCTCTCTACTATGTGCTCTCTACCAATCATACCTAGGTAGGTACCTACAATAGTACCAGAGTAGTACCTGCTTTACCTTTCTACGATTCCACTCAGGTAGGTAGGTACCTTGGAGGACGAAAGGAAGAAGGTACTAACACTGCAAGTGCCAACAGGCTGCCACTTTCCCTACAACAACTCGAACAAAAAACCGTTCCTTCCATGCCAAGGAGCCACGTCATCTTTACAAGAAACAGAGGCAAGAACGAACATGCCCCCTCCTGTTACAATGGTAGCACAGGTTTTGGCAGGAACAACGTATGCCATCATGCATTCAACCAAAGATCGCAGTTGCTTTTCATAACTATCATAATGAGTGACATCATTGTCTGACGAACAGACATTGAGTAGGTAGGTACCTAGGACATTGCAACCAGTAACCCCCCTTTCCGACCAATACACTCTTTATGCATATTCTTAAAACTGATGCATCATACTCATTTCCAACATGGAAGCAGCTGTTGAACCGGCGAAGCCGTTAACTATGCCTAGTTCATTCGGAGGACTCGCCACAGCTGTTTGGGATTCTTGTCTTGAACGCTGCCGGCCCAGCCCGTGATCTTGGTTCTAGTAGAGAGGGGTTAGTTGGCGAGCCCATATATCTACATCGTGGTAGAAAGGGGTAAGGGGACCTACAAGTTGGCGGAGCTGCCGTTGAAGAGATCGATGTAGGTACCAGTGCCGATATTCTGAATCCTAGAGTGTGTGTATTAGCGGGAGGTTCCTGTGAGAGGTCATGGTGTAGATAATTATAGTAATGGATGACTATTAGGCAGGAGAGAAAAATATGAACAATTCGGGCAGTCCATGGAAGGGTGAGATATGGCAAATGACAAGTATACTTACATAACAACTCGACCCAGAGGGTCAGCTGAGACAAGGCGCCATAGCTGGTTGTTGTTGTTGGCCTGGTTCTCCTGGCCGATAATGGGATTGCCATTGTTCGCGCCTCCAAAAGCGAGGTCGACGACAGCTATTTATTCAACATCTGTTAGCCGAGGAAAGCAAGGGCAAATCTGTCATCCCTCTGAAGAAAGGGGACTCTTACTTTTGGTCGCCACATTGATGAGCTTCCAGGTCGGCCAAACGGTGCTGCTGTCAGCCCGTTCCAGTCTCCATTGCTGGTTTGCGCCACCATGAAACTGATAGCCTATAATAGGAGTCTCGTTCTTCGAATTCCCTGAGATGAGGCGTCAGTGGGGAGGACTTTTCTATTGTGATCAGATGGCGATGTCACTTACCTCCTGTGAGATCAAGAGCAGTGCCTGTGCCGTAGTTGATAAAGCTGACGATTGCGCCATCGAGGGGGTCGTTTTGAGGCATGATGGATTACAGCGTTGAGGTATTCTGGAGCGACGGGTAGAGTCGTAATTGTCGTCTGTTGATGGAGAGAGAGCCAGATAGACGGTTGATCTGGGGCATGGCCTGCCTTTATGCTCTCAAGAAGAGCTTTCTCAACCGGCATTTTCTCTATGCATTGGCAGTGGTTGCACAATCCTGCTCAATGCATCATCATCACACCGCTCTTCTAAGTCGCCTTCGTGCTCAAGTGGGCTGAAAGCTGAAAATGTCGGCCATCTGCATATTTGGCTGGTTCGGTGAGATATTCACATGATGATGGTGCATGACTGGACCCTGCAATCGCAATCCAACATATGATACATCATATTTCCATCTATACAGTGACATACAAGCCGGATTCTAGCAAAGAGCCACACTTACTACATATGACGACAGTGAACTGCATCGTCGCCACGTCATCTCGGAAAATCTATAGGAACGAGTTGTCAGACTTAGGTGCTAGTGACACCATCTATCAAAAGTTTCTGTCCGAGTTCTATTTTTTTTTTTTTTTTGACTGTGTTGAATTCTCCTCACTGTTCAAGTGGACAATTGTGACCAGAGCTTTTCTTCTCGAAGTAGGCGTCAATCTTGCTTATTTATCTCCATTGGGTGTCATACGATCTAGGTTTTCCCTTCTTCCCACTCTACTCTGCCAGTCCTAATTCATCCGAATCTCTGGTTATCCCGCTTTTCGGGGTAACAGAAAATGCTCCGATACAAACGCCACTCGAGATCTAGCCTTCGATCTGATTGTTATCTTCGCAGAAGCGAGGCGCGGTCGGACTGGTTGCTTGCAAGCCAGGTAACATATCCAATATTCTAAGAATCATAAAGTAATGACATGACTATTGATCATATAGCAGTACTTGCCTGTATGTAGTTCCTACAAAGAAAACTGTGACATAGTTCTCGTGATGCTGCGGATATCAGGTCTGTCGGTCTATCAGCATACGTAATTCTACCGCAGATGCAACTACTGAATTACCTAGACGCGCCCGTTGCCATCTCCAGTCCTGCATTTCTACCACATCGGTAGAGTAGTAGTGGGGTTTAAACGTAGACTTGTGCAATCGACGAAGAAAGAGAAAATGACTAAAAGCTCCTTTGAAACCGTAGTGTCCGAAATTCTTTTTCAGCTTAATTAGCCACCTGGTGTCTGGCGGGGGATCAAACTGTTCAAGTTGAATCATCATTAGTACGTTTTTGGGCTTGGATTTGGTCTCATGATCTTTATAAGCTGAATGTTCGAACAGGAGCGGCAGGGGAAAGCCATATCTCACCAGGCAGCTTTATACAAGCCCTGGTGACATTGGTTTGCCAATCAGTGTGTGCAAGGGCTTGAAAATCTATCCTAGTCGTTCCAAGGTGGCGGTAACCTTTTTTCAGCCGCATCCCAGCACCCAATATAACGACGATTATAGAATTAATTTATTTCAGCTGGATGTAGGACGTGGGATAATGGAGTGATTCATTGTAGGTAGGCTAGAACTGTGGAACATGCAATAGCCAGGTACAACCACTGTCATAGATGGTAGCGGTGGCTGGACTAGTTTCATGATTTCAGTCTTGACCGTCTTGACCGTGTGACACAAGCCGTTTATATTCGAGCCAACTATATCATTACAATAATAAAAAAAGAAGCTTACACCGGGTTCTTTCTCGGCCCTGAATGGATTTGGAAGTGCCGATGGCACAATAGTTCATTAGCAAGCGCATCCGAATTAGGTTTATAAAGTGAAAGTACATATTTTGTGATGAGGACCAGACTTGAAGCCTACTCTAGGGAACGCTCAATCTCCAAGCCCTGAATGTTCTCTAGCAGTGCTGAGTACTGAGAGAATGGATAGGGAGTGTGTAAATGGAGCCAGAGCTATGTCGTGTACCCGTGTAGGTGTATGTGGATGCTCAATGGTCGCATGGTGCGGACCTACCCATTGCTTGGCTACATATGGCATCTCCAGATGATTTGTCAAGGGTCTTTTCTTGCAATTGATGTGTTAGAATCAACTTACTAGTCTGTAGACCAGCCCAATCATTATATTTGATATTATGTTCACATATCGGCGAACATGGAGTTCATTTAAGACTACCAGCATATGCCTTGCAAAAGACTCTTTACAAGTAATAAGAAAGTATGAGGTTATACACACTTCCTTGGCATGAGGGTTTCTGTGGGTTTAAAGAGTAGCAAAAGTTGTATTAGTTGTGAATAGAGTTGTGTCAGCCACTAAGGCTAGGAAGAAGGGACCTGATATCCAAGAAGGGTATTAGCAGACCAAACAAATATTAGTTGGATTTTGATTAGAGCAGTTTCAATTCCTATCATCAGCGTGTATTATATCATGAAGCTTCAAATCAAAACATCAATGTTACTATACGCTAATGATCAATATAATACAGGGACTTTCACATTATTTTATCAAACACGCTTCTCACAGTTTAAAATGGGCCACTGCATCTCAGTTCACAATGAATGTGAAGTGTACCAAGGTAGTTGGTTAGCTTAAAAAATAATAACACATAACGCAACATAACAGACACTTGATCAACCCCTTTGTTGACCATTTACAAAAGGGGCTGTCCATGTGAATGTGTTTTTATTGTGATACAATCACGTGATTTATATAACTTCAGCAGTTTCACAGGTCCAGCCATCCTGGCAATAACATTCATGTGCAAAAACATACCCTTACCACCATATACAGGTACACAGAACAGTACAAAACAGCACATATCTGAACACTTTCTAGTTGATCTTCTTTATGAAAACAGGCTATCAAGAGTATGAAGAATTTCTGAATAATATAATACTTGGCACTTTTATCTAGCTGCTTGAATAGCTGATGAAAACATGCCCTACCTGATAACCAGCGTCAGCAGACATTAAGGCTAACAGGAGACTAACAGGAGACACCTGTCTCTATATATATTGAGCTTTATTGAATGCTTCATAGAGAGTCACTGAATACTGTAGTTCGTCTGGCAATAACTCCTATGTCTGGATGGTATCTTTAGAGGAGGCCAATCTATCAACAATGTGGCCCCTATTCTGCTGTGGAGTTTAGGTAGGTACTCTCTTTTGAGGCTATAATCTTCTTGTACAGCATTTGTCTTCTACGAAAAAGAGAGACCCCAGCCAGGTGAAACTACTTGATAATATGTGAGTATGATTAGACACCTCCAGTATCAGCTGAAATAGATAAGGTCAAACTGAACAGTCGCCATACTCATATTGGGGCTTCCTGTGAATTTATTATTACCAATAGGCACCCTAAAGTCTTTGACTATGCCCCAATGTTTCCCCGTGTTCCTGCGGCTTAGTTGCTCCGCTTCTTGCGGCTTAGTAGCCGGTGTTCCGGAGGGGAACACGGGGGGTTAGACTCCACGATGCCACCTATCACGGGGCCGGCCCCCCTGTTGACGGTGGCACAATACGGGGGTGTCCCTTAGTGACGCAGCAACTGGGTTCATAATCCGCCTTTAAGTGAATAAAACCCCCTCTATCACTGTATTGGCGTATTGTATTTACTGGCGACTGCCTTGAAAATTTTCAGAGACCATGTGGTCAAAGTGTACCTAGTACCTATTTGAAACTGCCCTTCACACTTGTGCTTCCTTCCTTCCCACAATCTTCACAACAAAGCAAGTTCCGCACAGAATCCTAGGCCAACCACCCTGAGAAGCTTCACAATGTGTGCCTCTTTGATTTGATTTTGTTCCTGGTAAGCAATGACCTGACTCCCATCCTCTAACAGTGTTCCTGCAGATGCACAGGCTGCTAAGGTTGGTGGTGGTGTCATAGGAGATCCCCCAAGGTCTTCATTGCGCAGCGAAGGAGAAACAACACTGGGTTCAGCAGCTTATGGTCAGTCAACAGCTAATACAGTGATATCAGCTCTTTCCTACAGTAAAACACGTCGAATTGCAGTTACTGGCAGACTACCAAGTCTGGTTCTGGCATCCGTGAGTGACAACCTACCCTAGCCACTACCCACCCCTTGCCACTGATTTGATGCAGTACCTACCTACCTACCTGTTCATAGCTGACCCGGAAGGCATCTGGGAGCATGGGACTGACTAATGAGTAGGGTTCTTTCTCTTGTAGTTCTATCAGTCTTCTGTTCAATCAGCAGGTATGTATCCCATTGACCCCCGGGAAGATTTGACCTGGATACTTCAGATATTAATGATCTTCCCGTAAGAGCATTAAATACATGTAGAGTAGATGCGAGTATTTCAAGATACGAACATCAGCTAACCACTAATGGTCCTAGTCGTTACAGTTGCTAGTTTTGTTCGGCCCCCTGATATCCCCCCTGAAGGCACTTAGTGAGTCACCCGGTACCTTTTTTTTTGGCGACAACAAGTTCTTTCTTACACGGTGTGCTTCCACACGGAAGGTGTTGTCGACACAGGCAGCAAGTGCCGTGTTGGCTTAGAATATAATTTCTGATCTGCCCACTTCAGATTCCTCCTCTTCTTCTCCCTTCTCCAATCCCCTTACATTCTCTTCTCTTCCATCGTCGAACCATCACGTTTTGGTCTGCATTCTTTACATCCTCGAACGCAGTGAGTTATCATCCTACAGCACTTAAGCTCTTGAAACTTGTACTAGGCTTGGAGGGGCTTCGCCTCTTCGACGGCATACCTACAGTAACCCTAGGTCGTATTGTCAAGGCAATTGAGCCAGACTCAGAAAAGAAGCTAACATTGCTTTTCACAGAGCAATTGAGCTCCAAGGCTGTTGTCTCGTCGACGTCCTCTTCCAATTGCATTACTGGAAGTAAGTAATTCCGCCCGACCCCTATCAGAGAATGTTGACTTGAGAGCATCGTGAGAATCACATTGTGGTTGTGACAGCACATTGATGCTTTGCAGTCACTCGAAACATAGTTCTGCCTCTGTTAATATGGCACAGACTGACTGTGACATCTATAGTTTTACTCCTAGAACCTGCTCGTTGTCAATGGCTCCCAGAGACGACTCGCCCGTCATGGGTACTGGAGATGGTTCTCCTGGTGATAAGAAGATGATCACAACCATAGTTGTTGTCGTCTGTGTGTCAATTGTCCTCACTCTGGTTGCGTATGGTATCTTTCACTTTTGCCGAAGACGCTCCAATCGTCGGCGTGCTCCAGATATTGAAGACGGCTCCGATGATGGACAGTTATCTCTTGAAGGGGCTCTCCAAGACCTTGAGCCACCCGGGGGCTTTAGAGGACAAGGTAATTATTTCTTTTTGTATTTACGCGTAGTAGCATAGCCTACCAGCCTATCCTTTCTACGCCATTACGGATTTATTTACTTCTACTCAGCGGGCTAAAGACTATAACTAATAGATGAAGCAGGATTCCCACGAGCGCTATCGTTTCGACGTACCCTCAATCGGCTCACGGCGGCATTGAGCTCCAATCCGCCTACCCAGGCAGACATTGACACAGCGAGACGCGGAGGCCTATCCAGTGTTGATGGTGGTCACGACAATGATGCTGACGGTATCGTGAATGAAGTTCATCAGGACCCCTATACCCATGACCCCAGTTATGAAGCAGCTTGCCCCACCTCAGATAGACTCGCATGCAGCCTAGGACGTTGTGATCCCCTCACTGCAGATTTCTATCAGAACCACACGCATGCTTCTCTTGTCCCAGAGCCTCTGAATTCTGCAAGGTTGACCAAACGGACGAGACACGGTTCTCTTCAGCAGTCTCCATCCAGTAGCATGACTGTTGCAAACGGACAGCTGGTTGCACAGAGACCGGCATCGTTATCTGACGTCGATGGCCTTGAACCAGACCCGGAGATCATAATCCCCCAAGCACACTCATTCATCATCAATGACTGGCCTGTTCATCGTCCTACAGAGTCCCCAGACCCATCCGTTAATGCTACAACTCGTAACATCGACTGGCATACCCCCCCTCCTGAAGAAACCATCGAACGTTCGCGCAACGCACGTGAACGCCTCGAGTGGGAGGAAGCGGCAAGACAGATAGTTTTGCAGCGTGCCAGAGACGCCGAGGAGTGGCTCTCTGACGAGGAAGTGAGTAATCAAGTCCAGCAGATGTACCAGCGAAGTAGCCGTTACCGACTTGAGCCCAACACATACGACCCTGCCACGCCACTCAGCACGTCCCAAGAGAACTCTCCATTGTCTGGTGGGCGTGATCGTCGTGACCGCAGCAGGTTAGTTCTCTAGAGTCATATTTTACCCCTTTAGACATATTTCGGGCCTCATTACTCCTGCATACTCAGGAAACATGAGCTGAAACCCTGCTCTACCTGGCAATTACTGACTCCAGCTTGTGTAATATAGTCGAGTATCTTCAGGGGCACTCCATCCGGTCACGAATCTACAGGCATTCTTGGTGACTTCTCAAGAGCCAGCATTAGCGTCATCGCAAGTGTTGCCCCTGCCTTCTGATTCGCCGACATCGTCACCGCCGCCTCCGTACGCGGCTCCTACATGCCACGATGATTAAGAAAGTTTTGTGTTGCTTATTAGGCTTCATGTGTGTTTTTATTACTTGTTGCAGCTACTGACCAAACGGGTTATTCAATGTTATGACTAGTACAGGAGAGAAAGGATCAACGCGCTTTATTTTTGCTTTCCTCGGATAGCTCCCTTCTTACTACACACAAAGATCTCATGTACAGTACTGTAGCTATTAGATTGATCAAAAACAGAGCTTTTCCCCATCGTAATTATCGTCTACATTATGAAATTAAATATCTACAGCCATCCAAATCGACTTATCATACATCATTGTACCTAATGGCACGAGAATACCGCCCGTCATTTTTCGCCGCGGCGGCCCAGTCCGATGAAAATGCACCTCAACCCTATACTCCAGCCACCCAAAGTACATGCAGTAAAAGCGTGATATACAAGTAAACTTATGTCAGTAAGCGTACAATACAATAGAGCGATTGATTCATAGTCTCGGGCCCGGCCCTTTCCAAATTCGAGGTGGCATCCTCTCAAATGTCCAATCATTCTCCTTCAAGGTATGCTTGGAAGGGAATTTGGCTTCGAAAGGTTCGTACATATGGGGTATGAGCTGAGCTTGGGAACTGTAGGGTACTATCTTTCTCTGTCTTGGTTTTCTCGGCGAGCCGCCTGTTGAAGATCCGCCGCCATAAGCCTTCTTCTGATCTTTGAGAATGTCGCGTAGCTCTTTGTCATCATTCGTGATCTGAGCTTTAAGGAAGCTGAGATCTTTCAGATCCTGAGTCATACCCAGAGACTGCATGACAGGAACTCGTGGAGTGTAAGGAATGTCGTCTAGCTTGGGGGCATACTTGGCGGGGACAATAGCTGGATCGAGGAACGCCTCATGTCCCTTCTCTAGCAGTTGTGTTATATCTAGGCTTTCGCCAGCAGGAATAGGAGTGGAATGGCTGGGGGTCACGCAATCCATGTCTACTTCTTTACGGAGAACATGGTCGATATCGACAGCTGAGAAGTAAGCGCATGCCTGGGGAAGATCATCAATCCCGACCTGTTGCGCAAACATTGCTCGTGTCCAGAGATTGGCGACTTGGAGTGCCATGGCAGCTCTGTATTTATCTTCGTCTTTGACTAGGTAGCGGATCTCGTCGTGTACTGTGATGGCTAGACGAGCGTGAATGTTGAAACGTCTGATGAGGTAGTCCATCGAGACAATGAGAAGGTGAAGATAGTCAACACCGGATGATTGAATGGCCCAATTGATGCGAGAGGTTAGGTAGGCACCTTTACTAATGAACCTGCCCATAAGCGCCTCGGTGATACCGGCCCCTAATACAGGAGTCCGTGGCCGTTCTTGTTCTGCAAACTCCTCTAGTTTGTTGAAGACGAAAGATTCGGTGCCTCCTCTCCAGAAAGGCCGTTTATAGAGCGATTTGCGATTGGTTTTCGTCCCCTTTGTAGTGGCATAGAGCTTGCCGGCAACATCAAGTGTCTCCTGTTCTGACAAGCCAGGGTTGAATTGTCTCAGCAATGTACCAGCAAATTTGAGTCCAGCACCATAAATCCGCCCGTAGTTGAACACCTTGGCATCATTTCGTGTGATGCCCAAAATGGAGGCAGTGCGAGAGTGTAAATCAGTTCCCGCAGCCTTGGTTCCTTCGAGTGTCATGAAACCAATTGCATTACCTCCGTGAAGCTTGAAAGTAGCATCACCTATCACACTCGCAATCCAGAGCTCTTCTGAATCAACATCGGCGCCCACGAAGGAATAGCCGGGAGGTGCTTTGACCATTGCTTTCAATTCCGACCCAACTCTATTTTTCTTCGCATTGCTCGCCGTCAACCACGTGTTTTCGACAGCTCTGCGGGTAATTGTTCCCATAGGAATGATTTGCGGCAGAATATATCCACGTTCTGGGGTTGTGCTGTTTTTATTTGGGGATATGTCTGATTCGTAGACAACCATCTGTGACATGATTCGGTCACGGGCACTAATCCAGTAGGAGCATGATGCATTCATGTCAAGCGCTTCCTTAGCATATGGGTACTCAGAGGAGAGCGTGCCTTTTTCGAAATATGAGAGGTAGCTTTTGGCTAATGGATTGGCACATCTAGCAGTCGGCCCATCCTTATGGGGAAGTTTAAGGTATAATGCTCCGATGTCGTTCTTCAACGCCTCAATCGGCTCGTCAGAGAGATCGCACCGAACAAGCTGTGTTGAACTATACTTGGATGCGTCTTTAAGCGGCACTCGAAATGTCCAACCGTACTTGTCAGACCAATGTAACGGATAGCCATCCCAGGCAAGTCGAAGAAGAAGCGGTGCTATGCGTGTTCTGACAGACAGGTTCATAGGCGCGTTGCTTGATTGAAATAAGCCCTTATACCACTTGGGCATGCCCGGCTTCTTTTGTCGGGCAGCAGGACGAGGCGGGTCGCCTTTCTTCTTTCCTTTGACCATCTTTATTTCTTGGCCAGACCAGTCGAGCTGCTTCAGCCAAGGATCCGTGCTCCATTTCTGCTCATCATCCTTGATCTTTAACGCCTTTTCGGTTAAGCCAATCAACCGTTCTTGGACGGCATCAGACAGTTTAAGATATGTCGCTTCGGCGTCGGCAATGTACGCATCCCAGGATTTATTTACGGGCAAGATGACAGAAGAAAGATGTCGTAATGCCGCGAAGCTGACGGGGTGTGGGCAGACATTTAAAAAGTTTGGGAACACAATCTTGTACACCCGATGTGTGATGGCTACATCCGCAGCACAATAGTCTAGCAGCTGATCAAGCTTATTAACAATACCCGCACGATCCAGCTCGCCAAAATCATTCCGTGCTTCCTTATCGATCGTTGTGTTGAGATGAAACTTGGCGACGTCCCTGAGCGAGTTGATTGAACTTCGCTCAACCCAGAGCTCTTCTTCATCCTCGCGCAAAGCGTCGCTCGCCAAGAGATTCGCCAGATCCATATCGCTGGTTTCCTTGGCGATTTTGTCTCGCAGTTCCCGGCTCTTTTGGTGTTTCATCCATGTCGGCCGTTGCCGAGAACACATACCATTGACAGCGACGTGCAGAGACATAGTATCCAAGAAGGCGTTCCGAGTCTGCTCCAAGTCGTACTCGTCGAGGATGCGAGCGCGGTCATAGCCTATGTTGTGACCTACAATGACTCTATCCTGACTAGACGAGCCCAATGGAATCAAATGCTTGTCGTTCTCGGATTCACCCAACAGCCATGGCGAAAGCCAGGCATACCAGGCAGTCGGACTCATGGCACAAGCCATGACGGCGTATGAGCTTTCCTTCCACATGACCTCAACATCGAAGCAAAGCATGTTTTCTTCAGGGGCTTCAACGGGTGCTGGCTCAGATCCATCCACCGGGTATTTGGTCCAACCACTACGCCTTATCCATTTCTTCGGACGAGGAGGCGCATTCGCTAAGGCGAATTGTTTTGCGTATGACAAGAAAGGTTCGGCACAATCAGAACCAAGTCTGTAAAAATGTTCGTCGAGAGTGTCTCCCTGGATTGGGGGAACATCAAAAGCAATGGGCGCAGTGTTGTCGGTGTTCTTGCCGAGGAGATTGTGACGGCGCAGGTGGTCTTTCGCGAGGTCGACAAGCTCGGGGGGGGCCGGGGAGCTTTTGTTGGTGAAGATTTGGTTGTGCACATGGGCACTCAGATGCTGTACGTTGATCTCATTGAATCGAGCTTCGGATGGGATAGCTAGGGTTTCAGGGCGCGCTCGGGATAACGAAGCGCTGTCGGAAACTTCTTGAGTAACGGTCGCGGCGGCACTGGTCTGCCATCTTGAATGCGACGGCCAAGACCAGGGTAGTGGACGACATTGCGCGCGGCGCCTCGCAAGGCGCACGAAGCTCGCAGAGGGCGCGGCTCTTACGTGACCACTAACATGATATAGCATAGCTGTCGCACCCCTGGCAACATGGTGTGTGGGCGGGGACCTTCAAAATACTTTGTTGAAGATAGCTTCGATGGGGAGCAGGAAAAGTTGAATATGGGGCACTCGAATTATCATCTACCATCTAATCTAACCGGAAGTGTGTTGGTGAGCTGCGAGGCGCATGACGACGATAACTTCTAGACCCGGTGGGGGGCGCGCATCTGCAGGTGAGAGGACCGGCAGTCTGACCGGGATCAGCCCTAGGTCGGTCCGGATGAGCTCTGCCCAGCTGCTGGACAGCTCAATGACAGCTCAATGACAGCTCAATGACAGCTCAATGACAGCTCAACGACAGCTGGCTAGCTGAACTTGCCCATCTGCTTAAACCGCCACTTTAATTCATCCCAAGTTTCGCATGTTTCGCCTGTTTCGCCTGGAAGCACGCACTTGACGAACGTTCCTTTGGTGCCCGCATGGCACGACACAAACTCTTGGCTGCCTCCTCGTTCATTATCAAATAGACACGATGGAACACGGCTAAGCTCACCTCGTCTTCCAGGGACCTTTGACCTCTCACAAACGGCGTGGCGGCATAGTTCATGTCGTGATTGGCTTCCCCGGCCGACAGTGTCTTAGTTTCGCCAAGACAATCCTGTGTACTGTGTGTATCCTCGCTATGTATGAGCACCAGCATCTCAGTCGCCATGACTTATAGTTCGTTTGGATGAACCACTTGCTGAGCTTTCAGCCCCAATGGACATGGTCTCTTATCGCACGATGAGGAATTTTGCTCAGATAAAAAACTTGCAGTGCGCCCAATTGCTTGCTTGCAAAGAGCAATCTTTGAAGCCAAATAAGCTAACTAGGTATCTAAACTTGAAGCTATTGGAGAACAACACTGAGGGTCACAATACAGCTGATTAGAACCTTCTTAACCGGCACTGGCGTTGTGCACAAGATATCCGTCATTTCTATTGAATTCACAAGCTTCAAGTCCGCCATCAGTACTACCTGTAGTATTGAGGACCACCCGTGGCAATGTTTGCTCCAGATCCCACCATGTGGCGATCGTTCCAGCTACGGAGTCCAGTCTCAAACACTGCTGTACATACGCGCGACATTCCTGATTCACAGTGCCGAACCGAAACGATATATCGATTTGTTTCTGAAGCCACTCTTAAATAGACACTTCAGCTCGCCGCTCCAGTTGAGTCTATTGCAATGAACCTAGGCGCTTTTTACTTGAGGGAGAGTTAGATGAGTCGAATCCAGAAACAAGACCGTCCTCTCATCCAATATGACTGACACCACATACGGAAAGTTGGTGACATTATTCGTCCAGGTCATGGCGCAATTCACGAGTCACACGAGTCCCGAAGCTTGATTTAACGGATTCCATTAGTGAGATGTGAAGACAGTTGTACCAGATAGTTGCTAGCATGCAGCTAAGGTTTCACTGTAGTAGACCGGTCCATGTCCAGTAATGATGTTATCTGAGAGTTTCGGCTTTGATTTGAGCTACGGCCGTGAACTAACGCCTCCTCTGATGGCCAGCCAGCAGTGGTCTCGAAAAATCATTATGGGATGGTAGTGCCAGTGTTTAGACAACTGCGTGCCTCTATCCCTATCCAAGACAGTCTGTATAAGTGGTCCGAGCTATAAACCACACGTTCCTCGATCTGTCCGTCCAGCAGAAGTTCAAACTGTATCACATCAGGGCCAGCTTCCATTATACGCCAACATAAAAAAGACTGATCAAATACAATACTTCAATCGCGATGTCAGATCTCCCAGCAACATGTGTGGGCTATCACGAAGACGACACTCCCCTGTCCATCAGAACGATAGGAAGCGATTGTAAAATCGATGGGATCACGACAAGCGGCAGTAGTGATGCTGAGAAGAGGAATGAACAGGACCAGCGCGCCTCTCTCTTCCTTGGAAAGCCAATGAGTTTATACCACGAAGTAGCCTTCTTCGCGGTGGTAGCGACATCTAACTTCACCCCTCGTGCGTATTCAATCAACCGAACCTAGTCATCTTGAGTAGCTATTCAGCACTCTACCCTCTTCTCTCAAACATGTTGACTTAAATAGGTCTGACCATTTCTCTTAGACTCAGGATTCCATCAGACACTTTGCATACTACAACTTATCGCAGCTGACCTGGGCACCACGAAACCTGCACAGCTTGTCTGGTTGATGGCTGGATATGGCCTCACTGTTGGGACGTTTATTCTTCTTGCGGGGAGGTTAGGCGACATCTACGGCTACAAGCGACTCTTTCTTATTGGTAATGTCTGGTTTGCATTATCCTCACTCCTAGCTGGTTTGGCCGTATTTATACCCATACAGGCTTCGGGGTATCACCAAACTCGTTATGACATCTTTTTACTGGGTCGGCTTCTCCAAGGTATTGGGCCTGCGTTGATGATCCCCAATGGAGTTGCTCTTCTAGGCGTGACTTACGTGCCAGGCCCAAGAAAGGCCATGCTGTTCGCCATATTCGGTGCCATGGCTCCCGCCTCCGCGATTATCAGTCCGGCAGTCACAAGCTTATTCGCTTTACTTTGGTGGCCCTATGCATTCTGGGCTTTCTCCGTCGTGTTGATTGGGATCACACTGGCCGGTCTGTTCGTGATCCCAGATTCCTTGAATTCAGGTCTCAGGTGTGAAGAGAATGCTGACTCGGTCCGGAACCGTCTTGGATTTGTCGAGCTATGTGCAGAACTTGATGTTCTAGGGGCTTTGACCGGCGTCTCGGGTCTAATTTCCATCAGTGTAGCTTTGAACCAAGGCTCATTAGCTGGTTGGAGGAATGCGTATGTGTCAGCTTTGTTGCTGGCTGGTATCCTGCTCTGTGCGATTTTCGTCTTTGTGGAAAAACATGCTCGCAAACCCCTCATTCCCCTTGAAGCTCTTAACATCGGTGTTGGCTTCGTTTTAGCTGCTATTGGTTGCGGTTGGGGCTGCTTCGGTATATACATTTTTTATATCTGGCAATTCTACGAGGTACTTCGTGGGGCCTCGCCACTTCTTGCCACGGCCTGGCACAGTCCGATCATTGTATCCGGTGTTGCGGCTGCCTTGACTACGGGCTTTATCATACATCGAGTCGGACCTGCGGTTGTAATGGCGCTTGCTCTTCTAGCCTTTACGGTTGGCATTACGCTGATTGCTACGACTCCCATTAGCCAGTCGTATTGGCTACAAACATTCTTCTGCAACATCATTATCACTTGGGGCATGGACCTAAGCTTTCCTGCTGCTACACTCATGCTTTCGGATCTTGTGGCACCGGAACACCAGGGCATTGCAGCTAGCCTTGTCACAACTGTTGTCAATTATAGCGGCGCTCTCGCCCTCGGTTTCGCTGGTGCTATAGAACTTCATGTCAACGACGGCGGACTGGAACCGGAGAGTTTACTCAAAGGCTATAAAGGCGCTTGGTATCTAGGCATCGGCCTAGGCGCCACGGGATTCCTTATAAGCCTTGCATTCGTGTGGCGGCTCTCGAGGTCAGTTCGAGCTACATCCTAAGAAAGTTCATGTGAAATCGAGCAGTGAACATGCCATTTTGTGACAATTCCTGGCCTGGAATATTCTCAAGTGTCAAGGTACCGAAGATTAGACTGCGTTCAAGTGGGCGCACAACATCCTCACGGATATGATAACTTCTCTTTTATTTAGATAGACGTCTCATATACACTGAGATCATATTACATTACTCCTCAGCTATACAATCTCTTGATGTATCTATATGAACCTTTCCTGGCACTTAGTATAGAAGCAACCTTTCCTTATTTTTAACCGCAAGCATTTGTACACTAGCATTCGCCTCCTATCGACAATCCGAGTATCAAGTCGAAAAACCACTGCCCGTGTGGGTTTCACCACCACTATCTAGATGCCTATTGGTCTTCTTACGAGCCCTTAGAATACAAAGAGGTCGGTTTCAACCTTGCCTACCCAGCGTTACGCATAACAGGCTTTCAACAAGCACATGTACAAGACATGAGACAAAACAAGAAAAGGGCTCAATAATGAAGTCATCGTGCCGTAGTCTCGGGTCACAAATCCCCAAAATTCTTGACTTTCTCCTGTGCCGATATTACTGTCGACGGTTGGTAATGCAGGAAACGTCGAGGACTGACAATCTCATCACATCCACGAGTAGCACAACAGGACATAAACTTGCTTCATCGGCCCATAAACCACCCACACATTCACATTCTCATCTCACCACAACTCGGCTGGCTGCAGGTATCATACTTGAGGTACATGGGGGTTACAGCGGTACCGCATGGCTTTGGTCCCAGTGCTTTGGAAGATCCCACTTGCTCTGTCCTCTTCCTCGGTCGAGATCTCTACACAAACACGGATGAGCGTGGGATCTGTGTAGTCTGTGTCAAGGTGTCCAAGAATCCTGGTCGGCATGTGCTACAATGTTCCAGTCAATCTGGGGAAGCACTTAGTTTCGAGGGCAGTCTGAACTTGGAGCATCGGGCCCATGGGATTGGACCCCAGAACATCCCACGTATGTGAGCAGTGTTGCATGTGTGGTGTGATTGGCGAGATGTCCCTTATCAGTTATGTGCCATGTTATAGACAGGAGCGCTCACTGTTGTGCGGGCATGCTCACATGCTCTGGGTCTGGCAGATATCTTGCACTACCAGTCTCCGTGGTCATGCTGCCACCTTTCTCGACAGCGATAAGGTCATGCTATTGTTCCACTTCTTCTTCGCTTGGTGATAACTCGCAAGTATGCTGATGCTAACTCGATATCTAGATCTTGGGCATCTGCTTTCGATGTCCCCGACACCATCTGCTAGGCGCTTCTCCCGCTCTCTCAATCTCTCTAGCCCAACACACACTGTCTCGAAAGCACCATCTGCACCGTGTACTACTTGTGTACCACCTGCATATGCAACCAGCCATGTCGGCCGAGTCTCTCTTATCATTACTACAGTAGCATTGTAGTCTGGTAGTGCCGTTTGCTCGTCTTCCAGCGTGCACGTCGCATCACCAATGCCCATATCAATGTCTTATCAACGTAGTGGAATCATGAGAGCTTCCTCGTTGTTGACGTGTCACTTTGAGATGATTTTGAACCGTCATTGCATACCACATGTGTGGCCTACTCTGGCGTACTTCCTCAGAATATGACCAGTGTTTTCGGTACCTACTGCTACTTCTCAGGATTCACGAATCTCGACACGGGAACTTATTGGCACCGCTGAATCCAATAGTGAGAATGTCTGTTCACATGCTCGAGACTTGGCAGTCACCCTCTCGAAGATTGCTTTTCTACACCAGTAGACATGTCAGTCAATTGTCGGCATTATGTAAGATTGCCGTGAGTTCGTTCTTGATCTTCTTGAGGATCACCCATCTATGAGAGTTGATAGACACGCCTTCCAGACGTCAGAGATTAATCATGCTACTAGGCATGGACGAGATACTAAAATTTTCGGCCTTTTCAGTCGAGTAGTATTAATGAGAAGGAAATGCTCTCGTGGAAACAACCACTCTCATCATTACAGAATAATCTCCTTTCTCAAGCTCTCTAGCTTTCATCGGCTGTGAGCAGAGATCGGCCGCCGCATGGGTAGAGTTATGTGGTGAGCTCATCAAGAGCCAAGAGGTTGTCACTAGTATCGCTGCAGTACACATGCGATTAATTCTATCCAATAAGTCCAACCATATTATTTGTTAACATGAACGTGTACGTGTAATTGGTCAGCTCTTGGCGAGTCTGCAACCAATGAGCATGCCCTAATTCCCGAGTGAGATTCCAGAGGCATGGCGACGGGTACCGTCGCTGCAATCTAAACTACTCTACGGCCCGTGATGACCTGAATAAGCTACAGCAACAGAATGTCACTCTTAAGTAGAGACGACAACGACGACACAGCTATGTATTTTGAGTTGACTCGCGGTGGCCCATGGTGATTGTTCTTGGTCGACATCTCTCACCCTCAGGATTGCTTATCACTAATATAATTTATCTTTGTTAATTTAGCTAGATATTCGCAGGCACGCAGTGACATTCGCCCTCTTCAAATTGAATATGGCCAATTCTAGTATCGTCAAAAACTGTTCATATCATTACGTCCGAATACATTCTGTCAGAAAAGATGTACAAGGTATACATTAAGAGTCATTGTGGCACAAAGTCTAGAAGGGGTCAGAAGTCTGAAGACATTCAGACTTCTCTAGCTATATACAATGTATCTCTTTGCTCTCCTCTCTATAGACCCCTAACACATTCAATTTGCTCAGCACTAAAATACTGGTAACCTCGAGCTACGTGCGAAGTAAAAACATGTTTTGATATCTATTCTGCACAAACTCTACGTAAAGCGATCTGAACTAAACTATAAGTCAATTTTGCAACGTCAGTCTCAATTGAGTATAACGCTTTGATTTTAGCTTGATGATATTCACCGTTTAGAGGCGCTGGTGGAATTACACAAGACTATTCTGAGCTGTACATATAACGTCTAATTAGGCCCCTTCAGAGCCAAGGAGCCAGTCAAGGATCGGTTTTCTGAGCTTGTAGTACTCTCATTTCTATAGAGGAAATATAGATACATGGCCGGAAAGTAAACAGGCTATTCACTTATACAGTACTAGGTCTCCTACCTTGTAAAATGTATATCCCACGTAATATCATTATCTAGACATCTTTCAGAGGTTTAATTATAGTCGCATAGACCCTAGGGGTGGCTATTTAGACCTTCTGGTCCTGCAAAGGGGTAGCAGAACCTTTTGGAGATTTGATTGGCTCATGATTCAATGGATTATTGACCCCTTTACTACCATTCAGCCTACCTACTTGACTGTGACTAGCCTTCTACTCAGTCTGGGACACCCAACTCTGACAAAATCCATCAAACAGCTATTAATTTCAATGCAACGTAAGTTCCATTCACAACTCTAGTGAGCGTTTTTATCATCTTCCTGTAGAACACAGTAGCATATCATACAGCTGGCAGCTTATTATACTTGAATCTGAACCCAGGGCACACTGAGATCGTCCTTCTCTACTCATCGCCGATTGAAGGTGTTGGCTTTAGATTTACTCGTCTGGCTTGACGTTGAGTGTATCAGACTATTCTATGGGTTCTTAATATCTAAGTGATTTTTGATGATTTTCATTGAAGCTGCCATCAATGGGTCTCTATATCATAGAACAGGCCACGAGGAATTGTAGCGATCTATGGAAAATACTGGGCTGGCGTGTCCCAGACACATTCAAAATAATATTTGAGGTATGTACTCAAGTACCAGCGAAGGGTACATGTGGTGGGCAACTGTCAGTCACGTTAAGCGCGTGAGTTTCGCGATCTCAGGCAACCATAGCAACCACACGACGGTTTGCCTGAGGCCTTCACCACACCAACCACCACAGGTACCCAGGTACCTAGCTGCAAACTTGCAAACACTCCTGACCTTATAACAATAGTTAAACGCGTCTCCCATCAACAGTACTGGGTGGCCTAGTGGGTAGAGTTGCACCCTCAACGATCCCCTAGGACAGCAGTTCAGATACGGTACTAGCTAGGCTGTAGGATCTCTTGCAGAGGACGCCCTCCTCCGGGACGCCGGAAGAAGGTGACCTCGCAAGAGTCCTACGGTCGTCCGAGGTCGCACGGTGCTAGATAACGCCGCAAAGAAATACCCATCAATGCGAAAGCAGGGCGCGTTGTAGCTCTAGGGACTTCCAACATCTAGAGGCAAGGCGATTTATTTTGCAAGTTCGATTCCCACTGTAATTGGCTAATCCCCCATTTTTCATATATATATAATACTCTCTATCTGCTCTTTCCAGTGCATCGTTACTAAGCCTCCCGTCCTCCTTTACGAGAGAGGAACATAGCACCCCTTTTGACAACAGCTTCTTAGAAAGGGCAACTTGTATATCTATTTCGTGTAATTTGATTCATCAACTGATTTCCACCGTGTTTGACAAAGACGTAGCATGTGTCTATTCCTACGTGCCCACCCCAAACATGATGACTTTGATACATCCTTAGAGGCTGAATAGAACTATTCACAATAGGCTCCCAAATATCTCTTCATTATCTTAATCCTTTCTGCTAGAAGGCCACTAGGACAAACCCTGTGGCGAGTCCCCTGGGGCGTAATTAGGCAATCACTACCAGTAGAGCTTTTGACTAGAACTATTCGGACGCAAGAATAATGGGATTAAATGCTAATGACTATTGTGATCGCATGGTATGTGAACAACCATCATGTCAAAGAATTAATACGTCTTTGAGCCCTCAGGGGCTATCGTGAGCCGCAATAAAGAAATCCCTGATGTAATAGTTTAACCTAAACTCAAGTTTTGGAAGCACGTTTTGCAGCATTACATGGCATATGGTATTACATCTCCAAAGTGTCCACACATTACTCCCTCTGTCGACAATGCCTCACTACGTAGGGTCATCATTTGAGAACCTACCAACGATAGCCTTTTCATGGCTGCTTGAGCTCCAGTACGGTTGATTCTAGGGGAAAGAGTTGAGTATAATGTGAGACGCAGTCGAAGTTCGCAGCAGTGACTACACATGCACACTTCCTGGATTGGACTATACTGGTGTAGATATTACCTAGAGTTGTCCAAGTATAATGTGAAAAGGACCTGATTGTTTCGAACACTAAAGAGGATCCAGAATTGGTCACTGCTATATCACAACTACGATTCTACTTCCTCCCGGAAAGTCACCGGGTCAACTTGTTGTTTTGTGTAATGCTGACAGCCCCTGGCTTTGCGAAGTCGAATTCCACCCAATTGCATTGCATTAGCGGGTTGCTAGGGAGCACATACTACTTCTACCAATGGTGACATCTACCTAGGCAAGGTTTGGGCTGGCTGGCGCGTATAACCAGAAGAAGATACCAATAAAAGGAGAGAGTGGGAAAAAACCCCCCCAAAAACCGGCATTTCATGATTCGGAAAGTTTGTCAATGCAAACTCCTTTTGTCCACAGTCGGGCAACATTTACGCGCTACAGCTCGGATGGTGGGATTGACGTTTGCCATTGGTGGTACAACACAGAGGCGCTCTACCAAAATTCACTTGGCCATTATTTCCGAATTAAATGAAGAACACAAATAGCCTGCACCGGACCATAGTCAGACGACAATGCCTACCTCTGCACCGGCGTTTCATTCTATGCCTACTACTGTACATTGCGACGAATTACCATTCACTGCACCCGAAGAAATGCTTTCCTGTAGTATAACGCCACAGCGCTATGAAAGCTGAGAGGGAACGGAGGCTGATTGACTACCGGTGTACTTTTTGGAGGGTCTGAGGTCCCCATGGCGGGATAACAAGCCCCCCTGATTGCTAATTGCGGCCGAATTGAGATGTGACAGACGCGCTGAGGTTGTACAGCGCAAGCTTGATCCAAGCGTGAGAGCTCAGATCAATTATCGATCATTGATCAGATGAAGATTGTATGCAGGGATCCCAGTCGGAGCGAAGACGCGGATGACGGGGATTGCGACAGCGCGAATCTGAGCAGCCGGCAGAGATCAGAAATGGAGATCAGAAAAGGAGAGGAGGAGAGCACTGACGGAGATAATGACGGCTGACTGACTGAATGAATGAATGAATGGATAGTCAGTCGGAGGGTGGAGGAATTGTGGTATTATGGACTTGAGGAAACCCATAGGAACGGGTACCCACTGAGCATTGCATTCTAGTGTCTGCCACATTCAATGAGATGAAGTTGGACGAAATGGTCGAATAGGTACTGTAAATAATATTTGGGTCGCTGGTCTGAGCAACACAGGTCGGTTTCTGGTCGGTCGGTCTGAGTACCTACCTACTTTTATATATATATATCTACCGTGGGCATCTGTTCGAGCTGTCACAAGAACCGTCGGGTGCAACGTGAGCACACACAACTTGACCGTACGAGGCTCTGCCTGCCTGCCTGCATGTGCGAGCGGCGTTCTGCTTCCTGATCTCCTATGTCTTGATACCTATTCTTATTCCAGGTTATTAATTATCATTGCCAGCGCTACCCTTTTGCTTCTGCTTTACGTAACCACGCAACCTCTCTGCTTCACTGTCTGTCTACTTTGCTTACTTGCGTACTTAGATACTTGGCTATGTAAACATTCCCTCGATATTTTCCCGACATTCCCTTCAACGGTCAATTGCCACATGAGCCTACAAGAGAAACAAAATAGAACACAGTCAGTTTACTGAGCTATCTTTAAGGAGGTGAATATGCATTTGAGGCTTACCGAGATCAAGCCTCGCTTCCCTTTTTGGCTTCTTTCCTTGCCCCTTCCCTTTCTCCCTTTCTGCCGTGCTCTCTCCTCTTTTTTTTTTTTTTTTTTTTTTCTCCCTTCGTGGTTTACGATCATGTCCATACCTGCCTAAAACCTACTTAGGATAACCAGGTAGTTACTGACAGAGAAATAGATCAGGGTATCTTTCGCACTCATCACTCACTCATATATATAGGTACTTACGCATGTAGTGTGCGAGCTTCTTCGAGTAAGGACGCCGAGTCCGGAAACCGCCAATCGCTGCCAAGGTTACCTTGTTACTTGTTACCTACCTGTCGAACTGTTACCCTAGGCCCCCGCAGTGCCTGGCTAGGTGCTTTAGTCAGTGCTTGGCCAGCTGGAGAACAACAGCAGCAACAACAGCAGCAACGACAGCCGAAGCGCGCTGGAACTCGCCGCCGCCAACAGTCAGTTCTACGTACCTTTAGTAGGCCGGTTTTAGGTTGGAAGTCACCATCCCGCATGCGTTCTGGATTGTCACTATTGACAATCTAGAAAATCTTACATTATGGCCACCTGGTGCGGCTCCTCTAGAGGTATCTAATATTTTGTCTATCTTATTCGTCATCAATCTTGCTCGACCTGCGTTGTCGTGACCCTTCTTGTCTTTCGTTTATGACGCGGCCATCCAATTTCTTTTTTTACCGTCCTTTTCTTGCGCTCGTCTGCCACACTCCACACCCGTGTCCTCTGTCTTGGCTTCCCTCTCCGAAGTGAAGATTACGACGCCGCCGCCGACGACGACAACAACAACAACAACAAGTTCTCGCTTCCTACTGTTTTGGCTCTCGTGTGATTTGGAGATTGGGAACGAACGCTAAAAATACCGGCGCTTGCCGCCAATGAAGCACTTCCAGACCATCGAATTGCATCCAACAGCCGTCTTACATTTAGCGGCGACAACATCGGCAACAACATTACCAATATCACGAACACCACCACCACCACCACCGACTTCAATAATACTACATCAGCCGCCGTCGCCGCCGCTAACACAGCTGCCATCGTCAGCACAAACACAAACACCATCTCAGACACAGCCACCGAGACTAGCGGCAACGGCGGTGCTGCAATCTACGACTACTTCACGGCTCTTGGCAATCCTAACACACGAAACCTGATACTCAACGGTGCCATTCCAAGTCAATACCCTTTGGGCCCTCTACTAAGTCCACCAGCCAACGATTCGTTCTTTGCCACCGTCGGAGATAGCTTACCTACGCCTATTGCTACAACTCCGAATCCCGCTAGTATTCCCTTGCTTCATATCGGCGGCACATGTCACGGTGCCTATCACGGTGCCCCTCTTACTACCGCCTTGGGGCCCCCACTGCTCACGCCGCCGGCTCCTCCATTACCGCCTTTACTACCACCACCAACGCTCCATCCTGGGTGCATTTTCCCTTACGCTGGCGGATATCCTTTCTACGGGCATACACGAAACTATCTGCCCCAAACACCGCCAGACATTCAGGGTAACAGCCGGGAGCCTTTCCCCTTTGTGCCTTCCTGGGTGCCTTCCTTCGCCACAACGCCCGCGACAGTACCTCAGTTACATATGAGCAACGTCAATCCTCGACCAGCGGCTTCTATCCCTCAAGCCCAGTGCTCTCCACGAGCCGTTGCGGCTGCTCAAAGTATTGATGATCCATATCTTAATTCTTTGGCCACCCAGAATTTTTCGTCACCGTCTTTACCACCTCTGAGTAATCTCCCTTCGCCGATCGTGTTATCTCCCTTTGGCAGATCTGCTTGGACGACGGCCAGCCGAGACATGCCACCATCTTCAACTCGAAGGCGGATACCGAATCGAGGAGCAGTTGATTTAACCAAGCGGGAGCCTGATTTGGAAACTACAAACTCTGGCGTTGATCCCTCAATACCGCTAGCAACGATGCCACCGGCGACTCGGAGACGCAGCATCGCCAGTGGCACGGATTCTGGTGTTCGAAAAAGACGACCCTCTGCTGCTACATCACCAACAAGTCGGCCTAGTAAGGCAAGACGGAAAGACTCAATATGTCGTCGTAATGACCAGTCATCTCCATTCGATGACGACGATCTACAAAACTTGGGTGGAGGAGGTGACTTGGAAACAATCGACCTTTCCAACGCGACTGAGGTTCCCGCCGAGATTCTGGCGCCAAAAGTAGATAATCGGGTGAAAATCGGCAATTTTCAATGTGTCATCTGTATGGATGATACGACTGCCCTGACCGTCACCCATTGTGGTATGTGTATCAATATAACTTTACCGTCGGTGTCCTTTGCCCAAGCTAATGGTTGCTGACATTCTCGTTCCAGGCCATCTCTTCTGCTCAGAGTGTTTACATAGTTCATTGCATATTGACACCATGAAACGAGCATGCCCTGTTTGCAGATCCAAAGTCGAATTGAAAGGAGCGAAAAAGCCTACCAAGACATACTATCACCTTGAATTGAAAGTGATGACCAAGACGAAACAGGGTAAGCGGCCTGCTGATACGTGACGTTGGCCAATTCAGGTCAAGCAAAAATGATTTATCCATTGTGTTACCTACGTGGTGAAGACGTGGTGGCGCTGGGATGAAGGAAAGCCCCCGTGCTGGTTAGACACTGGCAACAGAGTAGACGGCACCCACTACCTTTTATCATTAAAGACGCGCTGGATATGCCGAACTACGAACTAGGCTGCTTTCACCTCCTCCACGTCTAGATTTTCGTATCAGAGAGCAGCTAGGTTATGAGCTGCCAACTGAACAAGTCGCTTATAGACGGCCGAGTCTCTCTGGGGTTGGCATTTGAACTACGTATGGTTATGGTAATAATATCTGCATTGGAAGGAGTTTAAAGTAAATATCATCGGTGGCCAGGGCAGGAATGATACCCTTTGTCTGTTCCTTTCGGGCTCCTTTTTCACTATCGAGGGTTCATGGGCAACTGAACAGAAGCTAGATTTCGGCGTTTAATGGCGGCTCTGTATTATATCATATTTACTTTTCTTTCTTCTATATGGCAGTAAATACAGCGCGGTGGTAGGGTAAAGCCCTTTCTCTTGATTATGGCATGGAAATCGCCTAAGAGCGAAACGTTTCTACTATGACTGTGCACGATGCGACACAAGCTATGAGAATCTCGTATGATCCGGCGCTGAAAAGCTTTAGAGCGATACGTGTAATGCCAAAGTCCTTCTGTCGACAATAGGCATCGGTGCATGCTTATCAACGAATTTCCCCGGCTCCCTGTTCTAGCTTCTATTCTCCCTGGACTGCTAACTCGACAACCCGTATAAGAAAGACATCGAGTCTAATGTTTACGCACGTGAAATACACAAACCGAATAAGGAAAAGCGACATGTCTCATGTGACTGATCGATACGAAAAGCAAATAACACGATGTCAGCATGTCGGCTGGTAGGTAGCATTATCGCGTTTCAATAGAAAAATAGAATATGTTGTTCTTCCCCGACGCCCTGCCAAGATCTATCCCAAACACAAATAGATATGTACAACAATAACTATACAGCCAGCCCACCCTTGAATTAGGGACTTTATAATATGCTACTCGCTCGGTCGTCGTTCGGGGACTCGGGGAATCTATTGCGACTCCCGGTGAGGAGATCGTTCTGTTCGGCGTCGTCGCCGTTGCTAGCTAGGATGCTTACGCCTCTGGAGCCATCTGCACCACTGGCAGTGGCGGTCCGCCGCGTCTCCTCGACGCCGTTGAGGACGTACCAGCAGTCTTTCTTAGTCAGTAGACCTTGCAGCACGCCGCGGTCGCTGAACAGCACGTAGCGGACGCCGAGCTTCTGGAAATATGAGACGGCAAGGTGCAGGGAGCTGCGGCTGGGTAGCGTAAGGGGCGTCTGGTCCATCCACGGGCGCAAGTCGAGGGTCGAGCGCGGGTCCGCGAGGGGCTGGTGGCTGAAGAAGGCCTCGGTTTCGGGCGGCAGGTGGCAAGCCGCGAGGTTGTAGGCGAGCTCGGATCGCGATATGTAGCCTAGGAGCACGGCGTCGCGGGCATCGCTTATGACGGGGAATCCGCGGTAAACGCAGGAGTCCAGGACTGTGCGGAGCGAGGCTATGGTGTGCCCTGTAGCGGTAAGGACTACGAGATCCTCTATCTGCGTCATTATCTGACTTGCAGTGATATCGGGAACATGTTGCGCGCCACCGCCTTCGTCTCCGGAGTCGAGGAACGGATACCCGTTGAAATGGATCCACGACTCGTAGATACCTCGCCGTGAGAAGGCGTCGCCGACCCACTTCGACAACATCACGGCGATCATAATGGGCAGAACGTAAGTGAGGGCGCCCGTGAGCTCGAACATGATAACGACAATGGAAACAGTGAGACGTGTGACGCCAGCTAATGTCGCGGCAGCCCCGATCATAGCGTAGACACCCGGCGTGACACATGGCACATCTGGATCACACGTGTTAAATATGAAGAAATTGGGATGGTTGTGCTGCCAGATTTCCATGATAATACCGACAGCACGCCCAAATAATGCTCCAATTGCCATGGAAGGGAGAATAATTCCCGCCGGGATCTGTAGGCCGAACGTGACGGCAGCGAGGAAGAAGCCTAGGATAGAGGCGAATATTAACAGTACAATAGTACTAGCAGAAGCTGCGCCTGTTTTGCATAGTGCAAAAGGGTCATCTAGCACGAGACGGCAGTCGGTGAAAAGTGAGGAGACCAGTTCGGAAGCCTGGGCTCGCATGTAGAAGTTTGGATAGTTGATGAGGGCGGTAAGAAAGGCGATGATGGCAACTTGAACCAAGGGTCCCGGGAGCCAGGGTGTTGATTTCTTCCACTGCGCTACGCGCATATTGGCCTTGATAAAAAGGCCGCCGTAAATCCCACCTAATATTCCTAGCATGGCGAAAGGTATTATTTCAAACCCGTGCCACTCTGTAGAGAATTCGACTTGGTACAACACAAGCTGACCGGACCGGAAAGGGTCCAAGGCTTGAAGTATTCCGGCGGCAGTCATAGCGCATACGAAGCTCTGCCACATAGTTTTGTCCGGAAAATAGTATGAAAGTGATTCGAGACTAAATAAGACGCCTCCGATGGGTGAACCGAAGGCAACGGATATCCCAGATGAGGCGGCAGCTGAGAGAACTGCCCGTTTTCTGGCTAAGAAGATGTCAATCTTCTGATTCATCTAAAAACAAGAGAAATACCGACCTTCATTGCCGTTGATATTCGGAAATGCTTTAATGAATAAATTGGCGCAACAGCATGCTACATGTACTAGCGGGCCTTCTTTGCCTAGCCACATACCCGACGCAACAGCTAGGCACTGCAATCAATCAGTTGATATACCAGCTATGACTTGCAATAGACTCACCAGACCCAGTGACTTTGTGACCAGAGTCCAGCCGCCAAGGAAGCGGCGAATAACGAAGCCCCCTAAGACCGTCTTGACTTCGGGTATACCACTATGCTTGGCATATATCGCGTATTCTTTGACAAGAAAGCCTGCGCTGAGAGCAAATGTAATCTTGACGAATGTTAGTTGTAAGAGTCATATAAGGCAACCTGGCAGTGGAACTTACTGAGAATAACAAGAAGAAAAAGTATTCTATGAACCACTTCCCAGCCACCGTTCCTATGCCGAGGGCAGCAGCCCACGGCTTCCAACCCATGCATTGAGCGCCTTTATCGTAGCCCAGACAGCAAAACTGTTTGTTGAGATAGAACGCGCCGCCGTCAGGTCCGGAAGCACAGTAGCCAGTCTTGAGATCGCCAAGCCACTCCGACACGACATCGATTCCCGCCGCTATAGTGCCTACGGCCAAACCAGTCAAGACGAGAACAATCCATACCTGGCTGGAGTCTGCCAACCGCTGTATGTATCCTATCAATCCAGTCGCGCTCGAGTAGAGGACACGAAGGCGCTGCCGCTCTTTGGTGTGTTCAAATATCCAATCGATAGCCGTCAGATCCTCGTAGCCTACTCTCCTTCCCGGCCCCTCGGCATACCAATCTAGAGGCATGCCGTCCTTTGGTGCGTTGCCCGGGACGAAGGCCTCATCTTCGCGGTGCCTAGAATCAATATCTTGGAGTAATGTAGGCGTTTCTGTACCAGTCGATGAGTGGCCTGAGGCCGAAGCGCGCGACCCGAAACGGTTGCCTGTCAAGGCAGATAGCATGCGACCAGGCTGGGAGAATATCGATGGTTTCTGCTTGCGCTTGAAAGACATGGGGACATCGGCGATGTCACCATTCAGGGGATCATCCCCCAACACATGGCGGGCTGCATCGTTGGGATCATCTTGGTCGAAGTCGAAATCAAGGTCGGGCTCGTCGCGAACGGTAGGTTGTCGGGATTCGACGGGCGACCGCGATGATGATGACGACTCTGCCGCCTCGTCGTCGCGAAAACTCATGAAATTCCTATTGCTAGCCATCTTGAGGGCGTCGCGATGCAAAATGCCATGTCGGTTTAATTCATGATCTTTAGCCCCTTGCTAACTTTGGGTATTATAATAAGCCTTGTAGTATTCAGTAAGTAAGTAGGTAGGTAGCTAGTGTAGCTCCGAGTTCTTGTTCAGCTTCATACAGTATCGAGTATCTATCCCGCCTGGACAGCTGGCTGATGCTAGTGAATCCCAGTGGAGATCCAACAGGCGTCATTAGCGACAGGGATGCTGCATGATAGGGGTCTAATTGGCATTGGCACGCTTAGCAGGTACCGGTACCTACTCATATCTAGGTACAGTCAGAGAAGATTCAGGCACTGTGTAATTGGGTATCTTGCAAAGCATACCCGAGATATCTATTCGACTTATACATTTCAATATCAAGCGAAAAGAAACGGTTGATGATATAAAATGTCAAAATAACAAGCCTATATCTTCTGAATTCCTTCTTTTACCACGAGCCGGGCTGCCACGACGAACAACGTCTTGCACCATGGAGCCAGAAGTCCAAAAAGTACATCAATTGCTTGCTGCCAAAGATGATACTTCACGCTTCGTCGGCCTGCTTCTCTTGAAGACCACCCTTGATAACCATGCTTCGGATCTACAACATGAACAAGTCATAGAACTATGGAATTCTATATCGCCGAGGTTCCTCGATCGACTGATCCGTACGGGATCACACCCGGCCTCTCAGCAACGAAAACAGTCGGGGGATATGCTGGACGTGGCTGTTGCTGTCATCTACACTTTCACCAAACTGTTGAACGATTGCGCTTCGAATGAGAAGTTCTATGCACGTATACCGAATTTAGCAAACGCTGTACTCTATAGGTATATTCAGAATATTCTTCGTCCAATATCATCATAGACGCACATGTTGACTGATTCTTAGCTCCGAAGAGACTACGCGGCGGATAGTCGACCTCATCCACGTACTTGTTCAGCAAGCCCCTGATCAAGCTGTGGGTGGCGCAACATGCTTTGCTCATCTTGATGTTAACAGCTGGGCACCATTGATTGAGATTGCGCCCCAGCATGAGACTGTCCTCTCCATTTTCCACTGGGCCTGGATCAATGGCAGTGCTACTGCTCCAGTGGAAGAGATGAGGTCGAAAATCGATAAAGCTCTTCTGTTATTTGTTTCGTCATTCAAAGGTCAACTTCCAACATCACTCCTCGATTTCATCGCACTCGTCTTCGAAAATTTAAATCCTAACGTGAGTCTATTCCTCATGAGCATCGATCTAAGCGAGATGCAATAGATCTTTGTGTCCAAATTTGGTGTGAGGACGATATGCCGAGTCATTACTTTCAACCCCAGAATAACTAACAACTCTTTTTACAGCTCAGGCCATTGGATTTGCGATGGCTTCAACCTGTGGCTCGATTGATACACGATATGGCCTCTAATAAGCAGACGGCAGACGGTCGGAGAGCCTATATCAATTGTGCCGCCGCTCTTCTGGCTGCATACTCTGAAAAGGCCGCGAAACCTCTGTTCTCTGACGATCCAGATACCCCAAGGCCAATCGCATACCTTTTCATCAAGATGGTACAAGTAGATATTCTTTCTACCTTGCATCTCTTAATACCTAAAGTCAATACTACAGAATATCCCTCTCTATCACGCCGAATTGCTGCAGCTCTCGACATCATGACCTCATTTGTTGGTTTCCTGATCACTGCTGCCGACGACACAGACATGCAGAAAGCTTTGACGCCAGAGAGAATTCTGAAGCTGCACGAAGATCTTATTAAGACAATTGGTGATGTGATGGAGTATCTTCGAGATCGCTGGGATGATTTTCTAGCGGGTTCCCGTGGCATAGAATCGCCGCAGAGTTCTGGGCGGAGTATATTTGAGGATCCAATAACCCCGGCGGCAGTCCGATTCGTGGCCACTTGGCTCCGTGATGACGATGGTGAAGCCTTAAGGTCGCAAGCTGCTGGCCTCATCGACCTCTTCACCGAACTGTACAAGATGAATATGTCTTCTACCGACGTACCTGAGTTGCGCCTACCGATCCTTGCAGCACTTGAAGGTATCCTTCAGACATCTGATGGCCGCGAAGCTTTCCATAACAGTGACCTCCTACCACATTGCCTATACCCCGACCTGCGCGCAATTCTTACTGGGCAGGATACGGCGTTATCTACTGGCGACTATATTCGGGGCTCTGCTATTGTGCAGACTTTCCACATTCTAGTAGAACATGATGAAAGCTCACGGCCTCATCCTGGCTCGGTCGATTTGCTAGAAATCATTGCAAAATGCGATTACAAGCCAGCCAAGGCTGCGGCGGGTATTTCGGATCGTTCGTATCTTGACTTTTATACTGATTTGCTGGAGTTAGCAGTAGCATTACTAAATGGTACATCCCGCGGGGCTCCATTAATCCTTCAACAAAACATTAAGGCATCCCTTCAAAGTTTGGTGTCGGAAGTTCAGCAGAGCTGGAGTGCTTTGAATGATGAAAGCATGACCGAAAGAATGGCGGAGCTGAATTTTGATTGAGACGACTGTCCGATACGGCGGATTAGCCACAAAATGCCCGTTCATTGCAATATACAGTAGCCACAACGCACGCCCATAAGACTCTGAACAATACCGGCTCTCAATCGTCATAACTGCACGTTATATGTTATACCTACAGCGCAGCTCTCCGAATAACACTACAACCGGAACAGCTCTGGTGGTTTGATAAGATGTGTGAAACTAAAAGGCCTTAAGACTCAGGTTTTTACGCAAAGCTCTAGATGCTGCCTTCCTCAACCCCTGCTTGTCAGCCACTACGGACCCTAAAGCTTGAAGCACCATGCTGTTACGCAAGATTATTCGTATCACATGTCTGCGTAGATTGCCCCGTGCTTAAGCGATGATTACCACGGAGATCGATCATACTGGTCCTCGGCTTTATAATTACCATTGCCTAAGCTAACAGAGTTGTGCCAGTTCAGCCTTGGCCTTGACTATCTTAAAGTGTCTCTCAACATCGCAAAGAGGGCGATAGAACTAGGATCGGGTCAATGATAGCTGGAGTAGTAGCTAAAAGAGACTATTGCCATTATAGATCTTATCACAGTACAACATGAGTTAAATAAATAGATAGACTTGGTGTTGCTGGTATTGTGTACTTTGCTGCTATATCACAATCAAAGTGCAGTTGACTCCATACTCGACATCTATTCATAACATCTGGGACTCGCCTAGCCATTTCCGAGAGAAAGTCCTCATGGCATCTTCACGATCTGTACATGCCTATATGATAATTGTAAATTCCGTATCGAGTAGCAATAGTGGTATATAACAAGTGTCCTATCGCGGTTTCAAACGTAAAAGCTCTAACTAGTTCAATAATCAAATATGCAACCGAAATCAAACGCTTCATTGTGCCCTAGCCTTTTGCTTAGAGCGGGTATCAGTCCATAACTTGTCTACAATCTGAAATACAGCCGTGACATCTCGCAGTACGGCCTCGTCGACCCGTCCACCAAGTCTCTGTTGGATTTTATCAGGATGCCACCTGACGCGCTCGTCCTTCAACTTGGCCAAGAATTCTACCTCGCCGACTTCAACAGGGTCAATACCCATGACAAGAAATTCTCTAACGGCACCACCATCTATAACCTCGCGCCGCCCGCTCTGCACCGGCCAAGCCATGCCCTCCAACGTGCCATCCCACGCGTCCCAAGCCTTGATATAGGTATCCCAGCGCTCCTTCCACACCCTCTTCGCCCTCCGTTCCTCTCCCCTGCGCAGACTCGCCTCCATTTCTCTCGTTAGTCGTGCCGTCTCCTTAGCGTTCCGCTCTTTTTGCTTCCGCCGCTCCTCTCGCCGTGCCCGCTCTTCAAGCAGACCTTGGTGCGTCTTCTCCCACATCCTCTGCCGAACGTATGCCGCGTATTCGTCGTCATCCATCCGCTCGAGCTCGCCTTCTGGCCCGGGCCGCTCTTGGCTATACGTGTGGATAGGCTGGCCGTACACACCCTCCCAGTACGCGGCGCCCTCGTCGTCGGCCATGGCGTCGAAGAGAGACTCGCGAAATGCGGCCTCGGCGTTTAGGGGTGGTGGTTCGTGTGGGTTTGGAGGCGTGGGTGAGCGCGACCGAGTGCGTCGCCGCTTGTGGCGGTGGTGCCGATGATGTCTGTGTTTGCGATGGCGTCGGGATGAAGTAGGGTCGCCATCCTGGTTATCCTCGCACTCTGCATCTGGGCTACGGGCGCGATCGCGGTCAGGGTCATCATGGCGAGAGGACCGATGCGAGCGCGAGCGTTTGGATTTGAAGCGGAACTTGGTCGTCTTTCTCGCTGTCCCCTCTAACGTAGTGTCCGCGCTTTGTTCTTCATTGCTGTCGCGGGGTTCCCGCTGTGGGGCTCCGTGAAGTTGGTGGCTTTCTTCTATCTCTGGAGAAATCGGACGCTTCTCTGGGTTGATGGAGGATAGTATATGGCGCCTCTTCGGCGACGATGGCACAGTTGTCATCGCAAATTCATTTTGATGTCAGGGACGCTGAATTGCATTGAAGCTCCTTGGACTGGTAGTCGCGATGACGTTTGAAACTTGAGGGTTCTAGACTTATGGTTCGGAGATAACTCGCGGTTATGCTAGCCAATTAACTGGGGCTTCTTAGGCAGGTACCAGTACATGCATGCCATGCTAGCTAAGTATCCCTGTAAGTGGCTGGCTGGTTACCTCTGCTCAGTTCCCAAAGCATCTTCATCGCGAAGCTCATTTCACATTAAAGTCTTACTACAGTTTGATCCATACAACTGCTTTCTCCGAAATGAGCAAGCCAGGCCTTTCTTTCGGGTTGAACCTAGCCAAAAAGCCAGGTGCCTCGAAACCTCCTCCGCCGAAGCGGAAACCGATGTTTGGCGGCGATGACGACTCGGACGATGACACGAAAAACCAGGCTACTGGCCCGCAAACCACAACAATCACCGAATTTAACGATGATGATATTCCCCAAACGCGCTCGGGCGACTCAAAACCTAAGAAGCCAGCCTCAAAAATAAAAAGCGGTCCGCCCAGTCAACCACCAAAATTGAAATCAAAAAATCCAGAAATATCAGTCTACGGTGACTTATCAAGCGCGCTTGAGTCGCGGAGACATCGGGAAGCTGCCGAGGAGCTGGATCCCTCGGTGTATGACTACGATGCAGTCTACGATTCCCTAAAACCGGAAGAGAAGGTCACGCAAGAAGACACCGAACGGAAACCCAAATATATGAAGAACTTGATCGCGTCTGCAGCCGTGCGGAAGCGCGACGCGTTGATCGCAGAAGAGAAGAAGATAGCGCGAGAGCGGGAGGAAGAAGGTGAGGAGTACGCAGGAATGGAGAAATTTGTCACGGAGGCATATAAGAAGCAACAAGAAGAGAATAGGCGCATTGAACAAGAAGAGCGAGAGAGAGAAGAACGGGAGGCCCAGAAAAATCAGGGCGGTGGCATGACAGCTTTCTACAAAGACTTGTTAGAAAAGGGAGACCGACGGCACGCCGAGGTTGTGAAAGCTGCCGAAGAACGCGCCAAATTAGGCCCAAAGCCCGAGGATGACGCGCAGGAGGAGAAAGCGAAGACGGATGCTGATATGGCGCGTGAAATCAACGAGAAGGGCGGGACCATTGCGATCAATGAAGATGGACAAGTAGTTGATAAGCGAGAACTCCTTAAGGGTGGATTAAATTTAGGCGCCAAGAAAAAGACCGAGCCGCAAAACATACGAAAAGGACCGGATCGTAAGGACGAGAGGGAACCCTCTCGTGGCTTTGTTGGTTCAGGAGGCAAGCAGGCAATGCGCGAGAGGCAGACGCGCATGCTAGAAGCCCAGTTGGAGCAATCGCTGAAGAGATCCCTGGAGCAGGAGGAGGAGGAACGGCATAAAGTCGAGCGTGCGTCCAAGAGTAGGAAGACAGAGACGGATATTTCCAGTGCGAAGGAGAGATATCTAGCGCGTAAGAGACAAGCCGAGGAGGAGAAAAAGAAAGGCCTCGCCAAGGACTGAGGGGTTCTGAAGTCATAAATATTTTATACCTAGCGTAATGAAGACTGTAGGCCCCGTTCAACCCGAGAAGGGAGTCTCCTTTCGATGTCTTAATGCTGATATAAGTTGTGTTGTACACTCTAAAGATGCCCTTTTCCTTCCACGGCTGAGGGACGAGGGCAATTCATCGTAAATCAATCCCGCGGCTTGTCCACCTGTGATGTACAATTGTTGCCAAACAATGCAGAGATCTAAAACGAATTCGAAATACCTCATGTTCCAGCTGTACTGTTCCGCCTATACCTTCGGAAATACATCAATGGTATCTCATCCAGTCGTGTCGTGATGCAAATCCTGCAGGGATCTGACCTAAATTTCTCGTCGTGGGCTTGTTTCATTGTTCCCGCTGCAACCGGCTGATATACGTCGTGCTGACCTGGTTCCATCCCGCCATGTATTTCTCCATGCACTGCGTGAAGCATGTCTGTTCGCCGCTCGATAATGAGGTGCCTGGCTTGGAGACGCAGCGCTCGAAACAGTGCTCGTTGATTTTCTATGAGAAGCAAAGAAAGCTGGTCAGTTGGGTGGAGCTAATAGAGGCACGGCGGTGGGAGCAAGGCGGTTAATGGAGGGCACACGAGAGCCGCGAAAGCACGAGGACAAGAGCATCATTCCGTACCTCGATCAGCTGCTTGGCGTTGTCTATGGCGTATTGCGTCCGTACTTGACGCATAACTTCGCTCTTGATTGTGCCTGAGTCCATGATTGTCGGATTCGAGGAGGGAGAGGAATAGAAGTTGTGGCGAAAATAGTTGGCGGGATTCTGAATAATCAGGTATCACTTGAAGCTTTACACAATGAACCTTTGAAGCTTTTTTGCTCTACTATGTACGCTGGGTGCACCAAGGCGGGACATAACGGTATCCAAAATTACATGGGGTAGCCTGAGCATGTAGATTTGTGTACCCATACATGCTTAAATTAACGTTGAGATACCTACCTGGACTTATCAATAACTGATAATAAAAGTACATGTACCCTCACGCTAACTATGATCTACATTCCCAGTTCATAGAATGATCCGATATACATGATGCCCTCGGTTTACAGTACTTCCAATACTACTTAGGTAGATGCTCTTCTCCATGCCTCAGGAGCTCTTCTACCTTTAAAATATAAATCGTCTTCCCATATTCGTGTCTCTGTTGAGCGTCTTTCTCCCTTTCTCCATATACACGGTCGAATTTTAACACCTGGAAGACTATGTGGTGATACCTAGTTGTGTGGCTGAATGGCGCCCACTGACTTTACAAATCTTGAACATCTATACCTCCACGATGCCGATACCCCCTGCTAGCACTGTAAGATAGAGTGACTGTGGACGATGACGAGTGTTGGTGCAAACTGGGCTCTGCATTTTCCTAGAGCCTCATGACCCCCAAGATATGCAACCTAGCATAATTCAAGTCGGTTCGGTGCATCACGCAGCTCTCTTATACCGGCAAGCGAAAATCTTCTATATTGTCTGGCATACGGTACTAGTATCAGGATGACGACTTGCAACTTGAGTTATCATTACACTAGGTACTACCTAGATATTCAGAGTTTCATTGCCACTTCTGATTAAGGCATGATCGTGTGTTGGCGCAGCTTCAGAGTTCAGAATATACAATAGGTAAGTAACTCTATACCACATGAATGTCACTTTATCGCATCACTGCAAACAGTTCATGGTACATAGTTTGAGGGAAGTCAATCTCTCCATTTAGGGTTTTCCACATTATATACAACCTAGCGTATTGTTTCCAAGGCCCCTGCCAGCAGGCCGTCGCTGATGACCAGCCTATATATACCCATTTTCTATCAACCCATAGCGGATGATCCCGCCCTTCTACCCGAGCAGCTGAGTGCGCCCAACTCCCCTCGTCTCAGAACTTAACGCAGGCGTCGGTTCTGGTACATATCGGCCGCGGAGCGCTTCTTCAGGCGATAGGCAATGGCGCGCTTCCTGGCAGCGGGGGACTGCGTGAAAGCCGCAGAGCCACCGAAGGGGCCGGCAGCAGCGCCGTTGCGGACGCGCACGATACAGACGTTGTCAGCGCCGCCGACGGAAGCGTCGCAGGTCATGCCTGCGGGCATCTGGACCGTGACGGGGAAGTCGGTGTTAGTCGCGAGCGAGAGACCGCCGAATGGGAGGCCGGGGACATCCTGCGTAACCTGAGCATTCTGGAAAGCATTGACGTCAGTGCCACCAGAGGTTCCGTCAACGTCGGCTGTGAGTGGGCCAGCGCCGTCCTGGTTGATCTGGCGGAAGGTCATGGTGATCGAGCCGTCGTCGCTGCAGGTTGGCAGTCCCGAAGCCGAGCCCTGTCCTGCGGAAGCTGCGACAAAGTCCTCGACTGGCTTCGAGGACTTCGTGCCTTGGTTGCGGCTGCCGCCGGCACCACCGCCGAAGAGGCCATCGAGGAAGCCGCGCTTGTTGTTGTTCTTGGCTCCCTTGAGAGCCGAGAGGTCGTCCTCGACGCCAGCGGATGACGCGGCGCCGTTGTTGGTTGGGGCCCCGGCGGAGGCATCCATGAAGTTGGCGATCATGAGTGAGGCATCAATAGGACCGTTGCCTTGAGTGCGTCCTAGAGCACTAGCTCTCTGTGTGCCAAGCTCTCGGTCCCGGATAATGGCGGTGTCTGCTTGAGAGCCGCAGCCGTTGCTGCTGCAATCACGTGGAGTACCATCGGCGACTGGAGACGTGTTAGTATGTAAGAATGTGGGAATGTTATAAGACTAGTAGTAGAGATTTACTTACCACTAAGGCCGGGCATGGTGACGCCGTTTGCTCCTTGGATAGAGGTGACCAAACCATGACCGGAGACCATGGAAAGGCAGCCAGAGGCAGCGATGATGTATGAGTAACGCATTTTGATTATTTTATGGTGAGGTATTGAAATGATAGCAATGAGTAAGTATAGCGTGAAAAAATGGCCTCCAGGGCAGTCGGTCGTGATATTAAACGGGATTTGAAGCGAAGATTCAAAAAGAAAGAGAGAAAATCAAGGGTTATCTCGCAAAACCGGGCGAAGAGATGCTATTATGAGTGTAGATGTGAGGATGAAGATGAAGAAGAAACTGTTGAGCTCCTCGGCGGCGGCGCCGAGCCTTATATGCGTTCGATGTGGACATGATGATTGAGGCATTCGTCCCAGTCTTCTCTATCAACTGTCACGACGTTGTTGAAGTGTTGTGGCTATGCTCGGCATCTACCGCCTTGCAAGACCATTGACTTCATCTGATATTGCGAGACATACTGTGTAGTATGTGAGAACCGGCGAGCGAATCGCATTTGAAGGCGCAGGATTGTTACCCCACGGTAAACGATCGCCGGGGATCTCCCCTGGGAGTTCCCGCGAATTCTTGTCTCGCGGACGGTAGCGAGACAACTAGTTCCAGGTGTCCCGAGCGCAACTTTCGAGAAACTACCAAGTATACGGTCCAATTGCTATGCTTGCAGATCATGGCTGGGCAACCGAAACGAAACTCACGATACAATCAGCGATTATGCGTTTACTAACGGTATCTTCCACAGCACCAAGCTTAGCTACCTACTTAGATCTTGCAAGCAAACAACATTCGAGGCCAACACAAGGCAAAATATGCTTGTCTGCTACGGCCTCCAAATGGTGAAACGGTAGCTTTGACAACACTTCATGGGACTACTATCAAGCAACCTCCACCAACTACTACGTGGCTATCCTCTCGCCGGTCTTGATCCAGCGCTTCACTTGCTGCACCGATTCAAACAAGTTTCGAGATTTTGACTACTTACTTATGCCGCCTACCAGTTGTTGAAGGGGAAACCCTTTGGGAAATGTTTGCGGTTAGCGAAACCATAGTGGCTGAGCCATGCACCGCTTCAATTACCCCAGGTTGCATCCACCTTTCGCCGTCATGTTTCACCCCTTCGTTTCCTTCCAATCGCGGTGTCAGGTTATCCGATGTTACTCGAGCAAACGAACATGTGAAACGCTTTCCCGGGCCAATGTTCAGCTACAAGCTTCGTGATGCTCGTCATTGCATACAATTCATCGCATTGCGAAATTGCGGCTTCTATGCTGCCGAGCGTCTTTCCTGTTGTACATTTATCTCCAATCATTAGTTGCCTTGTTGAGGGGACCCCGATGTTGCCTCTAAGTTTGCTGCCTCAGACGCAGCATCTCTTCTCGTAGATCCTCCACAAATTCGTGATAATCATCCGTCCCCTCCTCCGGAATATCGTCCGCTTGATCAGCGAGAACGCTCAGGTAATCTTCTATTGCTGAGCCTAATCATTCATCAGCATTATGGTCTTTTTCGCTTTCTTTCAATAATACTAGGGGTAAAGCCTACGTGCTCGCGCGTTTACGCGCGCAGTCGGGGCATTCATATGTCTCACGCCTCTCATTTCGGGTTTTCTCGTCGTTCGCTCTGTCTTCGAGCCACATCCGATGGAAAGCGTCCTATTTCAGAGCTCGAGGTCAGTGATTACCATTGAGAAGTAACGGCATGAATAATTAGTCGGATGATTAGCTCAATAACCAGACGTGATCTTGAGCAAAAGGGTGTAAAGGATGTAGGGTACTGACCTGGTAGGTATTGAGCTTTACTAGTTGAGCACGTACTCTAACTAGTAGTTGCAGGATGAAGAGGCCCAGCACCACGACGATTGCCCAAGACGTCCACCAGAAGGTTTCCCTAGTATTTTGTTCGAGTGTGGTGAGCTTTACAAGCTCGTCAGTACAGGTCCTTTTCAACCGACCCATTGAGCTTATGCCATGTACATACCGACGACCCAACCTCAGCGGCGACTTCAGCGGCGACTTCAGCGGCGACTTCTGCGGCGACTTCTGCGGCGACTTCTGCGGCAATTTTTACAATCGCTTCAACCTTCGACGCTACCTTGTCTTCGGCGTTCATCAGCCGCCCCATACCTACTTGTCTATCGTTTTATTGTATCTAGTGTATTCGCGCTCCGAATTCCCTGATTTTGTATCGTGCTAGGTGAGTAAAATCTCAATCTAGGTCACCGCTCTACGTCAATACAGCTGCATGCTGCACAGCGTAGTTGGATCATTTGAAACTGTAGCTGTGTATGTGACTACTGCTCGTAGCATAGTAACTCGGAGTAAAGTAGCCCACCTTGTGATGTCTCAGTTTGCGCTGGAAAGGGATGGTCGGCAAAGGATGACAAAGACATCGCGCAGAGAGCCATCCTAATTCCGTTTTCATCGCGCAAAACATTTACGGGACGTCGATGAAAACGCTTCATGCTCGATTATTTCTCAGCTGATCTACTCAACAGCAGTGAACTAGACATTCTCATGAGTTTCTAAATAGGGTGTAGCCTATCCACCTCGTGTAGGCATTATATGTATTCTATGATAAAGAGTCTCAGATGCAATGGCCCCTTTGAAGTATGAATTCGGCACCATCCTGCCGACAATGTTATTGTTTCGTCATCAATACATTCTAACTTTCTCCATCTACCAGCATAGGTATTTTTCATACGTGTATTGCTCTCATCATTATCAACTAACTTTACGCAGCCAAGCCAGACAACAAGGTCCTCGTTGCGACTTGGCATAGACCTTTATGACGGCCACAGACTCATACGCGGCGACATATCAAGTATCGTATGATAAATGAAGAGTCATTGTAATTGACATAATTATAATGCAATAAGGTGGAAAATGAAATACATGAGCAAGGTAGATGATCTACACACATTTATGCACCAGTGCTGATACATACTTGTCGTGTTGTCCTGGGCCATGTCCGTTCCTTATACGTATGAGCAGAGGTTATTTGATCAATTGTAGAGCACACCCCAAGAAACTAGCAAGTTCAACTTGCGAAAGGGGCCCAATCACAGCATATACTATCATGGCAAAATAAAGACAGCAAGCCCAAGCTTAGTCGATTCGCTCAATTGGGTATCACGAACATTCATACAGAATCATCAAGTAGTAGCTTAACAAAAAAGGGGTCGCCCAAATTCCACTTCTTAATGACCCCACTTCTGTAGGAACTCCTCAAGTTTAGGGCAGTCTGTCTTCGGACTTCCCTTGCCTTTGAGCTGATCAGTTATCTGTCGGTATGCTTGAGCCACGTATTCTGGGGCCGATGCCGGGCCGTCCATCTTCAGATCGTTGAAAATAGTTTTGACCTGTTCTGCCTGATCTTGAAGCATTTCTATCGATCCCTCTAGTTGCGTGTCCTTGTATACGCTTCCTGGCTTTGTAGGGTGAGCAGCACTGTCGGCAAGCAGTGACTCAAGTAATAACTCTCCACCGAGTTCTCGATCCGTCAAGCTCGATTTAGCGCCCTTTTCGAATATTCTGTGAAGGTCATGAAGAAGGACGTCGCCTTTATGAGCACGGTTTTGCACGTATTCGTCCAGTAGCGATGGAGTTGGTTTTGAAGAGGGGTCATCGGCATGCGTAGGGACTACACCGTAAAGCTGCATATATGCCTGTAAATCCTCTTGTTGGGGGGCCTTCTCGGATACCGGCGGCGGCTTATGTGATAATATGTGTGACGTTTGCGTCGCAGTTGCGCTTGAAATCTCATCATGTCGACGCAGCGAAGCGACTTTATGCAGCGCCTGTTGATGGTGAACAAGAGCCTGGGCTCGCTTGGCAACGACATCTAGCCTGTCATTCATGAACCTCATGACCCCGGTAGCCTGCTCTCTCTAGGTCAGTATGATAATTATAATCATAGATATAGTGAAAGAGGTTCTTACGTAAGTTGTCATGGTGTCAATACGAGAGTTCTTTGAAGATTCCCAATCGTTGTACAGGGTGAATATAGGCCGAAGAAATTGAGCAGAGACAGACATGTCCGCTACAGGAACAACTTCTTCCCAAAGCTCATCTATGTCCTTAATGATGTCCGCTGCGTCGTCATGTTCTATCTTTTTCTCTCCGGGTTGTCTCAGACTACTTATGAGATTTTCGTAGAAAACAGTGGCTAATTGTGTCTCGCAGCGGCGAGTAATTACATAAACGAGGCTGTGTCTGAGTAAGTAATGGCAGACATGAGCATATGGAAATATAACTTACCCATTCGTGAGCTGTGCGGCACGATTGATAGTAGCTTCACCTGCTTTAGAAGAGTCTGTACCAACTAGATCTCTCCATCGCTGGATATTTTGAAGCATATAGTCATACTCGTTCCAGAATGACGTGTCCGTCAACGCTGGTAAGTTATGCTTATCTGAGGAAGGATTGTGGGAGTTGAGGAGGAGAATCTCGCGCCAGAATGCAGTGTTATACTCCTTATGCCCTGAAGAATATTTCTCATCGTACGAATCAAGAGTCTTCTTTATGGAATCAATCTGATTTTAGGGCTCTGTCAGTTACATCAGGGGACGAAAACGGAACATATCATAACAGTTATACCTCTTGCATATGATGTAATTTGCGTAATCTTGTCTCATTAATCATCTCATTTATAGCCCTGGTGTCGTGGTCTGACTCAGAAGCTTCTTTTAGGGTAGCAAGACTACGAGAGGACTGAACGCGGAACTTGGCCACCTTCTCTTCGAGCAGTTTATTGTAGCCATCCAGTGCAGCCACAGCATCTTCTAGAGAGCTTACACCATCATCAAGGACAGGGTTTGGTCGCCTGGATGGCGGGGTATCGTGGGGAGCAACGGCACCGCTTAACATTGCATGGTCAGCAATACATCTCCCACAGTTGGACTGGACTTACAATGGGTTATCGAGGGCCGGGAAGGTTGACAGGGGCCCAAACGCGAGAGCAAGGTTCCGGACGGCTTCGAAGAAAAGAGTAGGTGGCAAGGAAAGAAGTTCTTCAATCGCGTCTTCATCCAAGCCGCTGGTCTCATTTAAGCTCAGAGAACGTAGCTCATCCCGAAGCTTATTGATCTCATCGGGAGTAGGAGGATCAGGCTCCTCACTTGTCCGGTTAGGCATGTGCATATATAGATAAGAGACAAGCGTCACTTTGAAAATAGTATCTGGGCAAGACACTATAGGCGTTTCGAAATCTCTTCAGTAATCAATTGTAGACGGGTGCTTGCAGCTTGGATCTTGATTCTTGAAGATGCATTTCGAGTCGGTCAACAGGAGTACAGGAAGTAAACACTGAAGTTACCTACTTAAGTAAGTACAAATATAAGATGATGTATTTAGCACGTACCTGTCTCAATACCTCCATTTCGACCCAATGGGGTATATTAATGGGTGTAGGGGCATCTATGGGTAAGTACCTACCTGCCTAGCAATCTACATATTATACATATAAATATACTGTGTCCTAGCGATCTTGTTAGTGTTCCTAGCGCTCTTAATGGGCTTTATTGATATACGTGGGCACACTGTACCTAGATAGGTAGGTAGCTTTCTTGATTTGGACTAGTGAAGATGACTAACACAGGTACATATGCGGGTACCGGAATGGTGGAAGATCACCGCACCACAGTCTTGGAACATTGAACGTGAATTTACGGTGTCAAGTATCTTCACCGTGTACTGAGGTAGTCTTTGAGTTCAAAGACTCATCCTCGTAAGCGACATCACATGTGCTTGGCTACCGATCACAGCGTGAGAACCTTATGCGTAATGACTCTTAGAAACATGTGAAAACTCCATCCTTCTGATCAATCGTGTTCATATCGTCCTTTGAGGAGACCTACCGTACCAATCAGCTGCGACCTCGTTGGGATGAGACAGGCCCCTTTTCTGCCAACTTGTGCCTCATTTTCTGCACCAATCTACCTACCTACCCACCCGTAATTCTCATATACAAGAGAAGACACGCTCAGCCCAACTGCCTCCCAAACACTTGAGAGTCGTAGAAATGATCGTTATGCCAGGTATCTATCCGAATCATGGACAAATCGGAGTATCCGGGCCTTCACCTGCAACCAATGCAGAAAAGGCGGTCCTCGTTTGGTCTGTCCCCTGAACTTCACGTAATCCAAGTTTCTTCCAATGAAGTCTATAGACACCACCAGAGCGTTTGCAGCCAAGGCCCACATATCTGTGCTGTCCCGACTGCTTCCCGCCTTTCCCATCGTCTTTCCCATCGTCCTTCCCATTGCCGCACAAGGAATGTGACAGCTGTTCGAGGTACCAACAACTTCATGGGAATCGAAGGTGATGACGTCTGGGCCAATGAGGTCCGGTAGATCTGCTGTGCACAAGTAACCCTTTGTTTGTACCCCCTCCTCTTGTCCGCCTTTCCTCAGAGTGGCACTGCGCTACCAGGACCCTGTTCGGTTGGGCTCAATGTCTGGCTCGGCATCATGGCCTGTGTGTGGCATCATCTATCAACTACTTCGAGATTGAGTTTGGAAGTGCCGTGTCTGAGTCCAGGGGTACGAACACCCTGCTGGTTTCTGGCCGGCACACCGTCTCCAGACACTCATGCGATAGCAGAGTCAATATTGTGTCCTTCTTTGGATCTGGGGTTCGCTTGAAGCGTAATTGGCTGAAGGCTGCCAGGCTCTATGGCGTACTCAGTTGGCCTGTTGGGCTCTTCTACAAACGGGGTATAGATAATGGTATATACATCCATCAAGGCCCGGAAACATGGTGTCTTAGGATTCCGATTGCTTCAGGTCAACGGCGTGTCCCCCTGTATTCTGTCTCCTGTCTGCATGTCTCCGATCCTCATCATCACATTTGCCCTTGTACTACAATCTTAATTTGATAAGATGAAGATGGCTTTGATACAGAAACTTTGCAGATCCCTTCAAACGCCGGCCTTCACCAAGAGGTATTGGGATGCGGTGATTGGGCTTGGGCTTATTTTCGGCTGTCAGCTACTTGTGATCCCAACACAGCTCGCTTTTGACCTTCATTCCATCAACATCCCGGCCTCCATTCTTGTGATGCTCTTTTTGTTCTTCGCAATGACCATTGCGAGCTCTATCAATAAAGACGTCGCAGACTTCTACAACAAATACCTACGAGGACCAACCGACTTTGTTGGGAGGCATATGTCACTTGGCTTCGTTGCATTCTTCATCTTGCTCATCCAAGATCACATTCAACACGCATCTGACATCCCAAAACTGGCAGGAGCATTCGGTAAGTGGCAAACGGACGATGGGCTGCATCATGTCGTACATCAGCTTATCAGAATATAGTTGTGACAACCATCGTGGGCTATGTGTTCTCCTATCTACTAGCATATGGAGGATTCCATTTAGAGTCACGAATTCGACAGCGGAAACGTCCTGCGACCGATCTAGAGAGCAACAATAAAACATGGCCAGCCGCCTCTCCTGAGCGCCGGCCCGTGGTAATCAAACGATTATCTACCCTGAGTGAGGCTTTCTCGGCTAGTGAGCCATTGAGGGAAACAAAAACCATAAGTTATAGCTTAGCCTTGGCATTGGTTGATATGGTGTTTAAGACCGCTCCGATATGGATCTGCCTTTTCCTCCTTACTGCTATTGGCCTTCCAGTCTATTTGGCCACAGGATACATGATGCCTTTTGATTTGTTCTCTATCACTCTTTTATGGGTCATATCTGTTCAATTCCAGAGATCTTTAAGGTCTTGGGAGATTCTCCTCCGCTTCAAACGCTCAAGAGCCCTGATTCTCATATTCTGCAACCCAATCCTACTGACTTGGGCGCTCGGTACCGCCTATATGTGGGCGAAGGCAACTTGTGCGGGGAGAAGCATTGAGTTCATCATCAAAGATTTTCACCACTTCAGTTCCTTATCCAAGTGCATAGTACATATCATGCAAGACCATGACGTGCCTGCCCATCTTGGCGCTGGGGATCTAGCGAGTCTGCTGCTAGACGCTGGTGTGGCATGCATGGGGTTCAAGATGTACGAGTACCGCTCAGAGCTCTGGGCGAGCTTGGGAACGGTATCTTTCACGTGCACAGCGCTAGCAGCCATAAACGTGTTCTTGAACATCATCGTGGCCCACGCCTGCGGTCTGCAAGCGGCGGAAGCTGTGGCTTTCGCTGGTCGGTCTGCTACGTTGGCGCTAGGGATTCCAGCGATCGAGAATATACATGGAAGTACGACGCTCGCGAGCACTATCGCCGTGTTCAGCGGCATTGTTTTCCAAATGGCAGGAGACTGGCTCTTCTCCGTCCTACGTATCAACGACCGAGCGCCACGGGGCAGCTCAACACCTCCGCCAAAAGTTCCCATCCTGGAGAAATCGCGCAGTCTGTTTAGCAAGGCGACATCAAATCGTCACACAGAGGAGAAGCAGGATACCAACAACGCTTGTGCCGAGACCAACGAGGAGAGCTCGGTGGTGGCTGCGGGTGTGACTGTGGGCATTAACGCGGCGGCAATGGGCACCGCGTATTTGATCGAGCGGGATTCGAGAGCAGTGGCATATTCGGCGTTGTCTATGATATTGTTTGGAGCTATAACCGTGGGACTTACCGCGATCCCAGCTACGACGAGTACTATAGCAGTGCTCACGTCAAGGTAAATTTCCTAATTGGCAAATAAAGTAACAAGAGACAACATGATGATACTACGAGTAGATGACATTTACGGGCGGTGAAAATGGACACATATCAGGTCGGGCTATTGTATGCATTCATGACGAATGTAGACGACATTTTGGAGATGGATAGATTTGAGATGAATAGTGTAATTGTAGATATTTTTCAGGGTGCAAACCCTTTCTCCAAGATCTTTTAAGACAAAAAAGTCTAAAACACATCCCTTGACGTGATCTCTGAGCCGTCTCAATAAAGTTATACAGAGTATGATGTGTGCACCCATTCGTGTATGACAATGGATAGTTATCTACTGTCGCCCCGTCTCAGGGCCTATATTCTCTTCAATTTTTCTTCTCTTTTTTCAAACTTGGTGAAACTGGTCTCATTCAAGACGTTCAATCAAATGCAACCCGCTGGCTGTCTCAACTACACTGCTCATCTGTCCAGGCCGGAGGGCAAAAGCGGCCTCTTCAAACTCCTGCTGCATATCGCCCTTGCCGAAGTACCCAAGATCACCCCTTTTACGGGCGGAACTACAGTCACTCTCAGACGTTGCCAAGTCTCCTAGCGTGGTAGCACCGGACTTGATCTTCTGCTCGTGGGCCTTGATAATAGCCATGGCCTCTTCCTTGGTGCGTGTGATCTCGGCCTCGCGCCAGCTTGCAGGCCGTCGACTATCTCGGTGCTTGACGAGCAAGTGAGCAGCACGGATCTTGCCTTCAGGACGAGCCGTGTTGGGACCTTGTGAGGCTGAGTGATGGGTTGCCATGTACTTCTTCAACTTCTCTGTGTCGGTTCCCTGGGGCGGCTCCCATCGCGATATCTTGTCGACGGAGTTGAAGTAGTACGGGAGATTCTTGGAGTTGCTGTGACGCACCTCCCAAGATGGGGGCAAGCCGCTCTCCTCCTAAGCGAAGTGTGAGTGAGTACTTGGTTCTGCCATACGGCAACACGGAGCGAGCTATGAGTACAACTCTTGACGTAGTGGAAAGTCAAGGGCAGTTGGGGGATAGTCACGTCAAAGGTAATAATGATCGACAGAAAAGAACACTCACCATTATCAATGATATAGTTGTATAACAACAGACCTAAACGGGATCGGTTTCTATAGGCCCCTGAACGAGGACGTTGGGCAAATAAACGCTACGTCGAGACCCTAAAGGGTTGATCACTTGACTTGAAACAACAGTGCTTCCTTTGATGTATTGCTAAGCGGCAGTGCACCGTCCAGCTGCTATTTTACCAGGCTCAAGACGCAAAAGCTATATAGGAAGAGGAAAGAACAGAAGAGAAGCGGTTAGATGAGAGGAATGTGATGTGACAAGCTCTGGCAGATTCTTTGGTGGGTACAGCGTAAGTAAGCAGGCAGTAGGTAGGTCCAAGGTAGGTAGATAGATGGATAGATTGTTGGGTAAATAAAACGGTAATGACGAAATGCAGAGCTGGCTGCAAGAGAGCTGCAAGCGACCTTGGAGATCACGGGGTGACACTAGGCTACCCCTGTCTTTGACGATGCTTAACGGGCTGACGGGCTGGCGGGTTGGCGGGTTGGCGGGTTGGCGGGTTGATGATGATGGATGGTTGGATGCTTGCTTAGTACGAAGTAGTACCTAGTTGAATGGTGGATTTGGTGGAGAGAAGGGGGGGGGAGTGGTTGATGCGGGGCAACCGTGGAAATGGCCTTGCCGAGACGAGGGAAGGGAGGGGCCAGTTACCTACTCTGAGTAGATACCTAGGTAGTACTACCTGTACTATGTAGATACCAAAGGATGAGCATACCTAACCCCGTTCGTGCAGTACGTACCTACAGTAGTAGGACCCGAGAGGACCCCGTGCCAGCATCCGGGCCATTTAGTGCCAGCGCTCGGCCACATCTTGCATTTCTTTTACCTACTCGAACTACCTCTCACAGTCTGCAAGTTCGACACAGTCAAAGACGTGCACGTGCCATCTTGTTCTGGCCCTTCGCTCCATGTTGCTTCTGTCAGATTCCAAGGCCCAAATTGGCTAAGCTTGACTTACATAATTATGTGTATCCTCCAAAGGGCCGCCATACCAACTTGAGAGGTGTTACATACATACGTAGTATGCATTAATGTAGTTATCGGGGCCTGTCCCGCTACTGTACAGTTCCAATACAATACAAGCACGGCGAGACACGCCACCTACATGTACTCTACATGTACAGTGAGTAGGTACTGTCCGTCTGCTGTTGGCCCCTGCTGTGCGTTGCCGCCTGCGAAGAAAGATTTACCCATGCCTGTTTCTACTCTCATTGAATCCACACCGAACGCTATCTCATCTCAAGTGCCTGCCTCACGTACAAACAACCTCGCACGTATCTCCTCTATATCTAACCATCTCACCATCTCACCGTCTAACCGCACTGATACTTAGTGAGGCCTTGCTGTCGCCCTTGTTATAATAGACTCATCCTCCTCGCCTTTTCAGAAAACGGGGTACAGGTAGGCCTCTCCAGACAGGTTCGGTGCCCTGGCTGGTCTGAGAGCAAACGGACGGACCACATTCAACTCACTCTCCTGGACTTGTCCCAACCTATTTCATCGCGAAACGCGCCACTCACCGCACGGCGATATCCTATTCATCAGCTATGGCGTCTCCACAGTCCACGGCTTCCGGCGATGCCCCGAAGAACAACCTTGAACAGATCACTTTCCGCTTCTGCTCCGAATGTTCCAACATGCTGTATCCCAAAGAGGACGAAGACTCTCACAAGCTCATGTTCACCTGTCGCACTTGCCAATACACTGAAGAGGCCACCTCGAGCTGCGTGTTCCGGCACGTTCTGAATAGCGCCGCTGGCGAAACCGCCGGCGTGACCCAGGATGTCGGATCAGACCCTACGGTTTGTCGCCCTGTTTCCTCCCACCCTCATGCTCATCGTGCTGCTGCTACCACTGCTACTGTTGTTGCTGCTCCTGCTACTTCTACTGCTACCGTCACTGCCACCGTCTCTGCTACCACTGCTACCACTGCTGTTGTTGTCGATTCCAGCCTGGCCCTTTGTCTCAGGTGTGGTATTACTCTTCTCCATTGTGCCCGGTGTAAGGACCCTGCATCAGTCGGCGAGTACAATGAGTGCGTTCTACGGAATCCAGACTTTACCGTCCACCAGTCTCTGCGCTACGTGCAATTCACAAACTATTGGAAATCCTTGGACTCAGAAGACCGAGCTGTCGTCGAGGGCCGGTTTGCATCATCCAGTGGCCTAAAAATGCCCCGTTCCACGGATGAGAGTATCGTTCAATACCTACCTTTGGAAATGGCACTTGATTCAGAAGCCGATCCCCCCGAAGCCCTTGGCGTGGAGCCTTCTATTGACGACCTGTACGATACCGCTGGTTGATTTTTTTTTCAAAGACAACTCACCGTCATTCTGCATCCAATGTCCGGGCGCATGTGTTACACATATGCTGCCTTTGTGCAGCAGAATTCTCACAAGTGGCGTAGTCTACTTTGTCATGCGATCCTGGCGAGACCTCGAAATCTGAGTTTCTTCGCTAGGGTGGGAGAACGTGATGGACGTCATGGTGCTACCGATCAACCTTTCATTATCGAAAACGCGACTGTGATAGCACATCAGCGCAGCGTAGCCAGCACCTGTCTTGAGAATGCATGCTTCGTGTACCCTTGTGACGAATTATGGTGCTGACGTTTCGTCCTCGCCTGTATAGCTCCCGCGGTCAAATACGACTTGTCCAGCATGCCAGCATGACGAAGCTGTTTTTTTCCAATCCCAACAACGAAGCGCCGAGACTGGCATGGTTAGTACTCTCACTGTTGACGTCTTAGGGGAATGATGTAGTTTCTAACATTTCTAAAGAAACTGTTCTACGTGTGCTGCGAATGTGGACATATCTTCCAATGATTTGGGGGCACCACGAGATTGTTTCAGGGAGGGAGGTTGTGCAGGGATTCTGATAACATCATTGATTTAGCTAAAGTTATTGCATGAGAATGGAGTTGGGGTCAATGATCACGGGTTTAGCCTGTGTAATTGCGACATGATATTATTGTTATTAAGGGCAATGCGGGTGATCCCGATCCAATTGAGTGAATCTCGAGTCTACTATGTGGACTGTCCATTTCGTGGCATCTCGATGTCGCTGAGTCTCACATAAGCCTATCACATGTACAACATAGAAATCAGGGTAGGCGTGTGACCTGACTGTCATAGGTACTTCTGAGCCTTGTATATTGGAATTTGAGATCGTCGAATGATTTCTGGGTCGCCAGGCTCAAGGTTGATACACTCTGGCGCCCACCTCTTAACGCCTGGCACATGCGCTGATATAGTACAATGATTTGGCATTCATTTTTCCTCCCGCTGGTCGTACAGTCTAAGCTCCAATCATCAATCAAGACATCCAGACCGCAAGCCAGCTGGTTCTGCTCGGTTAATCCGAGGGCCTAAGGACGACCATCCACCCTGGCCAGCAATATCCCTAGCCTCTGTACCGGGCTCACCGCTCTTATCTAATCGTCATAGCAGGCAAGCGGTATATGCTGTGATGAGTCGTGCAGTATACGAGAACGCTATCTTTCTTCTTTTTTTCTTTCTTTGTTTTTAGGCGTGGGTGGGCGCCATACTGAGGATCTTGCTCCATTTCCGCCTCCGCAGCTCGGCGCCGACGATGCCGTTGACGCGCGTGCCGATGGGGTCCCCGGACTTGTTGATCAGGACGCAGGCGTTGTCGTCGAAGCGCACGACGCTGCCGTCGGGCCGCTGCACCTTCTTCTTGGTCCGCACCACGATGGCGTGCCGGATGTCGCCGCGCTTCACCTTGTTGGCGGCCGAGGCGGCGCCCATGCCTGCGTCGCTGGCGCCGCGCTGCTTCTGGACGACGGCTACGAAGCGGTCACCTGTTTTGTTTGGGGTTGCTAATTAGTGATTGACGAAGGAAGCGAGACTGGCAGTCGAAGGGTTTGGAGGAATTGAGGATCTAGATGTCTTCCGAGATCAACGGAATGGGATATGGCGGCTTCGTGTCGTACCTATCGTTGCGTGCCTCTTTTGACCGACTATCAGGGCGCACTCGACAACGGCGGCACCCGAGTTGTCGATGCAGTTCAGCATGGTCTGGGTTTAGTCAAGGTTAGCTGCAAGAGCTCAATCCATTATCGAGCGACGTGCATTGCTGGGAGGTGGCCTGCCTTTAGTTGAATCATCTTGGCCCTTTCTCCCCCCGATACAGGGCCTCAATGTTAATCCAGTTCGTGACGGTTGATGTGATCTCGAGGATCTCGAGGTGAGCGATGGTTGGATAGATGGATAGATAGATAGTACTTAGGTACAATATCACTGGGCGGGGCTCTTTCTCTCGATTTTTTGGCGCCAGGAGGATCTGATTGGCTGATGTATTCCTCATATCGGATACTTATGATACACAGGGACTTATTCGTACTATACAATACTGTAGGCACCGCCACAGCATCAATACCTCCATCCCTCACATACATAGTAGGTACACTTACTTCGTATACCATATATCTATTCTCAGTATGCCGTTGGTTTCATTCTCTGAGCAGAGAGGCACTCTGATGTCAGTGTACCTACTTACAGTACCTAGGTATAGGTAGTAGATGACCATTCAGCTCCATCAATCTATTCATTCTAAGCCCCTCTAAATTTAGGATTGGTGGGTTACATTACCTGATCCCAATCTGGCCCAATCTGCCGCTGGTGAGATGATGTGGCTGATGATACTTTTTATCACACCAACTTGGATAAGTGGCCTGTTCCAGCTGTCCTATACAGGCCTGTACGGGTCTATCTTGGGTCTATATAGGTAGGTATCTTTGGGGGGGGGCTCGCCTATCCTGAATTGGCTTAATGACCATGGTTGACCTGCCACCAGTCCAGGGCCCGCTTCTTACCTATTGTAGCAGTGGATTGCATTGCATTGCTTTGCTTTGCTTTGCTTGCTTTGCCCTGGCTCTGGCTTTGGCTTTGGCTGGCGCAACTCAACCAGCCCGCTAACCTTGTCCATTCCGTCCCTCCAGCCTGGTTCGTCATCTGTTCCTTGCTCACGGACTCATTCTCTCGACTCTCCTTTCTTTCTTCCCTCTCTCTCCTCTCCCTTTCTCGCTCGTTCATTGTAGACAACCAGACGCCCGCCGTACTATCCAGCAGCAATTACCACGGTCCTTCTTACTTATTGATTCTGTACAAAGCATCTGTTTATTCCAATTGCGTTCCGTTATTCAGCCCTCCCCCCTCGCAATCTTGCCTGCATTACTCAGGTCACATCCACTTAATCTCTGGCATGACGTGCTATCTCCAAGCTGGGATCTGAAAGCCGAGTTCCGCTGGACGCTGTTTGAATCTATACTCCAATACAGCCAGAAATGTTCAAAATATAGCAGCTCTGATTGAATTTACGACCTCGTATCAAAGATTTGGCCGTTTCCGGATATACCTTGAACACGGTATCACACATCATTACTCATACAGCATCACTAGCCACTACCACCAGGATTGTTTGTTTTCTCAGGGACCCTTATGACAACATAATTCATAGACCGCTCCTTGTGCTCTCTGTGTCTGGCGGAGATTCGGGTTGGAAATTGACCTGTCATATCTGGGGTCACCTCGTCGTTCCCAGATCGTTCCTAGGTCTTTTTGGCACAGCTTTGTTCTTGAAATCAGTGATTGGCGATTTGTTTTGCGACAATGCCCACTCCTGTTTCCGCCACAAGAAAACCGCCAATTACCCTGGCACAACTCTCATCCTACGATGACATCCTCACCGATGCGCTTGTTGACCATGTGAGTCTGATGGACACACAGGCCTCTTCGGTCCGTGGAAATCGGCTAAATGACCGACGACTAACCCGGATATGCTTTAGGCCTATTACTGGACTACAATACCAAAGAATCGCCCTTCTTATCATCCCTCCAGAGGTGTGACAGAAGAAGCAATCACTAAAATCATCCAATCGCATCTGATTGTGAACCCTAACCCCGAGCTTGCCGAGTCCAGCTTGCTTGCGACAGATGGTCTTCGGAAATTCTTCAATGGGTTGAAGACGCCAAAAGAGCGAGATGACTTCCGTGCTCATCTTCGTCGGTATATGCACATATACCTGCCTGACTGCCCATTTGAGGTGTCTTCAACAAATCGTTACACCATCTATAGCCACGAGGCTGCGATAACAGCCCGGAAGTATATCAAAAGGGGTCAACCCATCAAATACCTCTCAGGAATCCAGGTTATGATTACTGCCAAAGAGGACAAGGAGCTTGCAAAGAGAAAGAAAGATTTCAGCATCGTAGTCAGCTCGAGGAACAAATGCGCCGCTCTATTTATGGGTCCTGCTCGATTCGCCAACCACGATTGTAATGCTAATGCTCGCCTGATGATCACTGGTCAAACTGGTATTGAAATTGTTGCAACTCAAAACATCGACGTCGGCGATGAGATTACCGTTTCCTACGCAGAAAATTATTTCGGCGAAGATAACTGCGAATGCTTATGCAGGACCTGTGAGAGAAACGTCAAAAATGGTTGGGCGCATGGTGCAGAGAGTGTTGCGGTGAAGAAGAGCATCGAAGATTCAATTCTCGAAGGATATTCTTTGCGCCGTCGAAGAAGAGACGATAGTTGTGCATCTGGTTCTCGTACGCCTTCAGTTACACCGGACATCCGGCCTCGAATTCGAAAAACGAAACCCAAGGCACAATGCTCTGCTTCAGGGCGAGAATCGCTTTGTGACTCTCCAGCCCCTCATGACATCCTTCGAGAAAAGCGCAAGAGGGAATACGAATCTCTCCAGTCGCCACCTACCACCCCCGCAAAACGACAAAAGACACTCCAGTACGAGGTGGCACCTATTCCTATCCCAGACGAATTGGATAGGCGGAGCCCTGGGGAATCTGTATCTAGCGTGCACTCAGCCTCTGATTCAGCGAGCCCGGATGAGATGGTCATGACAGACGCAACAACACCTGAAGAAGAAATTCAAGAAATAGCCTTGCAATCACCAGTCTTGACGCCTGTCAAATCCCAACCCCAACCCCTGAAAGAAGAAGACTCCGATCCATCTATCTTGGATCTACCGCGCACCACCTCCATACCTCCTGTCTCAATCACAGAGTCATTTTCAAGTTTCGAGGAAACTCGAGTCAGAGTCGCAATCGATTCGATCATGGCACTTTCTACAGTACTCAATAGCCAAGCTGATGAAGTTCCCTCTGTAGACGTTGTTAATTCCCCAACGTCAGTGATTTGTCTTTCTGAAAACACTCAGTCTATCTCGGTGCCTTCCAGAGAAGATAGTGAAGGGTTGGACCAAGAGCCAAGTCGTGGCCGATCACAAAGGAGGGGTAGACCGAAGAGGGGCGAAGGGCTCAAAGTCGCTGAGTCTGTAGAAGAACCCGTTCAGGTTAAGAAGCGAGTGCCTGGTGATTATACTCTTACCCCTGTTCTCCTGTCAGAGCCCAACACAGCCTGGATCCACTGCACCATTTGTGGAGAGGCTTTCGTTCAGCAAAACGCCTATTTCACTCGAAGTTCTTGTTTTCGATGCGAAAGGCACTCCAAGCTTTACGGCTACTCCTGGCCCAAAACTGAGAAGGAGGGTTCTAATGACAAAGAAGAACGTGTTCTTGATCACCGAACCATTCATAGATTTCTAGACACGGAAGAGGAGGCCAGGATTCGAGGTCGGAAAGTACCGACAGTTTCTGTAAGTCCGGTCAAGCCAACCCAGATCGTGGTGACCAGTTCCGACGACAACAGTCCTGTCAAACGAGGTCCAGGACGACCTAGAAAACACCCCGCGACACGAGACAGTCTCGACCTCACAGATGCTGAACTTGAGGATGACAGCTCAATCGATCTACGACGTACAAGCCGACGAAGGCATCTGAATTTGAAGACTGTTGCGTGCTAGCCCCGTTTTATCGATACTGGTGCCGGGCTGCTCACGAGTTAAGCCATCTAGCTTCGGTGCTTTCCCTTTCTGTATAAGACAACCGCTTTGTATTATATCACAGGGTATTTATCAGGAGCATGGGGTAGCGGCGTTGCATAGCCCTTGAAGTTTTGTAAAAGATGAGGGTTTTTGTTTATAATAAGAGATTATGCATTTTGTCGATGCGTGGAAACGTTCCACGTAATAATGTAAATACACTAGTAGACGACCTATTTGGTCCTTTGAACAAAGTTTTGCGAAGTTTTAAACACTTTATACTTGACCTTGGATCAATGGTATGACTACCCTTTCTCGAGTCTGTGCCTTCTAATTGATGCGAAGTACGATGCCGCTTCAGAAAGGGGTTTCATCACGCCCAAGACGCGATGACTAGGGATGGGCTCGGTCTGGATCGTCGCGAGTATATCGTACTCGTAGCCTTCATATCCTACCACGGTGGATTGGATTAGGCGTTGTGGTGCTGTCCAAGCCGGCGACATTGGCAGTTGCCCTCCTGACGACCAGCCCACCACCACTCGGCTGCCGTCGATATGTAACTATCGCTAACCCATATTTATGTCTGATAGCTCATTATAGGACTACTAACCTTGGATTTATAATGCGATAATGTGATGTGGCTGCCATCATGATTCTGGCTCGCCCCTGACCCGACGTTTAGACCTGAGTTCGTTATCACTGTCTTAACAGCCTTGAACGGTTTACGAGGAAAGGCGCGACAAAACCACCCACCCATCTTCTAGGCCATTCTGGATTCGGGGCTCTCCCCTGCTATAAGAGGGTGGAATGCTCAACTGAGGAGGGCCGGATTCAATAACAGCAGACAACACCGATACTAATACTGACTTATTGCTCTGGTATGACATAGAAAAACACCTCCTCTTTTATTATAGAATGTGCCACATATAACTAATGGTTAAACCCCCTCCTCGCTACTTAAGTAGTAGAGATCCTTAGCAAACGTCCTTGTGTAGCTGTGGAATCTTATGTAAACCTACATCACATCCAACGTAGTATTGCAGCTCGAGCCAGATTTAGGGGCATGCTGGGGTTAGGGAATCACAATCGTAGCATTCACCCTTCGTTGAATATTTCTTCGAGGAGATTTGATTACATACGATTCATTGCATAATATCTCATCTTTAACCTGATTACGTTAGTGAGAAGAAGCCCTTAAGATCACCGAGTGAGCAACTTCTTATACTATTTGAGAAAGAGAACTTGATGAGAATTCTCTTTCGATGCACCGTAAACCCATCTTTGTGATATATCGGGGTACCATTGAAACGCCCTTCTATGCGCACCATATCTACTAGCCTGATAAGCCTCTTTGCTCTCATATAACGCAGAAGGCGATGTTGTTTCGGAACAATCTCTAAGAAGATAGCTTAGTGTTATGAAGCTGTATCATGATATTTGGATATTTGTCAGCGTCCTACTCTGTCTATATGCAACTAAATAGATATTCCAGACCTTTGAGTGCTGCCAAAAAGTCACGCAATAAAGAGGCTTGAAGAGCCTCACCTTCCACCAGTTTGATCCTGTTTCATATTGGTCACCCAAGCCCGCATGCCAGAAGCATCCAGTGTGTTGGCCGCGTTCAGTGGGTACAACAGGCAGGGCGCAGTGCGAGATAGCTATCAGGGAGAGCCGAAGTTGCAGTACGCAGGGTGGCTGGAGGAGGGGCCAGGGAAACATACGTACCACAATGTATGAAATCAAGTAGAACGAGTGATACCCTCTGGATAGGGATGGCCATCCTCGCCCCGAATGTGTAACCTAAAGGAGCCTGTGTACCCCGGCTGCTGTTCATGTGGGATACCATGTACGCCTTTCGTCTCTGTCCTTTTGGTGATGAAGGAGGCATGTTTGCCTTTTTGGTATTCGAGAGTGTCACAAATATATCAGGGAGCTAGCTATCCGTGACCCCTTTTGAACACTTCTCTTCCGCATGATCACAGATGTCCTACAGCCAAGACGTGAGAAGACTCGTCAGGCCATAGACCTCCCAGTTTCTAATTGTACGCTGTGGAATGTCGCGAGATACTCTGGTCATAGTTTACATGGTTGAAATGTGTTATCAAGGGTTGCCACGTCCGGAAGGCAGGCGGTGGGTGCTCTGAGGAGGCCGGTGCCTTAATCACTATAAGCTGATAGTCCAACATGAGCGTTTAGTCTTGATGGAGGATCTATCACAAGCCTAGGGATCATATCCCTTAACTGTACCAATGCTTGTCTACGCAGAAATTGCTATTTTTCCATGACTGTATAGATATAAAAGGTTGTGGTTGAGTTATTCTAACGCTGATGGGGCTATAATCACGTACTGCTCACGCCAGTAGTATATCGCATGTTTTTCTTTTTGATGTTGTAGTTATCTAGAGGATTCTGCTATGTCCTTCACTATGTCTTTGGAGCGCAGGCACGAAGGCAGGACTCACCATCGTCAAGAGTCTCACACAAAACTATACATGACTATCTACGTCTTCAGGGGGGCCCCTGACTTCCATTATAAACGGCACGTTCTTATCTACTTCCAATCTCCTGCAAATGAATTCTACGAAACTGTACATGTCGTTCGAGATGACAAGAAAAGCCCTTGGCGAGTCGATCGAGTACACCATAAGGTGGATTGGGCTATGACCGTTCTCTATCTTTTCCATTGCGATGGCGGCGCCCTGTGGGTGCCTAGCGGCCAAGAACTAGCGCCGGCGAACATCATGGCGTCTGTTTCGACGGAAAACAAGGAGGAAGATAAGGGTTGGAACTGTCAGCATTTTCTACTAGAAGGGCTCAAACAACTTGTGGATGCCGGGTATCAGACGCAGGAATGGTATAACTGGGTTGAAAACGCCTTAATGAACCTTCTGTTAGATGGAGCTTGTGATTGATTTAATATGAGGGACAAGCCACATTGCATAATTACTAGAAGACAAGAATGACATTCTTGGTAAAGAAGCGTTCACAACTCATTTGTGAGTGGATATAATATTGAAAGTTAAAATGTATGGATAAAGAAATCGATCTTCTAGCTAGCTGGGCCATATCCTATACACTGTTGTGTATCCTTGATCATCGGTTCGAATACTTCCACTAGATCTCAGGAGATCGAGAGAATAAAATGTGTGAGAATATACTCAAGATCATAGCGTTTAGCGAAAAGAGACGGAACCTGAAGGCCAAGGTTCTCCCAGTCTATATTGTCCAATCCGCGAAGTGCAAAGACATATTCCCCATACTCCGGGTACCATCCTGAGAATTCCCAATCCAATAGAGCAACGATCTTGCCATCGCGGACGATGATGTTTCGTGCGGCGATGTCACCATGCGTGAACACGATGGGACATTCAGCACTTAGATGGGTGGTAATCTGATGCCAGTACATCGACTGAGAGCGCAGTCCTTTGTGCGGTTTTACCAGCCACTCTTGGAATTCCACGAGAGTGGCAAAAGGTCCACCCGAACGCTTGAAGATGCCTGGGACTACAGCGCCCTGCCCGTCTAGGCGGCCGATTTTTGTTCCTTTCAAGGCACGCAGCTGTGCAATGTAGCCACGAAGCTCACTGAGGTCAGTAATTGCCAGATTGGGAAGGGGGTCAACTGATGTTACGGGGGTTATGCGGGAGCAATGAGGCCTGAAACTTGCTAAACGGAAGAATAAATTACTATAGGGTACTAACCTGGTCCAGGATATCCGAACGCTGGTCTGGCGTAAGAACCGACCACGCCTGTTTTAATGTCTGCCCATCAACATATTCCATGGTTATGCGGTCCCAGTCGCTGCTGAATACTTCAGGCACTGGGATGGTCGTATTAGCCCTAATGAAGCGCAGTACCGTCGCCTCATTTGGGTGGTCGGTTGCGCCCATACCATCAGGATGTGTGGTATATTTCGTGACTTTGTTATCGTGACGAACCACATAGCGACTAGTACATTGATAGATGATGTCGCCATCAGGATAAGGAGCCGGCTGTCGCGGAGGTGGAGGCGAGTTTCCAAACATTGCTTCCCGGCGACACTGCTCGTTTCTTTGCTCTAGTCGATTCAAACGTACAGGCGTACGGTTTATGTGACTGGGTAGTGGCGGTATAACTAAGCGCTTCACAAGGTCAGGATGGCGGCTCAGGAGGTCATCAACAACCCCTGGGTCTACCGTTGCCTGCACACCGTTGTCGCGTCTGAGAACTTTCTGGATATACCAATAGATCAGATCCTTCCGTACTATGGTCCCGGAGAATATCTCCTTCGAGATCCAGTCTACAATCTGGGTTTCTTGCTCCGTTGACGGCGATTGCTGTTGCATGATAATGAACTATATGAGATAATTCTATGGTTAGTTGAATCATGGACACCTATCATGGGCAGGTCATGAAGAGGGGGTGTTGTTAGTGCAACAAAGAGAGAGAGAAGAGCGGCCAGGGGTGGCAGAATCTGAAGTGTCACAAACAATCACAGCATCGAAACACAGCAGTGGTACCTAGTACACTCTAACACGAGAGAGAAAACGGGTGAGGGTGAGGGTAAGGGTAAGGGTGATGGAGATGGAGATTTGGCGTCGTAGCTGTGCGTAACCGATTTCCGCGTCGATATTGAGAATGTAATGTGACGGTCCTTTTGCTGCCAGCAGCGTGGAATGCGCATTCTTTATAGCCGCGAGTTTGTTGTCGATACGCTTCGAAAGGTTATAGAGGAACTCTGTGAGGGATTGAAGAAGGCGCTGCTCTTCAGATCGGGATCTTTAGCTGTGAGTTCAGACATCCTAGGATCAGGTCCAGTATCGTGAAGAAAGTCTGCCATTATACAATCAAAATTTCTTTACTTTTCTGCGTTACTCTATATGTTGGTCGCTAGTATTTCAACTTTTATGTCAAGCAATAACCGCCCATCAGACCAGGTGTCGTGTGAGTCGTTACTCGTCCCCTACGGCTGACATAAGTTGAGCGAGACTTGCAATTATTATTGCTAGGCAGATTATCTCAGAAAAAGATTGTTATGTCTCATATGCATCTGAAATTTTATAGGCTGTGCAATGCTATTAATACAAAGACAACTGAGATGCACCATGATCCAACGTCAGCGGTCTATACCCCGGCTGCTTCCGTCTGCTGCTGTTTTTTGGCGTTGGCAAAATGTTCACACATGGGGTATCCGCCACGCTCATGGAAGAAGAGATTAAGGTACATCCAGGTCTCATTTGCGTACTCGGAGACTCGCACAAACATCTCCTCTTCGTAATCCCTGACGGCGTTTGACAGGAGACGATCGTGCGTACTCACTGCCGTCTTACCACACTGCTCATTAAAGGCTACGAGGGATTGTGAGAGCTGGAGTGCATCTTCCATGGCGGCGTTAACTCCGACTCCAGCAAATGGCGTCATAACGTGGGCGGCATCACCAATGAGAGTCAGACTGTGAGTTACATGATTAGCTTGACTATATGCAATATACTCAAGTGGGTATCAAGCCATGCTCAGTTATTATTTTCATACTGCGGAGGGGTGAAAGAATGAGAATATAAACAACTCACCCAGCACGATGAGGCCATTTATGTCCAATAGGCATCATATACATAGGTCTAGGGGTGACCGAGTCATCGTCAGCCTTAAGAATGAGATTTCGGGAATCGTCATCAAAGTCTTTGTAATAGAGATCCAAGAACTGCTTCTTGGCCTCCGTAGGGTTTCCCCAGTCGATACCACAAGTCTCGGCCCAATCCTCCGTTAGCTGCATAAAGGCATACGACTGCACGGAACCGTCGCCATTTCGCTGCGACAGGATGCTTGTATTGCTCCCGAGCGTCAGACACATTCCCAGTCCGACACGTTTGCTGAGCTTGGGGTCAGCCGAGTCTATATTAGGCAACTTGACTTCAATCCCATTGATGCCGGAGAATAACGGCCGGGTGTCAGACAATAACGGCCGAACCTTTGACCACGTGCCGTCAGCGCCTACAACAAGAGAGAATCCAAGCTCTACTGTGCCGTCAGAAAAGTGCAGATCATAAGCTGACTTGAGTCCTCCTGCTGTTGTCTTGACAGTGCTCAACTTCCGCCCCCATTGGATTGTGCCAGGTTTAAGGGAGTCGATGAGAATGTCCCGTAACTGAACGCGGTCGACTTCAGGACGGCCGTTGAATGAGTCAGGGCGACGTCCACCGTGTCCTGTGCTTTCATCTAGCAGTAGACGGCCATCTGGCTTATAGACCTTCAGTACCTCGCCTTCTGGGCGTGCTACCGCCATGAACTCGTCAAAGAGCCCAGCTGCGCGAAGCGCAAGTTGACCGGAGCCTTCGTGTAAGTCCAGCGAACCGCCTTGGCCGCGGTTGTGTCGATCTTCATCAAGTTCAAATACAACACAGTCAATGTCATTCACTTGAAGGAGCCTAGCTAGAGTGAGTCCTGCAGGACCGGCTGCTAGAGCATTAGTACGGCTTTCAATATGATTGAGGAGTCTAACTTGCCTCCAACGATTGCGATCTTCGCTGCGGTCATTTTCAGAATCTAGATTTCGAAGGAGACTGTTAGGTGTAAGGTGAGTGTCTCACTGAACCCAAGTAGATGGGACGCGAAAAGTACATTATATGTTAGGACGCGTAGAAAAGCAAACATGTTAGTCCGTGCTCGTGTTACTGTGCACCTAGTAGTGAGGTAAGCAGCGAGAGGTGGCATTTGCACAGCCGTATTCTCTGGTGATAAGAATGAGTACTTGGATTCTTTCAGTGTAGTTCTTCAAAATATCCCTAGAGAACTATTGATCAGACATTGTCATTCAACTGCTAGTAGCAGCGAGTGGAGCTTTGATGAAAAGGGGAAATCAGTACCTACCAACAGCCCACGGCCCCTATCGAGAAGGATTGGTTCCTCAAATATCATTTGACCCTCAAAGGCACCAGTTCCTTCAACTTCTCGTACGCATGCGCTACCGATGTAGATCAAATCGACACGGAACCTCTGGGACATCGTGCTTGGTCGCCATCGAATCTTCCGCAGCCGATTCATTGCTTGCCCTGAAGCGAACAGACATATTTGTCGGTTGGTAACTAGTCTCTGATTCGCATAAAGTACGGCCAGCATAGTTCGGAAATTTTCATGGTCGCGGTGCAACAAACGAGGCAAAACGGCGTTTCTCGTGCTGTTCCCTGGTGCCACATTACCGGCTGCGAAAAGGACAGGATCATCAATCACCCGTTGTCAGACATCATGGTCACTTTCCACGATCATCGGGCAAATGATGAGAAAAAGCGAATATCGATCAAGGGGCTTGAGCCTATTGTCACGCACACCATGGGTTCCAAATTTCTCCTTCTCGTCGTGTTCAGTGCTATGATTGTTACACGTGCAACCTCTGTGCCAGCTGAATATGTAGTTCGCCTTGCACTTCGGCCGTACGAAGGACCATTGCAGGCTGTTCATGATCTTTCAAGACATGCAGGCAATACTGGGCAATATTGGAAAGTGAGGTTATACAGACTTCGCTTCTTGAAATAGACCCCAAAGACCTAGGCAGTCTGGGCTAATAAACCAGTTGTATATAGAGTCGAGTTAAGCCACCAACAGCCGAGAAGGAGTTGGTTGGTTAAGGACTTATGCAGCCCGAGTTGATCATTGAAACTATAGATGCGATCATACATGGGCGTAGCTATTCAGAGACCAAGCAAGTGCTTCGGAGCATTCAATTCAAGATAGAGATGGACCCTACTGGAAGAGAAGAATCGCGTATCTTGTTTGGGAAGAAATTGGCGCACTAGTATTGCCCCTATTCTCCTTCAAGCCACAACATCATCCCCTAGAACGAGATATGAAGATGATAGAGGGATAAGGAGACGCTGACTAACAGCGGTATTCTATCTTTCACGAGAATGAGATATAATTTATAATAAATAACTGATGTTACATATAAAGGATATTGATTCCCGGTTGTTTGGAAAGTAGAAACTGTCTGTGACCGATCACCTGAAAAGCCAGCTCAGATCGTAGAAGCTGCCTAGCGAAACTCGCTTTGCCTGGTCCTTTTCCATTTAAATCCAACCTGCGTCAATTGATTACGAACAATAGCGACCTCCAGAATAGGGGCAATCCTCTTCAAACCAACCATAAAACCGAAGAATGAAGGAACGTGAATCGCTCAGTGACAGCACAATGAACAGAGCCGGCTAGTTGCGTTGGAATCAAAAATACTTCTCAAATATTTTTTTTTCCTACACTACCTATATCATCAATTATTGGACATAGTTATCGAGTTATGCATTCTAGATCGAGGCGGAGCTTCGCCTAGTTATTAAAATAGTACAATTTTTATGTTCGAAGGGTATCATGCAGCAATCTCAATCCCCGTATATCATATTACAGCAAAAGATGAAGTCTCAAGCGCATAGATTTGCCGCTTAAGCGTAGATATAGCACAGGGGCGAACCACCAAGGGTGTTCAATATCTTGCCAATCTTTACCGACGGGGCGTTGACACCAAGGTCGATGATGTCTTCAGGCGAGGTGTCACGGCTGGGAGGAGTGTTGAACAATGTGAGGGTACCGGCGAGGGTGTTAGCCTGGCCAAGATGCAGTGCCTGCCAGATCCAGTAGGTCCGATCAATCATGGCGTGGTGAAGGAAGAAGATGGGGTCGACGGGCGAACCGTAAAGGTCGCCAGAAATGCCGCCCGGAACGCCGTGGCCGGCCGTGTGCAAGCCGAGGAAGCCATCATTGAAGCGACCCTGCAGTTCATTCTGGAAAAGAAGAACAGACCCTGACGCGGCACCGACGGTGACATTCAAAATGTTCCCGATCGTCAACCAGTTCATGGCGGTGAAGGAGCTCAGATCACGGCTCAAGCAGTGCGGGTTGTAACCGAGGGGATCCGCTGCTGGGGCAACTCCATCCTGAATTGGGAGTACGGGGCCTAGGTTGATCACGTAGTCCACGAAGGGGCCCGAAGTCACGCAACCGCCACCCTTTCCAGATGGGACGAAGATCATGCCGTTTCCGTTCACACTACCATTGTGGGCGATGAACGCGCCGTCGCCACTGAAGCTCGTGTCTGTGCCATCAAAAAGGGGCGATTTGCTCGGATCATTCCTATTATCCAACCAGTTCCAGTACTAAGGGGAGATTAGCCATATGATCAACGATGACAACAACAGGATAGCAAGCACGCACTGGCTGGTTCCCTTTGTAACCACACTCATCCCGCAGCGCTGTCTCGTAGGCCCATGTGAAGTATCGATGCCAAGTCAAGAAGTTTCCCTTATAACAGTCAGTTATCTGTTCGCGTTTCTCTGGTATCCTGGCCTACATACAGTTCCATGGATGGATAAAGTCTGGTTGATATGAACGGCAACGAAGTCATCATAACGACTCCTGGCACCAGGGGCAAAAGTGGGATCTGCAATGCTTGGCTTTGCCTGTAAGCATTTTACAGCGGTGATATATTGCTTTTTCTCAGTGGAAGAGAAATGTTTCCTGAATATGGCAGTTAGTTACCAGTTCTTCTTAATTGACTTCTTTTGGATGCTACACTATGTTGGTAACAACTAGCTGGCTTCACAGACCAAGAATTTCACTTACCAGTCGCGTCGAACTCTGGCATTGAATATATTGCATGACGTTGGCTTCCTCTTCTCAATACTTTCGTCTGACTGAAGCGCACTGACAGCCTGCTCGTTGAGGTCCAGCAAAGTCTCAATGTCGCTGCGCGCTGCCAAGGGCTTGGCGAAGACTGCAAGGGGTAGGCCTAAGAAGGCAGGAAGGGCAAATTGACTGAAGCGCATAGTGTACCTATTATGTGAATTGATCCTTTGAACGCGGTGGCTTGAATCTAAGCAGATAATATTATGGCTATTAGACAGCAGGATTGGCTAAGGAAACCTCAGTATAGGCACCAGCTAGTCTAAGTAGGTAGAAATTAGAGAATGAATTGCTTTGATCCTAGAAAAGAGGTCGTGAGAAGGAGGCGGGCATCGTAGCATAATATCTGCTTACGTGCAGCCAGGGCCCCCGCTCGGCTCTGGCAGGCCGTTAGTCTCGCATTGCAAAGTGACTACTTTGTATCCATGCCGTGGGCCGTAGTGGAAACCCGTTGCGACTCGATGTGATGAACACCAGTGTTAGTCTGGACGCGCAGGTGGGTTCTCGTAGTGCAGGATTCCTAGTGTAGAAGATATCGATGATAGTTTGCCTAGGTATGGGCTAACGGGCCATCTCGGTAGGACACGAGGGGCTCTATGAACGTGGATTTTTGATATAGCGGTCGTGTACGTCTATAACGCCAGCGATTTACGAACTCGGACGAATAACTAGCCGAAATCTATGGCATGAAGCCCGGATCTGAGATTAGAGCAAGTATGTTCTGCATCACGGACAGGGCCAAGCGAGGACGCTGTCGTTGAAAGAATGAAAGTAAGTAGTATCAAGTTCCTATTCTACTAGCCTCGGTTTCCTGGAGCAGAAAGGGTTTAGAGTGATAATAACGCGGCGACATGACCAAACTTGATGGTGGCCAATTTCGGATATTGTCGTTGCATACAGTAAGTAATGCAGTCCAACTGAGGGTTGCGTGCGCCTAAGCTTCGATAGACTCTAAACAGCGTGAGGAAGGCATCGTGTGCTAGGCCAGTATAGGTTATGATACCTATCATTCGAAGGAATACTGAGGAGATAAGCAAGTATGTCCCTGACCTGTGATGGTATGGCGGCTTACCAGCGCCTTGGTCAGAACTGCCTGGTCCCTTTACCATTCCCTTTCCCTCCTAGTCCTTGCCCCCCAGATGATGCAACCACCCTTGTAAGCTCCCCCTAACCCCCTATGGTAATTTTCTCGTAGATTGTGTAACGGTAAGATCCAGATCTTGTCGACGAGGTCCGCTTGCACGTGTGTAACTATGCACATGTAGTCAAGCTTGCAATGAGATCGTCGATACTGCAGAGATCCCCATCCCCACCTATCTTTACATAACTCTACACTATCCAAAAATTCGGCATTTTTCTGAGCGCGCTGAGAACGGGAGATATACTACAACATCTTGTTGCCAGCTGTTCTCGAGGCGCTGTTGCGATGTGTTGTCGCTTAAACGAGTTTAAGTGTTATAACACGAAGTAACATTTGGTTACAGTAGAGTCAAGCGGGGAACTTACCATCGCGTAATTCCAAATGTAATCCTCACCAGGGTTTCTAGTTTAATCAGGGTTCTCAGTCGAAGCAAGGCCCATAACAACAGGAGATACTCCACGTCCGAGCGCACCAATGCAGCTGTTATCCCTCAAAGGGACACATGGCGAGCGGGCAATTGATAAACAGGAATGGCTGTTGGCATGTCTTTATGCAGGTACATAACAGGAAGTACGGTAGAACGCATGTGTTTCTAGCCATATATGTATAGTTGCGCTATTAATGCCGTTCGAACAGTGATGTTCACTTAGAACCACAGGACGAACTATAGCACAGCTCGAGTGCCCATGGTTACGTCGGAAGCGCCTTCAGAATCTTCTTTAGTTAGGCCGCACTAACGAAAAAGTACCATAATAGCTTCAGGTAGACCAAGTTGAGCTAATGTTAGTATAGGTAGAACTACCCATTGGATCGGGGATGGGTTAGCATATGGTGATGTGTGTACGTATACAGTAGGGTGGATGAAGCCCAAACAGCCTGAGACAGGTCCTCATGGTGGTTGTGAACGATTATACTCCTACCCTCTATATGTACATAGATGGGCAAACCGCATGACTTGTAGGAGCGCCACAATGGAAAGACGAGAGAAGCTTCTGATTACGGCAACCGTGCGTGCTGGATGGGAATGGTGCATGTGCCATTAACCCGCAAACGGTGACCGGAAGACGCTACACGTGTAGACTACCGTAGTGAGAACCTCCGTTCGCCAAATTTGTCGAACATTGCAGGGGCATCATCTACTGCACAAGTAGTAGTTATGCCCAGCTGCTCGAGGCTTAGGTATACGACTAGGTCGTATCTCGTTCATAATGCCGTAAGCACCGACCGAGGTAACGCAGGTAACGGGCAGAGTAACAACTAAATGTGGATATGAAACGCTTAGATAGTCTAGATCCATGCAAAACACCATTTCGCTCTTAGTCCGAAGCTGGCGTACTAGTCGTAGAGTTAGTTCAGACGTGGAATCTCTGGTCGTCATCGGCTGGAATAAAAGAGGTTTGAGCCCTTAAAAGTTCAAACTCTGTGTGTGGCACCGTCCTCCTATAATTCTTCCCGCTCGCTACCGTCTTCTCCCGCCACTATTGAAAGCTCAATATATCTGCATTTGGCGACTATTAGCCGTTCATTCTATAACTTCGCTGGTTCTCCATTATCACCATTCTATCATCGACGCATGGGTCACTAGTCTGACACTGCCGAGCTCAAATCGCCGCCGATCCAAATGTCATCCGGAGATGCTCCGACGGCAAACACCCCATCGCCGGAGGATACCTCTCTTGCATGGCAATTGGGTGTGTTAACAGCGATACAGGTTCTAGCGTTGACTGTCAGCGGATTGCGAATATACAGTCGAGTATTCCTTGCTAAGGCATTCGGTTGGGACGATGGATTTATGTCTGGAGCAGTGGTATGCTAGACGTCTCTGAAAATTGGATATCTTTCCATTGACAAAGAGCTAACCATTTTCTCGAACGCGTTTCTAGCTCTCTGCGTTGGTCTCATGGACACTTTACCTTTACCAATCACAGCATGGTCTTGGAGTACACAAGGTTTTCATAGCTCGAGACGATATGTGGAAATACGGAGCGGCCAACTTCGCCCAAACCATCATAAATCTTCTCGGCATTGGACTCTTGAAGATATCGCTCTGTTTCTCACTTATCCGTCTTAGTAGAACCAAGGTTTATACTTGGATACTATGGGGGACAATTGGTAACTTCTCACTCCCGACAAGCAACGTGGGACCTGTTGATGGTTAACACAGCATAGCCTTTGTGACCATTTATACCGTATTTGCCTGGTTGACGTTGTTCTTGTACTGCAAGCCCCTATCTGGTTTCTGGGATATATTTGCTGGTGCCAAGTGCTACCCCCTGTGGCTTTTCATTCGATTCGGTCTTGCGAATACAGGTATAGTGATCCCTGAAATTTGGGTGTGGATTCCCATGCTCACACCTCACAGCGCTGAGTATTTTCACCGACATACTCCTCGCGTCGCTGCCCATCCCAGTTATTTGGCAGCTCCAATTGAAAACCAAGGTTCGCGTGTATCTCATCATCATGCTTGCGCTAGGATGGGGAGCCGTTGGAATTGGTGTTGTCAAGGCCATCTATCAAATAAATTACAACCCCCTTGCCGATTCGACCTACTACTTCGGTGTTGGTGTTGTTAATTGGGCGTTGTAAGTCTTGTGTCTTGACATAATCCCTTGAGATTCATGACAGAATGTGCTAATAGCTCGTTTGTTCCAAAGCGTTCAATTGAATGTCTCGATCATTGCAGCTTGCGCTCCGCAACTGAAGCAGATTCTAAGCCCTCTGCTAGGATTTACGACAAACTACAACAGCGCTCCATACGGAAATACTTCGCGCAACCTGAGGAACACGACAGGCCACAGCGTCGGCAGGCGTTATATGAGGCAGGATAGCCAGGCTGACAAGGCTGATGGTTTCGAGTTGGACGAGCAACCCATTGTTAGATCAGAAAATTATGATGTTCGAGCCCATGCCGGTGATAGCGGCGACTTCGACGGGGGTGCATCATCACCGTCCGACAAAATGACACACAGAAGCGATAGCGATGAGACGATAACACGGTCGAGGAGCCAGAATGGCTATGGCAAGGGGATCATGAGAACGACAGAAGTCGTCATAACAACAACGTAATACTAGTAATAAGGGCGTCCGGGATTTCGGGGTCCAATTTCATATGAAAGAAGAAAGAAAGAATCATCAGCCGGTGATGTGCAAGTCCACCAGCCACACCTGGCTCGTGCTTATTAGTTTAGGCAGCAGCATTTTTACTGTGTAAGTAAGTACGTGGTACCTAATGTAGGTACCGGTACCTGAAAGTCCACTGTAGATTAATTTTCGAGTGTGGCGGAGGCGTCATACACAATGGCACAGCACATCAATCCTGCCTTTCCCACTCCGTTTGGCAAGGAGCAAGGAGGCGTGTCAATTGTGTCGTATTGTGTCGTTTTGAGTGTCTCAGCCACCCCATGTTTGACACGCTTCAATTGTTGTACAATCCATTTTTCAGCTCACATTGAAAGCATCATTCATAAAGAATCCAGACAAGTGCAATCCGGCTCTGTTCGTGTGCAGATTGTGACGCATTTCATTTGCTCCATATTAGCTTCGTCTGGCTACCGAGACTACCTGCTACTAGGTCAGTAGGTGCCCTATCTGTCTCGAGCCACCTAAATCCCCCCTAACAAACGCCTGCTAACCCCGAGCTCAGCTGTCCGTATCAGCCTAACACCTAAATCTCCACGATGGCTCGCTGGTCCGAACTTGACACCGATGAGGAGCGCTTGCCCGAAGGCATGAAGCGCATCGGGTACGACGCTGACTCCCAGAAGTACACATTCCGCGACGCCGATGGCTCCATTTGGGAGAGTGCCTCGGGGAATCGCTACGGCCAGCTCCGGCGGGTGACGACCAATGCATCGACAGCCTCTACCTCCTCGCGCAACGAAGACGACGAGAGGACACTGTTCGATGACGATGGCAGCACGCTCTACGAAATTGACGACACCAAGCCAACCCGGCCCACGGCTAATTTTACTGACTTTGGACTGGACGATGAATCCGCCCGTGAGGCTTCGTGGCGTCAAGAATCCGCCCGTGAGGTTTCGTGGCGTCAAGAAATGAGGCCGTTGTTGAACTGGTTCTTGTTAGTCGGCCTATTCCTCCTCGCCGTGATGTGGTTCATCAGCGGCGGCTCCAAGGACCGCACCGAGGTTGTCCGGAGCTGCGATGATGGTGCCACTCCCTACATGATCAAGGCTGACGATACATGCTGGGCTATTGCAGAGGCCAGGTCCGTCAGTCTCGACGATCTATTAGAGAAAAACAAGGGTCTTGATTGTGACATGTTGTCGATTGGCCAGACTATCTGCGTGCCAGCAGCTTAACCTACCTAGGTCCCTTTGGGCGTACAGATCTATTGAAGCGGCGGTGTCCAGCCCCTATTCAAGTAGATGCCATTGTTTATGCTTGCATTGCTATCATGCGTGTATTTAAATCACAGTTTTTTTTTTTCTTTTTCTTTTTTCTTTTTTTGTCTTGTGCATGGGCCATTCTGATACGGTTTGAATTTGTATCAATTTACACTATGTCGAATATCAACATTATTGTGGCGATGTCGTATGGCGGCATACCTGGTCCTGTTTATGCAGCATGCGCTGGCGCAACTATCCGATCCTGATGTGTAGACCAGTCTACATAGCGTGGGGAAAGGAGAAAATGTCATTCATACTCAATGAACAAGATTCTTCTACCTAGTTTTCATGCATTGTCGCCGCTTTGGATGTGTTCCCGGGCGTTCTATGATCTACTTTAAACACGTGTCGCTCCTCCTTTGATCTGCGAAACCCCATGCACTCAGAACTTGCAGCTAAGAGAGATATGCACCCAATGCTTCTAGAAAATTGCGGTTTTAAAGGTCTTTCGATCGTGAGATCACGTCGAAGTTGTCAGAGAACATGATACGATGATCTCACGATAAGGTGGCGCTCTGACGTGCACCGTCCCTCCATACCTGTTTAAATGCCCGTTTCCAGATAGGTAACTACAATTTGGCCACCTTGGTAACAAGCTCGTCACAGATGCCAATGCCCCTCTCCGGTGAGACGACAATGCAGGCATGCACCTTGGCCGGGAGGAGACAGGTCAAGGATCGAAACGAACACCTTTCCCGAAAGAGGAGCTGGTGAACTACGAGGAAGACTAAGTAGGTGAACCCTGGGTTTCTTCGCTACCGGGAGGGGATCCCCATGTACAATGTAGTTAGTCTCTTGCTACCCTGTGGGCCGACTATCAGCCCTTGAGTTCCCTAGTCCCGGAGAGATGTTTTAGCCAACGTTTGAATGCATCTTGGCAATGACCTACAGTAGCAAGACCGTCCGGTGAGCGGATCCGCCCTGTTAGTTCAACCTGAATGCTACGTTAGTCCGGTGTGGGCTTTTCCTTGCGATGTACGGCTTGCACAGTCAATCTAAAGTACTCAAGGCTGACGACAACTGGGATGACATGTGCAGATTACTAGGGAGCATCACCAAAACAATCCCCTCGCTCAAAGTTTGCAAGTAGAGAGCTGCCACCATGGGTGTCATCGGTCTTTCAGGTCCTTTGTAGATAGTCTGAAGTGGTAACCTAATGTAAGTCTTTCACCACTTTTATATGTAAGTACGGAGGATACTAAAAGGTGAAGCGAAGAGATACGCGAAGAAGCTAGGCATATGACTAAACACTTCCATACTAGTTTTCTACCCCAACTTACTTGCTAGTATTCATTCGCCTCTGGGCGCTATTCGGGAATAGCAATTAGCAAAATCTTTTCTCGGCAGATTGAGACGGCGCCACATTCTCTCCTAGCCATTACCTAGTAGAACAAGCTGAGTTTTCAGCCAAAATCGACCACATTCGGCCTTTCTTCACGGCATGACAGACGGGGTCAAATACACCGAGAATTTTATTTGGTAAGTGATGAAACTGCGGGGCTCCTTTCACAATTTGCTGTCGATTCTGTGACACTGGGTATCTATGTGAAACATCTGTTCAATATTCGCAGTAGTAAAACTGAAACAAGGCTAGCAACAAAATGGCTGCGTAAATATCAGACGAAAAATTAGATGTTAAAATTCTGTAGTTAAGACGGTATTGAAAAGAGAATTAGTCAAGGAGAATCTGCATTTAGTGAATCTATTATGATCCACTATGGTATTCTAAGACAGAATGACTTGTGCGGCTCAACATTTCGTACTAGTTAATGTAATGACCAAGAATAAGACGCTCCATGGCGTGGGACTCAAGATCATCACGTACATGTAGAATCGATGGCGCCTCAACGTAACAGTTCACCCTTTTATTCTGTGATCGGACTATTGTATCAAGATTTTAGATCTCAGAGCCATACGCCGCCTTCGATAATGCTATGAAATAACGTGATACACATAAAGAAAACATTGCAATACATTTTGATACCAGCCAGCGTTGTAAGTATTCGGAACTTGACCAGCCGCGTGCTATGATTTGTGCACTAGTGTACTAGCGCTGTGAAGATAGAGCTAGCAGAAACGTCACCTTCAACGGCTCAAGAGGCTACATAATAGCTGATTATAATGACTCGGAAAACCCAGTGCTGTGATTCTGTACCGAGTGTGCTAGTTTAGTTTCTTATAGAACCATAAATAGCGCTGCGGCAACCGGCAACGTAGCCGCAACTAGCATGTAAGTCCGCAAGTATTCAGCTTTGCGGTCGGAATGGCCAACTTTAGTATTGTCTAGTAGGAAATGGGCTGCTCTCTAATATCATCAGTTTGTTCTAGATCTAATTCAGAATGCCCTAGCTACCTAGGTAGTGAGCTAACTACATGTAACATTACAGTTGTTATGGCTTTCTTGTCCCGGGGGTTAATGATGGCCCGAATGCTAGAAACTCGTATTCTATATGAGAGAGCGCTAAGTTTGCGTTTTCTTATATGTCTACGAAGTATTACGGGTTGACAAAAGTTGATATTGCTAAGTAGTGAAGTGGTTTAGTGGGAGGGGTTTGATTAACGTTGCATTTGGAGTCTCGAAATTACATCGTACTGTCAATATTGACCGTTAGTGACCTCACAGGTGATGAAGTCAGAAGAGACGTGCCTTGCCTTTTCTTCAGTTGTTTGTTGAATGCAAAACGTTTATCTTATCTTATGTTCACCTCACTCCCCAGTGCTTGAAGTTATCTCAATAAACGTAGCCTAATAATTTCTACACATTATAAAAACTGGTTCAAATAAAAGCAGCAGTGCCTTCACGTAAGAATAACGGTGATAAGTTTTTTAAGTATGCAACGGCTATGGTCGATGGAACTGCTAGTGAGGAGAGAGTCGTTGAAACAGTACAATTTCCTTCAGGAGATTAAAGATTGTGGATGATGATGATAGAGTGTAGTTATGGATAAGTTAACAAAACCCTTAGGGCTAAGTGAGCCAGGTACACAGGGATGTCTCAATTGAGTTGGTATAAAGCATTAAGCCTCAATTCACATAGCCATTTCCAAACATTATAATAATGCGTTTCAATTGTCATAGTCATCAACGACAACGTCTTTATAAATGATCAATAACACATTCCATAAGATTCAACTGATATAACAAGGGTAGAGATACTGGGCTTAGAACTGAGAATTCGGATTATAATGAACAACTAGGGCTGCATGAATCCTTGACCAACCAACTCCTTCTTGGCTGTTGGTAGCTTAACTCGACCCTATATACAACTGGTTTGCCAGCCCAGACCGCCTAGGTCTCTGGGGTCTGTTTCAAGAAGCGAAATCTGTATAACCTCACTTTCCAATATTGCCCAATATTGCCTGCATGTCTTGAAAGATCATGAACAGCCTGCAATGGACCTCCGTGCGGCCGAAGTGCAAGGTGAACTGCATATTCAACTAGCACAGAGGTTATGCGTGTAATAACCGCTAACTCATAATGATTTTGCAAGGAGTGCAATAGAATCTACAGTATGCGCTATACCTTTGATTGCACGGTTTAATATGAAAAGATAACTATATATGACAGTTCTCTCACATTAGATCTAAAAAGAGACAAAAATAAAACACACCTATACACACACGCAGAGAGAGAGAGGAACCATCATCAACGCCAACTAAACAGCTCAAGGAATATTCCCGCTCAGGTTTCACATGCGGCGACTTCATAGGATATTTAACAAGAGTTGAGCTGTTACTCTATTTCATTTACGACCCAGACGTCCACAATGTCTGTCGATAGCCATGCCCCCCAGCAGACCTACTCACGCCATGCGCTACTCCGAAGTTATGTTGCTCTAGATATGCTCCTATAGTATACTGCTTCTTCGATATCGAGAGGATACAAAGTGGTGATGGAACACTAGCTAAAATAGAAAACTTAATGCAGCTAAAAAAAAAAAAAATACGAGTTCAATGTCCTTGTTCAGCAAGTTGCATACTCTACAGTAAATTTGAACCTAAATTAAAATAAGATAAGAATAGAATACTCCAAGTATCCCAATCCCCCGCCTTTACTTCCACATTCCTTCCCTTTTCAACCCAGATTCATGAACAGAATCGCAGTCACATCCTCAGCATTAACCAGGTCTCAAGACTCCGCTATCATCATGACTTTAAATATTCCCGAGAAATCGGACATTACCGAGTCACCAAAAGTTTAATGCCCAACCTCACTTGAAATAATATACCTCCAAACTTTTACAATTGTGTCGTTGCTACTTCTTTATATCGAGGCTCGAATGTCGGGATATACAGCGATCGTCATAGCAATCCTGGCCAAGCCCCTTTTCTAGATGGGTTGATAGAGGTGTTTAAGGCAACAAATAACGCAAGGAGTAGCAACGGTATGCTAACCCCTCCATGGGTATACCAGCGTTTTATCTTCCAACACAAGGTTCTCGACGTTTTCTGTTCGCTAGTCTCTGGGGTGTCCTACCCCAAATACACAATTCTATTGAAAGGAGCACCGGTAGAGATCTTATTTCTCGAAAATAAGAACTTGATAATTATATCGTTCACAAGAGTTAATTATATCTAAGTCTTGACCGAGCATCACGTTCTGTGGTTATGACCGGAATATGCTCCAAACGTGGAATAAGCCCCCTGTATCAATGACGTCTTTGAGAAAAATTACCACATTCGTAGCGTTGTGACAAAGGGTCTTTAAGGATTGTAGAACGGCGCCCAAGAATGAAATAGTATGCAATAACTTCGGAACCACCCTGCGGTGTTCATCATAGGAGATTTGGGTACATGAGAACGTACGTAGCGTAAAGGTAGACTCTCGTCTAGTAGCAATTACAAAACCAATGCCATTTCTCCTGAAATATAACTTGATCTACCATGATCTGTCTTGCTAAGCCTAATGATACATATTTTCTAGACACGGGATGCAAGATACTCTATATGCTGGTTACATAGAAACAGGGGGAAGCCCGACTTATTTGAAAACCTATAATGGCATCTATAGTTCTGCCTTGAGTAAGTCAACTCGCTCGCAAGTTGGATTATGCGGCTTGCCAGTTGTGATCCAGGACAAAGTCGGCCCAGTAGTCGCAAAATACGTTTGCCAGCAGATTGCCCATCCATCGTCTGTTTACTCATCAGTCAGAATTCCCACACGTGTCCTTCCACGGCTTCACGCAGCTATACTCACAGTAATTGATCGACAGCGAAACATTCGCCGGTTGTTCCGGTACGGTATTCGCATCATTAGAATAGTAATTCAAGAAGCCCTTTCCATCCTTGCCGAAACCCGTGTAATCGACCGTAGTTGCGTAGGCGCCGAATGCGGCCACGGCGACGTTGGTGTTGGGGCGGTATTGCAGGGATGCAGCCTTTCCCATCAGTCCGACTCCATTCGGCTCGCCGACAGTGATGTCAGAGGCCATAAAACCCAGCTCATACCCGTCGGCAGACTGGGTGTTGCCCGTGTGATTGAAGTAGAAGCGGTACGACGAATTGTCGGCCGCGGGAGCAGATGTAGGGTCATAGTGCAGTACGGCCTGCGGAGTGTCGAACGACCAAACGTCGACAGCGCGTAAATATCCTGTGGAAGTCAGCTTTGTGCACCGGCTTGCTTTGTGTTAGGACACGTCGTGTAGTATTTACCGTCGATTGAGCTATTGCAACGACCCTTAACGCGCAGTGCAAATGGACCGTCGGCTATCAGGGTAGGTAGATCATTGTCTTGTGCGAGAACTCCCGTGGCGGCGATGAGACCGTATAATATTGTAGTTGGGACCTTCATGGCGTAGGAGTGGCAGGTCAAAGTCGGCAGCGTTGTCTATGACATACAATGAACATTGGGGGATTACTTTACTACTTTCCAAGGCCAACACGACATGCTATAAGGCACGATATAAGTAGACCACGACATCGTGGAGCCTCGCGAGTAATTGCTGTTGCACGTTCTTGGCATAAGCCTTTGACTACTATGTAGATGTCCACTTTCGCATAATCCTTCTTAGGCTGCCATTTACTGACCTATTAAAGGTCACGAAATTCGATCGTCGTTATTAGCACTCAAATCAAATATAGAATATAGAACATCAACTGCGCAATTGACGTGAGCGCCCGACTTGCACTCAAATTCTTTGTAGGCGCGTTTTACTGAAGCGGGTTACCGGACTCCCAGAGCCTCAATTTCCTGCCTTCATACTATGTAAGTTCTTCACAGCCCCACTTAATTTGCATAATAAATTTGCCATATTATCAAATATTACTTTCGATCAGGCAGTCGAGCTCGACCGTGCTGCCTAGGCACCATTGCCATGTAAGGACTAAATGTTAGCTAGCGTCTACCTAGGCTGGTGGCTGAAAAGGAGAGAGAAAGAGTAAGAGGCGTTTGACCTCAGAAACAAACGAGACATAAACTATAGAATCATCCTATCCATATACGCTCAAACGTTCCAATGGCTAGAGTGATCATTCCACGTTAAATTTGTCTATTCTTTACTCTGCATGCAATATATGGACGCTTTTAGGGTCAGACTTTATCTAGCCGTACGGCTGGGTTTTTCTGCACAAGATTCAAATCCACTCTGTGACCCAGCAGATCGCGAATATTGTTGATACCGTACCGGATCATAGTGGGACGTTCTAGTGATAATCCCCAACCATAAACACGCATATCCTTACTAAAAAAATGAAATGAATCTATCAGCCACTTCCAATGCCACAAAAAAAAAACAAAGCCAGAAGCTCGGTAATCAAGCCATCGGAGGGTGTAGGATGTATACTCACGGCAAACCCATCGCCTCAAGCATTTCAGGTCGGAACATTCCACTGTTTCCTATCTCAACAATCTTACCAAGGCCAGCATCTGGGATGAGAGTGTTAGCGTGTTAGAAAGGGAGAAGGATAACGAGACAACTTCGCCAGGACGCGGCGAATGCAACATATTGCTAGCATAAGGAATTGAATTTCATAGCATAAAGAGGGGGGCGTGTGTGAGTAGTTGGGTTAACATACGATATGAGAAAATCTCCATGCTTGGCTCGGTATCTAAGAAACCAGAATCAGTGAGCAATCCACGGAGCCAGTGCCACGAGCAGTACGAACAGGGATTGTATGCTGGCTTATATTGGAGGCCTTTGATACCCATTTTGCCGAAGAAAACGTCCATAAACTACAGCTATTAGTCTTTGTGTTGCAAATCATAGGTTGGCGAGACAACGAACCGCCATAAGACCGCCAAGTGTTAAATCATAATCGGCAATTATACCCTCCACTTGGTGGAACTCGGCGAGATGGGTATTATCGACAGTTTCGTTACGAAAGACACGGTCAATCGAGAAATAGCGTGCAGGGGGAGGGCGGCCATCAGGTCCTTTCCTTGCTGCTAAATGGTACAGCATACTGGCACTCACAGCAGTTGTGTGAGTCCGTAAGACTAACCGTTGAGCCTCGTCCGCGGCCCACGGGTACCGGTACCCAATCGAACCATACTTCCCATCCTATTATCCATGAGTAGCGGCACTAAATGAAGAATAATAGAGAAAGCGAGAGTCTCTAACTCACTTGATGTACAGCTTTCACGTTCTCCCAGTATGTGTCATCAGATGGCTTGCCAGCGACCAATGGATCGGAGGTATAGAACTATGGGACGTTAGTGAGGACATTCCACAAGCTAGTAGAAACGCGCCTTGCCGTGTCTTGTAAATCGCGGGCAGGATGTTGCTGCGGTACATAAAGGGCGTCAAAGTTCCAGAAACTAGACTCAACGAAGCTGCAAACCTAGTAAGCATCTATAAGTACCTTTGACGGATGCACAGGGTCGTGTACTTGTCTGTAGGCATCTCTTCAAAGCCGATTTCAAAGAAAATATTCCTGATCTCAGCGCGCATTTTGTTTAGTGGGTGCAATGCACCTGATCCTTGGTCGGCTCCTAATGCCTCGAAATTGTAAGGTTTGAAGGCAGCCGTCTTCCAAGTACCGTTCGCCAGCATTTCAGCCGTTAAGTCAGTGGCTTCTTCGGGCATCTCAAGAGCAAACTTTGGTCCCTTGTCCATCTTGAAGCTGATGACCTTCTGGACTCGGACAAGCTTGCGTTTTTTGAGGTCAGCGAGAGCTTTCTGGTCGGAGACAGTTCGGCTTGTCTGGATGGATTGCAGCTGCTCCCTAGTGGCATCGTGGATAGAGTCGGATACGGCCTTGAGCTTGCCGTCTAGAGGTACATCGTTAGCCAGGAACGAGAATCCTGCTTGTCATGTCTGATTTACCTGCGGTTTTGGCAATCCATTTCTCCCTGAAGGCCTTCCCCTGGCCGAGTTTGGAGATGTTCTTGTCACCAATGGTCGTTTCTAGCTCTTGAATCGTGAGCCCGTCCACGGCGGCCCGCAGCGCCTCGAAGACACGGGCCTCGTGGCTTCCATTTGCAACAATCGATTCGCCTTCGGGTTCTAGGAGGACCTCATCACGCTGGATTGTCGCATACTCGACCATAGACCGCGAAGATAATCTGTCGAGCGCTGCTTTGAGATCGGTAAAGCTGGAAGCCGGGAAACTTTCGGCAGATAGGAGGGGCGCCGTCTTATCGAGTGCATGGAGGATCTGAGACGTCAGGTCGCCTCCTTCTACCTGAGAAGTCGCCATGATTGACGTCTCGGCTGCTGTGAGTCAGAAATGTATGGATTTAGAGGTTAGCGATATGTGCCCGAGGGGATGTACTGTGTACCTCAATTTGGAGGGGCTCAACCCCACCATGCAAGGCGGATGAAGGGCGGTCAAAAAAGGCAAAATGACCATTGGGACCGCTGCACTCTCGGAGCAGCCTGTGTACCTACGAATGTGTTTTATCCTATCCTGCTTTTATGCCGGGTCAATGATTAGAAGACGGAGCTAAAATATTGCTTGGAGAGAAATTCGAATATGCGAGAATAGATTTATAGACAGCCTAGTCATTGGGAGGTTCTGAGCCGGGCGCCAGGCCGCTAAAATGGCCAATTGTCCGTTTGATTTAGGTATGTATAAGGAGTAACTACAATAACGTGATTCTTGCTGCTGATATCAGAATCAGAATTTCGCGTCATGCTTTGCAATCCCGTCGGTTTGGAAAGGCATGCTGTAGATAGATGTGGTGTACTATAACGCGTTTCTATTAGCGGCCTGATCAACGATTCTCTGAAGGGATACCTATATCAACTTCATATAAACCGGACTACAGAAATTGGCGTGGCATTTGTAGCCAAGATCACCACCCAGCATCATAGGGCTAGATTTTTGATCTAATCTTGTCATCTTGGCAACGTCGTCGTTTTCTAGAGGCGATCTTCTCCTATGTGCCCTATTGCTTCAATGCATGGTCGCCACCGTCAACGGTTTCAACATACGCCCACTCACCTACCCGTGTGCCGCGTTAAGAATCAAATATAAGACGAACAAATCATTGGAGATAATCGCTTGATATCTCAGCGGACGGTTTGTTTCCTTGTATTGTTAGCAAAAAAAACAAGGCATATTTGATGAGAAAATAGAGACCCCTGGGTGTGGAAGGGAGGTGCCGGGATCTAGCGGAACCCCGCCTAAGCCCCTATCATCTAGCCTCTCGGCATGTCGCAGTAAATGGGACAAACGTCAACTTCGCATCTGCAACAATATCCTAGCTCTTAGGGAAATTCGATACCAAAAGATAATTCTACGAAGACCGCGACGGCGCACACTACGCATTACGATCCCAATGTTTCCTCAGTCTGCCTAACATCTTCTGCACGAATCCTACATCTGTCACATCCGGCACATTTCTCAGAGTCTCAGAATTCTTCCTAGTCTCCTCGGTCAGGTAGACAAGTCCACCACTTCGTGTAGTTGATCTACCATGACCGTATTTGCTTTCGAACCACTCTAGCAGCTTGATTGGGGGATTCTTGGTCGGGTCTCGGTCTGAATGCCTCAGTCGCTCCATCCACTGGTCGGTGGGAAGAGTCTCGAACTCGAGACCAGCTTGGGCCAATGAAGGAAGCATGTCCCGCGTCCAGTGGAAGGTCTGTGGGTTGAGAACGTGGTACACTACGTCTGAGTCCGAGGCGGGATCGATTGGTTTACCGCTCCCTGCAATCCCAACTAATTCAATAATGGTGGTTGCTGCACAGTCGACTGGGAGCCACGACATTTCCTGATGGTTGTAATTAGTACCTCGGGCCGCGATCATGGGGCATGACTACTTACTTCGTCCAGCATAGGCAACGCGCCTAGCGTGACTGCAGTCTGTGCTATCATAGGTACGCCCTCAGTCGAGTTCCATTCGCCAGTCACGGTGTCACCTATCAGCTGCCCTATGCGTAGCACTTGCGCGGGTGCGCCAGCACTGATCATCGCGTTGCGAGTGATATGTTCAGCCACATACTTAGATCGTGCGTAACCTGTATGCTGAACATGCGCAGGATCCATAACAGGCCCCTCTTCTACGGTGCCGGGACGAGGAGTCCCGCCGGCCGCCGAGACGGAAGAGCAGAAGTAGAAGCGGGCCGGCTCCGGCGTCTGCACATGGAGACATTGTTGGATTAGGTTGTGAACCGCTCTAATGTGCTGGTTCTCGAAGCTCTGGACGGGAATATTGAAATTGACAGCCCATGCGCTGTGGATGACCACCGTGAGGATGCGCGTTAATGCCGCTAGGCGCGATGGGCTCAGTCCAAAGTCAGGACGACTGAGATCGCAGGCTAGTGGGACTACCTTGCTGCTGTTCCCTGCCGAAAGCTCGATGCCACGGGTCTTGAGAGAGCTGATTACGCGATCCGAGGCCGCAGTGTCCGTGGGCGCGCGCACCATCGCCCATACCGACGAAACATTGGCTCGCGATACCAGTTGTGCGAGCAGGTGTGCGCCTAGGCCACCAGTAACTCCCGTCAATAGCTGCGGTCGGTCAGATATTTCAATATTGGGAGGGTTACGCGTAGACGCGGGGAAAATTTCCTTACAACAACATGTTTGTCTGGTCTTGGAGCATTTCCGCCGACATGTGGCTCGAATGAGGAGTATGCATCGATTAGTTCTTGCATCTTACCAATCTCATCGGTCGATGATTCGTCCCCTGATCTTAATCTTTCGAGGTGGCGGGCAAGCGCTCGGACGTTGCCCGTCTCGTATAAGACATTCTGGCTCAACTTAGAGCCATTCCCTCCTAAGTCGAGCTCCTTCTTGATCAAATTCCACATCTGGATACATTGCAGGCTGTTCACGCCCAAGGCGAAGAACTCGTCGTCGGCTGACAGCTCGATGCCGAGCCGGTCCTTCAACCCATGCAACAGGTAATATTCTAACTCTTGCCCTGAAAGGGACAGGGTTCCCCCTTTCTCGTTCTCAAACTTATTATACGCGGATTCGATCTCTTGGTGAAACCGTTTATACGTGGGGACACGGATAAAGGTTCCCTTGTCTGTACGGGGATATTCCGCGTCGGCTGGAAGCACCACAATTAGCTCCTTTGGAATACGGGCGAAGGTCTCAGCCCGAGAGTTCGCCGCCTCCACAGCCGGCCAGATTGCCTTGAGAAAATGCCCATCTGGCATATGAGCTGCTACGTCAGCCCGGAAGATCAGTACCCCCGGATAGCTTTTACCCTCGCCAAAAACTACGGCCTCTTTTACGAGTTCTTCCTGACGGATACGGCCCTCCATGGAGATTGGAAGTACTTTCTCACCGTTGATGAGGGTAAAGCGGTCATCTAGTCTGCAGACATACTTCCACAGGCCGGGCTCAGTTGGGTGTGGTGCGAAGAGATCCCTGGTTCGGAATGATCCAGGCGGGTTGTCCGAGTTGACCGTGCTCTTCGACTTCAGGCCGTCGAGCGCAACGCATTCGTATAGTCCAGGCGCGACTTCGTCCATTAGTACAAATGGCCGTGCGGGCGGTAGAAGCCGCAGATAGTTCCAATATTTATCGCCCGGCGGTCGAGACGAGGTCATCAACCTGCCTGTTTCGGTACTTCGCTCAATGTTAGTCCTTGCTCTCTCTCAGATTGATAAACTAAGTAGGGAACTAGATGGGCTCACGCTCCATAATTTGCAACCAAATTTACTCTATGGCTGACAAGTAGGTCACCTAGGTCGTCGGGACAACTGCTACCCGCAAAGAGAACCACGTCTACGTTTTTAAGAGCTTGGATTCCTGCATCTGACTCAGCAAGGAGCTTTATTACATATGGTACACAATGGAAGAGTTCTGGTTTCACGTATCCCAATATCTCCAGCAGATTCTGTCTGGTTATCGGAAGCGAATAGTTGGCGAGGTATATCGTCTTCCTCGCGTAGATAGCTCGGAAAACCTCATAGAACCCGTGACTATGGAAGAGAGGCGATGTAAGAAGGGAACGCATGTTCATATTGACGCCAAAGGCGCCAATGCAGCTTTTATGGGACATCCATATGGGTTTTGGCAGACCAGTAGATCCCGATGAATGGAGAATGATAGCCACCTTCTTACTCTCATATTCGGCATCGTAAAAGCGTACGAATACCGGCGCATCTTCTCGGTAGTAGTCTGAGTGCGAAAGGGTAGGTATGAGAGTAGGCTGTCTTTCTTTGGTGAGTTCAGCCAATGTAGCATGAAAGTTCGGCGTGGTGATGACGGCGCTACATCCCGTTAACTCAATCAGGCGATCAAGTGCTGGACTTGCAAGTCTGGTCGAGATTAAGAAAACAGTGTAGCCCAGCCGGCTCAAGGCGATGATTGTAATGACCACATGCAGGCCCGATTGACATAGTATTCCGACTACCGGCGGTTTCTCAAGGGAGGGATCCTGGGTTAAGGGGCAGCGTATTATTAGTAATAAGGATAAGAATAGCGTCACAGATGTATGGGAGGCCTTACAACAGGTGGCAAGCCCAGCTGCTGTAGCTTGTCTGCTGCCGCATCTACATATCGATCCACCGAGCGAGCGCTGTGTTCCTCGAAGTCGAGTAATGAATGTTTGGGATACCCAATCAAGGGCGAGTCTCCCATCTCAGAGGCACGCCACCGAATCAGCTCGTCAAGAGTGAAGATGGACCTCCTTGAGTCCACCAATCCCTGGGATACCTCCGTGGAGGTACCTCCCGAAGGAGCGGTAGAGCGCGCTGAAGGTGGCATGACGAGTTTCCTTGGCTTCTACCATTCCTGGATAATCCAGTTTCTGGTTCTTTATGCACCATTTATTCATCTCATCTCAGCACACGCTCATGAGTAACACTAGCCCCGAACTCCTCACCATCATCACTTACAAGAACGGGAATACATAGTAAGTTGAACATGTACTAGGGGGCAAGTTCCCCACATGGAGATGAGTTTTACCATCAATCATAGTTCTCGACAGACTGGAGCAGGTCCTAGCATCCACAGTCACGGCCTAGTGTGATGTAAATCAGGATTGTCGATACCATTAGAAGCGGCAGATCATCTTTAACACCTCAAATATGTGCTAGCAACCCCTCAGTCGCCCAGAGTCGCCCTTTAATAGGCTTCCGTGGGGGTCTCGGGATTAAGCACGGCATAGGGCCCACCATTATTACCCGAGCTCTTGGCTTGAAATGCCAATCTGGGGTATTGATGAATGATACTAATTGCGGCAACAGGCACGTTGTCAGCATGCAGTATAGTTGACACAGGTCGCAGAATAGGCGGCACATTTCGGTCCCCAGCCATTTCTTCCCATGCCAGAATGCGTACCAAGGACCAACCTAGTGTGCAGAACGCGGCACTGCCATCTACCTAGGTACCGTATCGATCTCAATTGCTCAATACTTGTTGGCAACTACGACGACGATGACTAGGCCCGCATCCCAAACCGCAGCCAGAGAAACCTATGTGGCCAAGCGATAGCACCAGCAATGGCTAAAGCCAATAATATAATCGCAACACTGATAGGAGCTAAGAATAAAGAACACTGTAAGAATCCATCCAAGGTTGTAAAGATATGGATGATAGTGTGTCGTACCTCCATATCGCCACAGCTCTAAGCTAGTGGGGTTATCATCATCTCCGGTAATATCGGATACGTTTTGGCCAAAGTAAGAAGTGAAAAATGACAAGGGAAGCTATTTTGTGACTATTGATTAGCCTAGTTGACTCATGAGGACAACAAAACAAGCTCTTACAAAAATGATTGTGACAATAGTAAACAGCATAATAGCTCGCCCCTGTTGAGTAGTCGCCCGAGCTTCCGCGAGTGCGGCAGTCTTCTGTTTCAAGTCGAGCAAGTTCAGAAGCTGACCGACATAGAAGAGCAGTCGTCAGTACTTGTGACATTTGAAGACGGGAATAGCACGCCTAACCTGTTGGTGTGTGTATTCTGCGTCTTTCCTGACGGCTTCTATTTGGTTATAGATTGAATCGAGAATCTCATCAGTCGCCACAATCATAGTCCGCATCGGCTCTGAGATACGTTGTGCAATCAGTTTGATAGTATCTCCCAATCGGCTGTTATCTTGATTTATGACCTGGAAAATATACACCTTTGAATCATGTGAAGCAGTGATGCGCTCTGCTCTTAGCACATTGTTGACATCTTGATCTGGACTCCCCTGCGAAGGCTGAAACTTTGTCAGGGCTATTGCAAACGACTTTATTACCTCTCGTTGCTCGTAAATAAGGCTTTGTATCATTTTCAGCTCATCTAATATATCTGCCACATCGAGCACTGATCTCAGTTCCTGACGGTCATCGAGCGCTTCTGCATCAAACCTAGATGAAGAGTGGGTATCATGGAAGTCATTGAAATGATTTATCTGGTTCGCAGCCTAGTTTGGTCAATGATTATTAGCACTACAGGCGGCTTGGGAAAGGTGGTATTTGTTCTCCTTTACCTTTTTGCTAACTACCCATCGATATGTTTCCACTAGATCGAGAAACTTTTTATTTTCTTGCTGAAATATGTGAGTTGTAGCTTCTTTGACAAGTGTTGAGTATAGGCTCCAAATGGAATCGCATTCATTCCAGCTTTTTGTCATCCGACTGTAGAGGCCCGTAAAGTCTAGAGCACAGGATTCTGAAGTCCCAGAAGGAAAGCAAGAGACAACCACTCCTGCAGAGCCTTAGCATAGTGTAGTATATATATTTATAGAAAGAAAATCATTTGGAAGTTACCATACTGTCGTTGAGAACCCAGCACCAAAGCTGATCAACCATGATCATTAAGCTGTCTGGTGCAGCACTGTCCCTTCCATCCGGTGGCAGCTCATGCCCTGTCCATTTTGAGATCGTCTGATCTGCATCTCTTTTAGAGGTATCATCTAATGAGAAATAGTAGGACTGGTCAAGAGTCCTTCTCGGATGCGTTGGAAGCTTATCCCTGTAGAGGTTCGCCGCTAGGTATCGTTCTATTCCGCTGTAGAATACCCTAGTAGGGGTAAGTAGTTTTTTCCACACGGATAGCAAAGAGTAACTAGACATACTCGTCTGATATTTCAATATCCGGCTGATAACGTGAAGAAGAAATTGCTTGTTTATACAACATGTGTCGTGTGGAAACTCGTTGATAAGTATCCCAATTCATATAGGGGATCTTTAAGACATAGCGTTATGATTATATAAGCTCAATGAACTTCAGTAATTATCAGTATCCTGGGGCAAACTCACATAGGTAGAGATGAGGGGGGTTTGCGGACTTGGAGTCTCAGGCTGGTGGAGTGCTGAGTTATGAAAAACCCCCTCTTCATTTGAGAGTGCGCTCACAATGTCTGATGCGGTATTCATTCCCGGATGCCTTAATGTATCAATACCAGACGCTGTACAAGATGGCTCCATATGTAAGGAATGAATAGGTTTACGTGTGATTTGAGAGGCGGCTGGGAGCATTTTGATGAGGGTCCAGCAGTTTTCATCGAGGGTCATATTGGTGGCAACCTCTCGCATAACAGGCTAGTTTTTACTTGTTAATCTATAGCCCAGACAAATTAATTAATCCAGCCAGGGGTTGGACGTCATTTAGAAAATCTACCAAGCTGGCCATGAAACGCGGAGGTGATGATACAGGGACAGCAATACTAACCTCAACCCACGCCATGTCATTTGCTGGTAAGTGTATCCAAAGCAGCTTGGTGGATTCAATATGATCGATTTTAAACGCTGGTGCCAAAAAGTCAGCTATAGGCACTTCCCTAACATCCCTTTCTGCGCTTTTCTGCTTTAAAGTATGTATAACTGCCTTGAACTCTTGTTGAGGCGGCTCCAGAGGATCCATTATGTATAGACTTCCACTTATCGTATATGCAAGTTGCGTTCTCCAGGGAATCTAACTGCTCAAGTCTTTCACAGGATGCGTGAGTATCACTAACGGAGAGGTGGATAGGAGAAAGAAGAATAAAATTGATCCGGCCAGACAAATTTCAGTATTTGACTCATTCTCCAACCCCGCTTCTCCTGGGCCAATGGATCATCATCGTGCATGCACAGAGGACTCAAAGTGCAAGCTGTCTGCAGGAGTGGTATCAAGAATAATGGTTTTTGATTGGAAGAGAAACTGCCGTGTCTGGCCACATAGGATTTTGTGTTCTCGTTTAGCATTCCTTATACATTCGTAGATTTTCCACAAGGACTTCTGAGCCCTATTAGTTAATTTGTTTCTATCGTGGCTATGTGCAACGCCAATAATAAGTGACAGCGATAACGAAGTGCAAAGAACAGTGAACAAGAAGCTGAAATCAGATTGGTGCAGTGAGAAAGAGTATTCAGCGCTAAATTTGGAGTTTCAGAATTATTTTATATGGCAAGTATTGTAACAAGGACGTTGTCTTGCCTCTTCGTAACCACGTGTAGGTTAGCACTGTAGGATCGTGATCTCAACCCCTCCTTTTTGCTCACTAGATTATCATTGCAATCGATGCCCGCAGTAATTCGTACTTCATACAATTGAAGCTTGTCCGCCTTGCCACGTCAAAAGCCGTATATCTTGAATTGAGATCAATTACAAACGCTCGCTAACTTGAGCTGAAGGGTACTACGCAGATTTGTTGCTAAACGACATTGACAAAGGTCTTTACTCTAGTTTTAGCTGCGTATGGTGTCGAAAACATACTAAATGTCACTTCCTCCAACTTCGCGTAGAGCGACGAGATATCTTTACGACGAATGTGGATAAGCCGACTCAATCTCTCATTGCCAATATAAACAATAGAGGCGTGCAATTTTGATTTTTACGGTCAGAAAAATTAACCTCCCTATGCTTCGCCCCGACAGTTGGCAGTATCGTATCAAAGCAATAGGGGGTGGGGGGGTCTTGACATAACTGTGGAATTCAAAGCAAACAGTAGATCATCTTGGCATCTTCACTAATAAAGTTACTGACGGGTTCGAGAGTCCGCTGTAACCTATAGGGCATGAAACACAATGAAGATGCGATGATACAGGTCTGGTATCGAGCTGATCGGCAGATTGACCATAGTTGCATCAGTATAACTGAATGTTACCTGTGTAATTTCGGAAGCCTACTCGGACTACGGAGACTGTCAATTAATTAATCCGTAGTAAGTAGATAGTTATAAGACAATTCCGAACATCCAATTTCAACAAATTTTGTCGAAATGGTGAATGTTTTTACCATTACAGAAGATCCGGGGACAGCGCGCGAATGCGTCCCTATAGAATCTCCTGTTGTGATTCTCCGAGCCGAAGAGGGGACATACAGATCTTCCGAAAAGGGCCGAAATACGTCCGATTGACAAGACAAATTCACAACTCTTCATGATGCGTATCTTTGGTTCTCCCCGAGTGGTGAGACATTTTTCAGGCAAGCTCCTGAAGAACAAGCTTCGGCTTAGGTAGGCCATAGTTACGGAATGGATATAGCGTATTATATTTGATCGGATTGCAGAGGAAAGATACATGCTTTCTTCAACCGCTGAGTAAATGGTCATGTGAGTACATAGTAATTACAACTGTACGGCTGGCCCTGGTACATATATAGCTTTAGGAGTCTAATATGAATTTGGCATCGTGGAGAGCTTGCCACCGTCGTTGACAAGAACTAATCCGTTACAATACTTCGAAATTTAAGTATTAGTGACTGAGGTATAAGGAGGATTTGACCGAAAAACAGGGCCACATTTTCATTCAGAAAAGGTCGCGGGGGAGGAAGAAGAAGGATAATATGAAGGATAATATTTCTTACTGCGCCAGCCCTGCTTGCTAGGTATAGAACGGTGCCTGCCATCTCCTCTTCGCCTCCGAACCGCTGAGCAGGGATATATCGTAGCTCTGAGGGATGCTCCTTGGATGGATCACGTTCTTGGATATTCAAGAAGGCCAATTCGGATGGAAACACTACGCAAATATCGATTAGTATTGTCCGCGATCGTTTGACCTGAGTCTTGATAACACCAGCCGTCAACTTACACCCAGGGGCCATAGCGTTGACCCGGATACCGTAGGGCGCGAGGTTCGTGCTGGCATGTTTGGCAAGGTGCTCAATAGCTGCCTTGCTGGCTGAGTATGAAGGCGGCGAAATCCAGGCACGGCTGTATGCTGAGATACTACTAGTGAAAAGGACCTGGCTCTGTATTGAGGGAACCGTGCTGCTGCCCGCACTTAACGGAGCGCCGAAACCACCTTTTCGCGCGTTTTCGTTGCCGGCATCTAGTAGCTCGAGGAAGGCTAGCATAGTAAAGTATGCCCCTGTGACATTGATGTTCATCGTCTGTGAGAAGTCATCCATGGATACATCATCGAAAAGGCGCTGCTTTAGGTCCTTGATACTAGAATCAGGGTGGAACCGTGCTGCTGGCCCAATTATTCCCGAATTGGCTACCACAAGATTGACATAACTGCTTTCTTTAGTGATGGCATCTACAGCGGCTTGAAGGGACTCCTTTGATCCGACATCGCATACGATGGGGTATAAGCTCTCATGTGCCTTCGCAGCTTTCTCGAGAACCTCTCTGCGTCGACCGAGGATGTAGACCTTCTTAGCACCCGCATTGGCTAGCGCCTTAGCCATATTGAATCCGATGCCTACCAGACTTCTGTTAGTTCCAACGATTCGCGATAACCGGGGCCCTATTGAAAATACCGGTGCCGCCGCCGGTGACAACTGCCACCATGCCATCGACCCTGAAGATATTGTCCATCTTCTAGTTATTTCTCGATAGTGAGTTGGGGACCTAGTGGACTGCTTGGTTCTCCTAACTGCTATGATTCCAATGTAAACTTGAGATTAAAGAATCGATAGATAAAACAAACGGGCTCGGAGGGGAGATATAACCTCTTCAGAGGATAATGAACAATCCAAAGTAGGTGATTCCGGGAACAACTGGGGATGATCCGTGGATGATCCGCGTAGCCCGGCGGTATTGCCCCGGCCATGGCGTACACGGGGTAGATACCGGTATCTGCTCACACATACCGGTAGGTATGCAGCAGCTGGCCACTTCTGCATGTGGCTGCTGTATCTATTTAATAATAATCTTCTCACCTGCAGGTTGATTCTCCGACCGTTTCTGAACGGGTGTGGTTTATGTAAGCAATCTGACCTTGAGCTGCTATAAATGATGATTGATCAATGCCAATTGGGTATATTTGAGTACTGTTTGAGGCTAGCTACGGTAGCTCTCATCCCTGTCCTTCTCCCCCACCTCTGTCCCCCCCTTCAATATCTTCTTTCTTCCAAGTTCCAAGTAGGCCCTCTCGTCTTTGCGAGGTAATCTGCGTGTATAGTAGTACAACTTAAAGCCATCATACCACAGTTGAAGGAGCTGCTGCGTATATGACATCTCTACTATACTAGCGATGAAGTGGGTTAAGTCTATCTGGCTGAGATGTTTAGGTATCTCAGGCAGCCTGAGGCAGGCAATATTCAGATACCAGGTACCTAGGCCAACTTACACAGTGAGATAGGCGGTAGGCACAAGCCCCGGCACTGTACCCGGCTCCATCTCCACCTACCGGAGGTACCGGTCCTGGCATCTCGCCGCATCATCTGATCGGCTATCTCAACCTGCCTGCCATGCCCTCTGCGTTGCCAATGGAATCTCGTTCTCACCACCGGGCCCAACAAATGACTTGCTATAGCCTGCCCGCATGCTCGATTGGCTGTTAGGCCGAATTAAGTCTTCCCGAGAATGCACTGAGACACCCCAATCGACCTATTTCGGTTACCTGCGCGCGCTACAGCTGTTGCTGACCGGTAACGTCATCGCCATCGCCATATCGTCGTCATCCAAAGCATGGCCGCTTCACGCCGTGGCCAACCGGAGCTTCACGTACGACTCCCCCAAAGCCCCAGCGTCGTCGCCCTACCAGACCTGCCTCCTGTCTCCGCCCTCTTCCTCATCGACTTCGACGTCAAAGCCGGTTACACCATATCCTGGAAAGCCTCCAAGCCCGACGTCGAGCTCGAGGGGGTCGTGGAATACAAGTCGCTGCCGTCCGGCTTGCACACCGTATCCGAGGACCTCATATATTTCGTGAACGATGGCTATGCCGGATTGAGTGCATTCGTCAATGCGCCCGTCCAGGATACCGCTGCCCGCAATGCGCGCATGTTGGCAGTTGGCATCCTTGTTCCTCTAAGCTACGGACGTTTAGGCAGGGCGTGGAAACATGCCGAAAGCCTAAAGGCAATCGCCTCGTACGTTACTGCATCTCTTTATATATCGTGTCCTAGTTTGCTCGGTATGCTCAGGTCACCACTGACTGACATTGCGCATTTTAGCAAGCTCGCTGTAGACAGTAAAGATATAAGCATCCTTGAGGAGTATTGGGAAAAGAACCAAGCGCGCGACTCCACCGGCGATGAACCCACCGATGAACCCGCGTCCGGGAATGACCCTGCATCTCCAACTGCGACCTCTAAACCCTCGAACACGGCCTGGGATTCTAGGAATCGCTCAGCTTCTGAAGGAGCAGCATTAATGCTACCTGGACACCGACTGTCGCCATTTCACCCGGCCTGGAGCTTGACCAAATTTATAGATACATTTGGTCCGCTCATATTCCCTATACATCGCGCTGCGTTGCTGCGCAAACGAATCTTGATATCTGGCCATGCACCGGTAGAACAAGCTTGCAACTTTGGTAAAAATAATCCAATTCGTGCATCATTGATATGGAAGACTGAGGTCTAATGATTGTTGCAGTTTACAATATCTCTGTACTTTCCAATGTACCAATCGCGACGTCAGATCTTTTACCACCCGACTCTACGTCACTTCGCTTGCGGCCGCTTTTCTGCATTGGTGTTCACGATATCCCTTTCTTAACAGAAGACGCAAAGCATGCTAGCGACACAGATGCCGAACCCCCCGATAGTGCATCGGAAGCTGGGACTGGATGGGTAGCCTGCACGACCGACAGCATTCTCTCTAAGAAGGACACGCTGTGGGACATGCTCATCACTATGCCACCACCCCACACTTCCAACGCAAAGAGTCATGTATGGCCTACCATCGAATTCTCAAATGGAGAAATTGTTAAGGCTACACAGCGCGATATGCGCCGTTTCCGCTCTTTCAAGGCCGGAATTGCTCGTCTAGAAGGAAACGTTGTAGTTTCAGCTCCGAACACACCAGGGACAGTGGCTGCATATAGAGAAGACGATGCATTACTAGACGACGCAGAGCAAGTGGTAGAACCCACAAGCTGGACGGCTCTTGCATATAGCGGGTTCATGTGGTGGGCATCAGCAGGTGAGAAGCTACGGTCAGACGAGGCCGAGGAGGCCGCGCAGGACGCTTCTCTTTTCTCGAGCGACTTGGCATCTTCCACAATGGGCATGAATATGCCGCGCCCAGCGGACATTTCGGCATCAATATCATCTCTCACCCCGAGACGATCCTCCACAGCGGCATCGGTACCGCTAGATGTAGACGAAGCCCGCGCCGAGCTCGCCATAATCGGTTATTTTCACAGGTTGACCACTCAGTTTCTCGGCGCGCTAACATATGTAATCGAGACTCTCAGCGATAGTGGCTTAGGAGACGAAAGCCCAATGGAAGAAGACGATGCGCTCGTCGACGCAGACGAGGAGGATGTGCCTGGCCGCGGTGTCCAAATTGACTCGGACGTAATAAAAAGGATGGGCCTCGACATATGGAGTCCTTCGGACGCAGAGTTCGTGAGCCAGCTTCTACAGACTTACTTCAATCGCCAGGCATCCGTAGAAGGCAAAGGTGTCGAGGTCTGCGGTATCAGGGTCTGTTGAGAGAATTCCATCACATATAATGAACGCCGGCGTGAAACCCCGGCTGTATAATACCCAAGTTTCACCCGGTAAAGGACACAGCAGTCATTTCAAGGATAGACTGCTCGGGCGGACGGTGTTATTCGTGTATTGTTTAACAGTATCCAGCGAGACCAGGTCCACCCACTACTAGTCTAATTTTTGACTCTCGTTGGGAGCTTCACCTGCGTTTCTGACGGCCTTTTTGGTGTCTAAGCATTTAGCTAGCTACTCTTATATAAGAGATGTATATCCAGCTACATATTACGTATTCGGAGTTTCCAGAATTCTTGTAAAAGCCATGTCGAGGGGAAAGACTATTGTTGCTTGCATCCGTGACTTACACAGCTCCTTCATAAATGCAGCACGAAGTGCTAGTTATCTGATAACAGCGGACTTCCTAAAAGGCTCCTGCTCGACGATAATGAAAAGGGGCGCGAATAGTGCGATGATGTGAAACGGAGAAGCATCTCTGATTGTTCTTTGAACCACAGTCTCATCTGGAACATATAAATCCAAAAGGACGCACCGACGTATCGTATCTCGTACCAGTAAACGGAAACACATGTATCATGTCATTAAGTACTGATGAAGCAGACGGAATCTAGCTCAATATAAGAATAAACAAGACTATACTCTATTTTTCCTCCACCTACATCTGTGATGTGAGGCATCCCGGTCACCTGTTATCACACCAAATGTACAGCACCCCAACGCCGAATGCGCCGACCTATGCTTCTTTTTTTGCATATACCGGTTGCTGCAATACTACAGAGCGTACGACTGTCCCATCCACACTATATGGAACAAGAGCCAGTATGGTACTAACAAAGACACAACGTTGGGCAACACAGCCTCTTGTTCTCCGGGTTCGGCTATGCCATAAGTTAAACAAGTTTGTAAAACAAGAATAATATTAAATCTGATGCTTTAGGACTCATCCTCCGTGTCTGTGTTAGTAGCACTTGTATCCGACTCCTCCTCCTCGGTGCCGCTTTCGTCATCGGAGTCATCATTTGCGACAGGCTTCCGCTTGGCGGTGGCGCCACCTTTCAAGGCACTCATTTGACCAGCAAGCGAATCTACATGGGTTATTAGCATTGAACGGGTACAGATACACTAGTTTCAGTAACTTACCTTCTTCAGGCTCGCTGATTTCATCTTCCGCCGCCATCTGGGCCGCCTTGCTAGCCTCTTCCACGGATAGTGTGACATCCAACTTGGTGTCGAAGCCGACGTAGCTGTCGCATATAAGGTGCATCACGAAGGTGTACTTGCCCGCCTGTGGAGGCGCCGCAAATTGAGCCTTCAAAGTCTGCACGTTGTAGGTGGGTTTTCCGTCAGGCGTGTAGATTGGTTTATCAAACGTTGTAAACGTGAAAGGAGGGACAGCCATTCTTTCTTGCTTGCTGTCTGACAAAAAGACGTGCCATTTTGGCGACTGGTCTCGAGCATAGTAAGGCGCGAACGTAATAGGTGGCGTGATTGACTTGTGTTCCTCGGTGATCAAATTCCCACTAGCATCTTTGACCGTCTTCTTGCGTCCCAGCATAGCGTCTAGATCATCTTCCGGTGGATCTACGTCTTCAAGGTCGATCTCATTAATAGCGGGTACATCGGTGCTTCCTGGTGGAACGAAGCGACCTTTGACGACAAATGTTACTAAAGATTGTGGGATGATGAACTTTTCACCCGTCACCTTGAAGAAGGCTGTTGCAACTTGGAAGTGGGGTAATTGTTTGGCAACTTCAATAACTGTTTGATATTGTTGCTCGTTCAGGAGATCTTTTCCGACCGCTAATTTTCTTCTCTGAGTATCAGGGAGCTCCATGAACTGTTGAACGCTCATATGGCTTTTCGCATCATCTTCAACCGCTTTCACAACAGCAGGGGTGAAATATGGAAGTTGGAAAAGAGGAGAGGCTTTCGGCGGGATCGCCTGAACAAATCGTTGGGCAATATGATATGAAGCCAACAGGGGTATTGTGTTGCCGTATGCAAGCGCTATGGCAGTAGAGGTGCGGCAAAGGGCATGAGCGATAGGTGCCACCAAATATTTGGCGCTGGTTAGGGCTGGGTCGTCCAATTCGACTCTTCCTAGATAAGCCCAAAGAAGAGCGAGGACCTTGCGCCTAACACCGCTCTCCATATGTTCCAATTTGTCCTTATCTTTGTCAGAGAGGCCGCCGGCATAGGGGGTAATTTGGCCCTTTTCTAGAATTCTCGACTCTAGTTTAGACAGACCAGACTCGGCTTTGTCACCTTTGAGAAGGGACCTGAACTCTTTCCCGGAACTCAGGGCCGTGATAAGATCTCCTTCATCAGTGACCTCGGTGTATTCGCGGAAAAGACTGTTCGCACTCTCAACCAAGACGCCCTCCTTAGTCAATCGCTGCGTACCATACCACCATGAGCCGACAAGATAGGGAAGAAGCACGCCTAGAAGCATAGCATAGACCAGCACCACATACTTTCCGTTTCCATCCGACACGATAAACTTGGGGAGGGCAATACCGATGGAGAAACCTTGCTTGCCATCTGGATGCCCGTATTGAATCCAATTGTTCCGGATGTCTTCATCGGTGAGGGCCTGGTAAGCCTTGGACATCTCCACCCACTTGTCGTTCAGTGACTCGACGGTCTCGTTCTTGGCCGGGTCCGGTCGAATCTTGTCCGGGTGGAATTTAAGACCGAGCTTCTTATAGTGGGATTTAATCTGCTTTTCGGTGGCAGACTCGGATATGCCCAGGATATCGTAGGGATTCCATAGTTTGGCAGTTGTGCGCTGGGTTGTGACGATTAGGTAGAGCATGCCGGCCATGATAGCCCATCCAAGGAGGGCAGCGATGGCGCGCTTGACCCTGCGCTGCTTTCGCCGATGCGCCTTGGCTTGCGCTTGAATGAGGTCGCCATGCTCGGGTTTGTACGAGGATTTTATTCGGGGTGCGAGGGCCTCTAGATCTTTGGATGGCGCGAGGAGGTTGTAGGTCAGAGGCAGAGTTATGATGGTGGACAAGGTGAAGATGAAGAAGGGGTAGAATTGACCCTGCTCGTCATAGGAGTAGTCTGAGCTCATGGTGCCGACGTGCCCTACGACAGGGTCTTTGGCGGCGGTCGGGAAGACGGGTGATTATGGATGAAGTTGACCATGAGTCGACTGTGGTTTGGAAGCGTGTTGCGTGCTTTCGTTGCTTCGCCTGGGATGGCTTTCACGTTCCACCGGATTCGAGTACCTACCTGTGTTGAATCGTGGCCTTCTTAATTGCCATGCCAAGGGTCTCCATCTGTACCTCCCTGATTTCACTGCGGTAATACTATCGATAAGGAGAAGCAATGTGGCTAGAAAATTATGGGGCCGTGAAACAATGCATGGAGCATCGGGTACCGAGTACCAAGTCGCGCTAGTTAATATAATGTACATATACCTACTACGTATTCATACATTATAGTAGGTAGTGAACCATCCAAGTTCTGCCTCCAAATCACATCACAGTTGTAACGATGTAATTGCTCCAATGGTGATAACCAACACCTGTGAGGATTTAGGTAGTCGTTCAGACTGGGAAGTACGGCATGCCAATTCATGATATGCTTGATACAGGAAGCGTTGTATATTACTACATTACTAGCATGAATTAGGATTGTTGTACAAGTTCTTGCAGGTCTTGTAAAACTAAGGCAGCTTCTTCAGACTTAGCGAAAACTGTGCTGCCTAATGGTACGGCAAGAATAGCAGAAGATACTGTACAGAAACACCCCAATTCTGGCTATTTGCGCAGTCCCAGCGTTTTATCTAATCAAAGGAATCCCGGTTCCAACCCTCTTCTTGTAGTCGGTGTAATCGTCCCCGAAGAATTGGACGAGATCACCCTCTTCAGACTTGATACGTGTTGCGAAGAATCTCCATAGAACGATCAGATACCCAACAAAGCATATTGGGTTACCTAGGACCAGCTGCGACCCGATCCCCCAATAGAAGAAGCCAAAATACGCAGGATGCCGTAAGAACGAGTATATGCCCGTAGTGACTAGCTCATGATCGTCTTTCTTTTTACGTTGAATAGTATGATTAAACGAGGTTCCGGCCTGAATCATAGCTAGACTCCGCACAGCCTGTCCGAGAATAACTAATATAAACCCCAAGAGGAGGAGTATGTGGCCGCTATAGAAAGGCGCCCATGCACGATTCGGGAAAAACAGCTTGGTTACCAGACATTCAAGCGAAGCTGCCACATGAGCGATGGCATACGCTGGCCAGTTGGCAGTCAAAAGGAAAGATTCGATCTTGGCCACCGAGGTATTGTACTTGGCAGTCGTCCAAAATTCCAAAAAGTGGAAGGCTGAGAGTGCGCCGAAAAAGAAAGGAATGCGCCAGAGGGGCGACGCAGTCAATGATAATATTAGGATAATAGCTGTTACAGAGACCGCGAGAGTGATACCGAGACAGAATGATCGGATAGCTATTCCCTCTAGAGACTTTGAATGGCCGGGGAAGTAAGCTAGGTCGGGCCGCAGCTGCGCATTCGGGACACGGGGACTGTGCCTAGGTAGTAATATATCGTCAGCATTCCACGGTGACGTACGCGTTGTGATTGGCGATATCGCGTCTACGACAAGCGAACGGCGGCGACGATGTCTCGTGGCCCATGGCTTCTCCTCCTCCGGATTCTCGTTTAGAGTTGGAAGCCGCGAGAAAGTAGGCGTTCGGGGTGGAGAGCCAGGGAAGGGAGGTGGAACAGCCAAAGGACTTAGAGGTTGCGAGTTCGAGTTGTTAGGCGACATTGCATCTAGCTGACACTTTGGACAGCATTGACACGATGCATACAATCGAACAGAGTGAACTGGAATGCCGATCGAGGTCTCCAGGGTTAGGGGAAAAGGAATCGAGAAAGGCGCTTGCTTACCTATCAGGCGGGAAGTCCATTGTTACACTCGGCGTCGTTTGTTTGCTAGACTAGCTCTCCGGGGGCCCTCGAGTACAAAGGGGGACTCAATTAACAGTCGCCATTACGCTCGGAAAGCAGAAGTTGGAACCCTGCTGTTCTTTGTTTGTTGGGTGAAGATGAAACGAGAGGTGGCACACGTTATTGTCCTTGAACAAATGAGCGGTGGTTAGGGGCAGAATCGCGGTGCGGATGAGCTTCGGCGTCACTCTGCCCCGCGGTGGCCGCCGGATAGCAGAAACGCAGACAGGGGTGACCTGACCCCACAGGGACCTTGAACAGCTTACAGATGTAAACCTTCAAAAACATGTACCGGCCCTTGTCTACACATATAGCAAATAGTGATTGTTTAATTTTTCGAGTATCATTGCTCAGTTTCAACCCAGGGACAGCCGCTTGTAGACTCATCTTTTGAAAGATCGAAAACCAGGGACAACCAGGAGATCTAACTCCCTACATATTTACATACCTAGCTCGCCTAGTACACTACAGGTAAGCAGCTTAGTGGGTTAGCGCATAGTACATAGTAGTATGTACATTGTCTACTCTATTACCACAGGTAAGGATATATTGAATGCCGAGGGGCCGAGGAATATCTAGCCGGCCTCGGACTGGAGTAGCTATTCTGGACAAATATCCTGCAAGGGAACCTAGATAATCTCACCTAGTATACTAAGTATACAAAATGGTTTAGCTCCGCTCGCCCCGGCACCCCTTTGCGTTCTCAGTGGATTTCTGTGCTCTTGTTATCATGGCTTTGCGTGCAGTAGACCCAGAAGAAAACAAGCGGCGCATGATCAATGGGGACCTTTATTTTGCTTTTACCCCGGATCTCATAGCGGATCGCAAGAAATGTCGTCAAGCATACGAACGTTTCAATGCTGCGGGCGAGGCTCCCAGACGAACGCTTATTGAGCTATTCCAGAAGTAAGGTCACCCTTCTCGTTCAGGCTCTGGTATTCGTCTGACAAGATTCGAACCAGAATAGTAGATGATAAGACACCCTTGCCACCACAGGCAGGGACGCCAGAGGATGATGAAGATCTGTTAGGGGACTTCCCCTGGATTGATCGTCCTGTAAAGATGGACTACGGCTATAACGTAAAGTATGTGTTTCTAAGGCCAGCGTTAGTGGACACAGCTCACAAAAGAAGGGTTGGCAAGAGTGCATACATCAACTGTAACTCAACCTGGATTGATACATGCACTATTACTATAGGCGCCCGAACTTTGATTGGGCCGAATTGCTCTTTCTTCTCGGGTAATCACCCCACAGACCCCAGGGTGCGAAATGGTACGAACGGCCCCGAAGATGGTGCCCCTATTGTCATCGGCGAGGATTGTTGGTTAGGCGGTAACGTAATTGTCCTTCGTGGGGTTACTATCGGAAGAGGTACGACAATAGGCGCCGGTAGTGTAGTCACCAAAGATATTCCTCCTTTCATGGTCGCGGCAGGAAATCCAGCGAGGGTTTTAAAGCCGATTCGAGAAGTGCCTACGGAGGAACTACCGCCTGGGTGGTCACCCCCTGAGAATATCCCAGTCTCTGAGGCATAGTCACTACAGACCGCCTTGATAAGTGAAGGATGAGATGATTAGAACTAATACATTGATGAGACCCCAGATGAAGGGGATCCATGTTGACATTTTGTAGCACGCAGCTATATAGACGGCGCCAAGTCTAGTGATAAATGATCAGTACAATCCTAGAATGATGACGGGTCACCCGGTTAAAAGGGGGTAGATCCTTACACAGATCCGACGATGCTTCCGACAACGAGAGCTTCGACGCCAGCCACTACTGTGTATACGACGGGAATGGCAAATAGATACTTCCATATTGACCTCGGCTTGCCGACCTGCATCAGCAGGGAGATAGCGGTAGCGCCAAGGTGGAATCCAATGAAAAGGATCAAAGTCCAGATAAGAGTAAACCGCCACGAGTCCTGAACGGTATATATTGCGCAAGCATGAGGGGGCCAACAGAGAGAAGGGAATCGTGGAACAGTATAGTCGGGTGGTGGATAGTTAGGGCAACTCTTAGTTGAAGCCATCTTGAGATGCTAGCCGACAGCCCAGCCCTTTGCGCATCAAGTCCGGCCGTCGTACCAGGGCGAAACGATGTGTTTATAGCATTTCTTCAAAGTTAGATTTCCGCTACGAATTCACGGTAGAACTGTTAGTTCCATAGAAGTTAGAGATCTGATGGAGAAGATAAAAAGCTTCCCGAAGAGAAGCTGGATCAGGTTGAAGTTGAGTTGGAAGCTCTTGCTTAAGTAGAGGTTGGATGTGACCCCTTACCTATGCAATTTAAAAGTTAGGTAGCTAGCAGGTAGAAGTACATGGCTAAAAGGGAACTACAGCGGTGTATGTGGGTAGCTGAGACTCTTAGGTACCGAATTTACCAGGGGGTTAATAGGGCTGCCGGACCTCGGCATGTGGTAGGTAGCTGACGCCAGTGTGGTGTTCAACGTCCAACTACCTACCTACCTACCTCGTAAAGCATCAACAAATAATTCTTCGCGCTTAGAGTCTCCCATTAGACCAAGGATAGCGGTGGTTCGCGCGAGCTCGCCATGACTCTAGTAAACGGTTTCTAGAGGTCAATCGCTATCATGCCTGCCGACCGATTGCTCAACACCGTCCTCCGGGCTTATCAAGATGCCCCAAACGCCTCTCAAACCGACAAGATCCTTGGAACGACGAACTCGCTCCTGACTAGCCTCACCAACCCCCTTAACCTTTCTCTTCTCACATCGCATTTCTTAGTCGCCCGCTCGATATGGCAGCAGCCCGATGGCTTGCGCACCTGTCTCCGGATCATAAGCATCTTCAACACCGCCGCGATACACGTGCGCCGAAATGAGCTCGATAACGCGAATCTACCTGCAGGACAGCCACTGGTTGGGAGCGGCGTTAGTGCTCAAGACTGGGCTCGTGCTGTTGCAAAGGGCCTAGATGACAGATCCAGCCGGTGGCAGCACACACTGGTCCTCGCAGGCATCTTGATGGGCATGGAGGGTGAGGAGAGGAGGTCTCTATCATGGGGTTTACGGTCCACTCTCGAGCAAGCTGTAGCCACATCAGCCAATTTGGCCTTGGAGGATAACTCGCGAACTGGAGCATTGGGCAGAGGCGCTGTTGCATTAGCTCTGACATATGCATTTCCTTTGCTCTCGGGCGCCAACAAGGCGCTGCTCAACGGCAATGCCCTTCTGCCCGCCGTAGTAGAAGCTATGCTGGGTGAAGAAGGTTTCCAAAATGGCGATTTCATCCTAGCGATAGAGCATGATCTAACACCACCACGCAGCTTCGGGTGGCCTGCCAGCTCTTCCTCGGTCAATCGCATACAGCAGCTTGACTCGCGACCTCTGGCGCAAAACATGGGCCCTCTGTCTCGGCTCGGTGTCTTCGCCGTTGAACACGCAGGAGACTCAAGCATTGTTCTTCGCGCTCAGGACAGCCTCCTGTCATTCACAGCTGGCGTGTTAGAGAAGTGGGAACATTGCGCACTTTCATTAGTTGATCATTCTGTCGAACCAGTCAAGCTATCACCTGAATTACTTCAAGGACCCTGGCCGATGCTCTGGCAGCTGTTTAAAAAGATTATGTTTGCGGTTGTATCAACACTACAACCTATAGTCGGCCGGTGCCTTCTAGACCCTCGTCTACGCACTGATAGCACAGCGCCAACGCTTGCAACGAAGACACTCCATGTATTGCGAAATCTATCTTTTATCTCGTCGCGACAAGGCGGGAACCCATTCCAAGTTTACTCATTCACTTATCTCACCTCCCTCGACATTCTAACTCGATACCCTGACGCCTGCACCCATTTCCTCCAAGAAACGCTTCCCCAACCAACGATTAATGTGCCATCACCTGTACACCAAGCGCTAGCACTCTTCTACCTCAACACAGCTGAGCATCTCCCTCTTTCTCTCTCGACGCCCTCAGTCGAGGCGCTCGTGATCGCGCCAGCAAGTACGAACCTCTCACCTACTTCTTGGCTTATCTCACCAGCCAACACGCCACCATCCTCTCTAACTCTCGAGCTCTTCGAATCCTCGCACGCGGCCCTCCTAAGTGTATTCTCCTGTCCACAGCATAGCGCGCTCACCGCACCCTTAATCCCTTTCTACATCGACACCTTACTCGCCGCTTTCCCGACGCGCATTTCCCCGCGGCAATTTCGCCTTGCGTTCCGCACCGTGATGCAGGTCACAAGTCCGCCTTATCCCATCTCAATCACTCACCCCGAGCTCTCAGAAACGCTACTCGAAATGCTGCGATTCCGCGCCGAGAGCGCCTCTACCACTCCGCTACCCCCAACCCCTGACACACTATCTTCAGCGAATCAGCAGGCCGGGGCCGCAACACCTTTGATCTCGGAGCAGACAACGCTTATCCTGACCCTTACTGATGCCCTACCGTATCTGCCCCTGCACCTCGTCAACGAGTGGCTCTCGCGCGCCGCCGAAGCAAGCATCGCGATCGCGGACCCACAGATGCGCGACTTCGCGCGCCACAGGCTATGGGAAGTCCTCGCCAACGGCGAACTAGACGTCGACCGTGCCGTCGTCGGCGTCACGTGGTGGGGGACGCAGGGTGGGCGGGAAATAGTCACTGGGGCTGGAAACGGACAAGGAGAGATGATGATGAGCGGCGCGCTCACGCAGGGCGAGGAGGAAAGCAGCAGACTGTAAATTACACACCGATGTCTTTCTTAAAGGCCAACCGCTTTCTTCGGGTTAAATGATGAAGCACCTAGAGTAGACAGGGGGCGTCTTTGAACAGGCTGTAGTACATATACACTACAAACAAGTCCTATAAGTTACTACCCCACAAGAGACACGAGGAGACAAGATGGTGGTACCAAGAAGCCTCCTCTTGAAACTTTCATGATAGCGTTCGATATCCCTTACATCAGACAGAATTAATACACTTCAGAAAGCACTGGTAGCTCAGTAAGACTGGATTTTCAATGTACGAAATAATTTGTACACACTGTTGTTTGTTTTCCAGCCAGTAGCTTGCTCAGCCCTATCTTGTCAGCCCGCAATTTTCAGCTTTGACCCTTAATGCTGGTAGTGTATAAACAAAGTTTATCCCTTTTTACTGTGATTCTGTATTCATCCATAAACGCCGGTGGCAGTCTGTGTGCCGATGTAGGTATTGGTGCCTATCCCTGATGAAGCCAAAAAACAAAACCAAAAATTGTATGTATGTACCAGTACCAACCATCCAATGTGGTTTCCTAATTTCTGTGATTGTAAAATGCAGAGCTATTCGTAATCTCGTCTTGTTTTTACTCCTTTTTCCAACATGAATCTCAATGCGCGTCTGAATTAAACGCATTGCTCAGTCCTAGCAGCGTCATGCCCAAGAATGCAAACAGAATGCTCAAGTTCTGGTTGTGATTCAGGCTCAAACTCTCGACAAATAGCTGCAGAGCGACACTGACCATGATACCAGACGTAACGGCAAATAAACAGCCATAGGCTACGGCATCGGGAGTCAAATGCGTGTGATTGGCCAGCTTGAACCATGCAAAGGCGATCCCAGCGCCAAAAGGCTGACTTAGACCACCCAAGAGGAAAGCCCAGAGAATAGCTTTTAGCCGGCTGTTCAGCGCCATGTACAATGGTAGGGCAAGAGCAAAGCCTTCGGAGATGTTGTGTACGAAAAGTGCGATGAATACATTGAACCCCAAAGCTGGGTTGGCGTGGTTTGTGGCATAGGTTATGAAGCCTTCGGGGAACTTGTGCAGAGCGATAGCTACTGATGTTTGAAGTCCTATGGACATGAACGCATTTTCTGCGACATGGTGGTGATGTTGCGACTCGAGATCGTCTGAGTAAATCGAGTCGCAATCAGGATCGTTGGGTGGTCGGCTGCCACGTGACTGTGCGCGGCTTCTACGTTGCGTTGGACTTACTTGTGAGAGACCCTCGCTGTCTTCGTCTACTCTGTCCATACTTGCGCCAGCGTAGGCCGTATTTGTTCGAATGAAGGTTGCCGCCCGCGAGATACCATTGCATCGAGTTGTCAAATGTTTGAAGCATTCCTGTCCGCAAGGATCTGTATATCCGAAGCAAGGCCCTAATTCGTCACAGTTGGTCTTGGTGTCTTTCATGAAGGACACAACCCGCTTGGGTACTTCTAGTACAGATGGCCGTCGTACCCCAGTTTTGGCCCGGTCCCGGGTTGGATGGTCAAGTGGTGTGGTATGATCGATCTGGACGGACTTCGCCCTCCTAAGAGCATCGCACCCATTTGAATGAGAATGAGGTGTGTCGTTTTGGTTTCCTAGTAGTGGAGTTGATTCACTTGGATGTTCATTCTCGTCCACTTGCTCTGTTGGATGCTTTGGTCCGTTTCCTGACGCATAGGGGAGCGCATCACGCTTGTCAACGCTGCGAGCCCGAGATGATCGTTTTTGAGAACCACCGTGAACGCTTCCATTTACAGAGTGTTCGCCATGGCTATGATCGCAGTCGACGACATGTGATGGCAGGAACTGATGGAACAGCCTCGACAGTATTTGAATGCCTACGAACCCACCAACAAAACAGCCCATTAGGATGAGGCTCGCGTGGTTTTCTGGAAGATCAGCCTTTTTGAGATATGCTTTTGCCTCCGGCAGCATACTATTCAATGACATGAAGAGCTATATATTCCAATATTAGCTGTCGTGTCTCAAAGGACAATACGTCATATATGGATATGTGGAGTGGCCGCACCATGACACCAAAACTCAAGCTCAGTGAGCAGGCTAGGAAGGTATTGCTGTCCTGGATCCGAAATGTTTTTTTGCCAGGGAATAATCGGACAACGACGTCAACGCAGACTATGGCTGCACCGAGAACACAAGCTACACAACACAGACAACTGCCGTTAGTATGGATGTTCAGCAGAAGTAAAGCCTCATGCAACCTGAGTGATTGGTGTTATACATACCAATTCCGCTCACGATACACATAATCCACCCTCTTAGGTCGTTATCAATCCCCGCGTTGGCCATTATAGATGCGACGGACGACGTAGCCATTATGCCGACATGCAGGGACCGTAGTATGCTCTAGTATGGACTATTGCCGCTCCCCCCTTTTAACTTATTACTCGTCTACCTCACTCTCACGCTCTCGCATGTGGGATGATCAACGAGGCATGGGCTCGCGTCTTCGCAGCAAAAGTGTCCCGTTCGGTTCGGCCAATCTGATTGTAACTGCGGAATGGGGGAGCTTGAACGGTCAAGCGACACAAGGTTACGACTTTAGATAATTGATTGAGCAGAGGCAGGCGGTGGTATAATAATGCGAAAGTATCTTGAGACGTCCAAGCAGAAACGTCCCCCAAAAAGAGGAAGATAGGTAGGTGTATAGGAAGGTGATAGTTGGAGATGCAAAGTAGAGGTGAAGATGATGCTACAAACAAGAAAAAAACTCGGAGGTCGCAGGAATCTGAGAAAACAAATCGATATATACCAGGTAGATAAATCTGAAAGAATACCTCAAGAGGTGTACGGAAGGTGGGCGGGCGGACAATGGAGGGACGGTATCCCGCATGAAGCGAGAAGCAGCAAGCCTCAAGCAGCAGGCATCGAGGTCACCTATCGGCTGCAGGGGCTATGACGCCCGGGCGCTACGCTAAGCTAAGCATGGGCAGTAAGTACACTACGAAGTAAGTACATGGGGAGCCCCGCCGCAAACAGCACAGCACCGGCACAGGACGGGCAGGACGGGCAAGACGGGCGGTAGTTGAAAAGTTGTAGTGGATTCGCGAGGGACATGATTGGCTAGGCTGACCCTAGGCTAGCCAACCTGATCCCGACCGAGATCAGACAGTACCATACGAAGAGGTACAGAGCAGTAGTCGAGGTAGTAAAGATACAACCACGTATATATACTATATATGCACTATACATGCGAGAACCTCAGTATTGGGAACCTTGATGGCCATCTACGTGTATGGATGCGACGCTGCTCCAGTCCGCTCCAGCACCCCCTTTCGGCCCTATCTACTCTGTACTATCATGTAAGGATATGAAGTTTTCCTGGCTCTGTATTTGCGGACCCATGTAAAGGCATGGGTAGTTTGCCACGGTATCTCGTTATACTCGAACCACCGAAGACTACGATTTTATGCAAGTATCTCGACTTCATCGTAGTGGGGCGAGATGCTAGCGCCCAAAAAGGACCTGACAAGGCACACTTTACCCAACATAAGGGAGTAATCATTATTAACATCAATAACATATCATTGGTGCATGAGATGATGTGCTACGGGATGCATTGGCTAAGTCAGGACCCTGAACTCGGATGGTTCTTCCTGTGCTACTATAAGTAAGTAGTACTTATATAGCTAAGTACCCATCTAACCTATATATGTTAATGCCTAGCCTTACTACGTCCAGCAGGTGTGGGTACATCCGAGTGTTGCAGCTGTACATATGATATCGTGGATAGTTATATGTGATGGAGAACTTCGACAGTCTCTGGCGGGTGAACCGACGTCGATAGTATCAGACGAGTGATTTTAGAAAAAGACAGCAGCAAATACGTCATAGCCTAGGCAAGGATCTTACTGAACGAGACGGTTTTCAGATATACATACCTATATAGTAGCCAGGGCAGGTGAACATCACTTATGCTCCTCTGTAGACCGAGATATTTGCTGCGTGATATGGATAAGGAAGCGTCACGGGTTCGAAGCTTGAGTCATCAAGGATGGTCAAAGACGAGCCAATGGCCATTTCTGCTGTTACCTGCAACTTCACATAAGCTGGGACCCTTACAGTATGGCAGCTGTCACCACATGGTCAAATGTACCCAGACATTCAAATACTGGTATGTAGCTGTGTAACTGTAGGTAGGCGGTTAGATACCTTCATGCGCCGGTAATCTATGTACTTATATTAGTTGGGGTACAGATGACTCGGGTCATTCATTCGTTTACTCGGAACAGCCCGCACTTTGCATTTACGGCTTTGATTGGCTGCCTACCTACCTAGGTACCTAAGTACCTACCTAATGTAAAGCCCTTAGCCCTCCAGTTAAAGACCCCTGCCACTACTCGCTACCGCTCGTCACCTCGCCTCGAGGCTGAACCCCATTACTATGTACATGCAAAAATTCCCACCCACACCGTCTGGATAAGACATCTGCACCATCCCACACCACCACGAGGGCTTTGCATTGCCCCCCTCGTGAGCCTCATAATCGCCCGCAATAAACGCGCCTGACAGTTCCTTCAGCTGGTCTGTCATCGTTATCTCTGCCCTGTTCCTGCCTTCGCGTTTGCCCTCTATCGCATCTATAAAACCGATCCCGTCAGCTCAGCTCCAAGAGGAGCCCCAGCCGCCAACATGTCCAAAAGTACACTTGCAATCATTGCCGCTGCCAGCGCAGGAGCTGGTGCCGCCCTCACAGCAGCCATGTACTCTTCAAGATCGCAATCCGAGCGGAAGCTTGACACCGCCAATAGGACAGTATCTACAACCACCACAACCGTCTCAACCAATGCTACCTCGGCGCCCGTTCCCATTCCCTCCAAGCAAATGTTCACGCCTCCAAATCAGCAGTATCCCCTTTCTACCTCAGCTCCCGCTGCTCTGGGCGGTCTCGCGCCCGTAGACCCAGCTGGACTATTCGAGTACGGGTTTCCTGGTCCCGTAGCAGACATCGCAACCCGACAAGCCCTGGTATCCTCCTTCGACCGTCGGCTACGGAATCCTCACTGGGTCATTGAACATATAACGCCCGCGTCTGTAGCGATGCGAGACGGCGACCGGAAACACAGTGTATTTCTTGAAGATGAAGGAGTGCCAGAAAAGTTTCGAGCCAAGTTAAAAGACTACTTCCGATCCGGTTACGACCGGGGCCACCAGGTCCCCGCGGCTGATGCAAAGTGGTCACAAAGCGCCATGGACGAAACCTTCTACTTGACCAACATGTCGCCTCAGGTCGGCGAGGGCTTCAACCGGGATTACTGGGCGCATTTCGAAGACTTCTGCCGTCGTCTCACCCAAAAATACCCCAGTGTCCGTATAGTCACCGGCCCCTTATACCTTCCAAAGCGCGACCCCGCAGACAACAAGTGGTACGTGAAGTACGAGGTCATCGGCAACCCACCCAACGTTGCTGTGCCCACACATTTCTACAAGGTTATCTTCGCCGAGGAGGGCGGCTCAAGCTCGCCCGGTACGGGTAAGGTCGCCATTGGCGCCTTCGTTCTCCCCAATGCGCCCATTCCCAACGAGAAGCCGCTTGCTGATTTCGAGGTCCCTATTGAGGCCGTGGAACGAGCAAGCGGTCTCGAATTCGCCTCAAAGCTACCTGTTCAGCGACGGAAGCGTCTGTGCGCCGACGCAACCTGCGCCTTGATCATCAAGGACTACGCAGACAGACAGAAAGCGTTCAAGTCTCCCGGTCCGAATGCCGGTGCTCTCGTCAAGGGACAGAAATAATTTAAAGACGGGGTCCACGCAATAAAGGATTGAAATCATGTATCGAAGACAAAACCATCTTGTACAATAATCCAACCCCAACGATGTGATGCCAAGGTGGAGGGGTGCATTAGATCCGTGGGTGAACCGAGATTCATCATGTAAGGGTGTAATAAATCATGTACATACTCCCTAGTTTATTAGGATTGGTAGGCCATACTCCCCATCTGTGAGCCTCTCGTAGGGGCTTAGATGGAATTAGCATAGCATAGCGTAGCATACATCATACCATACTATACTCACGACATAAGTGATATTGAAACGTATTCCCACAACTAAATCTACTCCTGATCATTAACATTCAAATATGTTACTAAAGAAATGGTTAAATAGGCACATAGGTAGGTCGTAAACCACCATCTTACCAGACCGCTGGATAAGAATAATTACAAAACTAAAGTCAACGCATAATATAATATGTACGTAGGTATGCATATAAATACTTGTTATTATGCGCAATGCCCTACTCCTCCCAACGCCTTTTGATCGTATAGAAAAAAACGACCTTGGGTATCTGGATACTACAACAACTACTTTCCAGCATGTTTTCTAACTAATAGTACAACTGTTATGCCCCGTGCTTTTCCCTGCTATTTACGCTTTGCTCAGTATCCCATACAAGATAGACAATGTCGTGCAATCCCCCACACTATTTGAACGAGGGACTTTCAAACTCGACTTCGTCATTTGTGCTTGGTACACCGCGGTCTCTTTCTATCCCGTGAATCTTACCTTACGCGCGTATAGTTCCCCTTTTTCTGTTCCATTCGTAGACTTTCTTCCTGACTGGGTAAAGGCGCCCTTCCTCTACGGGCAGCCTCGTTAGCGAGGTCAGCAGGGCTAGGCACTTGGGGCGGAGGTGGGAAACCAGGCGGTACCGCGAAGTTGGGCGGTGGCATGAAGCCTGGTGGCGGAACCATATTAGGAAGTGGGGGAGGAGGAAACCCTGATTTCTGAATCAGCTCTGCAATCTTGGCAAGGTCGGCTGGGTTACTGGGATCCAGGCCAGGCAGCGGTGGAGGAGGCGGAGCGCCGCCATTAGGACCTGGGAGGGCGAAAGGCAAGGGTGGCGGTACTGTTGCAGTGGACATGCCACCAACACCAGGGATTTGCAGAGGCGGCGGCGGGACACCGTTCGCTGGCAACGTGAGGCCGGGGAGACCGGGGAAAGCAGGAACCGACTGTCGAAGTGGCATCTTTTGGTCAACCAAGCCTTCCATTTCATCTTCAGCTTCCTGTTCCTCTTCTTCTTGTCGTTGGCGACGGCCACCTCGTCGATCCCACGTTCCTTGAACTTCAGCGGCCGCCTCACCAATGTGATATCTATCTTGGAACACGTCCGTATCTCCAGGTCGGTCTCGAGACCAGAATCGTGTTATACGGTCGTTCGACCCTGACGCTAGGATATGGCCATTCGGGTGCCAATCAAGAGACCAGATTGCAAAGTCATGTGCAAAGGGGATTTTATGGGCTGGAAATATGCTCTGAGCCGGCGCTGCCGATGGATCTGAGCTTTCGTATACGGCCGGATGGTTCGGCTGGCCAGCTGGCGTGTTTGGCTCATCCAGGAGGTAATGGTGTAGAGAACCTTCGTTGCCACCTGTACTAAGAAGATTTGAATGTATCGGATGCCAGACCAATGTTGAGATATCCTTCTCATGCCCCTTAATCAGACATATATCTCGCATCATCCGTATGTCGAATACCCTAGCAGTCTGATCACGTGCCGATGTTGCCAGACAATTACCCATCACCCGTTCAAATAGTGTTTTAGTGATATTATTCTTGTGGCCATGGAGGGTGGTAAGACAGCGTTGTGTCCGTGGGTCCCATAGTTTTACCAGGTGATCTTTCGATCCGGATACAATCAATCCTTTTGTCGGATGCCAATCGCAGCTTTTGGCATCCCAACCGTGACCTTGGAGTGTCGACTCAGCTACTCCCCCAGCGAAGTCAAAGATCTTGAGCGTCGAGTCATCCGAGGCAGTGACAAATTTAGAGTCGTTGGGACCAAAGGCAATATCTCGGACAGGGTCACGGTGACCTTGTATAGCCTTAACGTTATTGAAGTTGGGTTGCCAATATTTGATAATGCCATCATGATCAGCTGATAAAAGCCAATCACTGCTATGAGAATAAGCCAGGGCACGGATAGCAACATCATGAGCTTGCATGATGGTCTCAAAGTTGAAGCCAGTGCCATTCCAGAGAGTGAACTCGCCACTGCTCGAAGCTGTTAATAACCTTCTGCCATCTGGCGTCCATCGGACGACATTCACTGGATGCTTTATTTTGTTAAGCGAAGAATGTAGATGTTTGGTAGGAACAGTGTCAGCGGGATCTGTTACCCTAGCTAACGGCGGGAGCATCTGCGTTGAAGATTAGTGTCTATGGACATCTCAATTGTCTCGGGATCGTGCTCACATCAGTGACATAACTCGCGCTAGGGCGCTCCAGCTCACCGCTGAAGGAGCTTTCAAAGCGCGTCTGGCGATCTTGTATCCATTGCGACATGGTGGAGCCATAGTCAGTCACAGGGCCTTCATCATTTGTTTGTCAGCAATGAGCATGATACTTGAAGGCAGATAAGACGATATCAATGAGGCAAAAGCTAGAGAGATATTCAAAGAGGAACAAAAGCCACAGACGGCATGTCCACAGCCGAGTGAAGGGGTTGCATTGCTAGTATCTCAGAAGGCATATGCCTGCCAGACCTATGAAACATCGCCCAATATGAGTAGATTGAGAGCAGGGCACTTACGGCGACCTCTGGCCCTCACGAAACCGCCTTCATGTGAAGGACCGGACCCGCCATGGTCCCCACGCGGCTCGTAGGCCATGATGGCTCAATCTCCCTAGAGTATCAGTGCGATTGGTGAAGATAGCCGCACGCTACCTAAGCTCTGTGATGTGCGAAACGGATGAGAAGTGGTTGGCGTAGGCGATGTTTATGGAAGAATGCGAAAAATAAGCTGAAAGCTGATTATGATGAGATATAAATGAAACTCAAAGAAACGCAGCAACACAAGAGTCTATCTGACATTGATGAAGATGCCCTGTCGCATAGGTAGAACGCGCCGCTACCTGCTCGAGAAGCTTTCAGCCACGGTCCAGTCAGGCCTTTCCAACCTTGGAAGCAGTATTGTGGCTGGTGAAGCAAGGCTGTACTTAGGTACCTACAGGTATACATCTTGGCGTTGAGCTATGTGGCTGTGCGCCGTTGAAACCCAAAAGCTGGGGTCTTAAGTTTGGAATGGAACAGCGTTGATGCCGTTACATCCATTCAAATCGTTACCCGTTTTCCTGTCTTCTTGGGAACTCCACAGAAGCTCTAAAGAAGTAAAGTGCCTGGATGTTTGAATGCGTATTTTGCCTAGGCGGCTAGGTAGTCTAAGTCAATACAATAAATATCTTTGAGAGACCCATTTTCACGTGTCAGTATGCTACATGTATTACGGGACCGGTATATCAATTGGCTTCTCAATCTAAAGAAGCTTACACTGATATTTTATACTGCTAATGTAATAATATTCTCCTGTACGGTCCCGCCGCAAGGGAGATGCGCCTCGGGAAAATGCGCGAAACCCACCCCTGTCAGCAAAAATTTAAAGCCCTGGTTACCTCGTAAGACATTGAAACCTCGGCATTGCTATGCTCCCTTATACAGTCTGTACTGCATGTTGCCAAGTTCGAGATCTCAGAGCCAAGGTATTTATTTCTGCCACGAGCTTGCCACTATGATCAGGTGTGGTGGCCCAATGGTTGAGCAGGAATAAGCTGCTTCGTTACCTATGGTAGCAGTTCCTGATGCCACCTTGCTACCTACCTAGGTAGGTACTTATGTAGGCCCCATGTGTGGTGATGCACAGTTGCCAGTGGCGTACCAGAGGCGTACCCATGGCGCTATGTCCGCATGCCTTGGGTCTGGCTTGGGCACATTAGCGAGCTAGGTACTCCGTATCTGTCCGTACAAATACTAGTAGTTAAATTGAACAGGCGCTAATACGCGTGTAGTAGGTATGGTATAATCGTCAGTGCCCCTCCATCTGCTTTCGGCATGGTCCGGTTCTCGCTGATGTCAGTATCAGAAGAGAACGCCCGGATTATAACAATCCACGCTGCTCTCGATGTTGCTGGCCATGCCAATTGACATGCATACGTCGACAAGAGTCTTTCCAAGGTTGTGTTGGAGCTTCCTATCAGATCCCTTCGCCCTATCTAGCTAATCTGGGTAGAGATATCTTGCCGAGATAGGTCCCTACTTGGATATAGCCAGCTCAGCCACTGCTCGCCCGCCTTATCAACATCAGATTTCATCCAAACCATCTTTTCCTCGACTTTTCCCTCGACTTTCCACCACCCTGATCAAGTCCCTTTGTTTCACTGCGTTACCCCTTATCATTGGTCCAGGGTATTATAGCTGTTCTTCGGAGAGTTTTACGTAGAAAGAAAGTACCTTCCCGGCTCATCTCATCCCTCCGCCTTTACTTGTCTGTTCCCTGTCCGTCCAGGGTAAGACCGAACCTAATTATCGAATCTCAACTGACTTACTTGCTGGCCTTTTCCTGTAATATCTATCCGACCAACATTCGATTCCTTCTCACCCGTTATTCTCAATTCTCGAAGTTGAGTGAAGGCCTCATGTATGACTAATGTAGCCAGATTCAATTCCGATTATTGAGTTAGCTAGTTAGCCAATTCGCCAGTCACTCATTCGGCTATCTAAAGAAAGTCGAGGCGCCATGGACTCGGCCACTACCACCAGCGTTGAGGCAGCCACGTCTGCTTTTCTCCGGCGAACAGAAGAGAGCAAAGAATTGCGGGAGAAAAGCAATGATCCACCCAAACCAACCGAGACAGCACAGAAGTCATTCTTCCGGGAATATAGACATGTAGCTGCTATACACTCTAAGGCTCGTCCTTCGACCCTGAGCCACGATACCCAGGCCTCTCCTAGCTTTGTTGGCTTTCGAAATCTAATGGTCATAGTGTTGGGTATGCCAATTGTCCATCCTTAGAAGAAGAAACTTGGCTGACGTGTCATAGTCGTCGGGAACTTGCGCCTTGTCATAGAGAATATGCAGAAGGTAGCACGCCCCGCGATCCGAGGTCATACTGAGAGTCTTTGCTGATGTGCCGCGCAGTATGGTAATTTAATCTGCCTCACATGTCACGATTTCCGACAAAAGGACGTCTTACTCGGGCTGCTCCTATACGTCCTGGTTCCGTGCCATCTCTTCATCGCACACCTTCTCGAGTTGGTCGCTGCGAAGCAAGCACGGATTTCCCGGGCCCAGTCAATCTCCAGGGGTGGATCGACAAGTCCGACAAAGGAAGAGCAGGCGAATTTCCAGTCAACATGGGCCAGCATTCGACTGGCGCACTTTTCCAATGCCAGTTTGGCTTTGGCAGTCCACAGTTGGGTGGTTTATTTTCATATTTATCACCCATTGATCGGTACTATTACTGAGCTCCACGTCATCATTGTCTACATGAAAGTCATGTCCTACGCTCTCACCAACAGAGACTTGCGGCATGCTTATCTACACCCTGTCAAGGGCGAGCTCGCCGCAGTCCCCGAGATATACGCATCATGCCCCTACCCCGAGAACATCACCATGAGCAATTTGACCTACTTTTGGTGGGCACCCACTCTCATCTATCAACCAGTCTATCCTCGCACCGAGAAGATTCGTTGGGTCTTTGTCTTCAAGCGGCTTGGCGAGACAGCGTGCTTAAGCGTGTTCATCTGGTTTTGCAGCGCCCAGTACGCAGCCCCAGTGCTTTGGAATTCCCTCGATAAGATGCATTCTCTTGATTTTGTATCCATCGTAGAGAGATTACTGAAATTGTCGACTATTTCCCTGGTCATCTGGCTGGCCGGTTTCTTCGCCCTCTTCCAATCGGCTTTAAATGCCTTGGCAGAGATCATGCGGTTCGGGGACCGCTCATTCTACGATGAATGGTGGAATTCCGCTGGATTGGGACAGTATTGGCGACTTTGGAACAAGCCGGTATACCAGTTCATGAAGCGACATCTCTTCTCTCCTCTGGTGGGTAGGGGGTACAGCATGAGCGCCGCTAGTTTGATTGTGTTTTTCGTGTCGGCTGTCTTGCATGAACTTCTCGTGGGTGTGCCTACGAAGAATATCATCGGTTCGTCTATTCCCCTGAAAAGTGTAAATTATAACTTATCTGACCCTTTCTTGTTAGGTGTTGCTTTTTTCGGTATGCTCATCCAGATCCCGCTAATTTGGATCACGCGGCCATTAGAGAAAATGCAGGGACCAAATGGCAAGTTGATTGGCAATGCCATCTTTTGGGTCTCCTTCACAATACTGGGACAGCCCTTCGCTGCCCTATTATACTTTTACGCGTGGCAGGCAAAGTACGGTTCGGTTTCAAAGACAATGGGTGTACAAGAGCAAGTAATGCTAGAGCACTAGTGCTGGAAAACATTGATTAGTACTTCAGGTTATAGATACTTTATGGATAATGATTAGCTCCCACGAGTCCCCGACGGCTTCTAATATAATACACTAAAGTTATGTTTCCATTGTTCATGGGAGAAATGTTTATCGTTATGTATCTAGGTAGACAAACAGTGTTTAAGTAGGGTTGTGCTAAAGTTATCACAATTTTGGGGATGGGCAGATAGAGACGTTTACGTCGATGTTGTGCCAACCCAGTCCTCAACTATCTAAACGTCTTGGTATTAGGGGAGACATGTAGAGTATGTCGAATCGACAGGGGCAGTGGTTGTTCGCTCATTCATGTTTCCTGCCAGTCTCTTGTGCATTGAAATGGCACATATATTCACTTATTTACCTTCACAAAACGAGGAGCCGTCATGACAATAACTACTTCGTACACTCTTGAGTCTATTCACCGATTACCTAGGTGGCTGGAACAATACATAGAGCTAGGATAAAACCCACCATAAAAGCTAGATGTAAACATACAAAACCCAAACAGCGCCCATTAGCCTCAATTACTATTCCTTCGAGCTTTTCAGTATACGTTTAATATGTCCGTGCGTGTATATATATGTAAGAGATGTGAATACGTGTGAAACTCTCCTTGCCTTGCGTCACCTCCTCCCCCTCGCAATACCCCCTAAATCAATTCCAAGACTGACAACAAGCAGCACGGCGTTGAACAGCGCCATCATATAAAACGGAGCGCCCACGGCAAGCGCATCAAAGAGGTATCCGCCCAACTTCGTGAGCAATAGGATCGCAGCGCCACCGCACCATGAATACACGCCCGCAATAGAGCCCTTGAGCTGGACACGGGAGACCTTCTCCTCTCCTGCTACTCTGTTGCCTTGCCCGAGTAGCGCGTCTCTTTCCTGGTCCGCACCCTCATCCGCGGAAAGAGGGCGAAGAACTACATCCTCGCCTAAAACGCCACGTCCCAACGAACCCAGACTGCACACAATGGCGCCGATCTGGCTGATACCCAACAGCGCGACAACGAGGAATACAACAGCGGACCCGCCGCGGCCGTCAACGTCCTTGAACTCCGGGCTCGCGAGCCGCGGGAACGCGACGTACCCCACAATGCCGAGCGAGGCGGCGACGAGGACGCCCCAGTTGACGCCACGGAAGCGGCGCGCGTTGACGTATCCGAAGACGGGGGCGCAGAGCAGCGCAATGAGCTGTGCGACGCCGCTGAGGGAGGCCGCGAGGACGTAGGCGGCGCGGCACTCGCGCTTGAGGTCAGGTGAGGGGTCATTGGGCGAGCCCTGGCAGAAGCCGTGCGACATGAAGTACGTGTTGACGTACAGCGGCAAGAAGAGCGAGATGGCGACCGTGCTGGCGCGCGCGACGAAGCCGCCGAGGTACCCGAGGGCGATGTGCGGGTCTGTAGCGCCGAGGCGAAGGGAGGACAGCAGGAGGTGGTGGTAAGGGAGAGGTGTGGAGGCGCGTGAAAGCTTGCTGCCGGGGGCAGAGTCATGCGGTGTCGCGCCGTTGTCGAGAATGGTGGGTGCTGTACAATCCCGATGCTTGAGCCCAAGGAGCATCCGCCACCCTTTTCCCTCTTCGCCTCTTAGTCCGCGTAGACCGAAGGCCACGAATATAGCCACGGCGAGCGATACGACACCTACGACGTAGAAACTTTCCGTGATAGCTTGCGCCGGGGTGACGCCTTCTTTCTTGGAGAAATACGCTGGTAGAGGCAGGAATAGAACCAAGGCCACCAGGGCACCGCATCCCGTGAACAAGCCGACGAGTCCGGCGAGCGCGGATGGTTTCCTGCCCTTCGTGTCCGCGTTCGTAGAGGAGTAGAATGCCTGGCTCGCACTACTTCCCCGTCGCACGGCATTCAAGGCCGCGCTAGCAGGCGCCGACTCGTTGAATCGCTCCGGCGTGATGGTGACATCGCTCTCTAGGCTGGCGGCTATGCTTGGGCGAGGCGCATGGGACACCCGGGCACCTTCACCAGCATCTGAACCATCCACATAGAGTTCGGCTTCTCCTTCACCGGTGACACCTGTGACGCCATCCATTGCATCGCGCTCCTCGTCGCCTGTCAGCACGGGCAGTATAGCAGTGACCATGGTCGCTGCAGCCGTAGCGCCGGCAGCGAAGAGGATGCGCGCAAGGATGAGCGCGGGGTAGACATTGCGGCACTGCACGAAGATGACCAAGCTAATTGCGATGATAGCGTATCCAAGGACGGCGACCCAGCGAACGCCCAGGCGGTCGCTCAGCAGGCCCCAGAGCGGACACGCGACGAGCGCGACAAGCTCGTCAGCGAACCCGAGCGTACCCACGATGTCTCCGACGCCCTTCTTCACGCCCAGCAGGTCCGTGATGACGAAGCTGACGGCGCTATTGAGGAAAACGAGGAACGATATGCTGAAGAGCGATATCCCGAGGAGATACGTGGCGGCCTGCAGGCTTGTAGTCGAGGAGCTGAACGGGAGGAGGCGGAACGTCGACGTCGGCGGCGACGACGATATCCGTGAGGGCGCCATCATGTGTTCGTAATCTTGACCCTCCACTCTTTCTCACTCTTCCAATGTCTTCCTGCTCTACCGTCGTTCCCCTCGATATCCGTCGCTCCCCCTCACTGACGTATCCCGGGCCGCCCGGCTCGTTATATGAAAAGATTATACAAGGCGAAACTCGCGCGGACGTTCAACAATGGGTGGTTTTTGGAGAGCGCGGGGCAAGTGAAGAGCTGAGCAGTAAAGTAGTCGTACAAGCGGGACGAAAGACCGGATAGGTTCGAGGGTAAGTTTCGCAAGCTGGCGATACCGGCGCAAGTACTCGCGGGTTCCGGTTTTAAGCTTTAGCTAAGTACTTATTCAAACTTGCATTTAAATGGGATAGGAAGGAAAACCGACGTCAAATCGTCACTGTCGCTACGCTTGGCGACGTGTTATAGTACCTGTCGCTGATGGATAGCTACATGTATGAAATAGGATAGGATAGCAGTAGCTCTGTCCAGACATCTAAGTACCTAGTTCCAAACTGATTTATCAAGGCACCTATGCTTGGGATGGAGCTTCCCCACAACCCATATCGTCTCACCTTTATAGTCAAATGGCTAGCTTAGAGTAGCTCAAACAGCCGACAACTCAAGTAAGTCCTTCATGTTATGTGGTAGTAATAGTATTAACATGAATCTGGAGCATTTATTAAGCGTCCGAACTTAACTGCCCAGGTAAGCTCTTCCCTATGCTTAAGGTACGTCATCTTACCCGAGTATATCCCATGGATCAGATGATACAGAAGTTCATGCCTTTTTGTATAATAAAACCTCTACTTCGCACTACCTACATGAATGAGTAGAGGGGGTATATGAGATGACAATTGAGCAAAGGGCAGCCAAGATTGCGATGTTCCGCAGAGTTCTATGTACAGACCTTCGAATATCCAGAGTTTGTTGTCCTTACTCTATCTTCTTCACTGCCTATGGATACCAGTGCCATTCCGATGCGGGAATTCCGCTTCATGAAAAAAAAAGAAATGAAAAAAACATCGTCTACCTAACGCCGGCAATGATGGATCTATTTCCCAGGATTCCAATCTTCTACAAGATGCCAAGTGTAATGCCTGAAGACTTCGCCAACACAACACAGATGTACAACACAAGGAGCGTCGTCGCAAGCTCGAAGGGGAGAAATATGAACGCAGCCGCCATCGCCATCACTCCTTGTCGGAATTGAGTAATAGTTTTCTCTAACTCCGCACCACGAGTAAAGTCATGAGAGGTTCTTGAAGCCCACCTGTCGTATCCACCACCCACGTCCCCATCCTCATCGTAGCTACTGTGATCTTGGTCCTGGTCCTGGTCGTCCTGGTCTCGGCTCTGCGTCTCATGCTTGTACTCGTAGTCGCCCGGTTCTGATTGTCAACCGAAATGGAAACCGCCGGGGAAGCCCTGAGCTCGTGTACGGCCACCGCCAAAGCCACCACCCGGGAAACCGCCGCCTCCACCGAAGCCACCGCCTCCATTCATCATGCTAAATAAGATTTCGGGATCGATGCCGCCAGCCATGCCACCTCCGCCACCAAACATTTCTGAGGGGTCAATAAGGTCCTCTCCGCTGTCATAACGGGCACGTTTCCTAAAAATCAGTATGTTAGCGATAATATTCAACTTAACATGACTCCATGGGCCAGATTACGTACTGGGAATCGCTCAAGGTTTCATAGGCTTCTCCGATATCCTTGAAGCGCTCGGCAGCCGATTCGTCGTCCCGATTCTTGTCTGGGTGGTGAATGATAGCCAACTTGCGGTATGCCTTTTTGATAGTGGCGTCGTCTGCATCTTTAGCGACGCCCAAAATCTTGTAGTAATCCTTCCGCTGACTCTTCTTGAGTTCCAGTTCGGCCTTTCGAATCTCCCTTACGATGGTACGGTCTTCTGGATCTAGTTCCTGGATCTTCTTCCACTCACGCACAGCATCCTCCCATCTCTCAGCTTGGCCCAAGGCATTCGCCTTAGTCTTTCGAGCCTTGATGTAAGTTGGATCTAAGGCCGTTGCACGCTCGCAATCGGCTACAGCAGCATCGTAATCCTTTAGCTTTAATCTGCATAGTGCCCGATTTTGCAATAGCTTGGCATTAATAGCTCGGTTTGAGGGATCGACGTCCAGCGCAGCTGTATACTTGTCGAAGGCCGCCTGCCAACGGCCAGTCTTGTAATCAGCATTACCCTCTTCCTTCATGCGGTCCAATTTCTGCACCGTCCTCAGCCATTTAACAGCGTCCCTGAAATCAGGATCGCCGCTCAAAGCTTTTCGGAAGTGCTGAATGGCTTTCTCGTTATCGCCTTGTGCATATAACGCCCGTCCCCTGAGTACCAGGGCCTCAGGATCTTGGCTATTCTGCCGTAATAAGGACATGGCCACATTTTGTGCCTCGCCTAGAGAGTTAGCACCCCCCATCTTTAGGTATGCATTGCCTCTCATAAGTTGCCATTTGCGAGGTCTGGTGGCGCCCGGTGCTAGTAACTTTTCAGCCTGGTCAATCGCATGTAAAACCATTGATCCACTAGTGCCGTTGTTGAGAGCGTCTTGAGCAGCTCTCATGTGATGCTGCATCTCCTTTGCAGCGGCAGTGTCCTTTGACGACGGTGGGGGTTGAATACGACCGAAGGTTGTCATGGCTTCATCCGGACGTCCTAGATTAGTATAAATCCTAGCAAGCCGAAGCAGGAACTTGGGGTTCTGGGGGTCCAAGTCAACAGCTCTGGAGCAATCCTCTAAAGCAGCGTCGTACTGCCCATCTGACATGTAAGCTGCAGCGCGATTGCTAAGGTAAGTCGATGAATCAGGCATCAGTTCAATAGCTATAGAATGCATTTGAGTCAGTCAGTAATACTAAAAAATTGAGATATCTGATGCGCACCTTGAGAGTATTCTTTAATAGCCTTTTTATACTGTCTTTCCTTGAACGATTTATTGCCCAATGACTTGTAATTCTCAGCTTGTTCGGCATCACTCGGAACCGGACTCGAAGGGTTTGACCTGTGCGGTGGAGGTGCCGGCCCTTCAGTGTTGACCTCAGGCCTCGATCCATTCGTGGGGGAGTTAATGGGTACAGTGAAGGACTTTGTCGGTTGCTGAGGAGGCGGTGGAGAGGAAGGAGGTTGTGCCGAATTTTCCTTGTCGACATCCATTTTGTCGAAAGAGTTCCGATGATCACTCATGGCAGCGAGGGCCGATAAGCGTTTGATCTCGTCCGGGTGCAAGTTCAGAGGATGCGTGTTAGGATCGTATTTGGCTCGTCGCGAGTCCGAAGAATGCCTCCCAAAGGAACGTGAGGATTTCGACTTGGATTGCTCGCGCTGCGGGTGAGCAGGCGATGCGGGGCGGGCAGATTTCTTGGTGGGTGACCGAGAAGAGCCGGAGGTTCTGCCAGGCGACAAGGGATCCGACCGAGAAGCCGCGACGTGTGGCCTTGACTGGGACGGCGACGGTGACGAATTGGCCTGGTGATGGATGTATTGGGGGGAAGGCGGAGGGTCGGTGTCGTCGCCAGAAGGCTGCTTCTTGGTAGATTTTTTCGAGTTGAAGAGGCCCTTCATTGGGAATGTAATATTTCGGAACCCTAAAGAACCTAGCAGGTCCTAGAGCGCAGGCCGGGGAGCAAAAGATATGGGTAAGCCAGCCAACTAAAGGTGCTAAAAAAAGCCGGGTTATAGCGGTGCCCACACCCCCAATATAGGCTATCTGATACCTGGGATGCCTTGTATAGGCAGGCCGAGGGATTACCTAAGGTGTAAGGATGCACCGCCCCCAACTTTTAGGTTTGGGTTCTGATATCTATTGTTCCGCCGACAGTCTTTGCTGAGAGCGCAAAGAACCGTAACTTGAGAGTGTCGAAGACTCGTCCTAGGTAGCTGGCCTCAAGGTGTGCCCTTCATGCAGGTCGCAGATCGCAGAAGCGAGGGGAAAAGCAAATTCGTAGGCGGGAAGACAAATTCTGACGAACAGCAACTGATGGTGTGTTAAATAACTGAGTTGGTTGCCAATTCTAAGGTTTGTTGCGTTCGTCGCCAGGCGCTTCTAAATAGCAAACCTTCGGCTAGCGTCGATATTCGCCGTTCTTGTCGGGTCTCGTTGTATCACGAACGAACAGCCTCGTTTCAAAGTTTGTCTTGCTCTTCGGTGGATGACAGCAAGCAAGCAATCTGGTATGACAGAACTCGAAAAATTGTGAATCGCTGGGAAACGGTCTGGTCGGAGTTGAAAGGTCGAACACTAGAACTTTGCGCTGGGTTGGAAAAAGAGGATCTCATGCGTGAAGCGGCGGGGGGTGGGTGCAAGAGTGGGTGAAATCTGAAGCTCGGATACAGTAAAGTGGAGAGCACGTCTGCGAGAAGAGAGACAACAGCCGGTTCAGTGCTTCGGGCCAAAGAGAGAAGAGGGAGTAGAGAGGAAGAGTGGTATGTAGGTTGACAAACGATTTATCAGCCCCTGGATAGACGATATAATGGTAAAGCAGTAGGTAGAAGGCACAACCCGATTATACAGCTTACATACATAGTACAGCACAACACAGCACAGCACAGCATGGCACAAAATGGAACGAGCAAAATGGATGGCACAGCGTGGCATGGCATAAGATGTACTAATACTATCTGAATAGAGCAACAAGTAGAACATACCTACTATACAGTACCGACTTGCACAAAAGCAGAATGTGATAGGCAGGATGGTACAGGGCAGAACAGGGGAAACAAACCCCAGAGGATTAGCCAAACATTCGTGGATAAAAATCATCAGGCTGGGGAAATAGGCAGCGTAGGCAGCGTTCTGGTAGTGGCCATAACCTAGCAGCGTAGCGTGGACGACGACGACGGTATTGGGATTGGGATGGGAAATTTTTGTGAAATTTGGAGAAACCGTCAATCCGCAGGGTCCGTAGCGTGAATAGGCGCGGGCAAACTGACCCCTCGAAGTCTCTGATACTTGGACAACCACGGCGGGATGGCTGGGAAGCACAGGTACTGCACAGGTACTGCACAGGTCGAGGCTACCCGCACAGAGCCCCCTGTCACATTCTCCACTGCGAATGACGACGGTCCCATATCCAGACTTTGGATACTCTGAGAACCAATGGCAAGAGGATCACGCTGCTTGTTTACATGGCTGTGCGTTTGTATTCGCCAACGGACGGTGTCGATGTCCAAGGTCGTTTCCACTGCGACGTCGCCTGCATCGGCCACAATCACGAGGGGCGGCTCCAGCCAGCCAGCCCAAGCCCGCCTCCAGCAGAAGAGAAAAAAAATTCGAGAGGCTGAACGCTCCGCAGACTGAAGCTCCCGTCCCCAAAGGAATGGCTAATATCTACCACCCACTCTTGGTAATATATTTACTTCGTAGAGTCGCGAAATTGGCGGCGGCCCAACTCCCATCGCTACGACGGTATCAGCATAGTGTCACACAAACGGTTGAACAACCCTTGCATTCCGAGATGAGGAGCTTTGGACTGTGCAGACGGATAGGCTTGATACTTAGGCAAGGACAGGGGCCCGTCGCTTGGTGTGTTCCGAGAGCGGCAACCCCCAACCGCTGTCACCGATGGGCCACTCACTTCCGTGGCCACCCCTGTCCTCGCTTTTTCCCTTCTCGGCGCCTTGTCCAGCCACGTCTGCACAAAAGTATGACAATACAAGGGACAAGTAGATTCTCGAACCTTCTGTGGATTCGTGGGGAAACGGAAAACGATTTTGAGTCCATGTCAGGCAACTTTGATCGTTTGGAACTCAACGTCTGACTGTACTGGGAGACTTTGTTGTGCTCATGGTCTCATGGTCGACTGCCCATGTCCGCTGCCAAACTTCTTATCGATTTGGACAAGACGAAAAGAAAACGTCATAGTCATTGATTGTAGCGCTGAATCGTGAGCATGCACTGCAACCTCTAAAACATTCCAGTTGTTAGTGGTATCAGGAAATACGCAAACTATCCCCGAGGATATCGATACGTATTTTTACATCCTATCCCTATTCAAGGAGAGCCATCGTGTTTACATAACTGGTAGACAACGTTGCATTTGTTTACACTGTCACGAAGTCAACAATACAACGTAAGAGTAACAGCATGCATACACGACGTGCCAGGCCGAGCTCAGGAATACTACCAGCCAGTTAATACAAACGCTGTTAGTCTAATAAGCTGTCTCATAGTGGAGATCAAAATTATGTTGACTCAAAGGCGAAACCCAGCTTCTATCTACAAACACCAGAACACACAAAGTCTGAACATCATCACATAAGTATTCATAAATCTTAAGAAAATCCCCAAAAGACGCATCGGTTTCCCCGCGGCTCCTGTCTACCCCGCACACGTAAAGTAGGTACACTAGATGCTTCCTGTGAGCTGCCGCTTCGTGAAATCACAGAAAAAGATTGGGGTAATTACGCGGTGTAACCCATGTTATGTTGTATAACCAGCAACAACTCTGAGATACAACACACAACCATACGTAGTTCAATCATCATGATGCCTTCAACAATTCATACGGCATACCCAGTAACATACAATGCCATAAATACGCACACGCAGACACAACGCCCATACCCTATACCATGATCCCAATACAGCCATGCCCACTTTCCATACAACCAAATATACAACCAACCAACTAACCAACTCATCTATCTACTCTTTTTATAACCGTCTCATTCTTCTGAATTCGCATTCGAATTGGCCTCAGACGACCCATTGCTTCCATTGACAGAGCTGACGAAATCCTGATACCTAAAGACCTCGCCGCGCCGCTGGCCTCCCACACTGCTCTTGCTGAACGCTCTCCTGCCGCTGAACCCGGCAATGATCTTGTCGACCTCGGCCGGCGTGGGCGCGCGCTCGCCCGGCTCGGGGACGGTCCGGAGCAGAGCGTCGCGCAGCTCGGCGACGTCGATCTGGCCGCTGTCGTCGTCGTCGAACGCCGAGAACGCGGACAGGAGTTCCGATGCAGGGGAGAGCGCCACGAGCACCGTGGCGATGGAGTTGAGGAACGCCGCGAGCGTGAGGGTCTGGGGCCCGCCGGGCGGGAAGAACTGTGATATGTCTGATGGGTTTGCCGGGAGGCCTGTTACACGGGAATTAGCCTTTATCCTTCGTCGTAGCAAGTATCTATCCATCTATATCACAACGATGACGATTGAATGTGGTCGCGACAGGCGTAGAATTGCAAGCACTCACCCAGCTGTGTTAACATGTCCATGACATCCTCCCTGTTCACAACGCCATCGCTATCCCTATCCATGATCTGGAACCCGTCGCGGAGCACCCGCACCTGCGCCGGCTGGAGCTGAGACAGCGCATTGCCATGTCCAATCGACTGATGTGCCGTCGTCGTCGCGGGCGGCGTCCGGGAAGGGATATTCGCAGACGCCGTCAGCGGCTTCTGCTGTGACGACGCCATATTATTATCCGAAGGCGCGAATAACCTGCGCGGCGTCCGACTCTCGCCGTTACTCTCGAGGGTCGGGGTCGGCGACGAAGCGCTCACAAATCTGGATGGCGAGAAATAACCAGCGTTATTGTTGCTGCTGTTGTGCTTGTTGGGGGATGGCGTGGGTGTGATCTGTCGGCTCGAGGACTGCGAAGAGGGCGACTCAGGTCTGCGGAAGGGAGAACTGCGTGGTGAACCGTAGCCCAAAGGGGAAGGCTTGTATCCTGTTGGCATGGCCTGGAGATTAAGTGGTGTTAGAGAAGAGCTCTTTTGCATCCCATCTCCCTACTACCTAGGCACTATTCTCCTAGGTAATGCAGAAGTGGACTGAAACAGTGGGTTCTCCTTTCCTCATTTACATACCATTGTCGCGACTTATTGCAGTACCTATTCCAGACTATCCCTTCCCGGAAGGCTTAGTAGGTAGTAGGGGTAGTGTAGATCCGAATGTAAACAAGTCGAGAATGGCGGTGACGCACTTTTCAGATGCAAAGCGCGAACTAACAGATTTCGGAGGATTTTTCGCGCAGAAGACAAAAGGATATTCTGTGTTTTTAGTGACGGCGAAATAATAATTGCAACAGAGAGTAAACGAGCTTCAAGATTGCCGTGTCGCACTCGCGCGCTGATGATGCACGCACTCAGACTGCGGGCGCTACGGTACCGCGCTGGGACATCATCCCCACAGCAACCATATCCCAGATATTCTGGGTTACCCCACTTAGATATACATACTTCATACTATAGTAAGTACCAGGCAGGTACGTCATCCGTAACTACCACTCTCAGTGACTAAGTATCATGAGCCATAGAGCACAAGTACTTAAGTTGTTGATTAATCAAGAAAGCCTTACTTAAATCATAAAAAATATGTAAATATTGTTCCCATCCTGTGAATAAATGGATATGTATTGGTTCTCTCAATGAGATATGTTATGATATCACAAGTACCAGAGAAGAGATCGCTACCTATATAACTCCGAAAATCAGAAATGAATTGTTCTTCACTTTGTTTGTGTTTCGACATTTTACTACTAAAAAATAAAAAACCATCCGTTTCGAGGTATGAAAAGCTCAAAACCTCGCTTTGAGAAATCCATATATTCAAGCCTAATCATCATCAACGTCATCCTTGTTCATCCTCATCCCATGCAAGCCCTTGACACGAAGGGTTAAAATGTAGCAGATACATACCAACACAGACGAATGCTATACATAAATCACTTTCATGCTTACAACTCATACTTCCAGCAAGCAGGCTCTTTTTTACATGGGGAGTGCTGGGTATGCCGGCTGAGAAGGTGGCCGAACAGGCGAATCAACTTCCATCGAGGAGTTTGAGCCAGGGCTGCCTGCCTCAAAGTCCTTGCGACGAAGACGATCGTTGACGTACTCCCTGAGGAATTCAATCGTGCGGACGTTCTCCAGCCAGATCTCGTAGTTTTGCTCCTCACGCTCACGAGCCTCCGAGCTACGTTCAGACTCGGCAGAGGGTGAGCTGACGGCAGAGATTGCTGACTCTGGACCCTTGGGAGTGCGCGAGCCTTCACGTTCACGGTCAATGCTCGTCGGCCGTGGACCAGCGTTGGCACGTTGCAGCATGCTTCCTGAGTAACGACGGCGAGGGTCCGCTTCGAAACTAGGTCCAAGAGTTGATGTAGCAGATTGACCGGGGTAACCTGAAGTCACAGCGGGAAGTGTTGGGTAGAGTCCCGATGCTGTTGAGCTGTGTCGCGATGATGGAGAGAATCCGGCCGAGGACGCGGCAGGAGAGTGGCCAGATGTGTACGACACGGAACTCGAAGGTGGTGTAGCTGCCGGAGTGCCCGTAGAGTGTGTGGACGAAACGGCTGTCAGAGGTGAAGCAACATGAGCGCCCGAGTAAGGGTGGGCTCCCATGCCAGACTGACCCTGGGCTGAGTGCGGCGGTGAGTGGCTGTGCCGCATGTTGATGGGTATGTAAGGAGGCTGAGCGCTCTCGTAGATTGTGCTCTGCATCTGCTCAAGCATCTGATCCATGCGAACCAACTCGTTCTTGGTGCGTAGTTCCGGCATAGGAGGTAGGGCATAGTGTTGATAAGGTGCGTGGCCACCATGACCATCGACGGAAACAACAGCAGGAGCAGGGAGGTATTCTGCACCAAGAGAGTGAGCGTGAATAGGTAGCGCACCGTGAAGAGGGACAAGCCTCTGGCTGACTTCATGGTAAGATGTTGGGTCGAGTTGGCGGCGCTTTGTATTGCTGAAAAATTCGTGCATGGCTTCGTAAGAACGCTTGCCGCGGCCGTCATAGCCGGCAGCAGCCTGGTATCCCATATGACCACCACGGCCATCCACGGGCTGATAGTACATGGGAGCTCCGCCAAATGAGGGAGGAGCATGATGATGACCGTAGTAGCTGCTAGTATGACTGGCGGGATGGGGCGGCTGACCAAAGGCGGCCGAGTTAGTACGCATCTGGCCATTGTGATCATAGTAGCTAGAAGGTGCTAGGAGGCATAATTAGCCTCGTTTGTAAGGAAACTACCGGGTTTGCACCGAGTCATATCTTACCTTTGCCTGCGGCTCTATAAGTGCCATTCATGCCGCCATGTTGGTCTGGGGATCGGACCAGGACAGAATCATCGGCATGGGTCTATAGCATCAGGTCAGTACGCAACTCAGACATTCTTAAGCGCCCAGATAACAATTCAAAGAGAAAAGCCGTCTTAAATTAACCAACCCAGAATAGATACAATGGGATCCTCTGTCTATCAAATTTGCTAGTGTGTACCAGACAAGTTGTTCAACAGATCGTAGTCCACCCAATTGAGTGGCTGTAACGCTACAACTCTGCGTGGAACGCAGACAACCGAAAGCGCAAAAACAATGAGTGGAGGAAAAGATACATACCTTGACATGCTTCTTCAAATCCTGGGGACGCTTGAAGGACTTGCCGCAAAAGTCACATTTATGAGGTTTCAAAGGCACATGAACTCTAATATGTGAGGTGATGTGGTCACGCTTAACAGTTGTGATACGGCATTGTGCCCATTGACACTGTAGGTTTAGATTGTTGGTGCTTTTCCGTCCAACATGCTTTTCGCAAATGTGTTCCTGGTCTCAGAGTCAGCGAACAGCGTATACACATATATGACGTTATACGACCAGTCAAAAGCGCAGGCGATTCGTTTTATTTGGGAGTCACAGTTGCCGATGGTGAAGAACTAGAGCCACTTACATATAGACTTTCGGCTGATGTGAATTTCTCGCTACAGTTGGACCATTTGCAGGTGAGGGAGTCATCTGCAGCGGGAGCACTGGCTTGCGAAGTGGCGGCGGTTGATGTGGAAGAAGCCGGTGTGGTACCATCGTTGGAGGTGGAGCTCTCGCCGCCAGACGGGACGGGATTACTCTCAGGGGCTGCAGACATGGCGGCCGGGTTTTGGACAAGCCTCTGTTTTTTTGGTTTTGCCTTGGGGGCCGAGAACCGATGCCAAGAGATGGAGATGCCCGTCACGTCACGTGGTCTTGAAAGTGACTGACTGGCTGACTGGCTGATGGACAGATGCAGTCGGACGTAGAGTTTTCCCGGGCTCCTTTGTCTTGGCTGTGACCAGGAGTTTATCCGCGGTTCTGCCGAGGTTAGAAATACCAAGACCTTTGGCGCCCACAGGACCAACTTGGATAGGACGGATGCGTCGAGCTAATCCAAAACAGGATATAAAGACAGTATAAAGATGCCAATGACGAGCCTATGTCGACGAGCGCGGGCAGTGAGTTTGGGGATGCAGACACACGCCACGAAATGAAACAGACAAGTTTGAATCGGCTGGACAAGCAGAGGCGACGAGGTCTCGACAAAAAGGAAAAAAAAACAAACAGTCCAAGGGCTCTGGCTTTCTGGCGGGCGAACAAGCTCGGTTTATGTAAATCAGGTGCTGTTGCAGCTCCTGATTATGGTGATTAGAGCTTGGCGGTGGGCAGGCGGAAACTCTTGGCAATGGGGCTATTGCGGTCGGGGTGTAGCAGCTGCGCAGCCCTGATTGGCCGCCGCCGGAGCACGTCGAGGCATGTCCAAGGGACCACCAGCACATCGAGTACTGCCTGCCGCGGGGTACCTCGATGCGAGTGCAGGTCCAGCCAAGAGCCAAGTCTCTCCTCCTCCTCAGGGACAACGGTGCCAAGGAACGCCAAGACTCTCGCAAGACCTGTGTCGTTCTTGGCATTGCTTGGCAAGCCTTGGCGTTTGTCGATTGTCTCGATGCTGACACCACACCCAGTCGAGCCAGTCCTGCCCATGCTGGTCCACGGCCAGACACGGCCAACTGCTATCACAACCCAACATGACCTCTCCCTTGCCAAGCCCGCCCAGACTCGTGCCAAGGTCTTGGTGAATCGACGAGATCCTTGGCCCCTTGGCTCCCTTGGCTATCTTGGCTGCCCCGGGCCCGCCTGTGCCGACACTCTCGACACTCTCGAGTGACTTCTGACTGCGCCCACCTTGGCATTCTCTTGGTTCTCTTGGCTACCCCTTGGCGAATTGTCTTGTGTTGACTCCTGCCAGTCTTCTAATGCCTAAGAATTGCACTAGAGCCGTCAATGCGACTTTATTTCGTCTAGTGTGAGCACGTAAGTAGTGTATTATGGGGTTGCAGCTGATGAGATTGATACCATTTTGCTTTGATTATCTTTATAATTAGGTCATTTCAAGGAACAGTCAGTCCAGTTCTCCTCCAGCTGAACACGTGTGTGTAGGTATACGCGTTGTAGTAAGCTTTTGATAACGACGGTACCGTGTTTTTATTTTTGTCGCCTCTCTTATTGCTCCTCTCCCCTTCTTTTCGCTTTGCCGGATTTGCAAGACGTCTTCGACCGGTAATCGAGCCAATCACATAGTCACAACTTAAGCCGCCCTTCATCTAATTCATATTGTGTGTTTACCAGTATCCCATGAGTGTCATATTGCCACAGTCTGGCATTGTTGTCGACCACTTCATTTCGCTTTGGTTCCTATCTTGATAGCAACTCCCATGAAATACACTAATCTTTTTTTTTTGTTTTTATATTTACCAAGTAACACGTGCTCTATTATCTGTGTTGTGCATCTTCGGCAGGAGTCTCTTCCCCAATAGGCAATAAACTATTTCAAGGGCGGAGGAATCTCTTGGTTCTGTCTTGGTGTGCTTGTTCCAAGCTCAGCGATATGGCATCGAAGTCTTGTGTTTCTTGGTCTTGCCATACCGAGTCATCGACATTCTCCGCCCATGGCCAAGCCTTGGTATTCCTCTCCGCCCGCCAAGCTCTTGGCCCTCAACCGCTCGACAGCTCGAGACCAGACAAGTTGCGGGTGACTGATCCGGCTATTAACATTTCCCTCCGTGTAAGCTGTTCCTGGATACTATGAGCCGCTTATCTTACCATAGGACTATAAAGGCAAAATCAACCAAGAAACCGTATTACGTCTAGCTTGCAAGCGATTTTACCATGTACTACCGTGTATGGTAATCGCCGCGTGTCTGGTAGTAGTATGCTGCAGCTTCGCCAAGAGTCACGAGGGGCAGCGGTCACCAATACCTACTCATAGACTAAAAACATGAAGTCTTCGGCTACCGGGAAGCCCAGGATGGCCAGTTATTGCACATGCCCGATCTTGCTCGTTACACCGTACACGCATGTAGTAGGCCATCTGACATCTACTATGGTAGTGTAATAACAGTAACACAGAGACAGTACTCTGAGCTTGCACGCCACACTGCTTATGATGTATCTGGGTTCACATGTAATAGTTGGGTGTCATTCATCGTCCCAGATAATTTGAGTCATGACACCATGGCGTTGCGGATCTGACGTATTCATGAAAAGAGTCGACTCACAGTAAGTATGCGTTCAGGAATGCCCAAAAATGCATTAGATCGATCCCTTTTAGAATTGTTTCTGGCATATGGTGCCCCATTGTACTGAAATCCTGCGACCGTAACGCACTTGTCCATTTCCCCCCCTGTTAGATAAGCTGTTACACATCTCGGGTTATCTAGCTCAGCCGACGTATTGTGCTGAGCCCCGACCATCTGAGAACCGACAACATCTGGCTGTGTGCTTCAAGAGAGTGTCTGCAACCCGCACCGAAATGCGAGGCATCTGAGAAACATCGTGTCGACACATACCACCTCACAGGTACCTACTAACTGCTGAATCTCAATAGCAGGAATGTGGCCTACCAACAAAACGACGAAGGCCTACTGTACCAACTGAGTCTTCAGTGGAGGCATATTTGGTGAATGAGATTGTCGCCCTCTCGAAATGTACTTACCCAGCACATAACCAGTGTGATCCAGAAAGTTCTGATGCCCGTCATTCCAGAGGCAAACGCCACCTTTCAGTGTGCGCTGCGACTAAATATCATACTACGTATTGACTATATTCAAGTAATGATAACTGCCGATAGATGAGACCGTTCCTCATTCTGTCACAGTACCGCATTGCTTCTTTTGTTTCCCAGGGATGGGCAGAAGTCTTAACTAGGTATGATATCTGTAAACCAGAAAGCATAAAGCGCAAAGGAAAGTCCTTGGTGCATTTTTGCCACAACCAGGAGGCAAATGCGAACGCCACATTGTCGTATCACATCTGAGCCGTAACCAGATCACTGGCCAGAACATAATTGGATCGAAAGTAATCCAGTTGGATCTGGGGCTTAAGAATGTCCCTAAATTCTGATTCAAGGTGGTTTACTGACGAGACCACGGAAAAGCAACAGGGTCAAGTGTGAAGAGCTCGAGCACTTCACCTAGATCATTAATTCTACCCAACCGGTTACGTCGGCACGGCCGTCAAAAGACCACATATCCATTTACAAACAGCCTACTGTTCCCAGTCAGCATGTGACACTTACAAGGATACCAAGTATTCATAGCGATTATCCAGGGGAGGAAAACAGGGTCAGACCCAGTCTTGGCTGGCATGACATACCATTGAAGGACTGCGAGGTGTGAACCAGCTACTTACAAGTCTTACCATCATCATTCAAGAATTACATTTATACGGCCCAGGAAAAAGAACCATGCTTGATGATGCAAGTCATTTTGTTGCCAAGGCCGTTTACTTCACGTGCCAGTGACGATACCTACCATTGTTGCTACCATAAGGATTTGCCATTACAGCCGCTAGTCCAAGCAAACATATCAGAGCCTGGGCTATTTGTCTCACAGTAGTGCATGTGAGACTACCTGCTAAATAAACTGTAGATCTGGAGCATATCCCTATTAATATGGGTTGTGTGAGTTGTGCTAATCGAGCCTAGCAGCCGAACTTGGTTGCATTCAAGTCCAGAATTGATCTAGATCAGCATCGATGGTTAAGGAATATCAGACCCCGCCGACAAAAGGGCGTTTTCTTGGCTCTTATATATATTTATAGGAATTACCATCATAGATTCATGGCTCCATATCTATCGGTCCTTCCCGGACGCAGCGGATCACGAAACCTCTTGTGAGAGGTTTGCTGATCCAACATGCCTTTTATAGCAAAACTTAGTCTAATCACAACTACTTATTAGCATCCCTTCTCGTTCTACGGGGCATCACGAATAGTATAACTCATGTCATATGTGTTACGCTTGATAGCTATATTGTTTAACAATAGTTACAACAGGCTCGCTCTTATATTGCCACTTGGGCAGCATTAGATCAATACTACAACCTACCAATACCTAGGTGTTGAACTAGAATCATAAATCTAGGTGGATCTCTGAGGTAGGTAAGTTCGTAATTTGAGCCCTAAAGGGGTTTTCAAGACTCTCCTTGTCATGGGCCGCATCCAAGGGGCAGTAAGACTTTTATTGTCACACAAGTTCTAGAAGATTCCAACCTTTTGACAAATTACTTAACTTCCAATTGCCTGCTCACTCAGATCCCTACCATTTTTTATTCTTGCACGCCCGTCCAAGCGAGCAGCCACGTGGCTGATCTTGACTCTAAAACACGATTAATCGACCTTCCTAGACTCTGGGAGTCATATTCATGTCTCGAATAAGCGAGGGCTGAATATCTTCACTTTCAATACGAATCTGTGTCTCACTTTGGCGCGATGAGATGAGCAATTAAATATGTTTCATTTTTAGACATTACATCTCACACCATGAAGAAATAATACCAAGAGTATGATATTCCAGCCCCTGTAGAGTTGGTTTCATTGGCGGTGGATCTAACAGTTACCCTAATGATGATAAAGTGGTTGGGGGAGGGGGGTTTGGGTGAATAGAAGGGATCCAGCATAAAGCAAATGCGACGGCATGTGTATCTTCGAGACTAGCACGTGGAACCATGCGATCCCTCATCTCATTCCCATCTTCGATTTTATGATACCTTGCGTCATATGCGGCGCCTTGCACGAAAATTAAGTAAGCCTACTTACACCCACCGGACAGATAAATCCGTGCACTCTGATTTTAGACCCACCACCACCACTACCACTACCACCTAATAACCCCTTTATGTATAGCTTCATATAACCAGAACTATTGAAGTAAAAATTGTATAGAAAATACTGGTAAACTCTACAGCTTCTGCTCTTTAATATGATGTGTACCATTCATATGCGCGGCGTACGGCGAGTAGTTTTTTATTCAATGAAGGTATAAGAAGGTTTAAAGTGGTAGTATTGGTATACTGGGTCTAAAATTAGAGTGCACGGATTTATCTGTCCGGGCATTGTAGGTAGTTTGGAGGTGTCTTTAAGGCATCTTTTACCGTTTATAATTCTTAACAATAACTTGAAATTAAAGAGTCGGATACCGAATAATCGAGGTAATGATACAGATACAAACGAACACCACCAATGGTATGGCGCGAGGCTCTGACTGGTGAACTGGCCGTTCAAACCAAGCAGGATAGAGCTCGTACAGTCAAGCTCAGAGACGACCTAGGTAAGTTAGAGTACCTATCTATGCATAGAAAGGTGCATTGCATCTGCTCCTTGTTTACCTACCCCTACGAAACCCAAAGAAATGAAACACGTGGTTAGAATCTCTCACCTCCTCGAATCACGGATGCCGTGGTGCCAGAACCTCACGCTCGATTGAACGCGTCGCTACGTAGCGTAGACTTTTCGTACCTTCCCTTCGTAGACACTTTTTGGCTACTTTTCTTCTACCCATTACAGTATCACCCCTGAGAGTACACTGTCGAAGACCATTTTCACTGAAAAAAAGAATAGCCTTGGCAAATGTTGTACCCCATATGAGGTACCGCTTGACAGGCTTCACGTTGAGGTTAATTTGATTCTTTGATATATATACCGTTTCTCCGACGGGCGCTATACCTGCATGGTAAGAGGTAATTGGACTCTGCATGGAATCTCATGGTCTGTGTGGGAATTGTATGGACTTCAAAGTTTGCTAACCTTACCCAAGTACTTCTGGTTTGCATATAAGCCTATAGAAATAATTTTCTAAGATACGTTGGGGTGACTGCTAGAGTAGGTAGTCAGACGAGTAAGTCTTATGACTGTTAGCTGATGGAGAGAATATGTAACACTACCATTAGCTTCATTTGTACATGGCTAGGCATCATGTAGTTATCTCCTCGATCGGAGACGGTTTGCAAACACTAACATCGATGAATCACAGTCGCCAAAATTGGGGGCCACCCAAGTTCCGTGATATTATCAAGATTTTGATTGCGTAAATCCTTCTATTTTGCATCTCGGTTCCATTAGGGACATATCGACCATACCTGAACATGCCCCACGAGTTCATGGCTTTCAATAGTGACGCAGTATTCCTAGCTAAGTTGCTTCGCATACACCGCGGCTATAAGGGATAACCGTTAATATTCATTTGGAAATTAAAGCCCTAATTAACTTGTCTATAGAAGAAAGGGGACCCTTAGTGACAAATTTCCCCTTTTGCGGCTCTGAATATCTGCTGGATTTCTCCGTTTGTGTTTAAAATGGCAATGTCTGTGACGGAGAGGGGTTGACGAACCAGCTACGACCAAGAAGCAAGGTCTTAAGAATCATGGAATCTTCTGCTTTCGGGTTTCGCAGCTGAGTAGTTTTGCTTCAACGTAAATGAGAATTGTATTTTAGCGATCTATCCTCTGCCTAGGGGTGGTCTAGCTGGTGCTGTGCATCTAAAGCTCGGTATGCTGATATGTCTAGCGCTGGACTTTTTTTTGGGATTAAACGAAATAAGTTGAGAAAATTAGAGTAGAAGAGAAGGGGAAGACGCAGTGAGTAGCGGGGAAAGATCAAGATGACGACGAGAAGAAACAATAACTAGTGGAACGATAAAGAGAAGAAGAAGGCGAAATAGAGATTAAAAAAAAACCTCCAATCACCCTCCTCTTGATTCAATGATCAACCGCCCTTTTCTTATGCGACAGAACCACCCAGCCAGACTCCTCTAGCGCGAACCAGGCAAATTTCCCAGTCGCCGCGCACCATTCCGATGCTCAGGCCAGAACGGGTCCCATGACGCCTGTAGCTCTTCATCTTCAAAGTCCTCAAGGTGATCATATCCATCGAGGACCTCGAGGACATCTTCGCAATCATCTCCATCACTCCCCTCGTCTTCCTCTTTTTCCTCCTCCTCATCATCATCGTCCTGCTCATCTGAGGACGAGTCCGCTTCTTCCTTTGCCATATTGCTTTGTCCTCCACCGTTAGCGTTCGGCGTATTGTCGACAGCGTCGTTTAGACTGAGGAATTCTATATGCCCGAATACACTTGCAGTAGGCGGGCTAGTACCAAATTGCGCCGTGCTTGCCTCCCCTCCGTCCCCGTCGCGGATCCATGCGTGCGGGCCGCAGAACGTGCGGCTTCTGCGTCGCCGTAATATCTCCGCGTTGCGCGCCGCAGCGAGGGGATCGATTTTGTCCCAGCGTTTATTGCGCCGACGTCTCTTTTTGTTCTTCTTGGGAGAGGGAGGCCGCTGCGGTTGTCCATTGGAGCCGCCCTCGGGGTCTGCTTCGAGGGAGTCTGGGAGCTCAGGAGGAGGACGTGAAGTCGGCTGTAGTAGTGTGCGCCAGTTGCTCCCGTAAGGGCCTCGACTCAGCGAGTGAAGAGGTATTGGAGATTTCATCACATCCTGAGGTGATGACGGCGGCGGCTGTTGACGATGAACCCACGGGAAGAACTGGGGGCGAGCCTCTCGTTGTCCTAGAGCTGTATTGACCGAACCATCTATCAGAAGGGCGTGATAGGCCCTTCGAAACGCGGCATCCTCCAAGCAGCTCGTACTCCATCTACGACTGGCATCGACTTGCAACCTGCCACTGCGCTGAGATGGGTGCATTGTGAACAGAAGGTCAACTATCTGCCTTGATGAGCGTTCTTCTTTGTGACTAAGGAGCGGATGTTTGTCTCAGATTAACGTTTACGAGAAGGAGGAGAGAGGGAGTTTATGGCCTTGAGATGGTGTCCATCGAGAATATTGAAGGGTAGTATGGCACAACGTTTGCACTCCCGCAGGTCTACGTCCTTAACCCCTGAGCGGCATATCGCGATCCGATTCGAAGCATACATATAATGGTGCTTGATCAAAGTTTATGGCGTGGTCATCTGAGGACTGCCAGCATATCCTTCAAACTCTCTTCTGCCCCCGTCCTAACTTGCATATCTTAGGGTGGGAAAAGGAGCGAGTTGATATGGCATACAAAGAGCAAGCACTTTACACAAGCTGGCGGATTTGATGGTATGATGCTTTCATTATAAATATCGACTCATCCCCTTAGAGAGCGCCGTTCACTCCCTCGACTGCGACATTCGACAAGATACATCTTAAGTACGTGAGAGGGTAGGCCGTGCCAAATACGATCTTAAAGTTTCGCAAAACACCTTAGAAGAAGCATGGCGCCGAGATCAGGAGCTCGATACTCCTATATGTTTGTCGAAAGGTTATCTACGTTGTCCTCAGCCCGAAGTCGGGGCTGGTACTCACTAGGACGAAATTGGCCTACAAGAACAGTCACAACTAACTTTTATTCAAAGAACAATTTCAGGCATGCAAGAGGTGTGACTATACGTTTACAGCATCAAGTTGGTCGGTCTAATTGCATAAAATGCTATTCACTTGCATTTCAATATCACTACCTCGTCAGCGAACATGACCAGGGTACCTGAAAATATGAGTAGGTATGGAGACACACGTAAGTGCTGCTTTCATTGAGTTGAGTAGTAAGCTATGAAGCCATAACTATTGAATCCTCAAAAATGCTCTCCTCTTCCCCTCCTCCCTCACTGGTAATTGTCTGTGATCCCCTTGCACTTAGTTGACAGGAGTCAAACTAAAGCGAAGGTGAACCAGTGTAGTCAAGTTGGCAAATCTGACATGGTTCAGACCGCTCTCGTCTCCATTCATTTGGTCGACGGTTCTATAAATATCCAGATAACGCGTACCAAGGTCACTAACACGTCATCGTTCACGAGTTAGTTTTTATCTCGATTCCCTCCAAGTTTTTGCTAGTTATTAAAAATGGTATAAATGCTCGGCGGCACCAAGAAAATGCATCTTTATAGTAGATGCTCAAGTTGCCGGTAAAAGAAATGGTTGCCCGCAAGAGTGTTGAAGCGGGGACATTTCTCAATATGCTGAAGTGAAGTCGCAAGGGGTATATACATGTGCATAGGGGGGTATAAATAATCGTCATGAAAAAGACCGGCAATAAATCTTTTGGACCGAGCACACGAGGTTAACCACAGGCTCAAGGTCACCGTGATTTCCTAGAGTACGACGAATGGATTCGCAGTAACACCGGCTGCTATGGTTCGTCATCTCGTTGAATAGCGAAGAAAGATTATAATGATGTAACTCCGGATTGCTCGCAACTCTGGAGGTCCTACCTCCAGGGTCGAGACAATGCTGATATAAAGTGGCTGAATCGGAAATGTTTCGGTAAGTCAAGCCGTTGCCAAAAAAGAGATAAGAGAATAAATGGCGTGAAGACTTTGTAGTTCTGTCCACAATGCCGATGTGCCATATGTCGTATGAGCAATGCCGGAGGATAGTAAAGTAGGAATAACGCCGCGTTGACCAAAGGGTACGAGTTCAGAACTAATCCGGCCAGTTCTCAACCATGCATAATTGTTTCAAACCGACTGAGTCCCAAACGCCACCCATGCATAATAATTATACAGAACCAAGTTGTAGAAGCGCTTGGATCGCCTCGCGCTCTTGCGCATCGGAAGAAGCGGCTAGAGCGTCCAGATCGATGTTATCGAGGCGAGGTTCTCGAAGCATGCGAGTGTTCGAGGAGAAGGATCGATAGCCTCCAGTATTATATACACGATAAGAAGGAAAGCCTGAGCCGCGGCGAGCGTCGGCCGGGCTCGAGTAGGAGCCAGCACGCAGTGCAGCGGCTCCAACAGCTCCCCAGTCTTCGTCATCAGTCTCGTCTTCAGGATCATCATCCATAGCGATGTCGGCGGCGTCGGGGGCTTCGGAGCAAGAAGCTGAGCCAGGCTCGTCAAGAGAATCGAGAGACATCTTATCCGCTTCGTGCTCTAGTACACCTGTATCTCGATCATCGTGCGAAAAGGAAGTCGAGTTGCCATTACTCTTGGCGCGGGCCTTGAGTCGTGATCGGCTTGCGTTCCAGGGCATGTCTCGGTTGATTGTAATCCGAGTTGGGTAGGAACCTGAGTAGCTCTCGCCGGATGGCGATCGAGACAAAGAGCGCAAGGCTTGGCCCCTTCGTTTCGCATCCCAGCGGCCCCAGCCAACCTTCTCAAACTCGACTTCTCCACTCACACCACCGCCATCAGCGCCATGTCCTTGTCCGCGTTGCAATGCCGATACCACTAGCCTTCGAGCCTTGTTTGGAGGGATACCGGCGAAACCGGGTACTGATGTGGTGAGGTAGCCCATGATATGGCGGATGGCCAAGGGACCATGGTTCAGGAGGATCTCGGGGAGATGGAACTTGGCAAGCAACGTCGAAGTGATGTCGCCGGCAGCCTCAAAAGACGAAGACACGCCCCGATTAGAGTCGGAGTCATCCTGTAGGTCGAGGTCTGAATCGATCGAGTCGAGCCGTGCCCTCTGCAGCTGGGCTTTGAGCCCATGGGGAGGAAGCGCGGGAGAGATGGAGTTGGGGGGAGTTGGGAGAGGTTGAGCGCCTGTCACAGGGCCGTTCCTGGCGGCTGCTACACCAGCTAAGGTGTCTCGGCCAGCCTGGAAGGCCACGGGGATATCGCGAGCAGCGGTAGCAGATGCCATATTTGCCAGATTAAGAAATCGAAACCTCGGTGTGCGGCTGCAAAATCGAGCGACACCGAATTAGTACTTGTTTTGAGAGTAGAGGGAAGGTAAGGAAGGTGGCGCGTTGACAGCGCAGTCGGGTCGTGTTGTGTTGTAGAGCAACAGATGGGATGGCAGAATGACAGCAGATTGGATGTCGGATGACGACTGAGTCATTCCTTTGGTCACTTACAGATGCAGATCCGAAGTAGGCGCTAGTAAACAGTGGCGGCAAGGCAAGTCTTTGGTCCGGACTAGGGGTGCGAAGACAAAGAGGAGCAATTTGCTGGCTGGATGGCTGGCTGGGCTGCTAGCTGTGCTGGCGCGATTATCTTGACTGTGACAAGAGGGCTCTTTATTGGGTTTGTTTGGTGTTTGCAGTTGTTTTTTTTGTTGATGATGATGAGAGAAAAGGGTCGAGCCGGGGGGGACAGCGAGCGACGGCCGTCATTTTACCTGGAATGACCAGGGAATGAATGGGTGGATGGATTGGATGGATGGATGGATGACATGACCAACACACACACACACCACACCCAGCAACAACAACAGCCAGCAAGTACCCTGGGCGTGTGCTTTGCTTGGGCACGCTCAGTGGTTGAAGGAAACCCTGCGCTGCTGTACTATAGGTAGGTAGGTAGGTACTTGTACATACAGGTAGGTGGTTAGGCGGGCTCTAATAGTGCCTACCTAAGGTTAAGTAGATAGCCTGTAGCGCACTATGAGGGAGTCTAGAGGGTGCTAGCATCTTGCATTTCGACAGGGCCGCACGTGGTACTGCCTTGTACCTATTACCGATGACCCTACCTCTATTAGCCTGCATTTTCCGGGGCCTGCTAGAGCAGCTATACCAGGGCATTACATCACAGACCTGTAGAAGGGGGGTGTGCCTCTGGTGTGCCTGTGTCGTTCGCTGGACCGGACAGGACAGCCCGCGCAGATAGCGTGTTGTGCCCAGAGCTAGAATACCTACCTAGCTACTACTTATGTAGGTACCTATGTAGATACCTACTGTACCCAGGTAGGCATCACGCTGGGCGAGATGGCCCCCTGATTGGCCCATTTGTGATTTCACTGCATGCCCACCTGTCACGGCCAGGCGTCTTACTAGTCCTGGCAGAAGCGTGTCCCTATTCTCATCTTCATAAGTATTCTCTGGTATTCACATCGACAAAGTAGGCGAGTAGGTACCGCATTGATCCTCCACCCGTCCCTTGGATGTCATGCATTAGTCGGGCATTTGCAGTCTCCCAGTTACTCAGACGCGCTTTCCACATGTAGGCAGGATCTGTTACCAGGAACCCAGTTTCATCATCACTAACAACATTGAAGAGGAGCGTCCATCGCTGGCCGGCATCCTCTTCCCCGGCAGGGCAGGCCTCGTGAGAGAGGAACGGGCATGATTTCAAGCTTGTGTGCAGCGTAAGTAGGTACTTACATATACCTACCCAGAATACGTTTATCACTTGTTGAGTGTGGCGCTGCTAAAGAGAAGATACTGTTTATAGACATTTGCTGAAGAGTCAGCTTTGGTAAGCTGGTCTCCCCGGCTTGTCCACGTAAAAGCTGTTTTACTACCATTTGTCAGAATACTCGAATTACCCAGCCAGACAAAGCGCAACTTGTACTCAATACCTGGCAGAACCTGGGTACTGTAGGTACATATATAATGTATACATGAAGAGAGCTGAGCATGATCTACGGTGCTTCGCAAGACCAAGTCGATCCCGGCCGGCCTACGTACATACTTATATCAGACTTACTATTAATAACCCTCACCCGAAACAATAATACCAAGACCATTCATTACCTGGATTGTAGGCCATATCCGAAGAAATAATAGGTAGTCGTCCTTAGCTTACTGGTGATAAATTGGCAATTTGGGTTCCCGTGATCTAACCCCTCCGGAGCAAGAGCTAGAGGGCCTCGCCATACTTACTTAGTACATCTACCTATCTCCCTACTAAGATGCCTCGGGCTCATGGATCCTTCTGGTGTGCGTCGCTGTTCTGGGGGGGTCGCGTGGCCCTATCATGGGATGCAGGCAAGATTTTGGCACAACCTGGGTTACTACGCTGTTATCAACGAGAATCACAACCTATCTACCTATGGGATGCCTTCTTCAGTAGGTATATATATGTAAGTGTGTAAGTCCCTAGTTACCATTCGATACGAGACACGGCGCATGTAGATAAGTAACAGACACGGTGCCTTTTATCTTGTTCCTTTCTGCTGCTTGTTCTCTTTTTCCGTTTTTGTGCCCGACGCTAAAATACCAGGCGAAGATCTAGGAGAGGAATAATGACGCCTGCCACATCGCAGAGGACCGATCACACTCGAGATTTGGGGGGGCGTGGGTTTGATGTAACTCACCAACTCCTTATCCAATAACCACTCTAGCTAGGAGATCATGGGGTGTAGCTCTAGCCCAAAAGACTTCAGAGGCTCGCCTTTGCGACTGAATGCTCAGCACGTTCTCAGACGTTGAACGCTCAGTGAGTGAATTATCCATTAGCCTGCTAAGCAAGCACCTGGCACACTGCCATGCCACTCGGTCAACCTTCAACATTGCAGTGAAACTCCGAGCTCTCGGACTGCGACACTGGCAGAGACTCCGATGGCGCAAATGTGGCTTGCCAGATCGTAGCAATTGTCTACTTTGTGTCCTTCAAATTTAACGAGCTGCCTCTATTAGAAAGTTCAACCGATCTTGACTTCTCTACCGAGTGGAAATCAAATATACATGTAAAATGGTATCTTGTAGACTGCGGGCGTACAAAGTTCCGTAACCCCCGCACATTTAAGAGTGCGTCTCGTGTCTTGTGGTATCTAAGACGGCAAATGGAGGCATTGTGTAAAGCGACATCCACTGCGCGACCTGCTTTTGCTATTACGCAATCGGCTGATGTATGATGATATAAAGACACTCATCTAGTTTGAGGGAGATTGCGGCTAGTTTTGTGTGCCTTTTTTATTGTCTGAGTATGAATAAGCCAACCACTACCGACTTGTATATAGGGCTTTCAGGAAGTCTGAAAAAGCCTACCTTGTCCGCATGAGATCTGTGCTCTGGTTACTCCAAGCGAGCAATGACTCTATCCGTGCTTAATGCACTTTAGTTTATGCCCAACTTACAAACTCGAAGTCCATCTTCTTCATCCTATTTTTACCCCGCTAAGGGGAACTTCATGATGGTACCCTATCAGCCATTGCTATTTCCCCACGTTGTTCACCAATGCATTCCTTGATAGGATGTCCGGGCTTTGTGGGGACGCGGCGCATATTGTTTGGATGCGGATAGTGTCGAGGATAAAGAGATTGGCTGAGGACAGTTGCGACGTGCATACTTTTCCTTCCGACTAACCCAATAATTTCTCCTCTTTTCCCGATAATTCCCATGGCTTCCGGCCACCTGTTGATTCTTGTGCAGATATACCTCAACCAGACACCCACTTAATTTGCACGACAGCATCTATGTTGTGCGTATGACGTACATGCAAAGAACCAGAGCTTGGTCGAGAGTAAGGGCAATCAATGGAGGATCAGCATTGAGGATTGCCTGTTGGGTCAAAGAGTCTCTGCCAGAACCTTGTTTTGTTTGTTGGTCATGAGAAGAATATCACTCATTTGGAGTATCGTCAAAGGGGATGATCAAGTTCCAAATACATACTGCCGACAGGCCTGCAAATTTGTTAGCACTTCCTTGCTTATATTCAGGGCCAGAAAGAGAATTCCTACTGCTTTGAGTACGCTAAGCTTCTGTTGTGATTGCATATAGACGTGCCGATACTGTTCAATGTTTTCGCGTAGGACCACTTCCTTGGTCGTGCGCCCTTCGCAAATGGCCTTCATCTTCAACTCCATCTCTTTGCGCAGAAATGGTTTACCGAGGCTGGTCTCGAAATTCATCCTATCGAAGCCCTCAATAAGAGCCACGCCTAGTTGAGTTGGGATGAAATCCATAACGCCTCCGCGTGCATTGGTTGCTGCTCCTCTGCCCCCTCGACCTTCTTGGCCACCACGTCCTCGTCCACCGCGGTTAAGTCGACCAGTGCGGCCACCATCTGCGTCATCTGCCTCGTCAGGGCGGCTTGTTCTGGGGACAGTCCGGACGTAGTCTCTTTCTTGGATTTTTTGGATATGCTCGGCCATAGTAGCATCGGTGCCAATGCCATTGGCATCCATAAGAGCTATCAGATCTGCCTCGGTGAGATAATTAGGAGGGGCGGTTTTCCCCTCAGTCATTAACGCTTCAGTGGGCTCAAATATTTCCCCAACTGTGAATTTGGGTAGTTGGACACTACCTGTCCACTTATCATACACGTAGACTTCGAGGTAATTTCGTTCTAAAACGACCACCCCGTGGGCATGAAATGACTCTTCGCCATATGTAATATCGACGTCGGTGGCGACACCCTTGGCATCTTCCGAGCAACAAGCTAGAAAACGCCGCACTACGAATTCGTATACCTTTTTTTCTTGTTCACCGAGAACTGACGGTGCAGCAAATGTTACAGGATGAATTGGAGGGTGAGCCTTATCATCGTTTCGTCCTTGCCGCGGCTGTTGAAAGCCCCCATCGACCAAGTTCTGAGCAAAGGCACCCCAAGTATGAGATTGGGTTTGCTTTTGTACTAAAGCACGGAGATTCATACCAGGGTCAAAGCGGTCGGTTTCAGTTCTCGGATAGCTAATAAATCCCTTATTGTAAAGAGCCTCAGCAGCTTCCATGGCTTGCTGACCCGTCATATGTAGAAAGATTGTTGCCATTTTTTGCAGCTCGACTGTCGTCAACGGTAAGGGCTTCCACTTTTTCGTTGGCTTCTCCTGGACTTTGGTAACTTTGGCCTTTTTGGCCGCCAAACATCGTTCATAAAGAATAATAACTGCTGCTCGATCAAACAGCCGGTGGCGAACCCAGCTGAAATGAACGTCAATCCCTTCGCGTTTATGCATGACTTTGATGCCCCAGAAAGGCTCTGGCTTGAAATTTCTAACTCGGAAATAACGGTCTACAACGAACCCCAAGGTTGGGAATTGGCATGAACCTGCAGGGAATGAGTGAACGTTCATCTTCAGAAGCAAGTTTGTAAGCTTACCATAACTGAGGAGTAAATTTTGAAACGGGCCACCGAGAGATCGTAAATTAGTAGTCAGGAATCGGGTGAACGCATAGCCTATTCTCAGGTCAAGCTCTATGCGGGAAGCAACTGCATTAACTTGTCTATGGTCAAGGTTGATAAGACTCTTTGAAGCGTTGATGATATGCCTAGAATAGATGAGCAGTCACGATAAGGAAGGAGAAAGAATAGATGACCCACGCTCTTTCGATGTTACTGAATTTAGCCCGCTTGATTTCAAGGGTTCGGTTTCCTTTTTTTGCAGCCTCGCATATCTCGTAGCCAATATGCTCACCCTCACGATCACAATCCGTCCATATACACAAAGCATTGGCATAGCGTGCCTGCTTCTCGATGTTCTCTGCGACTTTCTTCTTGTCCTATATTCAGAAATGTGAGCAGCCAAATTCTGATGTCCCGATGATACGCGGCACATGGTATACGTACTGCTGCCACAACTACGTTCACAGGGGCATCGAACAAGCGGTCTGGCGGTGGGTACTCCCACTTCTTGTACTCTGGTGGGAATTCCGCAGAAGTAATATGACCAAGAACCGACGTCATGGTGACCTGACATTTGCCCCATGGGCGGCCGAAATCATAATCAAAGACATAGTTCTTGATATACTTTTCCGGAGTATTATGCTACATAATATGAGCAGGGTTCTTTGTGTTTTATTGAAAGATAGGGCACGAACAGTTTGGACCTCACCACCAGAGAGATGACCGGCGACAGCTTTCGCGATGGAAGGTTTCTCGGCTACACATAGTACTCTCATGGTAGAGGTTAATCGTGATAGCGCCCATCGAGCCCCAGAGGCATGGCACGGACGGCGGGAAAGGTGAATCATGAATCGGCCTTAAAGAGACCTACTAGACCCACGGAGGCTCTCTTGTGCGGCTAGCACCAAGCCCAAGGCTGTGAATCTGATGATGATAGAAAGGCTGAGATTGTGATTGTACACGTACGTCCTTTGGGGCCGATTGAAGAAATCTACGCCACCCTTCTCTACTTCTCAACCTGACCAAGTATACGTTACTGGACATTGACGTAATTAGGGTCTACCAAGTGTAACATAACTAGTGCTTCTTCAACGGTTTCAAGGGATTGATGAAGTACGAAGTTCATCATCGCTAGTACGAGAGTGAGAAAAGCAAGGCCAATTTCTAATTTTGTCAACTGTCGCCTACCGCGCGTGAATACGCGCCTTCTCCCGAACACGATTGCGGCTCTTTTCGTTTAGGCGGGTACATAGCTCTATAGTGTATGTTACACCTACTTAGATGAAACTAGCAGGTAGTTTTAGGCATCGTAGCTGGCCTTAGGTGCTTAACCGTAGGGGACATGTTCTGAAATAGGTACATCCCTCCCCAAAAAGCAACGCGCACTGAATTAGGTAGGTACTTAGCTACCTGACAAATGTCTGCGAAAGTTGCGGCAGCGCCCCGCTGCTGATGCATGACGTCCGTCTTTCGTTGAGCTGTCAATTCGTTCCGTAAACAATATTTAAACATCTATAAACTCCCAGTAATGATAATATTTCCAAGGGTGCTGCTATAGATCTCACCCTGTTGATACAAAATGGCCCTCCCAGTGCTCAAGTCTCTCGAAGACTGCGCCGATTTCTCCAAGGTTGTCGAGCCGTTCCTCCCCCAGCTCTATGAGTTGCCTTCGAATGTCGTCAGCACCCTGAGAAACGGCGAGTCGCTACTCAGCCTATATGCGAGCACCAATCCTCTCGTGTCAGGCTTTGCGTTTTCCATATTTCTTGGTGGTATTTTCTGGGTTGCATCCGAGGCCAACCGCAACTACTCTCAGGTGGATCGGTTTTGGAGCTTGTTGCCTACTTTCTACAACGCCCATTTTGCTGCCTGGACACACCTTAATGATCTACCAAGTGAAAGAGTAGACTTGGTTCTGTTCTGGAGTGTTATCTGGAGTGTATGTCCACTATGTCCACTATCAAATTGTCTCTTTAAACCCAGGTTCTGATTATTCCTTTAAAGGCTCGCTTGACTTTCAATTACTGGCGTAAAGGCGGCTATGAGATTGGTTCTGAAGACTATAGATGGTTTGTAGACCCCTCTAGAATACTATCCTCTCTACATTAAAGTCTAACTGTTTCACAGGGAAATCATCCGAGGTTACTGTCACCCGGCAATATTTTTCATATTTAATGCAACCTTCATCTCTTTCATACAGAGCATTCTCCTTTTCCTCCTTGCTGCGCCAACCTACATCATTCTACTAGCATCTAAGATTGAACCAAATGTTGGCACGGCCGATTTGCTCTTCGCTGGCACACAGTTAGCCCTTATCCTATCAGAATGGTTCAGCGACCAGCAGCAATGGGGTATGTTAATAAACCGTAACCGGAATGAAGAGCTCGTAGTAACACAGATATAGATTACCAGACGGCCAAGAAGACTTATCAAAAGACAGCCAAGATCCCTCGGGGCTGTGGGCTCACCCAAGAAGACCTGAACAGGGGATTCATCACATCGGGGCTGTGGGCATACTGCAGGCACCCAAACTTTACAGCAGAGCAAACCATTTGGCTTGTTATTTATCAATGGAGCTGCTACGCTAGCAACGTCCCGTACAGCTGGGCAGCCTCGGGTCCCGTGTTTCTCATCATGCTTTTCCAAGGTTCCACGTGGCTTACTGAGCTGATTACTTCTGGAAAATACCCAGAGTATAGAGCTTATAAGAAGCAGGTCGGTGGTCTCCTGCCAAGTCTGCGACCTTACAAGCCTGTAGTAGCTATGCCAAAGATCATTCGAACAAGCGACCTGGCCAAACGAGAGAAGGCAAAGCAAAAGTAAGACGGTATATTCAGTGATGGCTTGTGGCGGAGCTAAGCGCCTCGAGTCGAGGGAAGAATCTCATCAGCAACCTAGATCTTCGAGGCTGGGTTCTGACATAAATATCGCATCTAGTATGGTGTTATCTAACTGAGATGTTAATGTATCATGGAAGTTTCAGAATATCTTGTGGCTACTGAGTAGAATAGACAAGGTCGAGACGGGGGAAGAGGTCTATGCCATTGTGGGAGTGCGAATGGTGTACATGTATGTAGGTTGTTAGAGCATCAAAAAAGCTGAAGGTGCTGTATTGTACGTAATAAAATGGTGGTGGTAATGGCAGTAAGCCGCATGGGTTATCTCCAACCACATAACTTCAAGCCCATGGCCGGATCCCCAACTCACCTTCGTAAAACCTCGTCAAGTATCTGGCGTATATCCGCTCCTTGATAGTCCGATGCTGCTCACGTTATTTCGCATCTGACTAAGGCAGTAGTGTATTGTCCAATACCGAACCAACAGAATTCTGAGAAATGAATTATGAATGACCATTGAATGGCTTAGTGCCGCACTCAAATGAGTGATCGTCTCCCCTCCTCTGCCGTTAACAGCCAGCCGAGCAGCATTCGGCTGCTCTTTGAAGATCAGTAGGCACGTGACCCACCACCACCTCCACATATCGGCGCCGAGCTGAATCACGATTTGCTTAGTGAGATGTACTTAGTGCAGTAGTGAATCGTACAAGGCAATCTGGTAAGCGGATCCGGACCCTTCATGGGGACCCTTCATGCAGGTAGTCCCTCCATACCGCTTGTTGATCGTATGCCAGTGAGACGGCTATTCGCCTTTGGCATATTTCATAAATCTACTGAATAACTACCCTCTTCCTCTTTTCAATCTCATACAACTCCTTCCAGTTTTAGACCAACTTCTACTAGCATATCACGATTTACTTTTCAACCCAGTTTGTACCGTCTCGCTGAGCAAAATTTCACCGCCGAGCGGCTTCACGACCTTGACAGCTCAAAACAATGTCAGCTTCCGACGCTTCAGAAGGCTCTACCAACACTGCGCCTATGCGGCCCTCAGAAACTGCCGCTAGCTACTTTCCTAAAGATACTACAGTGTCGACGATAGCTCCTACGCCATCTGCCGCTTCGACAGCTGAGACGTCATCCGGAGACAGCCCTGTGGCTTCTTCTAACCCCCTGTCACCAATGGATCGGGAATACGCGGAACCGTTACAGGATTTCGACATCGCACAGCAACTTTCGAAGCAGCCTGCGTACTGGTCAATCCAAGGCTGGTTGCAGCGTAGCGCAAGCTCGGAGGCACGGCCGATCAAAGAAGATGCAGCCGCCAGGAGACGGAAGTTTGAGGAAGCGAAGAGAGACCTGCTGGCTTCGGCTGGACGCTTTTAACTGGCCCCTGTTGCAGTAGCCCCTGCTTGACTACTAGAACCGGAAGTTGGCAAACAGTACGACTTCATGAGAATGCAGCAATGAATGAATGTCATTGCCCGGGAGGCAATGAATATACCCCAAGGGCGACGATCGGTGAAATTTCCGAATGATTGTTGCTGAAAAGTATTCACATCAGACGATACTCCCATAGCTTATATCATCACCAACAGTAACTTTTATAGAATTTGAAGATCTTATATCGTGAGATGTCAAAGGTATGACGATATATATCTCCTTAACTCGGTGACTTAGCGCATATCCTACATGAGCGGGAAAATGAGATCTTAGGCAATTCTCGCAGATAGGTGTACACCATAAACCACTGTGGCGATGAAAGTGACGAGGTTAAAAAGTGAAGAGTAACCATGAATCTTAGCAAACTTCTTGTTCAGCGCTTTCATGTCTTTGGAATGTGTCGTTTTCTCCCAGCTCTGTTTGCCGTCTTTAACCTCTGTATCACATATAATCGTCAGCTACTATGCAACTGACCAGAGAGGTGCGTTACGATTCAAGCATCAACGACATTGAAAATCCGGTAGAGAGGCGCGTACCTTGTTCCCTTCGCTGTGCAGTGATTTTATTCGTTTCGGGCAAAAAGTAAGCCCAGTTTGCCAGACCTGTCACAAACGCCGCGGTCAAGGGTGCTAGTACTCCCCAGCGATTCGCTGGGTGCAGGACACCGCTAATGCCCTGTGGCAATGCGGCGAGGCGCCCGGCTCCTCCGGGATATGTAAGTGCGAGGACGACAGGTGCTACAGTTTGAATCCCGAAATAGGCGGGGAAGACAGCTCGCTGTAGGATGGCAAACTGCGGCCGTTGTAGGACTTTGAAGGAAATGATCGAGTTGAGAAAGGTCTGAGCCGGCCATTGTCAGTTATCATTAATGACACGACCAATGCTACAGTTCCGGCTAGGGAATACACAGCAGACGTAGCCATAGCATGATACGTCACCGGATTGCACTTACATGGAAGAATTGTGTGCCTAACAGCGCGCCGTACGATAGGACATGGTACGGAGCTGGGGAGAATAGAAGAGAACGTTCAGGCATTTTGGGCTTTCGTGTTTTTAAAATTTAATATCTATGGCTCGAGGAGATGAGATGAGTGACAGAGAGAACTTTGTAATTTGCAGGAGAACAAAGTGAAGAGAAAACTCATGAGATGGCGTTTCATGACGAGACGACTCTATTTGGGATGCTGGTATGGAGTAGGATACCTAGATACCTACCTAAGTAGTATTTAGCCCATCCTGCCCGTCTAGGTAGGTAGGTGGATAGCGTGCTTGGGCCACCTTGATCCCTACCTAGGTACCTACAGCCAACCTAACCAGTAGGTATGTAGTACCTATTACTGAAATACCGTAGGTAGTCAAAGTATGCCATTAATGACGGTCACGTGTTGTCGCGACTGCCTGCTCGTGTCCGCCCTTGACATCGCGATGACTTGATCGCGTTCTAGGCAGCTCTCGAGGTGGGGCGTTATCTTTACAGTAGTCGACGTGAGACAAGGTATTATTAGCCGTTTCTCTGTCTCTCATCATGAGCTGAATGCAGTCCAGATTATCTGGTTGACCACATTCATTTTGTACTCACTTGTCTTCACAAAATAGTCCGCTATCTACTGCGCCCACGATGGCTGACAAGGAAGCAACCATCTACCTCCTCGACCTGGGCTCGTCGATGGCTGATTGCCACAATGGCCGCACTGAGTCGGATTTAGACTGGAGTATGCGCTACGTTTGGGACAAGATTTCTACCACTGTTGCAGCTTCGCGGAAGACTTGGAATGTCGGTGTCATTGGAGTCAAAACAGACGAGACCGACAATCCATTGGATAGCCAAGAGGGTGGAGGCGAAGGATACGAGCATATATCGGTCCTCCAAGAACTCGGCCCAATGACCATGGGAAGCCTCACAACCTTGCGTGATCGTGTCAAGGCTAGCGATACGCAAACTGGCGATGCCATCTCTGCTATCGTCTTGGCCGTTGAGATGATTGAGAAATTCACTAAGAAGTTGAAGTACAACCGGAGAATAATCTTGGTCACTGACGGCGAGGCCCCTATGGACAACAGTGATATCGACGATATAGCCGAGAAAATCAAGAGGTCTGGTATTCAACTCACAGTCTTGTTGGTTCCCCGTAATTTCCAAGTATAATGCTGTGTGCTAACCTCGGATAGAGGTGTGGATTTTGATGATTCTGAGTATGGTTTCAAAGAAGAGGACAAGTCTAGTATCAAAGAACAGAATGAGGTGATCCTGAGAGATCTGGTGGAGAAATGCGATGGCTTGTACGGGACTATAGCCGAAGCCATCGCCGAGCTTGAGACCCCAAGAGTCAAGTCTGTTAAGCCATATAAAACTTATGACGGCCTACTCACCCTTGGAGACCCTAGCGTGCACGAAGATGCTATGAGCATCAACGTGGAGCGGTACTTCAAGACGCATAAGGCAACGGTTCCCCCCGCTAGCAGGGTCGTGATGAAGACCGAGTCTAGCACTGATCCTTCTGGTGCTACTGACGGTGACGAAATGCAAGGGGTTGAGCCCACGCCAACCTTCTCTGCGGTCAAAGACGCACGCACGTACAAGGTGAATGATCCCGACGCACCTGGTGGAAAACGCGACGTTGATCGCGACGACCTAGCCAAGGGATATGAGTATGGAAGAACTGCTGTGCACATTAGTGAGTCAGATTATAACATCACTAAGATCGAGACAACCAAGAGCTTCAGCATTGTGGGGTTCATTTACCAAGAGAAGGTAAGAGATCAAGATTAGATTGCTGAGCCCTATACTAATGGTCTTAGTACGAACCCTTCCTGAATATGGGTGAGACCTGTATGACAGTGGCCCAAAAATTCAACGATGCAGCGGCTTTAAAGTTATCGTCTCTCATCCATTCGCTCCATGAGTTAGAGTCTTATGCTGTTGCACGTATCGTGACGAAAGATGGCAAAGAACCTGTTCTGATCCTGTTAGCGCCACATATCGAGCCCGATTTCGAATGTCTTTACGATGTGCCGCTTCCATTCGCAGAAGATGTGAGGAATTATCCGTTTCCACCTCTAGACAAAGTGATTACTGTCCAAGGGACCACAATCACCGAGAATCATAGAAACCTTCCTTCCTTGGAGCTACAAGAGGCTATGGATGATTATGTAGATGCAATGGACATATCTTCTTGGGGAAAAGACGATGAAGGGTGAGTAATATATGTTTGAGGGCGCGTGTTTGGATGCAGCTGATTATCACTAGTGCTCGTACGATAGAGTACGCCGCAGTCGAGGATCTCTTCAGCCCACCGCTTCACCGCATCAACCAAGTTATTCGACATCGTGCAACTTATCCAACCCAGCCAGTTCCCCCGACGCCTGCGATCCTTCTCAAATACGCAAATCCGCCCGAAGATCTGGTAGCGAAAGCCAGATCGGACCTCGAGGATCTCATTGACAAAGCTAGTGTTAAGAAAGGTGAGAGCAGTTTAGCAACCTCGGTAATCATGCGGTCAATTAACATTCGCTTAGTACCTCCCAAGGCACAGGGTAGAAAGGCGAAGGGTGATAAACCTAAGCCAATATCAGGTCTTGATATTGATGCCCTGCTTAAACAGCCTGAGAACAAACGGGCTCATATCAGCCCTGATAAGGCAATACCGGAATTCAAGCAAAAGGTAGAAATCGCCGACGACCAAGCCGACATCGAAGATGCGATGAAGCAGATGGGTGCTATCATTCGTGGCATAGTTACCAAAAGTTTCGGCGATCAGGACTACGAGCGTGTTGTGGAGCACATTGGTGTCATGAAAGAAACAGCGATCGACTACGAGTACCCAGACTTGTTCAATTCGTTCATGGTAGACTTCAAATCCCGCCTCTTATCGGGTGAGTTTGATGGCAATCGTAGGGAGCTGTGGTGGAAGATCAAATCCGTCAAATTGGGTTTGATCGATGACAATGCATCTGAGCCTTCCAAGGTGACACCTGAAGAAGCAGCTGCAGTGAGTAATACCTCATCTGAGACATCATTCCTTAGGCATACTGCTGACGTATGATTGATAGTTCTTCAAGACGTAATGGCCAAGGAGAGAGCGATATTTTGTACCAACAATGTATTTCTAGGATGTCCCGAGGGTCGTCGGGATACAGGCGTCTCCAAACTTCTAGCATACGAGGCTGCATTAATTACGTAGAAGACATGAAATGTGTAACGATCTAGGATCAATCATTCGGGATTACCGACCGGAGCAGAATTAAGTAAAGGGGTGTTGTACTACGTTCATACCTAGATATGTAGGTATCCTGACGGCTATCTCCACCGTATGACCAACAGGGTATACCATATAGCTAGCATCGACCTCAAAACCTCAAGACCTATCCATCCCCCACGAGGTGATTGTTCTGCGACTGGTAGCGAGTCAATGGTCCGACAGCTTCGGGTTTGGCAAGTGCCCATGACATCCTCACGTGTATGTCTTCTCTTCCCTCATTTAGATGCTACAAACAAGCAGATACGCCGTTGACAGATGGAACTCTGCCATATTCTCAGATAATGTAGGGAGGCTGTCTACCCGTATGTACCACGCACCCGTGGTAGGTTAACCGGGTTCCCCTTACAGCTACATGTTCATGCAGCTTCAGCACCTGATCAGCTATTAGCGAATGTTCCGATACACAGGCTATCAATGGGAAATACATCAATAGGGAGGCAACACATACGTGAATGTGGGAACTCGTTGTTGCTCTTTCCTAGTGCTACAAACAGGAAACAGCTCCCAGTCCTCAATAGGTCGTGACTTGCCGCAAACAAGGTCCGAGCGCCTCTATAATCGAATCAACTTCCCTCATCCTCTATAAGACGAGGTCGAGGTCAATGTCCGTCCAATTGCACTTTACCATTATCATTCGCTCCGAGTTCTTGTCTCAGATCAGACCGTCTTATCCATATCACCAGCTGTTTGCCTACCCTCAAGCAAACCTTTCAAGTTGCCTCGTTCGCGATATATACTTAATATCCACGGATCATCGCCACCTTCAAGTTTACTCAGATCCGACCTAAAGTGCTATTACAGTTACCGATACGGCAATGGCATCCGACCGCACGTATTGGGATCCTGATGATAGCGATGACGAAATCAACATCTCGATGATCCCAAAAGCACCAACTCCTATTCATCCTCCTTCTAAGGAAAGTAGTGACGCCCGCTGCCCAGTACTGACTGATAGTCCTCGCTTGGCACCGTTACCAGGACCACCGGTGGGTGAGAGTACCGAAGCCTCAAACATTTCACCACTGCGTACCCTTCCTGCAACTTCTGATACTATCAATCCTATATGTCTGGCATTCGGGGATATGTCTGAGAAGGGAACTACCTTTATTCCTTGGAAGCTTGTGCGAGGTTATCCTCGTATGTACATTGGGATGAAGAAGAAAAACCAGCAACGGGTACGTAACTCAGAGAAGGGTGAGATATTAGACTTTGTTGACTTCCAAAGCAGATTATCGAGGTCTTTAAGGAGGCTCTTTTGGAGGACCGTGACTGGGACGTGTATGTGACCACTAATCAATTCTTTGAAAATATACTGATTCTCAGCTGTAGCTTTGCACAATGCGACCCCACGATCTCAAAGATGAGAAATCTCCCGTTGGTATTGGTTCCTACTATCCAGTTTGAACAATTTCTAAGTTCCATCAATAACCGTATTGATGAGGAGCTCAGTATTCCCAAGGGGAGGGCCGGGGAGCTATTCTTCCTCACATTTGGCGAATGGGATACACCACGTCCTCGCTTCCTGGGCCGGGCTAATAATGCTAGTAGCATCGATAGACTTGAAACGCGTTCTCTTACGCTCCCAGCTAATGACCTCAGCCATCTAACCCATGCTTGCTATCAGATGTATCAAGAGAAAATGGATGAGATATATAGTTCATTGACTAACGCTAAGAACCAAAAGAAACGAGAGCGGGCTATGAAAAAAAGACGTGAGAGAAACAAAGCTAGTGGACGTATGCTCAAACGTGTACAGAGATATCTGGGTCTTCGCCAAGCTACGTCGCATGTATCACTCAATAGTATGTTTCGTTTACCACCCCTATCCACATAGAAGTAGCTGACATGACATTGCGGTTCAGAACCACTTAGATCTTGGAGTACCTCGCAGCCCGCCCCCTTCAAGGCCAGAGAATCAGTTCGTTTTGTTTGCGTCGACATCGAGGCATACGAAAAAGATGACAGAACTATTACTGAAGTTGGGTTAGCAGTATTAGATACCGAGGATCTTATTGATATTCCACCTGGCGAGAAAGGCGAGAATTGGTGTTCATTAATCCAACCCTACCACCTCAGAATCCAAGAGCATCGCTATCTTGTCAATTCCGAATATCTCCAAGGCTGCCCGGACGCTTTCAATTTCGGGTAAGCTGATAACCTCTTCGAAACTATGAACTACTATTGATTGACAAGCAACAGCGAATCCCAGTTTGTCCCACTCAAGGAAACCCACAAGGTTGTGGGTAAAATCATCGGCGACAAGGAGTCTGGAGATCAACGGCCTGTTATCATTGTCGGACACGAAGTACAAGCAGATTTAAAGTTTCTTTTGAAAATAGGGTATAATCCTTGGTCTGAACCCTTAATCGTCGATGAAGTCGATACTAGGGACTTATTTCAACGCATAAAACGCAGCACGGATGTCCGTGGCCTAGAAACGATGTGTACTGAACTGGGCATCTTTGGCAAGAACTATCATAATGGCGGAAACGATGCGGTCTACACATTGCAGGCGATGATTGCCATGGCCATTAAGCGGACAGTTGAGGGTTCGGGGAGAAAGGAGGTTTCCTCCACTCCAGGGTAAGTAATTAAGGATTCAATCACCCTAAGCATTGCGACGGCTACTGACCTATGATGACAGTACTGACGAGTGGAGTGATGGAGAAATGGATGATGGTGGGTGTGCTAAGAGATCCATGGCACCTGTCGAGACAACGCGCGCATCCCACTCTGAAGGTAAACACTAGAATCTAAGATGGCAGTAGGGATATGCTAATCATGATGCATTTAGATGGATCCCTGGATGTGCAATGGTAAAGGGCACCAACATTCGTTGTTGAATGATGTCTCGTTTTACCATCTATTGTCTCCCTAGTGGTGTTGATCTGCAGGGCTCAGGAGCCCTATTCGGAAGGTAAAAAAATAAGGGGCTGCCATGAGGATCGCAGGATGGATGTGTATTTGGGGGTTAGTATCGTTATTTGATATGAGCCAGTACTGGAGATATACCTACCTATGCTGTTTGCATTAGGTATCTAGCATTCAAACCCATTGTAGTATCGATATCACAGCGCAATTGAAGCGAAACAGTCCTTGCGAAGAGTTGAATGTATTTGCAGACCAGAAGTGAAGTTTATACAGTAAAGCAAGAATATGACGCCCCAGCGATATTCATCGCACAAACTTATTGATGACCCTTTCGAAACGCCATCGCTCCGTGAAATGCTCCAATACTATACAGATGTTGATATAAGTCGCTCATGTTCGGCAACCCGTCTCATTGATTGGCCAGTGCGCTTTTAGTGATGACGAAAAGAAGCAAGTTCTCCAAATAATCTTTCCTGAACTAGTTGGCATTCTTCTCGAGGAATTCTTTAGCTTCGTTGACCTTGGTCGCAAGGTAGGGACTTCCACCTCGATCCGGGTGGTTCAGCAGCATCAGGTTCCTGTGAGCCTTGCGGACCTTGTCCTTGGTGATGGAACTCTCGCTATGGTATTCTGTTAGCGGTCTTTTTTTCCTTTCTCTCTTTCCCATTTTGTGTCTAGTAAACCCTTTTACTTCACAACCGTTCGGTGAGAACCGGAAAAGGTTCAGGGATTGAAGCTCCGTACGTACTTGAGGGCTAATATCAACGAGGCCTCTTTCTTCGTCATTCGCTGCTCAAATCCGCCTTTGTAGAAGGCTTTGCCCATTGCGCCGACGCCACCGCGCGAGCGCCGCCATGCCACGAGGCCTGCGCGGCCGAGGAATGCAGCGACGGCTGCACCACCACCGATCGCGAGCAATGAAACCATGTTCCTTCTTTCGGCCTTTTGTGTCGCCTGCGACGATTTTCGAGAGGGTTTGTCGCTTAAGCTGGAGGAGAAGCAGGGTAGAGTACGGTAGCTTCAATTTTCGATGCGCCGTCGGGTCGGATGGCGGCGGCGGCGACTCCACTTCGCTCTTCGGCTTATCTTATCTATGATAGGTGCGCTCCTGCAGGGGACCTGGCACTAGACGAGCGCTAGTAGTATCGATAAGTCTCTCGACTCGAAATTTTGGATGAGAGCAAGCTTCGACTTCACCCCACCGCCCAGTGCTTTTGCAGAACTGCCACATCCAAGACGCTCGGGTTCTACCTTGGGCTCGAAACCACCGTTCTTTTCTTGACCGACGCGACCGAGACTTTGTTGGCAGAGAGCCTGTTCTATCAAGATGAGGTAGGTTTTTGAAATATCTTATATATCGACCTACGGCACACACGCGATCTTTGCGAAGCGAGATACCACGTCGGAGGTCGGCTATGCACTTATGTCTTGCCTTGCAGAAGGAGAGAGTAGCTATCGTTCGCTGAGAAATATTGTGCTTGCGCAAAGACTCAAGATCGGTTAATCGAACAACATCGACTCGCCGCTTCAATCACACGACGTCCCATCGCTTTTCATGCTTCCGAGTTCCTGCTATAATTAATCACTACGTTCTGGTTGCTGACTCGGCTTCTTCATCACAGGGTTGAAACCTGCTACTTCTGCTCGCGGCCCGCCTATCCAGGTACGAGTCCCCTGAACTGAAGCCTCTACTCCTCTATCCGACCGAGCATGGACCTATGTGGTAGTTGAGACTAGTTGCTGACTAGAAATCTTCAGGGAAGGGTATGCAGTTTGTTAGGAACGATGGAAAGGCGTTTCGGTTTTGCAGGTACAGTCCCATTTCTACATCTACGCCTTCAGCTTCATTTCTATACACAGACATTTGCCTGGTGAGACAAGTTGGCTTGGAGGAGGTTTCCTCTTGAAGCCTTAAAGAGAGTTGCCAAAAGTTGTTCCAGCATACCTCTGTCATTGTAACGTGCCACTTGACGCTTAGGATGGAGGGAGCCTAATCTTTTGATCCATGCTATATCATTCCAATAGCTGAGCGGCAAGGGATGTGCTACAATAAGACTAGATTTGTATGAAGTCTTACAAGCTGGTATCTTAGTATTGTCGCCTTCTAACTTCAAGCTGGTCCAAACATAGAGCTAGCCCCTATTATTATTCTTTGGATAAACGTCAATGCGAGTCTCATATGTGGGGGAGTATTTGCTGACATATGTTATAGGTCAAAATGTCATAAGAACTTCAAGATGAAGAGAAACCCGAGAAAGCTGGGTTGGACAAAGGCCTACAGAAAGGCAGCGGGCAAGGAAATGACTGGTATGTGCCTTTTTTCAGTCCTATTTTCACTTGACTAGTTGCTTCTTCCTGTCTCAGGATCCACATCCGTGTCGAGCATGCTACTAATACCAGATCCTATAGTGGATTCCACTCTACAATTCGCCCAGCGACGAAACGTTCCCGTCCGCTACGACAGGACGCTTTGGGAGAAGACTATGCAAGCCATGGAACGCATTCAAGAGATCAGGTAAGATATTTCCAAGCTCGATCCCCAGTTTAGCTTTCTCTGCGGCGAGAATTATCCGAATAAGATTATCTTGCCTCGAAGACACCCAATCCGATCTTCGAGCCCGTCTTCAAGAGCTAGATTTGTTAACTTTCTTTACAGACAAAAGCGAGAACGCGTTCATTACAAGCGAAGGATGGCAGGCAAGCGTGCCCGCGAACTTGCTGCCGACAAGAAGCTTGTGGAGTCTCACAGCCACCTGCTCCCTCGGATGCGTGGAAGCGAGCGGAGACGTCTATTGGAACAAGGAGTGGCTCCCGAAGAGATCGACCAAATGGAAGAGACACTTCCTACCGAGACAGCCAAGGTGCAAGGCAAGGAGAAGCAACGCCAGAGATTGCGGGTCGATGGTGGAGTGGAGTTTGTGGGAGAGGGAGACAATGGTATGGATATGGACTCGGAATAAGCCTGCAGTTGTCGCTGTTCATTGGACTTGATCACATTTGGGCAAGATATCACGGCGTTATACGTTTTAATTGCGGCATATCATGGCGTTTTATGGGGTACTAAACAATTGCTGAGAAAAAAACATACCTTGCTGGTTTGAGTCAGCCAAGAATATATTGATAATGGAATGAGTATAATCTTGTGTGGTAGCCATGTTCATTCTCGCACAATTATGTTTCTGCGCCAAGAGCTATATCGTATCTAGAGATGGTGTAAACTCCTCGTTGGTATTATATAACTACGTCCAGACGAATGAATTACTTGCGTTTCCAGTGGCACTATTTTATTCATCATTTAGTACATGTATATTTTTGATTCTACATATTGCCACAAACAGAATGGCTGGCAAGCTCGTCAGATCTGCACAGACCTTATACCAAGGAGACCTTAGTTTATACTCACTCACTCATTCTCAAAAGTGCCGCTCACCGAATAGTTATGTAAAATAACCTCACTTATTATTACCACTTCCCTATATGAGCAAAATAGAATTTCAAAGCTGAATCCAACACACACACACACATACCCACATCCCCTTCCCCTACGCATCCGCCACGTCATCCTCAGGCTTTCGTCCACGCCCAGGCTGATGCAAATGATACGTGCGCGGCGGCGCTGCTAAGCTGGCGCGAATCTCCTGCGCGATGCCGGCGTCGAGGGCCTCCTTGCGCCGCACTTCCTGCTCCTCTTTGGCACGACGGGCGGCTTCGCTCTCGCCGCTATCGTAGTTTCCCGCCCCGCCGCGGCCTGAGTATCTGGGCGCTGATGAGGCCGGTTTCGGGGCTGAAGATGAGGGAGGGGAAGAAGTAGTGGTAGGGGTAGGGGTAGTAGTGGGAAGATCTGGGGTCACGAAGTTGCCGGCGCCGCCGCGCCCTGAGCGCATGTATGTTGCTCCATCTGCGCCGGCTGTTGATGCGCTGCTGGATTGGAGATTGTTGGGGGTTGTGCTGTTGCCGTCTTGTTGGGCTGGTACCTTTTGCGCTTCTATGTCCTGCGTGGGATGTTAGTTGGGAATCAATCTTCTGGCCTGGCGGGTAAGAAATGGATGCGTATGTGAGTAGGCTAAGTTATGGGAAGATATGACCTATTGCGTATGTGTGTAACTAGATATATGCGAAGAGGTGCATGGGGTAAGATTCTGTATCGACATGATGGATAAGATGAGAGACAGAGAGAGAGACAGATAAGACGGACGAACCTCTGTCTTGTCCTGCTTCGCGGCATCCTCGACGTCTTTTGGCGAGTAGAAGTTCCCCGCTCCCCCGCGGCCGGTTCGCAAGTATGCATCGCCTGAACTCATTTTTGCTGTTTACTTGATCACTATTTGCCCCCTGGATTTTTGTTTTGGTTATCTCTACAGATAATTAACCTCGCTAGGACCAGTTATTCGATGACGATAGATTCCTTGTTGTGGAGAAATTGTCCAAAGTCCAAGACGCGGCTGGTTGCCTGGCTGCCTCAGACGTGAGAGATAGCTCCCGTCGATAAGCCTCACGCACTACAACCTACCCGGGAAAAAAGGCTGTTCCCATGCTTCTCTCACAAACAAGGACTGAAAACTTTAAATTCTAACCACAACGTCACTGTTTCTTCATAATTGAGTTACAAATTATTTTACACTTTTCATTACCCTCATTGAGATAATGTGATGCTTTCCAGTAGTTTTTCCAGCGTTGGTATTATTGATAAGGGTTAACTAACTGTTGGATTATCTCTCAGGGCCACCGGTAAGTTCTGAATATCATGGAATATGGAAAGAGATATGCCAACTTATATTCCTGAGCTAACAGCCTTTGAAGTTATAAAATGGATGAGGTTGAAGGCCGGTTTCTTGGCGCACTGGATAAGGAAAAGAAGGCTATTAATCTCTGGCCAGCTAACCTCCCAGAAAACGACATACAATGATACTCTTCAGTAATATGGCTTAAACAATTCTTAAAGTTAGATAACTTATACACTGCCTACCGGACGTTAACTTTACATAGACTTGGACATGCACACAGACTTTCCTTTCATGTATGTTATACTCCGTATTGGTAGTTAGACTCGACACCTTTCGTTTTCGATGCGATTAGGTCACAAGGGATCGAGTGTCGAGTTCATACAGCGGCCACAGCCTTGTCCGAAAGGGGAGAATCCCCAGTCACCGAGATCGAAATTGGGACTGGTTGGGTATCAAACAGGTAATCTCACTATTTCTCACTGTGGCTATGTCTAGGTCCCATGAATTTGTAAAAAAGGCATACACCATTGTGCCGTGTCAGCTTAGCCAGCTTTCTAGGCTACCATATTTGGGCACGTAGGAGGTCTCTTTCCACATGGACGAGAACTCATATGCTTACAAAGAGTCACGGAATAATTAGGCAGCGGGTGGTTAATTATGAGACAGACTAGGAAATAGCTATATGATTCATCAGTAAGGAGCGTTAACGATTGTTGAGACCCGAGTTCCCCGATTCTGCCATGCAAGCGGGATCTTTTGCGGCTGCCTCTAGGCTTCATCCGTCTAGTGCAGCGATAGAAGGTTGTCACGATCTATCTGAACTTATCCCGGAACAATCTACAGTACCTACTTACAGGTATCCTACACAGTACGAACAATGCTCATCTGTCCAATGCGCCCAGCTTCATGGATTAACATATGGCGGGATTACCTGGTCGTGGGAATCAAAACTATTCAATATCGTGCCATGTTCTCCATTTTGGATCAAATGCGGCTAAATTTTCTCCAGAATAATTTTCTGGGAGCGAATAAGACGATGATGGGTTGAGCTACGTAGAGAATGCCTTGGAAGTAGACGGCCGCCGGTTGTATCGTGAGGATCGACGCCGACGTCATAGAGGGGCAGTAAGTAAGAGGCCCACTGGCTCCATGTAAAGGCGGGTGCTTCTGAGCTTCCTGAAATAATATCCCAACCGGTTTAAAAAGTTGAAGAGAATATTAGAAACAGCAGGCAGACAGCACACTGTTGTAACGTGCTGTATAGTGTATACATAATATAAAATACTAGCTTGCGTAGCATGATCGGCGAGATATTACATTCCTGAATGGGATCATTCAACGTGTGTGCTGTGGGTTAATGCAATCGCTACGAAGATTCGCTTTACCATGACAAGATAAGCGGGGTTTCTTGTTTCTTTCTTTTTGTCCTTTTGAGAGCGGAGGTATTATGTGAGCCTCATGCTTAGGCTGTTACATGGAACGCCTGAAGATCTAAGTAAGTCTGCCTATTGACGTTAAGCGAGGATTAATAGACTCACAAGCGAGCGGGAGGGCATTACAACATCCATCTTTGGTAGCAGCGACAACACTGCTTGCATTCTTGTCTTTTGCATCCTAGGCAATCCTTACGTGCACCATGGTCAGTCAGAGCAGGGTAGTATTGTACCTGCATTAAACATACTCACGCAGAAAGTGGTGAATTGCGGCTCATTCTTGAGTTCCTCTCATGATCCTGCTCCGAAAACCCAGACTGTCGGGAATGGGTGCTTGTCGCGTGGCTGGTGTATGATCACGTCAGCCATCAAAAGCTGATCTTGATGGTGGTCAGATTCCGCGTACATGCACGAGGCACCGGGTCAATGCAGCAGATCAAGATACCGGTTGAAACTGCATGAAATACTGCTCTGTAGAATTGACCACTCGGTGCCGAAGATAGTTGTTCCACCTTATCAATATTGTTTTGAAGGCGCAGAGCTGAGATGCTGCTTCACCCATCAACCAACCCATGTGTGGGCTAAAGTAGATCGAGAATCATGCCTTCTTACAGACTTTGTCCACTTCTTCCTTGAAGTAGATCGTACGCTGATCAGTTCAAGCCTTAAACCTACTGTAGCTAGGTCTGCGTACCTCAGCCCTAAATTAGAAACTCTAGTTGCCTGACAAGCTTGACAGATGACCACAATGGCCATTATGCTTTCGGGTGATTTCCTACTTTGACCACCCCCTACCTGAATGACTGACCAGCTCAGGACAGTCTACGTACAAGTCGTCTTAGTCAGTGGTGTTCGCTAGTACCGCACCTCCCAGAGCCAGGCAATAGTCAGCTCGGAGTACATAGTCGATAATATTTGCACTCGTATCCCAACAAGGTAGAAAGAAGGTCCTCAGTGAGACAGACATATTGGTCAGCGGATGTGCTGCCTGTACATGTAGTGCGAATGATTAGTCTACACTAAATGTGTTCCTTCACTCCCCATATTTGAAGCACAATAGCTGTGTAACAACTGCCCAAACGAGGATCCGTGCAAATTGTTTATTGGTGGATTCCGAACCAGACACTTCGAGACAAGCCTTTAGGGTTCGCCCTCACTTGTGACATGGCGATGATGGCGTACGTATATAGTACCGTACTGGTGCAGCATTAGCCAGCAAGGTTAGTACTGGGGCGAATAGCCATGTTCGCCTCCTGCCCACCACCGGAGCATAGCCCGTGACTTTCAATCTAAGAGCCAAGGACACGTTTAAGTACTATGTAAGTAGGTCACAAGAAAAGATGGTGTGTAGTCCCACAATGTAGCCGTAGCTTGATGCTGTAACTCAGCAGGGTCCAGATCTCTCGGTTATCATTACGGGTGTAGCGTAGGAACGATTGGAAGTCGAGAGGCGACACTGATATTGTGATTTGTCGTACAGCAAATTTGAAATCCTTCAAGCTCGTTTCAAACTTCTTACAGGACTCAGGCAGCGTGAGTACATGCAGGTAGTCGCGACATGAACTAGGTAATTGAAGAGATATCGGCGATATCTGTAGCATACCTACATTAGCTACTCGTACGCTTATACTATTTATTCTACTTATTGTATCTCGTAGCGTAGTATCGGTTAGATAGTGGAGTTCCTGACTATAGTAGGACGTGCGACTCGGGGATATTTATACAGTATACGACCCCTCCAAGTGAACTACAGTAAGTGCATATATGTGGTAATAATAAATTAGGTATGCCAGGTCGGAGGATTGCGTGCCGTCTTGCTTTGTTACTGTAATTCGGAGCCTGAGTTACATGTCGGTAACCTGCCTTGCTCAGTAGTAGATAAATGATACATTCAGTGGTGGTTCGATTTGGCAGAGGTGTGAGCGTAGTAGACATACTTAAGTACATACGTACCTAGTACTTAGTATACAGATATATCAATCCAACATTGAATCCTTCCTGCCCCAGCAGCCCCCAATGCACGTAACGCGAAGGAGATTTACCTGCGTCAAAGATGGCGATTTTACACGTCGATCATTCAAAGCGCCGCGGCAGATGGTGCGTGAACAGATGTTGCTAGTGCTAGCCAGGCACGGGTGGGTTTCTCCTGCTGTAGGTACGTGTGTGTATTTCCCGATCCCAGCATCACATCTCGATCAACGGGTTTTGCAGGTTAACAGGGGAATTTTGGTTTCTTCGAAATTTTTTTCTGTGTCTTGTTGGTTTCGATGAATTTGCTAGAAGCTAATAGAAGCGCTCGGTTGCTGCAAGTGAGACACAATTTTCTGTCACATGCTCTGCTTAATCTAATGTATGTTAGCACCAGCGGAGTGATACAAAAAAAAAAGTTAATATGTTCACGGGTATTTGACCTGCCTACCTCGGTAGCCATACAGCATTTTTTACTATCAAATAAGCATTTACTTGTATACATAGTACTGCTTGTAGAGCACAGAGTAATACAACATTGCATTCGCATACTATCTAACGCTTCTGCATAGAGGTGTTAATTAGGGGACGGTATGGTCCCGAGACCATCTTATAATGATAATTCAAGACAAACTAGAGGGTTACCTATTCGAGATTCGATGTGAACGGCCGAAGCTACCCATCCGTCACATACTAGGTATCGCATACGGTACTAGGTACTTAGTGCTGCCACACGCTACCTTCATTGAATGTTGCGTGGAGGATTGGACGGATAGGTAGAGAGGCGAGTTTAGACGGAAATCGGCGGCGATCCCCTCGACTACCATCTGTGATACCTAATAGAAGACTCGGACAGGCAGGACATGCATTTGCTTAGTTTGAATTGGATTGTGGTGCCCATGGATTTCGCAGCGGTTGTACAGTTGGCAGATGAAACTCAATTTATCCCTGCTTAAACAAATGCTTCCGACCTGTATCGCTGTTATTTCTCATACCATACCTATGGCACAGTAAGACCACCAAATTTGGCTTGACTAGACGCAGCACCCTACATACAGTACACTTTTATGTGTACCACACCTTCTTTCTTCCTTAGTATACGTGAAGCTATCGCCTCTTTTGGCAGGATAGGAATCTGCATCGACTGATATGCCACGCTAAAAGGCGACAGTAAGCTATCCGGCCATAGATCCGTCTTGTCCTGGGCAGAAGTCCTGGATGAAGAGGTGCTAAAGGCTGCTAGAGGTGCTAGTTCAGCCACAAAGCACACAATCGGAACTTTCTCCGGTTTTCTTGATCCAGGTCTGTCCAGGTTTCGATGGATAAATACGTCCAAGTAAGTGGTGAATGTAGTAAATCGCAGGATGGACACCAGCAGCCTTGTGACTTGTGACCAACACGGCGACGGTACAGTACAGTAGTGCGCACTAGTGCCAGCATAGTACTCTGTAGATAGTGGAAGTAGGGCAGAGTAGGGGCCCGGTAGGCGTCTGTAGTCGTGGATGTCGACACTACTCCGTACGCTAGAACTTAGAGGGGCTCAGCCACGATGGTAGTACGGTCGACTAAACATCCCACGCTTGTACCTTCTCTTGGCTCGAAACATGGCATGCCTTGCTCGCATGCCATTCCGAAAACGTCATGTCAGGCCATCTCCAGGCCAATGTCATTCTCTATTCTCCGAATATTTGGTTGTATCTGTAAAAACCAAGTGAAGAGGAAGCTGGAATCACGGCAATAACAGAGAATGGACATGTGGTGGCCGTCTCAGCCTATAGTCCAGTACCGAAGCCCTGACAAGCGTGTAGGTGCCTCCACGTTTCTCGTCGCATTGCATTGCATAGCATATAGCATAGCATAGCTACCTAGTATACCTAGTGGTAGACTGAGGGATAGTTGCTTTTGGATTCTAATAAATTCTACCAGTCCGCGTAGCTCCAATGAAGGATAGGAGAGGAAGCTCATCCCTAACCAGACCTAACCTATTGGAAGGGGTGGTTGACCTAAATTAACTCGGTACACGACACTGCCGAGAACTGCCCTATTGTAATGACAGGCGTAGGAGGAGGTAGGTATGCACTCAGACACCGGTAGGCCAACTAACATGGACTGTGCGAGTACAGTGCGGTATTAGTACTCGGTGCGATGCGACATGATGGCCGGAAAGGACGGGGAGGAGAGCATGCTGTGCCGGCGCGCCAACTCAGTTGATGAGGGGTGGTTGCTATTAGTTGACAGTGCATTATATTGGCATGTTAGGAAAAGCGCACTGTATGAATAGGGCTACACTGCTCCGTGTGGTGGTAGAAGTAGAGGTTTCAGGACAAAGACAAATAAATACAAAGAGAAGAGGGCAATTCCGCCGCTTATCTAAAGTATAGTACTAGTTAGCTCGTATCGCATTGATCTCGTTGTTGAGTTGTTATCAATGTTGTTGACTCAGATATATCTCAGAAACATAATTCTCGCAGCGACTTCGGATGTGTTTAAACCCTAATACGGTCCGGTCACGAATAGTCATATTGCTCGGGCAAAAAGATGCCAGATAGATGGGAGGGGAGGTTATGATACAACCCGATTTGCTAAACAGGACCTAGTATGGGTAATTGACACGTTCTGATATTGAAAAGATGATGTTGTTTCAAACGGCTAGTCGTCTCTTACCTGTAATGCATCCATTAGATACCTGGGTAGCTAAATGCCTCTGGTATACACTCCTGTCATCATTTTTATAGTCGTGACCAACCATACTAAATGCGTAATCTACAGATTGTCTAATATCTGCTGAGTGTAACATCTACCTACCGATTTCTTCACATCAAGCCATTGCAGGTTTGTGTGCCATTATAGGTAGGCATATCTGAAAAAGGCCCAATCAAGGATTTAGGACGAGGCTCTTCATCCCTAATTGGCCAAGGAGGCTTCTTCAATAATAAGTATGGAATACTGAGGCATTGCATTCTTTTATTTTATTTGATTTTCGAGTTAGCTGTAGATAGATGGCTATTGTACGTGTAAGTAGGTACCTTAGGTATGCTGAAGAACTCAATGATCTGCAACTCTAGCGCTTCATAGTCCGTCATATGTTTCCTGTAAATCAGGTACCACTGAACCGAAATGATTGATTGATAAGCTTCTACCTACCTAGTTACCCTCTTCTCCCCCGCCCTAGTAAGATGGATACAAGACAGCACCGTTATCTCTTGCGAACATTTGAAACAGGCGAGAGAGATATCTAACTGAAGACACAGAAACAATAGCAAGCGGACCAAAAAAAAAAAAAAAAAAAAAAAAAAAAAAAAAAAAAAAAAAAAAAAAAAAAAAAAAAAGCCAGTATGTGCCAAGAAAGGCAATGATGACAGGCGTTTCCTCATCGTGGCTCTTCATGTATCGACCTACGTACCCTGTCTCCAACTTTTAGTCACGAGGAACAGGCGCTGCACATGATTGAACCTCGCTCCACTATCAAACACACCCCCATCATCTGGCCAACCCGGCCGCGCGTTAGCTAGGTCTAGGTACTGTAAGGGAAACTTGGTAGAAAGGTCATGAGCCTCTCGGGGTTGTCTACCTACTTGGTATGTATTACCTAACCTAGGTAATAGGTACATTATATAAATACCTCGGCAGGGTATTCTTTTCTGCTGCGCACCGAACCAGCACTACCTATTCTACCTCTGCGCCCCCTATCTGGGTAAGTCAATATTGAAGTAGCGTAGTGGGTTGTAGCCACACGGCGACATCTCCGGAGAATACCGACTGTATGCTCAGTACCCATATCCCATATCTAGTTGCTAGTTCTATTCTGCATATCCGGTCAGGTCAGTACTGAGGTAGGCAGGCATACAACAACAAACATACACAGCATAGTGTATAGGTAATAGGTTAGTAGGTACCTAAGGAGGTAGGCATCTGAACATATTTCACAGCCAGGAGATACACGAAGAACTTACTCCGTCTACACTACAAATGCATATCGTGTAAGCACCAATAGGCCTATCTTTAGAGCCACACAAAGCACGGGGAAGTCCAGTCTAGCCCATTCAGAGAGGGCCCCATTATTCCCCATGCGTATCTGTAAGTAAGTACTTAAGTATGCGCCGGGGAGTGTAGGTAGGTACAGAGTACGTACCCAGGTGGTAGCGATGTCTCCCCCCTTCCCCCTACAATCTTCCCCCTTATACCTACTACATACCTCATGTACCTAACCTGGCAGGTACAAATAGTGTCGTGTAGGAAGTACCTACAAGCTGCTGACTTTAAGGTACATTCTTCTTTACTATCACTGTGTACTTTCTACCTCCGTCTCCGAATCGCTCTACTGTACAATCTTGTAGGTACCTACCAACCTACCACCAACTCAATCGAAACTGCCCGCTTCTCCTGCTTCCAATGCTTGATCTGGTCTTATTTTTTGTGCTATTGACTGTCTTTGTTCCTGTCCAATTTCCAGGATTTGCATCTTTTTTATTTATTTATTTTTACTTTTTGGTCCTTGCCCTTGGTCCAGAAAAAAAAAAAAATCTTTTTGCAAGTCAGCAGACGTGGCCAGTCATAGTGCTCCCTCTTACACTACACACCACAAGAGGTAAACCCTTGTCACCACCTTTACCACCACCACACCACATTCGTCTACTCCAACCAACAACGGCATATTCTCGCTCTCCTCAGCTTCATACTTGCTCCTGCTTTCTTACTTGCTCACCACAATACCACTCCTTAGCTATCAAAGAAACGCCTAGCACCATCGTTTTTGTGATTTGTACTTTGGTTTTGTCGTGCTCTTGTCTACGTGTGCGGCAATGGCCTCCTCCAAGGTAACCACCTAAACCCCGTCAATGCCAGACTAGCTCGTTAGAGGGAGCTCGCCATGCTGATCATTCCTGGCCAACATCACAGGAAATCCTGACGTCGACGAGGCCATTGATCCAACACCGTCAGTCTATCTCTTCAGGTCCGACATCCGTCATGTCGTCCGCTCGCCCACCTTCCCACTCACGCAACAATTCCCACTCGCTTTCCGCTTTGTCCGGCGTCCATAATCCCACCCACCGAGTAACCCGCCGCAAAAGCATAACCAACCCTACCGCGAATGCCGCTGCCGTCGTGGCCGCTCTACAAGAAGCTGGCGAAAAAGTGACGGCCCTGCCAATCACTGTCAACTCGCGCCGCGGTACTATATCTAAGTCTGCCGCTACCGCCCGGGCCACCGTCGTAGGCAGTCTCCCTTCGCCGCCTTCCAGTCTACCGACTCATCGTTTCACAATGCATCCGAAGCCGGAAGGACAGGAAAGTGCGATTGATGACGATTCCAACGATATGTCCGCCGACGAAGGGGAGAACGGGCTTCAGAAGGCACGGATTCGTCGCGCAAGCGATGGCCAACCTCTCACGAAGGAGGGCAGGAAGATCAACCGCGTCGAGCTTCGATGCGACAAGTGTGGAAAGGGATACAAGCATAGCAGCTGCTTGACCAAGCATTTGTTTGTGCCCATTTTCTTACCCACTACCCTTACCCTGTACTCTCTTGGCCAGGCCGCTGGATGATGTCTTCGCTTCGAATAAGCTATGGACCGGCTTGCACACCACCCAACCCTAGTGTCTATGCGTGAACCTGTGTTGACGAATTGCTTGTCAGGTGGGAACACACTCCCGAATGGTCTTACACATCCAAGCTTCTCATCTCCAAGCATCAGCAAGTGCAATTGCTTGAAGCAGCGTCTGTTCTTGTTGCCATGAACACAAAGGACTCCACTACGCCTCCCGACTCGGCCAAGGATTTTGCTAGCGAAACAGGGTCGGCGTCTCCGACTGCCTCGGGCTACTCGGAACACCACGATGGACGCAGCTCTGCGGATACCACTCCGCCGCCCCAGGACACGTTTTCCGTGAGTAATGCGATGAATTACCGCGATGCCCCGAAGCGCTATAGCAATGGGAGTAATTACTCGCGATCATACCAATCGAACGTGCCAGGATCTTTCCTCCCCGGTAGCTTAACCCAAAGGAGCGGATTTAGTCATAACCGCCATGGTAGTATGGATCGTCGTCCTCTGTCATCTGGGCTGAATAACACTGGCCAAGAGGACCGTGACCTTGCAGCAGCAGTGGAATTGCTCAGCTGCAGCATTGGCAGCAACGGCGGAAACCGGGATGCACGGCTCCCAGAGGATGCCCCTCCGGTTCCTCCGTTGCCTGCCCGATACCTAGATCAAGCAGCTTTCAGTAGCACAAGCTTCATCAACAGTTACACAACACAAATGCCTGAGAGCTTCACCCGCGGTGACTCCCGCCCGGTGGTGGATGTAAAAATGGAAGATAGCGAAGGTAGCATAGCGGATGAAGAGGAGGAGGAACGACGCTCCAGGGCGCGAAGCAGTGAGGAAGATGATGACATGATGTTTGGGCGCATGGAAGAATAAGCTTTGGACTGTACCGACTGTACCATTGGTCGAGAAAGTTTCTCCCGATGATTGGAAATGAGGCATGATTTTGGTATTTCCTTTGTACCACAAACACGTATATTAACACTTGTAAATGGGTGGTTCGCTCCGCCGCCGGGACCTTAGCACCGAAGAGTGGCGGCCTTCAAAGAAATTGAGAGCCGGTGGAAGAAATCCCCACGAGGTTAAAGTGAGGTTCGGAGGGAGCGTCGAGTGAACACCAAGAGCGACCAGAAAGCTTTTTCTTCCAAAGTTTCACGACTCTAAGGCAGATGACACATGAGTGTACGACTGCGGGTCTACAATGTAGACGCAAGACACTCGTCTGTTTTAATGAAAGGGCAACGTTAACAAATGATGTTTGAGAGAGACTTACACTGGAGTGACCAGAGGATGATAGCTTGCAGCTTGGAATCATAACTCGCGGAATGCGGAGAAAGCTACACCTGTGATGATCTGCATGCTGTACACGGCTTGAAATCTAAGGGCCGAGGGAGGAAGAGCCATTTCACGGACCTCTTTCACCACGGGGATCAACATAGTGCAAACAGACAGAGCACTTCTAAGTATGCAAACAAACGCTCGAGATCCGGGGCGCATGGAAGGTGAGGTTGCTTGAAAAAAGAGAAAGGAGAGACGGAACCTCCTCAATCGAGATGACTCGGCGCGCCCTTATGATTTGAGGGACTGCTACTCTGGAAACGATCAACGGTGGGGGGATTGAAGTGAAGATCACCGAGACGACGTCAGTGACTCGTGGTGGAGGAGCAACGGGCTGTCAGATCTCAGGATTTGTATGTAGAGCTGGGGGACAAGCGCGCGGTGCAGCGAAACACAAGCTGGTTCAGCTGCCTCCCTACCTAGGTAGGTACCTAGTAGTAGGTACCTAGGTAGCTTCCATGCTAGCACTTACACTAACAGCGGTACCTCGCAGAGCTCTCCAAACTTGCTGCAGACTGCTGCTGGTTGCCCCTCCTCCCTCATGTTTTTTTACCTAGACAGTCTACTGTACATGAGATAATCATAATAACTTCAACACCTCCCCTCCCAAGCACCGTAGATACAGATGACCTGCATTTTTGAGCTCTCTGTCGGCTTCCGATTTGTTTTTCTCCTTGTATAACCCGGGCCCTGTCTGTTTCTCAGCTGATTGCGCTCATCTCAAACCAACCGAAAGCTATTGAAAGCTGCGTATTGTTGTTATTATCGTTTCGTTTCCTGGCACATCAACAATGCGCACAAGACGTCAGGACAAGGCTGTCGCAGAAGCTGCCGCCGCCGCTGCTACTGCTGACGCCCCCGAAACCACCACCACCGCTGCTGCCTCTATTGCTGCTGAAGAGGAAAAGGAAGAAGTGCCTTCATCAGAGGTTGCTTCTCCAATCACGCGCAGCGATGACAAAAATGCGCAGGCATCGCCTACCACCACCGTTACCATCTCTAAGATCGAGGCCCCTGCCGTCAAGCGCTCCGATAGCAAGCCGCGCTCCAAGCTACCAACGCCAGTGCAATTCCCTCTCGTCGCCATTCTCAGTCTGGCGATCGCCGAGCTGGGCTACTCGTTGTCGTGGCCTTTAACGCAGGGAGTCCTCACCACACACGCGCGACTCTTGGGTACTTGGGCTGAGGTTGGGGCTGTAACGGGCTGGAAATTGTGCGCATCCCTTATCCCTTGCTCTATATTGACCTAAGTCGTCTGCCAATCGCTTTGTCGCTCGCCCAACATGCTAACACTCGCAACTGCCACAGATTTGAGCTCGCGCTTGGGTGGTTCGGCGACTACGATGGTTATGACATCACTGCGCTGAATCTCCTGTCGCAAGGCCCTCATGTAAGCGACAACATCCCCAAGATCGCATGCCTATTATGGCTCATAGGATACTTGCACGATACTGACCGTAATTGTGCGCAGCTGTACTTGCTCTACGCGCACTATGAGACACCCGCATTTGCGCTTCTCGTAACTGTCGTCGTCGAGACACTAGCCACATACATTCCGTTCCGCCTGCTTCGCCCACTGTCTCGAGCTCACGCCAACCCGACTGCCGTCCCCAATGCAGACATCTTGGCCGATGTGCCCATCACGCTCCTCACCACTCTCCTTTCTGGCGTTATCTACAGCGTGTCCCTACTCTTCGCGTACGCGACTTATCTTCCTAACTATCTAGTGCTGTACTTTGCGGGCTTGCCGTCGATAGTGCGCGCCAACGAATCAAGCTACGTGGGTCTCCTGCCCGTAGCACTTGCGCTCGGTTTCGCGGCCCGCGTCTTCATATTTACGCCAGCTGAAGCAACTGGCCGGACCCCGGAGGATGCCGAGAACGAGGCGTTCGACCCTGTCAAAGCCAGCTTGCGCGAGACAGTGCGATGGAACTTCTTGGGTTGGTCTTCGCAGACTAAAGTTGCGATGAAGCGCACTGCGTTGATCATGCTTGTCTCTGGTGTTAACACATTCTTGCGGACATGGCTTACCATTGTGGGCGTGGAAACCGCCGGTGCCGCAGCTTGGAGCAGCATTTGGGTCATAGCCGCGGGTATTTCTGGCTTGGCTCTCAGTGCTGTTGGAGGAGTGTAAACTTGTCATGGTTGGGTAACAAGAGGATGGGATATGTGGGTTTTCCGGTGGTTTAGGCTGGGACGGTTGAGGTGACGGTGTGGAATGTGGCGTTCAAGGGGATGTGACGCAAAAAACGCGACTATGAGACAGCCTGGAACGGTTTGTTCTCTTTGTAGTTACTCACCTACCATAACATATTTCGTAATATCTATTCTTCCCGATTCGATGAATCATGTCAATACCTGAAGCTATCCAGAATGTCAATTACATTGGTGAAAGTGACTGGAGTGATTCCCTTCAGTTGCCATTCGTGATGATTATTGATCTGTAGGTTTATCCTACATTCGCAAACGAGAAGCTATTACATTCAGACCTTCCGGCATGAAGAAACGTGCTTAGTGGCTATGTACTCACAATTTATTGAATACTTACTGGTCATGGTATCATGAATCAAATACAAGATGTACGGCAGTCTACGGAGTGAAGAGTCGAAGATAATCCTATTAGCTGAAAGAAGCATGATACCTCTTGAATACAATCATGCCAAAGGAAAGATTTGCTACGTAGTATGAGATGGACATTATATGATGTAAGCATTTGCTTAAGTTAGAGACGGACCTATCTTGTTGTATAGTTCCATTCAGGCGTATATTGCGGTTAAAGAGAAGGAGACACCAGAATTACTTAGGTACCAACTGTCCTTCATGCCGTCTACGGGAGAAGGGAAGTTCTATTAAGATGGAGACCGATTTTACAGATTTGTATAAAGAGCAAATCAGTTGTTATGCCAGTAGTCGTTCTTTTCGAGGTCGGAATGCCTAGAAAACTACCTCGGTACTTGGTCATACCTTCGACTTTTCAGACGCTTCAAGTTGGTCCTACCCGTGATAATAGATACTAGACACGCTATCTGCAAGGTTGAAGATATTCTCGATTAACGCTGGCAGGAGTGAACGGGCCAACCCAACGTAGCTTCCTATGTGAACTAAAGAATACCATGCACACTTCGAAAGCCCAAGAAATCGTATTCGCTTTTCGTCATCTTCCTAGACTCAAGTCTAGAGCGTCCTGCACTCAATGACTATAACTAACCTCCGTTTCCACTTGATTCCAGTTCGAATCCGTCTTTTTTTCGGTTCCACAAACCGGTCAAGATGGACCTAGACGATACAAGTGGCAAGGATCCAGAAACCCAATTAGGACCGAATTCTAGAAAGAAACCCGAAGTAGGAGATGATCCTATCCAGTTCTTGAAGGAAATAGGGTGGTCAATTTTTGAAAACACAACGGTAAGCACAATTTTCATGCCTGGCCAGATCATCTTTGAAGGGTGGCTTCACGGTACTCACAAGTTGTGTGTGTGTGGCAAGATCGTTGTTATGCGCGAGCTCAATTGCGATTGTACTCTCATGCTCCAGAAGGGAAGTATTCAATGTCCGTATGTTTGCTGATAGCTGCTGTTATGTTATATTTAAGACCCCCAACTGCTGCTTCTCGAGTTGGTAGATTAGACTTGAACATCGGTTTGTTGATGAGACATCTAGTAACAACCCTGCCATTGTCAAGAACTTAGTGGTCTCAAAGCAAGGGCACATCTAGTGAGTACAACCATAATCATACATATATGATGCCCTTATAATTCGATGGGTGCTAGACGTTTATTGAGTTGATGTCTGACTAAGTGGATGGTGTAGCGGTGACATTCAGGCAACCGACACTGCCTGCATCAACGGGACATTTACTGTCAGTGTGAAGCTTACTATCACCGGAGAGCTGATGATCAAGGGCACATTGTCGGTGAAACCTTCCATTTCGCTGCTTCTCAAGCCCTCGCGTGTTAGGCTTGTGGTTGTCCATATAGTCATCCCCGCCCACCAATGCCCCTGACCTCCCCCAACAAACAACTGCTGCAAAACTTGCCGCCGCTAAATACACGATAACTAGCCCTTACCGAGTGCGTGTAGGGAATGCCAAGCCCCTAATTTGAGTGGTACTCTCACTAAGTTCGGATACCGTGCCAACTTCGTGGTATACGACAACATCATTATCAATGGAGTAGACCACACTTTGTGGCAAGACATGATGTCGCTACAGATATGGCTACACAATAAAAGCCAGGGGGATACAGTTTCAACAACTTCAAGTACATCAACAGGCTGCGAAGATGTATTATTGGCATATTGAGGAATTTCGAATTCGCAAGACGATATCTACGGAGCAGGCAGATAAGAATTGTTACTACTACACGACCGAAATATAGCATATTGTTAAGTTGGGAATCTCACCGTCTTGTTCTTCTTCGAAATGGCCTGTCGCAGTAGCAGTTTTGAAAAGGTCTTCGTCGAGTACCATTCTACTTTCAGTTTACATACATTGATGATGAGTACTTGTTGGACTGAGCTATGTCAAATCGTACCGCATGATAGTATCCTGGCAACTGCGGGATGTTATGAATACCTACCTATTAACCGAGAACTGAACTTTTACCAGCATGGACGTACGTTTGATAAGGTATCAATTGAACTGTGTACAGAAGTGTAGTGACTCCATCCTTCTCTTTCTGTTTTCCTTCCTTGTTTACTAGTATACCTAACAAGTAATACACTAAGGCACACATAAGTAGGAAAGGGAGTAGGTAGCTATCCATACCAAGGCAGCGGACGGCTTCCAAGCTTGTTTGCTTCCCCACGATGCGGAGCCGAAGTCCCTTGCATATTGCGTGGCCTAGCTGTGGGCCACCGTAACTGGGGACGTTCCATCCCGCAGGCCCGGGCATCAAGGCGCTGCCGCTTTAGTTAAATAGACCCACTATTTGAATATCCTAGATAGATATTATTATAAGCATCAGTCATTTGTCGCATCTATCGCATTGAAACAGTGAAGTGGACCCCGGCTGAGCCAACACGCTACAACCATCGTACCTAACACGGGAAGCAACGCGAGGTGAGTGAGCCTTACTAGCATCGCCCTCCCTCTACCTACGCCTGTGTCGATACGAACTCTCCGAATCCATGCGCTATAGAAAGCAGCTTCTTCCATGTTCCTATGAATATGAGATTTGAATATCACCAGCGCGTCTTCCAGATTATGCGCTTCCAACATGGCTACTCTAGTGGAAGCAAACACAGCTAGAGGCCGCGGGGACATTGATGATGATGGCGATATCTCTCCGAGGCATCCTGCTATCCAGCAGATAGGTGCCGCCAGCAATGGTCTTGAGCCACTCGCCATGCGTGCAGATCCAGATGCATCAGCTACCGTAACCGACTTCCTCGATTTTACAGAACATCTACCTGCCGACATCACCCGATCCCTTACGCTGATTGCCAAGCTCGACAATTCCTATATCGATTCATCCGCCGCAGTGAATGAGCTCACTACGGTTTGGGGAAAGCTACCGGCGCTACCACCCAATGAGCGCGTCGACCCTGCAAAGCTTCGCTCCGACATCTCTGATCAGCTCAGCCATGCCCTCAGCTCACGTACGTATGCCCACGCTGAGGCGTGTCGCATGTTGGACATTGTCAACAGGCATCATACTAGAATACAGACTATCTTGGGCAAACTTCACACCATGCGCGACAACTTTCCCACAGTCGAGGAACAAGAGCAACGGAGCCCGATTCAGTCAAAGTCCCCGCAGATGATCCGTGGGCCTAAGATTACTCTTCGTGTTGATAGCAATGGGGAAAAGATGCGACCACGCCGGATCATTGTTCCTGGTGAGGTGTTAGGACCCCACGAGGTCGACTTTAATGTCTACAGTGACTCTAGCGAGGACAGTTCCGAAGACGAGATCTCGGTTTCTCCGCCTAGGCGACCGACAGAAAATCCTCGTATCAAACTAGTTAAACCAATCAAGACCCCTAAGCAGCAACGGCCTCTGAAGATATCTCGGCCAGCGCGACCCACCGCGCGGGAGAATGGACCACCCCCGGTTTCTACAAGCACCGCCTTAGCGAAGCTCAAGCCACCCCCCGAGAACGCTGTCCCGGGTAGTACAGACGCTCCGTGGCTCCAGCTTACTCAGTACGAACTCGCTAAGCTTAGGAAGAGAATGAAGAAGAACTCGCAATGGATCCCAAGTGACACCATGATTGCGCGAGAACTTAGAAATCTTGGCCGCGGTGTGGAAGCCTTCAAAGACGCCCAAAAGAAAGCCGAGGAAGAAGGAAGACCATTTGAACCTACCCTTCCCGCACCAGTTGTGGACTCTGAATCTGGTATCCCACACCCGCCTGAAGGTGCTATCAGTGCTGACGCCTTGACGGCTGATGAAGTACAGCTGAGCAATCGTGGTATGAAGCTGAACGAGGCCAAAAAGTTGAAACGCGAAACTCTGGCTAGGATGGCTGCCGAGGAAGCAGAGGAGTCAGCCAGGAAAATGGCCGAAGCTGCTCGGATCTTCATGAATCATGAGGCCTCCCCATCCGTGGCTGGCAGTTCTCACGATAAGTCACAGGAGACCGGACAAAGTCAAGGCAAAGCATCGGGCAAATCTAAAGCCAAGAAACGAAAGCGCGAGTCGTTATCTGAGACTCCGGGTCCAGAGAAGCCTCAAAGCACAGAAAACATACCTTCGAATCAGACGCCAACTCTTCCACCTGCGCAGCCTGAGAAGCCGCAGATAAAACGCACCAAAACAGAGACACCAGTTCCTCCACCTCAGATTACTCCACGGCCTCCATCTGCCCCTCCACAATCTACCACTGCGCCTCCGACGCATTCTGTTCCGGTTGAGACGCCAGTACCTGTTCCCCAGCTTGGCAGAACAGGCCTGACGTCCAAGACCCCTGTCCCGGTTCCAGTACCTATCACTGTGCCCTCTGATTCCTCTATAGTAGCTGTGAGGCCGGCTGCATCCTCAGGACAGACGAGCCCGGTCCCGCCGTCTACTGTCACAACCGTAGTTCCTACCAAACCTCCCGCAGAAACGCCAGTTCCACCTCCTATTAAGACATCTACTACTCCCATTCTTCCTCCAGCTCGCGATCTCCCAAAACGAGAAACACGGCAAAATGTGCAATCAGCTGCCGCCAATCTCAAACAGCCTAGTAACTCGCGTGGTAATACACCGCCGCCCGCCCCCGTTGCGCTGCCTGAACCACAGCTACAGCCACCACCACCACAGCAGCAGCAGCAGCAGCAGCAGCCGCAAACTCAACCTCAACATCAACCTCAACCTCAACCACAACCCCAGCCCCAGCCGCAACCACAGCCAGTCACTATTCGACGACCTGTCTCGCGAGGGAAGGCCGCAAGCCAGGAGCCTCCTCCAACGCTGGCAGCTGATCGGCCTCGACGTGCTAGCACGGCTAGGAATACACCAGCCCCTGAGGTTCGTCAACCCAGCAAGCGCGCCAAACGACCTGCGCCAGGTGTGGTGACAACCAATTTTGGTGGCACTAGCGCTATAGGAAAACGCAAGGCAGCACCACGCAAGAAAGCCAGGGGTAATCCCAGAAGGGAGAAGGGCACCAATCAACATCCAGAACCTGAAGTCGAGGTTGAAGTGGACGATGATGGAAATGTCATCGACCCTGATGAACCAAGATATTGCCTCTGCAACAGAGTTAGTTTTGGTACTATGATACAGTGTGATAATATTGATGTAAGCAAAGACTATCTTACCACTCAGGCACCGCTACCCCAATGTGCTGTTTAAAAAGAGCGTGACATACTTGCAGATACTAATCAAAATGATGAGCAGAACTGCGAGAAAGAATGGTTTCATCTTGAGTGTGTAGGGCTCTCCGAGATTCCTGCGCGTACAACGAAGTGGTATTGCCCTCAGTGCCGCATTCTTCTCAATATAGGAGAGCGGGGAGAAGTCACATCACGTGGAATTAAGATGTAACATCTACCGTATCCTTTTCCCATGGTATCCCAATTAAGGGGAAGCACACGGTAATTTTCAGCGTGGAGCCACTTCGTGCAGTCCATGTCTTCGACGATACAGCACATGGAATGCTGGTCTGGAACCAAGCTCGCAAAGCTCAGACTGTCTGGTTTTTGACCTTCGTTTTACCTGTCTTTTGCGTGCGTGGATTATGATACCAGTTCGGAGTATGGTGTTAAAGGCTTCTAATACAAACAACTTAATCCTATTAGATAGCTAGGTAATTGAAACAGTGCTTGCTCATCAGGGCTTCGTATAATCGGTCGGAGAAGTGATGATCCTAAACTTAAGGTGGCCCTACCAGCTGAGGTCCATTTACTTTTCAAGAGTCAAACTATCAATGAAGGAATGAATATTTATGATTGTCGAATAAACGAAGCGAATTGAAGACAGGTTCCGCCTGGCGTCAACCAACCCCGCATTACTATCGCAATTCTACAAACTCCTTAGTGAATTTCATCATCGACTTCATTTTAGTTCATCTGATTCATCGTTCTAAGTTGCGTCCAGTTCTATCGGGATAAGTTTCAAAATTTTACACGTTCCCTACATCTGCCTGTCTTCAAAACGTCGCTTTGAAAACAGACAGCACGTTTCCTATCGGCGCAAGACAACAGTAAGAAGACACGAAGCACAACTACACGAAATACGATGGAGCCGATAAAAGGGCCAAGACGTTTATTACGGCGTTTTACGCCACCTCCGATGATCCGTCAAAGAACGAAGAGTGGGTGGATTTCTTTGCGCCCGAGGCTGTTCTTGTGATGGGCGATAAAACGGCGAAGGGCGTATAGGGTACGTGTGTCACCCCCGATTTGAGTTAATTTACGGTGATATTTCTGCTTCAAATTCTTGATGAATGGCGCTATGGATAGTTAATTGACTTATGGATTAGATATTCGAACATTACGTAAGGGCATGTGGGAGAAGGGTAAGTAAGTCGCCTTATACGATAGTTTCCATGTGTTGCTAATCTCATGATATCACAGTCAAGTCGCGAAGGTATGAGGTACAAAAGTTATTCCTAGATCCCTTGGTCCTGGAATCGTTCGAGCATGATAGGCGCATCGACTACATGCTCCACGGCGTCGTTGACCTTGAGCCGAACGGTGGCGAGGAGATCACAAGACAATGGGCTGCGCGCGGGGCCCTCAGAGAGGATGAGGGCGAATTGAGGTATACGTTTTATCAGGTGTACTTTTATAATTAGGCTACCTAGGTCAATAGGACCATCTCACCGAGACTCGTGGCAAGCACTCTAGGTTTGACACTTGATGAAGACGTAATAGTCCCTCAGCCTAGTCAAATCTCGTGACTGTCCTCGTGCTTCCTACCAGCTGGTTCTTTCAGTGGAGTGTGCTGGACTAACTACCTCCCTCCCTACCTATGTATGTATGTATATCTCATTTACGGCCCGCGTGGCGCAGTAGTTCAACGGATCTCATTTCATTGTGTTATGACCAGCGTGATCTTACATGAAAAAGAGGCTCGTGTGTTGGAAATCATGGGGGCGGCGCTGTTTCCATCAGCTGACTGAAGATATGTCATTCTTTCGGCGTTAGTTCGCTGACTAACAGTAGCGACCATCCACGTTCCAAGGACTTTGAGACTGAGCCTTTGTGTCACTTTTCTTTCATCGAGAGTGTTTTGGTAGAGAAGTTGTGTTTAGGCGAATTCGGACAAAACGTCGAGTTGAATCACCAAAGCCTGGCGGTATGAAACGAGGTGATGAATCATTCGGCGCTCAGGTTGAGGTCAGGAGTCACCGGCAGAATGAAATACCTACCCTGCCCTCCACGCATGGATAGGGGGAGCTGACCTACCACATCTAGATTAGGAGGGTATGAAGTCATCGGTCTGTCTGTCGGACATTGCTTGCTAGGTAAATAGAGTGGCCAAGTCTCGAAGCCGTGATGGATGGATTATGGCATTGATTTATCCATCTATCTTGTACTCTCCTCGACTCCATGATAGTTGACCTCGCCATGAAAAGCGATGACGCAGCGCCCAGGCTGTGCCCAGAGCAGGCCTAACATTAGATAAGATACGTGTACCGTTTAGCATCCTCACTGGATAATCTGGATTATCAGACGGGTTTCACATGAATCCGGGATCATGTTTGTATCACGTATTTCCCTGCCTCTTAGTGACCCGTTACCCCTCTATTTGTCTCTCTGTATTGGCTCCCTCATAGGTTGGGTACCTACATATGTCCCTACCTACTATCTACCTAAGGTATGTGTTACTTCGTACATACTTTCAAGTACCTGACCTAGGAGGAGTGTACAACGGCGATGCCCCTCATTCAGTGTCACTTGCACTTCGGGGTCCAACAATGGCCGTCGACTGCAGTAGAAACTGGGGGCTTTCCGGCCGGAGAGATAGTGCGACGCTTGCCGATTGCCCGGCTCCCATCCAGTGCCATCTGCGTCATGCACCTGTGCACTCTACTATTGCCTAGCAGGTAGTGTTTCTGCTTATAGTAATGTAGATAGGTATAATTACTTACGTACAGTCAGTAGGTAGGTACAGTAACGATTCATCCAGGCTATCCCGTGGGGGAGGGGATTCTTGATACCTAGGTAGGTATGAACTCGAAATAACCTAAGCGCTGGCGAACTTGATCCAGAATGGCGCCCTAATACACCCCTCCTTACCTACCTAGGGAGGTACATTACATAGTACCTACAATGTCTCGAGTGTAGATGTTATTAATACCTACCTACTGTATGCACTTTAGCGCTACTTATCTACGGCCCGTCTTTCTTGAAGCATCTAGCATTTTGGTACTCCCAGATACTTGTGTATATCATTGCCAGTTACTGCCAGACATGAGCGGAAAGGCACAGGCTGTCCTCGAGGGAGCTGAGCGGGTCACCGGGTTCAGATGTAGGTACTCGAGACAGCGTGCAGTGCCAGGCTTCAGATGTATCTCAGCTCATCTGAGTTGAGTGTCAGTATCCCACATGTCCAACCCCCCTCCCCCTTCTCTCCCTCTCTCCACTTCCACAGCCTCTGCTATGAATAGTGCCTGAATGTAGTTGCGCGCCTGTCCTATTCAGTCAGTCATTTGCTGCACGTTGCAGTACGCAACTCTCCGCCAGGCATAAGTATGTAGGTACAAGTACCTAGGTAGACGTCGATGCGTGCAGATCCCCGCGCCTTATCTCATGTGCACTAGCAGCAGTGTACCGCTTTACCTATTTCCCTTGTCCCCTGGCCCCCCCTCGCCTCCCCTCTCAGACATTCCCATTCGACCCTGGATTAGACTGGATGCTGAACTGCGCCGTCCCACGCCTGTCCCTGTCGATGATACCTCAAGGCCTAAAAGGGTACCTTGACGGACTCCATGGTGACCTGTCCAGGCTGTCCTGTCCCGGCTCAGGCGTCCAATGCTCTATCCTGCCTAATCCACATGCACAGGTACCCTTGTAACTGCCTAGCACGGCATCCATGGACTGCAGTAGGTACTTGGGTACTTGCCCCGCCGTCCATGCCAATAGGTACCTCATCCTCGTCCGTTCTGGTACCGGTCCGGAGTCGAGTCGACTTACACTCACTTGCTCTGACCCTATCATCTCGACAACTCTGACTCTACTCAACCTGTCTTTGACCGCCCCGTGTGAATACTGTTGTTAACTTCCTTCATATTTCCCTAATACATGATCTTTGCGTGAAGAACGAACACACTGTTGAATCTCCTTGGATTGCTCACAAGGTCGTAATAATACTATTCTTTCTGTCTGGGCTTCGTGTCTGTTCTTTGTAGTTCCCCGCCGACTTTACCGGCTCTTCGCTACGCGCGCTTGCTTTCGTCGTTCTGCCTAGGTACTCCTAAACCTATCTACAACACGCTCGCATCTCCTGGTACCGCCCATTTCTAGACCCGCGATACTTCATCGATCCGGAGCCGTCTGGTTACCACGATCGACCGGCGTGCCGCGAGATCAACAACCACGCGTTGAGCTCCCAAAAGAGCTCTTCTGCTGGCGAGCAGGAAACTGCCCCCAGCGTTATCGGTAGCATCTCTCTATGCCCGGTTCGTCAACCCACGACCCGTCCACGACGTCGGACTCTTCTCTCCCCTCGAATAAGCCTCAGAAGAAACGAAAGCAGAAGCTTACTGGGAGCGACTCTCCAGGTTCAAAGAAGAAGGACAAGAATGTCAAAGACAATGGTGGAGTTGTTGCGGCGGTAACAAGACATGGGGCCAAGTTCACGTATGTCGGCAACCCTTTGCATTCTTACCTTAGGCATCAGTTATTCGTTGTTTGTTTCTTTCCTCTTATCCCGGGCAGCCCCCATTTGTCCCGACTGAACGGTTGATAGCTTCAGCTCTCATTCTTGTATGTGCTACAGTCTAACGTTGATCACAAGTAGTGACGGCAACGTCGGCAAAGACGTTCCCCTGCCTCCTGAATCTCCTCCGCCCCAGTCTCCGGAACTCGAACCAGCCAGGCCCGCCACAATTCCGACTAACGGTAATCAGGCTGTATCACCCCTTTTAGATGCCGTATCAGCAACATCCATTTCCGGGAGCACGGCTCCTAGCACCAATGACTGGACACGGGCCATGGGTCCTTCTTCTGGCTCGCCGTCGAACTTGATTAGCATCATGGGTGATTCACCACCGACTCAACCTTCATCATATGAAGATGCGAGAGGCTTGTCATATGCTTGGAGTGCACAGCAGCAGCAACGGCGGCATTACGTTAATAGCAACCCCTACTCTGCTTCGCCTCCTAGCAACGGTAGAAGACCCTTGAGTTTTCAAATGGACCATTACGCCGCCGGTGATTTTCGCTCCCAAGCATCTTCGCCTCCCGGTGCTCGGAGAAGTTCGATGCACTCACCATTCCTGCCGCCTCGAGCTACAGCAAATCCACCTCTACCTCACCAACCTCAGGCTCACTTCTACGGTGCTCCAGAGATCGATCTTGATATGCATCCTAAGACCGGGTTGAAGGCTGGTGAAAAGGGCTTCTATTTTGGGTTTGACACACTTCCTCGATCGACTAGCACACAAGTAGCTGGTAATGATCATGTGGTTCTCGCAGGTTATGAAGGCGGCATGGATGTTTACAGTGTCGGAAAGAGGGGCGTGGAGTTTCTCGCCAGCCTGAAGGGACTGCGAGGCGGTGTTTACAACGCCAAGATACTACCTTGGAGCGGTACACCGGATCCCTTTGGCATATTCCCTTTGGTTGCTGTTGTAATCCATGGTCCTGTACCTCCGCCTAATGCTCCCGATATTGCTTTAGGGTCAGCATTCGACAATAGCTCAAGCCCCCGATTGGAAGGTATCAATACTCCACAATCGGAGTCGAACCAACGTCAAGCCAATAAGGGTATAACAACGATCGAGGCTTATCAGACATCTGTCGAGGTATACTCTTTGGCGACTAATCAGCTGATCGACGTGTTATTGGAAGCTCCGAAAATACCCATTAAAGCCTCGGTAACAAGCCCAATGTTTGGGAGTCCGCCGCCAACTGGCGCTTTTCAGGTTCAGGCTGAAGATGGCTATATAGTAGCAGCGTCGGGTACAACGGGCGAGTGCTGGGTTTACCGACAGGCCAGGGATGAAAAAGATCCCGGCTATCGGTTCACTTGCGTTGGAAAGCTATGGACAAGTCTGCAACAAAGCTTTCGCAGTGGTTCAACACCTGAAGATGAGGGTATACCCGGCCCGTTACCGACGCGAAAGCGATCACAAACACCGATCCTCGCGGTCAATGGAAGATGGTTAGCATATTGTCCCCCACCTCCTTCATCCCAAGTTGCACTTAAGGCTTTCATTCCGGTATCGCCTGAAGGGAAAGTGCCGGGATTATCATCAGTCACCTCCCCTGTACTACCGAATGAGAGTTCAGAAGTTGACCTGCCCATTTCGGATGGGGTCATGAACCGAATTATGAGAGAGACGACACAGGAAGTCATACAAGGAGCGCGCTGGGTTAGCAAACAGGGAAAACAATGGTGGAACAACTATTGGAACCCGGGGCAGCAGCCGCCCGCCAGACAACTGGCTGTAGGTTCGCCACCATGGGGGTCAGCGTATCCTGGACGGCCTGAGGCCGCGCAATTCCCACCAACCTATGGTGTTTCTGGACAAGCTGTGACGAAGGAACCAGGACTCGTGTCCATCGTTGATATGCACAGTTTGATGAGTTTTACCAATATTCATCCCACCACGACTTTTAAGCCGCCGCTTGGTTGCAGCTTCCTGTCTTTCCCTCCCACTGGGCTATCCCTCTTTACTGCAAGCAATAAAGGAGACGTGCAGACAGCCTGGGATGCAATGCGTAGCCAATTCACAAAGTCATCTCCGCTACAACACTCGCAACCACATAACGGACACGCGACTAGGGTTCGACAAGTTGCACAGTTTTCACGCATGACTGTCGCTCGCATCGTGGACCTTGCTTGGGCCGGTCCTAATGGCGAAAGGGCTGCTATGGTGACTGAACGGGGCACTGTGCACATGTTGGAAATGCCGCCCAGTGCTTTTACCTGGCCGCCTCCCCGGAGGCGCGCTGCAGCGCCAGAAGCAGCCCAGGGTGCCTCCGAAAATGCTTCTTCGGCTGTTTCCATAGCTTCGAACGTACTCAGCTCTGCTTATGGGGCAACCCGACCGCTGCTTAATTCACATCGGCGGAGCACCTCTAATTCGCAGACCACATCGAGTTTAATGGATCACGCTAGTTACGGCGGGAAGGTTCTCGCTGCAGGAATCAGCCAATCCTTGGGCAACGCCGGAACGGCCATAAACCACTTGCGCCATACCGGTGAGAATCGGGTGAGTTTACCTCTGCGAAATATGTCCGTGGGACCATCATGCGCAACCTGGATCACCGGGAGAAAGCATCATACTTTGTTTGTTGTAGGTGTTGGTCAAGTCAGAATGTTCCCTAGGAAAAGTCGTAGGCCAGGTGTTAGGAAAGATCGATCTCGAACTGCCCGTGTGAGCAAATACCATGATTTTAAGCTGCGGGATCTACCGGATGATTTGATTGCACCATCGATAAAACAGATCATTGATCCAATCGAGGAGTTTGAGCTTTCAATTCCTGATCACGACGGCAGCAATACACTGATTCTTCATCCACGGCCACGCTTAGACGACGTTGATCATAGCTCTGAAGCCGCGATACCTCAGGCGGAAATTGAATCAAATGCCCCCTACCAGCCCTTCCATACTGACAGGAGGGTCAGTTTGCATTACTACACAGCGACGTCAAATGATGACGGTCTGTCCTCTGTTCTACTGCAGATGGATGCTGTAACATTGAATGAAACACAGAAACGTGCTAAACATCGCCATCGGGAATTAGCTGCAAGCAGAGCATGGGCATTTGGAGAAACGATCGGTACGGTCAAACTTGACTTGGGCCTGCCACCAACGATAGATGAGGAGGTCAGCAATAGCATTGATGATCACCGAGCTTTGCCTGTATCAGCTATGGAACGGGTCTTGCAAGTTGGTGGAAATGACGAGCAGATTGTTGTGACCACGCGGCGACGTCGAGGTGGCAATCGGGCCGCAGACATGGACGAAGATGGTTTCTTTGAAGATGATTGCGAGGTGCTCGATTTTGCTGACCAGCGAGTATGAAACAGTTGACAGTTGGTGATTAGTGTGAGTTTGTGTTTGGTTTTCGGTACCAATCTGGCTTGTTCTTTGCACCTACTCTTCACGCCAAACTGGTTAAAGACATTGTGGTTTTGATCAAGTATATATTGATATACACAGGCTTGACCCTCTTTTGATCTTGATGTATACTGGATCGTCTGGCTTTGGAGTAATGGCGTCGGTTTTTGGCATTATCGACACACCCACCTACTACGCATAGTCTCGGTAGCATGAAGACTCAATCACAATACAATAGACACCAATGAAATGGTAGCCTAAGTGAAGAATGCCTTTCTTGGTTTACTCTATTTAGTCCATTCGGTTCTTAAGCTAATTAGCGTCAAATAACACTAATAAGATTCTTGGATACGATTAAGGGTCCAGTAAATGACCTATTGCGCCATGGCATTGCTATTGTTAGGGGTTTAAACATTCCTTTAAAGCTCTCTCATAATCCTCTCTGAGACATATGCCCTCTCAGCCGCGAAGAATAGGAGCCTCGCTCTTTCCATTAAATATCATTTTCGTCGTGTAGCAGATGCCGGGACTCCCCGTCTCTCCCGCTCTCTAGTCATTCTGTAACACCGATTTATGCCTTCTTCTTGGCGGCAGCGGCCTTGGCCTTCGCGGCCTTCTTCCTGTTGCTCCGGATCATAACGACGCTCAAGAAGGAGCCGACGACGGCCGAGCCTAGCAGGATCAGAATCACGGGTATGCGGATGGCCCACTCGCGCGGGGGGAAGAAGCTGTGGAGAGGGTGGTCGAGGTCGACGAAGGGCTGTTGTTTGTGGGGGTTAGTACAGGTTGCTTTTTATGGGAAAAGGGGCACAGGGGGTGAGGAGTGAAATACCATTGCCAATGTCCAGATCGAGTAGTAGAGGAAGACAACTGTGGCGGCCACGAGCATGGCGAGGCCGACTAAAGTCCCGAGCTGTGTTGACTGTTAGCTTGTGTTTTCAATAAAGTGAAAGGTATATATATCGGATATGGCTTGTAAAATGGCGGAGTTGCTGGGGGGTCATAGATGTCGTTGTAGAAATGGCGTACGTAGGTATGTAGATTTGTAGAATTAGAGGAGGGGGGTTGCGATTACGTACCATTGTCGATTACTTTATGAGGATGAACAGATAGTATGTGGTGCGAATATGACGAAGAGCAGAGTTGGATCGATTTTTGCTTGCTCGTGGCTTGCGAGGCTTGGTGTTATTCACTGATGCTGAGAGATTGGGGATAGTTGTCGAGATGGTTGCTGCTTGCTGCGGCTGGCCGATTTTACTTGCAATGTCGTCTGTAATTGACACGATACAGACGCGACTTGTGGGTCCCGAGCTGAGGGGCCAGGCCAGGGGAGCTCTTTCTACATACTTAAGTAAGGGGAGTTGCTGGTTACTGCCTGCATATACCTACCCTACCTATTACCGTACCAAAATTTACATGCAAGATATAGCTATATTGATTTCTCTACTTTGTGCCTCAGTCATGATCGCTACGAGATGTTTTCCGTGCTTATCTAACAACAGCAAGTTTGTGATAAATGCTTCATATTCTTCTGGAGGAAACTAACGTTGTTCAAGACTGTCTTTCATATAAGGGTACCTAGGTACATACTGTAAAAGATAGGTATCTCCACAGTGGGTGGGACAGTGATGAGTCTTGGCAGACGCAGTCTCCACTTCTTTTTTACCAGCCTTGTCTCTCACGCTGCAGTCGCGAACAGCTTCGTCAACACATCCTCTCACAGCAGCTTTTACAGCCGCCATCGTCGCATCCTTGCCCAACGACTCGCATTTGGTCCAGATCGACAGAACGAGACTCGGCCTTTCGCGATTTGAACAGACAAGAAATTACCATTTGAAACGATCATGGCGGAGGTCGAACCGCAACCTCATGTAGTCGAATCATCAGATGCCTTACCAATTCGCCGTTCGTCGCGGTCGCCGCGGTCACCTCGCCATGACGAACGTCCCCGACACCTAGACGGAGGCGGCGACAGCTACCGCCCATCCCGTGATAATCGGCGCGACCGCTCTGGCGATAGAGATGGAAACCGTCGCCCTCGGCAGCGCACGCCACCGAAGGCTCCCACCGAGGAAGAAAAGCAACAAGCGGCAAAGGCCGAATATGAGAAGTTGCTGAACGCGCGTTCCGGTGGTGTCTATATTCCGCCCGCGAGACTGAGGGCGCTCCAAGCACAGATCACCGACAAGGCGTCAACGGAATACCAGAGGCTCGCTTGGGATGCTTTGAAGAAAAGTATTAACGGGTTAATAAATAGTCAGTGGCTTACTCTGACTTCCATGGAGGACTCGAAGCTGACAATTAGCAGAGGTAAACGTCAGCAATATCAAGCATATTGTGCCAGAGATGTTCAATGAGAACTTGATCAGAGGGCGAGGTAAGTCTTGAGGAGAAGAACTCACTTTTGCTATCCCAGAATCCGGCAACCCGTTTGATTCAAGTGTCTCTCGGTCTCTCCCTCCCCTTTCTCATTCACTTTAAATCCTAGTTACTAACTTGTGTCTTAATAGGGTTATTTGCTCGGGCAATAATGCGAGCACAGGCGTCATCTTTGCCATGTATGCTACCCTTGAAATCATTCCTGTTCCGAGGAATGATCCTTTCCATTTTAAAGTTTCCTATTATTTTCCTCTTATGCCTGCTTCAGATGATGTTTTGCAACTTGTTAAAGTATTTGCTACTTCAGAGCCTGCTCGGCTATGAGACTATCAATCACCACGCACTGATGAAGCAACCGTCTGGCCGCTTGTAGAGACCATGGTTACCTGATGAGACAACAAGTGTGTCTCAGGAGCATACAGAACATGTCAAACCCGAATACAGAGTAATCACTAACTCCGTTGAACTAGTCACGCCAGTTCTAGCTGCTATGGCTGCGATAATAAACTCGAAATTACCCCAGGTCGGAGAACTGTTAGTAAAGAGGCTCGTCATGCAGTTTCGCAAATCGTTCCGGCGGAACGATCGAGCTGTCGCGAGCAGTTCAACCCTATTTTTAGCCCACCTAGCAAATCAACAGGTCGTTCACGAAATGCTAGTAGCACAGATACTGCTTTTAGTGAGTAACCTTTCCATTCTGTTGCTGTTCAATTTCTACGTACTAACGCTCCCTTAGTTACTACAGAAACCGACCGATGATAGTGTAGAAATAGCTGTAGGGCTTCTCAAGGCCGTAGGCCAACACTTGGTAAGAATACTTCGCGCTGGAAGAGAAATGTGACACTGACTTGGACTTTTTAGGAAGAAATGAATCCCTTGATCGCTAGGGCAGTTTTTGATCAGCTACGATCAACGTATGTGCTCAAACCTACCTTCATATTTACTTGAAAGAGTATTTACTGACATGAACGAACTGTAGTCTGCATGAAGCTGACATCGATAAACGAACTCAATATATGATTGAAGTCTTATTTCAAGTACGGAAGGACGGGTATAAAGATAGTCCTGCCATTCGAGAAGAGCTCGACCTCATAGAAGAAGAAGACCAGATCACACATCGAATAGAGCTAGATGGCGCTATCGACGTAGAAGATGGACTAAACATTTTCAAATTTGATACCAACTGGGAGGAGAATGAGGCTGCGTACAAGCGTCTCAAAGCTGAAATCTTGGGCGAAGGTAGCGACGACGAGGAAGATGAAGATGAAAGTTCGGAAGATGACGACGAAGAGGATGAAGAGGCCAAGGCTATAGAGATTAAGGATCAGTCCAATGCTGACCTCGTCAACTTGAGGAAAACCATCTATCTGACAATCATGTCGAGCATCAGTCCCCAAGAGGCTGTCCATAAACTGCTCAAGATCAGCCTACCGGCTGGAATGGAGCAAGAATTACCATCTATGGTTGTGGAATGCTGTGCCCAGGAACGAACATACACAAATTTCTTTGGAGGCGCCGGAGAAACATTAGCCAAAATAGGGAGGCATTGGACGGATTTGTTCGAGCAGGCGTTTCAGAACAAGTACGAGACTATCCACCGCTACGATACAAATCAACTACGAAATATTGCAAGATTTTTTGGTCACTTATTAGGGTCGGACGCTATTGGATGGCATGTACTCAGCGTTATCCACCTGAACGAGGACGAGACAACCTCCGCCAGTCGAATCTTCATCAAGATCCTATTTCAGCAGATGACTGAAGAACTCGGCATGCCAAAAGTTCAGACCCGCATGAGAGACGAAACAATGCAGCCAAGCTTCGAGGGCCTGTTTCCTCGTGACAATGCTCGCAATATTCGTTTCTCGATCAACTACTTTACTAGCATCGGAATGGGTGCACTGACCGAAGAGATGCGAGAATATCTCGCAAATATGCCGAAACCAGCGCTTCCTGCGCCAGTTGCGAAAGAATCGGATACAGACTCGGTGTCTAGCTATTCTTCGTACACTGGTTCATCATATTCGTCACGATCTCGATCAAGGACTCCACCACGGAGAGCGTTGGAGCGAGGTCGTTCACATTCTCGATCACCGCGTAGAAACGGGGGTGCGAGATCATACAGCCGTAGCCTATCTCGTTCAAGGTCTCGCTCCTATACTTCATCACGCAGCCCTCCACGGCGCAGGCAAGACTCGTACTCCCGAAGCCCCCCACGGCGCGCCCGGCCACAATCACCCAACCGAAGTATTTCTCGTTCTCGCTCTCGCTCACGCTCTCGGTCCTATAGTTCACCGAGAAACCCTCCACGACGCAACATGCGCTCTCCAAGTCCGGTGAGACGGGGTCGACGTGATTCTAGCTATTCTAGATACGAGTCTCGCAGTCCGCCACCTAGAGCAAGACGAAATTCTAGCTCTCCAAGATACAGATCACGCAGTCCACTTCCCCGGGGTACCGCTAAAGCCCGATCTGTCAGCCGAGGGCGTAACAACTCAAGGTCCCAGTCTCGCTCGCGCTCGCAGTCTTATACACCATCGCGCAGCCGCAGTCGCACCCCCGTTCGCAACGACCGCAGTCCGACACCTCGGCGTACTCGTCCGAAACGAGACTCATCATACTCTGTTAGCCCTCCCCGGAAGAGGACGAGATATAATGATCGTGATTAGCATTGTTATTGGGAAAGGGATGATCATCTAGTGTATATTTCAAAAGCAATGGATACATCAACAGGGATGCGTATGATCTTAGCTCAGCTTAAGTTGCATTTGTTGACAGGAGTGGGCGGTCTTGGGAAACTAACGACGAGACTTATTGTCGTCGGTATCAAAGGCAGATTGTTTGTACACTATCAATACCCAAAAAGCTTGATCAAGCCCATTTAATAGGACCGCGAATATCATATGTCCAGATACAGATACATCATTCCTTTCCACACCAACCACATAACTAAATGTACAAGCCTTACCAAAATAACATGAGTGTACGGGAAAGAGGCTGTAGGTAGGTACTTGAAGTTTGCTCGCTGGAGCTCCTCTAGGCGTCATTTTACGTTTCAGAATAGTCGAAACTGAATAGTTCCTCTCTGTAATTCTCGAGTCATGCATATTGGTTGCGGTTGTCTCTTCTCGTCTGTACCCTTTATTGTAGTTTACTGACGTCATCGCACGCCAATGGTATCTTCTCAGATAATCCTGTCTCTTATACAAACTGTAACCATAACACTCAACTACCATATAATCAGCGCACAAGCCACACATATAATATCTAAGTGAAATTCACGGAAGAGATGCCGAATCCCACGCGAGCCGAACTCCTAGGGGCCGCCACAGCCTTCTGCGATAGCTTCGCGCAGAAGAAGCCGCTTGAGGAAATCCTGTCCCATTTCTCGTCGGCGGCAAAAGACGACGAGATCGTCGTCCATGAGCACGGACTCATGCAACTGGCGCCTTTTCTGGGACGAGATTTCTGCGGGCGAGAAGGCGTGAGGAAGTACTTTGAGATGGTTGCGAGGTATTTGAGTTATGAGGATATACGCTTTGTGGAATTCATTGCTGATGATGCTGCTGCTTCTGCTGGGGGCAAGGTTGGGGTTCGAGGGAAGGCTAGATTCACCTGGAAGGAGACGGATAAGAGCTGGGATGAGACTTTTGTTTATGTCCTTGGGTTCGATATCACGGCTAAGTTGACGAGGTATGAAGTCTGGGCGGACACTGGGGCTGCGTATCTTGCGAGTAGGGGAGAGCTGTGAGGTTGTGGAACAGCAAAGGGGTGTAGCTATGACGCTTATGGGGCTGGTACTGAGATGATGTTGGACTGGCTATGAGGGAGAAGGCAATCTGTGTAATAAGTAATGGTCTCGTGATGACTCCGTTGGTACTATGAAGCTGTTGGCTGGATTGATCTAATTATGTCCCTGCATAAAAATCCTTTGAGGTGTGAAATGCTGCACGAGCTAATTGAAGCCCTACTCAACTGCGACGTAGAAACTACCGGGAATTATGCATATTCATAAGGTACAGGGTCTGCACTGCTGCTGAAGCTACACCCAACTATTAACTTCCCCTTATAAGTTGTTTGCACAGAACCATCTACTATTTAATGTGGCCTCTGAATAGGGAGAGTCCGGCCAGGACATTAATTCTGGAGCTATAGTTTGAAGGTCGCGGCCAATGTTGTCCAGCACGAGTCGTCTCGCGGGGGAAACTCATTGCTTACATAGTATATGGGTGGTTCATTTGAGGATTCCGCACTTCTTATTCGTAAAAGGCTCGCTTAGCACACGTACCCGGCATATCGCACTTCATATTCTGCCGATGCGGCGAACACAAGCTCCGTTGCCGAGAGTAACTATGCCCCAGTATATCTTGGCATAACGTTGTAATGATGAGGGAATAGGACAAGCGCATCACATCATCTCGTGTTGTAAGAGAGGCTAATAAACAAAGACGTATCAAGAGGGGGTAAGTAGTCAATTGAGCTCCGTCTCTCGGCGTGGGTTGACGGCTTTTCACTTGGTTTGTGTAAGCTCGGCCGACCGTTGCATCCCAAAGGGGTTCTGGGCTACACCGAGCCGAGCGGGAAAGGGTCAAAGCTGGAAGCAGGCGATCGTTCTCTCGGTTCATTGCGCACTCGAGGCTCTCCGGAAGACAGCGGCCCCCAAACTAGAGCGACACCGTTGTCGGTTTTTGAGAGTAGCAACCAAACTAGATCAGGTAAGGCCTTATGTTGACCTTACATTGGTTCGTGAAGCAGGTCGGCGATTCGCGCGTGGCAGGGAAGAACAATGATGACAAAACGAGTATTTAAAGGGCAATATGTTAGGTTATTGATTACTCTTGCGATATACGTACTTGTCTAATAAAACCCCATCAACGAACCTACGATTTTGGCACGTAGAGGAAGTGATATTAGAGATCAGCAAAGAAATCGCTGCCCAGTAATCCACCTTAAAAGCCAAATAGAAAACAGCGTCACCTTCACAACGATAATGAAGGTCATCATAGTCGGAGCTGGTATTGGCGGCTTGAGCGCGGCTATTGCGCTGAATCGTGCAGGACACGACGTTGAGGTGAAGAATCTACGATAGCATAGTTCTATATATACATTCCTGTTATTATACTGACGAGAATACTCCAAGGTCTACGAGAGCTCGTCGTTCCTCAATGAGGTCGGCGCCGCTATTCATCTTGCGCCGAACGCAACTCGCGTGCTCAAGAGGTGGGATCTCGACTTTGAGACCTTATACCCCGTTGGCTGCGAAGCCATACAGTTTTACTCTCCGAAACTCGAGCACATTGAAACACTCGTGGTGAGCTATTCCTCAGCCATTATAGTTCACTCCATGTCGATATCCGTGAGAACTATTCAAATGCTTACATGCTCACACTATTCTTCGATAGACTCTGAAGGAGGGCCAGGAGAAACTGGGCGTCACGGAGCCATGGCTGATGACCCATCGTGTCGATATCCACAGTAGCCTCAGAGCCCACGCGGAGAAAGGCTTCCAAGGCCGGGCCGTGAAGATTCATTTGAGGTCAAAGGTTAAGTCGGTGGTGAGTGACCCCAAGGTGCCTCTGACACTGGAAAGAGCGGCCTAACACGAGGCCAATACAGAATGCAGAAACAGGAGAGGTCCATTTCGAAGATGGACGAACCGTCCAGGGTGACCTGGTGGTTGGAGCCGACGGTATTCACGTAGGTGCCCTCACTCTCGTCATGCCTCACTTCTAAGCCTCGGCTATAGTCCCGAACAGTCACAGCCGTAATCAGCAACGGCGCTGATATAGTCAACACTGGCCAAAAAGTATTTCGTTTCTTGGTCCCCGTCGAGAAGGCCGTGACGAATCCTTTAGTCAAGGCCTTCGTGGACAAGATTGGCCTAAACCAACTCAGCGGCATTGCAGCAGCTAATGGACGTATGATCATTTACCCCTGCCGGTCTGGCACTCTTCTCAACGTTGCTTGTTTTGTCCGTACCAATGATGATCTGGGGCCCGAGGCATCGTGGCACAATGCAGGGAACTTAGATGATCTTATGGCAAACCTCGAGGGATATAATGAGACGGTTAGGGAGTTTGGCAAGATGGCAGAAGATCTTAAGCTCTGGACGTTGGTGACACGGAACCCTCCCCCAACATTCTTCAAAGGAAAGCTTGCTCTCTTAGGCGATGCCGCACATCCAATGCTTCCGCGTAAGTTTTGCTCTCATCTTGACCTCGATCCTCATATGAACCCACCCCACAGGCTGAGCTCGCCATGCTAATTCGGGAGCAGATCAAGGACAGGGTGGCGCACAGGCCATCGAAGACGCGGCGGCGCTCGGGGCGCTCTTCGGGGCCGACACAGCGCCGGAGCAAGTCAGCGATCTGTTGAACATCTACAACCAAGTCCGCTACGACCACGCTGTGTCCATCTGCATCTCATCCCGAATTGATCAGCGATCTAGCGAAGAGGTGCTAGCCCAAAACTTTGAATTGCTGAGGAAGTTCGTGCCAAATGCGATCAAGGACCGAAATTACGCATTCTATGCCTGGGCTTCGTATCCGGTCCGGGAGGTTGAACGTTTGCTAGCTCTCCGCCGCAGTGAAAAAGCAATCTAAGTGTTTAAGAAAGTGAGAGAGGCATGCATATATATATGTATTTGAAAGCATAGAGCGAGAGAAACCTTTTTCACATTTGTTGCTGCTAAGACTCTATCTGAATCATGTAGGCATGCATACAAGCACATAGAGCCATCTCATCTAGACACCATTGGAATTGAGACAGTGTACGTAGAAAATATCGATATCGAAATCACAACTACATATGTCAGTATACCTAGTTCTTGGCAGCGTTTTGGGTAGTGGCGCACAATAATGAGTATAAGTAATTCCTAAGTAGATAGATAAGCAAAGGTCCCAGAGACAGCCGACCCCACTCGGAGCCTTGATCTACAATTCGGTACAGTACCTAGTAATAACTTATCCCTACCTTAGGTTCACCTCATTTCATCAACTTCTGAAAAGACAGCCTCTTCCATTAGCGTTTCGCTGGTCTTCATCATCTTGAGTCTTCTCCCCTTTCGGATTCAATTGACTAGGCCGGTTGATGCCACAAGAGAGAAAGAGATTCAATCATCATGGTGAGTGACCGTCGTCCATCACCATCACCATCACCCAACCGTTCCCCGTGACGTCAATTGAAAGTAACAAGCCATTGAAGCCATTGAAGCTAACGTATTTGCAACTCATAGGGGTTTGACATGAAGTATGTCCTTGCACCGCTCTTCGTCGGCGCCTCGCTGTTCGGCGGCAATGCCACCATCGGCACGCTGCTTCGAAATGGGCTAAGCGAGGTCATTGGGGCCGTCGGCTCGGGCAAGGTCGCGTCTCTGAAGGGGGCGCCGTCACCGTTCTTAGCGACGTACACGGGCGTGGCCGCCATTGACTACCAGCTCAGCGGCATGATCGGCTTCTTCTCTGCCATCATTGATGGCAACGTGCCCTGGGATGTGACCATGTTCTACATCTGGGGCATGGCGCAGTTTGCCGCTGCCTGGACCATCCTGGTGCTCGAGGCCAAGCGCGTCGGCAACCGCGGCAGACTGGTCTCTGCGATCGGCACTGTCGGTTTGATCTTCCAGAATGTCACCTGGACTTTTACCATCCCGCTGTATCTCGCCCTGCATCTCTTCACGTCACCCACGGCGAAGCTCAAGAACGGCGATGGCGCAGGCGCACGTCGCACTCTATTCGTCTATCTCTGGGACTTGGCACTACTCCCCATGGCGGTGACTCTGACCTTCATCGTTCCGGCCATCTTCATGAGCATGCCCCGCCTGTTCGGCCAGACGGCCGCCACACACTACAAATGGATTGCTATCTGGCAACCATTCCCTGCGCTCACGATCCTCGGGCTCGGTCTGCTACACTACGCATGCTACTACGCGCTCGGCAGCCTGAGTCCCGTGAACGAGGAGAACGAGCCCACGACACATGGCCATGGATACATGGTTGCCGTGCGAGGTGTCTATGAATTCGCGCTTGCCCTCTGCGGCACTAGCCACATCCCCATCGTGCTCCTGACGGTGATGCCCCAGGCGGGCCGCGAGTTCCTGAGCCACGCGTTTCCATACTATGCGCCCGTTTTCCGCACCCTCTCGTTCTCCAAGACCTTCATCCCCTCCCCGTGGTATGCGGCCCCGACTGTCGATCCGGCGACATACAAGTCCGGCGATCTCGCCATCCTGGCCCAGCACTTCCTACACTACGACTTTTACGTGGGTACCCTCCCTATGGTGCTCTGGGCCATGTATCTCCACCAGAGGACCGTCAAGAATCCTAGCCTGGGAGCGATGCTTCGCAAGGCGGCTTTCTGGTTCATCATTGGTGGACCGGCGGCTGTGGCTATTATCTTGAACTGGGATCGGGACGCGGTTGCAGAAGAGGGCGAGGAGGAGCTCAAGAAGAGGATTGAGGATGAACTTGAGAGGAGAAAGACCGGCGAGAACATGAAGACAAAGTAGAAGTAGTCACCTACGATAGAGATGGAAGTACATGGGGGTTTTGGGGGAATGACGTTTTAAAGGTGGAATTGGGGAGTATTTGCAAGCCGAGCACGTGTGCGCGCGTGGTTGGTTGAATGGACTGGGTCGTTTTGTATCACCACATTATATATATATAGTTATATGCAGCCAAGTTAATTATATATCGAGTGGAATCTGTGTTACCAGATAAATTATACATTATAACCGGCCAGGGCAGATCATGGGAGGTACCGGGGTACTTAGTATGCAACGTGGAAATCTGGGGTAAATTCTCTCATGTTTAATTGGCTATCTGACACTCTCCCCTGTACCATGCCCAGCTACTGTACCCAGGTACCTATCCCAGCTTCTAAGATCGTCAAACCACCATCTGCGTCTTTGACATTCATTAACCTACCTTTGGAATATCGACGTCGACGACGACGACAAGCGCATCTATCATCCGCACACCACGCGCAAACGAAAACATAGCTAGAGAATCACAAGAACAGACGACGGAAACACATATACCATCATGGCGCCAATGCCAAACGTAGACCACAACCTCCTCGAGCGTAAGCCACCGCCCTTCCATCTATCTCTCCATACCATTCCATTCGCAAAAAAAAAAAAAAAAAAAGACCAAAAAACCCCCTAAGGCCAAAGCAAACTAACAAGAATCCCCCCTTCCCAACAGAACAGCTCAAAGACACAATCCAATCCATGCACAACATAATGGTCCAAATAACCGCGTACGACAGCACCACGTCCTCGCCCTCGCCCTCGCGGCCCCCGACCTCGCGCGACGTCCTCGCGGCCGAGCTCACGGCGCTCTCGCGCTCTCTCCAGACCATCTACCGCACGTCCACGACGCGGACCCTGCCCCAGGTGCCCCCCGAGCTCGTCCAGTACGTCGACAACGGGCGCAACCCGGACGTCTACACGCGCGAGTTCGTCGAGCTCGTGCGCCGCGGGAACCAGCTGATGCGCGGCAAGCAGAGCGCCTTCGCCTCCTTCCGCGACGTCCTGGCCGGCGAGATCGAGAACGCCATGCCCGAGCTGCGCGACGACGCCGCGAGGGTCGTGGCTGCTACGCGCGGCGATGGCGCTGTGGGAACGGCAACGGGAGCGGGAGGGAGTATTAATGCTGCTGGGGCTGGGAATGCGTGAGGAAGGGGGCCAAGGACGGTGGGATAAGGATTGATCGAGCTGGTATTATCTTCAGTTTGCTATGTTGATGACATCTGGTCTCTTTGGATGTTCGCGTACTACTCTGCTTTTTGGGATGGGCGTTCTATTCTGGGGGGTCGCTTCCCCTTTTGGGTTATGGAGGTGATTGTGTGTACCAATTGCATTTTCAGTATGTGGGTTGGCATGGCATGGCATGGTGTTCTGGCTCGTATTTTAAGTCGCGATATATTACATGTTAGTTTGGAAATTCCCAAAAAAATATATGAAATTCCTGATCAGCTGATACATTCATTCGGTGAGAAAGCTCCCATATTATGGAATATTCATCGGAGTATGACCCCGAATGCTCAAACTTTACTATTAGACAAAGGCGATATAACCACGAAAACTAATTCACTAATTTCGATTATCTCCGTGGAAACTTGTAGTTTCCCTATCGAGACTTTCCAGACCTGTGAGTCTGTCGATATGTAAAATCACGCTAGGCAGCACCAGCTATTCTTTCATGGTTTTCTTTTAAATTTTACTGATCTTATAGGCAAGAGATCGGGCAGACCTATGCCTTCAATATCTTGACAAGTTCAGCGACAACCGCATCGCCCATCTCTTTCGTGCCCAAGTTACCGCCAAGGTCCTTGGTCCTGGCACCGCCATCTAGCACGGCCTCAACGGCCTTCTCGATGGCCTCGGCCTCCTTGGGCAATCGGAGGGAATACCGGCACATCATGGCCACCGATAGAATCGTTCCGATGGGGTTCACTATACCCTGGCCTGAAATATCCGGGGCTGAGCCTGTAGTTTGTATTTCTCTGATTAGCGAATCTGCGTATTCATCTTTCAACCCCCTATCTGTCGAACATTCCACGATTCTAGACACCGAAAATATTGTTACTCACCATGGATAGGCTCGTAGATCCCATTGCATCGACTCTTGCCGTCGGGAATACCACTCAAGCTCGCGCTGGGGCTCAGGCCGATACTACCAGGGATAACGCTAGCCTCGTCGCTGATGATGTCGCCGAACAGATTGCTCGTGACGACGACACCGTTGAGACCTCGGGGGTTCTTGACCATGATCATGGCCGCACTATCGATGAGCTGGTGGTGAAACTCCAGCTGCGGGAACTCCTTCTCCATGACCTCGGTGAAGACCTTGCGCCACAGCCGGCTCGTGGCGAGCACGTTGGCCTTGTCGAGACTCCATACGGGGGCGGGCGGGTTGCGCGCAAGGGCTAGGTGCGCGGCCAAGCGCGTGATGCGCTCAATCTCGGGCCGTGAGTACGGCTCCGTGTCCATGGCCGTGCCGTCTCCTTCATCCTCCTTACGCTCACCGAAGTAGATGCCGCCCGTCAGCTCGCGCACGATGGTGAAGTCGGTGCCCTTGCACACCTCGGCTTTGAGGGGCGAGTACTCGACCAGCGATTGCGACGGGAAGAAGCAAGGTCGGAGGTTGCCGTATGTACCCATCTCCTTGCGCAACTTCAAAATGCCTTGCTCGGGACGCACCTTGCCCGTGCCCCATTTCGGACCTCCGATGGCGCCGAGCAATACCGCATCAGCGGCCTTGGCGGCGTCGAGGGCGGCGTCTGTGAGAGGGGTGCCGTGGGCATCGATAGAGCACTGTAAATAGACAACACAACGCTCTGTTAGCCTGCTATAGGAGATGCGCGAGAAATCAATGCAAAGAGCGCAGATAGACCGGACGTACACCACCGAGCAAATGTTCTTGCAGATTAAATTGGACTCCAGAGGAGCTATTTGATTCTACAGCCTGGAGGACCTATTTTTGGGGGGGTTTATTTGGTCAGTCTGTTGTCCTTTCGAGAGTTCAGTTGTACAAAGACTGCAGGTTACGGTCGCACACATACCTTTACAGCTTCGGCCACAACCTCGGGGCCCGCATGATCGCCTCCGAAGACGACAATATTAAACGGCGCCATGATGTAAATGGTAGGATGCGAGAGGAGAGATGATGCGTTAGACTTTATCAATGCAAGGTGAATGATTATAAATGCCAATTGCCCGTCTGCCAATAATGGAATCAACAACAAAAAATGAATACGATGATGAATAAAGGTTGGTCAATGCCTTTCCACTGTTGAGAAGGGGGCGGTAGTAGGAGGATACAGAAATAACCAGATAAATAGAAACAAGCTCCGAAGCTGGAGCTCTGTGAAGCTCGATCGAGTGTGCCCCGCGATCGACTACACACCAAGACTACACACCAAGCGAGAGCAAGCTCGGTATATTTCACCCCACCATCCGAGATCGGCGGCCAGCTTTCTCGGCGCTAATCGCTACTTTGTCAAAGAGCAAGATTTGATCAATATTTCACAGCTCGTTTTAAACCCCGGGCATCAGTAGCGGTAGGACACATCATTGAATCATTGTGAAATAATAGCAGTTAGCTCTAGCCGAGTCATCTACATGTCAGACCTGCAGATACCGGATCTTAACAGAGTCGGGCCCCTATGGATATTCCTATGAGGTAACATCGTAGCCCCGTATATGTTGGAAAGCACGGTTGCAAGAGAAAAAAAAATATGTTGTTCACCACGATGCTACCCCTGGAATTGGTAGATTAATTAAATCTCAAATCATATATGGGTCAGTCAAAGGTCGTTTTGTTCCGTTATTGTTTCGACCAAGCCATAGACTGGGTAAGTAGGTACCAAACCTAGAGTGAAGACAAATATAAGGTTTGCTTTGGCTTTAGAGCACCGGTATTCGGCCCTCGCGTATCTTTCTTAACAGTTTGCTGAACCCGCGCATCTGGAAGCCGTCCCCTATTTCACTTGCACAAATATCTATAGCAGGGTATCATGAGCTATGTATGAATAATCCCTAGCAGCTCCCGACAGGCCGTTCGTCCTCCGTACAAAACAAAAGAGACTCGTCCATTTATTTATATCCATATCACATAAGATTCTACCTCATTCGCATAGACCCAGAGTCATCAGTTCTCACATCTTCACCTTCTGATAGTGATGCTTGCGTCATCTAAATGAGCGCACCGTCTTGCGTGCTAACGGAGACGTCGTGGACGTGCGAGGGTTCAGCCCTGCCACGCCTCTCTGGGCTCCTCGGCCACGTACGCCCTGCGCGTTTGGTGTATTGGCACAGAAAGCACATATATATACTCGTGGTAACGTTTGTCGAGTAATCTTTATGCATTTCCCATGCAGCCACATCTCACATGATTCACTACGAGCTTGCACATTAGTAACCTTGCCACGAGCGCACATTATTCGTTGAGGGGCGTTGTTTACCATTGCACCATATAGCCATCTCCATTGATATGGCTCAGGGTGGTGTTGCAGACACACCGGATTTGATTACCGCGGTCTGTTGACTGGCTGGAGATCGTGGCACTTGCGCTAAAGGGTGCGCCTGACATGGGGAGATTGCTAGTAGCAAGAATCGGGACTCGTCTCTGTCGCTTCTCGCGCACTTTCCGCAGCTCACTCATGGCATCGCCTCGGTTATTGCTATGATTGATTGCTACATTCATAATGGTTTCCGCGTCACTGTCAGGGTCACCCTGGGAAGAGTTGGGTTCGGCATAATAAATCCCCAGGCTACTGGTGCTCTGATCACTGAAACTTCGGTGAGTTGTATGGGCAGGGCGAATATACGATGGCGCCTTAGATTCTGGCAGTGCAAACGAAGAATTTCTGCTCGGAATGATAATAGGCTCCTCGTCTGTTGATGAAGATTCATCATCAGAAGACTCCCAATCTTTCTTCTCTTCTCTCCGCTGACGTCTACCTGTGGGCGTTTGTTGCTCCTCGTCAACAATGACGGTTGTCTCAGCACGAGCCCGACCTCGAGAATCAATTGTAAATCGTACAGACGTGCGGGTCCGAGGGCCGCTGTGTTCCGGAATGGAGCTCAAACTGGAAAGCCGCTGATGGATCTTAAGTGGTGATGTTCGCCCACTCGTCCGAGAACCTTGGGAAGCTGATCTGTTATTTGTTGAGAGACCATTGCGGCCAGATGGTGCCAGGCTGGTCGAGACTCCAGCTCGACTGGTAGGTTTCCGTCCCCTCGTTTCACTAGCACTACGGAGAAGCCCTGGGCGACTTGAAGCTAGGAGAGGGGGACTAGTTCGCTCATCTTTCTTGGTCTTGCCGATTTCTCTGGAGCTGGCTGAGCGCCGTATCTGTGCACGTTTTAGTTCCCTCGCAGGCGGTGGTGGGAGCTGAGGAGATGGCAGCGAATCCATCAAAATTGGCTGTGCCATTGGGTCGAAAGTAGCTAGCTCCATACTCGATGAAGGAGGACGAGTGAGCAAAAGGCCGGGGTCCACACCACCAACATTGAGAGGTGCAAACGAATCTTCTGTTGGTACCTGAAAAGACTGAGGAAAAGCAGGAGCCTCTGTCATACTTGTGTCTACGTTTGGCATGAGGGTTGGCTTCGGCGCAAGTAAGCGCTCCTTCTTTTGTGGTTGGATCTCTTGGTTCTTAGGTGGTACCACGTTCGTCTCCTGAAACATCTCGTTGGTAACCCCCCAGTCCAGTGACTCCATGGACCTATGGTTAGTGGTGCCATGGAAAGAATTGGCCACGGGTATTGAAAAGTCAATGTCCATTCCACTCATGCCCGGATCCCAAAAGCTCTGGGTTTCGTCATAAACGGGTGCTGTCACAGGGGCCGACAATGGCATCCCAAACATATCCATAGGCGCGCTGACGAAACTGCCAAGCATATGTTGCTGTTGCGGCATTCCCGTCGTGAACTCATTTTCGTATTCCTCATGTTGCATACTGTTAGTGTGCGGCTTTGGAGCAAGCCGCCGTTCACTCTTACGAGCCGACGGCGGGGGCGTGACAGTTTGTGAGGGCGAATGCACCAGTGTTCCACGGCGAACCTTTTTACCTAATCTCTGTTGTGAATCGTTTTGACAACCCGCTTCTATAGGACTGGGAAAGGGTCCGGCGGTGGAGGGTGACGATGGCAGCCGACGAGACGGGTCGACAGGTGGTAAAGGGAGGGCCGGGTTTGGCGAGTAGTGATTGGCATGAGATGCTATCTCAGCGGCTATACTATCGGCAGAGAGCAACCTTTTATGGCTCGAAGAAAGCTGTATAGAGTCAGGGAGCTTAGGAAACGGGCCTGATGTGCCCCGCAGATTCCCTGGCGTATTGTTGAAAACAGAGTATTCTTCGGCGAAGCGTGGGGTCCAACCGGACAGGTCGTCAAAGCTGCCCTGGTTGGCCTTTGGGGTCTCGAAGACGGCCGGTGGGAATTGGGCGGATGTTGGTGTTTCTTTCGGTGTAAGGGGAACGGTGTTGGAATCACCAAAACTAAGAGAAGCCCATGTCAGCCAACAAGGCCAATGGGCTAGGGATGAAATAAATTGGAGAACGAGAGTGCATACCTAGTAGCTGGTCTATCCGCACTCATAGCCAGATAATTTTTTGGCTCGAAAAGACTGACTCGGGCATAGCAGACAAAATACCGGCCAAGGCTCTTTTTTCCAGACCCGAACAGCTGTCCAGGTGGGGACTGCGTCGGTAGGACGCCGGGAGAGGTGACTGAGCCGGATTGGTGGTATGCAGAGTGACGATTTAGTGACGGTTTGTGTCCGTGGTGTTCTGGTGTTCCAGTGTTCTGGTGTTTTCAGGGCTGAATAGATAGTCTATAGCTGTGGTCTATCATGTGCACATTATCTTTAGTCGTCGAGGAAGATCTCAAAAATCCGCAAGCCCGAGGCACAATTACTGTATAGCACCACCGAATTAGCCTACGGTTAGTTTGCTATTGACACACAGCCCGTTGTAGAGGGAACGGACGCACCTACAATCAGATCAAAGGCGAGACTCCAATTAGACAAAAGACATTAGATACGGGGATTAGTTGAGGAATTCAACAGGAGACAAGAGGACGACCGGGTCGGGGGGAAAACAAACAACGTCGAAGAAGTAAAATGGCGAGAGTAACAGACATGGAGCGGTCGGTCAGTCGCAAAGCTTAGGTAGGCGGTACCTAAAGATTATCGAAGGTAATTGGAGGCTAGGAAGGGAGCCCAGAAGCTACCTAGGTACCTGCTTAGGTAGGGCGCCTAGACTGTAGATAGGGCTAGGCTGTTGCTGGAGGTCGTCAGGATTACTGCCTACTACGGGTAGTGCTTGTACCTTTCTAAGCTGTGTACCTACTTAAGGTACGGTACGGTAAGGTAAGTCTGGGGACTCTACTTAAGGCAGGCTTCGGGTAATTTTGAGGGAGAGGTCTGTGCAACAACGGCAAATTTGTTTATGAAACACCGAGCCACTGTATATACATACGAAGTAGAGGTATGTATGTATGTATGTATGAACCAGCCACGGGAGATGTACCTAAAGATGGAGGACGAGGGGATAAAAATGAATTGATGAACTAGGTGACAAGCCAGAAGATTTCACTCAAGCTCCTAAAGCAACGGGCCAGATGGTAGTCTTACCGCAGATGGGAAGAAAAGACGAACGAACAAAACAAAATGGTACCTACCACGACTGCGGCTCTTCTACTCGTCTAGGTATCCAAGAGAATGGGCGGCATAAGGTAAACGTGCCAGAAAGGGAAAGCGTCCATCTGCAATCCTCCAGCAACAGCCTTCCATGGCAATTTCTTACTGGATGCGGGAGTCTCGAAGTAAACCCGAGCGCGTATGTCAATGCAGGGGAAAGGGTAAAAAGAATTCGAACTGGGCATTCAGAGTGAACTGATCCCATGCGCGTTGGGGGGTTCATCCCAGCAGCAACGCCGCTTGTGAGATATAGCTCCGATGATATGGGCTGGACGACATGATCCAACCCAGCACAAGAGACTTGCACTTACTACAATGGGCGAAGCCAATACCTTAGTACAGACTGCTCTCTGAGTGAGTAATCGACGAGTTGCCTGCTCCAGTTCCTGAGCTGTGCAGGAAACAAACTGGATAGCGTCCATGAGACATGTAGCCTTGGTTGGGTTGATTCCCAAACTCCTGTTAGCTGTATCTATCCATCATCTCCTAACCTACCTGGGAGTTCTGCCTATTCGACCAGATCCACAGGAGCAAGTTGTCCTACATTAGGTGTTGCTGACAGCGCGGTGGGGGGTGATAATCAACCCCGGCCGGGGGCATCATTCCGATTTAATCCCGCCCTAATCTAATAAGCAACTCACATTTACTTTACCTCATACGAATCAGATCAGCTTTCAAGACATGATGGAACTGAACCACTGGCTGATATCAGATGTTTCATTGCTCTACGTAACCTACCTAGATAGGTAGACAGCGTACTCAATAAAGATGGCTGGACGGGGCCCATAAGGTATAGGTAGACCACGATCTGCCCTGAGAACCACTCATGGGAATTCTTAAGAGATAACATGGAAATTCAAACGACGCCGCTGCAGGAAGATGGAAATTGTGAGTCAACAGCTACTCGGCGCCATACCTGGACGAGTCTAGTACATGTCGACCTACGAAGAAGCTACGTAAAGCATGCGAGAGCCAAGCAGGAACAGGCGGACGAGGCCCAATCTTTTCTGCCGAGAGCGAAAGTTTGGAGTTGGCCTTCAAGGCTATCAAAAGACCTCAATCTTGACGACGGGCGTTCGGGAAGTAAATGATAAGGTGATACAACGTCCGTCTGCATCTCAAGCACGGCGCTCACCGAAAGAAAGGATGCTGCAAGCCATGAGACACTCGGCGTACAAGACAAGTTATTCCTGATTGTCCATCCCAGAGGTGGTTGGGGCCGGTCGTCGCCGTCCCGCACAAGCTGAAAAGCCGTGCATATCCCACTGCTGATAGGACCAGATAATTGGGCTCACTTGGAGATCCATGACTTCTTCTCCAAGGATTGAAACCAATTGCAGTAGGTAGTGGAGATAGACCTCTGCCTCGCCTCCTATGCTGCCTATGCTGCCTTACCATAGGTAGCTGCTCGACGCTTTAACTTGAGTGTCTCAACCCCAGGCATCTCTGTGCCACAACAAACGCAACGAGACGGATGGCGACGTGGGGGGCCCTCCCTAGCTTGAGCCATTCAGAGAAGAGATCCCAGCTGGCTGGACATGGCTGGACATGGCTGATATTGAGCAGACACGAAATCTTGTGGTATTTCGTCCTCCTCCTCATTCGGCGAGGAGGGTTACCATCATTGAAGCTTACGGTCACCGTTGGCTCGGGATGTGTTCTACGTTTCTTCAACTATCAGACATGGCGGGTTCCCTGGTGGCCGAGGAAATAGTATGCGACGCTGTTGGTGTGTTTGTACAGCCTGGCCTATGGCAAAGCTGCCTATCTACCAGGTATGCCACATAGATACGTGTAAGCAGCCGATATTGAAGATTATAATGAGGGAAGAAAACAGTTTCGGTTAGCTGAAGAATGACTCTAAAAACAAGGGGGGAAACGCAGAGTGACGCCATCTTTACCCGCAAGCTCTAGTATCTAGAAAAATATTGGTCGGTTGGGGTTTCGAGTAGTACTGAGACTATTCCCAAACTGTCTCAATTAAACCCCCGCATCTCCCTAAATAGCAGCCGCTCTTGACCCCCTTCCCATGGCGCTTCCCAGGCAGAGTGAGCGCCAGGCATCCATTGAGGAATGAGGTACCTAGGGCAGAGCAGGATGTCCAAGGAGCAAGTCTTCATCGTGAACAGTCCAGCCTATGTGCCCCATCCATTCGCGTTCTTCTATTTTTGAATAGGTTATCATACTTGGCCTGTTTGGGCTCATATTCATACCTCTAGGAGAGGCCAGAAGATATCAAAGAAGCCGATGAAGCCAGCACTGCCAGTAAGAAGAATACTGTAGGGACTCGTATCTGCGGAGAGCATACAGTAGCAGTGGCAATTTCAGAGTGTTCATGCGCTATCACAAAACACAATGGGTGTGATGATGCGACCTCGGTCGGCTGCGTTGAGGTGCAAGCCACCGCCATCCTGTGGGCGCCAAGACCCCGGAGTATGCAGTGCAGACTAACACAGAGTGAGATACAAAGTCCTTTCTCAAGATGCTGCGAAGGCGACTAATTATTGCCGGTATTTTTGATCACTATTACGGTCTGCTCGACTTTTGATACCCGACGCCTGAGTTAGTTGGACCGTTTTCACCACAGCGTACATCTACAGGCACTTCGGCAACAGAAGGGAACTCTAAACATAAACAGTATCAACATAAAATATTATGTTATTGACACCCTCTATTTTGAGGGACGAAGAGAAGAAAGAAACGTGGTAAAATTGTCGTTTCATATTCACCTAAGGTGGCCGCGTTGTGTTCACCTACGTAGCAGCAGCCCAAAACAAAGAAACAATCTAGCTCTGCCAACATCATGCAGGAAAACTGATGATGGCTTCCTAAAGCAGGCAATGTAGATACATACATGCTACCTGACCTAGCATAAAGTATCAGAATGTGAAAAGGAATGAAGCCCAAGTCAAACCATGCCAGGAAGCACAGTGGTCATGGAAGTCTTACTATCAAGCAAACGTCACGGAACTATTCACGATATACCAAACGCATCTTTCTATGTGATAAGTTACTAATAATTGTATAATATTCTACGGTAATCGCTTTCTATCACTTGAAATCAACATCGCCGGGCAACATTGACCCCGTCATCACATTGCCAAGTGACGAAAGCCACGCGGTGCCGTCCTCGGGCAAACCCGGCGGTCGAGCCGCGAGAAAGTCGAAGTCCATGACTGGATCCATATCAGGCATGACCGCGGCTTCGGTCTGACGAGCCTTGAGGACGCTGTCTAGGATCTCCTTGACGCATGGCCAGGTATCCTTGATGTCTTCCATGGCTTCTATCACGAGGTCTAGGGACCGCGATGTCTCGCTATCGTCCCAGGGGAGATTTTCAAGATGCCTTCTCATCAATATAGTGCCAGCAGCGGTGGATAACGTCTGTACGAAATCGAGCGGCAGGTGTTTGTACGAGTAGAACCGCTTGTAGCTCTTGAGAAGCCGGAGGATGGCCCCGAGAGACTGGTAGCATATCTCGACGTCGTCGCGGTCGAAGCTAGACTCGGATTTCTGTAGGAGCTGGCTTGGTGGACGATGTAGAATGGTCATTACTGTCTGAAAAAGCAAACTGGAAATTAATAGATTTCACGTCAGCCGGTTCTACAAGCCCCTTGACACTCCTCTCACTTCCCCTTTCACCTTACCCGCGAGGCAATCACTTACTGCAGATGATAAACCCATTGCGGAAGCTGATTTAGTATCCACTGGTTCCAGTTCAGTTTATTCGGCAGGCCGGCCAGCCATCTAGTGAGGGAGACGTGGATCCGCGCAATCGTAGCCGCGACAACTGGGCCGCCGGCATTCTTACGGCGGTTTTCGAACACCTCTGTGATCATAGTATGCACAATGCGGTACAGCTCTATACGGTATATGAGAGCATTGACGAGGTTCGGGCCGTCCTCGAATGCAGTGACAGAAGTACCCGGTGCTACGTATGTGTCGAGTAGATTTGCCCAGTCTGGAGGATATGGGATTCGCTCGGTCCCGCGGACGTCTGATACCTGCGGGTAGAGAGCCGGTGGTCGACCGAAGAACAGGCTTAGCTTCTTGTCTACGACGAAGGCAGCCCAATACACGCGTCGGAGGATTTCTCGCTCAATGTCTGGGTCTTGAGTAAGATCCTGAGATGTATGCCAGTTCATTGGATCAAGATGCAATCCCATCTCATCTACGAGATGGAAGAGTTAGTAATTTGTCTGAAGGCAAAGGTCCCATGTGCTACAGGTGTGTAAATGACGAAGGCTAATGCCAGTCGGTTGAGTATTCCTCAGTGTTCAATCCCGCTGGCCGGAATAGGAAGTTATACACTTACGTGCGAGTCGAAAGGCCATGCCACAGAAAAGCCATCCTTTGGACGCTCGACCTCGACCTATCTCTAGCTGACCTAGTAATAGCAGGGCCTGTAGCACTGTAAGATCGGGATGGTTTAGAGAAGGGTATAATAGGGCTTGGGCTTGGTTGGCGAAGATGTCCGAGAGAAGAGATTCGTTAGTCGCGAGGGCCCCTGTTGCACAAATAGCAAAGAGCAGCAAGTCTGAGTAGTGTCGCCCTCCACCTATGTCATAATCTCTTAAAAAGAATTCTCTGTAGATACACATATTAGACTGGTATTGGTATGTGAAGAATGCAGCCATCAACCGCTGTGAGACGTCGTCATGTGCAGCGAACTGGATTGGGTATAAATTCCACAGTGTGTGACCAAGCATCATCTCGGTCGTGTTTGTGGAATGCGTCTCGTCAACTGTAGTCGAGTCCATGATGACCGGCGACGAGACAGGACCTGCTTCGGATAGACGGATATGGTAGAGACTCGTCCCGCCGTAAAACTGTGCTGAGCCGCCTGATCTCGTTTTTCGAAGCTGGCCCACGCGTGCTGGGGACAGCCGCCCTTCATCTTGGCCTTCAACGGCAAGTGGCTTTGGGGATGAGCCTGAACCTGCATCATCATCTTTGGCCAATATAAGTTCGGTAACTCGAGAGAATTCATTAAGCATCTGCTGGCGTTTCTTATCATCACTAGATGCGAGCTTTTGTATGAACGTCTCTAGAGATGCGACTTCGGCCTCAAGCGCCTGGACATAGCTTTTTGGCGTGGGCCTTGCAAGACTTAATACCATTCTGATGACCACTTGCAACAATGGCTCGCTGGCCTAGGAAGTTCCCTTACCTCTGCTTCTCCCCAGTCCCTACGCGTCTGCATTCAACATTCGCCTTACGACATCTAGAACAAGGTTGTCGGCGATCGCATTTGATCTTCAGTTATATTGTGTTAGAAGATTCTGGACATAGGACAACGAAACAATACGACTTTACCTTTCTTCTCCTACATCGTTCACAGGATACCGATGTTGTCTCGCTTGTTTGACTTGATCCATCCATCACCGGCACCCTTCGTAGGTTGCTATTAATGAAACACGGCTCGGTTATACAAAGCGATGAGATAACGGAAGACTACGGACTTGGTGGAGCTATCGGCCTAAGCGGTAGAGATTTTAGAGCGTCATAAGTTCCCATTCCCGTCCAAATAGCCGGGAATTAAGTGGGCTATTAACTGGAGTTATATACACAGTAGTATTAGTCTGACTAAGTTCTGCATCTTGTACATGCGGCTGTATGATCTTGCCCACCTAGACTGGGCTTTCAGCTCTTTGAGCTGACGCACCCCGGGCGGTGGTTGAAGTCCGTTGCCAACTCCACAGTCCGGGGAAAGGGTCAGGTCGGGGCCACTACTAGATACTACACAGTCCCCTGATAACCCCATTACGGCTACTCAGCCCAGCATAACCGTTGCGTCTACACATACATCAGCCTAGCTGTCGTTGTCCTTGAGAGTCCGCCTGAAGATGGCCATAACAGTAAGATCTACGACTACATAGGAGCCTCGCACATAATACTGCCTCTTCACCAATCACTGTCCTCGCCCCAGCATTTCGGGACGGACTTGTATCTTCGAAAAGAGCAGACGTGATCATCTTTTCATCGAAGTACGCAACAGACTTGAGCCATTCACCTCTTAGAACCTGTGCTATGCCCCTGTCTCCATAAGTGGGCTATCACACCTTCACTTAAGTGTCAGAGCTCAGTGGGCAGACAGACACTGCTTGCTGATTCCGATATCAAGGATGACGGCCTTGTATTCAGGTCACGAGAGGTGACCATCAAACAAATCTAGAGCGTGTTAGCGAAGAATGGATTATAGAAGGATCTCGGTAAGGTGGCGGATATCACCCCTGAGAGGTATGGAAGCGAGAACAGAGATTGTGGGACGGGAAAAGGGTGCTAGAGCCAGCGTTGAGCACTTCATGTGAATCATTGTTTCGATTATCGCTACACGGAGAACCGTCCACATGAGCGTCAGATATATGTAATTTTCGCTTTCCTTCTTCAAGCCCCATAGTAAATTTTACCTTACACGGATTAGCGGCTTCAGTAAAGGACCCTATCTTTTAAAGACTAAAAGAGATGGCATACCTCTACTATGCACTTCATACTGACCACGCACTCACTCTAATATTTTCGGCATCTTTTTTTTTTCGCGCATTCCCGCAAGTCGGCCTAAACGATGGCTACTTGGCGCTCAATGACCAATGATGACATCCATGGAGTCATGCGTGTTGCCGATATAGTTCATGCTGAGCTAGCAGAAAGAGACTCGGTGCCTACAGAGAGAGTGAGGCTCTTTCCCGAAGGCTGCTTGGTCCTCAAGGAGGGGTCACAAGTTTGCGGTTATGCTATTTCGCACCCTATCCGTTATAGAAAACCGCCGGCTCTCGACAGTCTAGTTGGTGAGATAGCATCGGAGGCAGATCAATTCTACATACACGACATTTGCGTCTTACCCAACCTTCGAGGACATGGCTATGCTGGAGAGGTTGTCGATAGACTGCTGGCTGTTGCCGAGCGCTACACAACGACATGTCTCGTGTCCGTCTATGGCAGCTCGCCCTTTTGGGCTCGATTTGGGTTCAAATCGCCGGATGACATTGATCAGGCCTTGTCGGAGAAGATCCGTGGCTATGGGGACGACGCAATCTACCTTGAGCGCCGCAATAGAGATTAAAGTCATCTCTCATTGACTTGGCTTGGGTCACTGGGTTCAGAGCAGGTCATGTTGACATTGTGCGCACCAAGTCTGAATCGCAAATGCCACAATTGAAAACTCGTGTCAAATAAAATCCGGGATCGAACTTCGTTGTTTAGATTAGTGAAATCCGTCGTCGCCCTGCACATGCTCCAGAACAGCTCGGTAGTCATGAGCAGCCATGTACTTGACAAGCGCGGATCCGCGAAAAGGCTTAGTAAAGGACTGAGAAGTCGTAAATTGAGAGCCTTCTCCGGTGTGCTTAGGTACGAGGTAATTCTCTATCCTAAACTATTCAGTAGCCCGTCAACAAATAGTGGGAAAGGGAACACGACATCGAAAAGCAACGTTGCTTCCCAGCTTCCAGTTCGAGATGGTAGAGTAGAAGTTAGGCGGAATCCAAGACATTGAAAATTCATGCGTGCCATCACTCACTCGCCAAACGTCGACGATTACTGGCCCGGCACTCTGGACAAGTAATCTGAGTAAGAGAACAACGAACATCTCGTTCGTTTTACGATGCCCGGAATAGGTTTCCCAGTGGCTGCTGATTTTTTTTTATTGTCCTTATTAGGTCTTGTCAATGTCCGGTAACGCCCGACAAGCTCTACCGGCATGACGGCGGGTTCATAGATAGCCATGTATCTCCGTGTCAACGTTCGAAGGGAATCTGGAGAATCTACATACTTATGTATTTATAATCTCGGCACGAACTGCAGCCTATGCTAGATATATACTAGCAGTAGATCTGAGCTCTAATCGCTCCATTTATTGGAATGTAAGAGTGAGGTTTAGTAACAAACAATAGAACAGGACTTACACAGCCCAAGGGGTAGACGGAATTACAGCGCTGTCGGTATTCCAAGGCCGTCTAAGTAGTGTAGATACATACTCAACCCAATCAAATAACATTCGTCACGGAATCCGCGGCGTCGTGCATCGTACGTAAGTACCATCGACACTCTTGTGACTTCAAATGTTGGTAGACTGGCCGAGATGTTCACTCGGGCGTTTGGGGGCTCCCTAAAGCAAGCAGCCTGTGTGAGCCCTGTAGCTTGGGGGCTAAGCACCAGGCTAAGGAGCCCTATAACCCCGGTCTCTCGGGCGCCCGCAATCCCTAATGGCTCTAATCGCTTGATGCGGGCCGCAAATCATGCCACCATCAGTCCATCAGCTCATGAGCGAATCTCGTGGCTTCTAATTACTCACCAACGAAAATAAGGCGGATGTGATACCACTGAGTTGGGTCAGCAAGATGACCGCCTCGATATTTAAATCGGAATCGTCAAACTCGCAACAGTGTCTGCCTTGTTGTGACGACAAGAAGCGACATCCGCCTTTCTCCAGCTACTAGCTAATACAGCGATAGTGGCGACTGGTTTCCTCACAGCAATCTCCGGAATATCGTCGTCAACATGCCTCCTCACCTACGTCCTATGAAACACATCGATCGCAAAGATCTGTATACCAACCTAGAGACGAGAATCCAATACCTCCATTCATTCCTAGATTTCAGTTCGCGTACGTCATGAGGAACAGACTTTCGCTAGTCTTGATAAGTACTTACATAGTGGCAGGGGATATCGAGGCGTTGATAACGGGATCTAAGTACATCAAGGCATTGATACCTGCATTGGTCAACATTGTGTATCATAAGCTCCTGCAATATGATATTACGGCGAGAGCATTTCAAGTGAGTCGCTAATTCATGAATGTTGTCTCGTGATTGCTCTCTTTACCCAACCCACTCTTGAACTCGCCCTTCTCATGTAGTGCCATTCAGTGATAGCTTCGCTTGCTTGAGCGAGTACACGGGCTGTAATTAACTTGTTTCAATAGACAAGAAGTACGAGCTATGAAGGGCCCGTTGACGAGAATTTGAGTGACGACAGTCCCATCATCCTTCACAGAAAGACCTTTTTGCGAGCATACCTCAACAAGCTATGCTCAGATCCCTCTACCATGGAGTTCTGGTATTATCTAGACAAGGTTGGGTGAGTACACGCCCCATGTCTAAGGTATATGAAGCACTACTCATATACATTCTAGAATGATGCATGTGGGAAGAGGACGTGAACATCCCCTTCACATCGAATATGTGCATATTGGGGCATGTCTATCATTCATCCAAGACACACTCACAGAAGCGCTATTGTCACACCCGCGCTTGCGAATGGAAAGAAAAGTAGCCCTTGTCAAAGCATTAGGCAAGGTAATCTGGATACAGAATGACTTGTTTGCCAAGTGGTGGTATGTACCAAGCCCAGCCCAACACAAAGTTATATTGAAGCTAATGTCCTTCTCAGTAAGTACATCATCATGGTCACCCTTTTCCATGATTGGCTACGATCCGAACAACGAATCGAAGCCAATACCCATCTTGGTAAGAATTTAGATGGCATGCTGACAATTGATAGACGTACGAGACGGCGATGAGTTCGCCGATGAAGCCGAAGCACCAGAGATCGAGAGGGAAGGATACCTCTTCGGAAAGAGGATGCTCGACGACCTGGAAGAGGAAGATGAGGCCGGTGCCACGAGCGCCTGTCCTTTTTCGGGACTGGCGAAGGGCGTAAGCAAGGTAAGCATCTCGAACGAGAATGGCGAAGCATCAACACTCCCCGAAGACGATGAGAAAGCGTCCGAGAGTGTCTCTACCAAGGACGCCGCATAGACCAAACATCAGCTATTGAATGTAGGATTTTTCATGTACCATTACGTAAAGAGTAATGTTAGAATACCCATAATATTGTAACATGAGTCAGAGACATGAGTATCGCGATCTCCATCCCCTGTCACAGTTTGTATTTCATGATCAGGATAGACAAGGTGAGATGCCTTCTTGTGTGAACTATTAGCTATGGACTAATCGTCAAATGCTAGACACGTTCGGTATGGCCAATATCACAGATGGTTCCTCATGCAATCGTGGCTAAAAGTTGTCTGAGTCGCTATCGTACATTGCTCAACCCAGAATCTGCACGTGTTGTACCTCTCTAATTCGTTTATGACCCATTTCAACGGTAATTGATCCATTCACCTTGGACAAGGTGCTACCGTGAAGATTTCATCATGTCAATGCATGAGAGATCATTACTGTGTTGAGGTATTTCTTCGAAAGGGGGAGGGTGATTTCCATGCTTTACTTAGTTAGTACTCCCCTAGTTACAACAAAAAGGGAATCTTCGCATGTTAAATATGACCTCTCCCAACTGTCCCCGACTAAGCACGGCAATGAATTTCATATGTATATCCATGTCTCAGCACGTCATTAAGAATCAGATATACCTCGCGGCGTATAGTTACACTACTTCACGAAGATTGATACAACACCTCATAAGTTTCGACACGACCTTCACGAAAAGTGTTCATTCGAAACGTGTTGTCTCATTTACTACTAGATCGACGAAATATATAATAGCGATCAGAGACTTGACTGGTAGCGAAATTAATTTCATTCGCAGAAACGTTTGATCTGCATTTCAATAATTCTAGAGACAAAGCCTACTCATGTGCAACTCAATACTCTCTTTATTGGCTTTCAATACGTTCATAGTTACATGGAAGAGGGTTAGCATATCACACTGAGAAGCGAACGTATTACTAACCAATCGAGATACGTGTATGGAAAAGCAAGGTTGCAAGTCGGTCGGGATTGCCAGCTAGTGAATGTCCGTATGAAGATGGCAATACCCTGCCAGAAGTATAAAGATCGAGCCTGGCGCTCACTTTGAGGAAATTGAAAGCTACAGCCTAGCACAGACTCCTCCCACCATCACCAGCTCAAACTTCATTCTAAAATTCTAACTTTCGAATCCTTCTCCCTCAACTCCAGTCTAAACACAATGTTGTTTATCGCAGCTTTCCTCGCCTCCTCGCTCGCAACTCTCGCTCTTGGATGGCCCATCTTCCCCTTGCCTTGCTCTCCACTCTCAGGAACACCATGTAAATGCCCAGAAGGCACAGACTACGCTGAATCGTCCACGGTAGCAATGATCGGTGCTAGTGCAGGTAATGTGGGATGGTTGATGAACAACTGTAAGTGAAGCCCCTGCACATGACTTGTAGTTACCTAGTAGTGTTGACTGAATTGCGACCAGTCTTCGTTACATCGTGGACTGGAGTTGAGCCCTCGATGACTTGGAACAGTGATAATATTCCTCTCCTGTCGAAGAGAGAGATTATTTATCCGACCGAAGTTGGAAATGTTACCATTCCAGAGCAAGTATGACTGCCAATTCCCAACCCGTCTATTGCGGTTTGACGGCTCGCAATTTATAAACTAATCTGTTTTATGTTTTTCAAGCTCATTACCAGACTCCCATACCTAGATGGCTCGTTCGAAACAACCTATCAGCAGAAAGGGATCGTTCCATTCGTTTCCGGAAATGGCTCTTTCACCGGGCATTGGACTACCCTGAAGGGCACCAGGAGATTTGAGAACCAAACACTTGTCGAATGGTATAGCTATTCTTGCGATACTGGGTATCCGAGGAGTAAGCATCATTCACAGCCCCTAGACCCACTAAGAACTTAAACTGATTGAATGATGACTTGTAGACTTCGCTGCATTCCGTGAAAACGCCCTGAGAAACGCGACCGTGATCCTCAACAATTTAGGACTGCTCTCAGGTCTCAGCACTATTCCACAATCTATCTAGTTCTGGTAAAGGTTGCGAGATTTCTGTGGTTGCTTCACGTGGAAAGGGGTACACGAGTATTTGGGTTCTCGATGATGTTGGTGACGCATCTGGGCACGTGGTCTTCGGATGTCTAGTAAAAGTCTGGTGATTTTTTCAAGATTTCGCATTGAGGGGGACAAGGTGGCTTGATTGTTAGAATACAAGAAAAAGAGAACTTCTCAGAAACTCCGATCCAAATGCGCTCTCTATCTGTGCGCTCATGCTTATGCACTGTTCCACGGCCGGAAATGACTAAGAGAGCAAAGACACGTAAGAAGAAGTAGGTGACTAAGTATATCTGTTCACAGCTAGTTCAATTATGGGAAAAGGAATGAGTCTCTATGTTATACATGGCCCCTAGGGACAATCTGGTAGAGTAGCCGGCAGATAGTCACCTGACACCGCGTCGGATGCCATCCTCAACTATCCTCTCAGATACCAGTCTTATATGACGCGCCAATAGACAGAAGTAGAGAAACCTGTTTAGGAAGGTCTAATAGCGCAGCACACTCCGCGGAGATGTCAACAGCACATACTAGGTAAATAAGACGTAAAAGATACCTAATAGTAGACATTCCAAGACAATTATGGACCTATCAGTAGCAATTCTTGCATTAGGCTACTGTATCATGTATGCATAAACTTCCTATGTCAAAAATTGTACCACGTTTTATGCTCGTTATGATTTAGATTCCATCAGATCACTTCTCTCCTTGACTAGGCCGGACACCACCGTAGCGGTCTCGGTCCCTAGGTTCGCAAACCCTTTGACAACTCCCTCTCTATCTCCCAGCGACATTTCCTGACTCATCTTGAACTTGCCTTCCAATCGATCGAGCTGGATTTCAATGCCGATGATATTCGTCCGCAGCAACTCGATGAAGCGCTCTGGCGCATCGGAGACCTTCCACGATCCTTGCCTATCACCTTTCCCTGTGAAGCCCATTACGGAAGTCTCAGCATGCTCCGAAAGATCTGCTATCTGCTTCGATAGGAAAGCTATGCTCTCATCTGACTTGTGGTCCCAGTAGATCTTTGCGCGACCGTAGGCTTGCACTGCCGAGTAGTTCCAGGTTGGCACAACCTTACCCGTTGACGGCTTGGTTTCGGTGTAGAATTTAGGCGTGACGTAGTGCTGGTGAGACGGAGGCGTGAAGAGTACTAGAACTTCTTCTTCGAGGACATTGGGTGTAGAGGATTTACTCGCTTTGGCGGCTTCGATGAGAACTTTGCTCTGAGGATTCTGCCGCGCGATGTGACCACGGAGAACACCAAGTTCTTCGGTACTATCTTCGTCCTTCACATCGAGGACGAAAGGAATATGGCTCGATTGTATGAAGGGCGCAATGTCCGAACGAATAGCCGTTGTGAGGATGCCCAACGGGTTTTCGCGAACAAGTTTTCTCAACACTGGAATGGCTGGCTCTGCGTGATCGGGGCGAAGAAGCATCTTGAAGGCTATTATTGATATAAGACTTGGTATAGTAGTGACGATGGGAATAAGCAAGGGAATGTATTGTTGATTCTACTTTATATAACTTTGATAAACCCTACAAGAGCGTGACTCATTGGAGAAACTTAAGCGATGCCGGTAATTTGTCAGGAGAAGGGCGCATCTTGCCCGTTCGTACATAAATCCTCCTTCCTCTGTTGTTATGTTCCTACGAACTCTTCTAGACTGGTGTTGACGGTGAGGGTTACGGCTAACCTTGTCGAGAAAATGGAAATTTTTATAGCTCTCTAAGTAGCTGATTTCGAGATGTCTAGACATTAATTCTTATTTTATTATGTTTTCATTATCCGCGTCGCAGTTGCTTTTCCTATTCACGTTCTCTAGGAGACTTTAGCAGACTCCAGCTTCGCAATGTCTTTCCTTACTCATCGTACGATGCGGTGCGGGCACTTGATCCGCCTTTGCATCGTGATGGCACGTTTTCGTCCTTGGATGTGCTTATAATTGTGTTGTTATTATTGGACAGCTCCGACGGCCAGTGCCGGCGCAGCCGCAAAGAAGAACTGGCGGGGAAACCGAAGTTTACTATCTAGTATCCCCACGGGACAAGAAGACCAAGAAGCTTACTTAGGTAGTACACTTCTCCCGTGCCGAGGCCGAAGCCGAGCGATCTAGGCGAGTCTGTATGCAAGACCCTGATTTGGCTGTCAGATCATCCCTACTACTATGTAGATAGACTAGTGTATATACCACAGTGACTTATCTCCGTCGAATCTACACCGCAATCTTTAATGACAGGCTTCTTTATCAACCTAAATAATCACATTGGGCGCTGTCGATGAAGCTTCCGGTCCAAGAAATATTGGTGCCATTATAGCGAGTCAATTGTGGCCTTGCTTCTAACACGCCTATTAAACTACTAATACGCCTGTTACCGACACATAGCGGCCTATTACATGGTATAAATAAACCAAGGAGTTGATTGGCTTCATTCAATACTCAAAATCTTCACCCTAGATATAACAAGTCACACCGCACAAGCCGTGTCCCGGAATAGCTTTAATTGTGCAGTCAAAGTGATCAGCAATTCGCCTTCTGAGAAAGCGAGTATTCTCAATCCTTCACGTTCGCGTGCATCTCGTCAATGCTCTCTTAATCGCATTACTTACCCTATAATGTAGGGACTCCCGCCTTACGAGCTAAGCGATGTGGCTGATTGAGGGGTCGCGGGGTATAATTACATTTGATGACCAGAATACCGATCAGTAGTCCTGCTGCACATTTGTTGTCGTTATCAATCTTCCGATCCATCAAGGACCAGTATGCCTTAACTAGATAATAATTGCTAGCTGACGTGTGAATAGGCAGCAAGTATTATCTTACCAAAATCATTTACAGTGTGATCGGACGATACAGCGCAAGAGCACCTAAGTGTTGGCCGAACAAAAAAAGAAAAAAAAAAGAAAGCGCAGCCTTTGATGACGCCGCTGCAAACGAGCTTGTGACCTTCCTAATCCGTACACCCTCATCGTTACACTACTTGATCATTATCTTGCGGCGATGGCCGTAGCCTTCTATCACAGCCAATCTCATGCCCTACGAGAGACAGAAAAGATGCCCGGATGACGACATCGGCCCCAGCCTTGGCTAAACCCGGCGCTCCGGGAAACTCAGCGGGGATGTCACACCAAAAATGTAATCAAATCCCGATGTAAGGGCCATATGATAGACGCAGCCTTTGTCGTATTTAAATCCAACAACTCTTATGCTCAGATATGATCTGAATGGATGTATCTCTGTAATCAGAAGTTACACACCTTCCTTGCTCCTCTCTTCCTATACGATGAAGGTGTCGAAAGTCTTAGGCGCTGCCCTCATTGCGGCAAATTCCAACACTGTTCAGGCAGACCACCAAACGCGCGACATCCCACGTCAAGACGTCCGGTACGAAGCTCATTACTTCCAGCAGAAGATCAATCACTTCCCCGAGAACAAGCTGCCATATGCGCATCAAAATTTTACTCAACGATATTACTTTGATTCGTCCTACTACAAGCCCGGTACGCATTGTCCTACATATGGTCTTTCACAAAGTTACTAACAGAGAATAGGTGGACCAGTCTATCTTTACATCAGCGGAGAAACAAGTGGTGAGCTCATCCACCCTTGGCAATCAGGTTCATATGCTAACATAGACGGCTTGTAGGGCCCAGTAGATTCTCCAATCTCCAAACTGGAATTATCCAGATTCTTATGGAAGGTTGCTAAGCCCGTGGAGAGGAAGAAGATGAAGAAACAAGCACTTACTGACACAGAACAGCGACGAATGGCCTCGGCGTCATCCTAGAGAATCGTTACTACGGAGCAAGCTATCCATTCAACACCTCCACAACAGACCAGCTAGCTTTTCTCACCACTGCTCAAACTATTGCGGATAATAGCTACTTTGCACAGAATGCTGTATTCCCTGGAGTAGAAGGTGACTTGACAGCGCCGGGCACTCCTTGGATTCTGTATGGTGGCAGTCTCGCAGGAGCTCAGACAGCTTTCTCAATCAAACAATACGGCGACGTTTTATATGGAGGTATAGCATCGTCGGCCCCAATCCACGTTGTCGTCGGCTATCCTGAGTGGTATAACCCAATACAGAAATACGCGCCACAGGTGAGTAGGTGAACACTTTACTACAGGCTCCATTCCAAGCTCCGTGCTATGAGCATAGATTCAGTTTTTGTTGCGAGTCTATCTGATATGAGCCTCGTTAAGTAGGATTGCGTGAACCGTATAAATAATATAGTCGACAAATTTGACGCTCTTGTCAAAAAGAACAACAAGGTGGCCATTGAAAAATTCAAAGCATTGTTCGGCTTAGAAGTCCTGACCGACCACCGTGACTTTGCAGCAGCGATAGCTGACCCTATCGGAAACCCTGGTACTTACCTTTCTAATACTTGGCAGGAGTTGAACTGGAATTCTACCTACGGCTCTCGCGACTTTTTCTATTTCTGTGGTAATATAACGGACATCGACGCCCCTAAAGATATTTCCGACGTCGACCATTCTATGAGTATTTATACAGACGGTGAACCTTGGCCTGGCTTGGGAGGATACGCTGTGAGCATTCCCTTATTCTCACCCCTTAGATTCTGTGTCGCCCTGTGACAGGATGTCTAACGTCTGCCATGATAGAACTACATTAAACAACACACTCTTCCACTCTGTCGTTCTGGTAATTATAACAGTAACGATTGCTGGGTGAGTTGCCCATTACAGCCTGGGGAGTGACGGTCAAAAGCATGAAACCCAGTCTGACATCAGGATCAGGGAAGGCAAAATCGGAGTGCTTGGGCAGACATCACCAACAGCGCCAGTCGCTCCTATTTGTACACAAGCTGCACCGAGCAGGTATTGGGTCATCCATTTTCCTTTCTATACATTTCACTTCAAAATAGAATTCCGGCTGACCGTGGGCAACAGGGAGCATACATCGATGCGCCCAAAGAAGGACCGAGTTTATTATCCCGGGTTATTGATATTTCGTACGAGCAACAGTGGTGTACAGTAGGTTTATTCTTCTCTACTTTGACATGGCAATCTTAGAATCCAACGCGCAGTTTTGATTGCGACTCCCAGTATTGACATTGTAAACGCTACAGTGGGCCTTCCCAAAAGGCAAGTACAACAAGATTCCATCGAGCCCTGATGTCAATGCGTACAACAGCTTTGGCGACTTCAACTTCTCAGCCGACCGACTGGCATTCATAGACGGCGACCAGGATGTTTGGAATGGACTTTGCTACCACTCGCCTCTAGCTCCCTCGAGAAGGCAGACATCGGATTTGCACCCGGAACTCTTCATCACAGGTGCTGGTCACCACTGGGATTCATCGGGAATTTTGGACGTGCAAGCCGAACCCCAGTTCATCAGAGAAGCCCATCTTTGGGAGATTCGCACTGTCAAGAAATGGTTGCGGGAATTTGAGTCTTGGAAGTCATCGAAGTTATCTTCTGGTAGACGGTATGCACGAACTTTTTAGATTGGCCTCGAGCATCTTATAGAAACACTATTAGGCCATGCTTAGATGCGTAGTGTTATGAGTGCTCTTTGTATAGGTGAAATATCTGCAATGGGTATGTCTCTGATGTGATTATAGGCTTTGCATATAGATATCTCGTACATGCAAAGCCTGTGAGTAGTTATTTTGGTCATATAGAGGAATGATTCGCCATGTATTTTGAGCCTACTCAAGACGCACTTAATGGCTCACATACTGGCTCAAGGAGTTGATTACATGAAGGCTGGTAAAGCGTCGCAGTTCCGATATGTGCGAGCCTCCGATCGAAATAGAGATTTACCTAAAATCTGTGATCTTGTATAATATGAAAATGTACTTTATTGTATCTTGTTGTTGTCATCATCATTACCCCTTAATGACTCGATTTACTCCTGGAAGAACCTCTGGCTGTCGAACAGCTGATTGCCAGCCGCCAAATAGAAAATGACACCGAGAAAACAATCCTTGTAACTTTGTCAGTGCATCCAATGTTCAAAGTACCTATACCTACATTCATACCGGTCTCATAAATCGATTTTGATCAATAAGTAGGGGTGCTTCATATCATTCATAGTTCCCTGGCTCACTACATCTGTTTGAACAAAATGGCGCCGCCGCGATTGAAGTTGGCAAAGAAAAAGCAGAATGCGGCGGTTAGTGCATTTTCTTGGCATCATCACTGGGACAATCCCGGGACTTGATACTAACTGTATCTTATAGAAACTCGTTGACACAGATGACTATCTTCAGTCAGGTGACAGCCATGAGGAAGCCATGAGAAAACATCGGGTGGGCGATCCCGCCAAAGCCTTACGATTTGCCGACAGGGCCCTCGATGTTTACTCCCAGGGACTAGCCAAGTTCCCTCGCAGCTTCGACCTAGCCTATAACAAGGCACGGCTCGAACTCGAGAAGGCCACTGATCCTGTGCTTTCCGAGGCACTTGAGATGCCCATTATAGATGCGCTGCGACAAGCTCTTAGTTCTCACAACTACGCCCGGGACCTGGAGCCAACACATCCAGACACCCTGTTCAACATGGCCCAGGTGCTAACCAGCATGGCCGAAAGAATTGCCGAAGACGACGAATCTGATGACTCAGAAGCAATTCAGAACTTGGAAAAGGCGCTTGAGATTCAGAGCCATTGCTTCCAATTACAGCTAGCTGCTTTTGAGAAGAGCCGGCTAGAGCTCGAGCAAGCAATGCGTGAGACCGCACAACAGGAAATGTCGCCAATTGGAGGAGTAGAGGCAACTAGCTCGAACACTACTACGGAACCTCAGAATGTTAACCAGGAGGAACAATGGGTCAGCATAGAAGAGCCAATCACCGCAGTTACACTCCTTGAAACGATCATTGCTCAGATAGAGGCCCTGAGTGCGCTTTGCAGCATCTTGAGCTCTGATCAGACCGTCTCTTCCATGTCTGCCTTATCGTGGATCGATTCATACTCGACGAACCTACTTACGCAAACACTGCCAACCCTTCTCAGCGAAAACCAAGAGGCGCTAGAACCACGTTTACCCGACGTATTACTTCCAAGGGCTGTGTTCATGAGTAACTATCTTGAACTGTCGTTCAGAGTATCCGCAATCGACGTAGAGAAATATAGACAGGAGCTCGACGCTGCATTCATCCAACCCGGTCTTGATGGCGCCTCTGAAAATGTCCTCTTGGCTATTGCTAATGCTCTTCTATCGCTGAATAGCGCACTCGCTGATTCAAATTCCGAGGCCGAATCCCATGCAGCATTCAGATGGAAGATATTAATCGATGCGCAATCTCGCCTCTCATCCGTCGCTAGTATACCACACATCGATAAGCATACACTTGCTACAACACACTTGTTGAGGGGTGATATCTCCTTGTTCCTACAAATCCTAGCGTATCCTCCGGTTGCACACTCACAAGCGCAAACAACAACGCCGCAGCTTCTGAAACATGCAGAAGTCTACTACCGCAACGCAAGCAAGCTGCTTGGCTCGTTCGGCTCTTCCACGGAGGAAGAGAGGATCGCCTGTGAATTGAAAGGTGCCGTGGTGAATGTCTTGCAACAAGTCACTACGGATCAAGCCGCTGCTGGTAGTAGTTCTGGCCAAAGTAGCAGCGGCACGATTATCAATATGACGGCGTCTCCACATCAGATCGAGTCGGCGCTGGAGTCCATCCTAAGAGTCCGAGGGGAAGAATGGGTTAGAGACCACATCGAAGACATGGTTAGCGACGGCCTTGTATTACCTCAAGTTTTCTCGGCCATAATATAGAGCTCGAGTTCAGCCTCTCGCTGTAGAGCGCAAAGCCATCATTGAAAGCAGTAAAATGTCGTTCGCGCCTTATTAGACAAGATCGTAGACCGTGCGCTTGTGTAGATGCAGGAGACAGGGGCGATTGATTTAATAAGGAATACATGCCCTTTCTACCTCATGCGTTGCACCTACTACACATAGCTAAAACTTGCCTAGGTGCCTTGAAGGTGTGAGGAAAATCTCGTTGTCGAGGGTACTGCCTGATCAACGCTGTCATCTAGAGTGGACAAGCTCAATCCTTAACCTTAGTGTGGTCCCCGTATCCTATCTTTTCCTACTATGGCAGGTAGACATTAAATGCAGAGGAGGAAAAAAGGGCTCAATATTTAAAATACGCTCGAAATTTTCTTATTCAGAGCTATCCTTGGGAAATCAATCAAATAATCACAGGCGGTGACTAGGTGTGAGTCTTCAGTCTCAGGCTCAAAGAGAGGCTGTGCCAACTGAGCGTCACCACAGTTGGAGATATGCACTATTGACCTCTGATATCAACCACTCTCCAACTTATCGTAGTAGCTAGCTAGCAATAAGCATGTTTATATTCATTTTCTAGTGTCTCAGATGGTATTATTCGCATTCCTCATTTACATCATTAACTCTAATTACTCTCAAAAACCTGTAGGGTATCTCTGCTATCCAATAATAACTGTGCAACTCTCCTATCTCCTGCCGCCGCGAGCCTCCTTGTCTAGTGACGGGCGGAAGAGCTCGCCGTGGGGCTGTTCAGATCGGGTGGGTTGTGGGTGCTAGGGTGTTGACCGTTGATATCAACACTCTCGTGCTCTTGATGCGGCCCGGTTAGGTCGGGAGCATCGTGGTCGTGCGAGCGACGCCGGCCGTCGATGTCTCGATCGTCGGGCGCGACGTGACGGCCCGTGAGATCGACGGGGTCGCGGGTCGCTGGGCGGGCGCAGTTCAAGTCCAGGTCTGGCCGGGCTCCATTATTTGACTTGTGGTGCGAAGCTGTGAGAATGGCATATTAGTATTGTTATCACAGGTATAATGGCGAGATCTTCAAGGTATAGGTTGCTAGACTCACCATGCTTCTTCTCTTTGGCTTCGTCATGCTTAGCCCCATCGTGATGGTGATGGTGGACAGCGTCCTTGATCTTGTGAAGGATGTCCGACATGATGATCAGTTGATTGGTTGTAGATAGAATTTCAAGACGATGTTGCACTTGAAGTACTGTTTGTAGAGGTTGGTATGAATATTGACTCTTTGATTGAGTGACGAATGGCAATTGTGATGATGATTTATTTGGTGATCTGGTTCAATGGAGCGCGAACGTCCACCACCTTTATATAAATATTTACATGCTTAGCTCGTGACCAACATCTCATAGGGCTCAGTCAGCACCTTGCATCGCTTCATGACCGCATCCGGTAGCATCGAGCAAGAATCTGCACCATGGCATGAATGCAGGTTCGCGCCGCGTGTTAGCTCGCCATCGTCGTGCATTTGCTACCTATGACTTCATAGCCTAGATCTGGTGTCTACGTACTGTAGTACCGGTATTTGTCAAATGCCCTCTCTCCGAAGTGCCGCCCACCATGTCCCGCAAACAGTAAGCACATACAAAATGGCAGTGCTACTCTGTCAGATTAAGCACCCCTTGCTAGGTCTTGGTGACCAACTCGTACGCCAACTACAGGTTGACGGCCCCTCGTAGCAGCCCCCCAACAGATGTCTAGAATACCAATGCCAGGACGCTTTTGCTTACCAGGCACTCTTTGATCCTCCACGGTACCGAGTCGCATCGCTGGTCACCCTCGTCCACTGTCCGAGGACTTACTAGGTATGTAGCAGAGTCCGAGACTCCAGCCTGCCCTATCCAGGCAAGGGGAGAGTGGTAGAGGTGCTGAAAAATCCTATCAGTTCGCCTTTTGGAGTGAATTCCGAAGAGCGATACCTGCCTACTCCTTCGCGGCGCATACCGAAAAAAACGGCAGAGACTCGGCTTCTCTCAAACATGGTCGAATGTTCTGGCTGTTGCTGAGATGTCTCCTTCTAGCGTCATACGATCGATGGACTATGGCGAGGAAAAAAACAAATACACATGTCGGTTATCGCTCGATTTGCCAATTCGGGTCTCCATGGCGCCTCTAGGCCTCGCGTGACGTGATGTTCATAATTCCTTTCCGTTCTCATAATCGATTCCCCATGCTGCTGAGCTCGAGGCCTACCTACGTCACGTTTAGATAAGGCAGGCCTGCCAATTCTTGCAACTAAATGCAAATCACGCCTGCCACTTCACCATATTGGCCGTTTCGACGATAGACGACCATTGCTCAGTAGCCACTGCAAAGCACAAGGTCAGAAATGCGACATCTTTGCAATTCATCATCAATTACACACTGATGGCCCCATCAAAGAGTCTTGTCCCAATTAATATGATGACGCCTAAACAAGCTCTTACCCCCCGCTTGTTCGCTCTGCGCCCAGCCGGTTAGTTAACCGCGCGCCTCATATCTTGGCTACAATACCCCGGATTCTTGAACAGCAGTATTTGTCGGGATGATATCATCCGAGCATGGCGGGTCAAGTCGTCCATCGCCCGATTTCCTGGATCGGCATCAAATTTCCCGAAGACAAAGACTGAAGCCGTCAATCACACCAATTCCTAGAACTGGGTGTCGCTGTAACCGGCAAAATGCATCAATCTGGGCATTTCTCCAGAATGGCAATATAACCCTCTGGGTCCTTCCTTGGACAGCCGAATCAGATAAGTCTGGCGATTTGTTTGACAGCATTGCTTCTTCAAGATGCGCGGGTTAAAAAGCAAACTGTTAGCTTTAGCCGCCCTGCTGAAGGCATCTGTTGCGTTCCTCACCGCAACAGAAACAAGCAGCCAATTCCTGCTTCAGAATGACCGCCTAAAAGTAGCGGTAGACAAGAAAAATGGCCAGGTTGTGGACGTTGTTCTTGACAGAGAGGACTTGTTGGGCCCGGTTAGTGGTAATTCGGGCAAGGGGCCGTATGTCGATTGTTCTTGTATCCCGTCCGGGTTCTGGACCCCTGGCAGCACCGCGAAGTACAAGCTAATCAAAGGCACCGATTCGACCGGGACGCCCTACGGTGGTGTGAGGATGAGCGATACGTACGCCGCCACCAACCAGACTATCGAGCAATGGTGGTTCCTTAGAGAAGGCGAAACCGGCATACACCTCTTTACGCGGGTCACTTACTTCAACCGGGCAACCCCTTATTTGCGAGAGTTGGGCGAGCTGCGCACTTTGTTCCGACCCAACACTAAGCTATGGACGCACTTGTCTAGTGGCGATGACAACTATGCGCCAATCCCCTCCAAGGAGGCTTCTAGTAAACAGGTCGTTGTGCAAGACGCTGCATGGTACTTAGGGAAGACACCCCGGGATGCTTATGTCCAACAGTACTCTGATTACTTCACCAAATATTCCTTTTCCGAGCTCTGGCGTGATCACAAAGTTCACGGACAGTATTCGGACGGAACGACGAGCTCAGACGGGAATACTTATGGCGCATGGCTTGTCCATAATACACGTGAGACATACTACGGAGGACCCCTTCATTATGACCTTGTTGTTGATGGCATTGTGGTAAGTTCTCCCTAATGATGAATACTCTCCTCTATATTACATATTCAACCCCTTTCGGTCCAACATGATACGTGAATCTGTAACTGTATTTAAGCGAGTTACTAAGATTGCCTTTATAGTACAACTATCTAGTAAGCGGGCATTACGGCGCTCCTGTCCCGAATATCACCCACGGCTTTGATCGCACATGGGGGCCTCAATACTACCATTTCAACAAAGGGACTCCGAAGACTACCCTTGCCGAGCTGAGGGCAGACGCAGCACAATATGCGGACCCAAAGTGGAATGCTGACTTCTACGACAGCATCGCACAATACGTTCCAAACTACGCACCGAAATCGAAGCGTACCACTTTCAAAGCAATAATCAAGCTGCCGGATGGCGCCATACGGCCCATCGCCATCTTATCAGAAAATAAACAAGACTTCCAACTCAACGTCTTCAACCAAACCAGTCTGCAATACTGGGCCGACATAGACCGCACCACGGGTACAGTGGAAATTCCAATGGTGAAGACAGGCACCTATCGCCTCACCGTGTACGCAAACGGGATTTTCGGTTGGTTCATACAAGACGACGTCACCATTTCGACCAACGCACCAACATCATCATTCACCTGGGAGCCCGAGAGCGCGGGAGTCGAGATCTGGCGGATCGGGACACCAGACAAGTCCGCCGGCGAGTACAAGCACGGGCGCGCGCCGGACACAAGCAAGCCTCTCGCGCCCGCGCAATACCGCATCTACTGGGGGAAATGGGACTTCGCGGCGGACTTTCCCAAGGGCGTCCTGTACACAATCGGCTCCAGCACCGCGGACAAGGATCTCAACTACATCCACTGGTCCTGGTTCCCGGGCTACGCCAACTACGTGCGCCCGCAGCCCGTGTACGACAACGTGAACAACTGGACGGTGCGCTTCGAGCTATCCCCCGCGCAGCTCGCCGGGACGCGGACAGCGACGTTCACGGTGGAATTGGCGGGCGCGAAGACGGCCAATGGGAACAACAAGTGGGCGGACCTGCCGGACGAGCGGTACTCGAACCTCCCCTACACGGTCGCCGTCAACGGCGCCGACGTCGAGACGTGGATGATCCCCTCGTACCGCAGCGGGTCGTGCGGCGTGCGCGGCGGGATAGTCTGCCAGAACTTCGGGCACAAGTTCGTCTTTCCGACGACGCGTCTGAAGAAGGGCGTCAACGAGCTCGTGCTCAGTCTGCCGTATAATGCGACGAATACGGAGACTGCGGTCCTGCCTGGTGTGGTGTATGTGCAGTACGACGCGCTGAGATTCGAGCTCGGATAATTCTTTGTCGCGGGCTGCTCTCGTACTTACCTACGTATATCCAGCACCATGAAGGGAAAGGTAGGCTCTTACGTAGACGTAGGCTTAGGCCTTGAATATACGTAGTCATTTTATGATTGGATATTGTTTCTAAAGCCTTCAATTTCGGAGTGGATATATGCACTGCGCTGCTCTATTCCGGTTACATTGTGAGTGAGTAAGTAAGTAAGTACTCGTGACAAAGGCTAGAGCTTAGGTCATCAGATTGCTCAGAGCAAATGATCGTAGCCTATAATTTCTATTTAGAAAACACTAATACTGCAGAACGGTTTTTTTGATTAATAACGAGGTAGCCGTATAGTTAATCTTACACGAGTGTAAAAACCTGCGTGTTGTTGCGTCGCCTAAATCAAGATCATTCTTTTTTTTTGCTTGATTCCCGCTTCCCTACTTTTCTTGTAAGTCGAGGTAGACTTCGATGGGAGCAATCATAGATCAAGTGAATGAAGTAAAATATTGTACACCACAATTACCACGCTACCATTAGGGAGATTCTCGAGAGGATATCATGATATTATTTTAAGTATTCATCAATCCAGATACATCCCCACAGACACCGCGTTATGCCTGGAACAAAACATATGTTCCGGACATTAAATGTATATATACATCAAACGTGTGCGGTATCCGTCGCGTAGGGAACACTCTGCATGTATATATAGCAATATACAAAATGCTTGTGAAGTTTTCAATCCTTACTCCAGGAAGGCGCTCGAGATGCAGATAATATATGCAAATAGGAGGTTGTAAGAAATCCAATATCCAATGCTAGACAATCCTAGATCAAGTGTAGAACAAAACGCTATACATTTTCCGATTTCTTACGTCGAGGCTAACCACAGAAAAAAAGGATATCTTCAGAGGAAGCAAGCTATGGATTCACAAGACATCCATTATTCGGCACCAATGAGGTGTTTGGGTAGGAAAGCCCAGACGGTGCCTATGACGGAGAGTATAAAGGACAAAGACATAACAGACCAGCAGATAACGCGTTCCCTAGTGGTAATTTCATGGCCAAAAAGCTTGAGGTAGAATGCTAGCGGAAGTCTAATGGCCAATGGTTAAAAATACTGTTTGCTCAGATGGCTTGAAATGGTGAGCACTTACGTAACGCAGATGGTGAAGCATAGAGCACTTCCCATAAATGCCATAATAGAATCGAAGGCGGGGAAGAGAATGGCGATGCCCAGGAAGACTAGTAAGGTGACAATCCTAATCAAAACCTTTAGAAGCCCTCGAGATGTACTAGACAGACCGACCAGAGGTGATTCCTCTGCAACGACTTGTTGTCGAAGCCCGAATACCACCTCAGCGGTGGTAATGATTGGAGTTGCGTTGAGTGGAACTTTCGTAAGCGGTATTATGGCGATGAAGATGACAAGCAGCACATTGAGTACGTGTGGGTAGCCCGTAGCTTCGAGAATGTTGGCTGTGATCTCGTCACGTACACCGTCACCAAACATCAACAATCCTACAATAGCAATAGACGCATCCACGAACAACTGCCGTAATGTTAGCAAGAGAAATGCAATATCCAAACAGTATACCTACTGTAAATGACCAAGTGTAACCGAGTGCCTATTAGACCATTAGTTAAAGCCTAGGGTTTTGCAAAGGCGTTGACCTAGCTTACTCTCTTATACTTGTGCGGGTGACGCATATCTCGGTATATCTAGTACAATCCGAATCAGTGGAAGTTATAGTGAATGCGGTATTTTAACCTACATTAGGAAATACGCTGTGTCCACCCCATGGTGACATGAGCAAGCCGAAAGATAGCGGCAATGTTAACCAATTTGCCGGGAAAAGATATGTCACGGCCGGCTCAATAAGCGAACCTGGGGTTGTCTGTTTGAGTAGACCGTCAAGGATAACGATAATGCCAACTATCCTGTTTTAGTATATAACTCTTGCCTGAGATGTCCTAGATATGGGATTTAACTTACTGCCTAGACAACAGAAGATACCAACGAAACTAGTAACACTAAGCAGGGAAAGAGGAGCGAATTGAAGGGGTATCAGAATCAGCGTGCAAACAACTTTGAATTCCGTTGTCGTTAACGACCCAGGAAACAATAGAGCTAAGCTGTCGGCAAAGAGCACGATAAGCGCAACGCAGGCAGCTAATAGTTCGAGCGTGAAAAGTACGGCAGTAGCAACGCGGGCCTTCCTACCGAACGAGATGAAAGCAATATCTGAAAATGTGATGATCGTAGAGTCGAGGTCCATGCATTTGGACAGAAGCCCTGCTGTCCAGCTCGTAACCCCAGCACAAAGACACAAGGCAATAAGGCCGACAACCCAACCGGCATATTTCAGTCCCATGGGTAAACTGAGAAGCCCAACCCCGATCAAAACGCTGCAAGTCGTTAGAATCAAGAATGCTAGGTTACACCAGGGTCACCTACTTCGTGGAATTGACAACTGTCTGTGGCAGAGTTGACTGGCCCGAGACAGCCAAAACAATATTGCCATCCTGTTCTACCTCTTTCACTAATATGGGGGGCCTTTCGCCGTCCGGCACGTTGGCACCCGACTGGTGTTGTTGCCGCCATAGCTCTGCAGCTTCTCTCATGGAAGCACTGTTTTATACGCTCACGTTAGTAATCAGGTGCCAAGTAATGTAGGATTTCATCCCAAGTCTCTCCAGGATGCAAGAGCAATAGGGTCTAAAGCCTGCGAAAGGGAAATGAGAATAAATATGGGGTACTAACTGGCTCGCTTCCGATTCAAGATCCCCAACTATGCCATAGCTTCGAACTGACCCATAGCTACCAAATATTTCAGGCGCCGAGAGCAGTGGAGGCGTAGAGAAAAGCGAGTTGCTACGTACAGAGCCTGAGGGTGACACCACTCTTTGTAGATCGCTCCCGAGGCGCTTTCTCTCACCCGATCGACTCTCGATTGGTGTTAAGGTTGGGCTGTAGGGGCTGGCGTCTTCTTGATCCGTGTCAGCGATCGCGTTGTCGGAAGATGTCGCACTGAGTTGCTGGCGGAGAAGAGACTGCGCTGGTAAGGCTTCGACGTCGGCGTTCTGCAATGGTTCTTGGCCCGGCGCGAATACAAAGGATGGTCGTTGGGGAATGATTTCAGGGAAAGCTGCGGCTCGTTGGAAACTTCGACCAAAGGACCTGATGCTGTTGACCCCTCCGATATCCGTAATAGCGGCCAGGGTGTTCGTCACGGACGATCTGAGAAAATCTCGAGTTAGCCACTAGCATAACCATTGACGGTAGTAGGGCAGTGCTAGTAGAGTTTACCTTCGTCGCCTGAGTTGGGGAAATTGACCATTTCGTTGGTGGGATTCATGATCACCAAGTAGAGGCTCATCCTCAAAGGCAATGTTCTGAGAACCAGTAGATATTGCGCTGGTGCTTCGACCGCCTGGCGATGCTCCTCGCACGTTGTCGGCCCACGCCGCAGGCGATCTCGAAGACATGGCGGATAGATAGATGTTCTACCTATATACAACGGAAACTCAAGACAAATAAGCAGACGAAGAATTAGAAGCGTACTTGAGCTTCAGGAGCAGGACGAGACGACGCCGAGTTGTCGTCGGCTACTTGATGCGTTGACGACTCTGGAGAGCAGAGGCTGCGTGCCGTGCCGTGCCGTATCGTATCGTATCGTCGATACATGTATTTACTTACCTAGTTCGTGCACGTAAAGTCAAGCGGCAACGGTGGGGCTCCGAGATAATGAGCCTAGTTTTCTGCTCTAGTGATGCCGCCTAGATCCTTGCGCAGCCAAGGAGTTGCTCTTATCTTTCGGCCCTAGGCAATGATGGAAATGATCACCATGCTAACGATTGAGAGAAGAGCCGCGAGACTTCGTACTTTCCTTGGCGTATGATGTCGGGTGAGTGGTGATAGGAGATGGACGTGGGTGGGAGCAGACAGAGTAGGTAGGTCTAGGTAGGTAGAGAGATAGTAGTAGTAACAAGCATCGTATCACCAGACCTGTTTCACCAACAAGGAAGGAAAAGGAACAAGTACCGAAGCAATCTAGTCGCCCTTCTCCTCCTCTTCATCCCGTCACGTGTGCATCGTGTGTGTGCATCATGTGTGTGTACACCACCTCCTATGTAGGGAAACAATTTGCAGAGCCTACACCCTCGACACCATACTACGCCTGAATGTAGCTATCTCCACGGCGGGAAGAGGAGATGGTGCAGCAGAGAAGGGCCAAGTATGACGTCTCTGAGCATCGAGACCGTCGAGACCATCGAGAGCTCGGTGGTGGGGTAAGTGGAGGCTTCTACATTTGTGTGGTTGGCCAATTGAAGCCTAGGTCCAACATTCTACCTCTTGCGCTTTAACTCGCTTCTCATCGCTTCACATCGGCTCATTCAAAGCTTGACATGTCATCTTGGCGTAATCATGTGAAGAAAAAAAATGACAATGAGAATTTTGATTATCATGCTTCCTTGTTATATTGTCACTCTTTCCTAGTTTGTTTTCTTTTGGGTAGAAAAAAAGGTGCTAAAACTTGAGCCTCCGCTCTCTCCCTCACACCCAGGAAAAGTTGGGAGGTCCACGATATGTGGTTCTCGAGCTTCGAATTCTGAGCCTTTATCAGTGGTGTTTAAACTCTGGCGGTTGTTTGTTCAAGAAGGCGCTTGTTCCTTCCTTGAAGTCATCGAGAGAGAAAGTCATGTAGTAGAGCTGCTTCTCAATGGCCATGCCAGCCTCCAAGTGATTGTTCTCGGCTGTAGAATAGCTTGGTCAGCTTGACTGAGGCCTGTCTTGGGGGGATCGCGTAAATCTATGCAATTAGAGCAACTTACCCGCTAATACGGCTTGTTTTGCCATGTTGATGACTGGTCGAGAATACGCAGCAATCCGAGCCGCCAGTCTCTTGGCTTCAAGCACTACGTCCTCATTCGCACCGAAAGCTCTACTAACAAGGCCTCGCTGTGCAAGTTCTTGGCCGCTAATCGTCTGGCGCGAGAGGATGAGCTCCATTGCCTATCAAGTCTTATGTCAGCTAGATATAGGCTTTCATGTTGTGGCTGTAGTCAATAGTTCACCTTATACTTGCCCAGGGCTCTCACGAGTCTCTGTGTTCCGCCCGCACCTGGAATCGTACCAATGCTGACCTCAGGCAAGCCGAAGGTAGCATCTTCCGCTGCGTAGATGATATCGCACTGTATTTCAAAAATTTAGGACTCCACGGGAAGCTGGCAGCCTGAGCGGACCCAATACTTACGGAGAGCGCGACTTCAAATCCTCCACCAAGCTATGTTGAACATGTTAATAAAGGCTTTCAGACAGGGTATCCCTCTTTACAAATAAGGGAGGAATAAACAAGGAGCGAGTAAGAGCAGAAACTCACAGCTAGGCCCTCGACAGCTGCAATGATCGGTTTCGAGAACCGCTCAAATGCTCCGTTCAAATCGGAGAGGAATCGTCTCTCGTGTGCCTCGCCAGTTGTCAGTTGGGTTAGCTCGCTGATGTCAACACCAGCTGGTGAGACATGGTCAGTATGGCTTTAACTAATTGATACCATGTCGCAACTGACCAGAAAAGGCACCCTTCTTGGTGCCCATCAAAACGACAGCCCTCACGTTTCCATCTTGATCAAGTTGGTCCAGAACAGAGATTAGGTGATCCATCATCGCCTGTGTCAACGCATTGCGCTTCGCAGGGCGGCTGAGCTGTACAACGGCAACTGCTTCAGTACGGTCTATACCAACCCGCACATCATTGCTTCCAGTCGATGGGTCCTTTTGGCTCACAGCCAAAGACCACTGATCAAACCCTTCAAAGTCTGGTAGGGACATGGTCTCTGATACGGCTACACTTGAGGGGCGTAATAACGATGGCGCGCTATTGGAAGAGGTGGTCGCAGGACAGCTGTTTTTCGTGGGTGTTCACTTTCTGTCCTTGATTTTGATGATGAGTAGCACGCTCCGACGAAGCGCCGTGATACTCAGCGAAGAAAACTGATTTAGCTCCCGGAACTGACACAAGAAGCTTCTGGATTGATTGTCTGTGTTTCATCTATCTACGATGATATGACTATAGATAGATCATCTACGTGCGAAGTGACGTGGACGGGATTATGACACTCGGGTATTCGTACTACTCGGAATCTCCGCATAATTCCATATCCTATTATAGACGTAATGGACGTAGGTACTTGCTTAGATACACATCATGTGTAAGCATGCTCAGCCCTCTTCCCTGCGCTTCTTTGCCGCCTTCCCCGATCGGGAGGGTCGACGGTTATTGGCTTGTGTTACATTGCTGACACTGGGGTCGTGGGAGTGTTCAATCATGAATCTACAAATCTTGGCCCATGAGATAGATGTACATGTACTGTAAGTAAGAAAGAGGGGAATGAGCGGGGGACTCAGAAAAAGCTCATTGGGAGGGCGGCGACTGACAGCTCGTTGTCTCAATAAGCTTCAATTTCCATTAGACCCCTGGCCCTGTTAGCATTATGCAGGACGTTGTTTGCGTTCCAAGTTGAGCAATGGCTTTTTCTAGAAGGCGAAGCATCAGGAAGTATATTGAATTGAACGAGTGTCTTATAATCTAGTAAGCAATGTTGATAACCTAATGCCAACATAAAGGGCTCTATATTCGTAACACAATACGACATCGCCATCCCCGAACTTGGCGGTTCTGCAGTCTCCATCTAGAATTTCTACTACCTAGTGACCCTACAGGTTCATGTATGTAGCGTAGGTAACAAACACAAAACACACGAAGTAATGATGTGCCAGCGTGGCCAGTTGTAGTGATTCGCTTTTTTCCCTGTTACCACCTCGCTCAATGTGGCCTACATACAGCTGCAACATTGCATTCAGGAATGTCACCCATCAATGTGGCATGTGAAAGGGGACCGTGCCTTGACACTACTACCTACTATAATGTCGTGCAGATACTAGAAACCATATGAGATCACCGTCCACGTGGGATATGTCAACAGCGTAGCAAGCGGCGCTACGTAGCACAAGTACACGAACGCCATCAACATGCAGATCATACTAAGGGGGGTGTGATTAAGGTTCCTGCGCGTGTCTTGAATTTCGGCCGAACCACTAGTGTAGTATTGGAATACCTAGAACACCTCCTATCCCGCTGACTAGCACTTCGGTGATGGATTGTCCAAAGACAGAATGTGAATCTGTTATAGTTTGAATTGAAAAACTCCCCGTATAAGTGCCGTCGGTAGGTTGCTATCGTAATGCCACTTATAGGAGTATTCCCTACTCTATGGGGCAGTAGAGACGCCAGGGAAACAGTCGAAGGCTTCTATGTTTGTAAAATACTAGTTAGGTGGGTCGAACGTGACTAGAACTTAGTCATTGTATCACCAAAGGGCCTAGTGAGAGTTTGTTTCTCCAGTCCCTTGTTTCTCTTTATCCCACACGCAGAACGAATATGAACAACACGTTTGGTACACGGGGGAGTTGTTTCACCAAACATGCTCAAACAGCCAAGGGTTCGAAGGTTTAACGATCCTGCCGGGGCTAGATGTGTTTACTGTTTTTGCTTGGACCTGCTTGGACTTACCCTAATATCCATGGATGTGTTCTGGTAGTTCTATCCATAGCATAGCGTACTATGGGCTTCGCATAGCGTGATTTGAGAACCCAGTACCCACGCGTCTTCGTCTGGGCGCGCTCTGCAGTAGATATGCACAGACCTTTCGATCTTTGATAGTGTTCCATGGATACAAGCGCAGCTGACTCAGGTAGGCATCTTGTTTACTCGGCTTCTTCCGGTCATACAGTACTCACAAGGAGGTGCAAATAGGATATCGGAGCCAATCCCCCCGTGGCCTATCGTCGGCAGGGATAGGCGCGGGAATACATACCCCAGTCCTGCCCAACCTGGTACGAGCGTTCGGCCGCCGAATTCCTCAATTACCTAAAATCGACTCCCTGCCGTTGCCGCTCCACATAAGAGCCACCATGATTATGACCGATGCTGCGTTAGTTGCGCCAGGACAGCAACTAGGGTCCTGGCCAAGAAGCTGGGGTCGGTAATGGCATATCTGGGCAGATCTGGGCAACTATTACTACGTACTATTACATAAGTAGCATTGCAGGGAACCGGCCGTACGATGATTTATTTGAATTCCACATGCTGTACCTGATGAGTGTCTACACGTCGCGTAACGGAAATACTGAACATCCTGCACATTCAAGGATGGTTATCCTGATCAGGCAATTTCTGGATTGGGCCGAAACTGACGTCGTACTAATCCCGAAAGCTGTCAGAATGTAGGTACAGAGCGTCAATCATTGTTGCATGCAGCAATGGTGCCAACCTCCTAGCGCTGCCGTCACACCTGCTGCGACTCGCTCGCGTACGTTGGGCAGCCCTATCGCGGTCCGTGTTCAACAAGCTATGTATCATCGGTTGTGATTAGCTAACAGTAAGGTTCTGTAAATAGCAGGCCGAGAAATCTTCAGCTGCTATGCAAGAGCTGTGAAGCTGACGAATACGGTTGTATTGCTCATACCGTACAAGTAGGATCGGTCTCACGTACGCTCACAGTTACTGTTTGTATAGAACGCTTTCGTAACACCATCGAGATCGTTTCTCGTTTAGCAACGTTTCTGGTTTACATTGTATGTCTCGCCTGCCAAGGCAAACACCCACTTACACATTGTACTTGGCTATCGCGGCTGTACAACTAGTTAGTTACCCACTGATCTGATTTCCATTCTAGTGTTGACGGGGTATCAATCCCTGCCCATTCCCATTTAGTTAGCAGCGGAGTGTTATAATTTAGTCAGGTGGTATTTTGAAACACTTTGGTATCCCCATAGCACTACGCTCCGGTGCTAAGGCTTCATCTCGCTGGATCCTGACCGGGTCACTCGATTTACTAAGTAGAAGGTGGACCATGGCTGAGCACTGGAACCAGCAAGTAAAATTTTCCAACTCAACTGTGTTGTAGTTCCAGCATCAGCAACATGGCAGACGATGACAATAGCATTACAAACATCGTAGTAATCGTCATTTTGACAGATTTCCTGGCCATTGAACGGCTTCAACATTCCGTCCACCAGCTTAGGTATAGAGCTTGTAAGTCCTGCAGACAACGGGTACCCTTGAAATCTTATGATACCTTGTCAAAATCACACCTCAGTAGATAAGGTAGATTACTTCACTCCTAATATTCTGTTAGGGAAGTACTTGACTAGAACTGAGTGCAAGGTATGTCCTAGGGTCATTTGTTAGAGGAGAACGATGTAAATCATGCTAACTCCAGAGATGCTACCGGGGGGTTCTAACATCGAATTGAGCCTTATTCTATGTACTTTGCGGCTCTTTTGATACCCGATCTGGTAGGTAGCATCGAGCTACGGTACCAAAATAATCGACAGCAATAACGTCAAGGTGCTTGAAATTGTCAGCATTTCGAAGGCCACCGCCCCATTTATGGGTATTGATGTACATCAAGATATCTAAAATCAGTTTGGTGCTGAGAGAGATACTTCCTCCGTCCACATTCGGCGACCAAATTCTTAAAAATACGGAAATGGCGCCAAGCTGATGGTAAGAGATCCGATTGCAGGCGTAGAAGAAGGCACACCCATTGGATGTCATCAATCCGCGTGCCATCCCCGAATGGCCAGAACTAGTAAAGAAGTGGTAGCCAAGTGGCGAAGTAAGCCATGTGCTGATGTACTTACTCCCTTGGAGTAACAAGAAAGGAGGCTTTGTGATACCCATCGCGCACGGTATGCTAGGCTAGATGGCAAGTTCCATGAACCCCGCAATATATGGTGTTTACTTCTATAGAATCAATGTTAGCTTCTGTCATTCTATATAAGGCATGCCATTTCAGGATTAGAATCGTCGAAAGGATAGGGGCGATTTCCTTCAACTCACCAACCATTGCAACCCCTTTTCGTGGCTTTCTCAACATGCCGTTCTATTCCATCGATAACTTATCTCTGGAGAACCAACGGCTCTTTGAGCAATTTGGCAGAGGACCTCATGTCAATATACCTTTTGATCTCGTCCACAGCGCCTTCGAGAATGTTGTCGATGCTCATCCCCACGTAACAGCAGCTCGCCATCACGACGGGACAACAATTACGTACCAGGAACTAGATAAGCGAGCCAATATACTGAGCAACAGGTTGATACAGCGCGGTCTTCGACCAAACGACCGGGTTTGCATCGTCGTATCTCGATCGATTGAATTTCTTGTGGGTATTTTTGCTGTTCTGAAGGCGGGTGCACAATATGTACCGCTAGATGGGGGCATTGTCGCCGACGCCGCGTTAGATCATATTTTCAACGATACCGGCGCTCGAGTTGTACTATGCCTCGGCAAATTCCGCTCAAAGGTCGAGCCACATGCTCGAAAGATAAAATCGGAAATTGTAGAGCTTGATGGGCAAGACCATTCAATCAACAATGACGCGCGTCCCAATGTTCCAATGAACTCCAGCTTTGGTTCATACATGATCTATACGTCCGGCACCACTGGTAAGCCAAAAGGCGTCGACGCAAGGCATCGGAATGTGACGAACAACCTCTTGGTTGAACCGGCGAGTTTGAAGATTACCGTTGGCAAGAACGTGGCCCAGCTTTTGAATATTTCGTTTGACATGGGTGCGTTGATCTATACAGATTTCATTCATGGAATATTCCGCTAATCCCGTCACAGCACAGTGGGAGATTCTCGCCACCCTCATGAACGGCGGGACATTGCATATTCGTAATGGAGACTGGCCCGACGTACTTCGACGCGTTGATACAGTGATCGCCACGCCGACTATTCTAGGGAAATTTGCACAAGCTGACTTTCCCAATATCAAGACAGTCGTGGTGGGCGGTGAGCCATGCCCTCTGCCTCTAGCTGAAGAGTGGTCTCCCTTTGTCAACTTCTGGAATATCTGTGGCCCTACCGAGATCACCATCTTGAACACTGCACACTTGCATAAGCCTGGAGAATTGCTGACTATTGGGAAACCACTTCCAAATACCACACTATATGTCTTAGACGATGATGAGAACCCTGTAGCTATTGGAGAACCTGGCGTAATGTGGGCAGGCGGAGCATGTGTTTCGGCGGGATATGTCAACCTGCCGGAGCTGACGGCAGCAAGATTCAAATCAGATAAATTCATGCGGGATGGGTAAGTTAATGCGCAATCCTCCTTCGAAATTTGTATCAAGTGTCTCTAATAGGAGTTTTAGCACGTTAATGTTCAACACTGGAGATCTCGGCCGTTGGACAGAAGATGGTAAACTTATACCACTTGGCAGGAAGGATGACCAGGTTAAATTCAAGGTAAGCTTCAGATTGAAGGCTTCAGGAATAAATAGACTAACCGTGACATAGGGATTTCGTGTTGAGCTCGACGGTGTTTCCGCCGCAGTAGAGAGCGTGCCCTCTGTGACGAAGGCCTGTGCCTTAGTGGTGCATGATAAGCTTTGGGCATTTTATTCAGGGCCCAACCGCCTCGACCATGAAGAGATGAGTCGAATTGTTGGCGTGACATTGCCATACTATTCTGTACCAACAGAGTGGCTGTATCTTTCTTCCATTCCCCTGACTGTCAATGGGAAATTTGACAAGCGGAAACTTAGGGAAATGGCTGAGGAGGTTCACAAGAAGCCACGAGAAGCTGCAAGCAGTGAAAGCCTAGGAAGTACCGCTGTCTCCACTGAAGCAGGAACAGAGAGCGAGACTACCCCGTCCACAAGTACTCTCGATCTCGAGAAGGGGGTCGCGAAGAGTGAACAGGACAGTTCCCACGAGGACTTGAAAGAAGACATCCATTACGATCTCCCCGATAAAAACGGGTTTCATGGGCAGAGATGGCTCCGGCATCGATTCTTTTCCCTATATCGAAGATTTTTCTCAGTTGTCTTCTTTGCAAACCTTCTCGCGTTTGCTCTCGTTTGGTGGAAGTCGTGGGATAGCGGCAGCCTGCCGCTTTCTCAGCTCCCCACAGCTATTGCGGTCAATTTACTAGTGGCCGTGGCTATGCGGCAAGATCATGTTATCAACTTTCTGTTTTGGTTGGCAACACGTGTGCCAACCTGGATGCCACTTGCTATTAGACGTCAATGGTAAGTAATTCCTAAAGTGCTGCCTTTTTATAGGGGAGAATGAATTGCCGCTGAGCGGAACAATCGTCCTCCCCAGAATACCCAAATGCCCAAATAGGTTGCAAGATTATATACCATTACAGAATGGCATTTACTAACCTCAAGTAATTTAGTGCTCGGGTATATCATATTGGCGGCATCCATTCTGGTGCTGCAGTTTCAGCCGTGCTTTGGTGGCTCGTTTTCACCATTGGTGCGACCTTCAATTTTGCAAGAGGTAATAAGGAGGTACACATCGATGTTGGCACCGTGGTTATCAGTTATCTGGTCCTCACCCTTCTCCTGGCCATTGTTGGGATGGCTCACCCTGATGTCCGCGCTAAAATGCATGACCAGTTCGAGTGGACACACCGTTTTGCTGGTTGGACTGCCACAGCACTTGTCTGGGCACATTTAGTAGTAGCATCCAATTCACTGAAACCAAGGACAGAATCGCTTGCACATGCTCTAGCTCGCACGCCGGCAGTTTACCTATTGGCGCTCATCACATTAAGCATCGCGCTGCCGTGGCTCAGGCTCAGACGTGTCGCAGTTCGACCGGAATATCTATCGAAGCATGCGGTCCGATTGCATTTTGACTTCGAGACGCCGATTGCAGGCAAAGCGATCCGGATAACCGACAAGCCGATGCGTGAGTGGCATGCCTTTGCCACCATTGACAAGCCAGACCAGAAGGGCTTCTCGATCGTCGTGTCAAACGCAGGTGACTGGACACGAAAGACCATCGATGGGCAACCACAAAGACTCTGGACGCGCGGGGCCCTTGCGTCGGGGGTTTTGACCATTGCACCGCTGTTTAAAAAGGTCGTTCTAGTAGCTACAGGATCTGGAATCGGGCCGTGTTTGCCTGTGATTCTCGAGGGGCGAGTACCGGCTCGAGTCCTATGGTCTACGCCTCATCCCCGCGAAACATTTGGCGAAGAGATTATAAACGATGTGTTGCGAGCAGATCCAAAAGCCATTATTTGGAACACTCGAACTCAGGGAAAACCTGACCTGACCGCTCTCGCGTACCAACTCATGAAAGAGAGCGATGCCGAGGCGGTATGTATCATCTCGAACAAAAAAGTGACACAACAAGTGGTTTACCGGCTCGAGGCTCGAGGCATCCCGGCATTCGGGGCGATTTTCGATTCCTAATGAAACCGCGGTGCTGGACAGTGCACAGGAGGCACAGTCTATTGCTCTAGGCAGTGGTTGGAAAAGGATATAAAACGGGTCTGATTGTCGAGATATCTGTGTATATAAATTTGAGGCGTTGGTACATTGGGCATTTTCAAGCTTACCATAATCTATTTTCTTTGTATCCAAAATACTGCCTTTTCTTCACTCATTGCCCAGCCTTTCGCCACAACCCGCTGGACGATGAAGCCTTTGGCAGAATTCTATCTAACAACTGCTGTATACCCGGCTACCTGGCCACTCTACCTTCTGGGTGGCATCAACAGCATGCTTAATTAAATTCGACAGACTTCTGTTAGATTCTCACATTGTCAGCGCACGTGCAAGAGCATGAGGCTGTCGTCGTCACCACTGTGGAAGGCGCAAGGTGGCCAATAGCAATGATGCAAGCTGCCTACCTAGGTACTTACATATGTACTTCGTAGGTAGGTAATACACTTCATTTACCTCCAAGATAAGATAGCTGCCACTAAATCCGAATCTCTCCATTCCAAGTGGCCATGTAAGGTACCAAGGTACGTACAATTAGTTGATGGAGATATTCATCCAATCACAGCCCGCTTGCGTACGAGACTGTCTGCCTATCTGCTGAATTGTTACTAATTGTTACTACTACGGTACTACCTAGGCTCGCTAGGTAGGTAGCTAAACACGGGATACACCTGGTAGGTTAGGCTGGTAGGCGCCTAACATGCCGGCTATTTATCTTACCAGGTAGGCCTACAGCGCACTGAACAGCCCTATATCGGTCAGCAACAGTTCGCTCCACAGGGCAATCTGGCATTACTTAACTCAACAGGCGGGTGGAAAGCTTTGGAAGGTGGCGGCCAGCATTGAGAACACCGATAAGTGGGTCCCCGTGGTCCGAGCTCCCCAGCCCAGACCCAGGCTCTCCGTCATCAAGCTCGCTGGCCAAACACCTCGCAGCGTGACCGCAGCACTACGAAAAGCAACCATCCAAGCCTTCTACCTCACAATCTCTCCTCCCACCTCCCAAATTCTCCCGTTCTATATTCTATCGTGGAATCCGCCGGGAACCAACCCATCTCCTCATCTCTGTTAGGTAGATAGCTTCACTGGTGTCAAAAGCTGTCTGTCTGTCTGTTTGTCCCCCGCCGCTGCGCACTCACTCTTGACCCCATCCCTAGCTTCCTGCCTCCATTCGCACATTCGACCCTACATACCTCTCTATCGACCCGCCAGACACCATGGCATCTGAGCCCGAGCACAAGAAGAAGGTCAACTTGGCGTAAGTTCTATACAGATTCGCCCTCGCTTGTATTGCCTATTGACATGTGCTAACTACGGCAACAGCGATGTATCTGGTGCTGAACCCAAAGACGTACGACTCTGTTTGGCCATGGTTTCATATTCAGGCTGCTGACTCCATTGCAGGAAAATGACACATCTACGGCTATTCTAAAGAAGAAGAAGAAGCCCAACCAGCTCATGTAGGCTGCATTCCGCTTTAACACCATTCAGGCCGAAAACTATACTAACTTTCAGGTGCAGGGTCACTGATGCTATCAATGATGACAACTCTATCATTGCGCTTTCTAACAACACCATGGAGCAGCTCCAGCTATTCCGTGGTGACACAGTCCTTGTTCGAGGCAAAAAAAGGAAGGATACTGTTCTGATTGTTCTCGCCGATGACGATCTTGATGATGGCAGTGCCCGAATCAACCGAGTTGTCCGACACAATCTCCGCGTAAAGCACGGTGACATGATCACCATCCACCCTTGTCCTGATATCAAATATGTAAGCTTCATGATTGATTTTCTTGCATTTACAAAGCGGTGCTGACTCGCAATAGGCCAAGCGAATCGCTGTCCTTCCCATCGCAGATACCGTTGAGGGCATAACTGGCTCACTGTTCGACGTTTTCCTCGCTCCATACTTCCGAGAAGCCTACCGTCCCGTTCGCCAGGGCGATCTATTCATTGTTCGTGGCGGTATGCGGCAGGTGGAGTTTAAGGTCGTTGAGGTCGACCCGCCCGAGTATGGCATTGTTGCTCAAGATACTGTCATTCACTGTGAGGGCGAGCCGATCCAGCGTGAGGAAGAGGAGAACAACCTTAACGAAGTCGGCTATGATGACATTGGTGGTTGCCGGAAACAAATGGCTCAGATTCGAGAGATGGTTGAGTTGCCTTTACGTCATCCTCAGTTGTTCAAATCCATTGGTATCAAGCCGCCGCGAGGTGTTCTGCTCTACGGTCCCCCAGGTACCGGTAAGACGCTTATGGCGCGAGCAGTTGCCAATGAAACTGGTGCCTTTTTCTTCCTGATCAATGGACCCGAGATCATGTCCAAAATGGCGGGTGAATCCGAGTCCAATTTAAGAAAGGCATTCGAGGAAGCCGAGAAGAATTCGCCTGCTATTATCTTCATCGATGAGATTGATTCTATCGCTCCGAAGCGTGAAAAGACTAATGGCGAGGTAGAGCGTCGTGTTGTTTCCCAGCTTTTAACCCTCATGGATGGCATGAAGGCTCGTTCCAATGTTGTGGTTATGGCCGCCACCAACCGGCCCAATTCTATTGATCCTGCTTTACGTCGTTTCGGTCGTTTCGACCGAGAAGTTGACATTGGCATCCCCGACCCAACAGGACGTCTTGAAATTCTCCAGATTCATACCAAGAACATGAAACTTGGCGATGACGTGGATCTTGAACAAATCGCCGCCGAGACACACGGTTATGTTGGTTCAGATGTTGCTGCGCTTTGCTCTGAGGCTGCCATGCAGCAGATTCGAGAAAAGATGGACCTTATTGACCTTGATGAAGATACTATTGATGCTGAGGTCTTAGACTCACTCGGTGTCACCATGGAGAACTTCAGGTTTGCCCTTGGTGTCTCTAACCCATCAGCCCTGCGCGAGGTTGCTGTTGTCGAGGTGCCAAACGTCCGTTGGGAAGATATCGGAGGGTTGGAAGGCGTCAAACAGGATCTCAAGGAAAGTGTGCAATATCCTGTCGACCACCCCGAGAAGTTCCTCAAGTTCGGTCTTTCGCCTTCACGTGGTGTCCTCTTCTATGGCCCTCCCGGTACGGGTAAGACGATGTTGGCTAAGGCTGTTGCCAATGAATGTGCCGCAAATTTCATCTCTGTCAAGGGTCCGGAATTGCTCAGCATGTGGTTCGGTGAGTCTGAGAGCAACATTCGAGACATTTTTGACAAGGCTCGAGCTGCTGCGCCTTGCGTTGTCTTCTTGGATGAGTTGGATTCAATCGCAAAGGCTCGTGGCGGATCTGTTGGTGATGCTGGTGGCGCTTCCGACCGTGTTGTCAACCAACTTCTCACGGGTAAGTCCTAGATATCTAAGTATATATGATTCGGATGCTGACGTACTATTAGAAATGGACGGTATGACTTCGAAGAAGAACGTCTTCGTTATTGGTGCGACCAACAGACCTGAACAGCTGGATCCCGCTCTGTGCCGTCCCGGACGTTTAGATTCCCTCATCTACGTGCCTCTTCCCGATGAGCCCGGTCGTCTCGGCATTCTCAAGGCTCAGCTCCGCAAAACGCCTGTTGCTGCCGATGTTGACCTGAACTACATTGCTTCCAAGACCCACGGCTTCTCCGGTGCCGATCTTGGTTTCATTACTCAGCGGGCAGTCAAGATTGCTATCAAAGAGTCCATCACCTTGGATATTGAGCGTCAACGTGCGCGCGAGGCCGAAGGAGCTGGAGACATGGACGTTGATGACGAGGAGGACCCAGTACCTGAACTTACCAAGCGTCACTTCGAGGAGGCGATGCAGATGGCCCGCAGATCCGTCAATGACGTCGAAATTCGTCGGTATGAGGCCTTTGCACAGCAGATGAAGAACGCGGGTCCTGGTGCTTTCTTTAAATTCCCGGGAAGCGATGGGGCCGCAAACACTGGAGGCGACAGCAACAATTTCGGTCAAGCCGGCGATGATGATGGTCTATACGACTAATCGTAGCGATGCACCTATCTCTCTGTGGTGTATAGGGCGCCACACTTGTACTTTAATCTCGTTGCATGCCATTCACATATAAATAGTGCGATTTGCCGAGGCTGTCTCTGCCACGGAGACAAACAAAACGCTAGCCCAGGCTCTCTGATCGCGCTTAACGATAACATCAGGAAAATCGGTTGCTGATAGATTATGGCTCTCGTTCTAGAGAGGGACAAGCACTGATAGTCGCGATCTATTACTAATAAAGAGGCGACTCTTTTTATACAGTATCAAGACGAGATGGCAAGCTTCTAATGAATTAGTTCACGTTTCTGAACCTGGGATGACGTTAGATGATAGGTTTATGATAGATTTGATCAATTGACGTTTGATATGCTCCGAAACATTTAGCGACGGTTTGACTGTGACTGCAACTATCGTAATTTCAGACATATCGTATTAATCTGAAGGGAGACAGACTCTTTTCTAGACCGACTCAGATTTTTGGCCCAGGCAGCAAGGGATAGTTATGAAGGCAAAATCGCTAGAAGGCCCACTTCAAAATATATTCACGCCATGCGTTCTGGAAATTTCAACCTATTCCGAGCCTGTCATTGACTGATTGATGATCATGTGCTGGCACGTTCCTCGGAAGTATGTCAAAACCTTGCTGAACCCTATGCAACAGAACTTGGAGCATAGTTGGAATAAGATAGGTACATCGGGGTTTAGAGGCTTGAGTTGGAGACTGAAGTCTTTCGCCGTTTTGTTACCGGGTATTTATATTGTAGGTATATAGATGGGTGCCCGCAGGGTAAGAGGTGAAAGGACGCGTTCATCTCTCTTCGCTCCCCTTCGACAGCGCATATAATTCATTGACTTTCACTAGAGATAGGGGACTGAGGGTCATGTACTGGTGATAATAGCAAGTTTCTTGCTCTATGGTATGCAGGTGTATGTTCTCCGTCAACCGAACTTCTCTGCTCGGTTCAGGTCTTGGATTGATGCCGTCTGGATGACGAATAGGTAGGTAAGTAAGTAAGTAGGTAAATGAAAGAAGATGTGCCAAGTAGTACAGTATGACTTCCTTTCCCCTTTGTTTCGCTTACTCTGGGTAGGGTGGTGAGAGTTATACACTTCGTCGTTACATCTAGATATGCATCTAACGTCGCATGGAACGTTGATGAGTTCGCCCCAGGGTCATGAAGGCAAGCTGCTTTAGTTTGGGAAATATTAAATCAATGTTTATGTTAGGTTAGCCACCGGCCGATCCGTCATTTTCTATCTCACACACGGCCTCTAGACTCTCCTTGACCACCTTTAGCACCGCCTCTACCACCGCTGTTGGTATTGCCAAGTTGGTGGCGCCGTCTGCGCCCGCCGAGGTGCCGTTAACACCACCGGCCGTCCTGCTAGCACCATTCACCGCTGCCGCGCCGTTCACACCGTCTTTAGCGGGATTGGAGTCGTTGTTCGCGTGTGTTGATGGCGAGGAGTTGTTCGCTGTGGTGGATGAAGCCAGCGCCGCGGTCGCCGCTGCTGTGTCTCGTCGCACGTCCTCGAGCACCCTCCGCATGAGGGCCGGGAATGTGCTGACCTCGCCTGATCGCAGCAACGCCAGCGCGTGTGATTGTATGGCTGAGGGCCAGTTCGAGTTATGCGCGTCGAGGGAGTGAAGGAAGCGTTCTTGGATTCTACGTTACGGAGCGTTCTTGTTAGCTTTCTGTTTAGCCGGAATTGAGTATGAGCACCTGTCAACTGCCGCCGAGTTGGACGGAGACAATACACTCTGCGATGAGCAAGGCATGATGAATGACACCATTATGCAGAACAGAAAAAGACACGTACTTGGCTGCGTGACCTTCTCGTAATAACTGGCTGTTTATCTGTGACCTCAAGTCGGCATCTTGTGTGGCTGGTGTATAAGTCGTTGCTGCTGCGGGCACTTTGGCCGGTGTTGATGGCGGATGAGACATAATTGTTTATGATGTGTAGTGGTTTGTTGAGCGGTCGAGCGGTTGATCTAGGAATGGAACAAAGAACGGCCCCCAAGTAGCATTCGGGGCAAAATATCTACTGCCAGAGTTGTTTGTCGCTACCAGTCAAAAGAACGGATGTCTGGAATTCGAGGCGCGGTTTAGCTGAACTCGTCTAGACTCGTCCAGGCTAGGCTCTCATGGGGGACCCTGATGACGCCAGACTGGTCCCAACGGTTTATTCGTGAAGGAAAGAGCGCATAATCTTCCCTAACGAAAGATTTCGGGGATCGCAATTGGATGAGAGTCCCTTGATGGTCTAAGTGAGATTTACGTCGGCACAGTAGAGCAATTGAATTTGTAAGATTCTCTTGGACGACGCAGTGGTATTGTAGACGCGAGGCTGAGATTCGTCCAGAAAGTTTGGCCAGCGGCAAGGCTGAAAGGGCAAGTGGGGCATTTGCAAGTGCTATTGATAGACGCTAAGGAGGGGTCTATTACGAATGCGCCTAGCGCCATACGTCCCCGTACATAGTACACCCACCTATCAGCACGCCTATCTGTACGTAGTCCATGTATGCGCGTTTCAAAACGGTTCTCCAAACGGAGTGGTGTTTGATAAACGGTTTACACCACAAGTCCCGTCCCTCTGAAATAACATTGATCGCAACAACATACTATTCAGCTATAAGTACTATATCGTTATTGTGTTTATATGAAAGCATTCAATGGAAACTTATCAATGATCTCAACGGCCATCAAGATATCTCATATAAGCGCATATCGCCTCGTCCTAGGGGAAGACTTGGAATCACGCAGTATCATAAAAGACTGAAATGGGGGAACGAGGTCCCCTTGCCGGGCTACGAGTACATGGTTATTTATCTATGATTCAATTATTACATTGCCTGTGTATGTCTCACAGCCTGCTATGCTAGCTAGGGGCAAAGTCGTAGCGTAATTTGCAAAGATGTCCAGTTTTGAGTGTATCGGAAAGCTTGTTTTCCACTCTTTCATTTCCCAAGTATCCAAATCGACCATCACAGAAATATGGACGAATCATCGCCATCTCTTTATGAAGGCTGCAAGTCTTCCAAGCCCCCAAACACAGGCGTGTTTGAATATTCGGCCCAGAAGACTGGGCTCGCTTCTGATATCTGAAGATTCTTTCTAGGCAGTGTACCGCCTCCCGGGATGTGGTAATATCAAGTTTACTTGGACTCATTCACCAGTGACAGTAATTATCTACTGCCTAAGAACCTAGGCAGCTCCGTCAGTAATATTCTAAAACTCGTTGGTTCCCAGAGCTACGAGGACTCCTTTGACCCCTTTAAAGACGATATTACGAAGCTTCTTTCGCGACAAATCTAAGAGCCCGATGCTGTTCGTTTGCGCTCCGACTTGTCCGCCACCCTTACCATTTATTAACAGAGCAATAGCTTCCTCCAAGCAAACAAGCTAGACGGTAACCTTTTTAACATCGAGCCTTTCAAGTGCGCAGTTGTTATTAGTATTGCCATCAACCTTGTGCATCGTTTTACCGCCCTTTTTGTTCTCTATATGCCTGACATAGCAAACTTTATCAATGAGCAGTTCCGCATGGATCCACTCCCAATCCCGAATTGTCGGAGCGTGAATCCTACCAAGCCTGGTTATAGAATTGGCAAAGTAGAGCACTTGGTCCTGCCTATGAAGCAGAAGACGGCGCAAGGCTTCGGCGCCGACAACTCTAAAAAGACCAAGCTGTTTCAAAGATAAGAAGGCGTCGCTAAGAGTCGCACAGGTGGTAAATGTTGAATCCAGGAAGTATGTAGGTAAGTGGCCGTGACAGACATCGAAGGACGTGCGAAAATGCGGGTATCAATAATGCTAAGCCTGCTAATCTTGGCCGAGCGACTTCCTAGGAAGTCGCTCGCAGGCAATAAAAAAGTCTAGCTGGGCAGTAGATGAATATCTTCCGTTTATTACTGTTTAGGATATTGCAAAGAACGTACATATAATCAATGACGCCGACTCATGGGTTCGTCTTGGGGTTAGGCTCAGGCTAACAGTAGCTTCAATGGCATCCCCTTGAGATGAACGTCATATTAAGAGCCGTAGGTCTTTGTTCCAGCAATTCAGTTTCTATATATGAGATAAATAGGCTATCGTTAGTGACCCGAGTTTCATCTAGCTAATGATCGAGATTGAGAATACCAATGCTTCCTAATCAGCTCAATGAAAGCGTGCAAAATTGTCTCGGCAGGTCTACAGATCAATTGTATTCGTGTAGGTATATGAAGTGTAGTGCTTCTCTGGAATACCTACCCCAAAAAACCCCCCATGAGGTAGACTAAGTGCTAGGTTACCTACCTACCTACCTAAATATATCTAAAGGCGGGGAAAGCCATGGCGCTTGAAGTGGGGCGCCTCGACTTTGCGGACTTACCCTAAAGATACCCCTATTCATGATAAGATCTGTGATGGTATCAGAAGCACCTCATAATAATCTGATTAGCACATGATGAGCCATACTTAGATGGCTATCTAAGTAAATGGGCTGTCGGAGTAAAGATAGACTCGATGTCTTGCCCTCAGAAATCCGGTATTGCCTAGGTGTGATAAGAGACAAGCAACTCAGCTACCCCAAGTGAGTAAGGTAGTTATTTCGTCGGCCTTCAGGTCCCGGCAGTCATCTCTTGGGTCTTCTCTCGTGTGATTTCCGAAGAACCAAGGAAATTCCTCGACCATTCAAATTCCCAAATAGATAGTAAGTTTGCTTTTTCAGCAATACCTGAAGCCATAATCGATTAACCTACCTACCTACCCCTTTTCAACAACCACCGATGCGAAGCGTAAGACGTAGCCGATTGATAATCACAAGTCATCTGACGTGAGCGCCCTCGACCTTGCTCGCCGGCTTTTCCCCCTCAACTATCATGCACGCCATAGGAACGCGTGCATGATAACCATCTCACGCCGGCATATCCGCTGCGAAAGGAGATTATTTGGTGGAGATGATGGGGGCCCCAGCATACATACTATAATTTGCGCTTGCGCCGTCTGTCTGTCTTCTAGAAGCGCAGAATTGAGTCATTAGCAGGCGCCGTCGCCTTCCTTGCGATATGCTCAAGGCTTCATCACGTCGCGTGATTGTCCTGGTTTTGGTCTTTTCTGACAAGATGGCGGTGACTATCGTCTTGTCTGCTCGCGTCTGGAACATAATTCCCGCTGCTCGCGAAACACTGATTGGTCTGTTCAGAGTGGACAGCTGTGCCGCCTGCATCATGTATCTCCGTTTCCTTTATTCCGAATGGCCAACTGGAGAATCTGACAGCATATTTTTTTCTATGATCTCCCCGTCAGACCGCCTTCGACCTTTTTTTTTTTTTTTATTCTTTTTTCTCATTTGACGCGAGAAAATGACCGCGTTATCAAAACCACTCGGGCCTGGCCGACAGCCGCTTTAGAGCTGGCGGTTAACCCTGGCTATTTGTTGCGAAGCCGCGGTTGGCGCCGTAACATGGCAGAGGTAGCTCGCAGCGGCCTGTAACGCTCGCGTAGTGCTGCCAATAATCTCAGGGGTCGATCATGGACCATATTTGCCAATCGAAAGCACTATAGAGCGAGTTGGACCGCATTCCGCGCAACAATACCTGGAATCGAAGCATGAGCCGTCTTATACTTGGCTGCTCAATACGGTGGACTCAGGTGACAAGTCTCGGAGTAATGGATGTGCATTGGAGGCAAATGATACAGAGTTCCTTCTATCGACACTCATAGGGTGCCATTTCCCAGCGGGGATAATACGAGCAGATGTCGTAATGTGCAGTGCACCGGGTTCGGGCTGGTTGTACCTGTTGGCCAAATCGCATAGGTTATCTCTGTGACCGGTCAGACACGTATGGCGGTATCAGTTTATGATTGCGACAGATGGAGCTGCCTTATAAGACCGAATGAGCAGTGGACTCGGTTGTATGATCCTCGCAAACTGTTGTTGTATTTGGACGTTGCGACTCCGTGATACGGCATAACGGCGTCACGTACCACCGACTCTTTGCACCACTCGTATTTCCAGGGGATTGGTACAAACCCTTGACTCAGCAGGGTGGTCTCCCGTGGCGAATGAAGGTCTGTCAAGCGGTCGCAGACCAGTTTGCCGCCCCTCACGCTGGATGAGATTAGGTTACAGGAGAATCGGTAGAGTGACTGGGCTAGTCGGGTAGAGGCATACTACTGACCTTGTCCCGTAGGAAGAGCACAAGTTGGCTATCCAAGCGATTTGCCCGTCTTACCATGCATTAGCCTACAAGCTACACTGGATTTCTGGATAACTCAAAGCCCGATCGGGGCAGTACAAGGGCGCTGGCCCCGACCTCGATCGCAGTGGCTGCCACTTGCTGGCGCGTACAACAGGCTCCTAAGCTAATCACCGCGTGCTACATCGATCTAGGGTAGCAGTTGGTAGATGATATGGTGGGATGGGCACACCAAGTCTTGCTAGTGAGGGTACCGTACTACTGCATGGACTCTGCAGCAAGGGTAGCACTTGGGTCGTCCAGAGGAGGGTCGAGAGGAGAGGCTGGCGATGTCTGTCTGGGCTTGCAGTCCACTATGTAGGCAGGTAGGTAAGCAGGAGATTCTGCATTGCAGTAGCTCCCGGCTCGCCGGGTGTTGGGAAGGCCGCTGGGTGTCTACTGCAACCCGCTTAAAGAGGAAGTAGCAGAAGACCTACATAGTAGAGGATGGGGGTACACGTGTGGGGTGCCATATACAGCGCTCAGATGTATATACTTATTGCCTCGAGGCACGTGTTTTTATTCTCCGTCTCTGGTGGGTTCAGTCCTCTGCGATGTGGTCGACGGCATCTGGTCGGCTTGTTGCGGGGGCGATAGCTGCAGTGCCCGTCCCTTGAGGATGAGTTGGTGGTCTACTATGCAAACTAAGTATGCAGGAGTAGATGGACAGCCAGCGCGCGGTGCCAACTAGACGGTGCCAGCTCGATGGATGCGAGGCATCTCAGTGGGTGGGCGTCGGGTCTTCAGTTCAGTTCAGTTCGGATATTCGTCTGCAACACGTTCCTGCACGTTCTGCGTGCGCCATGGTCGCCAACAGCGTCATCCGCATTTATTCCTTGACCTGCCTAGGTATATGCCTCTCTCCTCCGACGGTTTGATACACACTCGGCCGGGACCAGAAAATGCTGTGGCACGCTATGCTGACGTCTTGGGTTCTTAGCTTCACGCCTGTGGCTGCTGATTGGGTCTCCCGCACAACAAACGAAATGCGTTATGTAATTGGAAACGCTTCCCTATACCTCGTAGCACAAGAGAGTCTACCTAGGTAGCTCCCAACACTTGCCGAGTTGAGGAATTACTGTACGGAGTAGAGAAGTGCGAATAGGTATACCACGGCTTCGCGCGTCAGGTTGTGAACTGCCCGGTTTGTCCGGGGAAAGGTAGCCGCCAAGGGTTTAGCTGGTTCGGCTTTTTCTTTTTACGAGGAACGCCCTGCTTTAAAACCATTATAGGTCCTGTATCGTTCTGCTCTGAATTAGATGGCGAATAGATATAGGAATCAAATATGCTTCCGTTTTGCCTTGAGAAATTGGGGCTAACCATAGAATGGCAGCTCCTTTTACAGTCTCATGCGGAACCGCCACTTGATGCTAACAGCCATATCCTTACTATACTAACCGATCTCACTAGAACTGCTCTCGAATTTCTGTAACTGCCACTATCCTTGCGCTTTCTAGATACCTAGATTAATCATGTGAGATAGCCAAGCTGTTAAGTCTTGAAGGATTCTGTATTGTTGCTCATTGGCCGGCTATACTTGGTGGTACTGCTGTATGGTTATAGGGCGGGGATAGGTAGTCGTAAGGCAAGGCTGTGGTAGATTTGCGCCTAGACGCATCTAAACGGGGTTCAATTGGCTGTTTCCACTATCCATTGGCCAGTTTGTGGAATTTTCGTTAGCATCCGTTGCCGGAGCACTAAAATAGTCATAGTAGCCTTCGACCTGATTGATGGATCTGAGTCAGAATACGTTCTGAATGCCGGTCATGCATATTGAGGCACCTCAGCGCTCATCAATTTCTTCTTTCTTATTTATTTCATTTTCGCGGCAGTTGTGGTGCGATTTTCACACAAAGACGTCTGATTCGCCTTTCTGAAATAGGCCGGTTGACTAGCGCAATCCATTTCTTACTCATCGAGCGCGTTATCCCTCGATTGCCACCGAGCGGGTTACCACAACACCCAACACCCAACCCCCAATTGCCCAATAAGGGTAGGAAATGGGCCATGCAACAAGATAAAGGGTAAAGTAGTGGAGATAAAAAGATGTTTGCATTAGCGAGAGGCCAAAGACAGATTTCAGTCCCCGTGGCCAATGATGGGGGCCTTCACTTGACATGTAAGCGAGGGCAATTGATATCACAACGGCTATTTTCGGGCCTGATGCCAACATACATTCGTTTTACATTTCGAGACTTGTTCAACAAACATGGAATGCGTGTACTTCGCAGTGCATGTGAACACTGGTACCAACCATGCATTAACGGCCTGTTTGTTGGGTATACTTGAACCTGTCCACCGGCGACAGGTCACCTTTTGACTGGGCGGTCGACGGGTTTGCTCTTGCATACAAACTTTCAACCGGTGGAAGCTTCAACTCAGCTTGAAAACTCCCTGATCAAGCCCTAGCGGAGTGTTGATACGACAATTCACACGAATAAAGGGCCGAGAGCAAGCCCCTAGCCCCAATCTTTTATGATGGCGACCGACGGGTGACGTGGACACGATGACAACGTGGACAGGCGGTCGAGTTGTGAGATACAATAAATGATAACTCACATCCGTGCCTGAAGGCAACCTAATCCTACGATACCTGACTGTCGGAACGGTTACGAAGACGTCTTTTTGTGTTGTCTCCCAGGTAACTGGGCGTTAGACTGAGTCAGCCTTACAAGACTGGTCAGCGAGAACGCTCTCCATGCTCTGAGACAACATAGATTCATGCAGGCACGTCTGACATGAGCATCGCCGCGACGCACAGGACACACGCGTCCGTTGGACCGCAGCTGCATGACATGATCTGTAACAGATCCGAATTCAGAAGCCTCCTCTGAAATGGCGTTGGAGCAATCCATAGGAACCCAGTCGTGATAAGGGGCACCCCGTAAGAGGATAACAATAGTACATCCGCCTCGTGCCGGGCTTTTCGGGCGAACCTACTTACTTCAGAAAGTATTGTAGTGCAGGTAACATAAGACGAAACACGGAAACATAAAAAACGTCAACCCTATCACAATTGTTCCTCGTCCTCTCTCGCCCGTGCTGCACTACCGTACAGGTATCAGCTTACACTGCCTATCGATGTCTCCAGTCAAAAGCAGCTCCAAACTGCATACGTACCCAATGGCTGTTACCTGTCGTCACGAGCGTTATTCAGAGCAACAGAGGGGTATTATTTGACCCGTGGTTAGTCGGCACTTCAACCAAAGAAAAGAGGGCGCCATGTCATCAATTCAGGCTAGAGTTGAGTCTGTGCTGCACCCAAGATTTGGCGAATATGTACGACATGGTCGTGTACGGTACTTGGTGCCCATGTTGCTGTGGAAGAAGCCGAATGGTCGTCCCGTCCCGAGGGCTAAGCACGTTCATCTGTTAGCATAGAGTAGCACTCGCTAACCAGACTTCGTGGATGTTATTGCTAGTAGAAGACAACTGCATACCTAGGTACTGTTACAGGGCTACCTATATCCAAACCTATTATTTACCCTATGCGTACGTGTAGGGGTGGTTTAGGTCCAAGCTTTGATCCCCGCTACAAGAGACTTACTCGATGTAATCCACTCTTTCTGACCGATTACCTATTCTGCGCAAGTGAGTTCTCAAAGCGGTAATCGGTCAGGGTGGCCAAGGAAAGCCGGCAGAGTACGACGGTTTTCGGGACGGAACAGCGAAACATTGTCAAGGTTCGATGTGACCCCGCCGAAAGTTCGGCATTACCGGGCGAGCAGCGCGGGTCATAGCTTTGGACAAAGTACCTAAAAATCATGTTATTCAAATGGGTTCTCAATGGCATACCTATTGCAGGTTCCTTTCATGGGTGAGGCTGGCAATGGAGACACTCGAAGAGCATCTTGAAAAGCCACCTCTGCTAACGCAATCTTTTGCGGATCCTTTTGGATCCCAAAGATAGCCAAGCGAGCTCGAGCTCGGCCTGACTGGATCGAATTAGTAGACTCGGCAGCTCCACACCCGGCGGTTTAACCAATTTGAGGAGCACTGATAGGTTTCGCTGTCCTGGAAATGGAGCAGAACAAACTGATGATTATCTTGTTGTTGGGCAATAAATGAAACAGCGTAGTTCTCGCTATGGGATACGGGCAAAAGAAAGACATGAAAGGGGGAGAAAGGCTAGATTTAGTGCCCGAGTTCGGATTCACGAGCTAGGACATAGTTGACGCCAGTGCTATTGAAGCTACGAAGGGGCGGTAAACTGTCGAGACGATGAGCTGGCAGGCTATTATGAGAATAGATCACATTAGCCCCTTATGGGAAGCTGTAAGGATACACTTGTCCATGACAGCATGAACAGCGATAGTGAAGAGTAGAGAGTAGCCGTCTCGTTTGGGATACTCACGCTCTGGCGGAGGGTCTTGGAGCCACTGCTTATTGTGAAGGTTCGAGATAACAGGGCCACGACAGACCCGTGAGGCTGGTTCCAAGTGACGACGAGGATCTCGCCGGGAAATGCTAGCTATCAAAAGAGCCCCAGTCGAGCTGAACGAAATATGTCTAGCGTAAAGAGCTAAGAAGAATAAGAAGAGGTCATGGCGTATTTGCACACGACACAATTTCGACATGTAAGCGGGAGCTTGGAGTATCCAGGTACCTCGTACCTACCAATGCAGCAACGAAGACAGAGGGCGTTCTTACTTAGGGTCGCACAGCACAACGGCAACGGTAGACCCAACGGTGCAAAACCCCCGAAGACGCCCGGCAGATCGGGAATTTGGGGGTGGGAATGGGGAAGATTTTGGGGGGGAGGGAGACGGGGGGAGAGGGGCAGGGACAGGGGAGAAGGCCTACTACTAGGACGGCTACCTATTACCTGCCTACACCTACCTACCTACATAGGTACCTACTTGCTTACTCGGTAATACACCTACCACACGCAGCCACACAGCATGGAGAGTTGCGACTGCCAGTTACACTACTTAGTAGTACGACGCTGCCCTGTGCAACGTGCTCTGAGTGGTATACCTACCAGGTACCTACACGACATGCTATTGGAGGCGCCTGATAGTAGTACCCAGGTATGTAGTTCATATATATCAAGTATTTACTTCAACTTGTGCGCATTTGCCTCACTCAACCAGTACGATGTACGATGTAAGTTATCTATCCCTGATGGCTTGGCCCCGATGCCGCTTACTTAAGAACCTTGGAAAGTCTTCAAGTACTCCCTGGAGACAATATAGTGAAGCAATGACACGCGGCCACGATCGAATGACTGTTTGAGATCATGCAAAGTCGCCGATTACCTGCACAACTTTACGATTACAGTATGCGCCTTGGTATGGACTAGGTAGTAGCATACTTACTTCACCATACTACTACCTATGTAAGTATGTGCACGATGCAGCCTGGGAAGAATCGCGAGCGCCAAGCTTCTCGGTTAGGTATATTTCTGTCTTGAATGCATTGGGTTGTCTGCCCTCAGGCTGTTGGGCCCAATCATCTGAAGCCTGTCTTATTAAAACCATATCAATCTGCCTGGGTTCAGTATAGCATGGATACCTAATTGTCAGATGTGCTCGGTTAAGATACTGTACTAACTACCTACCTATCTAGACTGTACTTCGAGGTCTATAGATGCCCTGCACCATCTGTCATATACTACATCTATAAGTAGGCAAGTATACTTGATAGATTGATATCATCCTGGCTGAACTCAGACCTAGATTAATATCCAACTCTTTGGGTTTCCTCCCACCCCTCCAAGTTAGAACAACGGTAAGAGTACATCTACCGATTCGATTCTCCGTAGCTACCTTGGGTCTCTACAGGCTCTGGGAACACATGTGTAACCCTATCCATCAAGTCACTTACACACATACACCTATAGACCTATGAAGTATGAGATGTACAATACTACCTATGCAGTTTCAAGTGGCAGCATACATCGTAACATCTACCTCCAGAAAGGTGTCACTCGTGCTGAGACATAGACACCTACCTAAAGTAGGTTAGGCATGCCGTAGGTGTACCATTTAGCTCTTATGGTTGACTTAAGTCTACCTACCTCATCTATTGCCGCATCTATTGCCGCAGCCCGCGCTCCTTGTCTACCTCTTTCTGCTCTTTCTAACTCCACCTCCCTTTTGCACTTTGAGGACCATGTAAGTACGCTGAGTGCCTAGTTAGGTATGTATGTAAGCCAAATAGGCAGTTACGCTATTTTACCTATTTTTACCTGCCCACCTCTCAGATGGACCGGCTTCGACCGCCACGATGCGACAGCCCGGTACCCGGGTCTTGGGCTACCACTAGGGTTGATAGATGAACTGACAGGTCATATTTTCTGAGCATGATCCAACGCCTCAGATCGATCGAAACATTTTTTGATTACAACAACGGGGGGTGGCCATAACCGACTACGCACACGTCCCTTGTCCTTTCATCTTGGATCTTGGGGTTGCGGCTAATAACATAACGACTTCTTCCCACTTACACTGCACTTGCACTACATTCCCAACCTTCCTGGTATACCCTGTATACCAAGTAGAGGTGCGGTAGGTATATGTAAACCTATAGCAAACGCCGCTCGCCTTTTTCAAACAACCCTGGTCTTCTTTTATATATCTCACACATCCAGAACATCCACTTGCCTCCAAGTAGACACGGATGATTCAGGACAGCAACCCGGCCCGCCAGACGACTTGCAAGACATGACAAAACTACCTACCTACGTACAATGCAATCATCAGGGTGCGCTTCCGTTATTCCTTGTCCTGGCTACCTGACTCCCTGTATTCCGACCCCACCTCCTTCCTTGGACGCACACAATCCCTCTTCCCGGAGGGCCGCTGGAGCAGACGCAAACGTCGCCGGGCCAGATGGGAAACCAGACACCAGACACCTGGCTCCCCTGTCCAAAAGCCTGGACGGCCGTACAAAATAGGTAGTGCTACCGGTAAGTAAACACATCGGTGCTTATGCTTCCTCCTGGCTATGCATGCATGCCGCATCAATCACAAGGACCAAGGACCGCCGATATTCCCCTTCCCTCTGAAGACAAGCCACTAGTTACCCCGAAGCAGGCGGTGTGGAAAGGCTGCGAGCCGTTTGGCTCATGGCCGACCCTTCTGCATACCACTGGAACCAGACCCGTTCCTCCATGTTTCTCACGTCGTCCCGTCTCGTCTTTTTTTCCTGTCCTTTCCAAAAGTCTCGTCGTCTCCATGTCCGTGTAAGTAAGTAAGTACCTGCCTACTTACAGGAGCAGAGCCAGGTAGGTATCTACTACTAGGTAATGTAGGTAGGCTCTACACTCGAGCCGGCAGGGCTTGTGTTGCAGGTAGTTGCGACATCAACCCATACACGTACGTCGTCCCGTTGTCTTGGCCTGGATGGGCATGTGCGTTGCATCCCTCTCAAGGCTGTTTCTCTGTGTGTGTGCGTGTATGTGTGTGTGTGTATCTCTGTCTGTGTCTGCGTCTGTATCCATGTGCTTGCAACATGAGGTACATCACGATGCCATTGTTCCCCGGCTCAGTACCTCTTCTTCTATAAAAACGTCTACCTATCCATTGTGCCCCCGTGGCTCTGCGTGCTGTCATTGTCGTTGGCGTATGAGGTCAGCTTCTCTTTGTAAACCAGCATTTAGGCAGTTGCTGGTCGATCGCAGGGAAAAATAAAAAATAAAAATAATAAAGGGAGAAAGAAAGGGGTCCAAGGAGCGAAAAACGGATAGGAAATTAGTCGAACATGACGACGATGGCCTCAAGTATATGAATCTCTGCCTACCCGTTTATCGGTACACACTACATTGCACTACATTACCTCAGTCTCTCTCTACCTATGCCACCTACATACCTACACTAACTACATTCTATACTACGTACACTATGCTTGTCAAAGCTGTCTGTGACCTGTTACCCAATCTGCATGGCTTGCTACCGTCCAATTTCACGCCACCATACACGGCACAAGGTCATATTTCTGCTCTCCGGGTTGAGTCTGATGAATACGTATTCTAGTCTCCCGTGAGGTTGACCAGGTCATACGTGCCATGCTAGGTAGATGCAATTTGTATATTCCATCTTCTTCTCCTTCGTCCACACACCACACTACCACTGTTCCTCTCTTGACCACCAGCAGTGAAGCAAGTATTGACGGCCCGGATTCCTCGAGTCTGCCATTACTACCTAATATCTCTCTGTGCCTTCTTCCTTGTCGTTACAGCTTGGCCCTTCTTCTACTTATTCTTCATCCTCAGCTTCAACCCTTCGACTTTATTTCTTCTATTCTTCTATTCTTCTATCCTCCAAGTCTTCTTCACGTCTACAGACTTATCGCCCCCAGTGCCCGCGCCTACATAACCTGGGTTGTTTCTCACGACACCATCATACCTTGTTTCCTCATCGCTCTCCCAGTGCACTACGCCAGGGCCATTGACTCGGCACGCTTCCACAGAACGTACTCCGGCAATCCAAGAACGCCACCCGAGAGTTTGTCGGTCTGTGTTCGGCCCCTCTGCCTCTGAGTTGGGCCAGTTCGATTACTTATCTAGGTATCTCTGTCGAGCAAGCAGACAATCAGGCAAGCAGAGAAGAAGCAAACAAGCAGCCTCGAAAAGTGGTATGCCACCTGACGTCTGTTATTCCTCCACACCCACATCCGCACCTACCACACCACAAACAACTACCACACATACTTAGACACTCACATACACATACACATACACATACCTATACATATACATATCTACTACATAGCTACATAGTTGCACGCTCTTCTCTTACACGCTCACTTACTACTCACTCACTCAACTCTCTCATACAAACTCATCCGCCGTGCCTAATATCTACACACACATACACATACACATACACACACACTCTCTCTCTCTCTCTCTTACACACCTCGCATCCGCTGTGCACACACACGACGACGCACCATCCGCACATGCGCATATAGTGCAGTGCAGTCAGTGTACGCACTTGGAAACCTGGGCTATTTATCTACCCTGCATGGATCCTAGATCCTTGAATCTCGGTCTAATTTACACGACATCCAGCATCCTCGTCTTCTCGGCTCGGTTATCGACTAACTACTACCTAGTTTAGTATACACATCCCGTGTAGTATTATTATACCTCGCGTTTCTGGTCGTTGGTTCTGGCTCTGGTTCTACCAACCGCTACCAACCGCTACCAAACACTACCAAACACTACCTACCTGCACGGCCTGCATCACTTACTACGTACCCTCGTCTCCCCCGTCTTTGCGTCTTTGCGCCTTTGCGCCTTTGCGTTCTGGCGTCCTTGCGTCTTGCATCATCCCGCCTTATCTATCTATATATTGGGATTGCTGTTCTTGAACCCGCTTGGTTTGTTCCGTTACCTGTCATCCACCTCCGTACCCACTGCCCATTTGTGCTGGTCACCGTCTCGTGGCGACACTATACTGCTTCGGTGAGTTTCCCAGCTGCTGATCTCGGCTGGAACGAGTCCTGGCCCATCAATTCATTGTCCCTATTATTATCACTAGTCCATCTGGGGCCCTCCACGACTACTCCACGGCGGTGTCGCTTTTGCCACTAACACCCGTCCGGTGACCCTGCCCCACCACCACGACCTGAAGTCGGGTTTTTTCCACAGTACTAATTGCGTCTGGCGTCTGTATCTAGGCACTCGGTCTGCTTCCATTCATCTACCTATCTGTCTCGCTCTCCTGCTCTCGTTTCTGGGAGGAACACCCCCCTATTGCTTTCCACGCCTCGATAAGAGGGAACGAAGCAAGAAGGAAGAGGGCATCCATTGGGGTTGGCCGTTGTCATTGTGGTGGTCAATGCAGACATGATACCGTTGCAGGATAGTTCCCAATAACTGTGTATGTCACACCTACCTTGCAGCATGCGGTGCAATCTTATCGTCCCATCTTTTACCATGCCATCAAGACTACCCAACCCCGGCGTGCTGATTCATTCATCAACAGACCAAAATGGCCGCCTTTGTCGTGGAATCAGGTGACGGCCCGGTTGAGAGCATATTAGCATTTACGCAATACCTATACCCAGGCTTGCTCTTGCTTATTCTGTTGCTCTTTGGAGCCATTTACTCCATATACACAGCCAGAAACAGAGGAGATGTTATTGTTCCTACTGTCACAGGCCCTGGTGGCAAACCCTTACCTGTCACGAAGAAGCGATCTGTTGGCGATAAATCTCAAGAATCCGATGAAAGATTCTCTCCAGCCACCAGGGCGCTCTTTCAGTGGCTCTATACCGCGGTAACCCTAACTTTCGTCGCCCAAGGCGCAGCTATTGCCACACATGCACTTCTTCAGATAAGTCCTGACGGTGACCATACCTGGTGGTGCGGCGAAGCCAAAACAGTAATATGCTTTCTCTACAATGCATTGATTTGAACCCTTCATTAACGTTTTGATAGGTCTACACCCTAGGCTCGGCTTTTCTGTATCTATATGTGTTCATCACATTGTTTGAAAACAAACACCAGCCAGGACCAGTGTTCATACTCACGTGGGTGATTGCCCTGTGCATGGAGATTATCATCTTCACCTGCGATGCCATCATCCTGTCCCAACCTCACAAGATCATGGTTCATTTAGCCCCTGCTAGATATGTGACCGTCGACGACATGAGTGAGTGGGACATTATTGATCTGAGCCTGTCCTGTACTCGCGTGTGTATGATTGCGGGCAGTGTCGTGCTGTGGTTTACATTGGCATTAATAGGCTGCCGAGCCGAACGTGAGAAATGTAAGCGTGAGCAGGAGTACCATTCCGAAGCCGATGAGAACACACCACTCCTGAACCCAGACATGAGTGACTACCGCACGAATGGCCATAGTGCATCAGGCATGAATGGAGCTTGTGATGGGCCCACTAGTGGCGATTCGAGTTACGCCATGGTTGACGACGACGCCGGGTTCTACCGCCCGGAGAAGCTCCCTCAGACAACCTGGTTGGAGTATCTACGTGGTTATTCTGTTTTCTTCCCCTATATGTGGCCGACAAAAAAGCTCAGGCTCCAATTAATCGTTGTTCTCTGCTTTATCCTGCTTGTTCTACAAAGATGGGTTAACATCATGGTGCCGTATCAGATTGGACGTGTTACCAATGAACTCACAGAGCCACATGAATCTAACCCAAACGGGAAGGGCCTACAGATGCCATGGGCTTCACTTGGACTCCTTATTTTGTATAAGCTGCTTCAAGGTCCGTCTGGTCTTCTTGGATCATGGAGGTCCATGCTATGGATCCCTGTTTCGCAGAATGCGTATCGAGCGTTGACCACGTCTGCTTTTGAGCATGTGCATTCGTTGAGCCTCGACTTTCACCTTGGAAAACGGACTGGCGAGGTTCTATCGGCACTGAACAAAGGTGCCTCGGTTAATTCATTTCTTGAACAGGTTACTTTCCAGGTTTTCCCCATGATTGTGGATCTATTCGTAGCAATCAGCTACTTTTACTTCAGATTCGATGCCGTTTATGCCGTAATTGTCTGCATTGTCACATTTTATTACCTGCTCCTTACCATTCGTCTCGCATCTCAAACAGCAAACCAACGAAGAGCCATGTCAAATGCTGACCGAGAAGAAGAGGCGGTTAAAAATGACTCTATCATATCGTATGAGACAGTTAAATACTTCAATGCGGAGGAGTTTGAATTCAATCGCTATCGAGACGCCATCAAAAACTTCCAGAAAGCCGAAGCTCAAGTTACCTGGAGCATTAGCTCAATGAACATGTACCAATCATTGGTGTTCATGACAGGGATGCTAGCCGCTGTGATGGTTGGAGCCTATCAGGTCACACAAAAGCAACGTGAGGTTGGAGATTTTGTCGCCCTCATCACCTACCTTGGTCAATTACAAGGCCCGCTGAATTTCTTTGGCACCTTTTATCGGACTGTTCAGCAGGCCATGATTTCGGGAGAGCGGCTCTTGGAACTCTTCAAGCAGCGCCCGACGGTGATAGATCGTCCCGGTGTTCCTAAGCTGACTTCATGCAGCGGCCATGTAGAGTTCTCCAAGGTCAAATTCGCCTATGACCAGAGAAAGCCAGCTCTACGAAACCTCACTTTTGAATGTCGACCAGGTACTACAACTGCTCTAGTCGGGGAGTCTGGCGGTGGCAAATCTACCCTGTTCCGGCTGCTGTACCGCTATTTTAATTGCCAAGCTGGTAGCATCCGAGTAGATGGCCAGAATGTCAAGGACGTCACTATTGATTCAGTACGGCGCTTCATAGGGGTAGTGCCGCAAGACACAATCATGTTCAATGATACGCTTATGTACAACCTCAAGTACGCCAATCAGAACGCAACCGATGAAGATGTCATCGCAGCCTGTCAAGCGGCAAGCATCCACGATAAGATTATGTCTTTCCCAGACAAATACTATACCAAAGTTGGCGAGCGTGGTCTCAGACTCAGCGGTGGCGAAAAACAACGAGTAGCTATTGCAAGAACACTCTTGAAGAACCCCAAGATCATAATGCTTGATGAGGCCACATCGGCCCTAGATACGCATACCGAACAACAAATCCAATCTCGGCTTGCTAGTATTGGCCGTGGCCGTACTATGCTAATCATCGCGTAGGCATTCTAATTAAGGGCTTTTTGGGTATACCTTTTTACTAACGCAGGTTTTTTTAGGCATCGGTTATCTACAATTACACACGCCGACCAAATCCTGGTTCTCAACCAAGGTACCATTGTGGAGAAAGGAACGCATGAAGAGCTGTTGGAGTTGAATGGCAAATATGCATCTATGTGGAATCGGCAGGCCAAAGCTGAGAAAGCTGCGGAAGATGCTAGAGCCGCTTACCGCAAGGCAGAAAAGCTGATGCGCAAAGCCAATATCCCTTCTCCTGGAGGAGAACATGGCTGTAAACAGGGTCAACAAGGCCTAGACGAGTCCAGTAGCTCGTCGGATGAGTCAACTACCCCGAGCGGCAGCAGGCTCGCCGCACAACACGAACCCGCTGCGACCTACGAAGGTCGCATCCAGAGTCACCCGATGTCACCAAAACCGTAATACATCACCTTGATCTCGACTCACATCGGAAATATATCACTCTCTCACCAGCATTGATACAAAACATGCATATATCAGATGTATTGCATGATTCGCTAATATCACTACCCTCACACTTCCTTCCCGTGTTGCGGGTCTTCTTTTGGTTTTTTTTTGCATTGCAGGCGTTGGGTGGGATATACAAAACATTGCGAAAGACCTTTTCACTCCTCTATCAAAAGGATATCAACGGCAATAACGCAGTGCATTTATCTTTACATTCTGGACGCAATGATACCAAAGACATTTCTTTTTTACTTCCGTGTCCTAATAATCAATTGTCATTGGCCAGGTGACAAAACTTGGCCATACTCGTTTGCTTCTCATTCTCATTTCCTTGTTTTTTTATTTTCTTGGTTTCGTTTTCTTGATTTCGTCCCCTTCCAGTAAGGGTGGATTCGGGGAAGGACGAAACGAAGAAAACAACAAAAAAGAAAAAGGAAATCAGGAAGGACAAGTGGAGACGGTATCAAATCAAACACGGTTTTGGGTGGTAGGGAGGCAAATCTGCTATTCAATGTTTTCTTTCGGTCGGCCTCTAGTTTATGCCTTCGCTGATGCTCTTCTCTCGAACGTTTCGCTTTCTTTATCCCGCAGCGAGATTGCCGACAATGGCCTTGTGGCATGACTATATGTAGTGATGAGAGATGACCACGTGCATAACTTCAGGCAGGCTGGCAGACAGGTTGGCGGGCTAATAGGAGGCTTAAGCGAGTCGATAATCGATGCATTGTTAGATTCCCCCCCCACCAACCAGTAATGTATGTATGTACGTTCATGGCGGGCAACGATTTTGAGGAGGGTATGCGATTTCCTTGTCTTTATCGCCTTCTCTCTTTCTTCACATTGCGCCAGCTTAGCTTAGACGATTTTATTTTATCTACAAAGTAATGGCACAGACGAACCATCCAGGCATTAAGTTTGTTCCATTATTGCCTACTATTATGCCTAGTTCAAAGTCCCATGCATATACATCTCCATAAGTACAGGAAACAGACTCGGCATATACAACAATCCTAACATACATGTGTAACACAAGTACATGGAAATGGTCTCTGTTACGGAAAAACAAGGACGAAGCAGGTGAGTTGTGACGAGTCAATCAAGTCTAAGACCACCACCATCGATAGAAGACCACAAATCATACCACTCTCAGCTGTAGGACTAACTCACCAACTACCACACACCCCAGTTTCAACTCGCTCGACGAGAAGGAAACCACTGGGAAAGATGGGCACTACATACTAGCAGCACAGTACATGCAAGAGAACGGAGTAACCGCACACCCTACCGTCTCTCCTCCCTCACGCTAAGGCAAGGCAGAGGCAAGGCGTTAAGAGGAGCCGCTCGGTTCTAGACTCGATCTGCCTACCCTACCTACTTGGCGTATATCTGCACCAGTTGCGCGCATTGTATTGTATACACGTACATGTCGTGTGTTATGTACCGCAACGTGTTTACTTAGACAATCACTTGTGATTATTCCCTCGGGGACATATGAAACGATGATGCATATCAGAGCATCAATCAGGTTCAGGATAGCTGCGTTAGGAACCAGTCGAGCTCGTTTCGCATATATCAAATGTCCTTCTGTACTATGACCTTTTTTTTTTTTTTATACAGATTACTGTGGTACTTGTTTGAGCACCGTTGTACATGTGAAGGGAGATGTACTATACTGTATGTATGTACTACCTACCTAGCATCTCGTAACAACGCCGAGAGGGGAAATATCGACTTGACTGGCTGGGATTTAACGACGGCTTCTTCGAGGGGGAGGGGGGCAACAATCGGCGGGGGAAAGAAAAGGTGGGGTGGATTGACTTGCGTAATGTAATGTGTACACACGCACTACATAAGTACAGTCAGTACTGTATGAAACAAGGCCATACATACATAAGTACTTACTTACTTTACTTACCTACTTACGAGTACATGTACGCCATCCCAGAGGCGCGGCTAGACTAGGTAGGCTGTAATAGCTCGTACGTGTAAGTAGTACCGGGTAGCGTAGGCTGACAGGACGAGACGGGACTAGAGTGACACCCTGCCTGCTGCTGAGTGGTGAGGGACAATAGCCGCATTGGACAGGCTCGTGTTCTATCTGCAATCTGGAGTTGCAGTCTTGGGTGTTGGGGTTGGCGTGTCACGGGAAAGGGAGGGGTGGGTTGGTTCTTGAATGGGGCGGATGGGGGGGTGTGTGGATTCCAGGTAGGGTTGTACTCCGTATGCTGCTGCTGATGGGACGAGATGGTTGATGATGGGCTCGGCTCGGCTGGATGGCATGGCACCAGAGGAGACGAACTAGCATTGCCTGGGATAGCCTATCTACTTGGAACCGAGAATGTGTACCACCCTTGTGACGGGATACTCAAGTCGTACATACATGGTGTGAGTCTGATCATACATGTAGAGCTGATTTGATTGTTCTGTTCTATCCTATCCTGTCCCTGCTACTGCACCGGATAGCTTGTGTTGGGAGCGTGACGACGATATGAGACGAGGCAGGATGGATGGGTGGACCGATCGTGGCGGGCCCCCCGCTCCGAGTTCAAGTTCCTTGCCGACTGTAGCCTTGCCTGATCATCTTTCGAGTCTGCTTTGTGTTCGCTCTGTGATACCATCGCTGGTTACACGTACGTAATAACTCTCTCCTCGCCACACAGTGAATACCTACGTGCTGTCGAATACCTTTCTACCTGGTAAGCTCGAATCCAAATGATGACTGAGGCCGTTACTAGGAGACACCATTGTTGAAGTTAAGTACACTATGTAATATCCAGCGAGCGAGCGCCCTCAACCCGTAACCAGGCTACTCGACAACTTGATTGGTTGTGGTTGAATCTTTAGTTTGGAGATCATCTATTTATTCACATCCATACCTACTTACATAGTTATATCTCGTGCATGTGAGCATACTGTACATACGACCACACCAGAAGCTAACCTACTTAGATCCATCATCGTATATCTGAGCATATGTCTCCCCATCTTCCTCGCCCTCTCATCACACTGTCTTTCTCACAAGATCCTCTTTCCCCGTATCCGGCAGACGAATGATGTTTCAGGGTCAACACAGTATGGGATAAACCCAAAGCTGAGCAGTCCCATCCATATTACCTTGACTCCGTATGTAGAACTTGACTCATCCCTTCCATCCACTACTATACATACTATAATATCTATGCTATCTCATAACGAGCATAGACTGTAACAGGTTGACAGATCTCGGTTACGCATATCGCAACAGATGTAGCTAGTTTATATAGCCTGCCCCAGTATTGAGTCAGGCGTGTTGCTACGGTGTGTACCTATACAGACAGCCGTACGAGGTAGATGGTAGGGGGGTGCGTCTAAAACACTTTGCCTGTAGAATCTACAATTGACAAGCAAGGTAGATGTAGAGGCAATCTAGAGCAGATAGCTGGTAGATTCAGGAGAGTAGATTCCAGTATCCCACTTAGTGCTAGGGAGAAGGTACATTAGAAGACAATTGTGACTTTGAGCGTCTTCAGGCCCAGGCCGAACTATCTGTATATAAGTAATTCTTTTTGTTGACCTGTAACGACTGTAGGGAGACATCTGCTCTGTAACAACGCATGTGAGATCATGGTCCGATCATGCAGTCTGTCTAGAGCAAGCAACCTAGCTTGGTGAAGGAAAGTGTGTGCGAACAGTAGAAGTCCCAGAAGCTTGAATATAGAGTGCGACGAGGTATGGGTGATGCACATGTAGTAAGTCATTGTTAGAGCAATCGCTTGGCTACTTGCTTATGCTTGTATATGTTTGTTGTCCTCGCATCGTTGCCCTCCTACTCCCATCCCCAATGGTCGATATGACTTCACCGGAAACCATAGTATATCTATTTCACGATTCTTAAATCTCATAACTGCTTCTGTGAGAGGAGCTTGTAACAGCAGCTCTCAGCGATTGCATAGATGAAGTAAAGATTTTTTTTATTGAGGGAGGTTAGAAGTGAGCATGTTCAGACTCCTCTGGACTATATAAACCCAGTTCCTTTGTTCTTCCAGATCCTGGCAATTGCTGAGTTTTACTCGTAGCAAGGGGCATGCTATAACTTGTCATTTACTATTCGTACACGCTGCTAACATAGAGCCACTTTGCATCAGACTGAACGCCGAATATGCGCAGTCAAACACTTCAGCATGAACGTACTTTCTTTCAAATAGCCAGGAATCAACAGTTGCCTGCTCAGCCGCATGTAATACATCATATTTGGCCTTGTTATTTCTGTAAAAAGGGCCGGCACGTCAAGAACCAAGTATAGGTGGAGTGTCAAGATTGGTACTGTATAGCATCTGTCGCTGCCCGAGGCCTTCATGCTCTGGCCAGGGCTATACGGGGAGGTGTCTCTTCTCCAAAGTCAGAGGGCTCTCTCCTGGTGCTGAAGCAGAAGGTATATTTGCGTCACATACAGCTGAAATATTTCATGAATAATGTGTGAGGACGACTTCCCTCTATGCGCATGAACAGAGAACAGATACTTCATGTCCCTTGATCCGTACAGTTCACAAGTGACCACTTGGCCATACACTTTCAACACCTTGGTTCAAGAGTCGTAGCATAGGGCACTAGTGATTAGAAGGCGACCGAGATTAGCACGCCACCGAACCAAAGGGGTAACAATTCAAGCCTTCTTTCGGGAAGTCCATCCCTTACCTCGGTATTACGTGATCAAGAAAGTATAATGCAACGACAATCTGCATTGAAACTTATACAAGCCTCTGGGTTCAAACATGCTACAAAGGAGTCTGATACAAGTAAATTTGGAGCATTGCTCCAAGCACTCCTAGAGGGATCTTAAGATCTCATTCCAATTTCCCAGACCCAAAGATTTCATTGACACGTCACTGCAAAACAAGAGAGTTGTATATGATAGGCGTGGCCACTGAATTTTTTCCAATTAATTATTATTTAGATTGTAGTGATGATACAGGGAGCCCAAGTTGAATAATCTGCTCACGGCGTGTCTCCATCCACCCTGCCTCTTTCCTCATCAGCGTGGTCTTGAATCTTTTAATCGTTAATTCTTTATCATCATGTTTTAACTGATAGTACCAGCCCCCCGCGATAGATGAATAACACGTTATGACGAGCTGTGAGACCTGGTGCGAAGTTCCTAATATGAACAACGACCACATACTTTCCGTTCGCATATGAAGATCGTTGCCCCCTTTCAATTTTCCCCGCTGGTGAGTTGGTCCTACTTCACACTGCTGAGGGTTGTGCGCCACTTCCACCTTCGGCAGACTTATATATTTGTCTGTGAGTCTGCGTGGACATTCTTCTGATTTGGCATCAAGCATTAGACCTGAAGTGTCCTCTGAATTTGAATACACAGGGTTTCCCCGAACAGACACTGCGTGCCCCCTCATATTGTACATGTTGCTCTGCTGCATGCTTCATGGGCAAGCCCTTAGCGAGATCGTAAGGGAAGTAATCGTTGTAATCAGCCGGACTTATCGTGCTGATTTCTTAGAGACGCTTCCGTTTGCGCGACTCATTACGTTGCCATTAGTATGATCATGCACACCAGTGGCGTGACCGTTCGTCAAAGACTTTGTCGCAGCACGTTTCTCATTGCTAGCTTCAATCTCCTCTGTCTCAGACGCTTCAGCCTCGGATCGATCGTCCTCAGCTGTTTGGTAAACAACAAAACGGTAGGCAATTCTGACAATGAAGAACCACCAGAACAGGTTCAGAGCCTGAAGTGAAGAAAGCAATGCAAGTGTAATGACAAAAGAGATATCACACTTGTACTGCTGGGTTTCCCAGTTGAGCTCATATGGACCAACCGTCTTGAACTCCGTGAAGAGGGACCAGATGATGCGAAGATTGAGGTAGTGTCGTAAATAGGCCCAGACACACATAAAGACAAAAAAGTAAGGCCCAGTAGACCAATGGTCTATGTAGTTGAGAGTCTTCGAAGTCTATTCCAAATTGATTAGCTTATGTTCTGTCCTAGTTTGTTCGGTTGACTTTGTAGGATTTCCTACTTACCGCTAAAAAGAAATCGCTGATATCGTGGGTTATGTAGACGGCAAGACCCATGTAAGTGAAATGGAACCGATAGCTAAGGCCAATCAGGGCCAAGCTGACAATGTGGTGTCCAACAAGTTCCTTGAAGTCCTTTCTCCGTTCCTCCAAGCCTAGGAGTAAAACGATAGCCTGCTGAGCCCAGTATGCGGCCTGGAATAGATAGTAGAATTTGAAGTCGGCGGCGTGGGTCTTGTGGGGGAAATTCTCGTACATAGCACGGGTATTGAAGTACCAGATCGGGGTGTTCTTCATGACATACATGCCAGCAGGGCCGAGAAAGCCAAAGTAGATGGCTGTGTACAATTGCTCCATGAACCGAGATTGTTTGGCGCGAGATTTTAACCCGGCTTTCTTGGCCAAGGGGCGTAAGAACTCTTGCATGATGAATTCACGAGTGAAAGACAATACAATGGTGTAGAAAGTAACAAAAGCAATATCCCAAGGGCCTTTGCCATATTGAGGCGGTGTACTGGGATCGACACCTGGTTCGAGAGGTAGCTTGTAGGAAAGGAAGATGAAGCGGTGAACCGGGTTCGATTCGGTAGGGTTGACGGCATAAAGAGTGCCAAAGATGGACAGAAAGATTAGGGGCAGAACCCAGGTGTGCTTGAGGGCGAAATGCTTGAAGCGGCGTAGCATAGAGCGAGCCTTGCGACGTTTGAGGCCACGTCTTACATTGCCATCAGCGACTGACGACCTCGGAGGAGAGGGAGGGGCATTGCTCTGCAAACTCGCAAGGCTTGCTTGAAGACTGGGAGCGCCGGTATCACCGGCCCGTATCTCGGCCGGCAGCCCGCTTGACTTTCTAGGTCGACGGCGGGCGGCGGTCTGCTCTGGGGTGGAGCGCAGCGGCTCCGCGGAGGTATTGAAAGGGGGGAAGGGCTCTGAAGATGCCATGTTGACAATAAGCGCGAATAGCCAAGTTCAAGCCCGTCCGAGATCAAGTCGGCACGGATACCACAATGGTTCGAATCGGCTTCAATTGATGATTGAGGATCAGGTTCGCGGGAATAGGCGGACGAGCTGCGGATTCTCTAGACCGACTCCGTACAGGTAGATCAAGAGCTGGCTTTTCTTTACACGTATTCCGGATAATTGTCGAGTTTTCTTGGGATGGTTATAGTAATGATCGAGCGATGTCAAACCAAAGATGCTAAAGGAGTGAAGTCACCTAGGAATGATCATAGCACTAAGCTACAGCGCGCGCTGCGATAACGTTCGCGGTTGAGTCGGGACAGGCAGGCAGTACGAGTATCAGAAAAGTAAAATAAAACGGAGAAGGTGCATGCAATGCAATGCGCAATGCAATACAAGAGAGGGACACAGAGAGACAGAGAGAGGAATAGCGGCAGTAGGCAGCACGTCACGAGAGTTGAAGACTTTATTGAGGTGGTGATTCTCGATAAGGAGGCAGGAAATTGGCTGTCGATTAAATCGATTAATTTTTGCTCGGCGGCGAGGAAGTGAGACCCCGTTTCAGTCCCACCCGTGTCACGCCTATGGCTGTTTGATTGGGCTGCCCGCCGTAGCCTACCCACCTTAGTACCTACATGTACCTAGATAGACACCTACCCAAGTGCATAGGTAGCGTATAGTGCCATTTCCCAGTACCTGTACTTTGCAATTCACTCCGCTAATTCCGCCTAACAACGCCCACCACTTACCTAGAGTACATGTACTGATATGTACATACATTACCTAACATCATGTAAGTATGTATGTCTGATGATTTGCATCGGCCATGGCTACTACATGCTCGCAGCACTGTAAGATATCCCATATCCCATAAGCCTATTTCTAAATACATAGAAACATACATGAACATAGAATGAGAAATTGACGCGGGAAAGCAAGGGGCCCTGTTGGAAATTCGAGCCACCGCATTGGTCCAGAAAAATAGATATGTAGCCGAGAACAAACAAGTCTCAGTTAAAGTCATATACCCATTCGCCTATGCAGATGCAACAAGAATTCTGCCGGTAGCACGTGAAATACATGGATGGGCAACAGGAAAGTATAAAAGTAGCTACGGACATACCTACATATGTATGTAAGTCTTGAATATAAGTAATGTACGTACTAGATGTATAGTTTCAGCTTGCTCCAAACTTGAATGGAGGCTGACGTTAGAAGCCTTATCTTACAATCTCAGGGATATTTCTAAGTAGCTCAACGATAACGAGATCCGACCTCCTATACCCCAGAAAGGATATTTAAAACATGAATGATACTGTAGGTACAAGAGCAAGCTGGCAGGGCTAGGCGACAATCTTACCGCAAGTATCATGATATTTACTTAGGTAAATAGATACAGTACTTGAAGACACCGTCGGGGATTATTAATAGTGCGCGGAAGCGTAATCGGTGTAGCTGAGCTAAAACCTTGCTAGCGAAGTACATGTAGAATTATTTGATAAGATCCAAGATATATTCACACTAACGGACAGATTTAGCGTCGGGCATTAGGCCACTTCAATCATCAGGGCAGACAGACATGACCGAGAGCGAGTCAGTACACCAACCAATAGCGATAGCTGTTTGGCCAGCTGAGTAGAAATAGGGGTCCAAGGCCCTTCAGTGGATTGATTCAAGAAGTTATCTAATATTTCACAAGTAACAAACTGCAAGTACTGCATGAGGGGCTACGCGAGACCTGGCATGCGACCATTGATGCTTTGAAGAGTTGAAAGATGGAACACTCCTTGGTGAGAGATTATGTACATGAGCCCTCTCTGGGCCGCCAATATACAGCTTCGATTTATATTCGCCTATATCACTATGTTATACCTGGTATCCAAGGGTCCAAGAAAAGACAGCCCATTTTGACCCCTATAACTCCAGTCAATGCCGCTTGCAAAAAGTCCATGAGAAATACGAAATCCATGCGCCGCGCTATCATATCGTCGTAAATTCAGCAAGTCTAATCCCCAAGGTAGAGCCAACGTAGATCAGGTCGCTCATAATGGCCCACCTGATTTGAGCTGATTCTATACCATATCATCAGCCTGTCGCCGTTCGACCAACCCTGCATTTTGCCGGTCCCCATCCACGACATCAGAGCTAGAGCCGCTGTGGCGCGTATCGGAAGAGTTATGGGGCGATGTATTACTGCGGTCAGGAATATTGGACAACGGTGGTCTCATGTTTTGCGCGGCTCCACTATAGCTTCCGGTTCGGCGGGTAGATGGACGCGAGATCGTTGTGTGTGATCTGAGGTTGCTATCCTCGGTACTTTGGTTAGAAGGCTCAGATGAAGCTGGTGCTGACCCGATTCTTTCCTCTTCTAACAACCGACCCAAAGCTGCTCCACGCCGTGGCGGGGCGGGAATGACAGTGACTGGTAAACTGTTTGTATCAGGTGTTGGGCGTATGCGTTGAAGGACTCTCTCAGCTTGCGTAGCAGCAATATCCTCTATTCGACTTCGTAAATCCCACCTTGATAAGCTTTCATGATCTCGCTTTGGCGTGTCTGATTTTGGCATAGTATGTGGTAGGACCTCTGCGGGGGGATCACGACTCCTGCGATGGAATAGGTTCGAAGGTAACCAGGAGTCCCAGCGCTTGCCAGTTTCAGCATTTGGTCCTTCCGATCTTGTAGTAATGGAACCTTGTTGTTGCAATGTCGGTATCGAGATGGAAACATGTGACTCAGTCTTTTCCATCGCCGCACCTGAATTTGAGGAAGCCACGGTGTCCCCTCTGGACAATGGTCGAATCCTATCATCTGTGGTCCTAGAAGCAGTCTCGGTCAGAGGTTGATACCGAACCCGATATATCGTGCTATCGGCACTAGCTGTGTCCGTTCTACTGACGGGCGTAATTGCTGGAGGTGGGCGAGATGGCCAAAGTGGCGGTTGTAGAAACCGACCCGTTTCTCTACTAGTTGTTGAAGCTTGCGGGGTCGCACCCCGTTGTGCCCCATTATCTGATTTTGAGCGATAGCGCTTCGCGATGGATGACATTGCAGGCCAGGGGACAGAAGAGGATGTAGCTCCTTCATCCCCATTACCCGCATCACTATTGTTTTTGAAGTTCTTCCTTCGGCGAGGCCATGTAAGGTCCGAAGGCGTCATATCTATCATCTCATCACCATCGAATACCTCACGGCCCAGAACGCCATCTTTCTTTTCTTCGCGTTCTAGTGCTTCGATACGCTCCACCCATTCCCACACAATAACACTTGCTGCTGCCGCACCAGCCCACCTCACATACTCGCCCCATCCAGTAAAATTCGGTTTCGCGATATCCAGTACGAAGAAAACGACCGGTACCAATAAAGAAACGATTGAAAGTGCGGCCATTAGAGAAATGTTCTTCATCAGAGGATGATAAAAAGCGTATCGCTTCTTCGTCAGTGCGTAGTAGATAACCCACGCAGCATACAGCAGGCCAAGTGATAGTTGAAATAGATAGCTGAGCGCCGGGACCGCCTCAGTGAACTGACGCGGCTTATAGTTATTGGAGCCCATGAACTGAAAGCTGTTGAGGGCACCAAAGATGACATCGAGGCTAATAAGCGCAAAGGCTGTCCATTTGATAATAATCTTCTCGCGCTGGCGCGGAAATAGGCGGATTAGTGTTTGCGCTTGTGCCAACCAAAGGAAGGTATCCGAAATGAGCTGGATCGTTTTGAGCTGCGTCCCACCAAGTACACGCTCTTGTAATCTATGGACATCCTGATAACCCTGGTAGTATTGCTCCTCGGCAACACGAAAGGTATCAACAGTTGCGATAGTAAGTGACACGGCAACGAGGAGCGTGGCAACCTTCTGAAGCCATGGACGGCCACCAATTGTGATGCCATTTGAATGGCCATTAGTAAAGCCACGGCGTCCCAAAGTAACAACACCTCCATCTAAAAAGGACCTCGGGACGATCACAAGCATGATAAAGAGCATGTAGGCAAGAACAGTGGTAGCAGCAAGCGCATAGCATTGCGGGAAAATGGTTTCATAGAAGTAAGGTCGAAAATCAGAATATTCGGGTGAGCCCAATGGGTCAGTAGTCTCATCGGTGCTCACGCCGCCAGTGACAATAATGGCACGATGGGCTAAATCTGTGGCTGTCGCACAGGGTGGAAAGTAAACGGCACTCTCAGCGAGCATCGTAGGCGTGGCGCCCACGAGGGACAGGACGCCGCCTGCTGCTACTGTAAGCGGCGCGCAGGCCGTCGACATACTCAATGTCGTGGTCATGGAGATTATGGGAAGACCCGAGATGAGGAATGGTTCCAAAGTGGCTTCGGGGACTATTGGACCGGGCGCGGCCACGAGGGATCGACCAAAAAGCGTGCTATCTCACAACGTCCGCCATGGAATGAGAGAATGGCCCTTTCGAGGGCTTCGAGAAGCACGCGGTTAGGATGTTTTATCGGACCACTTCGTCCTCGTGTGGGAGGGTTCGCCTATCCCGAAGTCTCCAGAAAGACGGCTCGTCGAGGTTCTGCAGCGCTTGCGCTCTTTCCGTATCGCGTCCAAGTCAGGGTAATATACGAACTATGTCAAGTTTCCCCCTCGCAGGAGGTTAGACGTCGTCCTATCGTCGTCGTAGGGTTTATTGCAGCGCGCGGTTGGATTCGAGGGTTCGAGAAGATGGTTGGAGGCTGGGCGCCGAGAAAGCAAGATCGTTAAGACTTGGTAACGGGAGACAGGAGAGGTGCCAGGGAAATGGGCTGGCCTGGGTATGGGGGGAGAATCAGTGTATGGTGGCAGTGACCAGGGTGGGGCCGCTTGCTTGCTTACTTATAGTACTTTCAGTCCCGCCCACCACCTCCCTTCTGCCCCCTGTGGCCAGGCCAAAACTACGCACTGGGTACATCTGGCATTGGGTACCCATTTTCTTCACCTACTGGTACCAGAACCTGCTAAGACGACTGCCTCGACTAGAAATGTGCAGAATAATACAGTACCTACACATACAGTATTGTCCAGCCGTATGGCATAAGCCGCGTGCAGTACTCAGTACTCTCGTGGTGCCGGTGGCCGATTCTTACATGCTCTTGATCTAGTATTTCGAGACCTCGTCAATAGAACAAAGTAGAGAGACGCAATCCCAAGTCATTTTCGCCTCCGGCGTATTTCATATCTACATACCTATGTACTGTACACAGTGACATGAAGTCTAGTGGTATTATTGTGTGGAGGGTGAAACGCTGGGAACCAGAGTAGCCGAGTTCTGACCGGCATGTTGGTTTCGACGCGTTGCAGCGAGATCACGAAGTTATTGCGCAGCAACTGCCCATATTAAGAGAGCAGATCCAAAGGAACAAACCCGTATGAACAAAGCGTAGATTGGTCGGGCCAGAAAACAACATACCTGTATGTACGAATACCTACAAAGTCTTCACCTACGAAGACCTCCAGATTGTGGACGTTGATCAAGGGCCGTACCCTCAGCTCCTCGGACTGATCCCTGAACAAGTTAGTGTGGTATGGGTACGATGAGCAGATGAGCAACAGGATGGACGGTTGAGTGCTTATGGTAAGGTCTTATTTCAAATTGATGGTGGTGTAGTACTTATGGAATACAGATAAATCCCTAGCCTAGCTGGGTACCTAACATACCTAAGTATGTACGGTAGGATAATAGACGCGCATAAAATACGTCGTATTTCTACGGAGTGAGGGTACTCTTCATCTAGTACAGTGCAGAGCTTACTGTAGGTATATGCAGCTCCTTGTAAAAGAGAGACAGAGAGAGAGAGAGAGAGAGAAAACCATCAGCATTCCCGCATACGCCTACTTTACCTACCTCTGACCTACTATGTAAGTATCTAGCAGACCAGACCACTGAGTGAATTATTATCGAAGAAGTAGGTACCTAATCATATCCCGGCAGTTGGCAGTTGAGCAGACCCGCGAAAGACAACCTTGGAAATACCTAGGACGGCAGTTTTCGAATCTCATCTTGGCTGTGGTTGAAGATCACCCACCCTGCCTATCTACGTAATAATGCATCACTCGATCTGAGCATTGATGATGGTGGCATGTTTATCCTTTTTCACATACTACATACTTAAGTACATACCCGAGATACCATCCTATTTCCTCTCCCACTTGTGACACCCTCGACATCCCATTCTTCAAAAGGCCCTAGATCACTAGTAGAGCTGTTATTGTACTTAACTACTGAGTATGCGCTTCGTTAGCGAGCGGCCTTGATAGGCGAGACAGGAAAGAGCTCGAGAGATCATAAAGTGGTACCTACGAAGTATACCTACCCACTTCCAGAATTCTCATTTGCTCGACGCGGGGTGCTAATTCATCTGGACACCCTGGGATCTGTATGGTTGATTCCTTCATCGAAAGGAGATCCGCAACTCCCCCGGCCAGATCTTGTTTTCTCCCTGCGCATCAACATTGCCCAGACGTTGCCCTGCTATATTCTGCAAATGCAATAGAATACCGTATGTACTGTCCTTATACCTACACTTGTGGGTTGCTTCCCGTTCCCCGCAACGAGCCGGAATACCTAGCCCACATGATCAGTGCGCGAAGCTCATCGCCAAGAGGCTTGGACTCGAGAGTGCCCAGGCTTCCAAACCTCCCGCAGACTCCCGCTACCCCAGCTTTCTTCTTCTCGAGTACCTAGGTATCTTCATGCTGTACTACAGTAGCTGCCCGCTAGACCGCTTGTCAGATACCTATTCCCTCCAATGAGTCGTCTTCTGCCGTTGGCAGAGGCGTTCACATCTCAGACAGCAGCCAGTCGATGCACTTGCCGCCCGTCGGCAACTTGCTTGGCAAAGCTTGTCACTCGTGGACGCATAGTTAAGCATCACTTGAGGCGATTGATCGTTCCCGTTACCCGTCTTGGCCAGTTCTGTCTGCCTATGGATCAACGGCAAGGTGTCAAGCGGTTACTACCCAGAAGACAGCGGCAGTCCAAGATGAAAAGACGAAGCAACAACACGGACGGGTAAGGGTCGATGGGTCACGACGACATCCTCTCGCGCGGCTAAGTCACAGCCGCACGAATCTGGCATCTGCCGTTCTCCGCTAACCATAGATCAACATACTATTTGAATGATACGTTTCACTCCACCAACTGCTCTATGCCCAATACTTCTACCCGCCCCGGTGGAGTGTTGGATACAGCGTTGGAGTACATACAATTGCTGCCTACACCCACTATGATGATAGCTCAAGTACATTTACGACACTACACCGGGCAGAAATCTGTGCGGAGACTGCAGCACGAAAGGTGCTCGGGTGGGGTAACTCTGGTGCTTGAATAACCTCAATACGAATGGCATCAATTATTTACCCAGCTTGGCTACGTAGAACAAGTCATCTTGGAAGCCTCCATTGGTCAAAGCCCGTTCATCAGATCAACATCCCGTGTCTGTGCGATCGGCAGCTATTTCGCGCAACAAAGTGATTTTTGAGAGGACGAACACCCCGCTAGCTCCGTGTAACCGGTCGAATTTCGGGCTGGAATTGCGGTTGCAGATTGGACGTAGGCCGACAGGCGTCATATGATTAACATAATGAGGACGATATGCATGTCTCTCGCATGCGTGTACTAATGCCTTGGCAATCATACAGCTCAGGCATCGTTAGCAGAATGATGAGGTTAGCCATCAGGCAGTCAATCACACTCTAAAACATTCGATGCACGGAGTATGTGTCACCTTCAACAACCCTATCACCGCTATTCTTTACGTAAGGAGCAAAGCGTATATGGCATTCTTTCTGTGAGAAAAGTTCTAAACTGTGACTCTTGTGTACAGTGGCTTGGCTAAATTAATACCACTTTGCAAGGTATGAAGATACAAATGTAGAATAGCTACAACAGCCTGGTAAGCTACACGGTGCTTATTATTTTGATCTCAATAGTTCGACTCATAATGACTCTGTAATTTAATGGGCTTGTCATGATGAGGATTTTACTTGATAGATTAGGTTCGAGAAGTTTATAATAATGCGCTTATGCAGCCTAGGGTCAATCGGATTTCAAAATAAACAATAATAAGCAGCTCAAGCATATTCTAAAATTGACCGCCCAGCTTTGAAGAACGGTATATTATGTTGAAACAGACAGTGTTGAGGATTGCGCCAGATATGTGTCATCACAAAATACTCTGCGTGCCTAAGTCATAAGTCGTAGCGCCAACGATGTGAGCGAGTGTTTACTAGGAAAATGGGATATTTATATTAGGCTCTCTTTCTTTCTCTCGTCTGGGGGGCTGTTCATTCAATTAAGCATCAGCTCACCGAGAGGCTGCGCCCGTTGGATTTGTACCCTATAGTAAGAACCAGACGAAAATACATGTTACAACTTTCTCCTACATTGTATACTCTTTACTACACCCTGATAGCAACTCTATGGCCAACTCATGAACCTACCATCCTGGACACATTTTGCTCCTCCTCCGTTATCAGAGTTTCTTCTCAGCCGATCTCAACCATAGTGACCCGATCACCGACACCAAGCAACAGGCGAGGTTCAGGCTGCAGACATCATGAAATCTCCATTGATAATTGTCAACGGCCCAAATATGCTGTAGAACTCGAGTAGGAAGGTATCGAGGATGCCCTGATCCTCATTTTCCACCGTACAATTCGTGTTCCCTACAACAAGAGAGACATCAACTCGCTACCTCCAGGCCGGGGACGATTCCAAAATTGTCCAGTCCAGGCTATTTCTTCCCCCGTAAGTTCCTCTACCGCCGCTACCACCTATTATATTCTTATTCTCTGTTGTTCTTTGGACTATAAGATTTTCTACCGTGACCTTTCACTAACGTAAATCAGGACTACATCCAAGAAATGCCAGCTGAGGTGGCTGAGAAATCTGGCATTTCCCTAGTTGTGTGCCAGTGGGAGACAATATGGATCAACTTCCATCTCGTCTACCCTTGCCCATCAAGGTTTTTACAGGCGGTATCAACTCTATTTCTAGACCGCCGGTGGGCTAGCGAGGAGAGAAAATACTCAGCCGGGCAGGCTTGACTCAAAACTATATCATCGTGCCCAGTCAACCTTGGCTCGACGGCATCAACCGCAAAGACGGCACGGACGACCAATGTGTTGCACAATTGAAAGGGTGCCGGCTACTCAATTGAAGAGCATATCACGGGAAATACGCCGCTGGGGGCATTCAGGTCGAGATCATTCCTATACAATGCGAGTTTCTAACGACCCTGGATGTGTGCTACAAGACTTGTCGTAAATACGAACTCAAACAAGCAATGAATCTTAACCAAAACTGCTTGAAAGTATCTTCCACCTGGCAAGATCTGAAGCCGGTTCTGAAGCGGGAGCTTGACACCGCAGTTGACGAGCAGATGCTAAATCCTCAGAGCAGTTGGAATCAGTTCGTACCTATGGAACATCATAATCGAATTGGTGCATGCAATTTCCCACCTGGCTTCACTCTGAGTGTCAGCCATAAACGGAGCGATCTAAGAGGACCTGACGAAGACTTGACTAGTGTCATGGCCGAGTATGCAATGCAATATAAACATATTACAAGTAAGGGGTCATTCTAATTTGATCACATTATCAAGGAGAAGCGGGCTATGGCCGCGAGATTCGCTTACACGCCTGCCCTAAATGTACATCGCCGTCATCGGCGGCTACAAGTCTATTTGCAGACTCGTTGGCTCCCCGCGTCTAGAATACTAATGTGAGTGGCATCGGTTTTGAGCGCAGATTGCGATCTTGAGATAAGGCCGCCGCAGACAACAGAATCGATCTAATCTGATGTAACCTTTAGTCGGGAGCGTCTTAAAAAAAGTTAGCGGTAGTATTTAGGAGCAGCCATGGGACACGTGCATCAATAAATGCTAAAGAGAAGAAAAGGGGAAGGGAAAAATGAAGAAACGGGAGTATTGACGGAGGAGGAAAGACAAGTCATGTTAAGGGGAGGACAGAGCGTTTGATGTAGGGAAGGATGAAGGCAGATAGACTTGCAAGAGATAGAGGTCATCATATTGACTTACTCGCGGAGTTTTCCATATCGTGTCTGATCTATTTGACTATCCTTGTCATCCGCTAGGCAAGATGAATGAATGTTTTGTCTAGGTAACAGAGATTATACCCATCCCACAAATACTTGATACACCGAAAAAGAACCATGACTAGTCGTTACTACTACATGTATACTATGGCGCCTACAACTAATATCTCGAAACAAGATGAAGGATATTAGTGAATTTTAGGGAACTTGCTTCTACGTTAAGTGGCTTTCACTTTAAGTTTAACCACTAATCAGTCTTTATCTACTCTCGTTATAAACTCGGCTGGTGTATGCAGAAAATAAGAGACTGAGTAAGATTTATAAAAACTGCTGACGAATCATAGTCTTGCTCATACCTAATAGGAACCCTTCGACAAGTCAGGAATCGAGCAACGGAAATTCAAGCATTAAAATTGGGAGATAATATCGTTGCTCATGTAAACCTCAGATTAGCTATATAATTAATGTCAGCGGATGATCGTGAATAACAAGCATTGCCCGCTTGGCTAAGTGGTATAGCGTGTCACTAGTACTCCTAGATGTCATGACAAGATCAGCGGTTCGATTCCGCTAGTGGGCATCCATCTTCTCCGAATTGGTGTAGTGGCTAACATTTGACGCTCTCAGCTAGATCATATCTGTGATCTTGTGGCAGCCCCGTCAAGCCCGGGGTTCGATTCCCCGATTCGGAGGCAATTCACTTTTGGTACATGCTGGGGGGTGTATTCAAATTTTTTATCCTCTTTTCTTTTGGCGTTTATGAAAATAGATGCACAACATGATGGATAGCGGTTTGTAGAGTAGCATTAGTTACTATTTTGCCCGATTCAAGATAGAATTTGAAGTTGGCTTGGTTAGGTGGTGGTTGTAGTAATAATATATATAATAAATACATGCCTTGACATTCAATACACAGCCGAAAGATCTTTCCATCTTGAATACTTGATTTCTACACATACATGCTACATTGTACATATACATATGTTGCTGCTCTTAAGCGTTGGTTAGTCATATTTTAATATAATCAAAATTGGTAGTGCAAGCCCTTCTTGAGGGTGTATTAATTGCATGGCATGTATGTATGCATTTATTCTATGCTTGATAACGAAACGTATTAACTACTCATTAATCTTTAATAGTTGATACTCACCAGTTCCATTTCAAACCTCAGTCAAAACCAGCGTCCTAGGACTATCTAAAGCCGCGATCTAACAGAACCCGTGTATTGCCTCACCCTGTAGCTAAAAAAAGCCATAAGAGGTTCTGGTCTTTAGGCCACCGCGTCCTTGGTAACATCAGTATTTATGACAATGTCATCTCTGTCCCTAAAGTGTAAAATAATAGTGACCTGGAGTAAATCGAGATCGTCTCCATAGTCTGGGCCAAGTATGCCGTTTACGCTTGCAAGTGAAGCGCGGGTCGATAGCTCGGCTTTAAGATGACGGATTTCGGCCGTCAGCTCGAGATATCGTTCTTTCTAGGAACATTCGTGATTGGGAGGCGCGATGGGGGTGGGCTTGGTAATTTCAAGCTGAGAGGATTTCGTGTCGCTGTGCTCGATGTCGCAGTCAGATCTGTGAGTTGTGGCAGTCACGATAGTAGATACATGGCCGGGTTGTTGTTGATGAGGGGAGTATACATGTAAGGATAAAGGGCTTGCGGTTTCTGTGCGACCAAGCTGCTGCGTATTCGAGCGCAGGTGCTTGTGTTCACTCTCCTATCGTTCTATAAGCGACTGCGACAGTCCACCCCGAGTTGTAGATGTTGCGCCTTGCTGCTGACCTTGCTCTGTGTGCGCCTGATGAATGGCGCCTTTGCCTTGTTTCAATGTGTTAGATGAGGCGGCTATGACCGAATGAGCTTGATGAGCACGCTCGAACATCTCACGGCGCTTCGACACAGAAACCGAGTTTGTCTTATGTTCGTGCCCGGGCGGGTCGACCCGTATCTCGGGCGTCATCTGGGGTGTCTCCGTTTCTTTAGTTATCAATGGCGTCGAAGTACGGCTTCTCGTGTCGCGTTCCCCATCTGACTTTGTTCCGGCATTGACTTGGTATCCTATACGATTCTCGTGACGAGAGCGAAGCTGGGTCTGCGCACTTTGATGGTGCTGTTTCTTCTCGATAGTGAACGGGGAAGAGGTGAGCAAGTGAGTCGACTCCTGGCTTGCGTCTTTTCGCATGTCGGTACTGTGAGCAGGGCTTATGGAACGATTGGTCGATTGGCCTCTTCAACCATTGACGGTAACGCTCGAAAGGTTCCCATGCTCGTGCTCATATGTTCTATGGCTTTTCGTATTGATATGATGAAGTGGAGCAGTAGCATCGGCTGGTACCTTGGTAGGGTTTCTGAGCCACGACGGCGTGCTGGCTAGCCGAACTCTCGGGTAGTCATGCCCACCCATGGATGCGTTCAAATCATTGTGAATATCCCTTTGTTCACCCCGAATAACAGACCCCTCAGAAATCACGTCTTTTGCCTCGCGCGTAGTTTTCCTGTCTGTTGGTCCGGATACCCACCGATCCGACACACTTGCTGTAACTTCTGTCGCCGTGGAAGGTTTACGCCTCCCGTTATTCAAGCCTCCGGGATGACCCCGGGGAATGGGGTCTGGTGTCCACTGAAATGAATCTATTTCTGTAACTGATTTGGCTGGCGTAAGCGGCTCAAGATACGAAATTGGTTTCATGTTTCTCTTTGGGGAGGATGGCGTTGACTGAATCTCTTTCGCACCACGCCCGTTGAGGAGATCATAGGCGCTATGGCCGACAGCAGATGAAAGATGTTCTACGATATGATTAGAACTGTGAAAATCAGCAGTGTGGTGGCGATGAGTCGTATGTGCCTGATCTGGTGGGAGGCTCGTATCAGAATCAATTGTCTTGAACACTTTAGCCACAGGTGGCCTATCTGGAAAACTATCAGGCTCTAACGCTGGGCTCCTCCGCTTACCCTGATGTTTAGGACAAGAAACACTGTGTCGAAAAGGATGATGTCCGGCATGGGTCGCTCTACACATTGGGTCGTCACAATCCACCTGGTTGGTGTCACATACAGAAACACCTTCCTCCATCTCGTGTCCTGGACCTTTTCTATCCCTGACCAAAAACGGATTCTCCCTAACGAGCTGTTTGGGTCGGCTTAGTGCCTGTTGAGAAGGCTCTTCATTCGTTCGCAAGTCGTGTCTTGCGGGTTGCGAAGATTTCTCTCGAAGCGTTGTTGTTTTGACTGCATGCGCCTGGTTTCTGTTTCGCCAACTAGAGTCATCTCGATAACTGGAAGATCGATGATGGTGTCGGTCTGGGTACTCATGATGTCGCCTGTTAGAAGTAGAAGAAGTTGTTTCGGCTTGATCCAAGTGCTGGTTTGGCTTGGAAGTAATGATATGATGCGAACCGTCTCTTATTATAGTAGGACTTGGATGGTGCGAGAAGCCGGGATGAGCCTGCGGAGTACCACTTGAGATCTCACAAACACACCTTTGACAAAGATGGTGCCCACAGGCGGAGCAGTGGGTGGGAGCCCAAGTAGGGGTTGAGCAGATGTGACAGTATCTGCAACATCTTCGGGGGCTGGCATTTCCATCCCCAGAGAGAGATAGGTCCTCCACGTCTGAAAGCCAGCCTGAGGGCATATTGATATCGTACTGCGCAAACATATCTCGAGCTGACCTCCACTTCTCCATTCTTGGCGTTCTATGTGAGTTGGGAGGAACAAATGGTATGTCCTGCGGCTCCTTGGTGGGAGCTAGGGGATTTACGAAGGGTGGTGCTTCATAGGTGGGAGCTGGCAAGGTAAGATTGATTGGTCTGAGGGTCGATCCCTTGTTAGCGTTAGAAGCATGCCGCCCATCAGATGAGTGAATCTCCGTGAGCCCAAATTTGTTGCATAAGTGACCCATAGAGAAACTCTTTCGACAAGATGGTTGCAAAAAGGGCTGTGTCCGAGCTCTAGATTCCCGACGCTGCTCGCCATATTCATGCCGACCACAGCTGTGAAACACAGATGACTGCGTAGCGGGGGGTGTGCGAAAATCAGGAATGTCGTCGAGGGATTGCGCTGAATATTTGGTGAGCTGGGAGTATGTCGGACGTTTCCAACCGACCGATGCCTGCACACCCTGACGTTCGCCAGAGGTGGCATATTCAGATGAATTGCCCGGGCTGGAAATTAGGTGAAAACGACGAGCCCTTGATTGTACGGTACCAAAGGGGAGTGGGACCTCTGAATTAGGAGATCCACTCTTGCTGGTCCGGTTCTTAGCCGCGTATCTTGATGGGCGTAAAGACATTGCGAAAATTATTTCGAGATGCTTAAAGCTGAATCAGAATAGCGCATCATTATCCGGCTAAGTATGTGGCGTTAGGGATATATCTACCGCATCAAGAGCCGAGAACGGCACTGTTGCGCTATTTGCTGGTATAATCAGAGATCGAAGAGTTGATAATTTAAGTGACTTCGTCGGAAGACCTGTTAGCACGGGTCAGTAGTGACTTTCGACAAACCTGGGTCGGTTAGTAGCGATGGGCATGGCAGGTAGGCGCATTCACGATGGATGGAAACCGCAAGCGTGTAGCACCCAGACACTCAAAACCTTGTTTATTCGCTCTCGAGAATTGTAGGGAATTATGCTGATGTACAGTGTTGTTGCGTGATAACTATGCTTTATACAGTCTATTTCAGAACATTTTGCAAGCTCTCCAGAACCTGATATCGTCAGTGAAATGGAACTCAACCAAAGAAGTATATGCATTACCTCCAATTCGATCTTAGCCTCCGCGATATCTTGCTCACTGCCACTGCCGTTGGCGACCTTCTGCGCCTCAGCAATTTGAGACCGGACAGCTTCGGCGCTGAAGTCTTCCAAGGGGTAACCCTCAACAGCGTTGATACTCAGTACGGAATTGGGCTGAACCGTCGCGAAACCACCAGAGACTGGCTCTCGAGTTAGTAAGCCGTGTATAATAACTTCTCTATTTCATCTACGCACGGAAAAATTGCTTGCTAGAGCCATTCTCCTCAACAACCTCGACAAGGCCGGGCTTCAGTTGCTCGATCGAAGGCACGTGGTTGGCAAGTACACCCATTTCTCCGGACTCGGCGGGAATGTTAACCTGGACAACATCCTGCGAACTGAAGATGGACTGGTGCGGGAATTAGCAACGGGTCGGCGGGTAACAACATTGTAGTTGTGATCGTAGATCCGAAAGTCGCAGCGTGTAGTGATACATGATGATTACGTTGTATATCTAGACCTTATCGTACCTGGTGAGGGAGGGACAAGCTTAGCTTGATCTATGTAATGTTAGTAGACCACCTTATTAGCCTGGGGAATTGAGGGATACAAGCCTTGTCGGGAGCAGCGTCAGCATAACCCCTTCGCTGCAGAGGCTGGATAGGGAGTCGCAAAGCAGCAGGGCGAGCTCGGAGAGCAGCGCCGGCGGCGCGAGCGACGCGAAAGGTGTTCATGGTGACAGGGGTGGTCAATTGAGGATATTCGTGACGAGCGAAGCTCACGATGGTCAATGGCAGCAAATTGGGATTCAATGCTTGGAGGGCGGACTATCGGAAGTTCTCGGCCTAGCCCGATGTGGTACAACATAGCCACGTGATTCTTCACGTGATATATTCATTTGCGATTGAACCAGGTCACGTGAAGAACGTAGCGTAGGTATCAGTAATGACGTAAAAGCTATTCTAGATATTGTATGTTGGGTGCGTAATTTGTCTCGTGAGTAATATCTTCGTTCCGCAGAAACGTATTTTTCTAACTAGAATATCTACGAAATTGTTTGCGGTGGCCCTTTAGGCTTCAGCTAATGGGGACATCTAAATCTATCAACGAAAAGCTGGATTGTATATAAGTAGGTATCTAGAGTAGGTAGTGACAACTGGATGGAATCCTTGAATAGCAAAAACAGAAAATAGGCTAAAATCGTACACTTAAGTGACTGAGGCTGTGAGTTGTTTATATTTAGCAGATTCGTAATGCTTACGACAACGTATAGACTTCCCAACCTGTCAAGATCGGCGACTGACCCTGAATGAGGCTGTCGTCATGCACATATCGCCTCGTCTACAGGGCTGACGATGTGCATATCACCTAGTCTTTAATCGGAATTCTGTCATGACCAAGTAAACCTATCTGCTGTAGATACTGTGCATGTACTTCAACCATACTAGTCAGAAGAATGCCAGACTTGCTCTGGAGTTGCTCTAGGTTTTCATATCCCGTGATTACGTCGTTGACAATGTATCCGCTGGAAAGTGATTGGAAGCATAACGCTAGAAGGAAACAAAAGGATGGAAGAGAAAAGTGTAAATGTCACTTGGCCTGTCAAACTTTTGGCTCATCTACTGCATTCTCGTATCCATGATCTTATCCTCCCCAAGTATAGTTTCCGAATTCCGGAGAGGTACATTCTGTCTGACTGCGAGTGCAACGGCGAGCTTGCCCGAGTACCGAAACAGAATTCTTGTTTGTTCATGGAGGGGCACCGCCTGTAGTGAGTTGTCAGGTAAACGTCACACTGGAGAGAGAGCCACCCGGCCTACTACGTGTAATGTAAATGCGCATAATGTCGACGCAAAACAAAAGCAAACAGGGAGCCTGTCATTGCTGGATAAAGATGCCGACCATATCTTGAAACGTTTGGGGCACCACAAACACCAAACCCTACATGAAGTATATCTAAGCAGAATGACGAATGCCGGGCATGAGCTAGGGATATGTACTCCCGGATTGATTGCATTGTAAGGGCTCGCTGTCGGAAACCCGGGAACACCATGGGAACAACACTTGTCTTCCGTCATTGTGGTCGGCGCTTTAACGGGACAATCAGCATAACTGATTGATCATGAAGCCGCTCTGCGAACCCCATGGTAGCTTGGCTAATCCATTGAGTATCCGCCATACTGGAAATTCGTACCGCGGTGCGCCGGCACGTAACCTTGTACGTTGCCACGACACAGCGCATCAATTATTAATGCCGAGGGGTAGTGGTGTAGGTATCAGGAATAATCAATACTGCAATGGGACAAACACAAATGAACATCACCTGTCCGGGCTTGTGCTTGTTAATCCAGTCGTTGTGTGTGCTACTATAGCTTCACTCTCACCAATACTGTTCTTACTGCTCCTAGCCTCTAAGCACCTAGATACTCGCCTGCCTACCTACCTATTGAAATATTAAGTATGACCCACAGCTGAGAAATAAGGGACTGAGCTCACGTACGTTAGAATGCGGGCAGGATGATGCGGGGTTGCTCTTTGATGGTGGTGTTATGGTGTTGTGCTGCAATAAGTATTCCCTAGGCCCGCAACCACTGGGCTTTCTCGAACCCGGTAATAAACTGGATATTGTGTGGAGTTGACGAGCTGAGTGCTTCAAGTTGGTAGACTAGAGACGTCACACGCATCCAAATCCATAGAGTGATAGATCATAAGCGGGGATGGCGAGGGATGGGCAGAGGATGGGGAACATTGCAATAAAGAACATGACTAGCACTAGTATACGCAGTAACACGAAACTGAAACTCGACATGTGGCAGTCCAGAAGTCGGGACTGACCTTTGCTGGAGGATCCAAAAATGGGCATGTGAATATACATCTGGAAGAGATCGACCTTTTCAGATGTAAAACAATGGCGGGAAGTGCTAGGGCAACTTACTTGGGAGAGGTTATGAGATTGCAGGCTCCAGACCAGTCCTTCCTGATATCATAAGACAGTAACTTTACTTTGAAATACAAGGAATGGTCTTGTCCGCTGGACCGAAGCTAAGGGCATTGCTGAGCCAACATACTTACATGGAGCTTAATTGTATTGCAAGGAAACCATATACCGAGTGATGACTTAATATGTTACATTGTAGTAGTCAAGACTAGCCATGTATTGTGCCGCTTATTGTGAGAATAGGTACCTACCTACTCTGACCTACAGTACCTAGTAGGGAGCTACTAGCATACACGTGTAGGCGTCTCGTCCGCGTGGGATACATCGCATGTTCCACAGAATCACAGACTCGGACTTGACTTGATTGGGCCTCGGCAGGGACTCGATTCGGATCATGATTTGCAGGGCCAACCTGATCCGTTGATGTCTTGTGCTCGCTGTACATCATTTTCGACGGTATCCCGACTTGGGCTAGCGAGACGTAAATATTTCTACAGAAATACAGTATGGAGCCGTGAAGTGGATTCAGACGCTCATGAGAGCTTGGTGGTGTACATTCTGCAAGTAAGAACTGGCCAAATTACGCTACGTTCCATAAGCACCTTGTACGCGATGTTTTAGGTAGGTACTCTGCACTAAATTGCCGTGTGTGAGAGTCATAATAGTACTGTAGATCTTCCATAAGAAATACACTAAGAATTATTAATAGGCATAAGTAGAGGTATGTACTAAGTAGTTCTGTATTTTACATGGGTCAAGTCGAGTGCGCTACATGCGCGCGTAGTGTAGTTTTGCTGCATTTTAATCGCGCATATTACCACGAGAGTTTAGACGAACCGTCTAGGTACATGCTCTTGGGGTTAGGGTAGATGTTGACTACACCGCAAATCCGGAAAGAAATCGGTGATGATCAGAGATCCATATTGCTCATTATTGTATAAGCACGAGTAATATCGTCTAGCATGGGATGAAGGGACTAGGCCACAAATTTTGACTTCTTGCGCACCGATATCGTCTACGACGCTGGAGAGCGGCGAGTAGACACTACCTACCCTACAGTACGTAGCCGAGAATTTCGCCCTCGCTAGAACCTGTGAAAAAAAGATAATCGGTTCCAGGTTCCAATTGTATGTTACGTTAAATATCCCGGCTTGGCCGATTTGCCCTGCTGACCAAAACTGCATGTGGGCATCTTAGAAGGAACCTGACTTGACCGCTCACCAAAAGCTACATCAAAGAATGGTAGGTCTATAACTGCTCGCTTAGCGGAGGGCTATTACAGATATATACAGTGCCTTATCGTGATGCGGCGATGATGGTCGAGGCCTCATCGTGATATGCAGCCATCAATTAATCAACAGAGAGCATCGGTAGAAACGCCTTGGTAATCTGAATCTGGCCTACAATCAATCTGCAGACCACACGTACTGTATACACAAAACTATCTAAGAGGTGGCTTCAAGTTTGACAGGGCTAAACTACCACACTACCTATATAAGTGCCCACCCATACATAAACCTAGACAGTATAGAGGAGGTACGCTCACTGTATTAGTACTACGTATCCTGGCCATAAGTAGGAACTCGAAGTACATGTGCGTGTCACAAACGCGGCTACTGTAATGGATGAGCTGCATCGGAGGTCGCATGCAAATCTCGAGTTCCCACCAATGGTTTATGGTTGGATGTCATGGTGGGAAGAGTAGGCAGAGTAGGGAAGTGTGCAGAGGATCTTTGGACCCTTGGTTCGGCCCTTGGTTAACCGGCTAGGCAGCTCGCGGCAACTCTCTGGCCAAGAAGTTCCAAGAACTACCAAGCCCTGATTAGCCGCTCTTGGGCAATTTTTTCGATATTAAGAAAGGCCTTAGTGGAAGCTTGTGTGTAACGGGAATCGCGAATTGTTGGGAGGAGGCGCGTTGGCACTTGGGACACTTTCGTTTACCTCTTTTTTTTTTTTTGTATCTACATTACTTCCAGCTAGCAAGCAGAGCAGAAAGCAGAGCTATGCTGGAAGAGGCCAGAGCCGTTTTAGATTCTGCAGTAGACACAAGGCATGTGCAAGAATTACCCTAGCATTACTCGATACGCGACAGGGGGCCCTTGATGAAGAGGGGTCACTTCGAGCACCTCAACTTGTGCCGTGCAACCCATGGTCCCGGTGCCAGCCCTGTAAACGTACACTAATGCTGCTGCTGGATGCTGTGCAAGTAGGTACCTATGTAAAGTGACGGTATTTTTGGTGGTGCAGGACGCAGCAAGGAGTGAGGAACTGTCCCGTTTAGGTATGTCGATGCTTTTGCAACGTTCGATTGTGATGCGTGCGCCTCTAGCTCTACTTACCTCCTACCTACTACTACTGTACACTGATCCCTATGACGCCAATACCTGCCGCAGTAAGCGCAATATCTGAGTCTGATCTGAGCAACAGGATCACCGAAAACCAACCTCTGAATGTAAGTACTATCTATGTATTGTGCCAGGTTGTAGCTACTGTAACCGATCGGTAGGTCGAAAGGCACTGACTACTAGGTATCCATGTCATAAGGTACTATATACCTATATCAGAAATCAATCAAGTACATGTGTGTTGGTTGTGCGCTGCCCCTCACAGTCTCGACAGTCTTCAAGTTGCTTCGTCGATTGCCCTTCGAGCGGTGCGCATACAGTGCACGTACACAGTCGATTCAGAGCGGAGGCACAGTGGGGCGCTACCTATTTGCGCACAGCGAATCGAGTGGGAGCAGGTGGGAGCATGTTTGCGATTCGATGTTTCCAATACTGTATAATCCATTTTCAAGGCCGCGCCCTGAAGTGCGCTACACTGCAGTAGTCGGTACAATCTTCTCGAAGAATTGGAAACTAATAAGCTGACCGCTGAAAGGGAGGGAGTAAGACAAAAAAAAAAAATTAAGTACAAAAAATCCAGAAAATAAGGGACAACCCACCTGACCTGTACACCGTGACCACGTCTCTCGCAGCATCAATTACATGCGCATGTACATCCACCAGAAGTACATAGGTGGTGCCTACATGTATTCAATAACATTTCCTTCATACCTACATAGTACGGATCTCAGGTTTTCTGCCCTGGTCTATTGTCCGTCTTCCCACCAAACATTCAAGCCTGTCCGCCACCGCCGTCCATCTCTCTGTCGCTCATCTCCCCAGTGGGATTTCCGCTTTCCTCAATACTAAAGGCAACCTCCTCTTCCCTCCGCTTCCTTCGTCCGTTCACTTCAGCAACAACTTGTCTTCTCAGCTTAGTATTGTCGGCGTTTTATGCAATTTCTTAGTACAACGTCGCATGCGCCTTTGCCCTTTGCAGCCAGCAGCACGCATATCCGTCCTCTTCGGGATTGTTTGCAGATCCCTCTGCGCCACTTGATTCGACGTCAGAATTAGTGACGGCCAGCGACAGCCAAGCCTGTCCAAGACCCAAGACCCCCTTGCGCCTCTCGCATCCTGCTCAATCGGCCAAGTGCCGTCCGTACAGCCATCTATCTATACGCAGCTTCCGGCTTTGACTCAAACTGTCAGCCTGTTGCTTGCTTGGCCATCCTCTGACCAGCTACCGTACCATTCACTCCCCTTTGACTGGATCGACGACCTGCTTGTCATCCGCGTCTTTTAATCTATACTGCTGCGGCATTCCGCAGCCCGTGCTCATTTATACATTTCTTCCTAACAGCACAACTGCAAGGAAATCATCATGGTTCTTCTGTTATAGCAAGACGGTCCCTAGGGACACCATACTGCGCTCTTTCTGGCCAAGAACCGGAGCCTACATTCTGCGCATCGGCATTTCAACCTCTTTACATTATCTTACAATTATCTCAGCCTCTCCTAGGCTCTTATCATATTCTAGTTCTTTAAAGGAGTTAATATTGAGGTTAATATCTGGCCGAGAAAGTTGGCCGTCTCAACTTCTATATTCTCTGAAACTATCTTGTATTTCGACGACTGCTATAACATGGCGAACGGTCGGGCCAATAACCTGGGCACGTCGAGTATACTCGCTTGGTCTTCCCAAGCAGCTCATTTGCAACATGGCCCAGACGACGAGGTGGCTGCCGAAGTAGATGAACCCCCGGATTCAGGATCTGACCCGAATTCCCCTCGAAATCAATTCAAGAGAACTGTAGTTCCACGAATCGCGGACCACTCCGAATCCCTCCTGACGAAAGCACTTCATCAGCCCAGCGAAGACAATATCAAAAGCTATCACCCTGTCGCCCCTGTAAGACGGCGTTCTCTGAATAGTAATATCAGCTTGGCTTCTACCGCCGACCTTACAAGCGACACTGGATTTACAAGCCCTACTCGCACGACTACTCCCAGCCCCCCACCGCCAGTGATTTCTTTGGCTGGACTTGAGAGAGACTTGTTGAATGGAAAGCAAGGGGCTATTCGCCCTGGTAATTTCAGAAGACAAGCTGCACCTGAATCGCGTCCGACTGCGACGCAATCTCGCGGGGAAATTAAAGACACTCCTATAGACGCTCTTCAGAAGAAGCGATGCATTTCTTTTGCTTGCGGCCCTAAGCCTGAAGCAAAGCAAGCTCCAAGTCAACCCCAAGCTGTGAAAACGTCCACGACCGAAGAGAAAGCGCCGAGGAAAACTTGTATTAAGTTTGCTTGCCCCGCACAACCCGCTACTGGGACCGAAACTTCCAAGCGTGAACAGCAAAACACCGAGCCGTTATCCGTTGTGACTTCGGCAAAGAATAGCAGTGGCTCTTCCTCATCAATCCGTAAATATCGATCTCCGTCAGCCACCCGTGGCCGACATCAGCGGTCTCTAACGCCACAAGCCATCGGCAAAAGTTTAGCGACAAATCGGTCCTCAAAATATCTGACTGCGAACGCCAATGATCTGAATACGGAGTCATCCCGATTTCACGAGTTCGCAAGTGATGAACCTCTGCAAGAGGATTGGCTCCTACAGAATCTTCCGTCTACCTGTGCTCGCTTAACCATCGATGACACGCTACGGAAAGAGAACGAAATTCGACGGTTAGGGAAGGAGGCTGAAGAGGAGGCTCTTGAAGAGGAAGAAGAGGAAGAGAATGAAGATGGAGAAGGGGAAGACGATGAAGTGGAAGAGGAAGCGGATCTGGAAAACGAAGAGGACATTGATATGGACGACTTAGATGAGGATGAAGAAGCTGGCGAAGATGAAGACGAAGGCTTTGACTCACAATCAGAATATGGCTCTGACGATATCGCTTCTGATGGGTACAATACCGACAACGAGGTTGGGTTTGCGGAGTCTGAGGATGAGGACGATGGTGAACTGCAACTCTGGACACCAAGTACTGGCCTAGCCGTCCGACTGTCGAATGACTCGCTCATTTGTCGTCGTCCCTCTTTGGCTGGCGAGAAATCCGATTCTTCCTCTTCGGAAGGGGCCAATATTGCTAAGCGGATTCGAGAAAGAGGTCGTCGGATCAAGTTTCGACCTGGTACTCCAGAGCTACCCGATAGCACCGACTTCGTATGTGGTACTCTCGATGAAGACCGTGTCCTGGAGAATGCCTATATCTCTTGTTTGGCTGTAAAACGTCGAGAAAAGCTCCACCCAATTCCACAGGATATTGACCCCAGTTTTCCCACGTCAGAACCTGAAGATGAAGACATCAAATCTCATAGGCGTGGTCACGACAGCGACGAACAGCTCTGGATTCATGGAGAATTGGAAGACATCCATCACACACGAGACCAAGATGGTGAGCGTCGCAAGAAAAAGCCAGGGCATGTATCCCCCAAACGGTATCGTTCACCACCGCCTAAAGCTCGAGGTCGTTCTCCACGACGGCTCTTTGACAGACACTCTCCCCGTAGACTCGTGTCGCCGCCCCCGCCTGGTCGCGTCAATATGATGCGGTCCCCTCCAGCGTCCTTGGTTCACGGTGGGCAGTGCAATAACGCACAATTTAAGACGCTAGCATTCCGGCCTGGGTTGACTCATACTAAGTCTCTACCCAGAGCTCCGGCTCTCTTCCCGCCTCATATTAAGAATCAACGCCGGATGAGCAAGGCGTTAGAATCCGGTGTCCATGTTCGGGGTGCTATTGATATCGTGAAAGGTTTGGAGCAGAAACGGCAACGCCGGAAAGAGAAGTTCAAGGAGAAGTATCTTCAGAAGCACACCAACAAGGCGCGAAAAGGCCAACTACCTCAGCAACGGCCCCAACCAGGCAAAGGCGCTGAGCGGATGAGAGAAATCGGCCTTCTTTCAGCCGGAAAACTGGACCCGGACCAATATGTGTTGTCTATCTGAAGGGTCGGTTGGTTTAGTGACACATCGTTCTTTCGTATATTTATTGCAAAGCAGCATCAAGTTCTCGGTTCTGCTTTATAGCTAGCCTAGCTGTACATAACATCCTTCTTTTTTCTTTTGAAATTGGCGAATTTTTCTTTGTCTTGGGCTGGTTTTTCTTACGAGGAGCGGGCTTGGTTGGTCATCGGATACCAAATGGTAAAGGCATATCAGCATATGGGATGGCGTATGGTAACAGATACCAATTACTTGAATGCATATGAGAATTACTTGCGCAAAGGTCATCTCCTGACACTTCTGGTGAACCAACTGTCTCTAATCAGACGACTATTAAGTCTATGTTAAGTTTGAGTAGTGAGCAGTGAGTATATATAGACGAACAGGACAGTTTGCATTTAGGCAATGGACTTCTACCCAACCCAACCTAACGTAACATAACCTATAGTATAGCCATGCCATTGAGTGCCTAAGTATGTAATCAGTATATTGTAGCGAATAGGCAGGGGGTTTATGAGGTGGTCTAAAAGCCTAGGTATTCGTTGCTTTTTAGAATTGCTATCCAATCTAACACTAGGTAGAATTGCCGAGGTGGCGACTCAATAGATACATAGGTAGCCCTAGGAAAATATCATGCAACAACCAGTACCCGGGGCAGCTGGTGGGGCCGAGTGACCAGGTGGCCACAAGTGTTCTCTCATGGAGCGAGCACTGCCAAATTGGTCTCTCCGAGCCTCCCAGCTCGTTTTTCGTAGCCAGGCCTACAACGGCCACGATAGCCCGCTATAAAGAAAGTTATAGTACAGGTAGAGGTAGGCAAGGACAATTTGCGCCGAAGTAGCGCAAGGTGTCATTGAATTAGACAATCTTTCTCTCCACGGCAAGCTATCTTGAAGATATCCAAAACTAAAATCCTTGAGTGGTGCTATACTTATTGCTTCATCTGTTAAATAGGTACGTAGGTACGTAGGTACGCACACTGTGGGTGGACACCTGGCCTTCTAGTGAACCTTTGTGGCCGCTGCAGGTGGCATGGACACAACTGACCTGTCTCGCCTTACCCAGCCTGTAGACTAATCTACCTAGGTAGGCACGTCTGATATCAGATATTGCTATATCCGACCCGCCATACATGTCCTCCATCATCCATCACGCCAACATCAAAACTGTCAGCTTCCTCTAGACAACACAGCCAGCTAAGATCCCCGACGACTTGCCTGCACCGAGATCTTCCCAACACACCCCTCTATCGCCAAGATGTGGATTGTTCAGTGGTGTTTGTGCTCCCGCTCTCCCACTGTTCCTGCTTGCACGAGATTGACTGACACTCACCCATCACCCGCTAGTCTACGATGTCCTCTCCTCTCTTGGCTTGATGAACAAGCACGCCAAGCTGCTCTTCCTGGGTCTGGATAATGCCGGAAAGACGACTTTGCTACACATGCTGAAGGTTCGATCCCGCCACACAACAGTTATCATTGCGCTGAAATCAGCCGTCCCCTCGTCGCTCGGCCGATTACGTCGCTTGGCCTCGTATACATACACGCTACACCCTTGAGAACAGAGAGCTGAGATATCTATTGTATAGAACGATCGTGTCGCAATTCTTCAGCCTACTCTCCACCCCAGTACGTTATCGACATCGAACTCTTTGTTCCAGACCCCTACTTTACCGAGCTATAGGTTGCTGACAAGCATCTGGCAGCATCCGAGGAGCTTGCCATTGGCAACGTCCGATTCACGACTTTTGACCTAGGTGGCCATCAACAAGGTACGCTGCGATATTTGACCTATCGGTCCTGCTTGCCGCTAACAGTTTGCGTGGTGCAGCCCGTCGGCTCTGGAAAGACTACTTCCCCGAAGTCAATGGCATAGTTTTCCTCGTCGATGCCAAGGATCACGAACGTCTCTCCGAGTCTAAAGCCGAGCTTGACGCTCTGTTGTCCATGGAGGAACTCGCTAAAGTCCCATTTGTTATCTTGGGTAACAAGATTGACCATCCAGATGCCGTGTCTGAAGACCAACTTCGTCATGAGCTGGGTCTGTACCAGACCACCGGCAAGGGCAAAGTTCCATTGGATGGAATTCGACCCGTTGAAGTTTTCATGTGTTCTGTGGTCATGAGACAAGGTCTGTTAACCCGCCTCTATTATCCTCGTGCGGGCATCTTTTCAATAATGCTAATCCGTGTTATAGGTTACGGTGATGGCATCAGATGGCTCTCACAATATGTCTGAGTTCTAAACGACCATGTTAACATATGCTATCGTATCTGCTGATGGCAACTGCGTGACCATTCTGCAGATGTCTTATGCAATCCTGGAGTTCTTTCATTTTCATTTTCATTTTCATTTACTGCTTGCTTCTTTCTCAGCTCTGTTCAGGCTTACGGGGGATGTTTTAATGGAGTCTATGATTAGAGGCAATGGCATTAAATACCAGCATCTTCAAAATGCATCGGTTCAGAGATGATTCACTTGCACGAGAAACAAGGTTCCGTAATGCTTATACCTATGACAGTTGGATTTGTTGTACATTCCTCTGGCCAGTCACTGTTCTGACTGGTAAATCCAAGAAAATTAATCAGGTGAGAAGACGTAAGCTTCTGGGGGTTTACTCTATACTTGATAGCTACCGTCCTCTTTCAGTCTGCAACATTCTCCTTCCATTGGCATGGTATATACCGACGTGAGTAGCTTCAGGGCGCTTAGGGGCTGCAATATGCCTTCTAAGCGTTGCGCATATTTGTTTCACCTATTCTATATGTAAGTCGGAAGAATAAAAATAGATGTAGCTGTTTCAAGTAACTTATCAATCGGCGAGGACCGATTGACTACGACGCATTTGCATATGTCGAGTATTCATTAGGCACTTGGTTGCTAGCTAAGGTTAGACTGTTACCTGGAAGTACTTATCTAACCTAGGTAACTCCTAGGTAACTACTCGGTAACTACTTAGGAAACGAAGATGACGTCGCACACAAAGCAACCCCCCGACATCCCTGCAAGTCAACAACTGAACCTCGCTCTTTCACTCACTCACACATCACCAGACACTCAGGCCGGCACTATCAGACCACCACGATCCGCGTGCTCGCTACCTCGCCTCTATGGTTCTTTCGTGGCGATGATGGCCTCTCTCTTTGTTGATTGCTAGCCACTCACAGTAATTGTATTCCCAGTTCCCACCATACATAAAACATCATGATACCTTTCCCCATTCTCCGCCTGCTCAACCACCATGGCAAATGTTAAACGACCATTACCAACTCCCAGTGCCACCGAGCGCGATCGCAACTACGGCTTCCCACCCGAATCTTTTGACTACACTAGGCTTCCCGATATCGATCGTCGGTTTCTCCCTGCCGAACACCTTGCGGCTTTTGCTCAAGCTCTATCTGCGCCTGACCCGACACCCTCCACCGACGATGTCTTGACCTCAAGCGTGCGCAGCCCAAGCCTGGTTGGCGCTGAGTACACACGTTCGGGCTCTGCCCCTTCTATCGATACCTCGGGATTACCTGAGGCTGCCACTCACACCAATGGCGCCCAGAGTAACTTGTTCATTACCGCACAGAATGATTGGGCACCCGTGAATGAAAAAATAAAACACGGTCGACGCAGGAAGAGGAAGAAGTTCAATATTGGCAGCCGGACTATCGACGAGACTCGCGAAGGGTATTTGTATGGCCTATTAAAATGGCCCTTCCTTTTCTCTGTCGTGCTGTGGATCATCGGACTAGGGGCTGCCTACCTCGCAACCAGATTCTATATCTTTCTTTACGAACATTACGTCGCCTGGACTGGAAGAAGGGAGAGGCTGAGGCGAGCCTTGCGCTCTGCAAGCAGTTATCGTGACTGGGTTCGCGCGGCAAAGGAACTAGATGCCTATTTAGGAAATGAGAGGTGGAAGGAGGAGAATGATTACGCATACTACGATTCTAAGACTATTCGCCGGGTTTACGAACAGACCCGTAAATATCGCGGCGCCGCCGAAAAGGAAGAAGCGCAAGGTGGAAGCAGGAAGGATCTCGAGAACCTCAAGGCTTTAACTGAGGCTTGCGTCAAGAACAACTTTGTGGGTGTAGAAAACCCTAGACTCTACAGCCAGACATACTACGGAACGAAGAATCTGGTGCAGCGTTTTATAGATGAAGGTGGGCCACTCACTTTCTTTTCGCACCATTCATAGTATACCATTCGGCTAACTTGGCATGTAGTTGAGAAAAGTACGCGGTTTTTGATGAATTCACACCAATTATCTCTAGACGAAAAGCATAGTCTCTTCAAGAGAATGCACGCAAACTTTGGCCGAACTGCATTGTGTCTCTCTGGAGGAGCTGTAAGTATTACAGGAACTATGCGCCCGGTTGATTTTAGTCTTTTAGGGCTCTAACAAGTGGCTAAGAAACGATCACTAACTATTAACTCTCAAGTCATTCGCATACTATCACTTTGGAGTCGTCAAGGCGCTACTTGAAGCAGACCTTCTTCCTGACGTTATTACCGGTACAAGTGGAGGGGCTCTTGTTGCTGCTCTCGTTGCGACTCGGACGAACGAGGAACTCAAGCAATTGCTCGTACCGGCCCTTGCTCACAATATCCAAGCCTGCTCTGAACCTATCACTAAATGGTTTCCAAGGTGGTGGAAGACTGGAGCAAGGTTCGATTCCGTCGACTGGGCACGCCAGGCTAGCTGGTGGTCCCGCGGTTCTATGACATTTAGAGAGGCATATGAAAGAACTGGGCGAATTCTCAATGTTTCATGCGTTCCGGCCGATCCTCATTCGCCCACTATCCTTTGCAATTACCTAACGTCACCAGATTGCGTAATCTGGTCTGCCGTTCTGGCAAGCGCTGCTGTGCCCGGTATTCTAAATCCTGTCGTGCTGATGATGAAGACTCTAGATGGCTCTCTAGTTCCATATTCTTTCGGCCACAAGGTATGCGGATTCTTTTCTTAGCAAAATGCGCACTCCCAAACCTCGACAGAAGATACTAATCTAGTCTGACAGTGGAAAGATGGAAGCTTAAGGACAGATATTCCAATCAAGGCTTTAAATCTTCATTTCAATGTCAACTTCACTATTGTTAGCCAAGTGAACCCACACATATCATTATTCTTCTTCTCGTCGAGAGGTACGGTCGGCTCCCCAGTTACTCATCGGAAGGGTCGTGGTTGGCGGGGCGGATTTCTTGGTTCTGCCACAGAGCAATTCATCAAGTTGGACCTTAATAAGTGGTTGAAGGTGCTGAAGCACCTAGAGTTATTACCTCGCCCGCTCGGACAGGACTGGTCCCAGTTGTGGTTGCAGCAGTTTAGTGGTACCATAACGATCTGGCCACAGGCGCAGTTGTCCGACGTTTGGAAGATTCTGTCAGACCCCGACCCAAATCGACTTGCACGTATGTTGCACGAAGGACAACAGAGCGTATTCCCAAAACTCAAATTTATCGCGAATAGACTGAAGATAGAGCGTCTAATAGAAGAAGGGAGGCGCGAGACTCGACCAGCCGTTAGGCGAGGCAGCATCGAGAGTATCATCAGCGAGGATGAAATGCATAATCTCTTGCGCGCGAACAATGTTACTGACGAGGAGACGACGGAGGGAGAAATTGACGAAGCTGTCATTGATGGCGGTTTCGATGACGTGATTGAGAGCATTGAAAAGGAGTAAATCCTAATTCTAAACCAGCTATAACATTGTAGTAAAACTTGAGCATTTTCATCCTTTATGTCTACATACTTCTCCCTTTGTCTAGATACTACAACTAATGGTCTCTCGCCGCTAGTATGCATAAAACAGATATTTTCAATTCGAATATAGTGTAAGTGAGCGCAGTGTTCGCTAGTCTTCTGTACCCATGCTTCTGGTCTTCGTTGAAGCTAGGCGACAATGAGCTAAACACAACGGACAGTCATCCATCCATCCATTCACGATCGTCGGGGACTCCGTTACAAAGTCGAATCATCCATGTTTCACAGAACGGCACGGAAACTCACTAGTTAGGCTACTTTCTGACAGGCTCGTTGCCTTGCTGCTGCTGCTGCTGTATCCGAGGCTTCGCTCTTCTCTGCAGACTACGTAATAAATATGTCTCACAGTAGAGGCGTCTGTCTCACTTGGGGATACCAGCTCAATATTCATGCAGGTGCTATGAGACCTACGCTGAAGGAAGGGATTGGCATTGGGTCGAGGGTATGTAGAAATCGATTGTTCTGCTCGAATCGGATCCTTAGTCTGTAGGCTTTTTCCTTTTTTTTCTTTTTCTTATCCTCGGTTGCCAAAAAAAAAAAAAAAAAATCACCTGCTGACCTTCTGCTTTACCTGCCTATCTTACCAGCATCTTCTTTTTCTTGAACATCTACGTGCATGCATACAGTAGGGGGTAGACATGTGATAGACAAACGACAAACAAACGAAACAAATCCCCACTCGCAGTTCAACGATGGGCTCGTCGCAATTGCTTTCTCGAGAATACCTCGGCGGCTCCCGCTCCTTGTGCGAGCTGGGGTGGTGGATGTGGCTTTCTCCTACGTACTTAAGTTGCTCCCAATCCGATGCTCAATGAGACCTCACAACCCCGACCTATCTTTCGTCTGTTTGCCTGCGATGCAATGCCATGTTAGAACCCGTCTCTTAATCATTCAATGCTAGGGAGATGGGGCTGGACGATTGACTGGATTGCAGCTGAGAACTGTAGCTCGGCGAAATGGTTCGGGTTTGGTGATTTGAAGAAGCTGTTCGTGAAGCCTGGTTGGAATCGCCGTTTGTTTACTTTTGCGGGTGGATGAGATACATGGACACCGAATTGCTTGATTCTTTTGCCCAGCTACCTACCTACTTATGCCAGAGATATAAGCTATGTTCGTACACCTTTGGTCTTTCTGCTAGTTCTTTACTACTACGAAGCGACCATGTTCCACACTTAGGAATTCATATATACATATATATATTTATAATATATAACGACTATAGAACGCGTCGCCAAGTTTTCCTCAGCCTTCTCGGGAGAGTATTCGGACGATGACGAGCATAAGAGAGGGCGAGATGGAAATGTCCGGGGAAGACCATCGCAGCCTCGAGTATGACCTACACTTCACGGATCGCGTCATTGCTGCGACTGGCCCGGCTGCCAATCCTCGAATGAAGCAGATTATGCCATCTTTGCTTCGACATATACATGATTTCGCGCGAGAAGTCGACCTCACCGTTGAGGAGTGGATGGCTGGCGTGGAAATGGTGAGTGCACATACATCACACATATCACTTTCTCATCCATTCGTTGTTATCTCTTGATCTCAACTTGCCTTCGAATTTGCTTTCGTCTTGTTCTATTATCTCGGCATTCATACGTAGTATTGCAACAGAAGTTGGCCTGCTTCATCGAATAGTCCTATATATATCACCCGTTCATCGTATAGAAGTACGTACTTACACATGAAACGATTACAGATGAACGAGGCAGGCCGCATGTCAACCGCTCAACGTAACGAGACACAACTCATTTGCGACATTCTAGGTCTCGAGTCGCTCGTCGACGAGATCACATCAAAACTCCTGCTGCGCACAAACAGCAGCAGCAAGAACGCGACGCCGTCCGCCGTGCTAGGCCCCTTTTACCGTGCCAACTCCCCATTCCTAGCCAACGGTAGTAGCATCATCTCGCCGCTGACACGAAACTCGCCTTGGTATAAAACAGCCGCGCCACTATTAGCACATATATCGGGCCGCGTATTCTCAGCATCGACGCGCAAGCCCCTCGCGAACGCCATCGTAGACGTCTGGATGGCTGACCCCAATGGGCTGTATTCGCAGCAGGACCGCGACCAGCCAGACACGAACCTACGCGCACGCTTCCGGACGGACGAGCACGGCCGCTACGAGTTGTACGCACTGCGTCCCACGGCGTATCCGGTCCCGTTGGATGGGCCCGCCGGCCGCCTGCTCAGACTGCTGGATCGACGCCCGTATAGGCCGGCCCATATCCACTTCATCGTCTCAGCCGAGGGCCACGGGACACTGACTACACAGGTCTTCGACTGCGAGGACGAGAACACGGGGGGCGACGTTGTCTTTGCCGTTAAGAAAGAGTTGTTGGTGAGATTCGAGGAGAGGGTGGGCGATGAGAAGGCTAGATGGGAGCTTAAGTATGATTTTCTGCTGTGCGAGGCTTGAGGATTATTAATATGGATGGAAGGCATTAGTTGGGCGTATGATAGGGTGAATGAATGATATTAGAAGTAGAGGTAGGTATGTTATAACAATCCAATCTGGACATCTTCATGTACCTCGATGGCGAATATACTTTAGTAGGACAAGGACAAGGATAGGTTGTCTTGGACAGAATCCAGAGTACTTATCCTCTTATAACGGTCCATGGTAACTCAATACGTACTTATCTAATAGAAACCCAGTACTTTCACGCTTCTCATCCGGCGCTCTCACTGTCTCGTGTTATGTTTGCGCATAAAGGCGAAGTTTATCGAAGGAGAGCCACGTGTGGTGTGACATGGTATGGGTGATGTGATAGATGCCATGTAGCTGAGCGAAACCCAGCTATGATTGGCTGGAGTTTCAGCTCCTCGTACCCAAATCCTCTACAAATGGTCTCGTACATATACAAAAACAAAGATTTTACCCAGATGTAGCCAGGATGCCTAGAGGTAGGCAATATTCAATCCTTCAAGGCCAACCTGGAACTTTCTACGAAGCTAGGTAGGTTAAAGGACTACCTACCTACCTAAGGTACTACTATGTATGTAGGTACCTGTAGGTAGGGACTTTAGGGCGCTGCTGGGGCGCTGCTGGAGCCACGAACAGTTACCTACTATAGGTACCTCTAAGTACTTAGGTACTCCACACCCAAATCGTGCTATGTGGCCTTCTTCTCCTTTTTCCAACACATCCCACCACATGTCTACAGTAGCAACAAATACATATAGTTAGGCTTGGCCAAGGACAGCGCTAAATGGAATGGGAATGATGCTGCTGCTGCTCGTTGTCATCATCATTGCCATTGCCTGCTCGCCTGCCTCTATCTGGACCTACGAGATCAAAGATTTGGGCTGTGACATTGGATTCGATTCTCTTCCTCCATCACCTAATAATTACCCATCTACGTAATTCATACCTACCTACCTACGAAGTAGTATCCGACACAGTGTCCAACGTCATCACTTGATTTCTCTCACCCGGGCAATTAATCAATCAATCAATCCATCACATACGACGCTTTTTGGCGCTGTAACTTGTCGCATTCACCACACCCAGCTCGCCAAATAAAGAGCCCGTGTTCTCCCCTCTGCCCAGCCTAATATTACTCTCAACCGTGCACAGCAGTACGTAGCCATGGGGAAACCGACAATACCCAGTGCCAGCATCCAGCTGCCCTATCCGCTGTACTGCTGTGACTTCGTAGATCCCGATCGCCTGGTCGTTGCCGGCGGCGGAGGCCCAGGACGCAATGGAGTCGGAAACAAGATTGTGAGAGACACCCTTTCGCTTGCCTCTCTGCACCTCGCGAGCCTATTTTGATTATTCCCATGCCACGTTCCTCTCATCTATCCCTTTTCCGGTTTTTTATTTTTATTTTTTTTGTCTTTCCCCTTCCCATTCGCTTCTTACCCCAGTCGTAAGAACCAAACCATTTGGGTTGGGGTTCGGTGGGCTAACTGTTGGGCTTGCGCTCCGCTTTATTCTGCAGACCCTGCTTGACACATCGGATGCGACCCAGCTGACCGAGCTCTCTGAACTCGAGCTGTGTCCCAACGAGGACAGTGTCATGTCTCTCGCTGTCGTCGGACCCCAGAAAGAAAAGCCCGCAACAGTCACTGTGTTCGCAGGAGTCAATTCGAGTCCGGACGATGTTAATAAGGGCCAGAACAAGCATATGCGTGCGCTAACTATCACCCAACCGGGAAAGTCGGCCAAGACTGGCGGTGTGAAAATCTCCGAGGTCGCGCGCGATGCGCTGTTCGTGCATAGAGACAAAGATACTTACCAGCGGATCCTCAGGCTTTCGCCCCCTCACGAGGGCCTCAAATCCTCCCCGCGATTAGGCGCTGCTGCCACTGGCTTATCCAAGCACCCTCAGATCGCTTTATTCGATGTCCCCAGCACTAACAGCCCTCGGTGGAAAACGAGGGGCAGGCTGGAGCCTCGCGTGGAAGCCATGGATCTCGACGTGATTCAGACCGGCCCCGACACTTATCAGCTCGCCTACTGCGACGACCATGAGGTCTTCACCGTCGAAGTCTCCAAGGCCGAGGTCTCTGAGCCCAGATGTGTATATACTATCGAGCCCGACGCAGGAGAGAATGTCAAAGCCTCTTTCAAGTCATTACGGTACTTGACATCGGGTTTTCTTGTCACCGTCGTGAACAACCCAAAGTCCCGCGGTGTCGCTCTACATGGCCTGAGGCTGCCGAAAAATGATAATGAGAACGCTCGGTTAGCGATCCGCGCCAAATTGCCGAGCAGTGTATCCAAAGCCACAAGTCTGGCTGTACGGAACCTATCCCCCGTCGCATCGCCGTCCGATAAACAGGGTGAAGCCCAGTTTGTCATCGCCGTCGCCGGAAATGACTCATCCATATCTCTCTATACTTTAGAACATAAAAGTGCTTTTGACTCCGACATACTCTCCGATCTCGCCCCGTTCCAGGTCCTCAAGTCCGTACACCCGTCGAGTATCACGAACTTATCCATCTCTACCTTTTCACCACCACAGGGATCGGCTAAGTCGACCTCGGAGCTATGCGTGAAGCTCGCGAGTGTATCGGTTGGCTGCTCAACTATTGTCCACAATATACCCATTAAAAAGCATGTGGACAAGTCAGCGTCTACTAAGTCAGAAGACTCTGCAAAGTCGTCGCGCTACATTGTTGCCCTAAAATCCAAGGGCGAATCACCGGCTCTTGTTATTACCTTGATATCTCTTGTATTCCTCATTTTGCTACTTACCGGCCAGGTCCTAATCGAGGCCAAAGACATGGGCACCCCTAAACTTGGAGCCAAGAAATATCTTCCCGCGTCATGGACAATACCACTACGAAAAGTGCCGAGAGTGGAAGGGACAGATAACAAACAAAAGACCATTGAAAATCTACTTTCAGACATCAACACACATCAGTCACAACCAATGGTTATTAAACACGAGGATTTAGGAGTGGTCGGGCCAGATGGTCTTCCAGTGCTGCAGGTTGATGTTCACAACGAGGAGACTCATGGACCAGCCACTTCATGGGAAAATCTAGAGAAAAAGGACCAAGACTTATGGAAGCAACGCCTCAAGCAGTCGGGCCACTGGATGGAAGAAATGGGCGAGAGCATATTTAAGGGTGTTCTGTTTGGAGAGATTGGCGGTGCCATTGGTAATATTGTCGGCGAGGCACTTTGAAGATATTATACCCCAGCAACAGCAAAAGGCTACAATTAGCCACATGGAGTCAAAACAGGGACGCCAAAAGTACATATTGCCACGATTTTGTGTGTTTGTACGATCAGTCGTGTACGAATTATAGAGTTAGTTCTCAGCGTCGACATCGACATCAACTTCAGTATACCCTCGAACAAAATATAAAAAAGCTTGGAAATTAGAAGATATATCATAGAAATGGACTATTTTCGTCACCCGATGCTCCTCAATGGTGATAATGGAAAACTTATGAGTATACATGATGACCCCATGCATCTGCTCACCTACCATGGTACCAGGTTTGGTGGTAACATTGGATATGGATCGATCTCCTCATTGTCGTACCCTAGATCCTCAACACCCATAGGGTCTCCATTTATGCCCCCGTTTCCTCGCTTCCAGCTCGCGTTGCAATCCCCCGGCACGTACTTAGCCGCGTCCATGGCTAGCGTCATCTTGACTTCGGGGCAATAGTCCCAGATATGTCGGCGCAGGCGAGGGTCACCCCAGACACCCGCGTGAAGCATCGTGCCGCTGCTGCCGGTGTGGTAGCCCATGGGCTCGTAGAAACCATCGCGCCAGTCGTCTACTCCTTCAATGTAATAGTCTTCTTCCATGCTCGTCGCAGACGGGGATGACGTCCCTGTGGAAACCGCTGTGCTCACTGGCCGGTGAGCTTGGACTTGTTCACCCTGGTTCATCTCGCCGCTGAAGGTAAGTGAAAGCGATCCATTTGCCATGCGGGAGCCTGGCCTATGACCTAGGCGCTCTGTGAGCCAGACGTCTTCAGGCTCTGAGCCATCAACGCGCACTTGATTGCGAAGGACCTCAACTGTGGTTAACATGCGATGTTAATACCTCACATTCGTACCATAATACTCCCCGTCCGGTCTGAACAGACAACACAAGGATAAACAAGTTTTGTGTCGTGGGCTTACTAATGGCACTAACCCTCCTCAACGATAAGCCTCCATTTCCTCCAAACCGGCCGTTGGGATTCCACGGCGCGCCAACCCAGTCGTACTCGAGGAAATCATTGAGGTTCTGCCGCGAGTTGGCACAGAGAATGCTATCCGACTGAAACACGAGAAGCCACTCAGCCGGGTGAAGCAGCGTCTCGTACACCCACAGGTTCGTCTGTTCACACGCTGGAGTCAGTATTTTCCAGAAAGAGTAAGAATCCAGCTCATTTCCCGGGAGCATGCATGCCCGAAACATGCCTAAGGGGGGGTGGGGATAAATGATTGCAAAGACTAACGAGGAATCGTGAAATCATCTCGCCGCCACTGGTACTCATGTTCGTCGGGATGAACGTCAAGTCCAGCTTGCCGGTGGCTACTTGCGACCGCACGGCATGCGAGGCATTCAAGGAGGATACGGACTCTGAGGACCCCATGAAGCGGAAGCGCCAGTCTGGCGGCACCACGGCGATGAAGTGCAGGAGCAGAGGTGCGAGGTTCGGCAGGGCCCGGTTCTCGATTAACAGGGCTACCTTGGAAGCGTTGAAGGGGGCATTTTGAGGACTAAATGAGGATGGTATTGTTGAGGATAGGGCTGGGATGGGATTTTCGGATGATGATGATTGGTTTTGGTCGTATTCAAGTCGTAGGTGTGGTATGGATACGTGGTGAATATTTGACATCACGATTATGCCGGTGATGACAAGGAGGATTGCTAAACAGCCTGTTAGCTGCCAACGCTTGCTCATCCGCGACCATTTCTTCGCTATTAGTTTTTTTGCTTTGTCTAAGAGACGAGCTATGTCCTCTGCTCGAATCTCTATATCATTCGTACTGTTTTGCGGCATGTTTTCTGCTGGGCTTTTGATGTTATAATGCTTGGAATTATTGGGAAATAACTTTCTAGCGGTTACCAGTTACTGTGTGGCGGCTTTGATCTCTGAGTACCTCCCCGAGGAGATCACCACTCCATCAACCTTTCACTAGGTATGAAGAGAAGGTTGCACGTCTATCCTACCTTCCACGACATGTAGGACTTAGGATCACAGAACTGGGTACCATGACACTACTGAAACCTCCTAGGCACCGTGCCTGATTTTGTGCAACTCTATCTCATTTTTGACTTGAGACTAGATTATGCCATGAGATTCTATCACGAGGAGTAAAAGGCTCCAGCTTTCTACGGCGGTCTGAATATAATTGACTTGAATGGATAAGACCTCTGTTCCACAACCATGCTGACGACTATTAGGGAAGGATTCAATCCAATGGATGCAAAGTATCATAGTGAAGTCGCACATTGTGCCCCGTTGTGTAAGCGGCACTGAGACTATCCAAATTACTGTTCTCCTATTCCAATTATCGACATAGAAGGTAATTCTTTAGCTTCTAACCTCCCCGTAATTGCCTGCACATTTAGATTCCGAATTTCTGGCGCCAAGGTGAAGTGAGTACGATCCTGAGAGTTAAGTTTAGAGGAGATGTCGGTCCCTGAGTCTCACGTGGCTTCAAGGGAAACGGGTCGATATCAGCGTGGAGTGATACCATGTTTGTTTCAATGTAACACTTACTGGAGCTGAGGAAACACCGATTAAGCCAACGCCCACAAGTTTCAACATCTGCCTTGTGATTTGCTAACACGATTCAAATGTAAGCGATGCTTAAGATTTACCTTCTCATATCATTAGTCCTCCATGAAAGGGCTGAAACGAGCACTTGCTCGATATGTTTCCTATGCTGTACTACTACTCTTGTGAGAGCCATTTTATTGCTTCTTCGAATGTTTGATAGAAAACATAAAAGTCTACTGAATCTACTTCGCCAGAACCCCGAAATTGGACGTCTGTGGCATTCCGAAGCTCAACCGGCAGCGGCTCAACATACCGGTATTGCTAAATTCGGAAGCGAATATTAGAATGTGACTTATTGCCGAACCCACCCAGATTTAAGAGTGTGCTTCCGTTCCTATAACTGGCAAAATCTGGTAACGTTACTCTTTAATCGTGGAGGAGTTACGAATGTCGCCATGTCATTAGGTCCGTCCGCTCAAACATCTGCGCTTGTTGTGATTACGCGCGTTCGCATTATTGCGGTTGTTTCTTTGATCGTTACGTAGGCTTCTCTCTCACTTACCCTTGGCATGCCATCGTACGATAAGACAGGAAAGCTTGGGAAACTGGACTGATGGTATGACCAAAAACTAACTAGATGGTCCATCGCGAGTTTACTACCACACTATACACCTACAATCAAAGACCACGTTACCACGAGACTAAGCGAGGCTCGACAGAGGATACCCAAAGTGAGTGTCGAATGGCGTCCGCTAAGCCTGACCAATGACCCGCGACACCGCTTCAACACGTCCAAGGTGGCGCTCTTGATCGAGCCGCGACCCCTCCCACACCTCGTGCCCCAGATTCTGCACATGATATCCGTGGTACCGCCGGACTGGCGCTTTGTCTTCGTTGGTACCAACCTCTCAACGGCGAGCGTGGGCCGCAGCTACGCGACCAAGCACCAGCAGGTTGTCGGCAAACTCGACCTTCTAGTGCTCCCTACCCCTTGGGAGATCGACAGCAAGGAGAATGTGCACCGCCTGCTCACCGACATGCGCTTTTATGACGAGTTTCTCCCAGGCGTAGAATGGCTGCTCAAGTACGAGTATGATAGCATTCTCTGTGCCAATTCGGCGACGAGCCTCAATGAATGGCTTCATTGGGACTGGGCCGGATCGCCAAGGTAGGAACACGAACTCCACGTGAATCTTGAGCGTGCGACCCTGCTTTCTTCTTTTCTTTTCACCGTTCCAAATGCTACTAGTAATCAACGCACCATCACTAACACCTAGCTTCTTTTTTCTCCGCCACAGAACAATGGATGACCGCTTCTCCGGCAACGGCGGCCTGTCCCTTCGCCGCGTATCTACAATTAGGCGCGTGCTAAGTTTCCAGCAGCGCTACAACGACACTAACCCAGAAGACGAGTGGTTCGGCATGCGCCTGGTGGTGCTCCCTGGCGCGAAGGTGGCAGCCGGGCAGGACGGCCAGCTGGCTGTGGAAGACCACTACATTCCGAATGCGATGGGCTTCCACCTCAGGGACGGGGGCCAAGGCATCTCAGACCAGGTCTGGAAGGATCCAGCCCAGAGAAAGGCTATCTTCGAATACTGTCCCGAGCTCAGCCTCATCATGGACATGAAGCTTGAGCGCGAGCGCTGTCTCGGCGATAGGCTGGATGGGACTATTGAAGAGGAGAGGCCTGCATAACTTCTTTCCTCCCTCTTGCGGGGAATGGATTAGGGTTTAGTCAGCCTGAGTACTCTCGATAGGGCGCCATGCATAATATCGGTTTGTCTATCGTTCTTTTGCAGGCTTAGCAGGCGTTGATGAGAAGAACATGATATGACGTCAAAACTAGCTTGCGTAGACGTCGTTGTAAAAACATCTGTAACTTAATTCTAGACTGGGCGGCGATTCGATTATCGATTGAAAACCAGTTTCGGGTGCCTTTCCTATATGCTCATTTGTGGAAATGGTCGTACAGTCAGTCAGTCAATCGTTCCTCTGTAACGGTGGCTGAGTTATGCGATTATTGCTGGATTATTGGATCTCTACAACTCTATCGACTATTCTTGTCGCATGGTATGACATTGAAAAGCGCGCGTAACTTTATAACTACTGCTATTTCCGGGGTGAGACACAGCTCGAATAACATTCACAATGCAACTGCATGTGGCAAAAGTTGCGAGAATATTGGCGAGTATTGGCACCTCCGGTGATGCAGTAGCAGCATGCACCTAACGCATCGGTCGACGCTCGAGCTCGAGCTTGTGGCTACCGGGCTGATAATGCAACTGAATCACGTAACAGGAACGAGGGTTGTTGTTGGAGGCGCGCGTGCATGGGACCGATAGGAGCGTATGCAGCACATGTAAATAGTTCGTTCCTCTGATCCCCTTTCCACGATCTCGAACCTACACTAGGAACCAACCTACTGACCTGAGACGACGGATGATTCTAATTTTGTCTCTCGTCGCCCACGATGCAACGGCACAAAGGAGCGTAGGGGAAATTGGAGGACCTGGGCTCATTAGATCTCGCTTACAGTGCATATCGCCTTCTCCCAGATGAGGATATCCCAAGCCACCCGGAGAGCGAGCGTATGCTGCGGTGCTCACTGTTGGTACAGTAGATCGAGAGCACGACAGCTGCCGTTCCTTCTGCTATTGCTCGCCGGTCTTCGCAGAGTCTCCGGTTTTGGCGGAGCTGCAGGACCCGGGACTCGTCAGCTCCTGTATGAAAAGGAAGTCTGCACATGTTTTGTATGTACATGTATGTACGTATGTATGGTACACTCCCAACGGTGGTGCGTCGTTGGGTACCTACTTACCCTAGGGTTGATCGAAGCGAACGAAAGACGCAAAGTTACAATGCAGTTACGAGAAGACGTAACGATCCATCTCAATTAATTTATTTTTTTTGTGTGGCCCCGAAAATGGAGGAGGAAGAGCTCTCCTGCAAGCTTCAGTGCCCACAGAGACACGCATAAATGGGACTCAATGTGACGCAGGAGCAGGGTCGTCGCTTTTAGGATATTTTAGAGAGGGGGGAAAAAAACTTACGGGCTTACCTATTTGCCGCCTGTCCAACAGTCCCTGATCAGTTAGAGTGGGCTGGAAAGCGAGGCGGATCTTGGCGGTAACAGTATCGACCTAGGATGGGAAGCTTAACGGTATGGCTCAGGTACACCCGATCCCCAGATTTCTTTTTTCTCTTAGTGCTTGGAAGTTGTGATTCGATGTGGTGGTAGACATCTCGCGGCTTGTTCCGCCGATGGTTAGGGTTGCGATGACTAAATCTCTTGTTCCTGATGTTGTTTTCGTCGATGGTCTTGGGTGCCCTGCCTAACGAGAATGTGCCCTCGCTCGAATCATCTTTTCACCGGGCCGTGGATAAGTTGGGGAAACACGCAATATCTGTGTATTATCTCAGGATCTTCGTGATCCACTCCATTATTGCCAAAGATGGCTCACCCAATGCGGCACGTCTATGTCTTCCTGCACGGTTCGGGTTATGGTGTTTAATCCAAGCCGCGAGTATTGAGCGGTGGGAAGGCCACGACAAGAGAAAGCCTACAAGCTGAACAAAAACAGTCTAGATCGCTTATGTCTCTGTACTCGTTCTTGGGAGACGCGACTGGCAACTAATAGACCCCAAGAGGCGCCTCTAGAATCTGGCGTCGTGGTAGGGGTATTGTGACGGACCATTGACAAGCTACCAAGCTGACCACTTGCACTGCAACGGTACTCCAGCCGGTACATGGCACCCAACACGCTTCTGCACGTATTCTTGGCTTCGTATTATGGACGTGCTGCCGTGACCGTAGCATCCGGGTATATCGCACGCTATGGGAATCGGAGCTGCAGGTCAAGGGGGCCTCATTTATCCTTACACAACGATTGTTTGGCAACGTGTGGCTTACGACAACGAATTGCGGTCATTGTGCATTTATATGTTGGCCAAACCCGCCCGTTCGATATGCCTTGGCTTGTGCCGTCTCGCTTCTTCTCGACAGCGCTCTGCGTTCTCTTCTTCAATCTGCGATCCAGGTTGGCCAGCACTCGGTGGTAGCACACATATTCTGCCTGATATAGCTATATTGTAGCATATATCATTGCTGGCACCCCTTGCTCTACAGACATGCGATTCCTGAGAGCCATATCACTGGCGCTATGCGCCAGCCAGACGATTGCCCACTCCGATATCCATGGCGATGCTCCCATGCCGAGGCTTGTTGGTGCCCGGAGATTTCTTAAGGATCTCAGGGGCGAGAGAAGATGGGAACAGCGTGTTCGTTCGGCACCAACTGATCAAGCTACGGAGCGCCGGAACGAAGGCGGTCTAAGGAAGCGGGGCGAGATTGAAGAAAGGCAGAATAATGGGAGATGTGGCAGCCGTTATGGGTCCTGTTCGGCGGGATATTGTTGCTCATACGAAGGGTTAGTACTTTAGGAAACCGATCGAATAGTCTCCCTACTGACTGGTCGAATAAGTTATTGTGGCAAAGATGCAGCGTCATGCTCAGCGCCTGACTGTCAAATCAACTACGGCCCTGGATGTGATGGAAACCAGAAACCGTCGGGTGTTGACACGTCAACCATCGCACGACCCAAAGTTGGAAACGTCGCGTACGGCGGTGTTGGTATTTATGACTGCGTGAATGACGGGGATATTGCAATGACATTTGATGATGGGCCATGGGAGTATACAAATGACCTGTTGGACAAGCTTGCGGTGCGAGAAGACCCCCTTGCTTCCATATCTCAGCTAGGTACTGACGTGGCGGCTCAGAAATACCAAGCGAAGGCCACGTTCTTCATAACTGGCAATAACCTGCATAAGGGGCAGATCAATGATCGTAGCACGCCTTGGCCTAACGTTATCCAGGTAAGAATTTCAGCATGAGCGCCCCTCGAACGAGATGCTCACAAGAAATAGCGGATGGCCGCCGAAGGCCACCAGATTGCGAGCCACACATGGTCCCACGAAAACTACAGCCAGTTGACCACGACTCAGTTTCGAAACCAGATCTACTGGAATGAGATTGCAATCAACGATATCCTCGGTTATTTCCCTACATACATGCGGTACGAAGCGTGGCCCTCTAAGACATCTCAGCACGTCAGATACTGATACTTGGGCAGACCCCCCTTTTCGATTTGCCCGTCGAACACTTGCGGATCACAGTTGGCTACCATGGGCTATCATGCCATATACTTTGATTTGGACACGGAAGGTTATCTGCACGATGATCCCTCGGAGATTCAGATTAGCAAGGACATCTGGGATGATGCCGTTCCGGGGACCAACCCATGCCGGAACAGCTTCTTGCAGATCGAGCACGATATCCATGAGCAGACAGTCTACAATCTCACGGATTACGTTCTCGATTCCTTATTCAAGAGCGGATACCGGTCTGTGACCGTCGGCCAGTGTCTAGGCGATCCTCCCGCCAATTGGTACCGAGCTGGCAGCAAGGCAGTGCCCAGTTACACCTTCAAACCACGCGCCCCAACTGGCACATGGTCCTGTTTGTCGCAATCCTCAACCAGTCCCCCAGGGCCTACAAACACATTAGTAGTCAGCCAGGACGGCAACTGTGGTTCCGGCGTTACCTGCCAAGGGTCTAAGTTCGGTAACTGTAGGTCTTCCACGAAAATTTCTGTGAAGTGCATGGCTGATGATAATGCGTAGGCTGTTCTCAGAACAATTTCTGTGGCTCCTCCATCGACTACTGCGGAACAGGTTGCAATCCCCAGTTCGGCACTTGCACTAACGGCGACAGCCCCTTACCAGGGTCAGTATAATAATATTTAAATCTATGATACAGGACTAGGATCAGTTGGAATCGTGGAACAAGGTTCTCCCATATTCTAAAGGAGTGACTATGACTGACGTGTGCTGTGAATAGTGATGACCCGCTACCCACTACGACCACCTCCGGAACATCGCCGACTGGCACCCCGAAGGTCTCAATTGATGGATCTTGTGGTAATGGAGTTACGTGTGATGGATCGGGATTCGGGACTTGCTGCTCTCAGTAAGTCTCTTGCCTCACCCGTGAGGCTCAATGGCGTGCCAGCGTGATTTTTTCAGGGGGTTGTCCGTTCTGAACACAAAGCGTGCTCTTCCCCATTCCCAATTTCTACTATCTAGCGGCTGGTCACGCCAAGATGTAGAGTACATACTCCTATACTGAAGTAGTAGTATATTATGGGCTATGCAGTGATTGCCTGCCAATGTATGACAGACCGTAGACGCAAGCTGTTGCGTACCGGGAGGATAGGATACTGACCATCACAGCCGACTTGGCCACCTCAAACGTAGAGTATGAACTGACTTTGATACACTCTCACAGATACGGCTTCTGCGGCTCTACGGACGATTATTGTGGAACGGGATGCCAACCGGCCTTCGGTAGCGGTTGCAAGGTACGATTTCTTTCTCACGTCCCAAACATATCAGTAGCCTCAGATAGTCTCAATGCTATCCTGAGCAACACTGCTCTACCACTATGAATCCACGGGGAAGCGAATATTTCGCTGGCCTGGATCTATCCATGACATTCCAAGCTCAGGATACTGACAGCAACCTAGGGTTCTGGATCGACTACTTCGACTCTCACGACCACGAAAACATCCTCAACTACCACGGTTAAAACCTCGACGACCACCACGAAAACGACCACAAAGAGCCCAACTGCGACGGCTAAACCGGTCTCGCCAAATGGTAGATGTGGACCAAAGTACGGGTACACATGCACTGGCTCTCTATTTGGCACGTGCTGCAACGGCTTGACTGAACGATGTGGCCTCTTGTGCTTGATTGGAAACTGTATACCGGAGTATGGAACATGTCCCCTCAAATAATCAAAAAGAAACAAGGGGACGGGAAGAGGTAAACGGAAATGGATGAGAAGGTTTAGAATGGGGAAGGGAGATAGGAGAAGGGAGTGCAAGGGAAAATAATGCTTGTAACCACTAGTCTCTATAATATTGTCATAATTTGTGATAATAGTAATGAAAAGAAGGAATGAAGAAAAGAGGCTGATTTCTGACCCCCCCTACCCCCAGTCTAGCCGCTCGAATGAGAAGGTGACACTTACCATTCGCAACCTGAACTTTTGTGTCACGAGCACATCTGCAGCTTCTGAGAAAAAAAGACCATTACCCCGAACAAAGAAAGCGAGAAGCGAGAAGGGTGACGCTATGCGATGGGATACGATGCGGCGCTTTCGGCACACAACCAGGCCAAGACCACTGCCGAAGGGACTGTAACCCCACAACGACCACGACAAGATGGTTAACACAGCACCCAACCTACCTACTTCGTACATGTACGGCACATACCATACTTCGTAGGCTCGACCAAGGGCTGCTGGCGATAGAGCGACGACGAAAGACATTTTATGCAGTGTAATAATAGTAGGTAAGGGATTCATCCGGGATACCTGGCCGTCCATGCACGCATGCAAAGGTAGGTACTAAGACTACCTATGGCCTATGTCGGACAGGTAAGAAACATGCATAGGAAGCTGTACCGACCGGACGGCGCCGGAGCTGGGGGTCAAGCGGCAGGCATTCCGCACTATAAGTAAGAAGAGCGCTGGACCGGACCAAGTACCTTACAGTAGGTAAGCAGGTGAGCATATCTCTTATCTGGATTCTGGAATCTGAATATTGGATATCTATCACTATTTGTAGGTTTATTGTACCGAGTGAGCAGCGGGATCAGGGAGGAGGTAGTAGAGCCAATATCTGGAGTTACACGAGAGAAACTAGATATTCTTGATACGAAGTCATATCAAACATCTCGTCCAACACTCGTCCAACAAAAGGGGAAGGAGGGCTTGGCTGGCTCACTATCTCTAGATGAACATGAACAGATACTGGACTCTGTTTACGGGATTTGATCTACCCTGTTCCTAGAGAGTTGTATCAGAGGAGGATGATGCAGGCGGGCTGATATTTGGCCAATAGGGATATTCTTCTTAAACGAGACATCATGTAGGTGCGCAGACAACCCAACCCGCGAAACTTTAGGAGAGCGAGAAGATGGCAAAGAAGGATTTTGGCATGTCCATGTCCATGTCCATGACCGAACCATCGACCATCAGGACAATCCTAGAGGGGCAAGTAAGCAAGACATGAAGGTCTGGCGGGGTTGATCATCGTGGAATGATGCTATCTAAGTACTTTAGACAGGTACTTTGCATGCAAAGTACAGGCAAAGTGCAGGCAAAGTACCTACTGCTAGGATGCCACGCTGATGCGGTACGGAAGGCTAAGGGCTCGGGTTAAGGTAGGTAACCTACCTAGGTACCTAATTGCATGTACATACATTTGTAGCGCTGGGAGGCGGCGTCTTCCGGGGGCGTGTTTGGGAGAGCCCACTGCGGAGAAGCCACAGGACTGCAGGGCTGGCATCCAAACAGCGGCCTCGCCCAGGGCAGCTTCCGGCAGCTCCAGGCCTCGGGAATCTCAATAGCGTGTCTCTTTTCCCAGGAGCTCTCCGACAACAGTCCGATTGCTGTAGTAGCGTCTATCCTAGCATTTGCATACCAGGCCCGGCTTGCAGATGAGTGGATTACCATCTACTCATACATAGTACTAGTAGACGTAAAGTGGTGAATCACTCTCCTGTAGAGCTGTGCCGAACGCGGGCTGCCGGTCCAACCCGCTTGAGGACCCCTATTCGCCGAGACGACCCCCAGACGCTTCCAAAGTTCTGTTCCTCTCGTTTTCCATTGCGGCTACGCGCGTGTATGGAGCCAGCCAGCCAGCCAGGGTTGAGCATGGAGATAGGAAGAGAAAGATGTCGACTTACAGTAGGTGGATTTCCAGGTTGATCCCGTCCGGGACAAGCTGAGGGAACTAGCCACGAGTTGAGATGGCGAAGCAAACCATTAATTCTTAGTATCTTAGTATGATAGAGAAAATACTTTCGTTGAAGTACCTTCGTTACCATCTAGCTAAGTACGGATATAATAGTATAAAATCTTGACGCCGTCTCAGCTTACTCTGAACTTCACGACTTACCTACCTTCCAACCTTTAACCTAAGCATTCGCCCTATCACTCACTCGGCCTCGTGTCCGTTTCCATCTTCCGTAGATAGACTGACATAATCCACTCTTATTACAACTTCGTCTACCTGCAGCTTTACGCCCCTTCTTTCCGCCTCCACCCAATTACACACATAGTACACCCGCGGCATTGCTTGGTCGTGAGCCACAAGCCAGCATCATTCCTGTCTCGTGGCACGTCACACCAGATTCAATCTCTTTGTCTTGTGCGCCTCATCCGTCACTACACATTCGGCCGTCCATTGCTCGGGAGTTGCGCCGTCGTAGAGGAAGTCGTTGGCCTATAAGAACTGCGTGTTGTTCTCTTTCGAGTTTGTAGAGGTGGTGTGATATTCACCCCCCCCCTTTTTTCCCTTCGATCGTGGTGGAAGATAGATTCTGCGCAGTAACAAATCCATTGGACTGCACCTACACACAATCCTATACACACCTCGTCACAATGCCCGTTCTCAGCTCAGCACGGTACGGCAAGGATAATGTCCGCGTTTGCAAGGTTCAGCGAGATGAAGCAACAGGGACACACAAGGTGACGGAGATGACTGTGTGTTGCTTGCTAGAGGGCAAGATCGACGCCTCGTACACGGATGCGGACAACGGGCCCGTAGTAGCCACGGATTCCATGAAGAACACCATCTACATCAAGGCGAAGGAGAATCCCGTAGACCCGCCGGAGCTATACGCGGCCATCCTAGGGCAGCATTTCCTAGACAAATATGCGCACATCGACGTGGCCAATATCAACGTCGAGGTAAAACGGTGGACACGCATGAACATTGACGGAAAGCCGCACCCGCACAGCTTCTACCGGGACGGCGACGAGACACGCAACGTCGAGGTACGGGTGTCTCGCGCCGACGGCATCGACGTCCAGAGCTCCATCGCGGGCCTGCTCGTGCTCAAGAGCACGGGCTCGCAGTTCCATGGCTTCATCCGGGATGAGTACACCACGCTACCCGAGACTTGGGACCGCATTCTATCAACTGAAATCGACGCCTCCTGGAAGTGGAAGACCATCCCCTCGCTCAAGGCCCTACAAGACAACATTGCCATCTTCGACAAGGCCTTCGACGACGCCCGCGCCATCACCATGAAGACCTTTGCCGAGGAGGACAGCCCCTCCGTTCAAGCCACCATGTACAAAATGTGTGACAAGATCCTCGAGGCTGCGCCCGAGGTCGCCTCCGTCAGCTATGCGCTGCCCAACAAACACTATTTCGAGATCGGTAAGGAGCACCTTCCCCCCCCTTTCCCCTCCTTCATTATTCTCGTGATCACGTGAATGCGTTATCAGCAAGGAGGATATAGTAAAACGATCCAAATCTCGTCCCACACAGACAAAGTCAGATGCTAACCCCGCCTTCCACCTAGATCTCTCGTGGCACAAGGGTCTCGAGAACACAGGCAAGGACGCCGAGGTGTACGCGCCGCAATCTGGCCCTAATGGCCTGATCAAGTGCGAGGTGTCTCGATCCTAGAAGCACACACGTACTCTCTCATTTCGACTCACGCTTCACTCTTCCCATCTCCTTCCTCCCTCTGCTCTTCCCTAAATTTGTTCGTCTCACATCAACATGTAGTGTAATCATGACTAAACGGCGCATGAGTGGTGGCTACCGTGCTTTATTACTTCCTTGCCTGTTTTCGCTTAAGGGTCTGGATTTTGTATTTTACTCGGGTAATGATTCATGAGAGAGGTTCTCTGATGAATCACATTACGGCGGACTATGAACGTCTGCAGCTGTACCGTAGACTATTATAGCATCGCCTCTTCTAGAAAACATCAATGGGGAACTTCAATAATGCATCATTCACTGTTGCCTGTGACCGCATAGCCTGAGAGATCTACCAATATTGCTCGGAAGATTAGACTTCTAACCTGCCCCTTCTTTTTCTTGCAAGTAGTCTAAGTAAGAATGTCGTGAGTGTTTCCATTACATGTGTACACGTTGTAGTACAAAATAGATGATATATACAGAACCGAATCGCCGAGATAGCTCGCATGGCCGAATCCCATGGCCACGCCTAAAGTATCAGCAATTCCAACAACGCTTTGTCCCTTCGCTCGATAGAACCTTCCCGCCAGCCTTCTCAAAGCTACTATAACCGCAAGCTATCCGCAGCCCGAATAGCCTTCACCGCCTCGCTCCAACCCTCTTGCCCAACCTGGACGCCGCCGAACCGCAAAAGATTCTGCTTATAGGGGTGCGCATCGCCCTCGAAGGCCTTGAGGCGCGCGAGGCGCTTGTCGCGCAGCCGGTTCTTGGGCAGCATGCCCGAGACGGCTTTCCGCAGGACCTCGGCGCCGCCATGCTTGGCCATGAGGACGTCCATGGTGACGGCGCGCAGGGAGCCGGGCCGCGTGTTGTGCCGGTAGTACGTCTTCTGCCATTTCTTGCGCCCCGTGACGTGCAGCGCCGCACAGTTGGTCACCACCACGTAGTCCCCGCAGTCCGTCGAGGGGTCCCAGATCGGCTTGTGCTTGCCCATGAGGATGGTGGCGATCCGCGAGGCCAGGCGGCCTAGCGAGGGCGGTGTTACGTTGGGCTGTGTGGAGAGGGTTGGGTGTGGTGCTGAGGCGGAGACTTGGTGCCATGCTCGTGAGTAGGCTAGCTTTGTCTGTTGTTGAAGGTTTGTGTGTGAGGATTATCGGTAGGCGAAGAGTCCGGATTGGAGATGTCACTTACCAGCCCTATGGTTTGCGACATGTTGGGCGGCTCTCGAGAGCGTATCCCTCGCTCTCGAACAATCAACCGCTGATTTTGAAGGATAGCAATCCGTTCAGACCATGGCAATTGGGGAAGTCCAATTGGGTTCTGATAGTCGGTTATGTGAATGTCTCGTCACCCGCGGTCTGGTCCGCCGGAGGTTTGGGTGCCAAGAAACGATTGGCATGGCAGAATTTAGTATCGTAATCACGTGGAGCCTCTTATCGATATCTACCAGCTGTACCTATGTAGATACTGTTCGGTCAGTGGACTTGGTTCTGAGTTATTGCCTATCAGCACCGCTATCAATAGGCCTGTCTAATTGCGCCTCAGGTTGCTACCAACTACCACCGAGTTCGACGGACCCATCGGCGCAGAATCGGGGCCTGATAACTCGATTTCAAAGCAATATTGAGCATCCAATTACAAGGTAGTATCGTGTAAGTGACACTGTTGCGAATCGTGACTATTTTGTACCGAGGCATATAATGTTTAAAAAGATACCTCATATATCTCTGCGTTCTTTTGCCACAACAACCACTTGCATCACTATTGGCTTGATATCAGTCCCATACCTGCAACCTTCGCATCGTGAGAGGCAAGATAAACAAGAAATACAAAGACAAAGACAACACCAGAATAGCCCCAAAAACAACCTGCTCATTCTCACTCCCCACTCCGCCAGCGCTATGACGCAGAATAAAGTCAAAACTCCGTTTGAGGTTCGTTGACGCTCAAGGCATTCACACTTGAAGATTGTGGTTATAGCATCATCTGTTTTCGGATTGGTGAGATCTGTTATCGATCTTCTTCATCCCAGAAAGACCTAGGCCTAGATTATTCTAGACCTTCGCGTACCTGCGTTTGTATCGTCCAAACTGAGGCTAATGAAACATGCCAACCAAAATGACAGACCTTATTCGCGGTGCACATGACCTGCGACTCTTGTGTCAAGTCCGTTTCAGACGCCCTATACAGCCTTGATGGGATTACCAGCGTCGACGCCAATCTCAAGGACCAGCTAGTCGCGGTCAAAGGCACTGGTAAGATCAGAATCGTGCGAGATGGGAGCTCAATACCTAGTCATCTTCTTTCCTTAAGCCCGTGAGGTGGGGGTCAATAACCCATGTTTCAATAGTTTCCTTTGTTCTTCTTATTTTCTCGGGAGGATTGCATCGTCTGAAGAATTTAACAACAATCCGGCGGCTAACCTTAAATCCTTCATCCCAACAGCTGCGCCGTCTTCCATTGTTAGCGCCATAGAGGCCACGGGTCGAGACGCCATTCTACGGGGATCAGGAGCATCAAACAGTGAGTTGGGTCTATTATTTCCCTTTTGCGAATCGACTTGTCCCACGTCAGCCTTTCACAGTGCGGCACGGGCATCCTTTGCGTTTGGTTTTCACTTTTGATTCCAAGTCCCTTCGCATCTCGTATTCGCTATGCGACTACACGTTTATAGACGCCTGTTGAAACGACGTATGCGCTTGATGTTTATGATTTGCCGGCTGACTGGAATCACTTCGGATCATGATCAACAGGTGCAGCTGTTTGTATCCTTGAGACATATCATCGAAACGAAAGAGGTGGTGACGCACTGGTGCCTGCGTCGGACCCCGAAGCCTCAACGGAAGATTCGGCAGTCAGGCACAGAGAAGTCAGGGGTCTAGCTCGCATGGTTCAGGTATCCCCCACCACCACCTTGGTAGACTTGACGCTGCGTGGGGTTGCACCTGGTAGATACAACGCCAGCATCCGAGAGTACGGCGACCTCAAATTCGGGGCAACTTCTACAGGTCCTATATGGGCCGGCGGTAGTGGCACGACACAACCTCGAGGTGTCCTAGGTTCCGTGGAAGTAGGAGGCGATGGCCGCGGCGTTGTCTTCCTGGACCATCCCATTCAGGTCTGGGAGGTAATCGGCCACGCCATGGTTCTGACGAGCCAGGATGAGGGCCAGGGTGATCTACAGAACGACCAAAATACCGTCGTTGGTGTCATCGCTAGAAGTGCAGGAATGTGGGACAATGACAAAACAGTCTGCTCCTGCACTGGTAAAACGTTATGGGAAGAGAGGAAAGACGAGGTCCAAAAAGGAATGATATAAAAACAAGGGTTCTACGTCTCTATCATTTCGCCTCATTCCATTGGTCAGCCGAACAAGATACAGGTAAGGCGATGATGTCTGAAGTTAATGGCACTCCGACCTTGGTTCGCTGATTCTAGAATCACATAAAACATTTGGACACATGTACCTACCTGGTAGATTGGACGCGTCACAATATCATCACGACCTTTGACAGCTCATTGTTCCACGTGAAGACGGACGAACGACTCTTCTGACCATATCTAGACCCAGGTGTGAGGTCAGCCACCTCCGTGGCCGGGGCTCTCACCTTTCCAAGTGCACCATCTTGAGGCCTCTGGTGATATCTCCATAACAATGGCACCATAATTCATCAGGCCATATTTCGTGGGGCCACAGGGCAGCGATGTTTCCCCAAAACGATTGAAGGAAGCCGCCGTAGGATTTGTTTTGGAAACCCGCCCACGGCCAAGTACAGCCAAGCCGTTGAACCGACACCAACAGTCACCGCCACGGAGGCCGACGTGCACTAAGAGCGAGACTGCCGAACTCCGGGTTGTGGGTAGAGTGAATATCTGCAGATGTGCTATACTTCAGTCTACAGTCAAGAACGTGAGGAGGTTGGTTTAAAGCGACTAGGTACGGTCTTCCCAGCTCGCCAGGGACGAAACACCTTCAAACGGCCCACATATCAGCGACCGGATCGGGCACTATCCAGACATTTGAGGAGGCATACCCTTGGTACGGATCCTGCCGAAGCCCACTTTTCATCGTCGATTTGGTAAAGTCATGAGGAATCGCGGAGTTCTTCTTCTGCCGACGTAGGTTCTTTGAAGTCCCACTGAACAAAGTTTCTAATGGTAGATCTGTCGCCGGTGAAAAGTTCATTGTGGTGTGACGACGGAAGCATATTGACAGGTTGGTTTACCTTAACCAGCTGCAGTCCGCTTCGCTTGGGATGTTACATTGCTCTAGGCGGAGAATGCAAATCCGCAGCGAATCCCACCTACCATCTTCTTCAGAGACTCATTTTATTATAGCGTATGCGGCGATAGTGCCCCTCCGATAATGGTAACATTGGTGATACTGTAGCCTGGGATGAACTTGTATACTACATTACACGACATTATATGGCTGCATGGCATACAGTATGATACCTATAGTAGGTAGCTCGTGCATCGATAAGCTGACGAGCCGCATGGGAGCTTCGAATCGAGGGACAATTCAAGATTGGATACATTAGCATAAGGCAGACACAAGGGTCCCTGTCGAACTTCTTGCACCAACGCGTTGTCGAACGTGGGCAACTAAGTACTAACAGTATGTACTCTAGAGAGGGCCTTCTTTATCCCGATAAGTCATGCTTGTTATTACAGTAGTAGCCCAATGTCGTCTAAATAGTTGATCTGCTGGCGATTGCAACCTTGTCATCAGCGTGCGCAACGCATGCAACGACGGCTAGCTACCTAGTGGTCGGATGCATGGAAGTTCATCACATCAACCTTTCATCAACCTCGACGGGTGCAACCCTGCAGCTTTCTCATGGGATTTGTTAATCCTTACCAACATCCAAAAAGAAGGTGAATATTTGTTACCGACTTTCCGGGTATTGTCGGATTGTCATCACGCACCACCCTTGGCCCTCACCATCCGCATAGAAATCCATCGACAGCAACACCATGCTATGTATACCTGCTGGGTATCTTCTTCGGGAGGATCACGCGGATCCTCTACCGACTCATTTTGCGTTACATGTACACTAGGTAGGCTACCGTATTTGGACCATGCAGAAGCTATGAAATACCTAGTGTATCTGATCTATAAGGCCAAGTTGGGGAATGCATGCTAGCAACGTGGTTAAGGAGCCTACTGTACTTACTTAGGTACGTATACGCTAGGTACGAAGTAGATACCCAGGTAGGCTGGGCGAGATATCACACTCAAGGTACTCCTGTAGGAGTAGACTTATGATATCTCATTACTATGTACACCTAAGAACCTACTTACCGATTTACACTTGATGCACTTACTAGGACGCCTGTCTTGTCATGGTTGTTACCGTACTGTAAATAGCACAGCGTGGGATTTCACTTGGTTCGTCACGCACATCGGTCACATGAAAAACTGTCGATGTTGTCGGCGCTTAGGGCCGGGGAAGACCAATCGAAGCCAGTGACGGGACCCCGAGGATGCTAAATAGTTGCTAAAAACAAACCCGCTCTCTGGGCATCACAGAAAACATCATGACCGACAGAAACGAGGAGCTCCTAATTGCGATACAAATTGTTGGAGTATGCAAGTCGTCATGTGCGTCCCTACTGTATACCTACTTCAGCCTCAATGTTTCGCATGCCATGGTCTGAAAGGACAAGAGTTATTGGATGCATGCAAGCAAGTTTCTCTCGCCTGTATTCTTGAAATAGGTATGCATCGGCTGCCAATAAATTCAAGTAGATAGAGAAGAATACATAAGTATTAAGGTATTGATGGGTAACTCAACACTCAACACTCGACACGATGTCTACCAATGAGCCGGGGAGTATGGAGCGTGGAGAAGAATGGAGGAGAATGGAGATGGCCAATCTGGAGGGCCCCTTGCCACCGATTGGGCAGTAAGTAAGCCCACAACAGGCCAATGCCATTAACGGGCAATTTACGCGCCCTGGAACACCTGGCGTCCCAGACCGCGCATCGTGCTGAGACCTGCCATCCAATCGCCGTCATGCCTCAGCGGTCTTGGAACACTTAGCGCCTGAGAATCACAGGGCTTGCTTGGCTTATTTGACGTTCCATGGACCATATCACATTCCGTGATGGGCGAGGACTTCATGCAGTCGAGCGTGGTAGACCAAGTACTGTAGAAAACCACCAAAAACCCGTGCTCTTGATGAAATCAATGTAGATGCTTGTCTACCTATCTGCGCTATCTGTACTACCTACCCAGGCGTCCGTGTTATCCGACAACGAGCGCAGCTTTGACCTTCTAATCTACTTATCTACTATGTACTTACACTACATGGCATCCATCGCAGGGGCATTGGCAAAATCATGATTTTCTGTACTTGGGATAACGTGGCCAGAGATCGAATGACCGAGCGGCTCGTCTTGGACAATGCAAACTAGTCCTCGACCTGGCGCCAACCATTGATCCAACTCGATTCCTTTGGACTTGATACGAGTAGGGGCTGTATAACAATGGCGACTATCATCCTCCTGTGGCTGTCACACATTGCCTACATCGAGGCGAAGAGAAAGTTGTTTGTTTAAGAATAGACGCCTGGACAGTCAACGTGGAACACGGAGGAAGCAATCAAGATACCGTAGATAATTTAGCAACCGTGTACATACACGTGTCAATCAATCCACCAGCTCCCCCCCTCTTCTTGACCCCAAACACCCCAAGCACTCTCAGTAAGCTGTGGTATCTACACTACATTACCTAGGTAGAGTAGGTACGGAGTAGTCTGTGTAGATAGTATCATTAAGTGTCTGCCTGTCTGTCTGTCTCCTGCATTGCACGCAAGTACCTACCCACATCACCCCAGCCTTCGCCTAACGGAGGCTATCTACAACATTCAGACAACATCCAGCATCCTTTCTCGATAGCCAAGAGACCCATCTAGGTAGCTCTGGCTCCGTGCCCGACCAGAGCGGACCCTTGCCCTGGCACCCCCCCTGTCTCTCCCGATCTCTCCGCCCCCCCTTGGCGACAGGAATCAACTTCGTTTTGAGTCTTGACAGCCAGCCAGTCCCAGGTACTCCGTGCCCTAAATTAGCGTTGCAGATACTATACCGTGGTCACTGGCTTCGGCCACGGCATACATACTGCATGACATCCAGCCACTCCAGGACCAGGCGATTCACCACTTTCTGTCCCGTCCATGCTACTTGGCACAAACTTGCCTTTTCCCGCTGTCGTTCATCTCCCGTCTCTGCGCAGACGCTGGCCGCTTTCACTACCGTTGCTGTTCTTCCAATTCATTCATTCTTGGGACCAGCCGCACCGTCTGCAACATCATCGTGTCTTGCTCGCTCTCACAAGCCCACTTGAGTGTTTTCTGTTGGCTCGGGGTCTCCAGTATTCGTAGACCTAGCGTTCGTTACTAGTGCAGTCCCAGCCCGGTGAGCAAAAGCACAACTCCAAACACATGCACTAGCCCCGTTGTCATCAAAGAACCCAATCGGACGAGGATCCCATATTGTATTCTATTGCTTTGGAAAGAACAGAGCCGTCATTACAACACATGTAGTACGGCATTGATGTCCTAATCTGATGGTAAGTGACGGTAATGGGTCGTCTGCGGGCTCTGAGTAGCATCTTTGCTAAATTCTTCTAGATATTTGGGCTGTACATACAGCTCGAGAGTGCATCTAACAATGTGGCCACCCGCCTTGTCACTTCCTCGGTTTAGGGTTCTCCCTGACGCCGACATTCATAGTCAAGCCTCCGTGCCCAGTCTCGATTACTCGGGGAGTAGCGCAGATTCATCCTCGACCGGGCTTCCCCCTCATAATGGGCCACTGGGTATGATACCCCAGCCCTTGCTGGCTCGGCAATGTATCCATTCTTTCGAGGCTGGTCAGATCAAGAACCGGGAAGGCACGACTTGTAAGGCTTGTAACAAAGCGGAACCAGATCAGTTGATTCTTGAGTGTGCTCGTTGTGGGACTCAGAAATGTCAACGCTGCGTTAAACGGGACGACTCTTCGGCCTTCGACGTCATTGCAGATCTGTTAATCCAGCCAAAAGACCTCATTGAAGATCCGTTGCCAAAAGATCTGTTGATCCAGTCAAGACTATCGGTACCACCACAACCGATAGCAGATTCAATAAATGACCACGAGCCTGTTACCTGCTTCGTCCAAACAAGAGAAAACGAAGAAGTGATTGAAACATCCAAGTCTTTCCTTGTCAACGTCGTTCTGCCTATCGGTCTGCGTACTGTCACTGCTGCCGAAATCGAGGGTGAGGGATGCTATATCTCTGAAGAGTTAATATACGGATCACGTAACGACGACAGAGTCTCGGTCGCGTGGTGGAGTGTATCAGATGGATGTGCCGCAATCTCTTATGCACGGTGTGAGATTCTAGACAGAACCTGGATCAGAGGAGGAGCCTCTCTCATCTTGGGGAAGGGCCGTAGACAAGGGCTGGAGTACTCTGATTTAATACCTGACTCACCTGACGTGAAAACGGACACTGTATCTTCAAAGGCGTCGTCAAGCGATGAAAGCTCGCTCACCGCCCAGGACTTTATTGAGACACGAAAAAAGGAAGCTATTGGCAAGATTATTTCGACAATAACCCGGAGACTCCAGTTCGAGTTCATCAAGGCACATCGGATTGCACGCCAAACTGCAGCTGGCTCTTCCGAAGGTGGGGATGCGCCATCCGGTACGTTATATCTACCCTCAGCACATCAAGCTCAATCAACAAGAAAGAGAAACCGAGACGACAGAAGCGATGTTGATGACGAGAATGAAGAGAATGACAAGAAAAAACCTCGTCGCTCAAGAGGAAATGACAAGGGGAAAGGGAAAGAGATGGAGAATCTAAGATTTGCTTGCCCCTACTTCAAGTATAACCCAACAAAGTATCGAGGGTGGCCAATCTGTCCTGGGCCAGGATGGTTAGATGTTCATCGAGTCAAGTGAGTCTTGCTAGCCGTGTTTGCAATGCAATGGGAATTCTAACAGTAGTCAGGGAGCACCTGTATCGTAAACATCGACAACCAAAGTTCAGGTGTGCGCGTTGTTGGGAACGCTTCGATTCCGATCAGAAATACATTGACCACCAACGACTCCTTATACCATGCGATTTAAGAGAGAGCGAGCCGATCGAGGGGTTTGACGCAGATCAAGAGAGACAGTTAAGATCGAGGAAGAAAAAGAACCATATTGTTTCTGAAGTTGACAGATGGAGGGCGACGTTTCAAATCCTATTTCCGCATGTTTTGGCAGACGAAATACCATCACCCTGTAAGCATGCATCGTGGATACATACTTCAAGTCGCTTCTCTAACTGGTTAAAAAGTCTATGAATATGAACAAGTGTCAAATTCAACACGATCTCACGAAACTTTGACTGAATGCGAGGAATACGTTCTTCGCGAGATGCCGCTACGGCTACAACAGATCCTGACTCCAGAATTCGACCGAGACTTCCAAATTGTAGAGCAAAGTACCAGGATCCGAGCTATTGAGCATGCAAGGGTTATCATAGCGAGCCTATTCCAAGAGTTTCGAAGATTACGTCAACAGGATGCCGGCCCAACTACGGCGCCAGAACCTAGGGGATCAGAGGGTGAAGCAGGCGCTAGATTGTCGCAAGCCCAATCTTCATATTTCAGTTCAATAGGTGTCTTCGATGACATAGAGCTTGATTTCTTCTTCGATGATGGGAGCATGGCTGTCTTCGAAGACGTCCAACTTCGAGATGTCGAGGCGGCATCAGCGCATGATGAAGACGATGCACTGAAACCCTCCGATTCCGGATACGTGTCAAACAACCAGGAGCGAATGGACAAACAGTCAATAAATGAATGACTTCTGTCTCGCAAATCGCAGTGGTTGATGGAACGGCCTACTTCGAGATACCTAGGCGTACACATGATCGGCATTTTGCAAGATGATTATGGCCTATTTGATCATATCAAATCAAATGATTTTTCCGCCTTCAAGCATGTGCCTACTAGATGCTTGGCTCATGGCTATATGCTGAGCACACAAGTTACTGCTTAATACCAAATTCTTCTGCCCATATCTCTTTACAGCGAGATACTTCAAGCCGCATCCGGAGCTCAATGCGCGATTTATGTGCTCAAAATACAAGATTCTGTTTCTTTTTCGCTTCATTATCTTCGTCGTTGAAGGCATGCTTGATAGGATACACCAAAGCTCGTTAGCTCCAAGACCAAGGACTCAGCAACTGCTTGGATTCAAATTCATAGGGGTATTTGCTTGAGCACCCGTGTAGTAAATTGTAGGATAAGTATAATTCTGTATGTAAAATAATGAGCAATGACGACTGAAGCCATCGAACTCTGCCCTTTACACTGTGCGTTGTGGCACGTCGAGTGTACCTACCTACATAGGTAGTCTAGACCGTCAGGTGCTACTACCTGGTATTTTTAAAATAGCGCGGGGAGGATATTTGTTCACCCCTCACTTTCTCCAGATCAAACAATCGTTCATGACTCGCACCATCCCCTAAATACTACTTAAAGAGCAATTCTCAAGCAATATCCTATCAATCAGAAAAGGCTCACGACATCTTTACTCTCAGGTTTCTACGAAGACAAATCTACAGCACTCCAGCCTATCTGCCCAACCCCCATTATTCCATCACCTATTCAGCCAATCACCAGCAAAAGAAAGGAACGCGAAAATGGTATACACAATCGTAGTCCACCTCCGCGCCAAGCCGGGCAAGGAGAACATCGCCAAGGTCCACGCGAAGCTCAACGAGGCGTCGGCCATCTACTCGAAGGACAAGGAGACCATCTCATGGTTCGTGATGCAGAGCGTGCACGACCCGCAGGACTTCACCATCGTCGAGCGCTACGAGAACGAAGGGAGCCAGAAGTACCACCTCGAGAACCCCTACTGGAAGACCTTCGACCCCTTCGTCGTGCCGCTGCTCGAGAAGCCCATGGACCTGCGGCGCTTCGAGGAGCTGGTGCCTGTCGAGGGCGAGGAGGCTTTGTTGAAGTAAGATACTTTTCAAAGGTTTACCGGGTCTAAAGTGTCATTGGGGTTGTCCTACGGCGTCGGCGACGGGTCATTTCTCGGGGAAGATGTGAGATGTGGGTTGGTCGATGGGTAGCGCTGAGATGGACGAGAGTGGATGCGGGATTGTGTAGCGCTTTAGATCAGTGGGATATCTACCCGCTTTACTAGGACCTCGATCGATCCAGACTTCGATCCCCGTTACTCAACAATTTACTTCGTAACGTGAATGGCCCCGGCGTTGCATTGGTAGGGCTTTTTATGTACATAGTAGGGATCCAGGGCACCGGTTCTACCTAGGACTTAAACCGCGGCGGAGCGCGCTAATTTGTGTGACGCGTGGTCATGTCCACTGTTTTGTTTTCACAGCTAGGTCAACAACAAGCAGAAGCAGAGTTGCATCGGTTGGGACGGACATTGGAGCCTTCTACATTACTCGCGTGGTGAATTCAAGTAATAGCGTTTCGCCGTCCCTTCAACAGGGGCCGAAGACTTAATATTGGCCATGAATCCCCTCAGCGAGCGGCGCGTTCTTGCTACCTAGCATACCTAGATACCACTAGGTATGTTATACTTAGGAACCCCGCGAGTGAAGGGGTGGCATTAGCCCAATTGCCGTTGGTGCCGGCAGCGAGTTATGAGCTTGCTGGGAAGACTCATGTTATGATAGATTAGATGTGGGCAATGTGAGTTGTATATAGCTGAAAACAGCGACTGACCAGCAATTTATCACAACCTCACACCTTGCGACCCCTGATTTTGGTGTGTTTTACGGCGTATACATACAAATGTTGCAACCAGCTGAACTTTAGGGTGGGACCTACTACACGTTCAGCTTCATCCTCAGAGTTCGCCTTAAATCGGTCGCTCTCCTCACTGTTCATTTCGCATTGTCGCTTCTGTGGGGTTCGTTTGACCATCTCTACTCCCCTTTCATTGGACTCTTCAGATTCGCGGAATGCATTGTCATCCATGGCGCTAGCAAGACACAAATGACATTGTTTCGCGTCGCGCAAGCTAAAACTGTAAAATTGCAAGTCATCAGAGACTTGATTTCGAGCATCACGCTTTACTTCTTTGGCTATATCGAGCGCTGTCCGGCCACAGCCATCCGTGGCATTGGGGTTTGCACCCTGTTCCAGAAGAAATTGAGCAAGCCGCGTGTGTGCATACATCGCTGCGATGTGTAACGGGGTTGTTTCAGGATTGGACGGTACTAGACTTGTATGATAAAGACAGAATAGTGCTATTAAGTCGTGATCGCGGCTATTCAGCGCAAGACTTAAAGGATCACAGAGTCGTTTGAATCTGGGACCCTTAGGTGCGCTCAGCTGATTCCAGATATTGGCTCCTAAAGTCAACTTGACTCCCTTGTTAAGTAGACACCGCACTGTAGAGTCATCACAACAGACCGTAGCGATTTTGAAGGCCATATTGGCGCTCTCACAAGGCACATTAAGTTGTTCGGGGTACATTTCTAACAGACGTTGGACGGTATCTCTTTCGCCGCTTAACACTGCCATAAGCAGTAGTGACCACGTCTGAGAGCCCCCAACAGTAATGACATAGCCTTCTGGCAACATTGTTCGTCGACGGTCTGTCCGAAGGTAAAACATAGTACCTGGAAGCGGGAGGTTTGGGTCTTCTCGACCGCAATTTCGAACATCTCGTTGAGTATCGTATTGGCTTTCCTCGTAGGCCGTTTGTTCGAATCTTTGGAGATGCTCTGATACTGTGGTATCTTGATCCCTAATTTGATTCACAAGCCTCCCTAATATGAATCTTGGTCCTAAAAAAACTAATGGAAAGAGGTTTTCTCGCCGTTCTGTGACTGCCGCTTCCCCGGGTGATAACTCGACCCGCGCTCTTGTTACGGTGTCGGAGAAATATATGCATAAATCATCCCATGCGTGATCTTCATCTCTCGTTTTAGCTAAAAACGATTCGCCGAGTCTCCCATGCCGCAACAGGATATTGACAGTCTCTGCTGCATTAAACTTGTTTGCTGCCGCAGCTTTCACCATATCCAGGGTTATATCAATTTCGACTTCTCTTCGTTGTAGGAAAGAGCACAAATCGGTGGGGTCCCATGAACTTAAAATATGACAAATGAAGTCCATTATATACTTTGGCTGATGATGTACCAAGTCGGACAGGAACTGATTTATCGATGATGGAAAATGTCCATTTCCTAAGCAACAAGGAAGGATATTTCCAATGCTGCGTCTTATCCCCGATATCACATTTTTTGCTCTTATTCGATATTTTTTCTCTGATGATCTCGAGACGAGTTGAACAAGATAGAGTAGTTTATCGTTGAGTTCTTTCTTTGTATAACCTAATCTCGACGGCAAATCGCCTGATATTCGCAGCAATTGGATAGCCTCTTCTAGCAACTCAGAGAGCTTCGGATTCCAGTTAGACGGTGAAACTTTCAAATCAGATACCGGCATTTCCTGTGATCCCATCAAGCATTCGGCCTCTGCTAACAGTAGACCGAGCCTTAACTGAAATGGCTCCGCGGTCATGCTCACAAAGTAGGCGAAAGTAGTGTATGACACACTAAATTCCGTTCGAGTATAATCCGGCACTATGTATTTCTGTATCTCTGAACCCCCGCATAGTCCAAGCAGCGCGAATATCTTATCCCGCTGATCGGATGCTTCCGAGTGACGAAAATCTAGCAGGAGAGAGAGAAAGTTCCTGTCCCGTGTTTTGCGAGAAACATCTCCAGGGTATGACGGCATGAGTCTGAATATGGCTGCAGCGTGACTATTTAGGTCCACCCCCAGAAGAATGGGAGCCATAACGAAGATTTGTGCACGGACAGAGTTTCTACCACAAAAGACGGAAGCTGCACGAGCATTCGCTACTTCTTGAAGAACCCAAATTCGGCGGAACCAGGAGCGCTGTAGAAGCTCAATAAAGCCTTTTTGCAGGTCACCCTTCACATCGACGGTGGTATATCTATCTTGGAGTTTACTTAGCACAACTTGCCAGGTAGTCTTCCATCTTATGTCGTCAGGGGCTGAGTAACGACCCGAGATAGAGGTTTGTAGTAGTAAGAGAGATTCCAGGAGAGCTCTTGTGAATGGGCTATCTGTTCCAAGGTAAACGAGGACACGCTCGGCACCTCCATAAATGGCTTGCATCCTTTGAACCTGGTGTCCGCGCTCTAGATCGTCGTCTTGATTGATTGCAATAGCATCAATCCAGAGGTAGCGGTCTGATTCGGCCTCACGCAAGTCTCTGAGTAAACTCCATAGATTTTCGGTGACCATGAACTTCTGCCCATCAAGAAGAATGCTGAATGGCTTATTCGATGAGCCCCAAGTATATGAGACAGCTTCGTACGAGATTCCGTTCTCATCAAGAGATGTATATACAAGTTCGCAATCAATAAAGTCGTTCGCAACTCCCTTGAGAAGTCGTACCAGACGGAAGGCAGAGCTTCTCAGATCTAACCTTCGGTAATTGAAGGTATCCATCATGCGATGACAGCGAGTCTGGCAAAGACTATGGTGTGAGTGCAAAAGCAGGTAGTCCGGCCAGCAACGACCTGTAGCGCGGGATGCGTTGATAATTTGGAAACGATGGTTCCAATCTCACACAGGAGTGCTCAATTGACACGGAAGACAAGGGAGACGACCATGGTCACAAATTAGAGAAGGGGAAGGAGAAGAAAAAAACGATTCATACACTAGTAGAATAATATCATATTTGAGGTAGTAGCATGCTGGCACTGCTGCGCCCCGCAAGAATGTAGCATTTACGGAAATTTAATTATCGATACAACTAGAATGTGTAAAAACTGTTGAGAGGCCAATCGGATGACTAGACGTATTGGGAGAAAGGTGCCGATGAGGCGATGCCTGCGCGGGGATTTACGGGTCCTAAAAGCTATGTACATCTCACCAATCCAAGAGAGCCATTTTCATGTAGGAGGCGGATTCTCTCGAATGGTGTATGGTCTGTTTGGAGGTGGTGTATAGAAGTAAGCCCGGCAGCTGAGTCTAGTTTTCATGATTGCCAGGGGAGGCATTCGTGACTGAGCATATATATATGCTAAGTAGAATGGGAGAGCACAAGCCAGTTTACAATCATCATGATCTGACAAATTTGAAGAATCTAATAGTTATACTGTCAAAGTTCAGTAACTAATAGGTAAATACTAAGATAACTGGTAACCTACCTATAAGTACCCAAATATGCAGATATCTTATCATAAACATAGCGCACCTCTAGATTCAGAGATATTGGAATGAGCATATAGGAGCCATGCTTTGGCTGGAATAATGTTGAGTAGACACCTAACGACCCAATTGCTAAACCTCTGAAACGTGCTTTATTAATTTCAACAAACTGGCTAATCGAACCGAATCTTGCCCTCATTAACATCCGGATAGACATCGAACCGCCTCTGCGTATATATAGGGATACCCTTCCTCGTCTCATCAATCTTGGCCCCGTCTAGCTCCCAGCTGACGATAGTCTCACTTTCTTGGGCCTCGACGACGACTTGCGCCATGGGGTCGACGATCAGACTGTGGCCCCAGGCATGGTATGTAGCTTTCGTGTCGCGAGCCGGACTACACAGCGCAACGTAGCACTGGTTATCCATGGCACGCGCCTGACCCTGAAGGCGCCAGTGTAGCGGCCCTGTGGTAGTGTTGAATGCGCCTGGGTATATGAGGGCGAAAGCGCCACGCCGCGCCGCGATCATGGCTAGCTCGGGGAACCGCACGTCGTAGCAGATGGCCACGGCAATGCGCCCATATCCAGGGAGATCCACCAGTGTCAGCTTGTCCCCCGCCGTCAGCACGTCGCTCTCCCGGAATGTGATTTTGCCCGGGATGTCGATATCAAACAGATGCACCTTGCGGTGCGTAGCCAGTAATTTCCCATCGGGCCCGAACGTGAGCGATGTGTTGTAGTACTTTTTCTTCCCGTCTTTGCCAACCTCCACCTCGGGTATGGAACCGCCTACTAAGAAGACCTTCGCCTCGGCGGCCGTGGCAGATAGGGAATTAAAGGAAGGTGACTGGTCGGGCGAGGGCGGGGACGGGAGGAGGGTCTCGGCGTACGAGGGGAAGTAGTCGCATCCGTAGGGCGAGTTGAAGCATTCGGGCAGCACAACTAGGTTCGCGCCAGCTTTGGCGGCCTCGAAGACCTTTTCACGGGCATGCAAGAGATTAGCAGCCTTGTCGGCGCCACTGGCGAGTTGAATGCATGATAACTTCAAAGGCTTTTGGAGAACTGGTGATGGCATGGTTGATGTTGCCATCGTGCGGGCGAAGGTCGCGGGTGCGAGGATCGGGCTAGTTCGTGCGAGTCGGCAGCTCAGACGTAGATGGGAGCCAAAGGAGGCAGATGGAAATGATTTAGCAAGCAGACCCAAGGTCTTATTGGCGAAGGATCTCATAATAAATGCATCGTATGTATCTGAGAACCAGTGGTTGCGAGGTCGGGCGGCTATAGCAGTTGGGGGATTCTGGGGGATTGAAGCTACTGTGGGGGGTATGATGCAGTAATTTTGGTGGGGTTTAGCTTAACTACCGCGTAAGCTGGGGGAGAATAGAGGGGTTTATCTAGGCCAAGATGTAGCCAAATCAATGAAGATCAAATGGAGGATTTTCTCTTGAAGGAGAGAATGATTCGATACTGAGGTTGAAATCATAGCCGCTTTTTATTTTGAAATGCACTCGTGTATTGGATCTAATTACCAATCACAGCTCCGTCCCAGCAGCTCAGCGAGTTGTTCAAGGTACTTTTTATCGACCTCGTCAAACCCATTGAAATCTGCACAGTCAATATCAATGATGGCGACAACTTTCCTTGAATCTCCCTCGTCCGCGAAAATGGGGACCACAATCTCACTCTTACTATCCCCGTCGCAGGCGATATGACCCGGAAACTTCTCAACGTCCGGAACGAGCTGCGTTGTTTGAGTTGACGCCGCTGCTCCACAGACGCCTCTGCCGAAGAGGATGGTCTGGCACGCCACTTTACCCTGGAACGGGCCGAGTATGAGCTGTGGCTTTTCCGTCTTCAGCGGATCTAACGTGTAGAAGCCTATTATTACATGGCGATTAGTATCCAAGGGGTCAAGAATTGAGTTGAAACCCTCCGTACCGGCCCAGTTCACTTGATTGCTCGGAGAAGGCAATGACTTATACGCGTGCCACAGCAATGAAGCCGCATTTGCCAAGTTGCTTCACTCTATTAGTCAAGCTGAGGTGTCACAATGCATGCTGTACACACCAGACCTACAACCGACAGCATGAGTATACACATTCAATAAACAGTGAATCCCGGACTCACCCAATTCCTCTGGCCATCGAATAGTCCTTCAGCCTGCAACAGAACCTGCTCATACGCCTGCTCTTTTGTCACGCCCTCGGCGAAGTTGGAAGCGTCTGCGTGAACCTAAAATGTTCACTTCGTCTCAGCCATAAGTTTTAGTAAGCCGGGATTGTGGGAGATTGTACCATCGTGCTGGGTCAGATTTGTGTATCGTGAAAAGTCTACAGTTGACCTTTAGTATCCGAATCCGAAAAATGAATCAATCAAATAACAGGTCACTCAAATTGTTGAATCTGCTTGACGGACATGAAAATGCTACTTATCCATGCAGGTATGGAATGCCACAGAAAAATGTTCAGGGTATTAGTCAAAGCACGCAATTGGCAAGGCTTACTGGGTACGCGCATCCACTCCGAAAACTAGCGGCTTGAAACTACGATGTGAGCGATACACTCTGATCAACTCCAACATGTCGCGATGTCTATCAAATAGATTGAGACACTCATACCGACATCTGAGAAAGCAAGATTGTTAAATTAAATACGAAACGTTTCATTTAATAAAGGCTGAAAGTGGTTAATGAGACTGGAAATGCTAGAGGTAATTATGGTAAGACGCTCGCTCAAATTCACTCATTGGGATGCTCCTGATGTTGAGTCAACGCTTGTTTTCCTGATGAATTTCATCTCATGATTTTAGCTCATTTGAGGCAGACGATGCCATGGCTATAACTTATCTTTATCATGCCCTCAACATTTCATCATATCCTGACAATGATAGATTCAATGACTGAGCTTTCATTCCTCACTCCTCGGTGCTTCAAGCTCATGTGCCTGAAGCGCCCCATACTCCCTCAGCAAAGCAACCGTCCGCTCATACCGACGGTCTCTCTTCTCAACCTCTATCACACCACCATCAGCGGATACAACTTCATAGTGTCGAACAAGGAGTATAGAAACAGTACTAACCAGCTTTCGACGCCCCTCTGCTCTCCTTCCTCGCCTGCATATTCATAAAATTCATCAACGCATCGAGCGGTGTCCTCGGCGACTTCCCCACCTTCTTCTCCACGGGATTAACAGCAACGCCAGCCTGAAGCAGAACAGTCGCGCTCTCGATCAATCCACAAATAGCCAGCTCATGCAATAGGAGCTTCCGGTCGTATTCGCGAGATACCCCGTGATCACGCGACGACGTTATCAGCGGAACGACATACCTCCGCAACAAACCCGCCATCTCCTCGTCATGAGCGCGCGTCACACTCTCCACGTCCTCATCGAGCTTGTCGCTGAGGGCCCAGGCTAAATGTCCGAAGACAGGGAAATCAGCGACGTCATCGCGGTCTGTGTCGGGACAAGTCGATTTATCGTCTGCCGCGACGCCCCTGTCGAGGAGGATCTTCACCGCGGCGCGGAGATAGTGGCTTGAGAGGACGAGCACGGGGGAGTATCCCTGGTTATCGCGCACGTGGATGTTCGCGCCGTGCCGCAGAAGGAGACTGGTCATATGAGTTTGGAATTCCTCTGCGCTTTGCAGAGACCCCGAGGCCTCGACGCCGTAGCGCACTCCCATGTACATCAGTGCTGTGCGCCCATCGCTGTCGACCGTTTTCACGTTCGCGCCTGCAGATAAGAGCATTTCTACTAGGTCGGGTTTACCTGCGTATACCGCTAGCATGAGGACCGTGCTGGTCCGACCCGAGCGCCATGTAGGCGCTAGAGAGTCGATGTCAAGCCCATGGTCGAGGAGAGCGTGCAATGTGCGCTTTAGCATAGCCTTTTGCGTGTCTGGGGATCCTCTGACGTAGGGCGTGTAGAATCGACTAGGGCTGTAGTCGCTGATCCAGCAGAACTCGCCGGCTATGAGATGATGCAGAATACCGATTCCATCTACTAGAGTGCCATTCAGATTATCCGAGCGGCTTTCGATAAGCAGCTCTAGAATGTCCGCATTCCAGTTCTGCACGGCGATCTCGACTGCACTTGAGCCGGCCGAGGGTCCGAGGATGAATTCCTCATGCGGAATGTCATTAGGAGAATCAGGCTGCACATCTGGATCCGAAGATAAAAAGATGAATTGCCTGTGGCCGTCCCGGAGGAAAGGGTCAGCGCCGTGGCTTAGGACAGCACGAACGGCTTCTATACAGTTGAAGCGCACTGCCCAATGGAGGGGACTGCCTGCAGGTAATAGGAAGGGATAATGAAACATTTTGCCTCCTTGACTCGTCAGGATGTCGGTGGAAGCGCCCTTCTCTATCAGCCTTTCAGTTACCGTGTTAACTTCGTCCGGGTGGAAGGCGAACAGCCAATGAAGACACGATGGCGCCTTTCGGCGAGGTCGTAATGATGGATTTGCTCCCATATCGAGGAGGAAGAGAACCGTTTCGGAAGCACCGCATTCACAGGCACGGTATAACGGTGTTTCACCTAAATTATTACGCATGTTAATACAGTCACTCGTCATGATTCTCTTCAAGGTCTTGATGGCCTTGGCATGATTGAAGGAGGCCAGAATGTGCGGCAGGCAGTCACCCCACAGATTCAATGGCTGACGGAGAAATTCTGAGGAGGGTGCTAGGCTAGGTGGCAAACTCAAGTATTCCTCGAGGATTTGAGGCGACATGCCTGAGTAGTGCTGGTTAAATCCTCCCGACTCTTGGAACAGCTTCAGGGCAGCATTGAAACCAGGTCCGTCCATTTCCCTAACCTCGCTAGAAAATATCAAAGCGCCGGTAGCGATCGACTCCAAGCCCCATTCTAAAACCTTAGACTTGATATCCTCGTTGACTTCATAGCCGTGAAATTCGTAGTAGCGAAAGATCAGGGCGCGAGCCTGCTGGACGCCTCCCACGGCCGCGGTATGGAGGAGACGGGCCCATGGTGCTGATGCTGTTGGCTCGTCGGTTGGTCTTGGTCCGCCTTCAACCCACTTCAGAAACACCGCGAAGGCGGTCTCTGGAGATAGACTATGTTCATCTTCGAGGAATGCAAACATCAGAGGATGAAGAAGTTCGACTTCTAAGTCAGGTAACTCCCAATTCCAATGCTCGTAGTCAGAAGATAGTATTGACGCGGCTGAAGAGCTTGCGATGGAAGACGCATCATCTTCGGGTTCGACGTCCGTGTCATGGATGTCTAGTTTTGATATATCTGGCGAAGATCTGACGTTGCTAAGTCGGCATTAATTCGCAACCTATTGAGTGTCTTTGTTCTAACTCACATGTCTTCCTGCTCTACGATCCCGTCTTCTACTAACAGAGGGAGTATCCACTGAGGACGATCCCGCGGACTCCAGTTTAGACACAATTGTAATAAACTCGCATAAATCTGACCGAGTCCTGGTGTCATTTCCTCTTGAGTGCGAACACTACTCAGTGCCTTATCAAGCACATCTTCTGCCTCACCACCAGGAGGTGGGGTAGTAAATCCACAGATAAGAGACCAAGCCACTAATCCAAAGGAATATGCGTCAAGTCTATCAAGAAGAAGAGGATCAAGCGATTCACCTTCCTCATAATGCCGTCGCAGCTCAGGTGAACGCCAACCAACTGTGCCTCTCCCGACGAGCTCACCCCCTTTGCTCAGATCCGCACCGCTTCCGAAATCAGAGAGCTTCGCAATCCAGCCGGCGTTTCGCTTGAATACTAATATGTTTTCTGGCTTGAGATCACCATGAATCAGCCCGATTTCGTGGATCACGTCTAAAGCGGCGGCAACATCTTTGATCAGGTCGAATCTCGTACGCAATGAGATTTTCTCACTGGACGAGAGGCTCCCAGCAAGGTCATCGTCAGCTAACTCGAGCGCTATGAACGGCGGACGATGCCAATTGTCGTCGTCGATTCCCCAACCGACAATGTTAACGATGTTCTCATGGCGTCGAAGCTTCGGATGTCTTAGGGCCGCGATTTCAATTAGGAAGTCTCGCACTTGTCTGCGCACTGCTGATTCTGACAGGTCCAGCCGCTCTTTAGCATCCAGTGCGAATTTGGGCGTCTTCAGAGCGACTATGTGGAGGCCAGCGGATGGATTATTGAAATAGCAAATGCTGCCTTGCCGCACGATGAATTGCGCCCCGGACCCTATGTGCGTTGATGGTGGAACCGTGAAGCAGGGACCGCGTATCCAGAGCTTATGGATAAGGACGGCGAGTTCAGCTATTGGGAGCTGAGGATAAGCATGACTCTCATCCTCGGGATTGGATAGAGTTAGGCTTTGAAATTTTGATTGATGTGTTGAGATGTCACTGATGTAAGCTGCGAAAGAGAGACCAACCTCTGAGCCTGTTAAGCTTGCGTCCATCTTACGAAAGGCAAGCTGGCTCAGCAGAGTCTCGCACCATAGGAAATACTGATAGATTGAACTTTTATTTATTGTATATCCTAACAACGTCTCGTTGCTTAATTGCTTAGGGGTCTTTTACTGGTCGTCTTATCACACCCAAGGATTGTGGCTGAAGTCCTCACCACTGTCGCAGATCCTGCGGCCTCGGGGCCGAGTAATCAATCAATCATCTACTTCGCCATCACAAACATCAGCCGGCCCAAGGCAACGACCGCCCGGCGGCCTCTACAGACAACATCTCTCAACAGTAATTTAATGAACATCACGTATAATAAAATCTAATAGCCATTGGTCACTGTGATTTATACCGTAGCCCAGCATGGCCGACATTGCCCTAGGCATCGCAGGCTTGGCTGTTGGCATCCCCGGCTTGGTGCAAGTGACCTTGTCAATCGGCGATGCAATCCGCAAAAGACTGGTGCATTATGAAGACGATTTCAAAAGGCTTCTCGACATCGTGATAAGAATCAATAAGTCGCAAAGCAATGACATGCTCCTATACTTCTTCAGCGAAGACCAGACGGTCCCACAAGAGCTACAAGACGAACTGATCGAGATGTTTCAGGTCTTGCGCGGCATATTCGAGAGGCTCTTATTCATGTTCCCCGAAGCAAAAGTCGGAGAGAAGTTCAAGATCACACCAGCGCTGAAAGCTAGAGCGCAGGAAGCGATTGAACAGTTGGAGGAATGGAATGATCGCTTCTTCAAACGTGCGCTAGTCTTCGTTATGTTTGGACGCCGCAAACTTCCTAGAACAACATATGAAAGTTTAGAAGAAGACGAACACGGCATCGTAGCATTGAAGAAGGTGGAGAAACTGAGAGATATCATCTACGAGTCCCTCGAAGGCACGAAGAAAAGCACACGACTCCTACTCCCTCAACCCGACGCAGCAGACGAGACAAGGACGCCACTCGCAAATTCTTCACTGCAGCTATCTACGCGAAAGAGCACAGAGCAGACATACCTCGTCGAGTACCGCACATACAGCGACGACGCCCGCGAACACGAGGTGCAAAATCACCGGCGCGTGGTCCGCGAGGTAGCGAGTATCTTGCACCACGCCGACGCTCGACTAATGGGGATCCTGCACTGCGAGGGTTTTCTATGGGACTCGCTATCAAACCGGTTTGAGCTGCGTTTTCCGTTCCCGGGAGGCCTGACGAAGCCACGGACGTTTTTAGACATCCTCAAGGACCCAGAGACTCAGCGGACGGGAGTCAAGCACCCGCTCAACCAGCGAATCTCTTTTGCTAAGCGCATCGTGCGCGCCGTGTTCATGCTGCACGCGGCCGGATTCGTGCACAAGCAGATCCGGCCCGACAACGTCTTGATCTTCGACCATACAGTCACAGACACGCCTTCCGCGGAAAAGATCCCCACAGAACGAAGACAGTATCCGTACACCCTCGGCGAGCCGTTCCTCATAGGCTTCGACACAGCGCGCAAAGTCGACGCCGCGACCCTCTTACTCTCCGAGCACGACTGGCAGAAGAGCATCTATCTCAGCCCGGAGCGGCACCGCCTGCAGCACGGCGACGAGTTCCAGATGCACCACGACATCTTCAGTCTCGGGGTATTGCTCCTGGAGATCGCGTTCTGGGCAACCTTCCAGGACCGCGCGGCGGGTCATCTGGGGAAGCGCGTATGGAAGGGAGACGGGACGTTACGATCACCTGCCGAGCTGAAGAGCGCGTATCTGGCGCTGGCCAAGGGCGCTGTGCCGAGGCTTTTGGGACAGAAGTATGCGGATGTTGTGACGGCGTGCTTGACTGGATTGGAGTCTGAGGGGGCAAGTGCTAAAGATCTCGAAGATGAGGATGGGATTGTTGTTGGGACGAGGTATGTCATGGCTATTATTAAGAAGCTGGAGGAGATTTCGATATAGAAAATTATTGTGAAAGGTTACGATTGGTCAAGTAGACTGGAGAATTGTGATAGACACTAGACTAGACAAATTGATCTAGTGGAATTGCCGAACGTGAGAGTACTATACCTCACTATGATTTTTGAGGTCATCTTGTAGGAAAGCGAGCTACACATCGCGGTACCTAGACCAACAACCAATATACACTCCTGAGACAATATAAGGGGATATATGCCCAACTTTTATCATATCTAATATTCCCAACCACTCACTCACTATGTACACACAAATCAAGCGCCGCGACAGCAGTACCTTCAGAAACTACCCCATCGAATAGAAACCAGACGAACTATCAACGAGCTGAGACACAGAAGCGGTGAGAAAGCAATTCTAAGTATGCAAGATACTTATCAATTCCGGTACACTCGTCCTTCCTTATGCATGAGACATGCTGACCGACCCCTTGACCTGACCATCCTGTTCGCAAGAAAGGAAAGCCGGGGATAACCATCGCGGGGATTACTCTATTCGTAAACGGAGTACCTACCGTATACTTACTGTACACTACGCCTGGTAAGTACATGTAGGTATAGGTAGGTAGGTCGTCGAATTGAAGCCTCGCTTCCAAGTCCGTGTTCCCGGTAACGTCCTATCAATGGATTCGGTTGCGAGCAAGACAGAGAGACAGACAGACACCAAAGCCACGCTAGTTGATTTCATTTGAGAGGGAGGAAGCTTTTGTCTTTCCTGGTGTTTCGTAGGTATGAGGATATGGTACTTACGGTAGATCGGTTCAGATACATACATACATACATATATGCATTGATACCCAGGCGCAGACGCGAACGTCTGTCCCATCGCATACATGTCTTACTTACACCGAATGCACGAACCTGCGCGAAAAGGAAAAGACCCTTATCTCAAGCTCGTGGCGTGCAATCCCGTCCATACCGATGTGCATTTCCCCCCCTCAAATACGAATTCTTTCTTATCTAGATTGACACTAGATGGTAGAAAGTAATCAAGTGTCAGCGGGTAGGCATAGATATGCTATCAGCTTGATTGATATCGGAGCTGGATCGTGGGATGGTATTACTATCTTAGGTAGATATGTATGTACGTACGTAGGTCATTGGAGATGTTATATCCTTTCATTAATGAGCAGATATCCAGGTAGGTAGGTGGGTGTTCACTGCAAATATCCGCCGTCTTACAATAATTGCAAGATATTAGCACATGACTACCTATTCGAAACTCCGCTGACTGTGTTCCGGGTCTCACGGACCAAGCTTTGATAAATTTTCAAAAAGGCGAAAGCTCGCGTGACTTCTCTCATTCCCCATTCCATGCACAAGATTTTCGGGAGCCTGCATGTCATGTATACCTACATAAGTACCTACCTAAAGTACCTACCTTGCTCTTGTCCCCTCTTACTTACTGTAGTGAGCCGCATATCGGACCTATAGTACCTATTGAAATTGAAATGCAGTGCATTATATGTGCTTAGGTACACGGGTAGATAGTCTCTGCCAAGTGTCGATCCGCTGTGCGACGAAGCGCTGGGTCCTTGGACTTGGAGGTCTAGACACAACGTATGATGCCAAGGGTTGTCGCCGATGGACGTTGCATACAGATTACGTGATGAAATGACGATTGCGGCTTTACCCGATTATTGCTGGAGAGCATGAAGCGTGTTGAGGTGAGATTGATTCTTTGGATAGGTACTGCAGGTAACAGTGAAGGTCAGTTTGAGCGAGACTGCAGGGGGTAAGTACATTAGGTAGTGAGTACCTAGGTAGCGACGAGTATATACTTAAGGGGGTCTTGCTTGTAATCGGCGTGTTGTTGGTTTTGTGTACTGCTTTTCGGCACGCTTTGGACCTGTCGATGCTACACAGGATAGGATAGGGTAGTATGTGACATTGTCATTTGGCGATATACGTTGGGCTTCAACGTTTTGATAGATGGAGGAATCTGGGTATTTGTTAAAGACTTCTTCTTCAGCGAAGAGGTCAAATTCAGACCAGATGGGGGCTGCAGTGCTTGCTGAAACTGTGGTGCAAGGGTTTCCATCGGACAGCATGTGATGCGAGGCTGTGCGGTAAATCACACGCGGAAGCATCCGCCGGAGTGTCCATGCTACGCTGTACATGGGAGGATTGCAGGTTTGAGAAAACATAGTCGCAGTCGTTGTGGGAGGGGATTCAACCATCTTAATATAACAGATACCGATAGTTCTAACAGAGGCGCTACGTCAACCTTGGAGATAAGATATTCTCCAACCTCTATTCGGGTAAACTATCAATTACAAGTGACCATAAGATATAGAATGGAGGGTATAGTTGACACTCTTAAAGTGTCTGAGGCGATGGAGGTAACTCGGTGTTTCTGGCTGCGGCCTGTGGAAAACTCAGCCGGCATCGGATATGTTGTGGTAGATGTCGATAAAGCAAACGCTGACCAAGGCGCCCGCAGGCGCTCTACGCGAGTCTGGTAATAACTTTTGTCGAATATCAGTTACACAGAACAGCTGGGGAGGATGACAACACATCGCACCCTCAAGTCACCGGAAATAAGCCGGCAGTTTGTCTACTTTGTCCAGGCTCCAATTGGTATATGCCGACGTGAAGCAAGGATTCGGTTACATATGGTGAATACAGTAGGTAGCTGGGACAGTATGGGACAAGCGCGGAGCAGTGACCCAATCAGCCATGCAGCGGCACATTACGGAAAGATCATAGATCAGAGGCGTGTTGGTGGATTTCGAGCCGGGTCTGAGCCGGGGCGATGGCTGGCCAAGGGAGTTGCCCGCACTTGGCGACCAATGGCGACCAATGGTCGTCTACACCCTTGGACTTTTGGTACGACTGCTCAGCCAGTGATGTGTCTTTGATGTATGTGAGTCCTACCTATTCTGAGCATCGCGATCTTGGACAAGGAGACTATGTTGAAGTTGGAGGGGGCGACTACGGAATATCACTAACTATGTGAACCGAGAGTTAGCTCGGACGGCCGTGGTGTAGAATAACCGTCACTAGAATACGCCTAACAGTTGAAAAGGGGCCTGTGAGGGGGCAATGCACCAAGCGCTTGCTAATGCAATGTATAGGTGTGTAGAGCTGCAGGGAGTGTCTAGTACGCCGCGTGTATTCGGACAGTTACTACGAAGTATGTAATAGAGACGAGGAGTTCATGAGGGGTGTTCGTGGGCCCAGCCCGTTCGAGACATTGAACCATACGAAGTAGCTTCAATAAGCATAAGATTTTTTTTTTTTTTTTTTTTTTTTTTTTTTTTTTTTTGGCAAATGGCAACGAAGACTCCACTGGCGGGACTGGTAGTGGTCTATCCTAGTTACATGTGATACAAAGAATGCTTGACATGTGTGTAGCATCGGTCGGCAGAGAATCTCGGAAACATCAAGCAGCCAAGCACCGCGCGGCAAAAGAGGTTGGAAACACAGCGCTGGTAATGGACTGCATCGCGATGCATGGCGTTTGCCCAATGTCCGTCGGCGGCGGCTGCTGTTTTCCGCTCTGCCAGTAAGGGAAAAGATGACTGTTGGAGATGAAGTCGTGCAAGGACGTGCAAGGACAAAGATGACTACATGTGTCACATGGCAAAGACTCAAGGGTCGCATCGTGGTCGCACTTCCTGGGCAGGTACAAAACAGTGGCGTGGCCGGGTTGGGAAAGAGGTCGCGCGATCATATTTTTTTTTTAAATTGTTCGTACGGCCGATGAGGGTCAGTAGACACGGAGTGATTGGTCAATTGCTTTTCTTTCTTGGAGAGAAGAGGCAGAGACCCCTCTCTCGTGATGGCAAAGTGGATGGCGGATGGCTGGATCATCACAGGCCGGCCAGACGTGGCTGGTAAGACATAGGACATTTGTGCTATGCATCACTACAACACTACTGTATCAAAGACCAACCAACCATGTTAGATGGTGAAACAAGACAGATAACAAGTGATGGTTCTCATCGTATTTGGCTATATCTTACGAACGAAGTATGAAGTATGTAACCTAGTACCTAGGTATGTAGTTGAAAGAGAAGGTTGTGACGGAGGGTCGGCCGGCCTTGGAGCTTGTCTAGGTACCTTAGCCCAGGTACGACGCTACGCTACCACCCTACCACGACTCTTGGCTAAAATGCCCACTCGCCCACTCACCCATTCGCCTCGACTTGCATGTAGGTAATGTACTTATTATTTTGCGAACACTATCGTACCTAGAGGACGAGGTGGACAAGGTGGACGCGTAGGTCCGTCTCTGTGTTAACATTCTGTACCCTTTGTCCATACCTATCTTGATAACCTGCCTACCCCCGTGGACGGGGATACCTAGTAGATATTTGATGCAGTCTTATCTATGACATTAGGTAGGTACCTAAGTAAGTAAGTACGTGTGTTCCACCACACACACATCATATCTACAGATATCCACATCCCTCGTGCCGTTGGACGTTAGCTTACTTCGTAGTCCAAGGTAACGATAGAAATAAATCCTAGAGTCGATAGCTAGGTAGTAGGTTAGTGCAGATGTCACTGAGTCAGTACGAGAGGCTTCCTCGGGCTAGCATCTGGCCAAGTTAAGAAGCGGGGCCGTTCCCAGGCCGTTCCAGAGCCGTTCCCAAGACGTTCCCAAGACGTTCCCAAGACGTTCGACCCGCACATGTTTCCTCCCGAGCCCCCCCAAGTTTTGATCTAATCTGATCTAGCACATGCATCACCATGCTTGGCTTTACCGTAGCTCCGTCTCGCAGTCTCGGCAGTCTTTTAAGTAGTGGTAGTGCTCATTGAGTATCCTCGGTACCAAGGCAAGGTTCCCTAGAGTAAGGTCTCAAAGGAAAAGACTGTATCAAGCACTGCATTGAAATACATGTACTACATAGTACATAGTATGTAAGAAGCAAGAGGCCGGCAAGAAGCGGGGCGTAGCTACTGTACCTACTGTATGTACTTAACTACCTCCTGCTATTCGACTCGACTTCATACTAGTACTCTTCTCAGGTCTCGAGACGTCGATCTCTCTCTCTCCCTCTCTCCATCCATCTCTCTCAACCATTCCCTTCTCAACTATCTACGTCACGTACTTTCTCGCCCAGCCCTGAGCTGAAAATTGTCGTCATCCAAAGCCAATAATCGCTATCATCGCCGCCATTCCAACCACGTTTACCTCCCCAGCGACACTTCTAACTTCGAGACGTAACCCCACCACACTCGTAAACTGATCGCTTAATCAACCGACCAACCACACAAACAAACAGTCCATCCGTCATTCAATCAGCACGACAGCTCAATCCACCTTTGTTTCTTTCTTTCGCACATCGTGCTCAACACTCGCTCCAAGAGAACGACACGAGAATTAAGCACCGACCAATCGAGGTGGCCATCCGAGAAGGCCGACACAGACGTCTATCTAGCAAGCCAGGCGACCTCGAGGTCTGACATCACTATGCGCATAGCCCGACGATGAAGTTTGGAGAGCAACTTGAAGAGGCTTCGGTGCCTGGCTGGAGCTTGCACAATGTCGACTACAACTCGCTAAAGCACCAGATTAAAATACACACCACCAAGGATCAGGCCGCTGTCGCCATCGCTATCCCCGGCCACCAAGATCAGGCCCTAAGAAGATTCGAGGACGCCTTCTATCTGGAACTCTGCTCCCAGCATGACCGCGTCGGATTGTTCGTCACCAGTAAGGCCGACGAGATTTCCCGCCGTTTGCGTATGTGCTGTATTTCTATTGAACTTTGATTTCACGCCCACCTGCGCCGCCACGCGCTTCATTCATGGTTTGCAGCCAGCTAACCTTATGATTCGCTCTACTTCAGGCTATATCTCGATACTTGTGCAACAATTGATCCTCAAATGCACCGACACACGAGGCTTGTCCGCAAAGCGCCAGCGGCGATTCGCCAAGTACCATGCACAAATCGAAGAGTGCGGCCAGGATATCAAAGCACTCGGTCGGTTTGTGGACGCCCAAGTCACTGCGTTCCGCAAGATCCTAAAGAAATACAAGGTATGTTATGCTGTACATGAAGTTATTCGCAACACTAGCCGCATCGTTACAATTGTAATCTCCACAGAGCCACTGCCCACAAGCTGCGTAGCGCATACTAGTCGATCAATTGACGCCATCCGTCTTGTGGTGCACGCCACCGCGCGTGGCAGACTTGAAAGAGCCGAAGCTAACATGTGACTTCACCACCTACGCAGAAATGGACTGGGTCAACGACGTTGGGCAGTCGCTTCAAGGATAACATCCTCCACCATCCAAAAAGCTTCACCAACTACAACCTCACCCCACTACACACCCAATACCACGAACTACGCAGCACCCTCGAAGCCGCTTTACCTAACTATGCGAATACCCTCGAATCATCGCTCCCCACCGAATCGCATGATGCCTCTATTCGCAGAGCCCAGCGTGACTCTCGTCGCCCATCGCATGATGTAGCGACTATGGCACCTACGGGCTATTGGAATGAGTACGACCACGGCAGTGAGGTCGGCGACCACGATGATGCATACGTTATCTATATCGACCCGAACGCCACCGACGAATTTCCCGGCCTAGCGTATATGAAGAACATGTTCGTTAACCCCGTCGACTCGGTGCGCCACTGGCTACAGTCGCAGAAGTCCAGAGGCACGACGATGACGGCTACAGTATCAACTCCATCAGAAACACAATCGCTTCTAGGCAACAGAACGAGCACAAGTAACGGCGCTTTGTCAGACTACTTCACCGCACGGCCGTCCGCAACGGACGAACCAATGACTGAAGATGACTACCTCTCCTCACGCTCGTCTTCGTCGGTGGCCGATTACAAATTAGGCTTACAACAAGATAGGATGCTAACACGAGCGGTTATTGTCGCTTTTCTCGCGGCTTTTGTACTGCTAGGCATCTCAAGTCTCCTAGTCTTGACGGGACGTCGACGTCTACGTCTTGAGGTTGACGCCGGCGCCGCCGTGGGCTCTGTTGCCAGCCTATTTTGTGCCTGCATGGGCCTCGGGGCCATGCTCTATCGCCAACACCCCGGTAGCTACTTGTACACTCTTGCTGTCTGGATTACCTTCATCACTGTATGCATACTCAATGGCATTCTGCTTGTGCTGGTCGCTGGCAGCAGTGGATTATGATAACGCATCCTACCCCTTCCTCTCGACGCTTTGTTGCCTCGAGGGAGGTGGGGACGGGGGAAACGAAACGGCATTGAAGCAGGCTATGCCATGTATTACATACTTCTTACATGTTTTACTTTAGACTGGATGGGTTCAGGATGGAGCATAGCGTTCTCATCTTGCTTTGCGCCTTTTCTTTTTCTTTTTCTTTACGATCTGGTTATACTAACTGTATACGGGAGATACGTATGAGATTTTCGTATCTTGCTAACTGCCCTGGGGATTTCAGGCGAAAAGGGGGGCGTATATGGATACTTTGATTTTCAAGTAATGACTTACGCGGACAAAGGTTGTCTACCTGAGTATTTACCGGGCAAGGGAAAGGAAAGGGCAGTCAATGGATGGAGGGAGGGAGGGAGGGATAAATGGGTGATGTACTATCTACCTGCACTGGTTCACGGTACTGTGTTTGTGTATATAGAGGTAGATAGGGAAATGAGAGAAATCAAGTCTTAGGACAGTTTGTCATGTCAATATTAGGTTTGTGAAGGTGTCTGTTCTCTAAGCCAAATTATTATCTGTCATGATCATCAATAAGTTCAAAAAATCCTAACTACAGTTAAATCTTGATGCACTGCCGTCTATGTGGGAGAACATGTGACGTTTGCAGTATCTTGACAAGTGGCGAGTACGAGCTTTGCGGATAATGCCACGTGAGTCGAGGGAGTCTAGTCAAGTCGGTAGCTGTAGCTTTCATTTCGTGACACCGATAACGATGTATATGATGGAAAGGTCAAAGCGCTCAAGTCTCGTCTCATTCTTCCGAACTGGCATTCCTGGTAACGGGCGTGGATAAGGCACCACGTGAAGCTTCGTAGGTACTGATATGCCTGGTGACCGTACAGTCTCATCTCGCTCACGCTATTTCATAGATTCTCGGGATAAGCGCCCGTGAGTTGTAAGTGGTGCGTATTGGGTGAGGGCCGCTTCATGAGATTCTCATATGGTCGGTCATGTTGTGATTGTCGTGAATAAGGCACGAGCGATCTGGTGAGACTCACATTGTCGCGCAAAGGTCGGGGGTAAGAGCATTCGGACTGCTTTGAGTATATACGCCGAGTTTCCTTGTCTGTTTCCTAAACGGGATTCAATGTGTAGCTGTTTTCTGCATCTTATAGAAATTCTCAGAGCAAGTAATTATCCCGACTCTTTGGAGGTTTTAGCGTTTTCGTTTTAGCGAACGCTTATGGTGGGAGAGGTCCTGCAGATTGTGTCTTCATCTGTGTCTGGAGTGCCAGCTTGGGGTCGAGTCTTTAATATGCTTGCAGAGAATCTTATCAACACATCAATTGCGAGAGCTGAAATGTTAACGACCGTCTAAAAATAGTGGTTCACGCTTGAGGCAGGCTGAGAAGATAATGCAGATTATTGGCTTAGAACGCCACACAGAGCTTGCGCCCCTTTTTACATGGAATAAGACTTGCGCGTTCTCTCAGCAGATCGTTTCTTATTTTTGATTGATTTTCTAGGGGAAAATCCAGTAGCTCCTCTTCACCTCTCTCCAATATCCTTACCCCCCGCTCCATTCAAGGCCTGATGTGGCTCATCAATTGCCAAGAATTGACTCTGGTGGAGGTGGGGGGTGCGCTGGATGTACAATATGCAATTCTGTCTCACACTTGGGAGGCCGGTGAAGAAGTCCAGTTCGATGAATTTCAAAGTCGAACCGCGACAACAAAACGAGGCTGGGACAAGATCCGAACATTGTGCCGGCTCGCCATAGACGAAGGCTATCAATATGCCTGGTGCGATACGTGTTGCATCAATAAAACGAGCAGTGCGGAGCTCTCTGAGGCCATCAATTCCATGTTCTCTTGGTATGCGACGGCGGGTATATGCTACGTCTACCTGGACGATTATGATTCTGTATTTGCTACAAGTAAGCTGGGGGCTTCAAGATGGTTCACGCGAGGATGGACGCTCCAAGAGTTGATTGCGCCCGCTCGACTGCGCTTCTACGACGTAGCCTGGAGAGCTGTTGGACTAAAGACTGCTATGAGCAAGGGCCTTTCCAAGATCACTGGCATTGCGGAAGATATACTTCTCGTCGCAAAAGACCGAGACTTGGATGATGTTCTCAGCCAAGTGTCAGTAGCGGCGAGGATGTCGTGGGCTGCGAGACGGGAGACAACTCGAGTTGAAGATATAGCCTACTGTCTTCTTGGAATATTTGGCGTCAATCTCCCGTTACTGTACGGTGAAGGAGAGCGGGCCTTTATCCGACTGCAAGAAGAAATTGTCAAGACGAACAACGATCTCTCCCTATTCGCATGGCGATCTGCTGAAGATTCGTCTTCTGGCCCTCTCGAGAGCTACAGGGGCGTGTTCGCAGACCACCCCAGAGACTTCCAGTACTCGGGTGGAATCATCACGACCAGCAGTACTATGTACAACTCGGAATTCACGATGTCCAATAAAGGCGTCAAACTCGAGATGAACCTCTCCTACTTCGATGAGAAGGGCTTGCACGTGTTATTTCTAAATTGCCACGACACCGCAAAGCACCAGAAAAGTCTGGGTATCTTTCTCATACACCAGGGCGCCAGCATCTTTGCTCGAGCCCGACCACAGCTGTTCGCATTGCGGTACATACACGGCTCTCATATGATCGAGCGCAAGCCCTTCTTCCTCAGCAAGACTCTGAGTCCTAGTATTGCGCGATCGCTAAACAAGGTGCACCGCCGCGCCTTCATCGTCTCAAAGCTCCGAGGAAAATACGGCCGTGACTGGTCGGAGGGGGACGTAGGTCCCAAGGCGCTTTGGGACGGTGGCCAACGCATGTTCATCACGGCCGGTCTTGAGGACTTTGTGGGATATTACCAGTATCAAATCTTCTTTCCGAACGAGTTTCAGACGAACACCAGCGGACTTAAAGTCTTCTTTGGCTACGGTTATGGCTTCGAGCCCTGGCTGCGAGCTGTCACGCTCGACAAGAACTACCCCTTGTTACACGCGGTTGAGATAGGCGACATGAGGTTGCTTGCACAGGAGGCGCAGAAAATAAAGCCACGGAGAAAGTTCGATACCGGATATGGGATAACGGTTGAGCTTGTGCATGGCACTAGGGATGGGGAGCCTGTGTTCTTGATCAACTTCGAAGAGAAGAAGTAGTTATTGAGGAAGAGCAGTGGGTGAGCCATATCCTATCCAATAACCCAGCAGTCTGTGAAAGTAACATGAACGAACCTGACGCGACAGAAGGGCCGTATCACGTTTTTGAAGATCGGATATAGCTAATCTATGTCAATAAATAGGTAAACTGGATCATTATGTATTCGAGATACAACCCAGCAGCCCACCTATAGCTACACGCACGATCAGCTCAGGGTCTCTTCGTCCAGATTATCGAGAACGGCTTCTCATATATCACTGCCATGGAAACGTCATGCATCTTCACCGCCAGATGAGGGGTAAGATCCAGAAGCACTCTTAGTAAGCCACCTAGTATATAGGAGGCCCCTACTTTCTTTCTCTGGGAAACTCTGTCAGGTTATTCCATGTAGTCTGAGCATTGCAACATTGCCAGCATCGCTGATAGCCCTGCCCTAGTAACTCTCGAAACATCTATAACGCTATTTCCGTTCTTATAAAGATCATGTCTCAATATCACCTTGATGGGTTTGCACTTGTCGTTGGGGTATGTTGGCTGTCTGTGCCGATAAGGAGACAAATACTGACAAATGTGCTTACAGGCTGCAGGAGGTATCGGGCAAGAAGTCGTCTACTCGTTTGCCGAGGCTGGTGTGAAGGGTATCTTGCTAGCTGATATCAGCACCGAAGGCGTTGAGGAGACTACGAGGAAGGCAAAAACCCTAGCTTCGAACCCCTCGTGTCGCTGCATTGCTACTACAGTTGACGTCACGAGCATCAAGTCCGTTGTAGATATGATCGATCTGATGGTGAAGGAGTTTGGCAGAATCGACTACTGCGTAAACGCAGCTGGTGTGAGCCAGACCCCTTAGACTGTTCGACGTTATTAACAAGTGTTGACTTTGACCTACAGATTGACACAGCTGTCTACTGCCCAATGGACCAGACGGAACCTGATGACTTCGATCGAGTCATGGCGATTAATACCAGAGGGGTGTTCTTTGTGATTCGGGAAGTGGCGAGGGTGATGAAGTCCCAGGAGCCGATGGTAGTCAATCTCGGTCGACACGGCAATCGGGATGTAGGCCGTGGCTCCATCGTCAATGTCTCTTCGACAATGGCAGTCGTTGCGGTCGAGGGCAAGGTTTCATATGCGACTTCGAAACACGCCATTACCGGCATCACTAGGGCTGCGGGTATGTCTGCGAGCCAATTCAGATACCTATCCATACTATCGTTACTAACTGACAGTAGTGATGGACTATAAATCTTTTGGTATCCGTACGAATCAAGTGTGTCCAATCTGGGTGAGGACGCCAATGTTCGCGGAGGAATGCCGTAAAGTTCCCCAGACACAACAGATGGTAGAGGCTCTGTCATCAGCCAAGAGACCAATCGAGCCCGACGAGGTCGCTGCCGCTTGTTTATACCTATGTACCACTGGTGCTGTAGCCGTGAATGGCCTTACCTTGACAATCGACACAGGGCTTACGGCAGGGCCGATGGTCATCGCAGCTTAAGCCCTTGAGATAGCGGTTTAGCATTTTTGGTAAGCATAAAGTCGATACTGTTGGGGAGGAGGCAAGAATGTGACGCATAAAGTAATTTGAAAATATAGAAGACTTCGCTTGAAAGGCTGATCCAGTGTTGGTGGATATGATGTTGCTGATACAGGGATGTCATGTAACTAGAGAAAAAAAGCGAAAGATAGGGGAAAATGATCAGTGGACTTGTGTGGTAACAGTGTATATCAGAAAGCACTGCCTTGGTATGCGTGAATACTGGATAAGAGGAACATATCAGCTTAGACCCAAGCAGAATGAATAATGCACAGAGGAGGCGGGTGGTTTAGGTGGGCCCTTGTGTGCGGGCGACCTCATGAATGCATGCAATGGGTAGTTTGTTAGATGCTTGCGTCGTCTGTCCAACCATATCAGGCTGTGATATGCCTGTTGGTAAGCGATGCCACCGGTTGGTGCATCCGGACTAATTATAATATGGACTTAAGTACATAACATGTACTTCGCCCTCAATCCTCGCAACGTATGGTGACATCAACTCTCTCGGTAGATGTTCGATCTGTAAGAATAATTTATCGACGAGGGCCCTATCCTGCATTCACTTTACCCCTACCTCTCCACGCCTAATTCGTAATGAGGCCCTCGATTCTGATTGTTCATGGCGGCTGGCATGTTCCACAGAGCTATGTCAAGCTTGTCGCTGCCCTTGAATCTCTTGGATTTGAAGTTCACATCCCGCGCCTCCCTTCTGTAGACAATGTCCGTCCACCTAAAGGCGACCTGTCCGACGATACCAAGATTATTCGCAGCTTTGCCGAGAATCTTTTGAAGGAGGGGAAGACTATCATTGCTCTTCTCCACTCCTACGGTGGTCATGTTGGTTCCAATGCGTTGTACGGGCTGGGGCTTGAGGCCAGGTCCGCTCAAGGGCTGCCGGGCGGTATCTCTCATCTCATATACCTAGCAGGACATATACTTCCAGAAGGGACGTCAATGATCGACAAGATACGAGAATTCGGACATGAAGGCTTTATCCCAATCAACTTCGACATCGACGAGGACAACAGTTGTTTACACCGGTATCCTAAAGCAGTCGTTGTGAACGCACAGCCTGGCGAGGTAGACGAGAAGGAGCTTGACGAATACGTCAACACCTTCGAGCGCTGGAATATTCAATGCATACACCAAATTGCTGAGCATGGGGCGTGGCGTGAAATTCCTGTATCGTACGTTTATACGAGCCATGATCTAGTGGTAGCTGCTTCTTACCAAAAACACTTCGTCGAAACCTTGGAAAAGGAGGGCTATAAGGTTCAGTCATTCGAGCTGACGACTGGCCACTGTCCTAACTTGACTGCTGTCGAAGGCGTAGTGGACGTGGTTAAGAAGGTATACGAGGATCAGTAATGACGGATTACTTCATAACATACTCGAAGCTGCGAATACATGTTCTCTGTTACCCTACCAATGATTATTTAGTCTCTCCGAGTAATTACCATGACTAGTTGTACAAGTGTGCTGAGTTCATTGTGAACAATAGTGGCCTGAGCGACACGCCTCGGCGTGAAGACTACACGTCGAGAGCTGTGTGAAAGTGAAAAGACTAATGTGTACTAAATCCATTTTGTGCCAAATGATCACAATCCGACGTCCATGGGGCCCATCGTGATTACACATCACTATCGCGCTGCACGGGTTTCTCCCCAACTCCTGTCCACCCGATCAATGCCCAGTATGCTCCCTGCCAAGTGCATACGGATTGCTCTTAACCAGTTACGCCCTTGAATGCGATACTTCGGTCCCACGATCCCATTAATAGAGCGACCAGGTTCCTAGAGGACCTGTCGCGAGGGGTCTTTCTGTGGGCCGTACTATCTTGCCTATCGATGTTGACGAGTTGAGCTGAGGATCTTGAGCAACGGGTGAACGAGCTTCCACTGGTATTGGGCTTACTCCGATATATACTGATGTGGATTGAACCACGGTAAGGGCTGGCAGTGTCACGAGAAAGTAAAGTGTATCGCGGTACGTCATTCGTGCACTCATACCCTCTTATACAGTCCCCATCTTCCCCTGTTCTTTTCGTTGACGGAAGCTAAATCACTGCTGGATAGACAATATTCGCAGGCCATGGCAGTAGGGTATTGTTTCTTCGTTATAGCCTGAGCAATCCAATTTAATACGACCCATGTGGCCTGTAAAAATACCAAATCAGCAACAAGGATGGCGAGTAGCATCGCTCCTGCGCTCTTCTGTTCAGGGACAGAGCAGATGTATTGTGTAAAGATGGTCGCGTTTTTGGTTTCAAGGGGTCCTGTTACTGGTGCAATAGTGCTGTAACTCTCGTTGATGAGAATTGATCTGTTACGGTCGGTGGGATAAGGTATGCTCCCGAAGAGAATATCGCCTGGGATATGATTAGATGCTCCTTCGTAGAGAACACCCCCGGGTAGCCGGTTCATATCGCCAGACCCCGATGTTGCATACTTGAGGCTATCGTTGTCTAGGAGAAAGCTAGATAAGCGTGTATTCGCTAAATCGACGGCGAAAATTGAATGGATCAGCTTTGCGAAGTACAGGCCTTCAGTCAACACTGAAGAGAAAACAATCTACAACTAATTTGTAAGTAACCTGAACTGTTTCACCGGATGAGTTGGATTGCGAGATTCTTGATAGAAAACTTACTGTGTCATTGTTCAGAAGAGTCCAGAGTTGGTCGCTATCAAAGCCCACATTGAAGTTGTTGGTAATATGAGCTGCAGAATCGATGAAAGAGAATGTAAGATCGAATAAGTCCCCATCGCGAATACTATAGATCTGTCAGCATGAAATCGCGAGTATGCAAAACTGTAACTAAATAATGTACCTTTTTAATGGTGAACGCAAGTCGTCCCAGTAGTAACCAAGGTTGGCACTGACTATCTCATTGTCATCACTGGTCTGGAGGAGGCTCATCGTCGTCATCACGCCATACAATGCCGCTTCCACCAATCTACTTCCCCACCACATACTGGCATGCGTGGTGATGTTGTCGCTAATGAAGTTCTCGTAGATTATAGAATCATCATATGGACGGGTCTGAGAACTAGAGTATGTGACTCGTAAAGTGATGTTTGATGGTCCAGATTCAGACATAATAGAGCATTGTGCTGTGGCCTTGGCATATGAATTTCTCCATGAGATCCACCATGAGGGCGGTGTGGCTTGGCCCTCTTTCAACAGATGAATTTCAACGGCTAAGGTATGGCAGTCTTCTAATGTGTTGTTGTAGTAGAGAACTGAGGGTAATGAGATGGTTGTATTACTCTCTTCATTCAATTGTGAGAAGCTAGCCACCTGGTAAGAGAGTCCTAAGTTTGTGCTGAAGAACGTGTCACCCACGGAGATGAATTGGGGCTCGCACTTCGGATTGATTGTGGAATCCCAATTGAATGGGGCTTTAAAAAACCACCTGTGTGATATATGTTACTATCTAGGCTCCGTAAGACTGATTGTACACCTACTTATCGCTCCTCGTCGATATTGTAGTATTGGGGTCGGTTGTGTAAATGGTTCGCGGATAGTACCCATTTGATCCAAGGTTCACCAGAGAAAAGAGCCCAGCAAATACAATGCTCACAACGAGTGCTACCGGCGTAAACCAGCGCTGAGGATATGGCCTCGAAATTGGATAGGAAAAGAAGGATGAATGCATTGGTGTCGGGTCGAATTCGAATTTCACGGCTCGACTCAAATTTCCAATGAATAACGTACACAAAACAAAAAAGATTCGAGATTCATACTATCAGGGGTCTAGAGAGAGGATAACAAAGAGGTAAATTGTATATAGCTCGAGAAGTGTGAATGCCTTCAGATTTCTGACCCCTTCTAGACTTTGTGTCGCAAATAGAGTCTTACTGTATACCTCGTACAGCCAATCTGACACATATGACCCTGGACTTTTCAAGTATACTCATTTCATTGATAACGGGTAATATTACGTGTATCGCGTCGTCTAGGGATGCATGGCTGCAGAGTCTTTATTAAGTAACGGAATGGCTGCTGTCGGGTTGATTGAATAATTACCGCGTTTCTAGCATGGCGAGTCCCCGACGGGCAATTACATAAGTCGTATCAAAATGAAACGATGTATCCAGGGGTCCTAGGAGGTACGGGGTTTTAGAATCAGGGCTTAGATTGCCTGCATTTGGAAGAAACAAGTCCGTTGTAGCTGTCAAAAATCCATGTAGTCTATTTAGAGCCCTTGCTTAACCTCGGTGACCCTGAAAAGCTTCAGTTTCAATGCGCCAAGTCAGGTGTTATGCTGCGCGTTTATCGCGTGCATCAGTGCGCACACTGGGGCGGTGATGAGAATGTAACTCTGACCGTCAGACGTACTGCTGTCATCCCATGTGAAATGGCCAGTTCACTGTTTCTAATTCTGTCATAGGGCAAGTATTGTCATTTAACCGTGTACGTACTTATAAGCCTCATATGTAGCCCCCTGAGCTTGTAAGGATTGGGAAGAAAGGAAGAAAAGGCATGTCATCTAGACCTTATAATCATTATCAGCAATAATATTCTTGCAAAAGTATATAGACGCCTATTCGTATGTAACGTTAATCAGGATGGTAATGTAATTTCAGCCCTATGACTGAAAATGGCCCGTATACGGTACCTACAGCTTGTTTCACTTCGTTGTGTAAGCCAATGGCGCAAGTGGCTAGGACCTGGGCAGGAATCGGTACGACTGGCCGTATAATCCATCCCATCGGCCTGGAAATGTCAACAGGTAAGCATTTAATTATCACTGCCTCCCTAAGTCCTACGCGTGAGACAGCGTGTGACCTCCGCTATTCCCCCCTATTTCCTAGGTAGCACCCCCTTTCCTCAAGCCAGAGGCTCCAGCCACTTTCACACGCCACAGTACTAGTGTTAGGTACTTCGCTACCTATCAACCCCACTTTTTGGCCTTAACCTTGCTCTTGCCGAAGTGTAGATCTAGATACCTAGCGCTGGAGGTGGCTCTCCATCAACGGGCGATAGGATTGTGATCTTTTCAGTGCCGTAGACGATATCGAATTGGTTGCCCAAATTTGCTAGCTAGCTTATTGAGCGTATGGACTATCGTCGCCTTGAGCCCGAGCCAGACCACAACGCGGTACGTCGCAGCGTAGATGTTACACATCTTGGCGATGTGCCGATTGCGCTCTCGGAGGTTTGCTATAGTTAATAGTGGAACTGGTTAAACTCAAGGCCTCATCTGACAATATACCTGGCTCTCCTCTCGCCTACTCTTCTATGGCTACGGATCTCTACCTTACTATTGAGTGTGAATTTCTGGTTATCTCATCGGAAACTCACATTGGGATAGGCTAATAGCACTCCTAAAGTTTCTCCGAGATTGATGGTTATGGTTTGTGCTTACGTGGGCATGACGCAAGCAATAGATTGAAACAGGAGCTCAGGCAGGTGCAATGGATTCTCATATCTGTTTGGTCGAGAAGTATGACCAATCTAGTTTACATAGTAGCAGTGGTGTTTGAGTTGCCTCGCGATGGATGCTTCCTTGGCAACCAGCTACCGGTGATCAAGTTCTGTACACAACAACTGATCCCTTTTCCACCACGTGGATGCTCCGGGGGTTCTCCTCGGTTCTCTTGGTCAAAGCACCGAAGGTCCAATATGCAATACATCCATCGTGCTTGTCCGAGATTGCACGCTCAGAGGATTCCTCCTCCACCAATGTGTCGAGAGGTAAAGATTTGTGATCATGGTATCTCATATCGTATGCCACGGCAATATAGAAAACATCGCGAGCCCGGCGCATAAGCTCGGTTAGCTTATATGCCTCTTCGCAAGCCTTCAGCAAAAGTTTAATCCCCTTTTCTTTACTTGACCCTTTCTTGATCTTCAGAGGAGATAAACCCAGCCAAACCTTATCTACTAGTTCGCAGACAAATCTCGGACATCCTCCCTGGTCGGTCTCCAATATCTCTTGACTCGATTCTGTCGAGCGGTCTTTGCAAAGCTTTTCAGTACAATTGATAGACGCGGATCTCCATTCCACGAAATTCTTCAAGTCAACGTACCCTAAATTGGTCAATATATGACATGGTTGATCTTATGTGAGAAACTCACCGTTCTGCACCTTCTTGAAAAAATCCTGTTCAATAATTTCCATTTGTCGACCGGTCTCGCCAGCATAGAAGGATCTCGAAAGAATGTGAGTATAGATGGATAAGAATACCTGGCTGCGCAACCGATTCACAAGATATTTCATGGGTAGTTGCCCAGTTCTGAAAGGCTGGTAGAACTCATGTTCACCAACATCTGGATGAGATTGTTGAAATTCATTCTCGAAAGTGCTTCTCACCATATCAGTGATGGTATGCCGAAGCAGAAGAAACTTCTGGACCACATCGCTATCGATGACCTGTGGCTTCGCCGTGACTATTAGTGAATTTCGAAGGCTGTTTGCCTTCTCCGTCAGTTGGCGATTTTGCTCCTTCAGGGCAGCAATCTGGTGGTGTAAGTCTTCATCTTTCTGTCTGGCATCGCGACTAGTACTGGACAACTCTTCTAGAGTCATGCAAATCACATTCATTCGGTCCTTCATCTCTTGCATTTCTTGACGCATTTCCCTGCCTGAAAAGTGATCCTGGTCGCATCCTGGACGGCCTTCATGCTGATTCATGGGACTGATGGGTTGGGGATTCTGGCCCTTGAAAAATTAGACGTAGGGGTCTTACTCAATATTAAGAGGGGTTGCGGTCTTACTGGTTGCGGTATCAACTTCAGGACCTGCTCTTGAACCCATGCCTCCAAGCGAGCTTGCACTTGTGCCGACTCAAAACCTCGAGCCACAATAGATTGAAAATCGTCGCAAGTAATACGATTGACATCTGCTTGGGGTTGGTTGTCAATGCCCGAGGCACTTGATGACGTCTCAACGTGGTGAGGGGGATCCTGTGAACGATCCATAGTTGAAGGTAAACAGGATGGTTGGCGGCAGCCTGTCCTTTGTGGTAGTAAGCTCCTGAAATAGGCGTGGCGATGGGAGATTTGTGCTGATCGTAAAGGGCTACGGCTTTCATGTCCTCCCAGCAGATACCTGGGCTTGAGATTGATAGAAAGGAAGGTTCTGGTCTGATTTCTTGCAACGTACTATGATCCGACCTATCATTGGTCTGATTGATCTGAGCCCTACCTAAGGGAGCTCTGATCATCAGGAATGATTTATGGAACAAGTGTTGAGGGCGAAGTGCTAAAGGTGAAGTAGGAACCTTGGAAGGTACCTAAAGTAGGTAGGAAGTGGGAAGGTGCTGGCCTAGGTAGGTACACATAAAAAGGGATATATATATATATATATATATATTAGAGATTCTGGGCTCGAAACTGATAATATTTACAGGTACGGGGTCATAATTGGACTGCCAGCCTTGAACCGCCTAGGTCTCAGTCGTCTGTTTCATGAAGCGAAATCTGTATAAACCGACTTTCAATTATTGAGTGCATATGTTTGAGCATCATAAACGGCCTGCATTACGCCCGTAGCTGAAGGCGAACTGCATGTTCAACTAGTACGCGTGCAACAGTCAGTAGGTGATCCCATTCAGCTAGGTTCATATCTGACCTGGCCCAGTATGCTTTTTACTCCCATTGCCTAGGTAGATACATAGGTACATCCAGAATTGCCTGAGGCAATTGCGTCCCTCGCAACCTCCCTATATGTATACCTCCTTCCTACCTGCCCAAGACCTACCTTACCTGCATGCCTCGTTTTTCTTTGACTCTACCAGTAATCCCACCAACCACATTTTGCTAGAGATTAATGTGTTAGCCTTCTGGTAGATGACCATTACCAGACACTTGATCTTACATGACAAACGTTTCCATCTAGGTTCTTGTTTTTTCACGATGAAGTACTCTTCGTCTGAACTTTCCCCAACGCCCACGCCCGTCAGCCGTGCTTTGACTCCGGCCGATGCCGAAGATCGCGTTGTGATCGCCCTAGACTTCGGCACTACTTACTCCGGGATTGCTTACGCCTTCAGCAATCCTGGGAGGAAGACTGAAGTGGTTCCAATTGTTGACTGGCCTGGTAAGAAACGACCATGCTATCCCCCAGATACCCTCCATGCGGTAGCACCGTGGCGCTAAATGAGATATTAGGACTTGAAGGACATAGGCAGCCTAAAGTACCGACTCTTGTCGGCTACGATCCCAAGGACCCAACTAAGTTCAAATGGGGTGGTCAAGTTGACTGGCGCAATGACGCTGTCCATGGTGTCAAGCTTCTACTAGACCCAAGCCAACCACGACCAATGTACTTACCAACCAGTAACGTGAAAACTGAGTTGAAGAAGCTGCCCAAAGACCCTGTTGATGTAGCTGCTGATTTCATGGGCGCCATCTATTCACATGCCTTATCAAAGATCGAGTCAGCCAGTATCAAGGATTACTTCCACATGTGCCAGAAACAGTTTGTGCTCAGTGTTCCAGCTGTCTGGTCCGACGTTGCCAAAGACAAAACCCTTCGTGTAAGCTTTTGGACATTAGACGCTGATAACTCATCCTAACTGCCATAGGCCGCAAAGAAAGCGGGAATTCACCCTGTCACCTTGATCAAAGAGCCTGAGGCCGCCGCATTGTACACACTGCATATGCACGAGAGGGCTCTCAACGTAAGCTTACTGGCCTCACGAAAGATACTGCGATTATAGGACACATCGGCTAACCATTGAGAATGTAGAAAGGCGATGCGTTCGTGGTGTGCGACGCTGGCGGTGGTACCGTAGACTTGATTTCATACGAAATCACCAGTACCAACCCTTCTTTAGAACTCGCAGAGCTTGTTCCAGGGAAAGGTAACTATTGCCATGTATTTCCTACCGATGATTGATGCTAATAGCTGTAATAGGAGGAATGGCTGGCTCCTTAGGCTTGAATAAACGGTTCGCCGAGGCCGTACAAAACCTTGTGGGTGACGAGCAGTGGGTCACCCTTAAAAAGGGTGTCGGATGGTCAAAAGCATCGACCGAGTTTGACAAGGTGGTCAAGACAGCCTTTAGAGGTGATGTTGACGAGAATTTCTACATCTCGTTTCCATCTGCCAATCTAGAAGACGACGAAGACGAGGACTTAGTAGGGAATTGCTGGACAATGAGCGGAAGACAAGTCAAAGGGATTTTTGACCCTCTCATAACTGATATTATCCGACTCGTCGAAGAGCAAGTTAACAGTGCTCAGGCAAAGCTCCAAGGGCGCCCAATCAAGGTTAGTAACTACCACGACATATATTCCAACAGAGAACTACATGCTGAACATTTCAGGCAATCTTTCTTGTAGGTGGATTTGGTGCGAGTCTTTACCTTAAATCGTGCATCGAAAATGAAATTCCCAACATTCAGGTCATCCAACCAGATGGTGCATGGGCTGCAATCGTCAAGTAAGCATGATTATGTTGATCGGGTTAAAACACAGCTGACATGAAATCAGAGGAGCTGTTCTCAGCCGTATGAAAAACTGCCCAACTGTCACATCGACTCAGGCGGTTCGGCATTACGGTACTGCAGCCTGGACCCCGTATGTGACGATGAGAGACAAAGGACAGCCTCAGAAACTCTGTCCATTGGAAGGTATCAACCGCGTTCGAATGGTCCGATATTCCGGCCCAATTCAACTATTATCAACAAGTCAAATCTAACTTACTGATGGCAGAACACATGGTACATAAACATGGGAGAGGACCTCAAAAGAAACAGGACTATCAAATTTCCGTTTTACCGCACAGTCACCGTCCCCTATTCCCCTCATGAGCTCATCTTCCAAGACCGACTCATCACCTCAGAGGCGAAGGTTCCCCCACCCTATCCTGGACCTGATACCAAGGTCAACTGCACCGTGACGGCTGATTTCAGCCATGTGAAGAAAGCCCGATTCAAGCGTAAGAGGGGAGTAAATGGCATAGAATATACCGAGATCCATTACAACCTAGTGTTGTCTACCGATGCTGCGAACATGAAATTTTCAGTCGAGTTTAACGGTAAAAACCTTGGGAGTGCTGATGCTAGCTACGAGTGAGTTAGCTGAAGAGAGGGATTGAGGCGGTAGCCGGCATTACACTTTCGATGAACAGGAGTTGATATGAAGGCATCGTGGAAGTGTCTGGGTTGCGACAAGAGTGAAAATTGCGTTCGGGTTGATGGATTGAATATGCGAGAGTCTTTAGTTTCTATTTGCACCTCAACGACGGGTGCCAGTTGTCAGCGACTGGGTAGTGGCGCTTGAAGCACGCTGCTGTCGCAGGCTGCGGGCGGATGTTGACCAAGATCAGGCCTGCTCATGCCCCTTAGGTCGTCTTTCCGTAGATACCACCGGAATTGATACCATTAAAGAACAATCTGTCTGCTCTGGCAATTGTCTGTTATAAATGACCTAATTCCTGAAACCACAACCTCGGCCGCGGTGTGTTTGAACTTCTAGACCCATTCTCGAGTCCTGCCAAGTTCTAGAATCTGAGTCCTCTAGTCCCATTAGCAACCCTTACTCCTAACACAAGGCTATGTTATATTGGAGGGGATAAGAGCAATCTACGCTTCAATTGGCTTTTGAATAAGTTCTGGCATAGTGAAACAGGGTGATGAGGGAGGAAAACGCGTTCAATTCGTGAAAATCCATAACGAAAAAAAAGAAGAAAGGGGCAGCGCATATCTCCGTATCAGATCGCTAGTGAGGTTATTACCAGTCAGTTTTTGTAATAAAATCCGGAGATTCCGAAACCATCGCTGACTAATCCTTCTCACCACACCCCTTCAATATTAGCGTTACTTCGAGGCTTGCCCCCTGCTCTGTACTTATAACTAGTTATTATATTATGTGTTTAGTGAATCGGGGCCCTGTAGTGTATATCTAGGTTAGATCTTCTACATGTTTGATGATCATGGTAGATAGAAAGACGTGGTGCATGGGATTGCTTGCCTCTTCTTGGGTTATGTGTGATGTTGGACTCTGGGCGGGCATGGCGTTCTTGGCTGGAATAGCATTGCCGGCTTGAATAGCGTCTCCAACTAGAATAACGGTTTCAGCTGGAATAGCGTTCGCAATTGCCACCCTGTTGTCTTCTTGCAACTCATTGGATCCGCTGATACTTGATGTGACGATGGTGCTTGGTGTTTCTGATACCGAAGGAGTATGTGGCACTTGTTCCGCATCAGGATTTGAGTGTGTGACTTCGGAGTTGTCATCGTCAGATGGCTTCTCTTCCTGAGTACTCGAAGGTGGATATAGTAGTGGATGATCTACGTTCGAAATATCGAGACGTCCTAAAAGGTCGCCAGCTTCGGTAACTGGGATCTCATTCGTCCCCTTTGACCATTTACCATAGCCAAGTTGTTCGTGAGCTAGACGTTGAAGCTGTAGAGTAGCGTTTGTGTTCCACTCCAGGTGCGCGAATGTTCGGTATCCCCATTTCCGTTGAAGCAATCGGGATATGGGCTCTAGTATGTATGATATCAGGACGATTAGTACCCCGACAACAAAGATGAAGAGAAGGCCGAAGACACTGAAAGATGTGTACGCAGCGCTTCTTATCTTCTATCGTACGGTTAGTACTGGGGGTCAGTGCAGACAATAAGGTCCAGGTCAACTTACCTGGTTATTGCACAACTTTTGGAATCCTGGGGACGTAAAATTTGTGCGATATGCAAGTAGAGACTGGTCTGACGGATTAAAGTAAGCCGTCCTCAAATACGCAGCTTGTAAGGCTGCTTGCGTGATATCCCACCACCGGATGACGTCTAGTTGCCATTGATTAGGCGGAAGAGGACCTTGAATGGACGATGTTAATGATTTCTTTGAGGCAAGGCTCGCAGACCCCAGTTGTTGTAGTAAATCAGATACGTCTGTAGATTGGTATTGGGTAAACCCGGATTTGAAATATTGAAACGAATCTTGACCCATCTTGTTAGGATTATCATCAGCGGCGGTTGAATTAACAAGATGCGCTAAGCTGGAAAAAGCATCCGCAGGACTTGCTAACAAGGTGCAGTGCTGAACATCTTGGTAACATAACTGATATTGGACGGTGCAGCCCAGAGGAGATGCTGGCTCTCGGGGCAGGAAAATTGGTGCTGAGTTAACTGCTGCGGCATTCGTCTCGCTAACATTCACACTAGTTGAGGATACGCGATACCATTCGTCCTCTGAAGGAGCTGAATGCAGGACTCCTTGACCGGATAAGAAAACGATCATGAGATCTGCGTCATCTCTAAAGAGTGAATTGTTTGGTATAAACGAAGAGGAATGTTTGGCAATGGTTCCATTCAATATCTGCAACACGAGCGGACTTCATTCCTCGTGTAAGCAAGCCTAGGTTCATTGTTCATATCTTTGCTGATTATAGAAGAACTTACGTTATGCCATAGTTACCACCGACGACGACAAAATCAGGAGATAGATTGAATTCGTATTGAGACTCGATTGATTTAGCTGCGAAGATGTAGTCTTTCCATCCGGATGGTGCTAGGAGCTTTCCATAGTGATAAAGTGTAACATTTCCAGTTAAAGTATTTTGTTCGCTCGTATAACCCACAGTCGTAATTGGTGCACAATGTAAGACCTTCCTGGCGAAGAATCGATGTGGCAAATTAAGGCCTAGATGCTCACGGCTATCAATATACCCAGAATCTATACGCAAATTGTTCGAACTTGAGCGACACATCTTTCTTTCAACTGGGCATTCTGCATTCGTGTCAATAAGACTGGTCAATCTCTTTACAGCGAAGCGACTGCAGTCAAGGTTCCCAGCCGTATCGTTGGAGTAGCATTGTTGCGCATAGTTAGCAGCATCGTCGATGACTTCTGCTTTGCTAGGTGCTAATGCGAAGAATTTTTGAGTTATGGTCGTCGGCCCATCTGACCCGCTCGGTCCATTTTCAAGGCTCAATAATCCGCAATTGAGGCTTTTGATCAAAACCTCGGTGCCTATTGCCGTGGAAACTTGCGAAGATAAACCACCGGCAGCAGTAAAGGCGATGATACAAAGGAGAGCAATGAATGCTATGAATAGGGTGGGGTTGCGGCCTTTCTTATCCCTATTGGTCCACGCCAGCTTCACAAGTTGTCGTATCCCCTCTTCTGGGCTTGAGGAATTCCGTAGGATGGCTTGGCGTTGGTGATAGACAGCGTTCTGTGATGTATCTGCAGCATGCATCCGGTGAAAAGCAAAACAGAGGACTCTCCAGAACCGTGTAGCAATCTATATATTTCGAAATTAGCGTATATAATGGGTAGATATTGTATGGTATTTGAGCAATTCTACTTACGAAGGCAATGAAGAACGCAGTAAATGCTACGAGCAGATTGGCTTCTTGGCGTCTGAGTGTGAGAGTCAAACCGAGTACCTTTCCACGAGACCAATTGGTCCAGACCCCGATGTACACGGGATATTGATTAGCATTGTCCATGTCAGGTGACATAATTATAGAAGTGCGTTAGTCGATGGCAGATACTGAGATCAAGACACGATGAGAATTGGATAATGGATAGCTTGACCGATCGTCAGTCTAAGAAGAGTTGTTGGTAATTATAACTACCTGGAAGGCAAGCTCCATTCACTTTACAATACTTGATTGAATAATCCAACCCGATCTCAGGAGTGGACGGAAGGCTGAAGAGACACATTGAATCTGGTTTCTGCCTTATCAGCTGGTGAATGGAAAGAGATAATTCGTGTGGACCCCACGAGAATGCGGGTTCAAGGGGGGGCTGAAAATAGGTCGCACACTCTTCAATTGGAGGATATATATACTGCAGCCATACAAAGTTTCAAGCCATCAATATTGCAGATGAGTCAGACCATCTAGGCTTAGAATAGAAAACACCTCTTGGGGCCTTGCCGACTCACTATGCTCAGCACACGAGGTGAACAAATGACAGAGGAGCCAACGACAGAAGGTGGGAATAGAGACTCAGCTGAACCATATTGGTGGTGGGGGCTTAATGTAGGCTAGAACTAGGATCGCAGATGGCTACCATTACTCGGACGCGTCTAGAGCGTGCGTGATATATTGTTGAGCTGCGTGGGGTGAAGTTACTCCAGCGTGTCTAACTTTTAGGAGGCAAATTGAGCGTACCACTTGCGACGAACTGTTGCACAACATATGCAATCTTTAGACAGCAGCTATACTAATACAAAGCTCTAGCTCTGTAGCCCACCCAGCTTGAGTACCTCTCCATTCATGATCCCATGTATGTAACACTCTCCAACGAGCATATACGCCGGCCCCCTTTCCCGCACCACGAACGGCGCATTGCCCCCATGGAATAGACAAATCTGATCCCCGGCCATATCGACTTCGGGCACAAGCTCTACATACCGGCCCTTAGCGAAACAGAACTCTGCATTGCCGACGCGTCTTGAGAGCGCAATCGCCGTCTGACAATACTACCCGATGACCTTCTGGTTGCGGTGTAGATATTTGGAGGGGTCCTGGTCATTGTCCACAGAGAGAATCAGTTCGCCTAGATTCAGCGGCCATGCATAGTATTTTTTGCGTTGTAAAGGCGCGATAGCCGCGTCTTTTTCTACGTCGGACTCGAGATGCGAGGTGCGGGTGAGCTGCGTTGCCAATGGGTAAGTATAGCAGTAGATCCTCCATGTTCACACCTGCAGGGTACTATTCACAGGGGACAGTAGCGATTGCGATTAGTCTACCATAGGGTTGAAGAGAAAAGGGAGGAGCTAGAGCACTATTTGATGCGGTGCGCGCTGTGGGTCGCGTCAATAATATATATCCGTCGACAACGACAGTTTGAGGAATTTTCTCCCCCATGTAAATGACGAGGGGAGCGCCGTCAAGGACACATGCAGCCCTAGTTGATCATTATATTGTGAATAGCATCAATTTCAAAGCCCAGATCTCTGCCCTTGTACGTGCTGACAATGGCACAGATGAGGAGTCAACAAGAATAAACTAATATACATGCCAGAATGCAGAATGCAGCTACAAGGGTCGAGGTGGATTTCATTGGATGCCTATGTGGGATGGGCCGACATACCTGGAGAAAATTCCTCGCTTGAAGAGTTTTGCTCCGAGCTAAAAGACTTATTTTGCCCTAAAATGTAACCTGAACACCCTGATAGCTGAGGCTACGCTGATAATTTCTACGGATAGTCTACCCTACATTCGCTCACTTCTCAAACAGCTGAGTCACACGTCATACGGCATATATCACCATACCCGATACGACGCAAAATTCTATGACCTCTTGAATATGAGTGTGTTTCCTATCTGGACAGGGAAGTGGGGAGCTCAGTTCGCTAAGTTAAAAAGCTCTAGGATGTCATGGTATATCGCTGATGCCCTCTATATACCAGACTGTTTTGAATGGAAAGTGCTGCTTCTAGCTTTATATGTTAACCATAGTGTTGAGGTTAGTAGGCGTCCATTAATTCTCCGACGACATAATGATGCTTTAAAGTAGTTTTGACTATTAAGGGAGAAGAAAGGCTTGTTATATGACTATCTATAGCCAAGGGAGCCATTGGGGGATCTTGGACGAACTTGATGTGCTAAATATCATGAGGTCTATATAGAAGTACTGTTGAAAGTGTAGGTGGTAAAAGAGTTATTTCATGTATACGGTACGGGTCAAGGGGTACGAAGGCACTGTTCATGTATATAAGGCGGTCTTCCCCACCTCACTCAGATCAACTAGTTCAGTTGAAGTAACCCTCATATACCTTCCATTTCAGCAAGTACAAGGTAAACGTGGAATTCGGAGGCAATTTCCCATTCTCATATCCCGTCTTCATACCACGCCACTTCGATATGGGCAGTATATCAGAATCGCGGCCAACAAAAGGGACTTGAGTTGACGAACTTTGTTTCGAGCGATTGCTTTCGGATGAGGTCGAGCCATCATAGACAATACGCCTCAGATTGCTCAAATTATTCAGTATCGAGTTCTCTGACGCCGGAGGCCTCATGGGGCTGCAAGTTTTCCATCCCGTGAATAGAGAGAAAATGAAAGCGACTCCTACGGATGTAATTGACAACGCAAAGCTCGCCTTCAAACCATCCATATAAGCCACCTGAACACCGTGAATACTAGGCACAAACCTTTTCTGTAAGTAGGCGGCGCCTGCGGCAATGACGGCAGCGGGGTCGACATCTGGCGCGGAGTGAGGTAGCGTGATCAACAAGTGGTTTCCAAGAACAGCCTGAGCAGCAGATTGTATAAACCCGCCCCCGATAGTTTGGAAGCCTACCATGAATATCCACGTCAGAGAACGCCATCCGATGAGCGTTTAAAAGTGACTTACTGATAAGAATAGCTGTGGTCATGGCCATATCGGCTATGTTCGGCTGTGTTCGAATTTGCTTGAGCTATGATGGTAGCCGCCTGTACACCAAGACCGTTGCCAATGCCACCAAGAAGCTGATATCCAATCCACTTTCCAGTGCTCGTACCGATGTCGAATGTGTAGATGAGACCGCAGGCCGCAGTGGCGATCGCAGCTCGGCCCACAAGAAAGGGTGCTGTATAACCAGTTTTGGATATGCCGATGCCACTGATGAGAGTACAGACAGACACTAGGATGATGAAAGGTAAGTTCCTCACGCTGGAGTCAATGGGAGTGTGCCGTCGATGTTCTGGAAGTAGATCGGCAGATAGTAGATGGTGATGATATATGGGCCAAAGAAGAAAAAACCAACAGCCGAGACGATTGCGTTTTTCTTGACTAGTCGAGGAATGAAGGTAATAGCGCGCTCTCATGTATATTTCCCAGGCAACGAAGGTAATTGTAACCGCCACAAAGCCAACCAACAAACTGATCACCTTACTTTCCAATATTACCTAATATTGCCTGTATATCTTTGTAAGATTATGAATAGCCTGCAATATCCTTCAGTACGGCCGAAGTGCAAGGCGAGCTGCATATTTAGCTGGCATAGCAGTTGTGCGTGTAACAGCGATATGCCCAACAACCGTGTTCCTTTCGGACGTGGGCTATATGCGCGTATTACAGCACCGGCTAGCGAGTGCGTCGGTCCGAGTAATCGGACAATATCGGTCGCCGATCGCTTTGCGTATGAATAAGGGCATTCCAGGTAGGCCATACAGGCGGCACTTCCTTTGATATACTTTGTAGAGACTGCAGATCACCGGCCCCTGTGATAGAGTAGGAATAGATATCTTTAGATGCGAAAGACCTCGTGACGGCGCCCGTGTTCATATAATACCTAGCCTCCAGAAACTCCTTTGCAGTCTCGGGCTTTAGCCGACTGTAGGTGTAACCTGTTAATAGGTGTAGAGATAGGTACACTTCACCCTCTGCCTATATATGCGTATACTGTCAGGACCTAAATGAATAAGACTCTTCCAATCTTCGCGCTGTTGTTGCTGCCAGGTGGGCTCTTGACCCCGAATATGACGCAACCGGTGAGGCGCGTGTTCTCTCAGCCCCCTATCCAACCGAGGCGGTGGCAGAAAACTTGACGGGCTAATTTCTCCCATCATATGGCAAGGCAAAGTTATTATAGGAGACAATTAGCAAGTAGATTGAGGAAGTGCTGGAGTAATTCTTGAATGTATTTACCGCTAAAGGTCAATATATCCTCGCGGCGCCTGCACCGCTAGCACCGAAGGTGACTCTGAATTTTTATCTAAGTAATTATGTAGTACTCTAAAGTATAGATGTGGATTACAACCACTCCAGGTGGGCCGAGAAAGTCTAGAACACCCTGCTTAGCCATCTTGACTTACTAACACATCCCATGCTTCAAGAGATTTCAAATTGTGTCTCCCTCGCTCAATGTTTTATAACCATCCTCTCTTTTTGAATTTCAAAAAGTATCTTGACGTTTTGAATCATCTGAATTTTCCCAAGCATGCAGTCGTCTCATCCAATACAGTTCGAATAACATGACAAACCTGCATCCAAGAGCCCCAGAAAGGAGAGTTGTAACCGTGATGACTGCATTGCGAAATTCCACGAAGAATATACTTGATAGGATAATGCTGCCCATCAAGACGTGCGCTATTGATGCGAGACTGACAAATTTGGTGAATAAGAGCCACGCCGGTCCCTCATCCTCGGTGTGAAAGCCGTACGTCTTTACATACATCCAAGGCGTCAGTTCCGAACATGCCCAATTTGCAACCCAAGATACGGGGCTCGTCTTGAACGAGCTATCCTTGTATATTTTCTTAACTCGACACCTAACGGCAAACTCGCACATGAACGTCACGGGTACAACGACGAGAACCCACAAGAGTGGTGCTGCAGTCTCCGGTACTAATGGTGTCTGGAAAAGCTGTATCGCAGCCCAGCATACGGCCTGGTATGTGAGGAAAGATACTTGGTAGGCGACATTGAAGACGGCTGCAGCCGCAATAGCGTATTCGACGGCTAGAATTGCCGCAATTATAGGCCATCTTCTCCAATTCAGACCAGGCTTGGTATCAAAGCCAAACGTCACTTTGGGAGCCGATTTAAGCACCTCAACGGGGTCAGCCCCTGGTCTAAGAGCGGGAGACCCGATGGCTAGAGCAGTTGCCAGGAGAGGTCGTCGAAGGCTTAATAAAGCGATCCCGGAAGTATCTGGGCCAATGACAACAAGTGTGGGTGGAATGAGCCCCAGCGCGATCGAGACGGTGGTGAATTCGGCCTTGGCCCATTCTGGGAGGTGATCGAATATACAAGACGCAAGATTCGACGCATGGACATGGCCGTCGTACCAATGGTCGAAAACTTCGGGGTTTAGATAGTCGTCGTAGGGTATTTTACATAGAGTTTCATTCTGCAGAGCCAATTCTAGCCCATTAGCAGCATAGTCCTTGGGAATGTATGTGAATTGGGAGTGCGAACGCGCGATTCTCCAACGAGCTTGCTGTTTTGTTTCTCCGGAAACCACCGCTCCAAGAACGAGGGAGACAAGGAGGTAGCGGTAAAGCGTCATAATCGACGTTAGGAGAAAGAATAAAGAGGGTATTAGTATTAGCCAGAAGGAATCTGAATGCACTCACTTCCGACCTGCTGGACTTGGCGCAGTAACACAGGCTTTACTGTGTACCATATAGGCAATTTATCATAATCGTCATGGAAGAGCGAAATAACAAGTTCTGAAAGAGAGATAATCGAGGGGAATGAGTTTTCCGCTCTTCTCTTTTTATATTTTCAATACTGCTGGTTCCTTCTCTGACCTCTGTATCACTGAGCTTGGGGGCGGAGAACATACGCTGCATAAAATATGGGTGTCGTCAAATTTCGAGGTGAATACGCCGCATCAGAGCTAATAGGTATTCTTAGCAGGTCATAGGATGGTATCGGTCCAAAAAGGATTGTTACAGACGCTTAATATCTGTATGTGTTTCGCCTGCGCAACTCGGAATAACTATACCTTCAGCGTACGCCCTCATATTGCGCGTGTCTTAATAATATTGAAACTGAACCTATTCAGCCTCGCTTATTGGTGGGCCTGGGCGGTTAGGAACCCTGGTACGGAGAATGCTGATGCATTTTTTTGTCCGCGCGTCAGAACTGAGATGTTACAAAAGGGAGGTTATGTGACAGATCCCCAGCCATACGTGCTGGGTGCGTTTGATACCTTCCTACGCCCTTTTATGCAGTTCACCTAGACGAATTTGTCAGACACCAGACAATGCATAAGCGAGTCTCACTTCTAACGAAGATGAAGCTTTTTAGCCCTGGCTTATGTGAGATATATAGAGAGAAATATAGAGTCAAGACCAAGCATAAATGCCAGGGTAGCGGATCCTATCATAGCTGGTGAGTGCCAGTCTACACAAAACAGCCAGTGCAAGAGATCAAATGGATCACATAGACCTTGATAGCCTTACTAGTTTGACTGATGCATACGAATTCAATCGAACCGTATATCCAGTTGTTGTTATACCAAACAATTCACCAATTCCCTAGTGAATGCAGAGAGCTTCGACTAAAAAGCGATAGCAATTCATTATCTCTTTGATTCACTATCTTAAAAGTCCCTCTCCCAGCTCGCTACTGCAAAATGATTTCTCATTTACTAATATTTATATGGTTTAATAGTCTGAGCAATTAGCTACGTCTTTATATCTTTAGATAGTTTATAAGTTAAGTATTTTTAAACTGTGTTAAGATTGAAACATGTGAACTCTCGTGGTGACCTATTGATTTCTCTGTCCACCAACAGCAGACTAATGTAAGATTCATGGTTAGTCCAAATATCCAATAGTTATATGCATGGGAAATGGGGCAACTCCATTCGTTCCACACAATGTCCGAAACACAGGCAGAGGTAACCTCTTGACCATCTCAACCCGGCATTCTCCAGGTCAAGGAAATTACCTACCAGATACCAAGGAAGTACTTAGGAGAGTACCTGCATGTGCTCATGCGGATATCTTACCAGCTGGTCCCGGTGGGGTAGGTACTCTTCCATATAATAACCGTCTCGAAGTACTCAACTTCTCAGTGGGTTAGGTATTTGTACGCGGGTCAACTAGGCGGGGGTCGACGGGGTAGTAGCTGACAGGTCACCCTGCCGTACCCGCCAGTAACATCGTGAATTGGTATCTCAAAGCTTCCATGAAAGATGTCAGTATTTCTAGGACATCCTGCGCACTTCAAGCGGATTTAAGGGGTCTACACGTTATATCCGCACCATCTAATACGGTACCTGGTACGAAGCAACGGACATCATTTCTCCCTCAGCCTCGGTCTGTCGACTTGAGCGGTATACAAGGTAAAGTATAAGATAGATATCACGTTAAGGATGGAGCCAAACAAGTTTAGCTCTTGTTCTCAGATCTTCAACTCTTCTTCAAGTTTTGTCATATCTCCCCGTCGCGCTGTGTATCCTGAACCGGCGGGGAAAGCCCTTCATGCCCATAGCTCAGGAGGAGCTTTCCAGGTTGGCGTATGAATACATGGGATGTATATGAGAAAGCACTCGGCGAAAGCGTTGAGCAACCTCGTAAATGTAAAGCGGGTGGGAATTTCAAACTCGCTGTGACATAAAATCTGGGTTGAGGATTAATTAGTACAAATACTGGACTAGATACCGAGGCTTGGCGGTTTTAGCTTGAGTAGGTATACATGGTAGAGCGCACTGGTGCAATTAACCCAATTTCAAAAGCCAAATCGACATGTTTCCCCTCCGAGAGAGCGAAAGAACCTTTCCATGACGATGAGTCCTCTATGTGTGGTGGGCGGGCTGGGGTGGTGGCATTTTCACAGGGGCGCGCAAGATAGTTGGCCCCGAGATTGATATCTAAGCATTCGTGTGCTGCTCCTGCTAAGTTTCCATATTGTTCGGAATCGGAGGTAAAAGAGATATCATGCATTGGGGTCGAAAAATCTAGTACGGGCCTACTAGCCAGTGTCGAGTCTTCTAAATATAAAGCTGACGGTGGGCAAGTGATGATTGGTTCGGATCCGTCTTCTACTGCTGCAAGTGCGGTTCTCGTGCTTGGTATCCGCGCCACTTCCGGGTCAATAGGTATTGATAAGACTGAATCTATGTCCCCTTGACTTCGTAGGCACTGAGTGTTGCCTACGGCTCGATTATGGTGTCGCGACTGGTGTCTTTTGAAAGTATCCTGCCGGCTGAAAGATGCATCGCATAATGTGCATTGATACGGGCGTTTATTACGGTCTGATTTACATATCGTTATGTTCATAGCCGTTATACAGTGGGAATCATGGATACATACGTGAACGTTCGTGTCGCGCAAGGTGTTCGGAGCGGGCAAAAGACCGATCGCAGTATGAACAGTGTTTTCCACGGCGCAGGCCGCCCAGCGCCATGTTCGTACTCATCATGAGAGCCGTTATGAAAGTTCTGTTCGCGACGCCACGGTCTGATCCTGTAGAAGCTATGCCCAAGCTCTGTTGCCAGGTTACTCTAGCTTTGTAGGCGAACAGGCTCGACGTGTCCACAATCATGATGGAAACGGAGTCGGAAGATCTTGGGGTATATGTCGAATGACTCTCGAGACGAGTGCTAAGCTAAAATAACAACAGTGAGCATCGGTTCTCTTTCAAGCCAGGGACTCATTTACCTCAACAACATATCCGAGAGTTCAGCAGCTAGCACTAATAGCCTGAGTTCTAGCACAGCGTCGAGAGGTTAATGGCGTCCCAACCCGAGCATTCAAAAGAATGAGCTCGGCTAGTCAGGTAGCTGCCGTCGTAGTAGGGGTTGTTTAGGGTAGAACCAACACCATAAACACGGTAAGCTATCTCTCACGTAAGTCCGGCGGATGTGCCCGGCGCGCGGGCTTTTGTCTCATACGGTATCTTTCCATCTTGGATAACGTTAGGTATTTTCTAATAAGCTTGGTATCATAACAACATAAATTGCATCTAACCAATCATACCCCTTTCATAGATAGAAAGTAGTCTAGGGAGGCGGCTCACAACTCGTACAGCTGACTTTGATGAGAGCATCCCACTTCTAAAGGATTGACCTAGGTATTAGTATGCGATGATACAAAAAGACAAATCTATTATTTTACCTGAGGTAACATAGATAGTTCTCAATCACGACCTACAAAAAACTAATGCTCTCGCAGGGGTACTTCATTCATTATACAATGTAATACAATTTACCTAGCATCCTATCTAGACTTTTGGGCCGAGTAACAACAGGTGGTTATAATTAAGTATTTTTTCTACCGCTCGTGGTTTCTGAAATTCAAGCTGTAGTTATGAATTCACGTAAAGATGTACTCTGCTAACCCGCCCCTGTCCTTCTCAGATCTTGGACACAAGACACGCAGAAACGCCGCCCGAATGCAGTGAGTAAAAATGGATAGCCGCAGAAACAAGAGCAATGGTGTAGAGAAGACGGCCCTACTTGCTATTTTGCAATCGTAAAGCGTAAAAAGCTAGCCCCATATGGTGCTGACTCGAATTACCGGATAGTAACACCTGACCGATCTGTAAACATGCGTGACGCGATATTCATAGCTTGGAGTTCCTGGAATAAGAGCTTCGCGGCATAAGGAATGTGGATTTGAGCAATCTTTGTCTTGTTCTTGCAAGGGCGGCACTCGAAGTTTTGTTGTCCAAGTTGACTAAATCGTCATGTTAGTACTTAATCACGATTGAGACATATGAATGGAAACTTACGCGACTGGAGTCATGAGCCCGCAAATCTCGCAAATGTGGACTCTGAAAGCGTCCGAAACCTCAAACAAACGTTCCTTGAGGAAAGCCGCAGCACCGTGAGCAATCATACAGTCACGTTCCATTTCTCCGAAACGAAGACCACCATCACGGGCACGACCTTCGACAGGTTGCCGAGTCATGATCTGTACCGGGCCACGGGCACGGGCGTGAATCTTGTCATCCACCATGTGACGGAGTCGCTGGTAGTACGTGGGCCCGAAGAAAACCTGAGCTCGTAATTTACGGCCCGTGTGGCCGTGGTATAGAACTTCGAATCCACGCGACTGGTAGCCGTGCTCTCTGAGCAGACTCGAGACCGAGTCTACTGTGACATCGGTGAATGGGGTGGCATCACCCTCCATGCCTTTGAGAGTTGATACTTTACTCAACAAACACTCGATTAAGTGAGCAATAGTCATACGCGAGGGAATGGCGTGTGGGTTGATGATGATATCAGGGACAATGCCCTCGCGGGTAAAGGGCATGTCTTCATTACGGAACGTTACTCCGATTGTACCCTTCTGCCCGTGACGAGAAGCGAACTTGTCACCAATTTGTGGGATCTTTGTGGTTCGAACCCGGACTTTGACAAACCGTAAACCATCGGCATTGGTAGTCAGCACCACTGAGTCGACGATACCACTCTCGGTGCTTCGAAGAGGCGTAGAGGCATCACGCTTGACGTGTATCTTTTGACGCTGTCCCATTTCTTCATTATCGGGACTAATGGGCGCCGTCTTTCCAATGATGATGTCCTCTCCGGAGACACGAATGCCGGGTGCGATTATTCCATCGTCGTCTAATTTATCGTATGTTCCTTGTTTGAGACGAAGTGTATCGGCACGGAAAGGTTTCTCAAATTGCTCCACAGTGTTAATGCCAACTCGTTTCTCTGAGTCAGAGTAAGACCGGAAGAACAAACTGCGAAACAGGCCTCGGTCAATGCTACTTTGGTTCATAATGACAGAATCTTCCTGATTGTAACCCGAGTAGCAAGCAATGGCCACGATGGCATTCTGACCAGCAGGCAACTCTCGGAATTTCAAGAACTCCATTGATCTGGTGGTTCCTAATGGCTTCTGTGGGTAGTAAAGAATATTCGCCATGGTATCCATGCGTCGTGAGTAGTTAGTGAGGAAAAAACCCATAGCCTGTTTACCCATGGCAGACTGGTACGTGTTACGGGGTGACTATACCTAGCATTAGCAGTTGCGGCAATAGGAATCATCGTAATACTTACTTGATTGTGGTCCGGAAAGGGAATGATACTGGCGCAAATACCAAGAAGCATACTCGGGTGAATCTCGCAATGGGTGTACATGTGGGTTGTCGGGTTTATCTTCGTCTTCAGCCGCTTATTAGGAGCAAAAACATCCTCCCTGTTGAAAGGATCTGGTAAGCCTAGTTTGGCGCACCGGAAACTTTCTAAATCCTCAGGAGTCATGCAAATCATTGCAGTCTCCTCTTCCTCAGCATCCATATATTCAATAACACCGGCATTAACCAGGCCTTGCCACCCAAAGTACTCGTCACTTCCAGGCGGGAGAGTCTGGTCAATCTCCAGTCGGCGGACCATGTCTTTGGTCAGAGCCAATGTGCCTTTCTCGACGCCCTTGTCAGAGTCATCCTCTTGCTCAACGACAAACAAGGGGCGCATGACACGACCGGCATCAGAAAATATCTTGAATTCACGGTCGCGAATGTCCCGAATTAGTGACACTTCGGCCGGGATCTGGTTCGTTCGGCGTAATTCTTGAACATCCTTCACGAGAGCCTTAGGATCCTGGTGAACGCCAATCCATGCGCCATTGAGGAATACCTTAGTGGCATTGGGATACCTATGGTGATCGTACTCTTCTAGCACTTCCATATTTCGCAGAATCATATAATCTATAATAGGTTCCGTCGAAGTACCGACGCTGATGGAGCACATGAGCGATAGGTTTTTGACCAAGCCACAGGCCTGTCCTTCCGGAGTTTCGGCTGGACAGACGAGTCCCCAATGGGTATTGTGAAGCTGTCGCGGCTTGGCAAGCTTACCATCTCGACCAACTGGAGTGTTCGTCCTTCGCAAATGCGAAAGGGTAGACGCGAATGTGTATCGGTTCAACACCTGCGAAACACCAGCTGTGGAGCTCATGGCCTTTTTCTGGTCACCCCAGTTTCCAGTAGCGAGGGAGTATTTCAGTCCACTCGTGATAATGTTAGACTTAACAGCTAGAGCAATATTAAATTGCTTGCCTTGCTCGATGCTTCGCTTCAAGTTCGACAGGACCTCCTGAGTCATGCGACGCACAATATTGCGGAAAAGCTTGGCCAGAAGAGGTCCTGCCAGATCTAATCGCTTCTTACCAAAATGGTCGCGATCATCTGTGTCACGGCGACCCAACGCACACTGAAGTAATTTGTGAACCATATAGCCGAGGAAGAATGCCTTTCTAGTCTCGCAGCCCTTTGTCTGAGAAATGTGTGGCAACATTTCCTTTTGTAAGATGTCTCTAGCAGCTTGAATACGGCGGTCCCTAGCGCTTGCTTGGTTTTGATTTCCACGCTTGCCGATATAATCCAGAGCAACTTCTTGATCCTGAATGCAGAAGGCCTCTTCAATACAGGGTCGCAGCAGTTCTAGCATTTGACTATCGTTGCGATCGTAGCAAATGGCGTCGAATATTTCCTCGTCACTGACAATACTAAGAGCTCGAAAGACTATGGCAATAGGCACATCCGATTTGACGTAGGGCAGCGTCGTATGAATGGTTTGGCCATAACCTCCTTTGGTGGTGTCTCCCTTGGTGTATAGTTTCAACATCAACGACGAGATAAGGCGTGACCCTTTCTCAAGGGCGCTTCGTATTTCGGCGGTATACGAGTACGGGCTGGGTTGACTTTTCTTGAAGACTTGGACAATATTGGCAGCGGAACGTTCCTGCGCAATGAGGACCTTCTCACTTCCGTTGATAACGAAATAACCACCTTGGTCGTAAGGACACTCGTTCAGTAGGAATAGATCATCTTCTGACTCGCGACTCAAATGGCAAGCGTTAGATTTTACCATGACGGGAAGTTTGCCGATGAACAGGCTGTCCGGAGCTTCCACAGGATCCCCATTAGCTTTGTATTTTAACGTGTTTTCCTCTTCTTCCCAGATAAGCCGAGTGGGATGGATTCCGGTCTGGGCATATTCATTCTGCTGCTCCTCGGTCATCTCATGTAAAGGAACAGGTTCTTCAACGCACACTTCGACTTTGCTATCAACTTTTGCGTATACGGGACTGGCGTATGTCATGTTGCGGTCTCGGCATTCGTAAGGTAACAATGGGCTAGATGTACCCTCGGTTTCGGAGACGACAGGACGGGAGAAGGTGACCTTCCCAAAATCCAGGGTATAGCGTCGACAAACGATTTCGCGGCCGTCGGCGGATGGCGGATTGTTCTGATCGACACTCAAATGACTATATTCATCCAGAAGATCCTGGATGGTGCCGGCTTGGAAATCATTGAAAGAGTCGATCTGTTGGGATACAAGGCCCTTGGTGTCGAAGTAGGATGAGATGACATTCCAGCAATCCTCGGGCGTGATGTAGTTCTCCTCTTCCTCATACTCGTCATACTCGTAGCCTTCATCATATGACGCCATCGTGAATGACGGGATGGGAAAATTCTCCGGTCTTCTACAGCGTCGAGAATATGGGCGATATTAGAGTGATGATCTCGGTCGTAGTTGAATGGCGGGCTGAAACGACGATGATTGGAGGTCGGCGGTCGGCGGCGAAGCAAGGGAGAGATGACGGCAACCACTGAGCATGAAAACTTCAGGGGATGGAAACAAAGAATAAAGAGTGATCTAGCTATCGCTATAGAATGTCTGTCAGTAAACCAGAAGATGCGCAAGAGAAGGACGAGGAGGTATAGTCGCGGCAGAGCGTCTGAACCGAGACTGAAGCAGAGGCGAGATGAGATAGGTAATCAGACAGGACGAAACATACACCTCAGGCGCGCAGAGGCACGCACCCGCTAGCACTATTCCTGCTTCTACAGTAGCTGCTGTTCGTAGCGCTAGACAGTATTTAATGCGCGATATGAACCTCGACCGCGAACCCGTTTTGCTGTTGCGATGGTGATGAGTCGAGGTGAGTAGGAGCTGGATGTTTGAGGCTGGATCTTTTGCTGATTGATCAAAGAGTCGCGAAGTGGGTACAGTCGCCTGTCAAAAGCGACACAGCCAGGGCGACCTTTGCCTAGGTAGATACCTAAGCCACTGTAGCCACTCCCTCTGCCACTCCTTGCATTACCTAAGGTACGTACCTACCTCTGGAAGGTTCACTCGCCACAATCCAATGCCACGTGACCCCCGCCTGATTAGAAGTACCTATGGTAGATATGGTAACAATCCCAGGTAACAGATTCGTGACACGGTAGCGAGTCACGGTCTCGTCTCGACAGTAACAAAACATGTCTCCAGATAGCGACTTAGTACAACTTTTATTAAGAAACAAATTAAATCGCATGGTGATAATGGCGCTATTCTCTGCTGAAATAATCCACGAATATTCGTAAAACGGCAGTCCGTTCTTACTAACTTACCTATCCAGACATGTGTGGCGTCACATGACCGACCAGGAACATGTCCACCCTCATACATCAGCTGGTGAGCTCGACTTCTTGATCCAGACTTCCTCAACCGGGTCTCCATGTCCCTGAACACATTCCCACTCGCCAATACCATGCTCTTCAGGAGCTATCCGCATCCCTCGGCCTCCTCCACCAACAATAAGATTCCCGGGGCGATAAGTAGCATCTTGCTTCATGCGGCGGATGACAGACCCGTGAACACGCGCCGTGTGGGGAATGTCACTACAGTACAAAATATCAGCAATTGCCTTCAAGATACAAGGCAGCAAAGTCAATGAAAATCCCAGGGCACAAAAAATGAGCTTAGAGTCGTGTCTGGGCAAAACGCAGGTAGCCGCTGCGAGGGGAGAATAATGCTGTAAAAGCTACTCACCGGGTTTCACCACCCGGCAGAGGCCATCTAATAGGCTTCCACGACCCGTCAGGCTGAAGATCCATTCGTCTGAAAGGAAGATACTCCATAAACTTCCAGCTAATGACCGGAAGTGTGCCAAGCCCGGAGGAGAACTCGAGTGAATCGTGAATACGAGCTACGTGCGCCTTATGCAGCATGTCGTGAAACGGTCGCCGCGGCGCCTCCTCGCTCTTGCCGAAATCCCTAACATTGTTGAAATGGCTCCAGTTCTCTTGCATGTGTTCAATCCCATTCCCTTTCTGTGATGCCGTCGGGCTTGAAGCTGACACGTCAATGCGGATGTCTGGTACCTGCGTCTCCCCGGCTGTGCCGCGGCGGGCCCCATGGGTATTGTTGTCCGTTTCTTGGTTGATGATGGCTTCCGCCAGCCCCATCTCAATCAATTTCTCGGGATCAAATGTGAGACCCGCCTTCTCGGCTTGTCTGATCATGTAAACGAGAGGAACGTGGCTTGCTGATTTCGACCCCGGAAGTATTTCCCAGCCACCACCAACGTCACCGTGACCACCCCTGTTATATGTGTGAATATAGTACTCTAAGCAAGGTGGATATGGCCTTTCTGCTGGAAAACTTACTGTCAAATAGTTAGCATGGCAGTCAACGGAGCCAGAGAATTGAAGGGGGTTCATACCGCAAACCATAGCTCGTCAATATCTTGTTCATCATCGTCGGAATCATAATTGTCGTCAAAGTGCGAAATCTCTGACCTAGCATCGCCCGGATGGAATTGACCTTCGGTAGTACTCCTAGTAGCTCTAGACACAGACCGCGAGTGTGGTCTGAATGTGTGTTCTGTTGGTGGTGCGAGGGTCGCGCGTCGACCTCGAGCCGCTTCCGATGGAGCTGTCGGTACTATGCTGGCACGCCGCGCGCGATATTTCTCCTGAAGACTATGCAGACCATGAACGTGATGATGGATTTCTGGTCTCTTCTGGTACATGAGATCTTGTCGGAATTTGGCTCTGCGCTCGTCGATCGACACACAATGCCGTATGACCTAGCACATCGTTGAGATTTTAGACATATGTACTTGGCCGAACTGACTTACCTTAGCGCTGCTCCTTGCTGTATAAGGAAACTTGGAACGCTGCATCCAAGCCGCCTCGAATCGCGGGACCGAGTTGACCGTGTCAAAGAGGCCCAGAAACCTAATTCTCTTCACTGGGCGACTGAAGGTCTCGCGGAAACCTTTTAAAAATCGGTACATCTCATGTCGTTTTTCGCGGCCCTCGGGTGAATCATCGTGGTTACGAGCCTGCCACTGTGAAAATGCTTTCCAGGCGAAAATGACCATTTCTTCGTTTCCATGAGAAAGCAATCCGACATAATCAAGCATCTCTGCTAAGAATCTGGCGACTGTGAGACAGATGTTAGTAATTGCTCTGAAACGTGACCGTATCCATCATGTGGAATATCTCATTATATATAGAGATGCCTCCGAGACTCTAGTTTGATGATAGCCAAATAAAAGGCAGAAGAAAGCAAACGTCAACATACTATAGGCGCCTCTGGAAAATCCAAAGAAATAGATCTCATCTCCCGGGTTGTAAAAGCGCATAAGGAACCGATAACCACCAACGACATGTTGATCAAAACTAGACCCAATTGCAGAGTCTTTCGCCTTCAAATACCATGATCGGATTCGTGATCTCAAACTCGTATGCGATAATGAAGTCGACACAACATACGTGCCGATACCTGGCTGGTAGTAATGATCTTGAAAACAACATTGTTAGTGTGCACCGAGCTAAGTCTCGTCGCTTTATATCAAGACCTACACTGGTCGCCAGCTTCACGGTCCAGACATCTAAAAATCTTGAGAATGTTGCTGTCGCTGTCATCACCTCTGAATTTGTTACCTGTACCATCGAAACACAACACAAGTTTGCGCGGTGTGCGGTGATGTTCTAGCGCTTGAGCCATTACTGACGGCGGTCCAGCCTGGTGTGCGAAATTGTCCGAATCGTGAGACGCTGTTGTGCCTCGTGAGCCAGGACGCCGCCCTTGGGGTGCTGCGGGGGTTAAATGAGCGCTGTCCATAATTATCACGCCTTCAGCCTAACACTCGACTTGGTGATACAGATGGTAGCGGTCGTGTTACGAACAGATGCTGTGCTAACATCAGTCGCAGCTCGGTAATTATGTACGACACTGAGAAAAATCGGCGCACCCTGTAGAACCATACTTTCACTTCGGAGCAATCACATGGGACAAGGATTGGAGCATGCAGAAGCATGGTACCGTTGCAACGAACTATACAGGGTTTATCGTCAAGGTAGGTCTAGAACTGGGGGTGTTATCTGTTCAACTTGTTACTACTGTAGCTACCGCTGAGACCCTTTAGCTTGTCTTGGATGAACTCTTGGACTTGCGAGGACAACCAGTAGCTGTCGTACTCCGGTTCGAGACGGAGACTAGATACACCATGATCGACAAACACAGGCGTATGTTCCACGCGAGTGTCCCAGAGCACTCAGATACTGCTCAGATCTCGGAGCTGGGTAGAGATCGTTCATAGTACAAGAAGTAGGTAACGGCTTGCTATACGATGGGGCGTTGATATTAGACATGTGGATGGTTGGATCGAGGTAGTGTATTTTTGTCCCGTGTAAGTCTAACTCCCAGTCCCAAAGTAGTCGCCGACTTGGTTGTGCAGCGGTGATACACGTCTAAGCAGGGATTTGATTTGTTGAGTTCATGCAGATACAGCAATAGTTTGACAGCTTCAGGTTAGTGTAACGCAAGCTGTCTATGACTGAGTATGTGTTCTGTATGTGTCCACGGTCAGACACAGTCTCTGCAACTGCACGTACGAGTCGACGGTAAGAAAAGAAAAGCTGCGTAATCCCCAGAGCCCCAGTCATTGGACTATACTCCTTTGTGCTTCCAGAAATTACAAACATTTACCTAGCTCTCCGTAATCTAACCTTGAGGCTGCTGCTACCTACATTATTAGTACGCAGTAGATGTCGTATGCGGAATTCAGCACGGCTTATAGCAACAGGGGACTATTACCGACAAGAGATGGGACGTGACAATATGCTACCCGCCATCATGGTCCCCTGCCATGCCAAGATTACCGAGGATCCATCACCGCTCAGCAGCAACTCTGGTGCCGTGGGTTCCGCCAAGATCTGCGGGACGGACCTCAGCTTTGAGCTAGAGTCTGCTAGAGGTAAATCTTTTATGGGACCAGTAAGGGAGAAGCTATCCCGATTGGACACGTCAACCCCAGCGATAGGTATGTCGATCCGAGCTAATCAGGTAAGTCTCGGGCTCCTGAGCTTTAGTCTAATTAATACTCTGCTTACATAGGAGAAACTAGTATAGCATTGTTCAGATAGTAGCGCGCTTAGTTTCTCCTCATTTCTACTTTGGGTAGAAGGAGTCATCTCTGCCGTACGTAGTTTAGACCTGTCGTCATTAGCTTAAGAACTTATTAATGAAACTTCCTGACTAGACGAGCCCCAGTTACCAAAATCATTTTTTCAGCGGCCCACTTGGAGATTGTCATTGCCCTGTAGAGAGAGGCTATTCCGGAAGTGAAAGATGTGCTTTAGAAACAGAATCATCATCCTTGTGTGGTTTCCGGTCTTGCGAGATAAATGGAAATCGGGGAAAGAAAAAGGAAACACACAGTGGCAGTGGTGGGGGTGGATGTGATGTAAAGACGAACAGCTTAGGTAAGACATAAGACACCACATTCCTGATATCAGTTGTTATTCGAGAATCACCTTCTTCAGAGGAGAAGTGGTGGTATACGTGACGAGGTGTGAAGGACAGCATAAATTAGGTAACTCGAAAATTGTACCAAGAACCTTCTTGGCCAACCAGAAGAGAGGACATATTCAATCACACTGTCACCGGTTACCGCTACGAGGTCGCAGGTTGGAACGATGTTGCCAAGAGAATGCAGGCAAGCGCTAATGAAGCCAGGGAGCGCCGTGCAGATTGATCGTCAGTCTAGCTATGTATCGTGTCGGGAGTCATATGAAATGCCCCGCCCATGATGTTATGCTTCTGCTTTTCTCCAAGCTTGTCCAGCCGAACCCAGCCTGTGTCTCTAGGATGGGGGACTCGGCTCTGGATTGGATACTTACATGCTGAAAACTCTGCATTCGCATTCAAGCTAACGCTCTGTTGGGTTCCGTCTGGGCATGGTGCAAGACGGGGCTATTCAACCATACAGCACCTCTGGATAAGGATTGTTTACCTATGATATGCATGTATAGTCGCCCAGTTGTGACAGATCGAGATTGGTCAGGTTACAACAGACCCTCCAGTCGGATCGCAGTGTAGCTGATGTCACGGGTGTTTATAACTAAGCTGGACCTAGTCCAGAGCTTCAAAGCCCCTTCTCTCCCTCGAGGTTGCTAACCAGTTGTTCTGTTTCTTCATTTCCCTTTCCTTCAGTGATACCCAACCTTTGCAAATATGCCTGAGAAAACTAATGGGAACTACACAAATGGGTCGGCAGCTCATGCCGCGCCTAGCACGCAGTTCGGCGTCGGCCCTGCGTTCAAAGAAGAGCCCGTGAAGGCTCCCAAGGCGAACCGTGAAGGCATCACAGAAACCTTCACGCAGCTTGCTCAATGGATTCGCGCGTCGGAGAGACCCTACCCAACCCAGACCGGCCATGGAACCTTCACAGTTGGCAAGAGGCCCAGTCTCAGATCAGACCTCAAAACCTTGAGCATGAAAGGTATGGTTGTTGTGTTCTCTCGGATATGACGAACTAAACTGATATCGAGAAGACATCAAGACAGTCAAGACGATCATCAAAAACTTGATTAAGGGTGGCCCCATTGACGACAAGACGATGATTATGGAGGAGACTATTCAGCTAGTAGCAGGCTTGCCTCACGGTTCACGACTTCGTGAGGAACTTACCAACAACTTTATCAATGAGCTATGGAATACTCTTGATCATCCCCCGCTACTTTACGTTGGCGACGAGCATGAGTATCGTAAGGCTGATGGATCGTGGAACAACCCCCAGGATCCTTACATAGGTGCTGCTGGCTCAACATACGCAAGGACCTGCAGGCCAAGTATTCAGGTTGGTGCCCTACCAGACCCAGAGCTCATCTACGAGACCATCATGAAGAGAACAGACTACAAGAAACATCCCAACAACACCTCTTCAATCCTTTGGTACTGGGCCGACATTATTATTCATGACCTTTTCTGGACAGACCAGAGAGAGCCTACTAAGAACAAGACATCCTCGTTCCTTGATCTGTCTCCTCTCTATGGTAGCAATCAGGAAATGCAGGACTCAGTGCGTACTTTCAAGGATGGAATGTTGAAGCCTGACGCTTTTGCCGACAAGCGACTTCTTGGACAGCCCCCGGGAGTGTGTACCATCCTCGTCATGTTTAACCGCTTCCACAACTATATTGCGCGTAACCTAGTTAGAATCAATGAGAACGGTCGTTTCACGGCACCATCACCTGGCCTCGACGAAGAAAAAGCTGCTGCTGCCTGGAAGAAGTACGATAACGACATTTTCCAAACAGCCCGTCTTATCACCTCTGGTCTCTACATCAACATTACACTTGTTGATTACGTGAGAAACATTGTCAACCTTCACCGAAGCAATACAACCTGGACTCTTGATCCCCGTGCGGAGATGGGCAAGGATGCTGGCACTCTTGGCGGATCTGACCGAGGTACCGGCAGTATGGTCTCGGCTGAGTTCAACCTTTGCTACAGGTAAGTCAACCCCGGAAGACCGCACGGAGCCATCGGGAACTGATATCTTTCAGATGGCACTCTTGTATTTCCGCCAAGGATGACCAATGGATCAAAGATTTCTATGGCGAAATCTTTGGGGCAGAGAAGGACGTGACAAAGCTTACTCTTCAAGACATGGTTATGGGATTCATCAAATTCGAGCAAAGTATTCCTGAAGACCCGGCAGAGCGAACTTTTGGCGGTTTCAAGCGAGGAGCAGATGGCAAGTTTTCTGATGATGACCTTGTCAATTGCATTTCCGATGCTATCGAGGATGTGGCTGGTGCCTTCGGCGCCCGCAACGTACCCCAGGCTCTGAAGCCCGTAGAGATGTTGGGTATTATGCACGGCCGAAAGTGGAACGTTGCTGGCTTGAACGAATTCAGGAAGCACTTCGGTCTCAAGCCCCACGAGACTTTTGAGGACATCAACTCAGATCCCGAGGTCTCTAGCGCTTTGCAGTACCTCTACGGCCACCCCGACTTTGTCGAGCTCTATCCTGGCCTCGTCGCTGAGGAAGCCAAGTCGCCCATGGTGCCCGGTGTTGGTATTGCAGTAAGTAGCTCTTCAGTGGTTCTTATACTGAACTAGAATCTTTACTAACTTTATGATACAGCCGACATACACCATCTCACGTGTCATTCTGTCGGATGCTGTCTGCTTGACCCGTGGTGACCGATTCTACACTACTGACTACAACCCGAGAAGGCTCACTTCTTGGGGTTACAACGAAGTTGCATACGACCTCAACATAAACCAGGGTTGTGTCTTCTATAAGCTGTTCCTCCGCGCATTCCCCAACCACTTCAAGTACAACTCAGCATACGCACATTATCCTATGTGTGGTAAGTAAAACTAAGTGTTCATCATGTGAAGGATACTAACATGTGGCACAGTGCCTGGTGAAACTCAGAAGATCCTTACGAACCTCGGCCGTGTCCAAGACTTTAACTTCGACCGCCCTGGCACCGTCCCTAGGCCCGTCACTGTCAAGACAGCTGGTGCCGCCAAGTACATGCTCGAACGCCCGAACAAGTACAGCATCAACTGGAACCAGAGCCTCGCGGATATCATGGGTCCCAGCTTCTCCAAGCCAACTAGTGACTCTGCTTTCCACATTGGCAAGGAGAATTGCATGCATGATCAGCTGTACAGGGGAGAATGGGCCAGCCAGCTGAAGACATTCTACTCGCAGACGACGGAGAATCTAATCAAGGAGAAGTCCTTCAAGTTGATGGGCACGAACTTCATCGATGTCGTCAAGAACTTTGCCCAAGTCGTGCCAGTGCAGTTTGCCGCGCGCACCTTCGGTCTCCCTCTGAAGACCAAGGATAACCCCAAGGGCATCTACAATGAGCAGGAGCTCTACGCCATCTTGGCTCTGATCTTTATGTGTGCCTTCTACGACGTTGATCCTGTCAAGGTGTTCCCCATGAGACAGGCTGCGAAGACAGTCGCCGGACAACTGGGCGAGCTTATTGAGGCTCATGTGAAGTCTGTCAAGGGAATGTTCGCCTCCAAGCCCAAGAAGGGTGACCTCGCAGGTTACGGTGCCGACCTGATCAAAGGATTGTCAAAGGGCGGCATGAGCAACCGCGATATTGCTTGGAGCGAGCTTCTCCCAGCTGCCGGTGCCACTGTCCCCAACATCTCCCACGTCGTAAGTTTTACATTCCTCTTCTACCTCGGTATATCATACTGACACGATTCAAGTTCTCCCAATCGCTTGACTACTACTTGACTCCCAACGGAGCCAAGCACATCCCAGAGCTGTACAGGATCGCCAACCTGCCATCCTCTGAGGAGAGCGACTCGCTGCTCCTCGGCTACTGCATGGAAGGTATCCGTCTAGGCGGTACCTACGGCGCCTACCGCGAAGCTGCTGCCGACGATGTCATTGCCGAAGACGACGGTAGCTCGGTCTCCGTTAAGGCCAAGGATCGCATCTTCGTCAGCTTTGTAAGTTCTCCATTGCTTCCATCTCTCACCCTGCGTCTACATATCAGACCGTTTCTAACTAAATGATTCACAGGACTCTGCTGGCCAAGACGTGAAGACCTTCACCGAACCCGAGGAAGTCAACCCTCGCCGAACCCTGGACTCATACGTTACCTACGTACTTGGTCCACACACCCACCTAGCGCAGAATACTTGCCAGATCGCACTCACGGAGATGTTCCGATCTATCTTCCGCCTGAAGAACCTGCGACGTGCTCCTGGTCCCCAGGGCGAACTCAAGAAGGTCCGCAGCGACGAGGGCTTCGATCTGTACATGAGAGAAGACGGCGGTGCTTACTACCCCTTCCCTACTACCATGACCATCTGCTACGATCTCTAATTTTGCCTTGTTGCTTGTTTTCGATATCCTCTCGTTTTGTACACCTGATTATGTGATGTTACTGCCTAAGTTGATTTGGCCAAGCGGGTCAAGCTTGTGGATATACCATGGGGATTACTGATGTTGGAATTACTATAATGTGTGAGAAGAATTACTATGTTTATATTACATCTTTAGTTTTATTGGTAATTGTTATTGAGAACTCTCTTCTGTCTAATAACCACCTCTCTCACTATGCGGCGTACCTTTGTCCACATGGTCTTTGCCTAGAGTGTAAAGTGAGGCTTTTCAATAAGTCGCGCTTCACGCTTTCGCGCTATTATGAATCCCTTCATGAGAGGCCACAGAGCGGGAGACTATCGTAAAATTGTATCCGACATATATCTACATAAACAATCTGACCTGAGCCTCCTGTAGATATAAGTAGGCCGCCCTGTCTATGTTGCATTACACGTATACTGTCAGAATTCAGTTGTGTCTTTTGATGGCCACTAGACTCTAAGCAGACTTTCTGTTTTGGGCTATCCACAGCTCATTTCAGCCTATCACAGTGACTACATCTCTTAGCCCCTGGTGAACTGTCAATAAGTAAGTCCCCTTGCAAGGACAAGCCCCTTTGCAGTGGTGGGGCAAGTGGTCCTACCAGGGGTTTAAGAACCAAGTTCGCATACAAATGTTGAAGTGTTGGTATGGAAGCCTCCAAGACTGGAGGTTGTGCTATCCGAAACTAGAGTCCGCTATACCACAGTTGCCTCAGCCCATGAGACAACGCCACACTATTTGCTAGGACACACCTTAAAGAGACGGCAAGACGCGCTCTTAAAACAACATACTACGATACACCCTGAATTGACTGGCTCGCGTATTTCTGACAACACACCTTACCTCCTCTCAATCGCCAACTCCCCAACATAAACCCGTTTCAAACAAACACTGAGAATTGAAAATCCTGCCAAAACTTGCCCCTTGGCATCGCCCTCATGCTATCCTCCGTAGCAACGGGACAAACGGGTAGACCGCCGATGTGTCAATACTTGGGTACTTAAGACAGAAGACCTTCATATACGTCAATTGACAGTGTGAGGGTGGCGTCAAGAGAGTTCGCATCAGGGGTGATATCGGCAGTCGGGTCCCGGATAAGTTGAATGAGGGTGATAGCAATGCTCTGAATTCACATCAGTATATCTGTTTCATTACCAAACTCAATAACCACTCACATCAACAACGCCTTCAACTCCTCGGAGGGAAGTAGCGACGGGCTGGCCGATAACAGGAACAACCGAGAAGAGGCCAGCTTTGCCGATGAGGATGTTCAACAGGGCCTGGTGGACAGCAACAAACTAGATATTGGTAGCCTTGTTAGTAACGTGATTAAGTTATAGAGAACAAGGATGGCGAAGATTGTCAAGAGACGAAGAGCCCGGAACGACGATGAATAGGGAGTAACATAAATTGAAAGCTTGCCTCAAGGAAAGCCGCGCGGACCGTCTGGGCATCAGGCCCACGGGCGATCAGGCCCTTAGGGTGCTCTCTCTCGCCTGCCTCGCTTCTTTTCGTAATCGGCGCGGTTCCGGGAAACTGGGCGATGAGCGTGTTCGCAGTGCTCACAATATCAGTAAACCCATTGATAATTGTAGGATATGGGCCCTGGCCAATGGCAATTAGGGGGCCGTTGAGCGTGGTAATGCTCTGGGCGGGAGCCTGAAGGGCCTGGGACTTCTGGGTGATCAGTTTGATACCATCAGCAATCTGCTGAGGCGTGAGGGCAGCCATGACCGTGGATGCCATGGCAACACCAGCGAAGATTTTGGAGAAATGCATTTTGGTAACGGTGGTGCTGGTTGACTGATGTGTCTAGGGTCGAAAAAGATATAGAAGATCTTGTTGGGGCTTGAGGAACTGTTAATGGTGGTGAGGACAGAATAAAGCATGTTGTTCAGAAGATCTCTCAGGGTTTTTATATTCGTAGACGATAGCTTGGTAGATAGTTCCATGAGTTGACGATGAATATGAAATCGATATCTACTATTCGAGTGACTCATCAAAACACCGAGTTCGTCTCATGTTGTACACTCCAACTTCGTTTCTAGACATGTTCAGGTCGATCTGGATGAGTGTTCATACTAGCCGAGTTTGCCGCGGGTCTGGATGATAATCACTGACAAGGGTAGACACATATGAGTAGTATTACTACTGAGCCAGCTTTTCTCTGAACAGTGACGTTGTATACCCAGTCTATGCGTTGTTGTCTAGTGTTGAACCATGGTTTGGTATAAATCAAATTACTCACTCGGTCAGTGCCAACATGGCTAGGGTGGTAGATGGAACATAAGAGCTACTCATTTGCAACCTAATGTAAGAAAATCAAGCATCTCCCTTGCCCTCCCTTGTGCATAAGAATGACCAAGTAAAGGAGACTCATCAAAATCCTTGCCGAGTGCAACTAAGTAAACCCCGCCTGGTGGCAACTTTGAGATGTACGAAAATCAAGTATCAAACCTACACCCGACTGGAATATAACAAGGAACTTGTCATGAAGAATGGCCATTTGAAATTTGCTCTATAGAATCCAATAGAGAGGTTGTGGCATAACTAGGCCACCAATCATACACCGTAGCCGAAGAATTACAGGCAGAGCAGCATCCAGCCCAACAAATAAGCTTCTCGCTAGACTATTATGCAGTTCTCCTTGCAGTAGTCAAAAAGGATTATGATGAAATGAGCTCATACAAATTCCAACGCCAAGGCACGGCAGAGGCCCCGAATCGGCTCGTAACGGCGTCACCTGCGCCTTGGGATTTCAGTTTCAAGACTCTTGTACAGCATTCAATTTCTGAATATGGATAGGCAAATTCTGGTTAGCTTAGTAATTAAACCGTTCCTTCTCAGCTGGTATCCCCAAAGAGACTGAAGCTGTCTGCCAAGTTGACTAAGATAAGTACTGAAGGCTGAGTCTACGCAGGCCCACCCATGCGTCAAGAGGCTATAAGACTCTACTAGCATCTCACTGCCCATGAAAGAAAGTACCCGTTTGGCCCAGTTGGGGTCGATACCGATTAGGATAGATGCATAGTCTAAGGGTGGGTTCGCTTTTGGAACTGATACTTGAATATTTACTTGATTAACAGTGATTTAATTCAATGCCTTGGTTCTGTATAACCCCACATGTATTGATTTCGAACTTGATAGGATGAACAAGTTGCATATTTTGTACAATTGGATGCTCGATATTTTTCACAATTGGTTCGCTTATTAGTAGTATTGTCAACTCTAGGTAGGAATGCAGTATGCATATGTTCGCACAACGGAATTGATCTGGTACGAACTCTTTGTTTAGTATGGTTGTAGATCAGACCTAACAACGGAGTAATGTTCCCGCCTTCATGTCTATTAGTCCTACCTAGAAAATCACGTAACATGAATCTATAGGATCTCTATAATCTATAGACCTATTTGATTACTAAGATCCCAACGCCCAAGGCCTTTCCGGTACCTCATTCCTTGTATACCTAGTTACTCTTTTAAAAGAGGTCCTCAACTATTAAATATATATACTTATTAACCCGTAACTTAATGAGCTGGCTGTAGCCCAGACTTCTATTTCCATACAATGGTGGGAGCCGCTTCAAGTCTCCTTAACGAATACCCGCTGATTATCCTATTGTTACCTGCAGATCAGGACCCTCCAGACGTTGCTGCTTTTAATTACCTCTTAGGTGATGTAATGCAGGTTCATTACATGATCGCCCTTTTGGCTCAGGTTGTATATCTCGTAATGCCGTAGCATTAGTAGACCCCTACAGGGATAATTCCCAGCTGGATTCGGCATATGGCAGCATGATGGTGCTACCTGCCTGCCAGGGCTTGCATGAACCACTACTGCAGGATCGCGATCGGTAAAGAAGCCATGTTTCTTCTCCACATAATTACATATACGCGCAGACATGGCGCAGCGTGCCAGCGTCCAGTGAACCAGTAGAAATAAGCGAATTGGCACCACTTTGCATCTCGCTGTAGTGTACAACTCCTCCCCGCCTCTGTATATTGTGACGTGATATCACGACAGCGCCGACGGCCTACACGAATGCTTGAGTGCGCCCAAATGGGGAGCCTGCAGATGCTACAAGGGGTTCCGGCGGCTCATGTTCCCACCCTATGCTCCGTGCGGGGGGGCTGGCCGTAGCAATTGCTGGTGGGTTACTTTATTACCATACCTGCAGTCCCACGTATTACGCATTCTGGTCATGGGTATTATGGCATCCTATTGTGTTTTCATTGTATGCAGCTCGCCTTGGAGAAATGGAAGTTCACAATCCCCAGCATGCCCCGTGAATCATCAATATTATTGGACAACGTTGAAAGTGGCTCTGGCATATTTCACCGCCGGCTGAACAAGGAGGGCAAAGGCAACCGGTCACACCGGAGGCATTTTCCTGTAGCGAATAAATGGTCGCGGTTTGATTTGAGTTTTCAATTGTGGCGATTGTTCCTCATAATGCAATCTACGGCTCTCTCGCTGTCATGATTACGACATTTCTCTTCTATATCCTATCCGTGTCTCGACGGGTGCTATGGCGTTGTCGTCGGTGAATACTGGAAACACACTGTTAATTGTATGGTGATGAAGTAAAGGATGACTTCCAGATTATAGACTTCGTCACCCAAGGCTATATAGGCTATTAAAGGTTTGGCGTACACGTAAGCCACTGACTAAGCCGCTGCACTAGCTACGTTGCAATACTAACTACCATAATAACATACTGCCATACAGACCTGTACGGCTAGCCAAAAGGCCAGGAGCCGTAACTCGCATCATATATTTGTGAAACTGACTATAACGGCTGGTTTTAATTTAATAATGGCGACTAACGGTTACATTTTTAAAGTTCGTACTGACAAGTGCTACTTCGCAAGTATCGGAGCTATTCTGGATGTATCCCTCATTGTGATAAGGGCTCTTATAGAGGGCTTGGAACTTAGTTATATTTATTAATAATCTACTAGGGGTCTTTAGGGCCTTGATCTCCCTTTTTTTCTCCTATTCTGGAGTGGGAGATTTTGTAGCTATTTATATTTATTTAGGCCTTATATAATCTATAACTCCCTTCCTTTTATTGGGTATTTATACCTTAACTGTTGGTCTTTTTATAGTTAATAGATTGTTCTTATTTAATTATTTATAGCCTTACTTTCCTTTAGGGGTAGCGTTGGTTATTTTCGGGTCTTTAGGTCTTATAGGACTATCCGTATAATATTATTTCCCTCCTTTTAATGTTCGACTTTAAGTACGACTGATTCTTTTTAAGGGGTCTGCAAGTTTAGGGTTATAGTAGCTTGAAGGTCTACTAGTTTATTTAGGTTTTATTAATAGAACTATTTAATAAGAGCCTTTATACCGGCGCTATTTATATATTTATATAGCTTTTAAGTTTAATGCCTTTTAATTAATTAACCTTTTTATTTAATTAGGTACTTTATATTCCTTTAGGTTTTTAAGGAGTTTTTAATTTCTTTTATTTAATAGTTTTTGGACTTTATCGGAGGTGCTTTCTATAGGACCTAGTTAGGGTTAAGTAATACCTGATTATTAGCATAGTAAGGCTTAATAAGCAAAACGTAAAATAAATTATAGATTTTCTAGCTTTTAAATAATATAAATCTAATAATAATAAATAAAATTACTTTATAAATTTTAAAGGGATTAAGCATCTTTTTATTTAACTTTTTAATAAGTCTTTTTATTTTAATGTTTTTTACGTTTAATATTATTAATTAGTTTTTAATATATTAAGGCGGAACCCCTTATTTTTTATCCGCTTATTCCTTTATATATTGTTAGGCCCTTTTTAATTATTCCTTAACTTCCTTATACATTTGTATTATTTAATAAGCGTATAGCCTGTTAGACGGGTTATAGGGTTATATTATTAAAGGGTTATATATAATTAAATAATAACTATAATTTATATAAAAGGGGGATATATATATTAAAGCTAATATAATATTATTATATATAAATTTAATAATTAATAGAAGGTTTTTTTAATTAGACATTTTATAATTAATAAATGCTTATAAATAAATTTTAAAAATTTAATTAAGTTATTTTATTTATTTATTAGTTTAAGGATAAAAGGTTATATTTATATAGGGTTTAATATTAATAAGCTTTAAAAAGTCCTTTTATAAATGGCTTATAAACTTAGAGTTTTTATTAAAAATTATATTAAGGAGTATATTATATAGTTTTTAATAATGCTTAGCAAAAATTTTAATAAGATCTTTGGTTTTCTTTTCTTTAACTTTTAAGGGTATAAAGTATCCTATTTTTATAAAGGGATTTATTATTACCCAGATAGAGTTGTAGCTATTAGATAAAGGTAGGTTAATAATAAAGTCTATTATAACCGATTACTATAAAGTATAGTATAACTTTATAGGTTAAAGTAATTTATAGGAGGTATATTATAGGGCTTTATTTTATTAATAAGTGTAGCAGCTTTATATAAAGTCCCTTATAATTGCTTTAATATTAGGCTATTAAAAGTTCTTTATAATAAGTTCTAATGTTTTATCCATTCCTATATATTTAGCTATTTATATATTATACTTTATTTTTATTACTTTTTATTATATAGTTATAGGTATTTATAAGTGTCCCTTTTTATATAATAGGTTATTTATAAGTTTTATATCTTTAAAAGGTTTATTTTTTTATAAATAGTATTCCGGGTTATCCTTTATTGCTTTTTTAATAAGTTTAATAAACTTTAATAGCTATTTAGGTATAGAAAGGCTATAAAGTTATTTAGAGGTTAATA